CTGCAACTTTTTTCATTTGAGTAATCGATTTTCCTTCGATATTTCCAAATAGCGATTCTCTGTTCGTAACTACCTTTCGGACTGCTGCAATTCTCTGAATTTCGAAGCCTTCGGTATCATTTATTGAAAATAAACATTTCTCACATTCTTCGCTTTTCAGCCATTCTCTTGGTCCCGTCCACCACTGATGTTCAGCAAACTCGTCTTTGCCGGATCCTCTTGTTCCAATATCCGCGACGTTTTCTGATGTTGGAACATGTCCAAATTGTACATGAGTGTTGGAGTTCATTATATCAAAAACGATTTTTCGAATGTCCCGTAGTCGGTTATTAATGAATGCTCCAATTTCTTTTTTCCCAGGCGATCGTTTGATCCATTTGAGGGCAATGTCGCTATCCGAAAAAATTATGAGATGTTCCACAAATTTCGATCCTTCTTGTAAATCATGTAAAACTTCATTCGCCAACTCGCATGCATTTCGAATCGCGGTCATTTCTGATTTTGGAATCGTCCATACATCATCCTTCGGAATTAGTTTCTGCTTTGCGCGCAATAGATGTGCTTCCGAATCAATCACGTAAACACGCTGCGGTTGCATTGATGTTTGCATCAGCAAAAACAATTATTTTCATTGGCCCATGTTTCGGCATGATTTTCCTTGGCAATGTTTTCGAAAATCCATTTGCTTGCTGCTTAATAGTGTCCCATTCAAGTTGTAGATCTTCGTCAAGTGTTTGATCCCACGTCAAATTTCGATTCCATAATTTTCTCAAAAAAAGTTTCAGCGGCAGCATAAGAGGTGAAAGTATTCCCATCGGGTCGTATACTGCTCCAATTGCTTGTGATACGATTCTTTTCGTCACCTTCCCATCGGCTTCGTCTTTGATGTTACATCGGAACGTCAATTCATCTTGATCACAGTTCCAAGAAATTCCTAGAATCTTCGGGTTTTCGTCAGTTGATCGGTCTTTTTCTGCAACGAAATCCATGAATTCCTTCGAATTCGACATGAATTCGCGTATATTCATATTTTGTTCATCAAACAGACGCTTGCATTGTTTGTATATATCCGTTCCTGATGAATCAGTTGTCAAGATTACATTGTCAACATAACAGTTTTCCCAAATTGATTGCGCGATTTCAGGGGTTTCTTTATCTTTTGTCAAGTGATTATGAATCGTTGCTGCTAGCAAAAATGGTGAACAGTTTAGTCCAAATATTACTCGAGTGAATCGAACAATTAGTATGTTTTCGGGTGTCGTGCTCTTCTCAACATCTTTGACCCAAAGACATCTCGTTGCGTCTCGGTCTCTTTCTATGACTCGGACGTTTAAGAAAGCCTTTTCAACATCCGCCGCGATGGCTACTTCTCCTGTTCGAAACCGTGTTAAAACTCCTGTCAATGAAGGCATCATTGTTGGTCCTTGAAAAAGATAATCGTTCAGTGAAGACTCATTCTTGTAGTGTGCTGAACCGTCAATTACTACTCGAACCTTTGTTGTATGTTTGGTTGGTGTGATCACTGGACGATGAGGGTTGTAATGAACAATTCCTTCTGACTTTTCCGGATTCCCGACTGTTTCTAACACTCCTTGATTCAATTGTGTTTTAAAAATTTCGTCAATCTTACGTAGTATTTCAATAGGGTAGGATCTGAAAACACTTTCCAATCTTTTTAATGCTAATGTGAAGTTTGTTGGTAGAGTCTCAGCTCCGTCCTTCCACGGTAGCTCCACATAATATCCATCACTTCGTTTTTCCATTGTATCTTCAATTCGTTTTAATACCAATTCATTTTCTTGGTGAATTTCGTCATTCACTGGTCCAGCGATTTCTCCTTGTTTCATTTCTTCAAATTCAATGACGTTTTCTACGACGTTGCGCACTACCGTATTCACTCGTCGTGTCGAGTTTTCCTGTTTCATCTTCATATCATCATGGTCAGCTCTACGTCCAGTGATTACTGCACCATTTGTGGTTAAGATGTATGTCAATCCTGATGGAAGTGTGTGCTGCATCCAGAATTCATAAATGTAATCATTACCAACAACTACATCGGGATCTGATATTGTTTTTAAGCATTCCGGATTGATAGTGATACCTTCGTCTTCCAGGAACTTTAAATCACGGTCATCCAGCACTGGTTTATCGATTGGTTCCACAAGATAATCTTTTACTGTCGCTTCAACTTCAATTCTTTGGTTGTTTCCTTTGTCTATCAAGATTTTTGCAACTTGGTATTTTTCTGGATTCTTCGCGATTTGTCCGAATGTTTGTAGTTTCACCCATTCTTCGCGAATCATCTCCAATTGCCAGTCTTCTACGATTGACTTTTTCACATATGTCGAATTCGCTCCAGAATCAAGCATCACGACGATTTTTTTCCACTCCGACGTTGCTGGGCTGTATCCCCACATCTGAACTGTAGGTAAATAGCTGTCGCCTGTCCCATTCACAAAATTTTGATGTGCTTGACGTGTTCGACTGACTTCTCGTTGATCTTCCTGTCGTACTGGTATTGAAACGTTTTGATGACTCCTTCCGTCATTTTTCTTCTTCGCTGTTGTTTTTTGTGCTTTATTGTTCCTGTTATTTATGTTTTTGCACAACAATCGATGATGACTTCTTTGACAGTTTCTGCATTTCTCGCTTCTGCATTCTCTTGAGGAATGCCCAGATTTTAAACAATTAAAACAATTTTTGAGTTCCTTAATTCGTTTCCATTTCTCGTCAATAGAAGAATAATTAGGACAATTGTCTGCGCGGTGATTTTTCTCACAGAAATAACACCGGAATTGTTTTTCGTTAACTATATTTCTTCGAACCCCATTTTGTTTCACTTCTCTGACCTGTTCGTTTTCACAGTCGTTCTCAACATTCGCTTCCGTTTTCAAAGTCTTTTCCAGGCTTTTCATCAGTGTGGTCAAATTCCAATCTTCCGGTGATTCTTCACGCATTCGGTAGACACTCTTTTGGATCTCTCGCGAGAATTTCTTCGTAATCAATTCTCTGGTCATTTCGATATCCATTGCTTCTCCGCTAGTTTCCAATTGATTCAAAGTTGCCGCTACTTCGTCGAATAACATCTGTTGATCTTCGATCTTACTCGACTGTGCTTTACAATTCTTGAGTTGTTTTCCCAATTCTTTCACTCGTATTTTGTCGTTTCCAAATTTCTCCTTGATAAAGGCGATTGCTTGCGGATAGTTTTCATTGGTTACTGGGAATCTGCTTGCAGCAATCTTTGCTTTTCCTTTCAATGCATTCATCAAGTATGAAAATTTCAACACATTTGACATATTGTCATTCGTATGAACGGCTTCTTCAAATATGGTCCAAAATGCAACGAATTCATTTGGATTCCCATGAAATTCTGGTATACGTATTTCTGGTAGTCCGATGTTCAACGGTTTGTTTCCCGTAACATTTTGTCTTCTTGTATCTCCTGTGTTTGCTTTCAACTTCTTCTTCAGTGTGAATAATTTCGGTCGGTACAAGTTTGTCATGCGATCAGTTTTGTCTTGAATTTCTTCGTTCTTCATCATTTTGGTTTTCACTTTTATTTCGTCCTCTTGTGTCGCTTCCTCAAGCTCATCTATCGTCTCAACCAACTTATCCAACCTTGTTTGTACCTTCGTTGCTAGAGTTTCCATCTTATACATTTCTTCTTCTATCTCATCCACCAGTTCTTCCAACGCTTCATGGTTTCTAGCTACACTCTCCCATACTCCTTGCTTAGCAACTAATTTTAAATACTCTTCTTCAAACAATTTTTCCGCCTTGGTACATAGCCCCAACAGACTCGACAGACTTGACATGTTGTCAGCAAAGTTATATGTTAGTCATGCAATTATAACGGGCAACCAGAAATCCAATTATTTTTAGCGTTATAGGGATGATTAATATTGAGCTGAATCGATAAGATAAGAAAAAGATATTAGAAAATGGAAAGATGATGCAATTTCGTGAATGTATTGCAATTCCGGAAGTTTTCTGAATCCTATAGCCGTCGGCTTTTCCGAACTAGATCCCTCAGGCCTACGTGGTAACAACACGAGTTTGGAAAATAAACAAATGTTAGAACTATTCAAGATTATCTCAAAAAAAAAAAAGAGAACAGGGTGAATCTATCGTAAATAAACTGACTTGTTAAATTTGCACTGCTCGACTCCGCTTGTCGTCCGCGATAACCAGTTGGTTTCCAAACCCAGGCAAACTGGTGAGCTTCCAAAGCTCCGTATCACTTGTTGTCTGATGGCCCACGAACCAATGAAATTGTTCCAAACGTCGATTGGGTTACCAGGGTGATAACCAAGTCGTCCAAAAATTATCCAACTTCTACGTCCAGCCAATTCTTGACGTCACACCAATGTCTTCAACAATGTCTTCGACGTCACACCAATGTCTTCGACGTCACACCAATGTCTTCGACTTCACAACAATGTCTTCGACGTCACACCAATGTCTTCGACTTCACACCAATGTCTTCGACGTCCCACCAATGTCTTCGACTTCACACCAATGTCGTCGACTTCAAACGTTCCACTTAACAGCTGAGTGGCTTCTCTGCTGCACACGTTTGCGTCCAAGTTCGAATTGTCGATGCACCAATGTTTTGACACCTCAAACTTGGGTAATTAAACCTTTTATTTAATAAACGAGGCAAGAATAAAATATAAGTAGGTTATAAAACTAACAAAAATACAAATAGAAAAAGCAATAGTTCATAGCGAGCCACAATGTTAATAATGATTGATCATCGTTGTAACACTCACAAATATTGCATCAATGGGCGTGTCTGAACAGTGCTGACGAGCACAGTCTACCTATTGTTTCTCATCAAATTCAAATCGCCGCCACAATTGGGCAATTATAAGTACTTGATGGCCTATATATCATTGTTTGAAATTTTCTATTCATTGATTGATGGCTTCCTCGAGCCCATCATTTATGCGTATAAATCGGCTTTTGTTGTATTCATCGATATCAGAAAATCGATAATGGGCGACGAGCTTAATTATGTTCTACTTGGTAATCCGTTATCATCCAAACGAGTCCAATTTTTTTATTCAGCGATTTACTGCGGCTGCTATGGCTTCTCAATCGCCATGTTTGTGGTTAACTTCATTTACAGATACGCTGCAACTCAAGGGTCTTTGAGAATTAAAGAAAAATATATGAAAAATCAAAATTCAGGCGCAAAATTTTAAAAATCGGGTATGTCAAAATTCAGGCGATATTTGAAGCAGTATTTTCGAGGCGCTTGGCTCTTTTGCTGGCTGACAATCCCAATAATCTATTTGTTTTTTTGGATTTTGATATGCGTTGTATTTTTCCATCATTGGGACCTTCTCATCGATTTCATACGGTTCCTCAAAATCAATTCACGAAATTCATTTATGTCATCCGCAATTCAGAAGACCATTCCGTGAACAATTCGACTTCAATCCCGATAATATTGTCTATATAGGCTCATATATCTATCCAATTGATCGAAACGGCAATCAATACATCAATTATTTTCATACTATCGGTCTATTACTAGCATCAATATTAATAGTGAGATGGCCGTGAGAAAAACCTCGGCCACGGCCATCGAATTTTTTCAGGCATTTTCCGCGTTCTGTGTGATTTTCTTCGGCTCAAAATGCTATATCGTCACTAATAAAGCTTCCGATATGTTGGAGTCGAAATTAAAGAAAAATCTGCATAGCCAGCTATTGTACGCTCTCATTCTTCAAGTATACTGAGCAAATTAATTATCATTTCCATACAACCTAATTATAGACAATTATCCCATTCGCATGTATTTATATTCCACCTTTGATATTTTATGTGACGACGATGCTCGATCAGGATTTCCAGTTTGTCGGTATCATGCTGAATATTACCTTGATGTTTTATCCAGTCGTCGATCCGCTACCCACAATATTCATTGTTAGGAATTACCAATTGGCGACGATTCGATTCCTCAGGAATCTCAAAAATTGCTGTCTGATACGCAAACGTGCTGAAATTCCAGCAGCTCGGGCAGCAATTATAAAACTCAATTCTTCGCTTTCATAATACTTCCATTTAGATCAAATAAAGGAGGTCATTTTATCTCTCTTGAATTTTTTTCTTGAGAAATTTGAATTGCGCGCGCTGCCATTTAATTGGTCCCGCAAAACAAAATCGGCTTGTAATCTGTCATTGAACCATTAAAAAAAATAACCGAAGTAAAATTCGCTCCTAAAAGTTTTTCCATACGAGACCCGAGACGTCAATTCAAACAATTCGACTATATTTCAATCGAAGTAATTAAATTAATTAATTAATTAATTATTGCACCGTACTCGGGAAATTTATCTAAAGTAAAGAAAAAACAATGCACATGCCAAATAACTCAAAGATCGTCAAACTAACCTTATTGGGATAGCGGAAATTAGAAATAACCAACTCCCCCCCCCCAAATTTGCTAATAATAATTATCAAAAGGGTCTCGACACGATGTCATGGAACGAATTACGCGAGAGTTCGCAAAAATTGTGTGCGGTTTTCTCATTTTTCGCCAATTTTTTCCTAATATTTTTGATAATTTATCGATCACCCCCACAATTGGGCAATTATAAATACCTGATGATGTACATTTCAATATTCGAATTATTCTATTCAATGATTGACGCCGTCGCGAAACCCATCATCTATTCATATCGATCGGCATTCGTCGTTTTTATTGATATCGAGAATTCGATATTTTCCCGTCACGTGAATTTGGCTTTGAATGGTCCGTCTCGCAAAAAATGTTTTTTTTTTTAATTTTTTTCGACAGTTTCAGTAGTTTATGGAGGTTGTTACGGATTTGCATTGGCCATATTTGGCGTCAATTTCATCTATCGATATGCGGCAACGCGCGGGTCCTCAAAAATTTCTTGTTATATTGTGAAAAAATGACGAATGTGAAAAACTGCAGCGATATTCTATGCATTGTGTGCGTACACCGAGACGCACATCTCGCTACAGTAATCTCAACTCAAAATTATTTAATCAATTAAAAAAATTTTTTTTTCTGTGTTTTCTTGGCGAATCTATGAATCTTTATGTATATTGTTATGTTTAAAGAGTATAATAGTAATTAGTTTTGTATATTATTCAGAGTTAGTTGTTTTATATAAAAAGAAACGTTCAAAAATTAATTAAATCATTTTTAGTTAAGAGTACTGTAGTTAAGAGCGAGATGTGCGGCTCGGTGTACGCACACAATGCATAGGATATGGCTGCAGTTTTCACATTCCTCATTTTTCCATAATAATTCAATTTTCCAGAAACTCACTAAAGCAATATTTTGATGGATATTCATTCGTTTCATGGCTCACAATTCCAATATTCTATTTTTTCGTCTCGATGATACTATGCGTGACTTGTTGGAAGCCAACCGACGATTTGTCGAATTTCCTACGGTAATTTTTGCACTAACAAGGGAAGTCGTTTGGGGCGTGTATCTTAACTTTTTTTTTCATACTTCACCCACATGTAGGTATGGGTCCGAAGAATGGATCCTACAATTTTGAGCCGTCACTGAGGGCGCCACGTGGAAAAACGGCCAATCAATTTTGCACCTCTAACCATTCCCACTTCTATCGCTTAGTCGTAGTTATGGTAGAGTGGTAACATTTTTCGCTCACGCTTTTGAGGCTCGGGGTTCAACCCCGCACTTTGCCAACGTTTTTGTTGGCTTGAAATCAAAGATTTCTGTTGAAATGTGCGACGAGACCAAACCACGAAATGGAATGTTCCTTTAATTTTTGATGAATATTGATAGGGGCTGGCAACTAGATGACATGTTTAAAGGCTGCTGTCAGTCTGTAAATTTTCAGAGCACCGATTCATGACATGTTTGATATCGACGTCGATAAAACGACATATTTCGGCCATTATTTTTTCCCAGTTGACAAAAATGGACAACAATATATCAATTATTATTCAACAATTGGAATTATTCTATTTTCTTTATTAATAGTATTCATTTAAATATATATATTTTTGAGAAATCACTTATTCTTGGGTTTCAGACGTCGTCAGCCTTCACAGTAATATATTTCGGAATCAAATGCTATTGGAAAACTCGCAACGCCGCCAAATACATGAACTCACGTGTCAAGAAAACGCTCCAAAATCAATTATTCAATGCGCTGGTGCTTCAGGTGCACTGTAGTCTTAATTATGCTAGTTATGCTAATTATAGACGAGCATCCCATTTGCTTTGATGTATGTTCCAGCGGCACTACTCTATACTTTCTGCTTTTTGGATGAGAACATTGAAACTGCCACCAATTTTTTGAATATTTCTATTGCGATTTATCCAGCGATCGATCCACTTCCCACGATTTTCATTGTTCGTGAATACCAAATTGCAAGCATTGGTATTTTTGGATTTTTGTTGAAGAATTATGAATTTTCATTTTTAGAATATGTGAAATTTATTTGGGATGGTTTGCTTCGACGAAAAGCGCCGCAAAAGCCTGTCTGTAATTATTGAGTTTTTATTTTGATTATTGAAAAAATAAATATTTAAATATTTGAGTTATTTATTGCGTCGCGGTGTTTGCGGCAATGCGCGATAAACGACGCCACTCATGTTTTTCATGATTTAAAATTTTTTTCGAACGTTCAATATATTTTCAATTTTCCAATTTTAACTGATAAAACTGAACATTTTTATTTATTTTTGCATTTCGTTTACTCAAAATGTTGTTGTTATTGAAAATCCGATGATCGAAATTGTTTATTGCGCGTTGTAATCGACAAAAACGATCATCGACAAAAGCCAGCCGCATGACCGTTTCGGTGCTCTCCGCAGTTCTAGATCACCAGACACATATAGATATCGTATAGTGTACGCGTGGTCAGAGACGCACAGACGATCAATATAAGCCGTAAACATGCGTCGTGCCTTAGTTGCTGCCGTCGTTCTTTTCAGTTGTGAAATCGTGATGTCTGTAATGACTGGTGGAATTACTGAACAGGATCCATCGAAGCCGGAGCATATGGTAAGTCTTTAAGCTTAATAATTGCGTTTATTTCTTTTCAGTTATGCACTTTATTTTCAAGATGATAGGCTAGGTTATTTCGCAATTTAAAAAATCATTTATAAATGTTTCGTAATATTAGTGTATAAGATTAATTTATTCAATTGTTAGTGGAAAAAAGTGACGATTTGTATTTTCTAATTAATCTTGACATTTCAGGAGACCGCCTGGAAGGCTGTCAGAGGAATAAACGATGAGGCTTCGAACAACGGACCTCATTATTTTGTGCCAATTAAGGTAGACGATATATTAATTTAAAACTTTTCAAATAAACTCTTGATTTTCAGGTCCTTAAAGCCTCGACTCAAGTCGTCGCTGGCCTCAGCACCAAGTTGGAGGTGCTCGCCGGAGAATCCGCGTGCAAGAAGGGCGATCTTCAAGCGCATGAGATCACCAAGTCGAATTGCAATTTGAAGGATGGAGGCTGTCGCGCGGTAAAAATCGCCTTCAGCTCTTCAATGAATGACACAAATACAATTCTAGATCTACGCCGTCAGCCTCTGGGAGAAGCCGTGGGAGAACTTCGAGCAGTTCAACGTCGAGAAGATTCGTGACGTCGAGCCTCATGAGACTTTCTAAATACTTACTATGAATTACATTGACGCATTTGATGGAAAACATTCCTCTAACTTTGAAAAAATGTAAATAAATGAATGACTCATCGATTAAAATCAATTCGCTAAGGAAAATCAACTTTAATTGCAATCCAGCACATGGATTGATCCAAGAAATTTAAATTTTTTTTTCTGCATTTTCCTTTTATGGAATTTTTCTATGGAGAGCTAAACATCGAAGAATTCGCGTTAATTGATTTTGAAAATTCTCTCGTAACTCAAAACAAAATCGAATCCGACAAAATTCGGCTCCGGAACCAACCGGATCGTATTGATAATTTGTTGTATCCGATTCGAATTGAAAAATTAAAACAGAATGGATACGAATAACAATTAAAGACGATTTTACAATCGTATCCGTAGAATTACCTATTGGGTCGGTTTGATTTCGGAGCCGAATTTTGTCGGATCCGATTTGTTTTGAGTTGCCAAAGTATTAGAATAATGTAGTTGAATGTGTGCAATTTTGCGTCAGTGTGTTGGCGGTGTGAATTCGTTTTTTTTTCGAGAAAAATTTGTAGTCAAAATATTCGAAAGAGGAAAAGCGGCTATCAGAATATGACGCTATAAGACGCATATCTTTTTCGCGGGGACGCCAACTCTTTGATTCCCGGGATATTCGTAGTACGGTACGTTTATTTTTATTGCTTAGAACGAAATATCGAAAGCGGTAATTGAAAAAAACAACTCAGAATGCGGTAATTCAAAATTTGGCCTTTAACCGGGTACCGTATTGTTGATAAAATACCAATGAAACTAAACATGTAAGTCGGGGGTCGAAATCGAGCGACTGCAACAAATAGGCTAAGTGTCAAAAATGGCAATCGACGAGACGTGGTGTACGTTGTGTACTCCACACGAACAATACACCACATAGGCATCAGGGCTGTGCGGCAATGGAATTGCCGATTGCCGAAATTGCCGATTTTTCAAATTGCCGAATTGCCGAATTGCCGAAGAGAACGTTCGATCGGCAAATTGCCGAATTGCCGATTTGCCGAAATTTTGATTTTCGGCAATTTGATATCAAAAAAAAAAAATCGGCGAAACCAAAATCAATGTCCATTGAATAATTTGGGATACCGTGAAAATTCGGTATTTATATTTCGAATTATCGTTGAAAACATTTAATAGCCGAAATTTTGATTTTCGGCAAATTGCCGAATTGCCGGATTGCCGAAATTTTGATTTTCGGCAATTTGCCGAAATTTCCGATTGCCGCACAGCCCTGATAGGCATAAATATCCTTCGTGCGTATATCGATTCTGATGTTGCAAGACGTAACAACTCTACAGTAGATCGCGCGACTTGTAACGATGAGAATCATATATAGACAACGTCGAAGTGGATTGAGAAATTGTGCTACTCGAGTGGCCATCCCTTTCGCGACAACATTCTTGCTCCTCCGGATCAGTGCGTGCTCTCGGGAGAGAATTTCCCGAGAATTCCCTAAACTACCCATAAGCAAAATTCTCGTGACTCCCGGAAGCACCGAGAAAATTTCGAAGTTATTCGTCTCGGTAGTTTATGGATAGCCGTACGGGAAAAAAATTTTTCCGAAATCCTGTTGTTGTTTTCGGCTTTCAGATTGACGTTGGCAGGCTCGAGCGATGGTTTCCCAAGTCGAATCCAATCTTTTGTTGAGACTAGCAAAATATCGGCGCCGGTGTCCAATTGCATCTTGAGGTCAGTTCCATTGATGTTCACGTTCTTGAAGATCCGGTTGCTCTCATTGATACATGCGGTGTTGACTGAGATGAGTCCCAGATGTCCTCCTTGGTGTTCTCGGCGGGATTTTGGTTTTCGTCTGCTGTCCGTTCGGTTGTGGTTGCAGTCAGCATTCCAGTGAGGTCCTCTACAATGGTGGCAATGACAATGGTGACATGGTGATGGTGGTTTCTGTTGCGTTGTTGGCTGTTCTGGTCGTGGTTCGAGTGTCCTCGCCTTTGGGGTCGAGGTACTTCTTGACGTCGTTGATCGTTTTTGGTGGTGGTCCTCTCTCGACATAGCGAAGATGTGCTGAGGGTCGCACTCGGCTTTGACTCCAGTTGTTGCAAAGCCCGGGTGCGTACATCCAGGAATTCCGGTCCGCTGAGACCCTTGCTCCAGACGAGAATCTGGGTTTGCTCCGGCGTCGTCGTTGCCCATTCTGCTTGCGCGAACTTCCTCTTGATTTGGCCAGTGTATTGAATAAGATCCGAACCAGTGAATTGTGATTGCAGGAATTCGGCGTCGAAATACAGACTTCGAGTGTCCAAAGAGAGTCATGAGTCGGGTGATGGTCACTTTGAGCGTCAGATCCGATGGTTTGGCAGGATATTGTCGGCGTACTTGGCAAAAGCGGGGGCATCGAGCTTTGATAGGATGATTCTGGTTTGGGTGCCGTCGTCCAATGTCGATCCATCCAGTCGCAGAACGTCCTCGTACCGTGAATACCAGGTTTCGAATGTGGTTCCTTCATCCCGATCGAAGGAGAATGTCGGTAGTCGAGTCGTCATAGAGTCGATGAGTCCGGTTTGGGTGGTTGGTTGTCAGTTTCATTTTTCGGATAATCTGCAGTTTAATAGGTTACGTTGTCTCGTTCAGTTAATGCTGTCTACAGTTTGATTGATGCACGTCCATTCGATGTTTCGGAAATGACGAATCTTGCTATTGCATCATACCATGAAATTCAAGGAAACCCCTTCCTTCGGAGCGATTTTTGCTGGACGCATTCCTTTAGATGAACTTTGATAATGGTGCTTCTGAACGGAGAGGCGGCTACCATTACTTGAAAAGACAAGATATCAGACTGAAACTTGAATCAATAATAAAAAATGAAATAATCTTTTTAAAAAATTAAATAGCTCTCCAGAAAAGAGTACTGTAGACGCCAGATCTCAAGCAAAGTTGCGGCGCTATATTTATGCCCCATCCTGTACGTATAGTTCCATTTAGTACATTTCCCCCATAGATTTTTTTGTGTTTTTTGTGTGTGTACCGCCCACCAACAAGTCAGTGGGGCACGCTCTCCGGCTTCGGGGTCGACTGCTTCGGCAGCCGGGTTCAGAGTCGGATACCCATCCTCCTCTTCTTATATTCATAATAAAACATTATATTATATTCGCGTCCATTATTCCGCATATTCCCACTGTACCTGGGGCAAGAAGTACCAGCTACTCTTGCCATAAATAACCGCCAAGGCCTAGCGCGTAACACATCAGATATTTCCAATTTTCCAATTTTGGCGGATAAAACTGAATTTTATTAACGTTCCGAAAATCCAACGATCGAAATTGTTTATTGCCAGACGCATGACCGTTTCGGACCTAGATCAACAAAGAGACATGTATATCTTATAGTGTAAGCGTGGACAGAGACGCACAGACGATCAATACAAGCCGTAAACATGCGTCATGCCTTAGTTGCTGCCATCGTTCTTTTCAGTTGTGAAATCGTGATGTCCGTAATGACTGGTGGAATTACTGAACAGGATCCATCGAAGCCGGAGCATATGGTAAGTCTTTAAGCTTAATAATTGCGTTTATTTTTTTTTAGTTATGCACTTTATTTTTAAGGTAGATTAGGTTATTTTGCAATTTAAATAATTATTTATAAATGTTTCGTAATATTAGTGTGTACGATTAATTTATTCAATTTTTAGTGGAAAAAATGGCAATTTGTATTTTCTAATTAATCTTGACATTTCAGGAGACTGCCTGGAAGGCTGTCAGACATATCAACGACGAGGCGTCGAACAACGGACCTCATTATTTTGTGCCAATTAAGGTAGACGATATATTAATTTAAAACTTTTCAAATAAACTCTTAATTTTCAGGTCCTTAAAGCCTCGACTCAAGTCGTCGCTGGCCTCAGCACCAAGTTGGAGGTGCTCGCCGGAGAATCCGCGTGCAAGAAGGGCGATCTTCAAGCGCATGAGATCACCAAGTCGAATTGCAATTTGAAGGATGGAGGCTGTCGCGCGGTAAAAATCGCCTTCAGCTCTTCAATGAATGACACAAATACAATTCTAGATCTACGCCGTCAGCCTCTGGGAGAAGCCGTGGGAGAACTTCGAGCAGTTCAACGTCAAGAAGATTCGTGACGTCGCGCCTCATGAGACTTTCTAAATGCTTACCATGAATTACATTTGATGGAAAACATTCCTCTAACTTTGAAAAAATGTAAATAAATGAATGACGCATCGAGAAAAATCAAATCGCATAAGACAATCAACTTAAATTACAATGAGAAATTTGAGTTTTTTTTTTCTGAATTTCCCTTTTATGGAATTTTTGTTCCATGAAGAGCTGAAAATCGACAAAATCGATTTCTGAAAATAATAGAATACTGTATTTGAATGTGTGCAATTTTGCGACAGTGTGTTTGCGGAGTGAATTCGTTTTTTTTTTGAAAATTTTTTAGTCTAAACATTCGATTTAAAAAATGAAACCTGTAATCGAACTAAATATTTCAACAATATTTGATGCTCTTGAAACGAAATTCAAAAAAAAAACCGTTACCTTTTCTCTTTTTTCGAGTAAAGCCATCTCCTTCTTTCTTTACCTCTGCAACTCATTTGAAATAAACCTGACGTGATCTATGTACAAAATTTGATCAAAAGCAAATAAACCGAAGTTTATTTTCATTTTTTCTATTGACATCTGCATTTTCTTCAAACTACAATCTTTTGGTGAGATTTTTTTTGAATTTGATATTTGCGATCAAGATAAGGGATAACCAATTAATAATTAAAAAAAATCCCGAGCCGAATGTTGTCTTGAGATTAAAATTTGGGTTGGCAACAAATTAAGAAATCGGCGTTTTTTTTTCAAAAATTCGAAGACTTGAAAAATTTCTTTTTTTTTTCAGAAGGATACTGCATATATGCCTATACTCGCACGCAAAATTGCACAGATTTGATTATTATTTAACGAATTCTCTTTTTTTAATCGGTTTCACAAAGAAAAACGGCTATCAGAATTTTACACTGCGAACGCGTTTTTTTGGGAAACAGACTATAAAAATGATATTTTTGAGAAAAAAAAAGTTCAAATTTTAGTTCAATTAATTGCTCAGCATCTCTCAACAACTTTATACTCAGCAATTAGAAAAAAAAACAAAAAACGCTGTTCGTCCCAAATGTTTTTTGGACTACGACACTCCAAATGCACATTGCCCTCGATTAACCGTAAATCGATTTACGGTCGGTCGGTGTCAGATTTTCTGCCGTCTTCCTGTTGTTCCACGCTTCTTCCCCAGTTGTGCCAGCAGTGTTTCTGCCACCATTGTTCCTCCATTTTTTTCGCCCCGGTTTCGCCCGCTCGGTTTGCTGAGTTATTATGGATAATTTGAAAAAAAGAAACAGCATAAAATATAAAAAATCTTGTTTTTTATGTATTGCGATTTCTGTCACTCACACGACCATCTCCTTGGTGTTGTGGCTAAAATTTATTCTAAGGCATAGTTTATTCAAATCGTGTCTAGACGGCAATTTTGATCGTCTTGTCAAGTTGTGTCAACGAAATTTCGATTTTAGGCATGTTCTTTTTGAATGTTCGAATATTAAAAACATAATTAAAAGAGAATTTAATTTCTGAATAGAAGGTTTCAAAATTTTCCGCAATAAAAAAGGAATCATGGGACTCTTGACGGCAATTTTTGGCGTCTAATCAGGAAAATTTCGAAACTCGAACGCGTCGCCGTGTGATTCATCGTCCGATTCAATTCCGTATTCGAGTCATCATTGTTTGCTCTGTAATAAAGTTCGAGATTTCGCTCTCTGCTTCTCTTGCCATTGACACAAATCACGACATTCGTGAATTTGATAAGCCGCCAAAGTTCTTTTCTGACCCCCATTGGCAAATAGTATAAAAATGTGAAACCCGATCGTCATTTGTTTGCATTATTGGTGCCAATTACTAGCACCCAAATGCTCATTGAGATTCTACAAGAAATCGAAACATTTTTCGTCTTAATTATTACTTAACAATTAAAAAAAAATCACATAAATTTGAGTAATTGCAGACCATCGAATTATTTTTTGGGGGGCGGTAATTCAAATTTCGTTTTAATCACCTCCGTAAATTTACACAAGATGCTCGTTTTCTTCACGAGATATCGAAATTTTCAAAAAATCGCCCACAATTATTTCAGGCAATGAGCCTGTTTAGTCAATTAAGGCTTCTCCTTTGGAAGAACCTTCTACAACAAATCCGATCGCCATGGTTTGCCTTATTTGAACTAATTGTGCCTCTCATACTTATTGGCGCCTCATTTGGAATGCTTATCGGGGTGGGTTCGAAATGTTGCAACGAACGCAGCACAACACGAAAAATTTGATAAATTCTGCTTCTTAAAATTTCGGCTAATATATTTTTTTTTGAGAAAAATCGCTAATAGATCATTACAAAAAAGCTTATGCCAAATTTTCTTCAGAAAGTGTCAGCGAAAAATCTTTAAAACAACCTTTTAAAAAAAAAGTATAGACTAATTCTTTTCAAGACCACCGCCAAAATTTCTTTGCGCCTTTAAATTACGGTAGCCAAATATCAATTTTTATTTTTGCAATTTTTGGCAAATTCTTTTTTTTTCTTCGCCAAAAGTCCAAATTTTTCCTTTTCAGTTTTCTGGCAAATTTCAAAAATCCTACGAAAAACGCGAATATCCTGCATGGCTCGTGTCGGGAAGCGCCTATGATCTCATTATTCCAACAAACCCAAATGACTCAGACGTAAGTTCAGAGATTGCAGCACATAAAAACGTAATAAACGTGGTTTTATCATTAGCACATTTTTTGAATCCATTTCAGAAAATAGATATGACGTTTTTATTAATGTGGAGAAGTTCGCACCACGATTTATGATCTTTCTATGGAATGTTCTTTGAATTCAAGAAATACGTTACAGAGCTCTATTGTGGCGGGCCAATAGTTCTTCGCTACCAATTTTTCGCTCCGCTACCGGTTTTTCACTACCACATTTTCGCTACCGAAAAAATAGTTTTTTCACTACCGTTTTTCACTACCGTTTTTTCACTACCGATTTTTCACTACCGTTTTTCACTACCGATTTTTCACTGCCGATTTTTCACTACCGATTTTTAACCACTGTTTTTTCACTGCCGATTTTTAAATTTCTCAATTTCAAAAAAAGAACAATTTACACAAATAAAAGGGTATTCATCGAAAAAAGGGGTGGAGAGGAAATATAATATAGAACAAAAAAGGGCAAAAAATCATTCAATTTTTAAATTAACCTGATGGCTTCTGTCTTCAAAAGATCTTTAAAAATTCTTAAGAAACTATATTATGTTTTCTTTATATATACACCTCGATTAGCTGGTATTATTTAAAATTTGAGATGAAATCCTATGAAGTAGATAATTTATCCAAGTTCGTGCGCGGTTTGTCGTATTATCTCTGCGACTCATTCATAGTTATTATCGGGAACTTTCAAAAATTGTAGAAGCTGCAAAGCTTTCAAACTATTAATCTACTTGTCACGAACCCACTTCTAACGTTATTAAAAAATTATTTCTTTTCAGTTTTATCTAATTGCTAAGAGTTGATAGAAAATGATTGCGAGACCATTTCGAAAGACGCATTCCCGTAAATCTACCAGCCGCCGGACGTCGACTATATCTGAAAAATTATTTTTGAATAAATAACACAAGTACGAAATAATAGAAACACAAATCAAAAGTGAAACAGCGATAAAAAATTCAGTAACAGCAAATATATATTTTTTAATTTCGATTCCTGATTTTTGCCCAAATTCTCGATAAAAAACACTTTCATATTAGTTTTTGCTTAATATATAATTTTAAAAAATAACTTTTAATCAAAAAATAATATAGAAAAGAAGAAAAGTAAGCAAAACATTAAAAACAATGGTTGTAGGATAAAAATAGAATACGAAAATAAAAAAAATCGCTGCGCGGAGTACGGTAACCGGTGCAATTATTATTGCGAATACATTCGTCGTGCAGTGTTTGCGGATTGCTTATTTTTTGACATTTCGAAAATATTTTTGGCCTAAATTTATTTTTTATGGATTTAGTTTCAGATTTTACCTGCATTAAACATTATACTTAATTTTAAAAAAAAGTACATTTTTCAGAATGGCGTTTATTTCAAGCGATATATCTTCGAAGTCAACCAAAAGAGACTTAATTTCCATTTGGAACGGAATAGAGAAGCTTGAATCCTCTGAGAGGTATTTCGTCAGAGTTTTTTTCTCACTATTTGGACTTTTAGAACACTATTAACGATTGACGACGTTGCTAAGGAAATCAGAGGGGATTGGAAAGGCAGAAAATGCTTTGTTGTAGATAAAAGTAGCTATAATGGAAAACCGTTAACATACGACGGCTTAAAATGGTTTAGACAAGTTCAAGGTTGAAATTTGTTTCATTCGTCATAATCGCTTGCCGTTTAGGAGAAAAAAAAATCGCTCCGAAGTATCGGCAATGGAATGAAAATGGACGTGTTTATGGAACAATCCAGTGCAGATCGCCGTCCACTGCGAGTTTCAGAAAAACTGTATGCAAATTTCTCTCGCTTTAGTTATCAATATAAAAATAAAATATTTGCAGGTAGTTTATATGGACGATTCGACTTTTGTTATCGTCGACTATCACCGCGATGAAGAACGAATTAGCTTGGATTTTGATATTCATAGGATGACAGGTTATTATTTTTTTTCTTTTTGTTAGATATATTATATTTTTTTAGCCTCAGAAGTTGATATCGTTCGAAGCGAACTGATTGGGAGGTCTGTAAAGAGTGCATATGAAATTCTACATAAAAAAGGCTTCAAGTTCTCGCTTGAGCAGGTATAAACACATTTTAAATCTTAAATAAGTTGAAACCTGCATGTTTAAGGTGAGGAACCAAAGGAAACACGTACCTGAATCGATTGGCTGCAATCGAGGCGTCAAAGCTATTGCCACCACATCCGAATTAGGAAAAATAGCGAGAAACGTTCCGAATGCAAAGTACAGCGTATTTGAGTGTAAGATTTTCGTTTCGTAATGACAAAAAGAAAATACTTTTGCAGGTAACGGTGGAATGGTAGATTGTTTGTCGGTTATTCTTGATGAACCCTTTCGGATTGTCTTAAACTGTTTACCGACTACTAACGAGTACGAATCTCACCTGAGATTGTTCGAAGACATAAACGAAAATAATAAAAAGGAACATATCCAATCACTATTAGGTATTCGATTAGTTGAAATATTTAAAATATAAATTTGTCCTTTCAGAACAATGGAAAGTTTCAAACGATGATGGATTTTTGTTCAGTGGTGTCACTCAGCTGGATACAACATTCGGATTGAGCGAGTTGTATGTCACTTTAATGTGCACCACAGTAAAGATATTCAAGTGAGTTTCATTGATGATTATTGTTCTATTACAATTTTAAACTATTACAGGTCGAAAAAATCAAAAAAAAAAACCGAGAACTATTGTCATTAGCTATTTGTTGCACTCGAAAAAGACTATGGAATGCCACAAGTTTCACGCAAACCATGTGAACGAATACCTGCAGAAGCAAGGTTTCAAAAATGACCGCGTTGTGCCTGGATTCATCACGGACGGTGAAAAATCCTTTGAGGAATATTACAAGGTTTGAATGAAACCTTTCATTAATTTGAATGATCAAACGCGTTTACCATTTTTATCTTAGAGCGAAATTTTTAAAAATAAGCAAACAATTAACTCGCACCCACAAAAAACTAAAAACTTTTTGTTTTTGATTGTTTAACTTCGTTTTTATAGACAATCCCACTTTTTCGTAATTCACAACGTCTGCGTTGTGATTTGCATCGCATGGCTAATTTTGAAAATTCGATGTCCACAACGGATAAAACAACTCGCGCTCGACTGACCAGAATGGTTTTTGGTGAGGTACGTGGTTTTAATAATCAAATTTATGTTACCTCGGATAAAATAATTGGTAGCAATTTTTTTTAGATCTTATCTACAGTAACCTCAACTAAAAATGATTTAATTAATTATTGATAGTTTATTTTTATTTAAAACAATTAACTTTGAATAATATACAAAAATGATTACTATTACATTTTTTCAACACAATAATATACATAAAACCATAAACTCGCCAAGAAAACAGCGAAAGAAATTTAAAAAAATATATAATAATTGATTAAATAATTTTCATTTGAGATTATTGTAACTAAGATTCTAAAATTACTGTAGCGACTCGGTGTACGCACGAAATGCTTAGGATATCGCTGAAGTTTTTCACATTCGTCATTTTTCCACAATACCTGGCAAATCAATCAACATTATATTTCAGACATCACCTTCGAGGATTAAATGTGGATTGCTAGGCGCAGTAACCGAAATTGAATTCAATTCCAAACTCGCAAAACTCACGTCAATGATAAGCGATTCCGGTGCTCTTAAATGGTAAAGAAGCAAAAATATTCTATTTTAAATTATGTTACATAAAAAATTATGATATTTACAACAAAACATAATTTGATATATTTAGTCTTTTTTCCGAAAAATAACGCGGCTTCTAGAATTACTCAAATATACTACTACATATAAAAAGAATATCTACTACATATAGATGTCATACTTGACGCCCCTTGACTGGAAAGTACATTTTTTGTTCATTCACATCGGCTTTAGCCCCACTTGGCCAGTGCCCAGTTTTTTAATGGTAATAAAAGCTGCTTAAATAACTGCAATTTTGCGTTAAGTTTACACCATCGCGTAAATTTTGAACTGGTTTAGGCTATCAACTGAAGGTCAGAGCCTTTTTCGTGAAAACGGGCTGTTAACGCGCTTGAAATCTGGATGGTGGCAGCCGTTCGTATCCACAAATCTAATCGAAAATTTAAACAGCCGATTACGCCATGAAATCCCTAATTCGATGAGGGCTGACCAACTTGCATTAAAGCTTATTAAAGTTTTTGGAGGTTTCTAACATGCAATTTTAGCAAAACCTCAAAAAAAAGTAATTCAGATGATGTAGATCATCTATACCAAGCTGTTTTGGCCGAAGATCAATTGGTTGTGTATTCTCGAAAAGACGAATTCAATTTTCTTTCGGAAAGTGAAAAACGGACCAGGCTTAAGGAATTGGGGTTCCAAGAACGGTCAACTGTTGCCATACCTCCCTATTTTCAGCAATGTAAGAAAAATAATTTTTCTATGAATTTTATTTACGTTTGATTACAGCAAATCCACCGAAACATCTTTACGAATTAGAGCTAGCTGCTAGAAAACTCGAATTGTATTCTATAGAATGTGGTTATTTTATAAAAAGTGAAACGTGGGTTTTACGTTTCTTTTAGTTATTCAATTATATTCAAACTCTTTTTAGTGAAATATCTGAAGTTAAATGTTCTGATTCTTTTTTCGAATGTTGCAAAAAGAATTGCCAAGCGAAACTTCCTAAGATTTGTGAGCATATGTATGTTGTTTTCAGTAATCTTCTAAAGTAAATCCTTATAATTTCAGTTTTTTTGTTTTAATATCAATGGAAAAGGAAGAAAGAGCCCTTAAGTTCGATTTACTGCAGTCGAAATGCCTCGAATTATCTGAAAGAAGAATGATTAAGGCATCACGCACTGCAAAAACTGGAAAAAAATCTTGTCCTAGAAAGAGGAGTGCGCTGAGCAAGATGAATGGAGTAAGACAACTTCAGTCGATTTCTAAGTATGTTTTTACTTCATATAATTGTATTTATTGATATTTTTAGTATTACGATCTTTGACGATTCGTCAATAAGTAATGATTTCGAACCAATTTTAACAAGTACGAGAAATGAAGAGAGCGTGGAGTCTTTGGAAAGTACATCATACGAAGAATATGGGTAATAATAAACCGACGTAAATATAACAAATGTCAATATGTCTTCAGAGAAGTTGAATCGACACAGAGTAGTCTTTTTAGACGTCCACAACGAAATAAACGAAGGCGCCGATCGTTCTCCCCGTTTTAATATTTTTTTAGTTATGCTGTTTGGCCCCTTTTTTGTTCTATATTATATTTCATCTCCACCCCTTTTTTCGATGAATACCCTTTTATTTGTGTAAATTGTTCTTTTTTTTGAAATTGAGAAATTTAAAAATCGGCAGTGAAAAAACAGTGGTTAAAAATCGGTAGTGAAAAATCGGCAGTGAAAAATCGGTAGTGAAAAACGGTAGTGAAAAATCGGTAGTGAAAAAACGGTAGTGAAAAACGGTAGTGAAAAAACTATTTTTTCGGTAGCGAAAATGTGGTAGTGAAAAACCGGTAGCGGAGCGAAAAATTGGTAGCGAAGAACTATTGGCCATTGTGGCGCCATACTTTCTACAGGGTGTCATTTAAGTTCCCGCACAAAAGTTTGACGCCATGTAGAGCTTCGCTAACGCACTTTTCGTACACCAATACAATTTATTTTTATTGAACAAGGTATATTTTACTTACTTTCCAAGTTTCACCTCATTCGGATGTGCTTCCGAGAAACGGCGAAGGCTAACATCCATCGCGCTTCCATTATCGAACTTCATAAGCAAAATGTGAGCCCGAGAGACATCATTCAACGGGTCGGTGTGCCTTGTAGAACGGTTTATGACACCATCAAACGATTCAAGGAGCTAAATACGACCAGTGACCGTCCCAGACAAGGAAGACTCGTCTCAGTAACCACTCCTCAGAAGATCAACGCCGTCAAATCGAGGATCAGCCGAAACCCCCACAGGAGCATGAGAAAGATAGCGTCAGACATGGGAATGAGCATCTTCGCTTTGGAACAAATCGTCAAAACGAAGCTTGTACTGACCCCATATCGTGTCCAAAAAGCGGCAATTCTATCGGCCGTCAACAAGCAGAGACGCTTCGAAAAAGCAAAACGACTTCTTGCTCGCACGCGGTCTGGACAAGATCTCGTCACTGTCTTCTCCGACGAGAAGCTATTCACTGTGGAGACGGCATTCTACTCACAAAACCATTGAGTACTTGCCCAGACATCCCAGCAAGCTTCTGAGAAAGGAAAAACAATTAATCGAGCCCTACATCCTGCCAGTGTGATGGTTTTCGGTGCCATCTGCTCAACCGGGATGTGCCCCCAGGATTTCGTGGATCAGGGAGTGAAAATGAACAAAGAAGTCTACGTTCGGGACATTTTGGAGAAGCATGTGTTGCCCTGGACCCAAACGCATTTCGGTGGGCAGATATGGGTCTTTCAGCGGGACGGAGCACCCGCCCACACTGCCAAAACTACTCAGGAGTGGTGCCAGACCCATTTTCCCGACTTCATCAAGTCATCCGAATGGCCTGCTTGCTCCCCAGACCTGAACCCGCTTGACTTCTCCGTGATGGGGTCTTGCAGGAGAAGGTCAACGCAAAACCCCACTCAAGTGTAGAGGCTCTGAAGAGGACATTACTGGCGGAGTGGGACAATCTTTCCATCGAATACCTGCGTACCACAGTCACATCCTACCCGATGCGTCTCCGTGAAGTCATAGCTGCGAAAGGAGGCCGAATCGAAAAGAGTTAATAGATAATTATTTGTTGTACTATAGATAAATAATATTTTGAGTCTCGTTTGATTTGGACTTTTAGTTTCAGAAATATACGTCTTCAAAGTTGTGCGGGAACTTAAATGACACCCTGTATATAACTACACTCCTAATTGCGAGTTCCTTCAAATAACCAATCAGACAGGTCCCAATGGAAGTATTCAATATACACTTGATGTTTCGCTGGCATATTCGCCGAGAAACGCACAAACCACTGACAGAATCATGAAAATTGTCGAGGAAAGGTACACCATCGACGACGTGTTCACAAAAATCAAGCCATATGTCAAAAGCCCACTATTCAACGGAATTCTTCCGCAATTCGATACTCGAATGACCGTAAAAGGTATATACACAATGATTTTCTTTTTCGTTTAACAAACGCATAGATTTGAAGGTTTTGATACCGAGGAGCAACTCGTCAAATATATGAATGACGAATTCCAAAGTCAATGCGGCAACCCTTTACTAGGTACGTTATCAAAACGAGGGGAATGAGCGCGACAAGCGATACCTAAAAATGCGTATCAAATTTCATTGGAACCAAACACAAATAATAATGCATATTTCAGCTGGAATTGTGTTCGATGACTCAATTAGTAAAGGATTGACTACTGGGAACAATTTCAAGTACACAATTCGATTGTCAAATACTCATCGGCGTCGGGGCGATGTGGGGCGGAATGCAATGGAATCGTTGACTGAAATTGTTTCAGGGTGTTAACGAAGATTCTTATCCATGGTCGACTGATACAATATTTGGGGTGCAAATCGTCAGCGGACCTATCAATCCAGATGATGTTGATGGAGGAAATCCAGGTAGATTCTGCTGAACGTTCAGAAGTTTTCCATAGGCTTAATGTTGAAGGATACTGGAAGGAAGGGTATGTGACAATTGAACGCGCAGTGGATGTTGCGATTCAAGAAATTCTAACGAAACAGAAATCTGCCGATCCCGTACAGGATTCGTATTTGGTGTGAGAAAAAAAATATATTAGATGTCCCTTACAATGGAGGTCATTTATGTGGCTATCGGCTCTTTTCTTCTTCGAAAATTTTTTAAGATGTCTAAAAAACTTTGATCTGAAATTTTTGGTAGGTCCGTTATGCTATGGGTTCGATACCTCAAATTTTTTACAATCGTCCTAGAATCGCATTTTAACTTTAATTGTTAAAATCCTGGACCCACATGTCTAAAAATTGATGCAATTGTTAAGTAAGTTTAGATTGTCTTCAAATTTACCCAATGGGTCTTAAAAATGCATGGAAATAACAAACTATTTAAAAAATTTTGGCAAAGGTCTTAGCACGATCACAATTTCAGCTCGGTCGTACTCCATTCCCTGGATATACCACAAAAATAATTGAAATTGGAAACTTCTTTCTTCCCGTTATCATCGTATTTTCATTTATGACAAGTGTGATTTACATTGTGAGAACGGTTGTGATGGAAAAAGAGGATCGATTAAAAGTAAGTCGAGTTTGAAATTTTTCTATGAGCTGAAATTGACAATCAAGGAGTACATGAGAGTTATGGGACTCTCGCAATTCGTCAACTGGATTGCTCATTTCATTATCAACTATGTCAAAATTCTATTTGCTGTCATCATCCTCACAGTTCTTCTTCATTTCATCGCTGAGAAGTTGGATGTCGTCTTTTTTTTTCAATTCTCTTAACCCCATCATTCCAGCTCTGATATGACAGTGATGTTCTTGTTCTTCATGACCTACGCATTTGACGTCGTCTACTTCTCGTTCGCCATTTCAACGTTCATGAACTCGGGAACATCGGCGACACTTCTCGCCGTCGTCTTCTGGATGCTCTTTTATTTTTGGCTCGCGTTTTTCAGCTCCACCGATAGCACGGCACCATCTGATGTTGGCGTTCGAATCATCAACTGCTTGAATCCCGATATCGCCATGTACTTTGGTCTCAATCTACTCGCTGCCTATGAGACATCTGGTAACGTTTATCGCGATCGATTGCTTCGAGTAATTCTACGATTTAGGCAAAGGATTGAAGTGGACGAATATATTTAAAGCGCCGTCTCCTAACAACGGTATGACATTCGCGCACGCCTGGATCATGATGATCATTGATGGATTCATCCTTATCATATTCACATGGTACGTCGAAGCGGTGTTCCCCGGAGGCGAAGGAGTCCCTCAGAAGCCATGGTTCTTCGTCTTAGTGAGTTTAACCGGATTCAACTAAATCATAGAATTATCTCTAGCCATCCTATTGGTTCCCGTATGGTCATGATCAGCAAGTGCCACTCTTACAACAAGAGATGAATGAGTATAAACATTATGAGGAGCATGTGAGAATCGAGAATGAGCCTAATATGGATCCAACTGTTAATATCGTCAATGTTTCAAAAACCTATGGTACGTCGTTCTTCAAAAAGCTGTTCGATTGCAAATTTGGCAAAAGCGGCGAGAAGCGGGCTGTTCAGAACTTGAGCCTGAAAATGTATCCCGGTCAGTGTACGGTACTTCTTGGGCATAACGGAGCCGGCAAGAGCACCACGTTCAGTATGCTGACCGGTGTCGGAGCGCCGACTAATGGAACCGCTTATATCAACAATTATGATGTGCGGACGAATATTCCGAGTATTCGGAAGCAGATGGGATTGTGCCCGCAGTACAATACACTGTTCGATAAGTTGACCGTCATGGAGCATTTGGAATTCTTCGCGAAACTCAAAGAACGTCGTTGGGATCCGGAAGAAGCTCGCGAGATGCTTGAACGATTGCGGATCGAGTTCAAAGCCGACGCGATGGCAGGAACATTGTCGGGTGGGCAGAAGCGGAAGTTGTCTTTGGCGATTGCTCTCATCGGCGGTTCGGAGATTGTGATGTTGGATGAGCCGACGTCGGGAATGGATCCCGGCGCTCGACATGAGACTTGGACGCTGATTCAGAGAGAGAAAGAGCGGCGCACGATTCTACTCACCACTCACTTCATGGAAGAGGCTGACCTCCTCGGCGATCGGATTGCGATCATGGCGCACGGCAAATTGGAGTGCTGCGGCTCGCCGATGTTCTTGAAGCAGCAATATGGGAATGGATACCATTTGACGATTGTGTACAAGACAAGCGAGCAAGCGGACATTCAACGGACCACGAAAATCATTCAGCGATACATTCCCGACGGCTCGCTGCATTCGTTTGTCGGACAAGAAGCGACCTATCTCCTGAACGCGAAATATCGAGGATTGTTCCCAGAAATGTTTAGTGAGTTGGAGAAGCATCAAAACGAGTTGGCGATCACCTCGTTCGGAGTTTCGATCACCACAATGGAAAAAGTGTTTCTGAAGTAATACTCGACTCGTTTCTCACGTTGGCCAATGTTTAAGAGTTTTATTTAAAATTTCAGAGTGGGCGATTTGGCTGAGGAGCGATTCATGAAGGAAGAAGGAATTTATGATGAGGATAATGAGATGCTAGCCGAAAATGATCCGCAATTAAAAAGTGAGATCCCTATTATTTCATTAAATATTTAGTTTTTAATCATCTAGAATTTAAAATTTGATGTTTAGAAGACAAACATTAATGTAAAATTGCCTAATTCCAAATATAAAACGCTTAAAACGAGAATTTGAGGAGTTTTTTGGTTATTTTAATTTTGCAAAATAATTGCTTTTTGATACGCTGATTGAAGGAACTGTCAGCTGCGTTTTTTTCCACAGACGGACAAAATTTGAGAATTTCTAGATCTTCGCTCGAATCGGCGATTAACTGGAATTCATCTGCAATGGCAGCACGCCAAAGCGATGTTCATCAAAAGGGCAATCTACTTTTATCGAAAATGGACGCAATTTATTCCGCAACTGATTTTTCCGGTAAATCTTGATTTTTTTGTTGAACAATAACTTCTTGCCAGTTTTCCGTGAATTACGTGCAATTTTACTGTTTCCGTTTAACGGAAGTAGTTATTTCCGTGCAATGTCAATAAAATTTGATATTTTCTTTAAAAATCAAAAAAAAATTATCTGAAAATTTCATTTTTTCGATTCCGAAATTACGAAAATTATAATTTCCGCTTGACGACGGAAACTGGATTTAAATACCGAAACAAGCTTCTTACTAGGTGGCTTATTTGATTCTAATGGTATCCACTTCCACAATCATACCCGCTGTGAAAGAGCAGGATCCGCGAGAGATCACACTCGATCCATTCGCCACTAACGACGATCCGGGACACGTGATTTCGTCGAATGTCAATTATAATGGAGATCCACTTCCAAAGTAAGTAACATATATATTTGAACCGGATTCTCATTATCTCTAGACTGCTCAATGACACTGTTCATGCGTTGAGCTCGAAGGCAATTCTAGTGGACGCCGTGCAAAACGTCGAGAACTTCATCATTGACAAAATCAACGCTCTCGGCGCCCGCTCGTTTGGCCTTCATTATCCATTGGCGTTCGATCCCGCACCAAATAATTTGGGGATTGTTCAACAAGGTGCCTTGTTGATGAAAGGCAAGTGCTGGGGGCGATGTTGAAATTCGAAATTTTGCTCTTCAGCGCTTTTCAACAATTTTGGACTCTATTCGCCGGCTCTTGCGATCACCGTAGCGGACTCGATGTCGTTGTCGCAGAAGATGAACAAATCTTATACTTTTACGGTTTCGCGGTTTTGAAAGGAAGATTTGAGTTTTATTTTTCAGTCTGTCAATCATCCATTGCCTCCTTCAACGCAAGACACGTTGAAAACTACAAATAGCTCGGACGCTGCCTCATTTTTGCTTTCATATGGAATAATTGGTAAGTTTCGCGAATTTCTTTGAAGCCTAATTGATTAAGCTCAATTTGTCGTCAGAAAAAAAGCGTACTAAATTTTTAAAAAGTCATTCTCGAGTTTTTGTTTTGTCTTTTAAAAAGCTACCATTCAGTGAGCATGGCTGCGATGATTGCCGGCTACTCGCAATTTCTGATCACCGAGAGGAAGAAGAAGAGCAAACACATGCAGCTTCTTTGCGGTGTTCGTCCATGGATGTACTGGATGACAGTATTCGTTTGGGACGCCGTCTGGTTCATTATTCGCGTCATCTGCTTTGATATCATCTTCTATATATTCGATATCAAGGTTTCTTCTCCAAACGATTGAAAACGTCTGACATTTAAAGGTTTATACTCATGACTTTGGCGTTATTCTGATACTGACACTCGCGATGATTTTGTACGGCTGGACAGCGATCCCATCGACATATTTTCTTCAAAATTATTTCACGAACGCCCCAAAAGGATTTATGCTGATTATTATGTATCATATTCTCACAGGCACGTCAAACTAGACTTCTGTCGAAAATTGGGCGTTTTTAGGCATGATCGGTTCGATTGCGGTTCCGATCATTTCGCAGACGTCCAGCGAGAATGCTGGCTATACTTGGGCAATCGTCTTCGCCTGGTTTTTTCCGACGTTCGCGATTTCCAACATTTTCACTGTGGTGAGTCGACATTTTGTTTTGAAAACGAAAGATTTAAGAAAATCGGGCATTATTCAGACGTATTCCAATGAGAATATTCGTCAAGCTTGCATGAAGCTCGATTGCTCGAATCCGATCTTCCAGAAAAACGCGGCATGTTGCGGAACGAGCGACGAGAGGCTCTATGTGGACAATGTGTTGCTCTCGGCGAATCGCAAAGGAATTCTAGTGTTCGTCGCATTTTTTGTTGTTCAGGGATTCCTCTACTGGATAATTGTCTACATGAAAGAGTTGGACATGTTCGCCAAAATCATCGAACGAGTGAAAAACCGAAAATCGGTCAAAGTAATTTCTTTTGTGTTGATCCTCAATTAAAATGAGTGTCTATGTGTGAGCAGGTTGCCAATGGTGCTCTCCAATCGGGTGGCGTCGAGGATTCTGATGTGATCGCCGAGAAGCACAAGGTTTCGACATTAGTCGGAGACAAATCGGTGGCGCTGGTCAGCGATAACCTCGTGAAATGGTACGGCAGCTTCAACGCCGTCAAAGGCGTCAACTTCCATGTTATGAAAAAGGATTGCTTCGGACTTCTTGGTGTTAATGGAGCTGGAAAGACATCAACATTTCAGGTAGGCAGATATTTAGAGATTTTGTATGTTTCTAAAAATAAGCGGGTGTCTGCTGTATGCAGTCAGTCGCGTTGCGGTTCGCGTGCGGTCAATTGTTTCCTTTTCTTTTTTTTTTGTAAAGGCATTTTGCCAAATTCAATTATCTCTCCGTTTCCACCCAGAATGTTCCCAGAGATATCATCATACCATATTATAGCTGTCCGATGGGAACCCCCCCAAAAAAAAATACTAACAGAAAAAAGTGACCGCAAGCGCGAACCGCAACGCGCCAGACTACAAGCCGCTTACCATAGAAAAGCTTCACCGAATAGTTCAGATGCTTACTGGCGAGAACTCGATAACATCTGGCGATGCTTACATTGATGGTTGGAGTGTGAAGAATAATTGGAGAGAAGCTGGAGCTAATGTCGGCTACTGTCCGCAATATGATGCCATTATCAAGGAAATGTCCGGCGAGGAGACGTTGTACATGTTCGCGCGGATTCGAGGAATCCCTAACGATGAGATTGACGAGAAGGTGAGAGATTTTCTTTCATAGACTTATATACGTGTATATATTTTTTTTTCTTCTTAAGGTTCAAGCAGTGATCCATGCGATTGGCATCGGAATCTATGCGAAACGGCAGATTAAATCGTATAGCGGTGGAAACAAGAGGAGGCTTTCGCTCGGAATTGCGCTTGTCGGGCTTCCCGATGTTTTGCTGCTCGATGAGCCCACTAGCGGTGTTGATCCGAAAGCGCGATTATCTGGAATATATTGAATCGGGTTAGAGATCTTGGAACGGCGCTGGTCCTGACGTCTCATAGTATGGATGAGTGTGAAGCATTGTGCACCGAATTGGCAATCATGGTCTACGGTATTTGGGTTTTTTGGAAATTTATACCGAAATTCGTCGATTCAGGAAACTTCCGATGCTACGGTAGTTGTCAGCACATCAAGAGCCGCTATGGATCCGGCTATACGCTATTGATTCGATTGCGAAACGCTGAGGATTCGCCGAGAACGAAGCACGTGATTTCCAGCCAATTTCAAGGATCGCTTCTGAAAGAGGAGCACGTCCTTCAGCTGAATTATGACCTTCGCCGTGATGGCGGCGATTCGTGGTCGGAGTTGTTCGCGAAGTTGGAGTTGATCTCGGAAGACCTGCATTGGGACGACTATTCGCTATCGCAAACGACATTGGAGCAAGTGTTTGTAGAATTTAGTCGAGCTTCGGCTGCCATCGAGCAAGATGGACAAGCTCGTTTACCAAAGCAGTCGTCCTTCACAAATGACATAATTCGAGGAGAGGATTTTTATTAGACGTTCATTTTTTCGTGGTGTAAAATCAAAGTTTACGTGTACTTTGGAATACATGTATTTGAATTTGTATGAAAAAAAAAACAATGACGGCAACAACGAGGAAAAAAAACACCCATATACATATATATATTTTTTTTTCTTGGTTGTGTTTCGCCTCTTTTCGATGTCCCTTCTCGCTGTTTTCAGCAAGGGCATCGCAAAAACGAATGAATGTAAACAACAAATATTTTTCAAATAGGATGAGGAAAGGAGAAGAGGAGAACAGCAGCGGCAATTTTGAGACAAACACTCGGAGGAAGAAATGGGGGCCAACAAAAAAAAAGAACATCGCAATATTGACGAAGCATATCTCAGTGTGTGTGTTTGTGTGTTTTTTTGCCACAGTGATTGACCACCACAAACAACCTTGTACGGTTTCAAACCGGTCTCGACGACGTCATCGCTTATTGCATTTTCACAACTACATATTTTTGAAGGTTGTGTCCCACATATGTTTGCGTTCTTCTTGTCTATATTAGCCCAGAAAAAGATGGAGAGAGTGTAGAGAAAAAAGCGAAGGCGCGAGGTTTGAATTTCTCGTCATTTTGATGATTTTTGAACAACTCGTCGCATGAATCACATATATTCTAATAAGGAATTCGTTGAGATGCGAATGGCAATGTTGGATGATGATGACGAAATTGCGGTGAACTCGGGACATATCAGAATTGCTGAAATCATAGATTGTTCTCGCTTTTTGTTGAATTTCCAGGGATGTTATTTAAAGGGTCCCGCAATCAAACTTGATTTTATAAATAATTATTTCTAGGGAGGAAGAATTTGAAAAATTTTAATTGCGCGGGTTGACAATTAAATGGTCCCAAAAAAAATCATCATAATCAAAATACATTAAAAATTATGCTCTTTCACAATATGATGGCCAAATTAAGCAAAACTCGATGCTAAACTTGTTTCCACACGAGACCCAAATCAATTAGACCCCGAAAATTCGCACGTTCTTAACAATAAATTCGAAACTCGCTTTAAGCAATTTGCCCATGCGAGACCCAAGGCGGCAATTCAAATGATAAATCAAACGTCCGCCGTTTTAGCTTTTCATGTTTGACGCTATATCATCAAACCGTTCAAGATGTCGCACGAGATCAATCTTTGATCATGTCCGATTGTCTACGAGAGGCGCAATGTGTGGAAATGCATGTGATTACGTCGGCGCAACAAAAATTTATAAATTTATATGATATATAGGGAGTGAGAGCGGTTTTTTGTCTCGCCCGCGCCTGTCGCCGTCGTCTCGATTGGTGGGCGACGACGACGACGACGACGACATGTAAACAACGCTAGCCGCGCGCTATTTCGCACTTTTTGCTCTCGGCGACATACCGCGTATCAAGACGCACGGCTGCCTCCCCGCCATCCAAACCCCCCCCCTCCCCCAACCACCCATTGGGTTGCCCGGGCACGGCCGGCGAGCCTCGGCCGGTGAAGGGCAGGCAGCCTTTGGTCGTGAGCGCGCGGCGCGCGCGTTTACCCTCTCAATCGCGTGTGCACTATTTTAAAGGACAAGCGCGCGCGCGCGCGGGCGCGGCCACCGGCCACGGCCAGCCTCGTCCGTGGCGCGCGGCGCGCGTGTCTGGTAGTATTTTGGTGTTTGTGTCGGTGTGTTTCGGTGAACCACCTTCATATTCCTCTTGTTTTTCTCGTTGAGTCAAAAAAAAAAGGAAATATACTTTTTTCTTAAACCGCATTTTACTTTGTGTTTGCCTATTGCTAGTTGACAAGAGCGCGCATAGATGGAGAGAAATACCAAACAGACATGTTGATTGTTTCGTTTCGTTTGATAAAGGGCGGATAATTACATTTGCGCCGAGCCAACACAACGACTATGCATTATTTCCGTTTACTTGTTTTGCGTTTGACATAAACAGGTTACGGTAGTCGAATTAGTTCACGCCGTGTTTACACACTTTGCACTTTTGCCCGATATTTTCGTGTTATTGCTTGATTATTTTTCACATCGTCGCGCGCTGACTCATTTCTCCATTAGCGTTTATTTTTATTTATCTCGACGAAAAGTGAATTCTTGTAAAAAAAACCAACTAGACGTCTGCACTTTTTGTGTTTTTGCAGCTGAAAAACAGAAAACAAGCTTTTTTATTATCACTTTTTGACATATATATTTAGTCGTAAAATAGTATTTTATGGTTACATTCAAATATTTTGATCAAAAATAAAACATCTGTTGCTCGTAGTATGCCCGCGCGCGCCCTTTCGCCTCCATCCCCATGTCTTTCATCATTTCTATACGATATTGAGGCGGTGTCGGATTTAATATCACTTTTTTTTCACTTTTCTTTTTTGCCGAAAAATAAACATGTTTGTCACAGAGCGGTCGGGTTCGCGGATTAATACGCGGCTCCTCGCGAATCAATTACAATAATAATAAAACGGCAAATCTGTTTTTCCAGGAAGCTTTCAAGTGATTACAAACGATTAGCTAATGCTAATCCGCTGAAGCTCGCCCCGATTGCTCATTCGTTTTCGCGAAAACTCGCAACGACACCGTGTTCTCCTCATGTTGTCCAACTTTTTTTTCCTCCTCACTAATTTGATAAAAACTGAGACGTTTGATAGAGATAACAAAATCAACCATGTTTTCCATTCAATTTGATTGATATTTGGATTTTTTTTGCCGAAATTTCATTTTCAAATACAAAAATGAAACGTCACTATTTGGTTGGGTAAACACATTTTGAAATTTTTGTTTTCATCGAAAAAAAATGAAATTGCGGTTTCGTCATTGCGGAAATTGCGCTATTTTCCGGTTAATCATCATCATCAGACGAGCTGCAAAATTTAAATTGCCTCCGCTGCTTTCTCGCCGCCGTTCGTGTACTCCACACGGACTTTGCTAATGTTGTTTATTAATATTGTTGATTGTTGTTTTTGTTATGACCTCGTCGTTTTTTTTGTGGTGTTTACGAGGATTTCTCTTTTTGTCATTTGCAGTGTCGATTCGGTTTGCTGAAAGCGGCGAGTTGCGAGGATGTCGGTGACAAGTTTATCGGCGAAATCTCGTAAACCCGAGGATATTGTGATGGAAGGATGGCTGTTCAAAAAGGGCGAGCACATCAAAAATTGGCGACAAAGGTGAGCAAAGAAAAATGTATAGTCGGTTTCTGACAACGACAAAAAAGTCTGGTAACTCAAAACCTATCGGATCCGACAAATCTCGGTTCCGGAATTCTAGATAAATCTACGGAAAAATTCTAAAATTGTCGGACCCGGTTGGTTTTCAGTTACCAGAATTTGCCGCATGATTCGTCTTTTAATTGTGTTTCTTTAAATTAAAAAAATATTTCGAAATAAAAAAAACACAACTTGGAAGTGATTTTTAGGATGCAGTATTTAAAGGCGCAGCCCGGTTTTTTTTCCAGAAACTGACTATAGATGGTCATCGCAAATATGAAATACAGGTTCTTAAAAATAAGAGAATTGTTTTTTCATAAATCATTTATCAAAATCAATGAAGCCATATAATGTTTTTTTCAGATATTTGATTCTGTTCAATGATGGCGCATTGCTCGGTTTCCGATCGAGACCGAAAGAGGGTCAGCCGTTTCCGGAGCCCCTCAACGATTTCATGATCAAAGACGCGCAAACGATATGCTATGAGAAGCCGAAACCGAATATGTTCATGATTCGATGCCTTCAATGGACGACGGTTATCGAGCGAATATTCTATGCCGAATCTGCCGAGGTTGGAATTGATGTTGAGGCTTGAAATGAATGTTCGTTTTATTTTCTAGGCACGCGAGAAATGGATCAAAGCGATCGACTCGATTGCAACACGATACAAGAATGTGATGCGATCGAACGTTGACGATATGATGGACACGGTAGGCGATTGTCTATTAATGAGCTGCCCAACGCTAAATCTAGATGTCACTCAATCAGCAACCGCATGTCGATGAGTCGGACTCGAACGCGGCGCATGCCATCATGGGACAGCCGAGTGGCGTTGGCGGCGAATCGCTGGGACCCGCCGACATCAGAGCATCGATGATCAGCATCGCAGATACCAGTGAAGCGGCGAGGCGCGACAAAATCGTAATCGATTTCGGTTTGGCTGACGGGGGCAACATTATCGAAATTGCAGACAATGGAGGATTTCGAGTTCATCAAGGTTCTTGGTAAAGGCACATTTGGTAAGGTGATTCTTTGCAAAGAGAAGAGGACATCAAAGCTGTACGCGATCAAAATCCTCAAGAAGGATGTAATCATTGCAAGGGTAACAGGGGGGAATGTGATTCTAAGAATCCTATGTCGTGTTATAGGAAGAGGTTGTGCACACGCTGACGGAGAATCGCGTCCTTCAACGCTGCAAACATCCGTTCCTGACGGTAAGCGTTTGTGGTGGGGTGGGTCATCTGGAATTTCTCGATCTCCATCCCTCTTGAATAATTATGCTGAAATTGGTTGGTCTAACAATTGAAACTTTAATTTTGCTCTATCTCTCTTTTCTCCATATATTCACCGCATGCTTATTTTTTCCAATCATCTATCAATAATGTGTTCGTGCCTCGACAACATCATGGACGAAACAAATTTCAGCAATTAACATACAGTTTCCAAACACCGTACCATTTGTGTTTTGTGATGGAGTTTGCCAATGGCGGCGAGCTGTTCACGCACATTCGAAAATGTTCGACGTTCAGTGAGAATCGCACGCGATTCTACGGTGCCGAGATTGTGCTCGCGCTCGGCTATCTTCATAGTTTATCGATTGTCTATAGAGACATGAAGGTGAGATTCTTGATTTTGATGCTGATTGGCGTTGTTGGTATTCTTGTCGACACATTTGCGCACAGTTACAGCCGAGCTTCGTGACGAGACCCTATTGTGTTTCATTTCTTTTTACCTTTTTTTCTATTCTATCGAACACACGATGTTGTTGGTTAATGTTGTAAGGTTTGAAATGTACGGTGAAAAAAAAACTTATAATCAAATTTCAGAAGGGTGTTCAAATTTTTGGTTTTGTTTTATTTTATTGTCGAATCCGAGCAATTTTTGTTGGAAATTCAAGGTCAAAAACAGTTTTGTTTCTAGGCGCGAAGTTAACAAATTTTGCATGCGCCTTTAATGTCTAATTGATACGCAGGCAAATCGTCTGCAAAAAAATTTGCCCAAAATTTTATTTTAATGCCATATTATTGTTTTTAAAAAAGCCCTATTGTTCTATCGAAGCTGAAGTTTGACAAGCCAGGAATGCGCTTTCATATGTTATTTTTGGAACCCTCCTAACCACTCTCATCCCCCTCATTAAAAAAAACCCCCGTGCCCCATAATTATTCATATTTGAATTTCTTTCGAATCGAATGGTTTTAAAGAATGCAAACCTGCAGGAGTTGACGTACTCGTTCCAAACGAGCGACCGCCTATGCTTTGTGATGGAATTCGCGATCGGCGGCGACCTCTACTATCACCTGAATCGCGAGGTTCAAATGCACAAGGAGGGCTTCTCGGAGCCGCGCGCCCGATTTTATGGCAGCGAGATTGTGTTGGCGCTCGGCTATCTGCACTCGAACAGCATTGTCTACCGCGATCTCAAGGTGATTTCGCCCATTCGCGATTCGTAGTTGGCGGCCTTCCTTCCTAGCCCATCTAGTTGATCAGTAGTCGGTTGTAGTTGAAATATGTCGTTGGCGAACTGTGTGCAAATGTGATTCGTCGAAATTCACCGCCAAATGTCTTGTGTGTGTGCGCTCGCGTGTGTGTGTTCTTTTTTGCCGGAAAAAATAACATCACAAAAATTTCAGCTTGAGAATTTATTATTGGACAAGGACGGTCATATTAAAATCGCCGATTTTGGTCTTTGTAAAGAGGAGATCAGTTTTGGCGATAAAACGAACACGTTTTGTGGTACGCCGGAATACTTGGCTCCCGAGGTTGCTCGAGATTTGATTTCGATCTCAATTTGCTGAATTTTTTCAGGTTCTCGAGGATAATGACTATGGCCGATGCGTTGATTGGTGGGGTGTCGGTGTCGTCATGTACGAGATGATGTGCGGACGATTGCCGTTCTACTCGAAGGACCACAAAAAGCTGTTTGAGTTGATTATGGCCGGCGAGTTGAGATTCCCGAGCAAATTGAGTATGGAGGCGAAGCAGCTGCTCAGCGGTCTTCTCGTCAAAGATCCATATCAGAGGTTGCGTTTTTTTTTTGTTGAGAGGCTTGATTCATTTCGCGTTGGCTTTGTTTTAGACTTGGCGGCGGACCCGAAGACGCTTTGGAGATTTGTCGCGCTGACTTCTTCAAGTCGGTTGATTGGGAGGCGTTGTACCGCAAGGAGATCGAGCCGCCGTACAAGCCGAACGTGCAGTCCGACACCGACACGAGCTACTTCGACGCCGAGTTCACGTCGCAGCCGGTGCAGCTCACACCGCCGCCGGCTCGTCAGGGAGCATTGCAGACGGTCGAGGAGCTCGATGAGATGCAGACGAACTTCACGCAGTTCTCATTCCACAATCAGTTGGGCAGCAGCAGTATTCACGAGAACAGCGAAATGATGGAGACATAGAAGTTGTCCGAGTTTTAATTTTTCGTCTCGTTTTCTTATTTTTTTTTTGTGATTTTTGCCTTCCAGTTTGTTCAGCTAAAAGCTGCTTGTAATTTATTGTTAATAGTGAACCACACAAATGCCCACGTTCAAACAAAACAAAAAAGTTCGGAAAAAAGTCGTTGTAAAAAGAAACCAACACATCATCAATCATTACCGTAGTTCTTTCTCGAATTGTTTTTTTTTTATTTTCAACATCATCGTTTCGCTTTTTAGCACATAGTCGTTGTACATTTCAGCGGTTGTAATTAGCGATAGTGTTTCTCATGTTTATTTTTGTCGCTTTTCCTTCTTTGCAATGATCTGTGTGTTTTTTCCGTCGTTTTGCGATTTTGAGAAATTTGATCTTGAAATTTGAAATTTGAGTCTTGATCGATTTTTGTAATCATCATTCAAGGGGGGAACGCGCTATTGGGATCAGCAGTTGTAAATCGCTAGATATTTCCGTTGACGAACTCGTTGATGATCTGCGGAACCGCCGAATCGAATCCGGCAATGTCGAGCATTCCGGCGTCGGTTGGATCGGCGATGGTGAATTCGGTGGCCGACATTCCCATGACAATCAGACGAGCATCATGGATTCCAGACTTCTCGCGGTATTGCTTGAGGGCTTCGAACGGATGGACATCGCCGAAGAAGGTTTCATTATCCGTGTAGATCACAAACACATCGAATTTGAGATCTTTCTCCATTGCCCAAATCATCGGAAGAGCGCAATCAGTGGAGCCATACTGAAAAAAAAAACAAATATCGCATTGATTCTGATTAAAAAATTTACTCTAAGCCTTCTAATCGTGCAACTCATCGTATCCAAAGTGCAATTCTTTTTATCGAAATGCAGCTCCGTCAGCTTATTGCAGAATGCCACAATTTTTACCTAAACATTTCGGAAATAATATTTCAATAGGTAATTAATATTAAAAACCGTCTCTTCGTTGTGAAAGTGGATAAAAGACAGAGCACTTGCTGCTTCACGGCAAGTAATAACGGCCCCGCTTGCCGGTTGAGACATACTTATGGAGACATCGATTCCAAGACAGTATCGTTTTCCGGTAGGCGGGGCATTGATGAATGACTTGTAGAAAGCCTTCTCAAGAGCGTCAACAATTCGCTTCTCCGGCTCCCATTGAAGACTTGACTTGTAGCCGCCGCCTTTGCTATAAGTACTTCGGGCAATGAGAACATTCAGCGGATGAATGCGGGCTTTTCTCAATTCCTCAACATCATTGAGTCTTCGAACAATATCGGTAATTTGATTTCTAAAATGACCAGCATTTAAATGAATCAACATGAGGGCCTCGGAAAAATCTTACTCATCAAGGCACTTGATTGCAGACATTCGTCCCAGATTGCGGATCATCGCCGTCATCGGCATTTCCGTGTCCAACAACTCCTTCCAGATGTTGACACTCTTCAACGCATCCGTTGGGATGTGCTCACGAACGAGCCCGTGCTTCTTGATTTCGGCGATAATGATCTCCTCATTCTTCTCGTTCTTCAATTTCAAGTAGGCTTCGATGAGACCAAGTGCTCTGAAAAACAAAATAATTAATTTGAAACTACCTGATGTTCCCTTACTTGCTGTTCTTCGCATGCTCCAATTGTTCAGGGGTGTGCTTCTCCTTAATTTCTGCTTCCTCCGTATCCCCGTCACTTTTCTTCTCTTCCCCGGTATCCTGTTTCTTCACTTCCAATGTTCCTTTTACGGCGAAATTGAAGATCGTCTCCAACTCCAATCTTTCTGGTGATGAGTAGAATGAATCACCTCTCCTTTTCAGGTTAGGATGGGCAAGTCGGAACAAATCGCGGTGGGACCATCCACCTCTTTGCGGATATTTGGTCAAGAACATCGCCAGTCGTTCAGGCGTCTTCGATTCGTACCTGAAATATAACAATCAGATTCGAAAATGGAATATTAAAAACGGACCACTTTGAAATAACCGCTCTCATCGTTCGACCCCATCCAGTAGACGATTTATCCTTATTTGAAGATGACGATTTCGAAATGAGCTCACAATTTCCGACAAATTCGAAGAGATGAGTCGGAATTCGGCAGACATCCGGCACAAGCTTGAACGCAGCCTTGTGCATTTCAGAAATATATTTCGAATACGCCACGACCATCGGATCCGACGATTTGCTAGCCTTGCGACAATCATGCACATGATAGCGAGCACAAAGAGCCAATGCGAACAGCATTGATGTCATTTTAGGATTTCGATTTTGCGCATTGATCTCTCCAATCTCCTTCAGAATCATGAAGGCTTTTCCTGAAGCCGATGTCTATAAATGAATCAAATTTTGTTTGTGATACCTTCATCGATGATTCGAATCAGATTCTGCACATTGTCCAAGGTGATCTCCTTCTCAGACTGATAGAAGGTTCCACCCTCGCTTCCGAGAATCAAAAAACGACGGATCCTTGTCACATCGCTGACTTGAAACACATAGCCTCCGGCGTTGTTCTTCACCTGATCATCTCGAACCTTCTTCACTTGTCCAGGAATCTTGTCCGACACGAGTTCGCCGTTGACAATCGCTACAGAGACCGTGCATCGAGGTAGGCTGATCGTCGCCGGACTACGGAAAATTGATGGGTTCTTCGTTGCAGGTCGTCACGAAACCGTCGAACGGAATTCCGGTGGGATTGACGCGAAGGAACTAAATCTACTCATTTAAAAACCGCAATTGCTTCCCAATAAAACTGATATGATCATTTGATTTTTTGCCGTTTTTTGGACAATTTTTCTTGGAATTATCGATCGTGAAAAAAATTGAAATTTTATGAGATTCTAGTGTAAAAAATATTGAAAAATTCGACACACGATTTTTGAATTTTTGATTTAGCAACAGTATTCCATGTTTTTTTTTTAAATAATCGTTTTTAAAGACACAGTCTTCCTGAGTGTTGCTCCTTTAAATGTGATCTCGAGGCGAAATGTTTTTTCTGTGATGATATTTCGAAATATTTTGTTATAAACTTTCGCAATAATACCCTTTGGTTATCAAATATCTGTATAAGAAATGCACACCAAATATGGTCATTGTTAGACCGAAAAATCCGCTATAAATTTCTAAAATTGTGACGAATTTAATTAGTCGCAATTATCGATTAATTAATTATTAAGCAACGTGATTTTGCCTGCTCGCTGAATTCTTCTCGCGCAAATCGACAAAGATACAAGCCGATCGGAATGAGAAGACGACGGGCTCGGCAATGCAATCAACCAGTGCATAGAATATCTCGAATACCGAAATGTATGCCATCAAGTGCTTATAATTGCCCAATTGTTTCAATGATTGTTGGAGATGGAACTCAAAAAATTGATGGTTCTATGGATGCAAGCTAGGATCACATCTTATAGATTATTTATTATAAAAATTCAATTAAAAACAACACCAGCAATAATTACCATATGTCAACCTGTACAAAATTGTTAGATATTTCCGTTGACGAACTCGCTGATGATTTGCGGAACCGCCGAATCGAATCCGGCAATATCGAGCATTCCGGCGTCGGTTGGATCGGCGATGGTGAATTCGGTGGCCGACATTCCCATGACAATCAGACGAGCATCATGGATTCCAGACTTCTCGCGGTATTGCTTGAGGGCTTCGAACGGATGGACATCGCCAAAGTAGGTCTCATTATCCGTGTAGATCACAAACACATCGAATTTGAGATCTTTCTCCATTGCCCAAATCATCGGAAGAGCGCAATCAGTGGGGGCATACTGAAACAACTCGAACAGTGTACTACCTAACAATATAAAAGTTGAAATACCCTGAGTGTGTCCATATAATCTCTCATCTTGTCCAAACTCCAAGTTTTATCGAAAGGCAGCTCAACGAGATCATCGCAGAAAGCGACCATGCGCACCTAAAAACTTTTAATTGCCGGTAAAAAAATACCAATTCCTTCTTTGGGTATTTTCTTGCTTACCGTATTTTCGTTATGCAGGTTGATAAGCGACAGGGCACTTGCTGCTTCACGGCAAGTGATAACGCATCCAGACACGTGACAACCCATACTTCCAGAAACATCGATTCCAAGGCAATAACGTTTTCCGGTAGGCGGGGCATTTATGAATGACTTGTAGAAAGCCTGCTCAAGAGCATCGACAATCTTCTGCTCCGGCTCCCATTCAAGGCTTGACTTGTAGCCGCCGCCTATGTAATAAGTGCTTCGGGCAATGAGAACATTCAGCGGATGAATGCGGGCTTTTCTCAATTCCTCAACATCATTGAGTCTTCGAACAATATCGGCAATTTGATTACTAGAATGACCAGCATTTAAATGAATCAACATGAGGGCCCCGGAAAAATCTCACTCATCAAGGCACTTGATTGCAGACATTCTTCCCAAATTGCGGATCATCGCCGTCATCGGCATCTCCGTGTCCAACAACGCCTTCCAGATGTTGACACTCTTCAACGCATCCGTTGGGATGTGCTCACGAACGAGCCCGTGCTTCTTGATTTCGGCGATAATGATCTCCTCATTCTTCTCGTTCTTCAATTTCAGATAGGCTTCGATGAGACCAAGTGCTCTGAAAAACAAAATAATTAATTTGAAACTACCTGATGTTCACTTACTTGCTGTTCTTCGCATGCTCTAGTTGTTCAGGGGTGTGCTTCTCCTTAATTTCTGCTTCCTCCGTATCCCCGTCGCTTTTCTTCTCTTCCCCGGTATCCTGTTTCTTCACTTCCAATGTTCCTTTTACGGCGAAATTGAAGATCGTCTCCAACTCCAATCTTTCTGGTGATGAGTAGAATGAATCACCTCTCCTTTTCAGGTTAGGATGGGCAAGTCGGAACAAATCGCGGTGGGACCATCCACCTCTTTGCGGATATTTGGTCAAGAACATCGCCAGTCGTTCAGGCGTCTTCGATTCGTACCTGAAATATAAAAATCAGATTCGAAAATGGAATATTAAAAACGGACCATTTTGAAATAACCGCTCTCATCGTTCGACCCCATCCAGTAGCTGGCTTATCCTTATTTGAAGATGACGATTTCGAAATGAGCTCACAATTTCCGACAAATTCGAAGAGATGAGTCGGAATTCGGCAGACATCCGGCACAAGCTTGAACGCAGCCTTGTGCATTTCAGAAATATATTTCGAATACGCCACGACCATCGGATCCGACGATTTGCTAGCCTTGCGACAATCATGCACATGATAGCGAGCACAAAGAGCCAATGCGAACAGCATTGATGTCATTTTAGGATTTCGATTTTGCGCATTGATCTCTCCAATCTCCTTCAGAATCATGAAGGCTTTTCCTGAAGCCGATGTCTATAAATGAATCAAATTTTGTTTGTGATACCTTCATCGATGATTCGAATCAGATTCTGCACATTGTCCAAGGTGATCTCTTTCTCAGACGGATAGAATGTTCCACCCTCGCTTCCGAGAATCAAAAATCGACGGATCCTTGTCACATCGCTGACTTGAAACACATAGCCTCCGGCGTTGTTCTTCACCTGATCATCTCGAACCTTCTTCATTTGTCCAGGGATTTTGACCGACACGAGTTCGCCGTTCACAATCGCTACAGTGAAGTCACTATTTTCGGCCTTCAGATTACCATATTGAACTTCACTTCTGAAATTGTTTAAAATCTCATTTTAATTGAAAATCAAATAGCGATTCTCACTGTTTCAAAGTGTCCAGGAGACTTTCATCGAATTTTTTGAAATCGAACACGAGGGCGTCGAGCTCATCAGACATGATTTTTAATTAACCTGCAACAAAAAAATTGGTCATCAAACATTATAGAAACGCGAAAGTGAGAACACAAAAGTAAAAAAAAAGTTCGCTGAAATTTCATTCAAGAATGCGAGAAAGTGAAAATCGATCGATTTGCGCGAAGTTACTGAACTCTTGCATCTTGCATACTTTGACAAGGTGTTGTTGCTCGGGGCAAAGCGGACCATTCAAATAATATCAATTTAAAACACCGTTTTTACCTAACATACGTGTGATTTGTTGAATATACACATTTTATTGCGAATACAATACTACGTATATTAATTTGAAGATGTAATCGATTGGAATAGGTGCAAGACGTTTCAAAAAGAGCAAATTGTTAGAATGAGGGCATCTTATCATTTCTAACTTTTTGGCTTCACTATTTGTTTTATTAAAATGGAATAAAAGTGTAAATACGAGAGGAAGAGGCAGAGATATATGCAGTTTTTGATTGTTCAATATTGCGAAATATTGCGAAATTTTGCGGAGGGTGGGTGGGGGTTTCAAAAAATTGACAACAATGGCGAAATTTGTGATTTGTGACCACCGCGTCCCTTTATATACCGACGTCGGTCTTAGTTCCGATTAATCGAAATTTGAATTACCGCGAAGAACGTGAGAACGGTCAAACGCAAAAGGTGCTCGTTTTCGCGATTACTTATGTATATTCCAAGTAAATATTCTAGACGCGTTGCGGTTCGCGTGCGTTCCAGTTTATTTTTTCGAAATTCTTCACATAAACGTGAACGCGTCTGAACAACAAGGTCTTGTAGAACGAAGAGGAGAAAAGGTTTCGATGGGGCAATTTCGAATCAAGGCCTTTGTGCCTGGGAGAAATATAAGGAAATATTGAGAGACATCGTTTTCGTGTAAACAAATCTATTTATAGAAATTTCTAGAAATGAATTTCAATATCTAAAAAGAAACAAGAAGAGGGGATTCTGATGATGCGTTTTCTGTTTAAAATTGATTGCTTCTGAAAAACCACGAAAACAATTAAATGCTTTTCTCGGAAAATAAATGGAAGGAAATTTAGTGTGTTTTATTTTAAATCAAATTTTCAACTGGAAATGTTTGAAAAAAAAACAATAGAAAAAATGAGATTTGCTCAATAAAAAATTTATTTCGTCTGGTACCTTTTATTTTTTTATTTTTCAACCTCTGGAAAAACTACCAATTTTTGTTGGTTGGGCCGATCTTCAAAATAATTTCGGCGTCGAATTGAATGCGAGTCCGCAGAGTTCATTCGGCGTGAATGCACAACATTTGGCGTTTCATTTTGTCGACGTGCGAAAATTTGCGACACGTCAAAAATGATCTCAAGACGCGCGATGACACGGAAATTGTGAATATGACTCGACGCGTGACTCAATTCTAATAGCAAATAAGTAAAATTCGAATTGAGAAGACCATTTTCAAACACATTTAATCTATGAAATTCAAAGCGAGTTTATTTCAATGAGATTTAAAGGCGCATGACATTTATTTGAGGATTATTGGCGTTGGATTGTGACGCTACTGGAATTGAGGACGTTATGATTCCATCTGAAATTGGCAATAATCGTCGAAAACTACAAAATTGACGACTTCTCTTCAAATCGCTTATTTGAAAAATTCGGCGAATCGCATTTTTGTAGGGTCGATGGAAAACGATTAGACAGAACGGCGAAAAAATGCCGTATGAGGCGACGATGCAGCTGACGGCTTCACAAAACTCTAGAAGCCATTCATCGATGGGATTCTGAGGATCCTTAATTACCATTGACCGTGTTTTGGCCGCTCATTTTATAGGCAATCATGATATAGGTGGAAGGGAAAATGAAGCTAATGCTTGGCAAGAATGCCATGTACATCAGGCTTCTCAGGAACGTCTTCTGCTTCTGCCTAGTCGCCGCCGACACCACCTCCCTTCGATTCATTAGATGGAAGCTGTGGAAGATGAAGCAGATCATTAGTAGCATGGCGATCATTGGAGATATGTTGGTGAGAGTTGACACAATATTTTCGTCGTTCATTAGCACGACGCGTTGTGGATGCCACAGATCGCATGGCGGATGATCCCAATTCTAGAGATGACGTCGTCGGAATCATTCGAAAGCGTCTCGACCCACCTGAAGGATCTTATCGAAGCTCTCCTCCTGATCGGCAATGTTGAATTTGAGTGAGGCGGTTAGTAGGAAAACGAGCAGAATATTGGCGACGATGATTCGCACGATGCTATTTTGCGATAGCTTGAATCGCGAGTTGTCGCTCAACAAGACCTGATGTCGATAGAAGAACAGGAACAGCATTGAGAAGAGCGTTTCTGGACTCGATCGAATTTTATTTCGGCGAACTCTAGCGATTACCATTGAAGATGACGGTGCAGAGGCTTAGCTGAAGGACTGGCGGCACACCCAAATCGGAAAACCAACCGCGAAAATACATGACCGGGAATGGGAGGAACATGATCGGCAAGAGGCCGTGTGTTATGATGTGGGAGTATAGGGCGGTCCTGAAGCGATTCTAGAATATTTCCCAGCGAGACCATTCTTAAAGGTGCAATAGGTAAGCACCTTTATGATCACTATTCAGATTTCGCAAAAAAGAAAGAATTTGACGAAAAAGCGTGTTAGAAACGATGCGCCTTTAAATTTGATACACAACATTTCGTTTTGAGGCCATCATGACTCAGCATCGCGCTTATAGTAATTGGCAAACAGGGGTTCATTTCAAGACCACGTTTAAAGGAGCATACTCACCAAAATTGATTGAGCAATAGAAGCCATTTGTAGAATTGCATACCTCTCGGTGTGTGCCATAGAATACAATAGAACGCGGGTCCCGCGACGAACACATTCACGATGGCGATTATTCGCAGAGCGATGGCGCTGAATCGGTGCGGGACCTCGTACGTTGAGCAATAGTCGGGAATCGGCGTCATGTGTAAGCGATGAAGAATGATGATGAGTGAGTCAGAATGATGATGAGTGAGCCAGCCATTAAAGGGCGTTTCTGCTCTTCATGCGTCAATTCACATTCGGCTGAGACAAATCAGCGCCAGACGACGCCAATTCCGATGATTTTTTTTCACTTAACCGAATTATTCTCACTGATTTGAATTGCTGCAATTTAAAGGCGCAACGATTGAAACAATTTAAAACGTTTTCGCCGTCGTGCAAAATTGGAAAATTCAATTTTTCGTTTCAGCGTAGTTTTATAATAATGAGCATTGCTGTTATATAGTTCCAACAATCACTTGGGAGACTCAATTTCAATGGAGGCTCACAAGAGAGGTCATTAATGAAATATTACATGATTTTCGTATCAAAACTATTCAAGAAGATTCCTTTATCAACGATTTTTTTTCGTCCTTGGTTCCCTTGAATTAAAAAAATTTTTGAGTTACCGTAACACTCTGGTAGTTCAATGCGCATACGATAATTTGTCATACAATTTCACGCCTAAAATATGTTGCTAGGAAAAATGATCATAACTCGGGTGAAAATTGTTGAATCAAAATTCCCAAAACACCAAAAGTCTTAGAAAATTGTCCAGAATTTATGTAGAAAATTTGAGAGAAATTGGCAAGATTAAAATTTTTGAAAAATTGTTGCCAACTTTTCGAAATCGGCGTCGAGGTTGAAATGAAAATCGTCAAAAATGGATAAAATTGGTTGAAAATTTGCAAAAAGATATTATAAGACATCAGAATGAGTTTTGCCAAGGTTTTTAATGATCCAGCAAAAACGAAACAGGTAGGACTAGCCTGCAAAAATGGTAAAAGTGTGGTAGCCGAGTTCAAAACAGCGATGGTATACTTAGAAGATGCGGCGCATCAAACCACAGCGCCACACGGTTCTGCGGGCTCCTGCTGCAAAGTGCAGGAAAATGCTGAATACTTCTTCTCGGTTCGTCCGATAAATGTAGTTGAGCTATTTGGAGAATTTCATGACGAATGGACACAACTCGATCAAAATCTGCCAAAATTCGTGGAAATTCCAATTCAATCAATTTTCATAGAATTATGATCATTTCAATAATATGAACTTTGGTAACTATTAGGAGGGTCCGACTTGGGAAATTGGTCCTCATTCTCACACCCTCCCCCTTCCGCGACACCTTTTGGCTAAGCTCCGCCCACTTTTGGTACTATAAATAGCGGCGAGGTGGACCGCATCAATCATTCATCGAGCCTGTCATAACTTATTCCTAGCCGCTGTTAAATCGACGACGATGCATAACGAATCGATGGCTGACTTCAACAACAACAATCATGATGAGAATCGATCGATGGTAATCGACAATCAGCGGATATTTTGGTATTATATTGATTATTGTTGAATATTATATAATTTTTGAATTCTGCGACTTCAAAAATTTGTTCAGGGAGATTCGGGGGCTTCGGAAGACAGTCGATCAATAGAAGAGGAGGTTGGAATCGACATGGGTGAAGCGAGAGATGAGCCGACGCCGGAGCCGATCGCGGACTCGCCGCAGCCACAGCTTCTCGATAGGACCCAATTGATTTTGAGCCTCTGTCGCTCTCAGGATGACTGGATGGTGGTAAGCCGATTTCGAGCGGTCCTTCAATTAAATGACTCGTTGAAGGTTCGCGGGAATCCCAGAACAAATCTTCTCGATTTGATGTACGCCCGACGAATCGCCGAATTGTTGATTCGATGGTTGACGACTCCCGAAGCGATCAGTGCCGAGGAGAGGGTGTTCAACTATCAGGTCATGCTGAGCCTCATGCACCGCCTTCAGAAGTTCGCGCAGCCCCTTCTTTCGAGGGTATCGAATTTCAATTTTCGAGAAAAGCTAGCTTAAATTAATTTTGTGTTCAGCGATACTCGAACCGGCGATTCTGCTGTCGTGTCTGTTATAACTATGTGAAGATGCGCTGTCAATTTTTGCAAGTGCCGATCCCTCCGAGAGAGAGCTTCGGACCATGGTCGACCCATCCCCTCATGGTCAATGTTCGCGGTGTCACGATGACATTGTAGGAATCGCTTCTCTTTCATATCCATATATGCCGATTTGCAGGTGCCCATTTTTGAGATGCCAGCTTTGCCCCTACTGCTGCGCCACTGGACATCGTGCCCATATTCCAAAGCGCTGCCCCTTCTATCCGCATTAAATGCCCATATTCCCAGTTCAAAAAATTATTTTATTTTATTTTATTAGTCCCCCTCCCCTCGTTGTTCTTGAACCATGCTACCTAATTAATTTATCTTGAATTTGAACAGAGAGAAAAAAAATGAGTAATAAATTATTTTCATCGAAACTTTTGTTAATTGTTTTACCAAAAATAGAAAATAAGGAAAAAAAATACGAAAGGAAAACGGTTGGATGGAAAATAATTCTGAAAAATGAATACTGTAGGCGAAGTGTGAATTTATTCGTAAAGTGTTTACACCACTGCATTTTTTTATTTTTAAATTTAGGCTGTGTAAAATATTTTTTTCGTTTTTCGACGAAAACTATTTCTTCAACATTTATAACACTTTTATTATTGATTTCGTATTTTATTTATGAAAAAAGGGAATAGTATAATAAGCAACTCAAGCAAATCAAATCAAATATTTTGAGAATCAAATATTCAATAATAAACTCTAAAATATTTTGAGAAAATCTAATGTTTATTGATACTTTCTAAAACTCTTATAAGATTTTCTAAAATTTATGGAGCAAATTCTAAATTATCTCAATAAATTCTAAAATCTTCAAATAATTTCTAAAATTCATTGAGAAAATTCGAAATTATAATAGAGGAACGATAGTTTCTCAATGAATCTCAAAATATTTTATTCGATTTACCTGAGAATCTAGTAACCTAAAAACGAAAATATTTATTATATTTTCTGTAACTTATTTATGTAAATTTTTATTATTTTGTGGTATTTATTGTTTTAATTTAATTTTAATTATTTCTCGCCATTCAAATTTTATTATTGGAAGGAGTAAGCTGAAAATTTTGAAATAAAAAACATTTTTATTTATTTTCTCATGATTTCAAATATCAACATTATATTAGAATACAAATTTTTAGCCTACTCAGTCTTTAATGTATTTTAAGAGATTGCAGTTTGAACTGTTTTAGTGCTAATTGCAATGTTCCTCTGGCACGTTTTTGCATCCTTATATTCAGTGTGTGTTCACGGGAAAAAATTCTCGAGAATAATCGAGAAAATTAACCGGTACCGAGAGAAATTCTCTCGAGAACCTTCACGGGAATTTTTTTAGTGAACAAACAAATTATTTTTTTCTCCCTTAAGTTCGTTTCAATACTAACAAATTCTAGCAAGGGAGTCCTTTTTGCTGTCCGTCTTAAAATGTTTTTATTTTTTGCATACAGATTCTTTAGAAAATTTCCAATCGAATGAACTAAGTTCCTCCCTACCTGCGAAAACTTCTGGTTATCGAGATTTGGACCATCAAAGTTTTAGCCCCACCCCACGTGAAAGTTCATTCGATTGGAAATTTTCTAAAAAAATCTGTATGCAAAAAAAAACAACTGTTAAGACGGACAGCAAAAAGACCTTTAACCGCGACGCATACGCATCGCGTTTCGGTTGTAAATCGCGGTCGGCTAAATACGCAAAAAACATTAATCGCAAACAATCGTATACAAAAAAAAAACGATTTATTTATGTATTAATCCCCTTTTTATACGTGCGAACATTTACAAAATATGTTAACTATGCTAGTTTTCAAAACCCTACTAGTTATCAATTTAACTACTTTTGTTTCTGGGTAGTGTAGAGAATTCTCGGGAAATTCTCTACCGAGAGCACCCACTGCTTATAGTGCCTCATCCTTTCGCATTTCGTCATCACTCGGTGACACCGATTTGGTGAGTGATGGTCCCTTCGATGGTACACTCGGCAACACCATGCGAATTGGTGGGACCTCTCTTTTCGACCGCGGCCCACCGACCATAAATGGGCGAGAGATAATGCCAAAAGTGGCGTCGCAGACAAAATGTGCGAACTCTGGCTCCGCCCACATTTTCGGACCATAAATAGCGGCGATCGGCGCGCATTCCTCACTTGTCAACTAGCCTGACACAACTCATCATCATGGATTACAACAACGTCAAGACGTCTGATGCTGCTGCGGAGTTTGCTTCTTATGCCCAATCGGTATTTTTTTTTAGTTAGTCGAATATTCTGGGTGGTTGGGAACCAAATTCCGAATGACTAATATTGAAATTGATTTTGAATTTTTTCAGGAATGTATGCAACCTGGGAACTTTGGCAACACGGAAGCTATGGTAATAGACAATCGTCTATTATAGTATATGTATGATTTTATATTATTATTATTTATTATATTATATATATATGGATATACTCGTTTATTTGGTTATTCTTTTTTCAGTCTGCCTAATTTCGATAATTATTTCAGGGAATTTCAATTTGAGATCATTTTTGTTGAGAAATGGGTGGAAGGCATATTTTAAAACCTAGTTAGATTTAGGAAAAAAATATATTATTTAACAGAATAATAATTTTGTCATATCATTTCAATTATTAATTGAATAATTAAGGTCGACGATTCTGCTGTGCCGAAACCCCCGCTATCGTCGGATTTCATTGCGGCGCTCGCCTCTCGATTTCTTCAGGAGAAAGCGAACCAAATTGTTCTCGATGAGACTTTGAAGAACTTGAAATCGATTGGAAATGAGGTAGTCTGATATTTTATTTCTATTCGGCTGATTCATTGATGATCTTCAGGGATTGCCTCTCTCGGCTCCATTGGCTCTTCAACCCATGCAGCAAGCTCCTGTGCTAACTGCACCTACACTGGCCGACCTATTCCGGCTATCGAACCAGCCTGTCGATGAAAACTTCAACTATTACTATAATTATTATTACAATTACTACTATCAAAAATACTACCAGTTATACTACGAGCATTACTACGCCCTCTATACCCAAAATATTCCATTGTAATTTAGCGATTTGACACAACGGATATCCCATCACCGGTTTTTTTTTGTAAATTTTTGTATTTTTCTATTGTTTGTCAGATGCTTCTCAGGAATAAAGCATGTATTTTGAACGAAAATGTTTATATTTTCGCTAAAACCATAAAAACGAAAAAGGTTTTTCACAGTCTACAGTACTATACATTTTAAAAATCACTGCAAGAATCATGTTCATCATATGCGCCTTTAACCGTAAAATTTTTTCGCGAATTTATCATTTTAATTCGTTTTTTTTTTATTTCAGGTCAAGTTGAACAGGACAGACATGAGAGATGGCCCTTTCTGACTGCCAACCCCTCTTCAAGGCACCCAGACCATAAATGGCGAGAGATAATAACAAAAGTGGCGTCGCAGGCAAAATGTGCCAACGCAGACTCCGCCCACTTTTTCAGACCATAAATAGTGACGCGCATTCCTCACTTGTCAGTTAACTTTATTCATATTATATATATATATATATATATATACTATTATTGGATAATTGGTCTATTAATTATTTTTGATCGAAGTCATCCGGATTGCATCGGGTCCAAAGGATTCGCATCAACTCCGAGAGCCGATATTTGTCTTATAATTAATTAATTAGGGCGCTTCAATTTAAGACTGTAGACATTTTTGTTGAGAACTAGGCTAGGTGATTCGATATACCCTAATTGTACTATTATTGGATAATTGGTCTATCAATTATTTTTGATCGAAGTCATCCGGATTGCATCGGGTCCAAAGGATTCGCATCAACTCCGAGAGCCGATATTTGTCTTATAATTAATTAATTAGGGCGCTTCAATTTAAGACTGTAGACATTTTTGTCGAGAACTAGGCTAGGTGATTCGATATACCCTAATTGTACTATTATTGGATAATTGGTCTATCAATTATTTTTGATCGAAGTCATCCGGATTGCATCGGGTCCAAAGGATTCGCATCAACTCCGAGAGCCGATATTTGTCTTATAATTAATTAATTAGGGCGCTTCAATTTAAGACTGTAGACATTTTTGTTGAGAACTAGGCTAGGTGATTCGATATACCCTAATTGTACTATTATTGGATAATTGGTCTATCAATTATTTTTGATCGAAGTCATCCGGATTGCATCGGGTCCAAAGGATTCGCATCAACTCCGAGAGCCGATATTTGTCTTATAATTAATTAATTAGGGCGCTTCAATTTAAGACTGTAGACATTTTTGTTGAGAACTAGGCTAGGTGATTCGATATACCCTAATTGTACTATTATTGGATAATTGGTCTATCAATTATTTTTGATCGAAGTCATCCGGATTGCATCGGGTCCAAAGGATTCGTATCAACTCCGAGAGCCGATATTTGTCTTATAATTAATTAATTAGGGCGCTTCAATTTAAGACTGTAGACATTTTTGTTGAGAACTAGGCTAGGTGATTCGATATACCCTAATTGTACTATTATTGGATAATTGGTCTATCAATTATTTTTGATCGAAGTCATCCGGATTGCATCGGGTCCAAAGGATTCGTATCAACTCCGAGAGCCGATATTTGTCTTATAATTAATTAATTAGGGCGCTTCAATTTAAGACTGTAGACATTTTTGTTGAGAACTAGGCTAGGTGATTCGATATACCCTAATTGTACTATTATTGGATAATTGGTCTATCAATTATTTTTGATCGAAGTCATCCGGATTGCATCGGGTCCAAAGGATTCGCATCAACTCCGAGAGCCGATATTTGTCTTATAATTAATTAATTAGGGCGCTTCAATTTAAGACTGTAGACATTTTTGTTGAGAACTAGGCTAGGTGATTCGATATACCCTAATTGTACTATTATTGGATAATTGGTCTATCAATTATTTTTGATCGAAATCATCCGGATTTCATCGGGTCCAAAGGATTCGCATCAACTCCGAGAGCCGATATTTGTCTTATAATTAATTAATTAGGGCGCTTCAATTTAAGACTGTAGACATTTTTGTTGAGAACTAGGCTAGGTGATTCGATATACCCTAATTGTACTATTATTGGATAATTGGTCTATCAATTATTTTTGATCGAAGTCATCCGGATTGCATCGGGTCCAAAGGATTCGCATCAACTCCGAGAGCCGATATTTGTCTTATAATTAATTAATTAGGGCGCTTCAATTTAAGACTGTAGACATTTTTGTTGAGAACTAGGCTAGGTGATTCGATATACCCTAATTGTACTATTATTGGATAATTGGTCTATCAATTATTTTTTGATCGAAGTCATCCGGATTGCATCGGGTCCAAAGGATTCGCATCAACTCCGAGAGCCGATATTTGTCTTATAATTAATTAATTAGGGCGCTTCAATTTAAGACTGTAGACATTTTTGTTGAGAACTAGGCTAGGTGATTCGATATACCCTAATTGTACTATTATTGGATAATTGGTCTATCAATTATTTTTGATCGAAGTCATCCGGATTGCATCGGGTCCAAAGGATTCGCATCAACTCCGAGAGCCGATATTTGTCTTATAATTAATTAATTAGGGCGCTTCAATTTAAGACTGTAGACATTTTTGTTGAGAACTAGGCTAGGTGATTCGATATACCCTAATTGTACTATTATTGGATAATTGGTCTATCAATTATTTTTGATCGAAGTCATCCGGATTGCATCGGGTCCAAAGGATTCGTATCAACTCCGAGAGCCGATATTTGTCTTATAATTAATTAATTAGGGCGCTTCAATTTAAGACTGTAGACATTTTTGTTGAGAACTAGGCTAGGTGATTCGATATACCCTAATTGTACTATTATTGGATAATTGGTCTATCAATTATTTTTGATCGAAGTCATCCGGATTGCATCGGGTCCAAAGGATTCGCATCAACTCCGAGAGCCGATATTTGTCTTATAATTAATTAATTAGGGCGCTTCAATTTAAGACTGTAGACATTTTTGTTGAGAACTAGGCTAGGTGATTCGATATACCCTAATTGTACTATTATTGGATAATTGGTCTATCAATTATTTTTGATCGAAGTCATCCGGATTGCATCGGGTCCAAAGGATTCGCATCAACTCCGAGAGCCGATATTTGTCTTATAATTAATTAATTAGGGCGCTTCAATTTAAGACTGTAGACATTTTTGTTGAGAACTAGGCTAGGTGATTCGATATACCCTAATTGTACTATTATTGGATAATTGGTCTATCAATTATTTTTGATCGAAGTCATCCGGATTGCATCGGGTCCAAAGGATTCGCATCAACTCCGAGAGCCGATATTTGTCTTATAATTAATTAATTAGGGCGCTTCAATTTAAGACTGTAGACATTTTTGTTGAGAACTAGGCTAGGTGATTCGATATACCCTAATTGTACTATTATTGGATAATTGGTCTATCAATTATTTTTGATCGAAGTCATCCGGATTGCATCGGGTCCAAAGGATTCGCATCAACTCCGAGAGCCGATATTTGTCTTATAATTAATTAATTAGGGCGCTTCAATTTAAGACTGTAGACATTTTTGTTGAGAACTAGGCTAGGTGATTCGATATACCCTAATTGTACTATTATTGGATAATTGGTCTATCAATTATTTTTGATCGAAGTCATCCGGATTGCATCGGGTCCAAAGGATTCGCATCAACTCCGAGAGCCGATATTTGTCTTATAATTAATTAATTAGGGCGCTTCAATTTAAGACTGTAGACATTTTTGTTGAGAACTAGGCTAGGTGATTCGATATACCCTAATTGTACTATTATTGGATAATTGGTCTATCAATTATTTTTGATCGAAGTCATCCGGATTGCATCGGGTCCAAAGGATTCGCATCAACTCCGAGAGCCGATATTTGTCTTATAATTAATTAATTAGGGCGCTTCAATTTAAGACTGTAGACATTTTTGTTGAGAACTAGGCTAGGTGATTCGATATACCCTAATTGTACTATTATTGGATAATTGGTCTATCAATTATTTTTGATCGAAGTCATCCGGATTGCATCGGGTCCAAAGGATTCGCATCAACTCCGAGAGCCGATATTTGTCTTATAATTAATTAATTAGGGCGCTTCAATTTAAGACTGTAGACATTTTTGTTGAGAACTAGGCTAGGTGATTCGATATACCCTAATTGTACTATTATTGGATAATTGGTCTATCAATTATTTTTGATCGAAGTCATCCGGATTGCATCGGGTCCAAAGGATTCGCATCAACTCCGAGAGCCGATATTTGTCTTATAATTAATTAATTAGGGCGCTTCAATTTAAGACTGTAGACATTTTTGTTGAGAACTAGGCTAGGTGATTCGATATACCCTAATTGTACTATTATTGGATAATTGGTCTATCAATTATTTTTGATCGAAGTCATCCGGATTGCATCGGGTCCAAAGGATTCGCATCAACTCCGAGAGCCGATATTTGTCTTATAATTAATTAATTAGGGCGCTTCAATTTAAGACTGTAGACATTTTTGTTGAGAACTAGGCTAGGTGATTCGATATACCCTAATTGTACTATTATTGGATAATTGGTCTATCAATTATTTTTGATCGAAGTCATCCGGATTGCATCGGGTCCAAAGGATTCGTATCAACTCCGAGAGCCGATATTTGTCTTATAATTAATTAATTAGGGCGCTTCAATTTAAGACTGTAGACATTTTTGTTGAGAACTAGGCTAGGTGATTCGATATACCCTAATTGTACTATTATTGGATAATTGGTCTATCAATTATTTTTGATCGAAGTCATCCGGATTGCATCGGGTCCAAAGGATTCGCATCAACTCCGAGAGCCGATATTTGTCTTATAATTAATTAATTAGGGCGCTTCAATTTAAGACTGTAGACATTTTTGTTGAGAACTAGGCTAGGTGATTCGATATACCCTAATTGTACTATTATTGGATAATTGGTCTATCAATTATTTTTGATCGAAGTCATCCGGATTGCATCGGGTCCAAAGGATTCGTATCAACTCCGAGAGCCGATATTTGTCTTATAATTAATTAATTAGGGCGCTTCAATTTAAGACTGTAGACATTTTTGTTGAGAACTAGGCTAGGTGATTCGATATACCCTAATTGTACTATTATTGGATAATTGGTCTATCAATTATTTTTGATCGAAGTCATCCGGATTGCATCGGGTCCAAAGGATTCGCATCAACTCCGAGAGCCGATATTTGTCTTATAATTAATTAATTAGGGCGCTTCAATTTAAGACTGTAGACATTTTTGTTGAGAACTAGGCTAGGTGATTCGATATACCCTAATTGTACTATTATTGGATAATTGGTCTATCAATTATTTTTGATCGAAGTCATCCGGATTGCATCGGGTCCAAAGGATTCGCATCAACTCCGAGAGCCGATATTTGTCTTATAATTAATTAATTAGGGCGCTTCAATTTAAGACTGTAGACATTTTTGTTGAGAACTAGGCTAGGTGATTCGATATACCCTAATTGTACTATTATTGGATAATTGGTCTATCAATTATTTTTGATCGAAGTCATCCGGATTGCATCGGGTCCAAAGGATTCGTATCAACTCCGAGAGCCGATATTTGTCTTATAATTAATTAATTAGGGCGCTTCAATTTAAGACTGTAGACATTTTTGTTGAGAACTAGGCTAGGTGATTCGATATACCCTAATTGTACTATTATTGGATAATTGGTCTATCAATTATTTTTGATCGAAGTCATCCGGATTGCATCGGGTCCAAAGGATTCGCATCAACTCCGAGAGCCGATATTTGTCTTATAATTAATTAATTAGGGCGCTTCAATTTAAGACTGTAGACATTTTTGTTGAGAACTAGGCTAGGTGATTCGATATACCCTAATTGTACTATTATTGGATAATTGGTCTATCAATTATTTTTGATCGAAGTCATCCGGATTGCATCGGGTCCAAAGGATTCGTATCAACTCCGAGAGCCGATATTTGTCTTATAATTAATTAATTAGGGCGCTTCAATTTAAGACTGTAGACATTTTTGTTGAGAACTAGGCTAGGTGATTCGATATACCCTAATTGTACTATTATTGGATAATTGGTCTATCAATTATTTTTGATCGAAGTCATCCGGATTGCATCGGGTCCAAAGGATTCGTATCAACTCCGAGAGCCGATATTTGTCTTATAATTAATTAATTAGGGCGTTTGTTAATTAAAGGTTTGAATTTGCCAAAAAACTACTGAAATATTCCTTTTCAATAAATGTGCATCTATAAAATTCAGAAGTTTTCCTAGCATTCAGAAGCTTGTCGGCATGAACCTCATCTATTATATGCATTATCCTATTGTCACCATTCGGAGCGATTTTCGCGTTCCGGAACACCTAACTGCGAATGAGTTCACTTCTTTGACACACTCGGCGACACCAATGCGAATTGGTGGGACCTCTCTTTTCGACCGCGGCCCACCGACTATAAATGGACGAGAGATAATGCCAAAAGTGGTGTCGCAGTCAAAATGTGCGAACTCTGGCTCCGCCCACTTTTCGGACCATAAATAGCAGCGATCGGCGCGCATTCCTCACTTGTCACCTAACTTGACACACGTTATCGTCAGCCCGACAATCCAGCAATGTATTACAACAACTCGTTCAATGATTCTGACGCCGCGTCAATTGTGTTCGACTCCTATGCTGAATTGGTATGCGTTTTATTTCCAACCAAATTCCATTATTTTCTAGTTGCAATCGATACAATTTGAGTGAATTTCACTTAAATTCAAGTTAAAAAAAATAATTTATGGCAAAATTATTAAACGACTTTCATTTTCAGGAGAAGAGATTGGAAGCACATTCGTGGCAGAAGCTGATCAATGAGGAGATGGTAATCATTATGCTCGGAGCACTATGATATGGTTATTTTTTTATTATTTTCGTTTTGAAAATCGGGTTTCCGGTCTTCAGAAGTTCTATTATTGGAATATTCTTGGATTTATCTTGTTCGGTGTTTGCGGAGTAGAATAGAAACGATGCATAGAATCCTTTTAAATGTTTGATTCAGACCGCCTATCCGAATTTGTTCGAGAGCGTTTATGAGAGCTGCGGAACTCCACACACCGAAACCAATGAATTGCTCCGAGGAGCTTCATCGCGACCGACCAGCTCGTTGAGCCTCGCATTGATTCAAGAGAGCGTTGAGGTTGATTCCAGATTTCCTTATTTGTCAATCGTCTCATATCGCAATTTCAGACGTTCAAGAAAAATGAGGAAACTTGGAAGCGCATATTCGACGTGGATCCGGTCGAAGACAATTGGGTGTTCTCGACGAGACCATCGGATGCCGACTCGTACGTTGTGGTGCCAGAGGCGGACAGCGACGAGTGGGGATTGTCCCGAAACAAGGTCTTAATGACGATGGACACGTCGGAATCGAGCTCGGATGGATCGTTCATTGTTGTCGACGAAGTTGAAGGATCGATGAGTTTGGAAGGCGAGGAGTCGACGAGCGATCGTCTCACTGAAGCCGACAGCGATTACTTCCTCAAAGGATACGATCCCCATCAGCTCGATCTGATAATGTCGAGTCTTCAACTCGTTCCGGCCAGCGTCGAGATGATCGCTCCCAGTAAGGAAGATGAGATCGCGGTAATCACTTCTGCAGTCTTTCAAATAAAAAAATTAAAATCCCATATTTTAGATCCGCGCCAACAATTTTGAGAGCGATGAGTTCGCTGGAATGAATCTTTTGTTCGCCCGTCGTACCGTTGAGCAGCTTCTCGCCGAGCGCACTTCCACGGTGCTGCCGGAAGCGTCGCATCGTCACGACTACGTGCACAAGGTCGTCATGCGGCTGTTCATGATTCAGCGCTTCGCGCCGGCACCGTTGCCGAAGCGGGAGAACACCCGCTCGAGATGCTGCAGCTTCTGCTACAACTTCGTGCTCACCACATGCCGGAAGATGGGAGTTCGGGCGCCGTCGAAGGACGACTTCGGGCCGTGGTCGACCCACGAGATCGTCGTCCGACAGAACAATGAGAAGTTCACACAGTAAGCTGCCATCTTGCTTGAGCCTCTCCATATAGGGAAATTGATTTCAGATGCCAGTTCCTTCGTTGCCAGGTGTGCCCACACTGCAAGATGTCCGGAACCAAGGCGCACACGATGTCGCACTGCCCTGAGAATCCGAACCGTCGTCGGAACTCGTTGATGATCGATGGTGACGGGAGTGAGGACAGCTCGACGATGGGTGGATTCTTCAAGACGGGAAGTCGTTGAATTTTTTTTGCTCACCCATTTATTTACCCACATGTCATATAATCAACTCTAGCAAATACCAGTTTCCATTTATATATCCAAATACCATATATAGTTAGTTACCCCGTATATTTACTCACACTTCCTTCTTGCAATTCTAATCATTTACCATATATAGTCAGATACCCAGTTGATCATATATTCTTGTGCCATTTTTTTTGTTCTTTTCAAGCTTTTACAACATGAAAAATAAATATGAATATTATTGAAATCGAATTGTTTTTTTTTTGTGCTCAAAAATTATGGGCTGTAATCAATCAGCTACTTTTTTCCCCGAGCAATTAAAGGTTTTTGGCAACGGTTCAACAAATTTAAGCAATTAGATTTTGAATTAAACTTGGTTTTCAACAAAATTTGCCATAATTCAATGAAAATTGATTGAATTGGAAATTTCGCTCGCTGGAATCCTTAGACATTGCTCCTGAATATGTATTCCAAATTTGGGCAAAATCGGTGATTAGGCGAATTTTGGCAGATTTTGATCGAGTTGTGTCGATTCGTCAGGAAATTCTCAAAATAGCTCAATTGCATTTATCGGACGAACACCGAGAAGAAGTATTCAGCATTTTCCTGCACTTTGCAATCAGGTGCCCACAGATCTGTGTGGTGCAGTGTGTTGATGCGCCGCATCTTCTAAGTTTACCGTCGACGTTTTGAACAAAAATTTCAATCTCACCAATTTTTCTCAAAATTTGTACATAAATTCAGGATAATTTTCTAAGATTTTTGGCATTTCGGGAATTTCGATTCAACGATTTTCACCCGAGTTATGATCATTTTCCTAGCAACATATTTTAGGCGTGAAATTGTATGGCAAATTATCGTATGCGCCTTGAACTCCCAGAGTGTTACGGTAACTTAAAATTGTTTTTTTTTTTAAATTCATGTGAAAATAACAACTTGGTTATATTTTTGACGAAAATATCAAAAATAAAAATTGGGTCATTTCATAAATTTCCCAATAAAATTCAAACCACCCAAACAAATAAATATTTTTTATCATCAAAATTGCGCCAACATAAACCTAATTGAATATTCAATGAATTTCATTTTCTTTTTTTTTTCAGGAGCAAAAAAACTGCATTCGTGGCCCCTTTTGTTCGAATCCGAGAGACAAAGTTGTTTTCGGCTCATCGAAACTTGAAAATCAACACTGCGGCTTAATTAAAGTCGGCAAATAGATCGAATGTCAAGTTTCCCCCAGCATTCATTCGCTTCATGCTGCGGACATTTTCAATTCTCCAAAAAAGTGTCCGCAGCATGATTTTTTGATTTTTTTTGTAAATACCCATTGGTTTATCGCTTTATTCATTAAGTTGGTCAGACTATTTGAAAAAGCAACATGCATTTTTTATAAATATCGCTTAGGCCCCCGATTCTGCTGTCATTTTGAGCGTACGTGCATTGTCTTGTCATTTGTCGTCGTCGTTGTCATCGTTTAGCAAAGATTGCACGCATTCGGGCATTTTTGCTTTCTTACCGCCGCCGAGTAGAAGGTGTTGGTGCAGAAGCCGTTTCGAGCCCAAGCGGCGCAACTGAAAATTTTACGATCATTCAATTTCTTTTGAAAAATTTTATCACGAGAAATTCCGCCAAAAATTCCGCTTGCGACCATTTTTGGCATTTTTTGCAAGATTTTAAATTTTTTTTTTAATTTTAAAGAAGACAAATGTTGAAATTTTTGAAAATGTGGTGGATAAAATTGCTAAATTTTTTTAAATAATTTTTTTCAAAAAAAAACTATTCTACGACAGAAATGCAAAATTTCTGAAATTTGAAAAATCTGCAATGCCTACTTTGCGAGATCGGTTCCACATGAGCCGCTACCGCCGTTGCTCGCCGTCGTTGACGTCGTGCATCGCGCGCACGTCCTCTGGCAATTGGCGTTGACAAAATCTTGAAGCGAGATGCTGTTGCAAATGGTGACGTCGTTGGCGCAATCCTCAACCGCGTCGACGCATCCACCCTGTTCGCATAATCCGCAAGACGCCGGACATTCCTGAGCGATGACAACACGCCAAGTGGGATCATTGCATTGGGATTGGGTGATCGTCGCGCAGTTGATTGAAGGCACTCAAAAAATGACAATTTTGCGATTTTTTTTGAACACTAACAATAATTAAAATTTGAAAAAAGTGTAATTTTTGGCTTAATCAAAAATGGGGGGCTTAAAATGAATTTCAAAATTTTCTGTATAGCCCAAAATTCGACATTTCGATGTTATTTCTCATTCTTCATTCTTACACGCTTTGTTCGAACAACTGTAGGCGTTGGTGAGACAACAGAATCCGCAACGCTTCGGGCACTGCGATATCGAGCTCTCCTTCAATCCGGCGTCAATCGGCGCCGGCGTTGCGTCGGCGGTCGAATAGCAGCGGAACGGTCGCGCGTTGTTGGTGCCAGCCGACGGAACGATCGTCTCATCGTCGGCCGGATAGAGCGCGGCGCAGGAGGCGTCCGAAATGATGTTGCTGCAAGCCACCGCGATCGACGTGTAGACAAACTGCAAACATTTTGAGCGTGATTTTCGCCAGCTCGCAAAAAAACGCTTGCCTCGGTGCCATTGTAGACGGTACAGTTCAAATCGGAGCCGATTTGCGCGCTGACGGCGCCGACGACGAGCAACAAGAAAAGCATGAAACCTCCCAAATGAGTTGAATCGAGTGATGATCTGAAATCAGTCGGCCATTTTATATCATTCGCGTATTCATTTGCACAGCTTTCCACTTAACATCAGAAGCGTTTACTTTTTGTTTTGAATGTATCCTGTTCAAACATCTTTAATAATTTGTTTAATGTTGATGTTGATGAGTAATCATTTTGAATTTTGAACCGTTTCCGCAAATTTTTAAAATTTTGTTTTTTTTTTCTTGGAAACTATCACTATGTATTATTTTGAAAATTTAGTTTTTTTTTGGAATTTACGAAATAATTTAAAACAATTAAAGATTTCATTAATATTTTATGTGAACACACCTGACGCCATCATATTAGCAAGTGGGAAAAATTCCAATGATTGAGCTCTGAAAACAACAAAACCAACAATAAATCGCGGAAGTCGATTTTTAAAACGCGGAACATTTTTAAATTGACAAATAATTTTCAAACAATTCGAACAATAACGCAAAAATTTGAGAAAATTGAAAGTATTGCGAAATCTTGAGGAAAAATTGAAGTAAACATCAAGTCCGCAATGCGTCGGTGTTTGCGGACTACGCAACATTCGACGCCAATTTTATTTTTAATTTCCAACGTTGAACAATAAATGTGTCAAAAGAGAAAGAATTCCAACAAAAAAAAACGATTAGTCGTGTGAAAAAGAAAGTAGGCAGAATGCGGATAATTGAGGACGAAAGCAGAAAAGAACTTCTTTTTTTTCCATTTCATTTCAATTCGCGCGAAAAAAAATAAATGTGCATCTCATTTGACGAATCATCACGCCGGCGATTTTCTCTCATTTTTTTTCTCGTCCATACGCAAAAATTCAATTTGTTTCATCATAATCATCGGTTTGAATCGTGTGTTTTTCGAATATTTCTTTTTTTTTGGGTTCGAATTTCGCGCGATAATCCTTTGACCCCCCGTTCATATGGGGGGTGGCTTATCAAGCTTCTTCGTCAATTTTTCACTTTGTTGTTTTATTTTTTTCCTCTTCCTAGATTGCACGCCGACATTCTGGCAACCGAAAGAAGCGGGGTGGCTCCCTCTTCAGTCTGATTGACGGCGCGCGCTTTACTCGAACGCCGCTCGCCCCAAAATGTCGTCGGTCTCAGGTTGGTCATCTTCTCTTTTTTTTATTTATCTCGATTTTGTGCTGCGGACAAAATTTTTGATAAATGACGACATGATCTTCTGTAGATTTAGACATTCAATAATTTAGAGAATTCGTCACAAAAATTGATTTTTCAAAAATTCGATATGCGCCTTTAAAATGATCATTTCGACGAATCTTGAAGAATCATTGGGAATGTGCCTTTAATAAGCTTTCTAATGATATATGACAGTTGATATTAAGGATACAGTTTTTTGGAATGAAATAAGAATTAAAAAAAGGAAGACCTGAATTTTTTTTTGCAATTCCCCACTAAAATAAATAGAATAATTTCAAATTGAACCAAAAAAAAAATTCGCCGTAATTCTTAACATTTTGATTTGTGCAGGCGGCCACAGCGCCTCACCGTACCTCCGACGCTACCGTATCCCACAGCTGAACACGATCCGATCGCACTACATGGACGACGAGTTCGACGACGAGATTTGGGCCGAAGTGCAATTGTCGAAGGAGGAACTCATCCGGATTCGAATGGTTCGTTTTCACTGGCCACACAATGGTCCCGAGGAATTGATGGTCCCCAACGGAGGGGCGACTATCAATTTGGGCGATCTTGAACGAGTGTCGAAGAAAATCGCGAATGCGCATTTTATTGGGAGAGAAGCTTAAAGGCGCATAGAATTATTTGCAGTATCAATTCTCGACTCGCCACTTGATACTTTTTCAAGGCACATACATTGAAGGGATCCAAGTTTAAAGGCGCAAGACCTAGTCAAATAAAGGTCTCGAAAAAAGCGAAATGACATTTTTCCAGTAACATTTGAGGATTTTTTTTTTTCTTTCAAAAAAGCCGATTTCGATTTGTCGAATATGAATTTTTAAGCAGATTGGCGAAGGCGAAAATGACGAAAAAAAAACAGTGAAAACGAAAACCAAACAGGAATCGACGTTGGGGTGTGTAATCGAGAGAACGATAAGCGAAAAATAAAGCAAATCAAAAATCGCCGCCCTTCGAAATATATGAGCTGAGCTGGGTTTCGCTTCAGGACCGCCCCCGCGTCGTGCTCCTTTAATTTGAATGCAAAGAAAATGCGGGATTTCATGGAAAAATCGCGTTGAAAACGAGTCGGAAATAAATCGGTTACTGTAGGCGGTTTAAAGGCGCTTGTGGGTTTTTGTGCAATGGTCTCGAAGCGATTTAAACAAAATTACGCCTAAAAGTAAGAAAAAAATTTTTTTGATAAAAAACCTATGAATTGAACATTTTTTGAGTAATTTCTATAATTTTTGCAATTTTTGCGCAAAAATTAGGCAAGTCAACCATTTTTGTTGCGATTTTCACACAATTTTCAAAATGATTGACGATGGATGAACTTGCAGAAGGAGTACCAAGCGATACGAGTAAACAACAACAACAACTCAAAAATGTCAACAACTACAAAATGCAGTAATACTAATAAAGGAGATGGAGAGAAGAAGCTTGACAACAACCATATAACGCATCCAAGCAGGTCAGAATCAGAATCAATTCTTGCGTCACACGATTCGCCCAATTTTTTGCAGTCTGCCCACGACGATGACGCGACGAGACAGCGGGCGATTCGGCGAGACGCAGACATCTCGCCATTTCTTTCATCCAAAACATCTTTTTACTTCTGTTCTTCACTGTTCGTCGGCTTCTACTTCTACAGCCAATGCTACTAACCATTATAATAATAATAATCATCATCATTGAATGCCCATAGTAGTTTTTGGTGATTTTTTGGCGATAAAAAGTGCACCCAACAAAAAAAACTGGTCCTTTTTAATGATGGTTTTGTTTTTCATCGATCATCATTTTTGTTTTAATCCATTTTTTTCCACTCAATTTTTTCCCCCGCATTGTTATCTTATCAGTGGCTCGTTTTTCTGGAAGATTGATAGACATTTGAACTGTGCACTTCGATTCTGCTGCCGACGTTTCACGGGAGTGGGGTTGCTTCGCATTCTATTCCAAACCAACGTGAGCGCACTTCCTTAAGGCAATTTTGTGCTGCGGACAACCATCACCAGCTGCGGACAGTCTACCGGTTTCGAAATTTTGGATTTAATGACTTTCTCCCATAAAATCAGCAACCTTGAGTCCTACCATACTAACTACTAATAAGGAAATGGCATCGCCGACATTGTTCCGGGTTTCGCGGCTAACAACAATTAACTAACTAGTAGACAACAAAAGTCCTCCCCCTTTAAACAACCATCAACATATTTGGGGCGCGCTGTGTGAAACCGACCATTTCCATAGTTTTCAACTCGTTCGAGTAGATCAAAAGTTAAATTTCGTTCTCGAAATAATCCTGACGGCAAAATGATGATAAAAATGACGCGAAATTTAATAGGCTTTCGTCGAGGGACCCTGCTTTATCAGCTTCTTTATATATTTTTCCCCTTTCCATTTTAGAGGAGCTGATTATAAATTGTCACCGGCTGACGAGTTTTGTTTGACTTATCGGCACACACGACGCCCTCACCGGTAAACCGTCGGAATTGGGTTGTTGCCCGGTTCGACGCTTAATGAATTCAAATTCGTCTTGAAATGGACGGCGCTTCGTTGTCGTCATCTACGCGCGGCAGCTTGCAGTATCGATCCAAGTGAGTTGCATATTGAAATTGATTTTTTTTCGGTTTTGCAAAAATTCTGCAAATTATCCCCGCTGTTTTCTTGTCAGAAATAATTCAAAAATCATGATCATCGCAAAAATTTGATTATTTTAGTTAGTTTTGCTTTAAAAATATGAAAAATTGCAAAAAAAAATTGAGAGGAATAAATCGAATAAATAAAACATGTGCAATTTTGCGTGAGATGTGGCAAGTCCGCATTGCGAAAATTGTTTTTCGAAATTCAAAGAAAAAATTTTTCCCTAAATTTTTCGCATTTTCGAGCGTTATTTCGTTAAAACTTTTTTGGAAATTATTAAAATCGCATTGTGAGCTCATTTTTATCGCAAACTTTTGTCATTTCAGCTAATTTTTTGCCAAATTTTCAGCACGAATTTAGATGCACGCAAATCGGATTGGGTCTCGTTATGGTTTTGCAATTTGCTGTTGTACGCCAATGGGCTCCAGATGTCATTATATTTCACGTCGATGTGGCCATATTTGTTGAAAGTGAGCATTTTCTTTTTTTTTTTTTTGAATTTCACCCAATATTTTCAGCTCGACCCTAACGCTCAGCTGCCATTCTTCGGCATCATTTTATCGAGTTTCAGTTTCGGACAGGCGATTGTAAGTATTTTTATTGCAACCAGAAGAATCGTTTAAACAGGCGGCCAACCTTGACGCCGGTTACAGCGTCAGATGATGTATAAATATTGTCGGCCGATCGACGAAACAATCAATGGTCAACGGTCGGTCTGAAATTGATGCGGAACCCGTTTTTATTTGCGAATCATTTTGATTCGAAAAAAAGAAGAATTGCATCGGGAAATTTTTTCTTCGACTAAAATAGCAAAACAATCATTTTTTTCGAAAAAAAAACATTTTTGTTCGAACCGCCCATCTCATTTGAATATTCAGTAGTGATCTGGATTTCAGCCTACGCGTAGATAATATTTAGCCAGAGCGCGAATTTCCAATTTCGTCGATCTACACTAGAATTGAATTTTGAAAAATTTTCTGGAATTTTCCATGATATATATTATTTGGATTACAAAAATTTTTAAAAATTGTTTCAGAAAAATCTGTCCATTTAAATTATCTATAATTAAGTAGGTCGAATTTCGAGATTTTTCGTGAGGAGGAAAAATTTTTAAACTGGACTTTCAAGATTTGAAGCTCGAAAATTTTTTTTGTCAAAAATGTTTTGATTTCAAATTGGTCAATTTGAAGGGCTCGCCAATTTTCGGCACGTGGACCCAAAAATCGGAGCGCTTCAAAGTGCCGATCTCGACGGGTCTGGTGATATGCGCGACGGGAAATCTGTTCTACGCGCTTCTGCCGACGATCGATTGGGAGCCGCAATGGATGATGTTGGTGGCGCGCGTGATCGTCGGCGTCGGCGCCGGCAATCTGTCGGGCTTGCGAGCCTACACGTCGGCGTGCTCGACATTGGAGGATCGCGGACGAGCCGTGTCGCTCTCGATTGGCAGCATGGTGACCGGAATGCTCACCGGACCAATTCTTCAGGTACATTTCTTCAGTAGATTTCAAAATAAAAACCTGTAGGCCATGCATGCGCCTTTAAATATTTCTAGCCGAAAATAAAAAGTGGATTTGGTTTGTTTCAAGACCTTTATTCCACATATTGTTTAAAAATGGTGGAATTTTTGAGCCAGTTTTTGGCGCGAAATTTGAACAAGCTTCTGGCACCACTAATAAAGGCGCTCACTCATATTGACGTGATTTAAGACGCTCATTTGACCCGAAATTGTCAATTTCAGACGGCTTTTGCGTTCATCGGCGACGGTGTTCGAATATTCGGCACGATCGACATCGATTGCTACACGTCGCCGGCGTATTTCCTCGCGATTTTCCTATTATTGATGGTCGCCATCGTTTTTGTGTATTTCAGCGAAAACTACGCCGGCATAATCGACGAGAAGGCCGAACAATGTGGTATGATGTTTTTTTTTGCGATTTCGAAAAAATCCGATTTTTTCTTTCCATTTCAGATGTCAAAATTCCGGATTTCGATCGTCTCGCCGCGTTCACCTGCATCTATTTGTGGTTCGTCATTCAGACGATCGCCGTCAACATTGAATCGTACGGTTTTTTTTTTATTTTTTTGCTTTTTTTTGCGTAACTCGTGATTTTAATAAAAAGAGAGAACCATACAGAGAAGAACATTTTTTATTTTAGTAAAAAAAAATAATTTTTATTTCAAAAATAAAAAAAAATTTTAAAAATTAAAAAAAAAATTAAAAAATTTTATCAACATTAAGTTTAAATTTCAATTTAACCAAAAAATTGCGCATATTCTGTTTCTGAAAATAAATTTCTACCGTAATCCGTCGCGACAAGACCCAGCTTATTGATTGCTTCATTATTTCTAAAAATTCAAATATTTAAAAAAAAATGAAATTTTTTTCGAAAATTTTCGAACAGTGTTTTTTTTGGATATCGTAATCAAAGGCGCACCCACTTTTGTGGTGCTGGGTCTCGCAACGACCAATTTTTAATTGGATTTAAATATAGATAGTTTATTGGAAAACGATGGGGCCAATCATTTGCAGCCTATGCACGGTGTTCACAATCGCAATGTACAATTGGACGTCGCACGAGTCGATCATCTACAACGGCTACATCGAGACCGCCTCATGCTTTATCTCCGTATCGCAATATCTCGTGCTAGGACTCACACGAGTCGGCAAATTGTGAGATTCGAAAAGAAAAACAAAATGAAGCAATAATTGAAATGAATGCTTTGTGCAGAGACAAACGATATCATATTATATTCGGGACGATCGTCTTCTCGATTTACTACCTCGTCCTTCTACCGTGGCCGTTTTATACCGGAAAACTCGACTATGATCCGAATGCGACCGACGGCGCGTGCACCTACGCGTGGTGCCAATATGTGCCGAGGTAAATTGGGCTAATTGCCGCCAAAATTGGCGATTTTGTTTGCAGGGTGCCATTCATCGCCTACCTTTTTGTGTATATTGTCTGTTTCGGCATCGCTTTTCCCTATATCGGAAATTCGATTGGAACGCTTTACTCGGAGATTTTGGGACCTCGACAACAGGTGCTTTTTTTTGTTTTTTTTTTTAGATTTGACGATGAATTTGGTCTTGCAGGGAACAATGCAGGGAGTGTTCGCGTTTGTTGGAAGTGTCGGACGGTGTTTTGCGCCGTTGGCAACCACGTGGGTTTTCATTTTTTGTTGGTTGAAAAATTTTGAAAACCACTCTGCGTGTGCCTTTAAAGTGAAATTAAAGGAGCATAGAGCGTAACGAAAATATTAAAATTGCAAATTTTCTTTTGCGCTATAGCACCTATTAGTGAGATTTGAATTTTGTCGAGACCAATTATTAAAGGCACAGGAGCAGTGTATCTACCCGGGACAGGATTTCCCGGGATCCCGGGAATTTCGTTTCCCGCGTTTATCCGGGAAATCCCGGGACTCCAATCCCGGGTCTCGTCCCGGTTTCGTACCGCAACTACCCGGGAAATTCATTTCCCGGGATGAGCGGGTTCCCGGGAAACCCGGGAAATTCCCGGGACAATCCCGGGAAAGTCTGCAAACACCGCGCGCGCAAACGCACACTCTTCGAATATTGCCTATTCTCGTTTTTTTTTAATGAATTTTCTTATTTTAAAAAGATTCCAATGCTTAGAAAATGGCGTAGGAAGTCCCTATTTGGAATTTTTAAAATTTGGCAGAAAAATGAGTACAATTGAAATGTGCAAATAACGATTTTTCCAAATTAGCAAGAATTTTATACGAAATAATGGTTTTAAACTTTTTTCAACGAAAAAATTTATTGAAGATCGATCAATATTCGAAGAGTGTGCGTTTGCGCGCGCGGTGTTTGCAGACTTTTTCCCGGGATTGTCCCGGGTTTCCCGGGAATTTCCCGGGATCCCGGGAAATTAAGTTTCAATGAGTCCCGGGCCCCGGGAAAATTTTCCCGGGAAACTTCGTCCCTGGTAGACACACTGCACAGGAGGATGATTTGTTTTTTTTTTGAAATAATGTTGGAATTTCAGCGCGATTTTCAACGCTAGCGGCTACACGTGGATCAGCGTCGAATTGCTGTGCTTCGTCCTATTCGGCGGTTTTTTGTGCATTTTGTTCTGGAAGCGACTCGTGCCGCTGAAATTGATCAGCGTCTCGACCGTTTATAAAGACGCCTAATTTATTCGATGATGTTGTCAATATGTGTGTGTGTCTATTAATGAAATTCGATGTTTTTCTTTTGACAATATTTTTAAACGCTTTTTGATGAAAGAAATGAATGTGAAATTTGGTAGAACAGGGATTAAAAGTGCCGTTAAAAGGTTGACTTGAATTATTCAAGTCTTGCTGCGGACTTTTGCCGGGTTTCACCAAAATTTTGCCAATTTTGCAAAATGGAAACCTTGATTGGCTAAATCTGCCCTAATTAGGTTTATTTACTACGGACGATTCGCGGGTTTCGCCGGCGTCTATAAATAACGCATTTTTGCGAGTTTTCAACGAATACCAGAAATAGTTGTTGTGGAAGATCCCAAATTAGGAAATTTTCATTTATTTTTAGGGCAAAGGGTTTATTTTAAATAAATATGACGCAAAATATTGTATGTGATGGCGTCTGCCGACATTTCGCGGGTTTCGCTGCTGTCCGCAGCTGGCGATATTTTGATTTTTTTTTCAGTTTTTGACTTTTTCTCAAAAAAAAAAATTGAAAAAGCTCATTTTAACCAAAAAATTTCTAGTCTTTCGATTTAAAAGGAGAAAAAGGTTGAATTTATTCGAAATAAATATGGTAATAAATAGACGGGCCAAAAATGGTTTGGTCAAGCGACGGAATAGCGCGCGGTGCCACGGGTGCCCTTCATCGAGATCCCGCGACGATTCAGATCCTCGAACATCTCGTTGTGCTGTAATGCGCCTTTAAAGTTTCACAAGCGTTTTTTTTTTGCTTGAAATTGAACTCTAAAATAAGAAAAAAAAAATCGATTTTTAAAATTTCTACAGATTTTCGAAAATATAAAATCAAAAATTTATTTTTGAAATTGCGCGTCTTAAAAAAATATTTCGCAAAACAAATTTCGAATCCCCTTTTTTTTGGGACCATTAAAATCGAAGCAATTTTCAAAGTTTGACAGCAAATTTATAAAACATCAATGAATTCGAGGCGATGAAAAAAAACATGTTGGGACCATCATTTTTTTCGACTAGAAATTCCAAATCAAATGCGATTTCAGCATTTGCTTTTTGGAAAAAAAAAATCAAGACGCCGCACTCACACTTCGTTTGATTGTCGGGAATTTCGTCGAATAGTTGTAGCAGATTTTGATGGCGATGAGCAGAAAAATGAGGCACAACGCGCAGACGAGGCCGGCGAGAAGCCAATCGCTGAAAATCGACTGGAAATTCCCGTGGAATTAACTCATTTGGGTTGAATTAATCGACGTGCGCGCGTCTGCGTCTCCTCGCAACGCACACTCTCTCTATCTCATCGCCTTGCGCCCTCCCCTCTTTTCTCTCTCTCTATTTTCCACACTCTCTCACTTACTCGAAATTGCACCACAAACACGTCAACCCAATATGTAAGGGCGCATATTTTGTGAAAATTAGAATCACTCCACTATTCGTGTATTTTAAACAGACCCCAACCCCCTCAAAAAAAATCAATTTTGCGCTGAGAATTGAAAAAAAAATTCCAAAATGAGATGGGTACGCGATATTTGCGTCGCGGTGTTTGCACACATTGACGCTTGCTAGCAATTACTTCAAATTAGGGGTATTTCAAATCGACCTTTCTGTGTACTCCACACGGACAATGCTGGCCCATTTTTCATAAAAAATATCTCAAAAAAAAACAATTTTTTTGGAAATTGATTTTCGCAAGAATTTCGAGATTTTTTTTGGAATAGCAAAAAATTGTGCATTTTTTCTCAACGAAACCACAAATTGTTGGAATTTTTCGAAATTTATTTGAACCAAAAAAAAAAGAAAAAAATCTCACATCGAATCAGTTGATGGTGTCGAGTTGATGGGAATTTTCGTCAATTTCTCCATTGCCTGCAATTTGCGACGAATCAGCTGCGGACAATCATCGAGGTTGATCAAATTATTGAAATTGAAGTTTACAATGAATCTCATCAATTTTCTAGGCGAGCCGCGACGCGACCGCAACGCGTCTGAATGTCTCGCCGCGAACTCTCGACGTTTTTGCAGAATGTGAAATAAACCAAAATGGGCGGAGAGAAAATAACAAAACGAACATCTGCGGACATCTAACAGGTTTCAATTGGTGGTGTGAAAAGGGACAAAAAAGGAAGGGGCGAAACGAAAACACGGATGACAACAACCGCGTGGGAATCGATGTATGAGTCGAGCCGACGCTCGACGAAAAAGGAAACGACGAGGAAACTGGAGTTTGTGAACTACTTGTGTGTGTGTGAATAAACACAATTTAACAAGGACGAACCAAGCTCGAGGCCATGTTTATTTTTTTTTTCGACTGAATTTGATGAGGCGTTTATTTTTAGAAAAAAAATTGGGCATCACTCGAGATTTTCACCGAAAATTTTTTTTTAATTTTTTAGTTTTATACATTTTTTTCATAAATTGAAGGAGAAATGAGAATTTTTGAAAATTTTGAGGATGCGATTTTTTGAATTTTTGAAAAAACGTAGAAAAAGTGTACAGTGGCGAAACCCGCGAATCGTCCGCAGCCGTCATTCAATAATCAAAATTTTTTAAAAGTTGATCTTCCTCCCAAAAATTCGGGAAATTTTCAAGCAAGCCCTTTCGTCTTGCAATTCGCAAAACAAAAATTCAATGTTTCTTCTAAATTTTTGCAGAATTTCTAGTAAAAAATTGAGTAGGAAGTGGAAAATCAATAAAAAATTCCCAAATTTTGCATTTCCCAAACAATTTGCTTGAAAATTAGTTGGCTATAGACGTTGGCGAAACCCGCGAGTTGTCCGCCGCAAACAAAGCCAATTAGGGGCAGATTCAGAAAATCTCCATTCACAATCTTTTAAAAAAAAACCTAGGAATGATGATATCCGAGCAAAATCTCAAGTGGGCAGCTTCTCAAAGCCGCAATCAATCTTCAATTTATTATAAAACATCAATCTAACAATAGCATAGCAATAATCACGAAATGTCAAATTCAAAGTTGAACAGGAAGAAGAAGAAAAAAAAATAATAATAAACGATTATCGACTAAACAAAAAATGAAACAGAGACGACAAAACGAAATTTGTACATAAGCGAGACGATGAAGGCACGTGGGTGACGAAGAAGAAGAAGAAGAAGGCATCAAACAACATCATTACTATAATTAATTATACGCATACATGAAATGGGTGATGACAAGAAGACAGAATTTTTGTGTGTGTGTGGGGAAGAAGCCTAACACATCGAGGTAATGAATGAGCATCCGAGGACGGACCCGCACCGAGGCAACAATTTGAGAGCACTTCTTTCGCTGATTAGTCCAGATTGTTGTTGGCTTCCAGCGGAAGATCGAACATCACAAAGTTGAGTCTGAAATTGGGCGAAATTGCACAGAAAAATAACAAATTTTCAAAGCGACGAAATTTGAATGCAGAAAAAAAATTTTTCCAAATTTTTTTCTTCTTGTTTATTTTCTCTTAAAACGTTTTTGCAATAGAAAAGTAGAAAACACACACACACTTTAAAGGCGCACAAATTTCGGCACCAAAGTTGATCTAATTTGAGGTCAATTGTGTGCAAACATTTTTTTTCTTTAGTCAAATTCCATCTGCGGACAATTTCAACGCGCACAAAAACCCACTTTTTTCGATATTTCAGCGCCGGATAGAGCGACAAATACGTTCTCGGCACCAATCCCGTGTCGCCATTCGAATTTCGACAAGTCCACCAATGCTGAAATTTTGTTTTTTTTTGTCGAGCAATTTTTTTTTCGGGTTTCGTTTTTCAAATGCAATTTCTCTTTGAAAATATTGCCGAAATCGCGCGACTGTCATCTTTTCTTTTTGAGCGAAACGCCCAAAAAATGGTCTCGAGAAAAAGTGTGTGTACTCCGCACGGACCAATTGCGGCGTAAATCGACACCAATGTGGACGAGACCCAATTCTACCGTACGCCGAGCCATTCGAATTTTTTTTTCGAAATTACTATTTTAAAATTGTTTCAATTGGGAAATCATCGAATATTTGAATTTTCGGCTTAATCGACCAATTATGAGACAAATGCCTTGGGCATGGGCGGCCCGGAAAACGGGACCACTTGAAACATGGACAATTTTTGTTTGGTTCGCAAAATCAAAATGTTGGCTTGGTCCGATGCCAAATTTCAGCTCAAATAAAAAACTTTGGCGTTTTTTTTTTTGAATTGCGCGCCAAAAATTTCAAAAATTGATTTTTTTTGGTGCAATTTCGCGTATTGTGAATGCACAGAATTTTTTCGGTGCAATTTTGCGTAATGTGAATGCACAGAATTTTTTTCTGTGCAATTTCGCGTATTGTGAATGCACAGAATTTTTTCGGTGCAATTTTGCGTAATGTGAATGCACAGAATTTTTTTCGGTGCAATTTTGCGTAATGTGAATGCACAGAATTTTTTTTTTCGGTGCAATTTCGCGTATTGTGAATGCACAGAATTTTTTTCTGTGCAATTTCGCGTATTGTGAATGCACAGAATTTTTTCGGTGCAATTTTGCGTAATGTGAATGCACAGAATTTTTTTTCTGTGCAATTTCGCGTATTGTGAATGCACAGAATTTTTTTCTGTGCAATTTTGCGTAATGTGAATGCACAGAATTTTTTTCGGTGCAATTTTGCGTATTGTGAATGCACAGAATTTTTTCGGTGCAATTTTGCGTAATGTGAATGCACAGAATTTTTTTTCTGTGCAATTTCGCGTATTGTGAATGCACAGAATTTTTTCGGTGCAATTTTGCGTAATGTGAATGCACAGAATTTTTTTCGGTGCAATTTTGCGTAATGTGAATGCACAGAATTTTTTTTTCGGTGCAATTTCGCGTATTGTGAATGCACAGATTTTTGCCCAAAGAAAAAAACTCAATTTTTGAAATTTTTGGCGCGCAATTCAAAAACCAAAATTGCAAAAATTTCTCAAGAGCAAAATTCTGACAAACCATATCAACATCGTCTTTGCTCAACACGACAAGCTCATCGCCGGCGTCAAAACTGAGCTCGTCCTCGTACTCGGCCTCATACGAGTACACCGCGTACACTTTGCCGTTGTTGATGTTGCCGGTTGACGAGTGCGCGGCGACCAAATACTTCAGACAGCCGTCGTAGCCGTCCTCTTCCTCTTCGCACTTCTCGACCGGCGTCTCCATGTCGGATAGGGTGGCGGCGAGCACGCAGGCGCCGCCCTCGACGAGTTGGCGCACCATCGGCAGATTGTTGCACGACGCCGCGCAATGCAACGGCGTCCATCCGTCCGAGTCTTGCGCGTTCACGTCGGCGTCGTGCTCGATGAGGAATCGAACGATCTCGTAGTGTCCCGCGCAGATCGCGTTGTGAAGCGCTGTGATGCCCTCGTCGTTCGCCTGCGAGACGTCGACGAGCTGAAAATGAAATTGCAATTTTGATTTTGTTCGACAAAAAAATGTCTAGACGTCAAATTGTTCCGCAAATTGTCGCATGCGCCTTGAACATCCCACAACGGGTTACGGTATTTCAAAAAAATTATTTTTTGGTTTTTTTTTCAGCAAAATTCAAGTGATAAAATTGATAATGCAAAATTTTTAAAAAGAAATTTCAAAAATAAAAAAAATGTCAAAAATTTTCAACAAAATTCAATTTTATACAAAAATTCCAAAAATTGCATTTTTTTTCGGGAAAAATTCAATTTTTTATAACGGTTCTCGCCACGAAAACGTCTGGTTACTGTAGAACAATAAAAAAGAAAAAATTGCAAAAAAAAACAGACTGGCTCACCTTTGCCGAACTCGATTTGACCAAATCCAAATCGCCTTCAAGCGCGGCTTCGAGCAGCAACGCCAACGGATCGAACTCGATTCGTCCTTTGTTCAGCTTCTCGTTGGGACGTCGAAGAATGCTCTTGATGACGCGCTTCTCTTGTGCAACTTCCATCTAAAAACAAAAAAATTTGAATCAAATCAACAATTTGAGGAAAAATAAAACCAATTTCGCCAATTAAAACCCCCCATTAAATGTGATCATAAAATGACGTCCCTCATTTTTTTTTGTTAAAGAAAAAAAAATTGAAACCTCCAGATTCAATTCATCCACGGATCGCGTCGAACACGAGCTCGTCTCTTCCTCCGTCGTCGTGTCGCTTCCAATCATCATCTGATCCATCAGCGACGTCGGCGGCTCGACGGTCATCGGCGATTCCGGCTCGTCCACTGTCGGATTCGAATTCGTCGTCGACGCCGCCGCCGCCGCCGTCGTCGTCGTCGTCGTCGTCACACTAACCGTCTCCTCCGTGCTCGTCACCTCAGGAATCGTCTCCTCGTGCGGCGTCGGCAATTGCGGAATGAAATGATTGCGACCGCGTCGCTGCTCATCGAGCAGTCGATGAATCATCTCGGCTTCCGTCATCGACGTGCCCTCAGAAGCGGCCCACGATCGTCGTTTCGTCGCCTTCAACGAGTCGGATCGCAACGAGACGAGATCGGTCTTGCCGCTTCGCAATCGCGACTCGTCGAGACATTCGCCAAACGCGTTCGGCGAATCGCGAGTCTGCAACACAACAGACATCCAGCGAATGATGATCGATGATCGACGGACGACTTACCGATGAATTGATTTTCTGCTCAAATGTGCTCAACGCCGGAGAGGCGAATGTGCTCAAACACGACGGCGGCGGCGGATTCGGATGCGGATCTTTCGGCGGCGACGGGCTCGCCTGCTGCTCTTTCGCCTCCGACTCCTTTCTGCAATTTTTTTTTCTCGAAATTCATCAATCAATAAAATTGGGATCAATTTTTGACCTACCCATCTGTCGTCGTCTTCTCGGCCGTCTCATCCTTGTCGGGACTCGTCGTCACCTGGAACGGCTCGACCGACGCGCGCGGTCTCACGACCGCCTCGGTGGCGGCGTTGCGATTCTGCTGAAGTTTGCGGTGTTCGACGAGCGCCGCCGCCGACGCCGTCTGCCGCCTCTTGTACATTTCTTCAAGCTGAATGACGAAATATTGAAACGAAAAAAAAAGGAAAGAATGTGCAAAAGTCGCCGCAAGACCCATCCAATTTCCACGCTATGCGCCTTTAATTAATTATTTCAATTTTCTTTTTTTTTTTGAAATTTCGCAATCTTTTTCTATTAAAAAAATTGAAAATTGAGAAAACAAAGATCAGAAATCAAAAAATTTGAATAGCTTTCAAATTTCAACAAAAAATTAAAGGCACATACAGATTTTGCGCCGAGTCTCGCAGCGAACCGGTCCATTTTTTTCGGTCATTGACTATAAGTCCAATTTTTCAGGAAAAATCTTATTCAATTGGAAACTTTCAAAAAAAAATTAGTCGAAAGCTCTAAACAACCCCCTGAAAAAATGGCAAAATTTTTTCTTTTTATGGAAAAATGGGCGGCGAGAAATTCAAATTTTCAGAATTTCAGCTATCAGAAAAATTTTTTTTTGGGTTTTTTCTTTTTATGGAAAAATGGGCGGCGAGAAATTCAAATTTTCAGAATTTCAGCTACCAGAAAAATTTTTTTTGGATTTTTTCTTTTTATGGAAAAATGGGCGGCGAGAAATTCAAATTTTCAGAATTTCAGGTGGCAGAAAAAAAATTTTTTTGGTTTTTTTCATTTTATCGAAAAATGGACAGCCAAAAATTCAAATTTTCAGAATTTCGGTTACCAGAAAAATTTTTTTTTAATTTTTTTTATTTCATCGAAAAATGGACAACCAAAAATTCAAATTTTCAGAATTTCAGGTACCAGAGAAATTTTTTTTTTCATTTTTTTCATTTTATCGAAAAATGGACGGCTAGAAATTCAAATTTTCAGAATTTCAGGTAGCAGAAATTTTTTTTTTGGATTTTTTCATTTTATCGAAAAATGGGCGTCAAACAAAAAATAAAATTTTCCGAGTACCAAAAAAAAACGTTGACGCCTTCAAATTTTCTCAATATCAGAGCAGCAAAACTCAAAACAACTCACATGTTTGGTGAGCGATTTGACGCGAAGCGTCGCGTTCCTCAACACCGTTTGCTCGTCGGCGAGCTTCGACGACTCGGCGGCGAGCTCGTGCTCGCGATTCGCGTTCCGCTCGCGCAATATCGCCGTCTCGCGTTCGAGCTCGCGCAATCGCCGCAATTCTGTCTCCTCGTCGGCGACTTGTCGGCGAACCGCGCGCACGCGCTGCTGAACAATCTCGACGGCGTGCTGCTGGTGTTGATAGGCCGAGCGCGGCGCGTCGTCGTAGTCGACGAGGCTGAAACAAAAAAAAAAACAAAATGGAGAAGCGATTTCGAGTACGACATAATCAACACGCCAACTTCCGCATTTCATCAACACAATTTTTTCGTTTTTTTTTTTCGCATGCGCCTTTAATGTCGTATTGATACACCGCCAAAATTGGGGAGTTTTTTTTTTTTGAAATCTCTTGGAAGCTTCAAAATTTTTCGAGGGGAAAAATTTTTTTGAGTGGAAATTTTTCAGAAATTGACCAGAAACAAATTCGGGTTGTGCGACGCAATCGCCATTTTTAAAATGTAAAAAAAAAACAAAATATAACAAATTAGAGTTTTTCTTCCCAAAATCTGCTGGATCAGCGATGATTTTAAAAAGAAAATTTTTGCGTTTAAGCTTTTTTCATTCCAAAAAACCCCCCAAAAAAACGTGTTGATCAAAAAATCGGAAATTTTTTTTTCAGATTTTCCGTCACAAAAAACTGAGACAAATTCTGAATTTCAATTTCATTGATTTGAGGAAACCCGCAAAACGTCCGCAGCTGCGGAATATTGGCTGAATGCCAAAAAAATTTTTTTCAACAAAGAGGTCTCGATGCGCAGTGTGCGCCTTTAGGCTCGTAAATCGACACTTTTCGTTTCGCGCCAAGACCAATACCATTGGTTTTTTTTTTTGGACATTTTGCCAATTTTTTTTCGAAACACCCAAACCACTCACCCACGATCGCGTTTGAGTGTGCCAAACTCGGCGCCGACGCGTCCCGCCATCGGCTGAACCGACATCGTCGGCAGACTCGTTCGCTGCGTCGCCGCGTACATCGAATGGTGATGATGGTGGTTTTGGTGGAGAGGCGGCGGCGGCGGCGGCGGCGGCTGAGCGACGACACGAACCGGCGGCTTCGACATCTACAACAGACACAAAAAAATGTTGGCGAATCTCAACGGCGCGTCTGAAACTGAAGGCCGTCTGAACTGATAAGAGGAGGCGATGGAATGAGGGGGAAGAAGAAGACGATAATGATGATGATGATGAACACTTTGAATGATTCATTCTAGACTGTAACAAACCGAGAAGATTGACATCATCATTATTATCAATCAAGTGTAAAGAGGGAAAACACCAAAATAAGGCATTAAAAAAACCGCGACAGCGAAAGCCGGGAAGCCAGACGAAAAAAAATCATCGGCCTTTTGTTTTTTTTTGGCGGTTTGGCATTCTCATTTTCCAAATTGTTTTTGGCGCGGGTAGATCGAAACAAAAAATCGCATTTTTTTTTTCAACATTTCATGTCTAAATGTGGAATTTCCAAAAATTTGATTGGAAAATTCCAAAAAACAAAAAATCAAGATCATCGAAGGCAAATATTGGTTTTTTTTTTCTTTTTGAACAACTCGTTTAAAATTTTTCAATTTTCGAAAATCGCTAATTCGCTTCGGGACCCATGAGCCAAAATTTATTCGCGTCGGGACCCATGCGCCAAAATTTTGTCGCGTCGGGACCCATGCGAATTTGAGCGATGCGCGTCTCGACGCGAACAATTCCATCAACCCGCTATGATGTCCGCAGATGAGAACACCGTCAAAACATCACAAACAAACAAGAACGATAGGAAGGGTTGATTCGAATGAGCGAAAAAAAAATAAACACAAGAACAGCTATTTGATAAGGATACGAGAAGAGAAGTGAGATGAAAGTGACAAGTCGAGTTCGATCGACGACCAACCGAAAAAAAACAAAAATGAATTCAAGAAAGAGAAAAGAGAAAAAAAAATGAAACGAGAATGGGTGAAACCGATAATCCCCAAATATGAGGAAAAACAAAAGAGGAGGCGCAAAAATTTGGGACCATTTCATTATTTTTCGTTGGCTCATTTCAACGCAAACAGTTCAAAAAATCGAATAGGCGAAATCGGGGATTCAAATTTTTGGACATCTGCGGACACCTTTCCGGTCCGAATCATTCAAGGGCGAATTGCGCAAGCAAGCAAGTAAGCAGTCGGAAAAAAAAAATTGGCGACGATTGACATTGCGAACGAATGAATGAAACAACAAGACGAAGCGAACGACGATTCGGAATCGGATCAACAGGTTTACAATCAACACGTCGTCGTCGTCGTCGTCGGCATGCAAGCGATACACTTGCCGCTGCCGCTGATGCTGCTTATCGTACTATAAACCGAGTGACTTGAATTGCAAGACGACGACAGCGATAATCAAATTAGAAAGGAGAAGGCCGACAAAAAAAATGGAATGCGCAATGTTGCGGAAGAAAACCGGAAGCGTGTTTGTGTGATCTACAAGTTGAAAGGCTCATGAGGAGGACAGCAAAAATTTCTTGCAAAATCTCTAGAAAGCTTTTCTGGGTCTCGAATGGAAAACGTTTTTTTTTTTGGGGGGAGGAAATATTCAACTAGTCGGTTGTCCCGCTAAATTGAGGGCGATGTGTCATTGGAGTGTCGTACTGGTATGGGCCAAATCGCGCAATTTTTTTTTTGGGAATCTTGATGTTCGAAAAAACAAAATCGCCAACCACGTTTCGTCTTTTTCGACAAGTGGCTTCGTGCAAAACTTGAAACCCAATTTCCACTGACATTTTTGATTACAGATTTGTGACGAAAAAAAAAACTGCCGAACCGGTCACGGATACGCAAAATTTTCAACGAAAACACATCGGAACTTGTCAACAAGATCGTGCAATCATCATAGAAACAAGAAAAATGAGAGGAGTTTGGGCGGGTGTTCACCCAAATGACACCCGAAAATGGCAATATTCGACGCATTTTTGAAAATATAGTTCATGGCAAAAAAACGGACAAATTTTCGTTTTTTTTTTCAGAAAAAAACGAGCAACAAAAAAATTCAGATTTTCAAGAAATATGCAAAATTTTATTTGAAATGCAACGCTAATTTTTAATTCTCGATTTTTCCACTTAAAATATTGAAAATTTGCAATTTCTAAGAAAATTATCAAATGTGTGCAATTTTGCGCGCGTGTGTATGCACAACTCTTTTTTCAAAATTTAAAGCAAGTAAAAGACCCAATCAATGTAGAGAAAATTTAAAAAAATAGTCGAGAAAATTTCATTACAAAAAAAAAGTAAAAATTAAAAAATGTTTTTAAATAAAATTTTCTGCAATGATTCCGGAAAATCAAAATCCAAAATCGATAATTTGAAAAAATCAATCCGATATTTAAAATTTTGACGCTCAATTTTTCAAAACCCGTCGGAAAAATAAAAAGAAACATTTTAGATAATGTGCAAGACAACGATAGAGTGTGCGGTGGAATGAGACGAAGACAGTGAGACACTTCGTGCCATAGCGGGATCGAACTCACGGCCTTCGCGGTGATGAGACCAAAAGTTGCGCCACTGCGCTATTGTGCCGCGATGGCCAGCAACAACAAACTTTAAAGAAGACGAGCGCCTTGTGGACCATCGCACTACTCTGTATTTCAAGGCGGTAATTCAAATTCGAATTCAAACAATGTGATTCTGGATAATCAAAGACATCATAAATCAACTCTTTTTTGCGAATCTAACATTTAAAAACTACAATGCGGAATATTTTTCCAAAAATCGGAAAACTTCTCCAATTCGACGCTAAAAAAAAAAGAAAAGGAAAAAATTTGAAGAAGGTCCCCTCGTATTGCGCACAAGGTCAAGCTTACTCGCTACCAACAAGTCGCGCGCATTTTATGAGGTCAAAACGGAAATATCTAGGGCGGCGACAAAAAAAAAAGAAGAAGAAGAAGAAAAAGAATATGTGACCTTAAAAGAGCCGATGGCGATTTGCGATTAAAATCCTTTGCCATTAAAAAAAACACAACAAGAGGCAACAAAATGAAGAAGGATGCCAGGAAAACCAAAAAAAATGATGGAGGATTCATCGTAGACGGCCAACATTAATAAAATTGCGCTCGCGCGCGGGCGCGATCTCCCCCAAAGCTAACCAGATGCTGCCCCTTCGCAAACTTTGTGCGTTCGTTCGCGCCTAATGATGACAGACAATCAATTCGTGCGTGCACCAGTTTCAGATTCGCACAGAAACCTGATACTTTACTTGACGAAACAACAAAATAGAAATAAAAAGGCTCTCGCTAGTTCACGTCATTTTTTTTTCATATTTGGAGAGTGAAAAAATAACAACGCGAAATTTTGCAATTTTGAAAAAAATGAGCGGAAAAAAAGTGATTTTTTCAAAAGTTTGGAATTTTGAAAAAAAAAATGAAAAGAAACTAGTTTTTGGCTTCTTTAATTAATTAAATATTTTCCAAGTTTTTGTGGAAGATACTTTTCAAAAAATAAAATAGCATGTTCATATTATATTATATTATAGAAATCACAAATTTCCTATATAGAATATTTAAGAGGATCACGTTGTTTCTTTTTTTTCGCCAATGGTCCGGTCCGCTGGTCATCCCAAACCAAAAAGTGTCCGCTGTTCTATATAAAATACTAAAGGTGGATCACCTTGGTTCGTTTTTCGCAAAATGCTTTAAAATATTCTTTTTTGAAATTTTATTCGCAAGAAAAAAAGATTGAAATCAATTTTTTTAATTGTTTCAAGGCTAAAAATTTCAAAATAAATTTTAAAAAATTTTTTCGAAATCCGGCAACAAAAAAAAAATGCTATGAAACAAGCGGATCAGGGCGGGCCAAAAAAAAAGTTCGCAAAAAGAAAACACTCGACGAACGCGAATGCGGCCGCTGTTTGCAAAACTCAACTCATCCGGCGGCCACAAAGCGCCCGCGCGCACTCGACGAATCAAAACCAACCGATATATATTTGAAACACAACCGCCGCAGATCCCCCCCCCCCTCTGACGACGACCGGGCGTTCTCGAGAAGACAACAAGTGAAAGCGTGAGGCCGAGATCCGAATGGATCAATGATCCTATAGAGAGCGAATCAGCTGAATTGCCAGGCACATTTAGGAGGAAGGATCGAGAGGATCAAGAAAATTTGAAAAAATGCTCGTCTCTGAAAATGAACTAAAATTTTTAAACTAGTCACAATTCCACAAAAAAAGTGGTTGAAAACTGCAAGAAATTCCATTTCCATTCACAAAAAAAAACCAGAATTCACGCAGGGCGAAACACACACACAAAAAAAGAAGCGGCGTATCGTCAAAACTTGAAAGCAGCTTCCATCCACACCGAAGAAGATAAAATCGAAGCGGAACACCACTTGATGGCACCCCGAGAAAAAAAATCTCGATCGACTGGGTTGGAATTGGTTCGACGATGGTCCAGCGAGGCCACGTCGACGTTGGCGCAACGGAAGAGACACCAACAATAATGGGGGTGTTGGTGACTCAACAAAACGCAAACACATAGTAATAATATTAATAATAATAATAATAATACATCATCATCATCATTGGCGTGTAGGCAACACGTTATCAGCGACACACAAAATTACAACCGATCAAACAAAATGCTATGCGAAAAGTTGGCGACCGACTTCTTATCACCAATATATACATATATGTACAAATTGAACGCCTATGACATCATTCGGAACAGGGCTCGCATTTGATTGATTCAGCCAAACACCCAAAATTCTAAAATTACTGTCAATCTGAATTTTATGGTCCCTAGTGGATATCGGAATTCAATTGATCCGCTGTGAAATCAAAGAACCCTCTCAAGAAAAACATGTTCAATTTGAATGGTTCCATAAAAAATCGAAATGAGATTTTTGAATTTTTTATTCTTTATAATAATGATCTTTCAAATTTGGAAGTCCCAAAAAGGCCATCATCGGCATTTTCGCGTCAAGACCACAAAAAAAAGGGTCCTTATTCGACCTTTGTCACCATCAAATTTCTTTTCTGGGTGACGGGAAGTTGATACAAATCGAGGGCACTCCAACAGAAACAAGAAAACGAGGAAGAGGAAGAGGAACTGCCAACTACTACTACTACTGAATGAATGAATGAATGGATTACTACAAATCGAAAAGCGAAAATCGAATCGAAAAGCCGCCAATTGAGAAATGCCACCGTCATCGTCGGGAGACATCAAAATGCGAGACGTGTGTGTTCGGAATCTCTTTCCACCCTCCGCCACCGCTCAATCTCATCGACTGACTGACTCGTCGGAATTGCGCAATTAATATCCGCATTGTAATGCATACATGCCGAGATATTTTGCCGAAACCCCCCCCCCCCACCAACGATTGGTGGTCCGTCAATGTCACAACAATCACCACGCCCCGCCCACTTTAAAAACCAACCAAACCGGTTTTTCTCTGTCTCAACACCCCCCCCCCCAGGTCTAAAGAAAATTCCATTTACTATTTTTGGAATTGTAATGACATGAATGGTCTCGTCGGGAATTTTTAGACGCCTTTGAAGCATACAAAATCTCTTAGCGATTTTTTATTGATGCGCCTTTAATGCTCGGCGTTAAAATGCGCAAAAATTAAATGTCTCAATATTTGCAAAAAAAATCTTTAAAGGCTCATTGCAAAATTATATATAATTATTCTCAGTGTCAGCACTTGAATGAAAAAAAAATGAAATCTTTTAGGAGTGCCTCTAAAACACAAAAATATTGTCTCGCATTTAAAGGCGCATGCGAAAAAAATCAAGAAACGAATGCATTCAAACATCAGAAACGAATCAAAAACGCGATGAAGGAGAAGGTTGAATGAGATGATAAATCTAGGTTACTCGTCGTCTCGAATATCTTCTCAATTTCGAATCGGCTTGCAAATTGTCGCCAATTGGTGACAATCGCCACCCGCCAAATGTTTCAATTTTCGGCCGCCGCCGCCGCCGAACGGCACCGCACTCGATTTGAGAATGTCGGCTATCGGTTTCACGACGAACACATTATTGAAATTTTGCCTATCAGAAAGAATTGATCGCAAATTGATTTTTTTTCCTCCACAAATTCAAATAACCGACAAGTCTTGGGGTAAACCCGAACTAATCTCTTTTGAAAATTTCCCAAAAAAAGAATTTTTTCTTTGGAGGCTGAATTTGAATTGCCGCCCTCTCAAAAAAACAGTGCGATGGTCCACAATTGCTCAAGGTGGTTAATATTTCAAAAAAAAAAAAAAACAAATTCGTTACTTTGCGCAAATAATTTGAAGAGAAAAATCGAATTGCTCAAATGTGTGCAATTTTGCGTGTGCGTGTGAATGCACAACTCTTCGAACCGCGCATTTTTCATTTCATCTTTTTTTTTGCTGCGACAAATTTTTCTCAAAGGCAGAAATACGCCAATTTTTCGTTGGGAAAAAAAAATTAAAAGAAGAAAAATGTTTTTCCAAATTTCAGATCGCTCTGAAAAAATGAACACAGAGAGAATATGCTTTCAAATTTCCGCCAAAATTGAGGAAAATCGATGCGCCTTTAAAACGAAGGAATGCGAGGTTTAAAGGCGCACGGCCGAAAATCAGTCTGAAGCCAATTAAAACCAGGAAGTGGAATGGAATGCAAAAAGGTTGCAAAAAAAGACAAGTTGGTTCGTTCAACTTCAAATTCCTTTTTTTTCGCGCGCTGATTCATTCGTTGTAAACATGCCAAAAAAAACAAATCGTCGAGATTTTCGCGGCCAAAAATTTGTGCGATTCTAGAAGTCAGTCAAATCAAATCAAATATTTTGAGAATCAATTATTCAATCAAAAATATTATGAGAAATTCGAAAGTTTATTGATACTTTCGAAAATTTATTGAGAATCGCTAAACTTAAAAATAGTTTTTTAAAATCTTATATAGTTGGCGTCCGGCGACTGCTGTACGCGGGTAGATTTACGGGAATGCGTCTTTCGAAATGGTCTCGCAAGGACTAACCGGTTATTTCTATAAGATTTTCCACAAATTTATTGAGCAAATTCTAAATTATCTCAATAAATTCTAAAATCTTCAAATAATTTCTAAAATTCATTGAGAAAATTCGAAATTATAATAGAGGCACGTTAGTTTCTCAATGAATCTCAAAATATTTTATTCGATTTACCTGGAAAAAAAGGAAGAATAACGAAATCACTGGAAAATTCTAATCAGAATTGACAGTTCCACAAATTGACAAAAAAAAAAACCGAAAACCCGAAATTCCGATACGGTCAAATCGTGTTCCGATCAAGGGATTTGAGTATAAAAAAATCCACTGGAATTTTTTTGGCGAATTTTTTCGTGACGATTTAAAGGCGCATTCGATCCACTTCGGAAAAAATTTAAAGGCGCGTCAAAATTGTTTCAAATTTTTAAAATTCGCGCCAAAATTAATTTTTTCTTGGAGGAAACTTCCATTAATTTTTTTTGGGCAAATTCCGTTATACTAAATTAAAAAAATTTTTTTTTTGTTAACAAAAAAATTATTGGCGCGAATTTCAAAATTTTTCGCTCATTTTTCGAAAAATTTGAAAACAATATTGAATAAAATTAGAAAAAAGAATGAATTTTGAAGAACAAAATTTGTAAAAAAAAATAGCTTTTGCTGGAAATTTGCCTATAAGAAATTCATAGACCATTTCAAGTAAGAATTTTTTTTGAAAAAAACAATAAGACGCTTTTTCCCCAATATTAGGCATTATTTTAATTGTGTAAAAATGTTTCTAATTTTTTTTTCCATAAAAAAATCGAAAAAAAAATTCAATAAAATTTAATAAAATTTATTTAATTGATTTTTTCGCCAATAAAGAAAACCCAAAAAATCTCATTCTCAATGCTAAAAATTAGTCAGAATTTCAAAATTTAAAAATTTATAAAATGAAATTCCTGCGGGTCTCGAAGAGAATATCCAACAAGTACGGTGAATTGATAATTTTGTGGTGGAACAACAAAAAAATACTAATAAAAACTTCAGGAGAGAAAAAAAATCGACGTCGACGATGCCAATTGTTATCATTGGAGTAAAAAAAGCGGAAAGAAAGGGTAGAATCCGAACGACAGATGCCCCCGTGTCGGCGGCAACTCATCATGACACCTGCCCTCATCAATCGTTTTTCAACAATTGGGCGAATACTTCAATTATTCAAGTTTTGTTTTTTACTATATAAAATTAAAAATTCGAATTTTTAAAAACAATTTAGAGGTCTTCATTTCTTTTCTTTTCTTTTTTTGATAAAATCTACCTCAAAATTTTCAGACCTCCTATTAGCAGAAAATGAACAACAAAAAGAGAGAACCGAAAATCATCGATGCGCCTTTAAACAGTCGAATGGAATCTCGACGATTTTCTTATCAATAGCGAAACATTTCTTTTTTGACATCAAACATTCGCAAATTCCTATTTTTAGCGAATCACGTGAAAACGCGATTCAATTGAAAAAAAAAAGAGAAAAAAAATCATCAAATTTTGAATTCTCTTAAAAAAGAGCATCGAAGGGATACGGTAGCACAAGTTCAAGCTTTTACAAAAATCGGATAAGAGTGAAAAAAATAGAGATTCATTCGCTGTAAATCGCTTTAAGACTCTCCGCATTACGGTAGCACTCGTTTTAGTCAAAAGAAATCGGTTTCAACACAGCACATTTCCAATTTTGATTGAATTCCGGATTACGGTAGCACTCGTTATCCAATCAACGCTACTGTAGCACGAGTTTAAGTGTGTTTCCCGGATTACGGTAGCACTCGTTCGTATTTCACGTCAATCTCACATCGAATACGCATTTCTCAAAATATCTAAGCTAGTAGAAATCGATTACGGTAACAATAGTTACGCATAGGGCACAAGTATTACGGTAGCACTAGTGCAAGCAGCATCGAAAGCGGCTAATTGATAACCTTGGCGTTCCGCAATAAAAAAAAAGCGAGGGTTCTCGTCTATCATAAATCAGTTGGCTGAATGAGAAAGAGAGAGATAGAAGGGACAGAAAAAATTCCAATCAGTCCAAAAAATCACACACACACACCGATGACCGGAAAACCAAATTAGAGAGGGGGTCGACTTATTTGGGCATATGAGAGAGAGAGAGAGAGAAAAATAATAATTGAGAATTTCTCAACGCGAAAATTGGTTGGCCAAAAATGCGACGTACCTTTTGAATCGATGACGCGCTGGCGTAGGGCACTGAGCTCGTCGACGTCGATGGACGAGTTGCGGCGCTGCCGGCGATCGTGCCCATCACGGCTCTCACCGAATCCGACGCGTGCACGAGTGAGATCTGCAATCAAGCGAACGCGGGTTTTTTTTTTCAATTTTTAGAATGAAATATTCGGTGAAACACTCGAAAAATGCGCATCGTAGATTGCGCAAAAATCCGATTTTTTTTTCAAATCGAGAAATTCGCATTTTTCAGAGTTTCAAATTTTTAAATTTATATTTTTTTTTAAACTTGAAATGCTCGTGATTCACAATCATTCATTTTTTGTTCGTCTTTTGATAAAAAATACGTTTTTTTCGTCATTCTAGAATGACCATTTTTTCTCGCCCTCAAAAATTTTTCTCTTTTTTATTGTGAAAAATTCGCCATTTTTCCAGTTTTATTTGAAAATCTCGATATTTGCACAACTTTTGCCAATTTTTTTCTTTGTGATTTTCAATGAATTCCAGATTTCAAGTTTTGAATGACGTCGATTTCAATTTCCATCGAGAAAATTGAAATTTTCAAACATTTTTTAACGAAGTTCTTCAAATTGCTCGAATTTTTTCGTATAAAATCAAAAAGCACCCGTAAATGTGTGCATACACACGCACGCAAAATTACACACATTTCGTTATTCTTAATGAACCAAAGCAAAAAAGTCCGAATTTAGTAATCGGTGAGGACAGTTTTTTGAAAATTGGCGCGCAATTCAAAAAACTCCCAAAAATATTTCAAATTTGGACCCTAAATCTCAAAAAAAAAAACCAATTTTTTTGATATTATTTTGGAAGAATCAAAAGTCGCCGAAATCTTCAATTTCTGAAAATTCAAAATTTTCAAGAACTCAAAATTTCGCTCGCAAAAATCCACCAAAAATTCAATAATCTTGAATGGAATCGCACACCAAAATTATTGGCTTCGAAATTCGATATTTTCGCCAATGGACTTCGCCAATTTTGGTGGGAAAATGGTGAAAAATTACACCCGTTTTTGGATTTGTCGCCATTTTGAATTGGAATTTTTCGGTGAAAACGCTCCAAAATTTTACATTTTGATAATAAAAAAAACGCTCTCGTCTGGACAACCATTTTTTTTCGAAAAAAAATTTTTTAAATTCATTTCTATACAATTAATTTTTCGACGCAATTCTACAGTAACGACTTTTCGTTGCAGGAGCCCCAACAGAAGAAATTTTCAATTTTTTCTCAACCTTTGGTAGTAAAAAAAAGAGGATCTCAATTCTGGCGCCAAATTCAAAAAAAAAAATTCGATCACCCCAATTATTGGCGCGAATTTCAAATTCAAAAATCTACAGTAGCCAATTTCTTACCAATGGCGGTTACTGTACAGTGTGGTCCGTAATTATGGAAGCACATGTTTTAAGCCTTCAAGCAGCTGCTGGCGCATTTCTCGTGCACCAGTTTTTTTCAACAATCACCCTTTTCCCAAATTTTCTAGTTTCTAGTTTCATTTTCACAGGAATCGTGCACCGAAGGACCATCATCAATATGGCTACGAGAGGAAAGAGCGAAATTCAATAAACCAATTGTGAATTTTCAAATTGATTCGATCATTTACATCATTTTGAACGTGTTCCCATAATTATGGACCACTCGGAAGCCAATTTGTTTCAAATAAAAAATTCAAAATTTTGACATTGAACCCATTTCTCCCAAAATTCGACAATCAACTCGCCTGTGTCACATGCGTCGTCGGATACGTGTTCGTGCCGGGAAACACCATTCTGAAAACGAATTCTCTTTTTCTTCTTTTTTTTTGTTGTTGATGATGATGATGAAAACGATGAGAAATTGAAAAAGAATTGTGATGTTTGCCTATAAGATGAGCGAGAAAAAAAAATCGACAACGCCGCGATTCGATCGCGACCGAATATTTGGGCATATGACTTGTGTGAACGAAGAAAAAGAAAAAATTTGGAGAGAAGAAGCGATCAAATGTAAACAGAGAATGTGGAATAAACGAACGAACAAATTCGGGATGGGATAGGAGGGGGGGGGGTCGCCTAGAGCCAAATCGTTCACACTTGTGCTCAATGATTTTTCCCGTAGTTTGCTCATTGTTTGCCCAGCTGATGGCACATTCAATAGGTAGAGAAAAAAATAAGATAAAAAATTCGGAATGCGCCTTTAATCAATCCAATCGCTACGCGTCGAGACCAATTTACGCGCCAACAATATTTTTTGCTTGTGTGCACTTTTGCGTGCCGGTGTACCAATATCTGAGTCATCACTCAGGGCGTTTTTTCCCATGACTTGCGCAGCACGGGAAGGGGGTGGCATGTAAACGGCAGGCTGCGCAAAGACGTGGCAAGCTGCGGCTCAGGGCGTTTTTTCCCATGACTTGCGCAGCACGGGAAGGGGGTGGCATGTAAACGGCAGGCTGCGCAAAGACGTGGCAAGCTGCGGAAGAAATGCGCGAGGTGCCATAATCGCGGGATTGTTACGGGTATGCTGCCCGTGGATATCGCATGTTGCCCGCAGGAAGCGCATTAGGTGGGCAGGTTGGAGACGCAGACAGTGAGGGGATATCCGCTCTAATCGTTTAAACGATTTTTAAATTCCACGCGCTTTTTAACGCAAGTTAAACGTTTAAATTTTAATTGAATTAATTTTTTTAATCGATTTTTTATAAATTTTCAAATGAATATAATCTTCGTGATTTTTACAATTGTTCTAATGCATCTATCCATTCAGTGTGTGTCAATTTTTTTCGAATTTGGCGAGAAAACATCAATTGAAATCAAGAACTAAGTAAAATTATACGACGCAGAATTAAACAAAATTTTTACGGACCTTTTAATAATTTCTCTATTTTCATCGTTGCATTAAGATTACATTTACTTCCAGGTTATTGACCGTGACCAAAGTGGATCGACGAACCAAAACTCTAGGTAAGATCTAAACAATTTCTGGATATCTATATTTGTGATACTTAAAAAAAAGGCTACGCATATCTAAATAGGGATAAGCAATATTAAAAATTAATTAATTAAAAAAAATTCTTTCAGCACATTCATTGAAAACAAATAAGAGGCCGAGGGCATCGTCTAAGATAACGTGGGAAATGATTTGCGGCACGAAAGACTAAATTTGCTGAAAGTGTAGCTGCATTCGATCCTTGCGAAAGATTAGTTTGGTCCGTAAAAAATGGCATGAAAAAACTCAGCGTTTCTGGAATGCCTTCACCCTTTAAGGTAACAATTATAATTAATGCATTCTTTCAAATATCTCATCAGAGTCTTATTGTCTTGGATATATCTACATTGATTCATCCATCGTCAGAAATTGATCCAAAAGCAGTAATTTCATTTTATCTTTTTCAGATACTTCAAAATGTTAGGGAAGTTTTTGTGTCAAATGACTTATTCAATTTTCAGCTGACGGAACCGGTTCAAGAAATTCAGAAATTCACAGTTCGCGATCGTCAAGAAAGTAAAAATGCGACACTGGAAAACTTGCCGCAACCAATCGTGGATGTAATAAAAAGTAAAAAACTGACAATTGAAAAAAATACTAATCGAATGTTTTCAGGATTTTTCATTCAATTGTTCGGATTGAATTCGAACATTTATTCAAATCTTTGCTTGACCGACATTGAATTGAAGGATAATTCGTAAGCGGTATTAATTAGACAACTATAACAAGTTATTCTTTAAGGGACTACGTGACGTTTTGAGTAAACGAAAACGAAAGAAAAGAAATACTCCACGTTCGTCGAGCCATGCATTATCGATTGCAAAATGTAATCTTGCCGGCGAAGTTGAAAGCGGCAATGTAAGATTCTACTCAATTTAAATACATAGAAATATATCAATTTTTAGGACAGAAATTCGACTGGCAAAGATTGCAATTGGGGGAAACGGGAATACATTCCTAAAAAAAGAGAAGTGTGAGCATTTTCTTTCATTCTTACATGAACCAAAATTGTTGAATTTGATACTTTTATTCTATGAAAACGTTTAAAATTCTTCTTGACGTTTTATATATATATATATATAACTTTTTTTTATACTTTTAGAGGCATTCCAAAGTAGACAGCGCTTAATTCAATGCATTGGTACCGATTTTTTCTATGATAATTATAATTATTTAAATGTTTTGTAATGTTGTTTTTTGAGCATTTTTTTAAATAAATGATGTTTTTACGCTTAAAACTGATGATATATGTATTAACACAATGAATATTTTGTGGCAATCTGTTAAAAGTGAAGCGATATATGCTGCGAATTGGTTATAGCCTTTGAATATCCCGTAACAATCCCGTGAATCCCCCGCGTCAATCGCAGGCCTGCGCGTGTTTTGGGGCAGGCCTGCCACATGCCCGGCACACGCCTGCCCAAAATGACGAGCAGGCGTGCCCCAATACACGCGCAGGCCTGCGCAAAATCTCCCTGAGGCATTAAAAGAAAAAAACAACAAATGGAACAAGTCATGAGCAAAAAAAAATTCATTTTTGGACAAAAATCACCAAAAATATTTTTGATTTCAATTTTTAGCATTATTTTATTGCTTGAATTGGTCCATAAAAATTGATTTTTCTTGTTTTGGCTGAAAAAATTCGCAGTGATTTGAGAAAATAATGGAAAAGTTGGTCGTAAAATGTGTTTTAATGCGCATTTTTTCCCATAAAAGACCAATGCAGAAAAAAATAAAAAAGAAAATATTTTTTCCTAAAGTTTTTTTTTTCGGAATTAGCCAATCAAATCTTACGTCACAAATTTAAAAATTCAATTTTTTCTTCAAAAAAAAAAAACAAAACGAAATGTGTGTAATTTTGCGTGCGTGTCTATGCACACATTTACGGGTGCTTTTTGATTTTTGCGCAAAAATTCGAGCAATTTGAAGAATTTCGCGCAAAAACGTTGGAAAATTCCAATTTTCTCGATGGAAATTGAAATCGACGTCATTCAAAACTTGAAATCTGGAATTCATTGAAAATCACAAAGAAAAAAATTGGCAAAAGTTGTGCAAATATCGAAATTTTCAAATAAAACTGGAAAAATGGCGAATTTTTCACACAGAAAAAAATTCAAAAATTGCGGTTTCACACAATTTTCGAAAGGCGAGAAAAATGGCGATTCTAGAATGACGAAAAAAAAGCATTTTTGATCAAAAGACGACCAAAAAAAAAGAGTGATTGTGTAGGAAATCACGAGCATTTCAAGTGGTCACTTGTTGATTTTTTTATTGTCGAACGACAAAACAAACATTTAATTCCGCAATTTTCGTCTCCTCAACACCATTGGCGAAAAATTGATGATGTGAAGCAGGGCGGGGAAGAGGAGGAGGACATTGAACGACATACATACTTGAACTATTCGAAACTTGGTGTGGAAAGTGGTTGCGATTTGAATAGAAATGATGTTGTAGGAGTAGGGCGAGGAAGCGAGGAAGCATTTACGGGATAACTCGATTTTTAGGGTCGCGGGTGGTCGGCCGCGGGTTCTGAGACCCCCCTCCTCCTAATACAACACAACATGTGGCCAACTTGAATTATTACCTAGTCTTTTCAATTTTCAAAAATGTCAAAATGATAATGAAGATTTGGGAAAATGATATTTTAAGGAATTTGAATTTAATGGAAATCAATCCGACAAAAAATGGATTAAATACTATTTTAAAATTGAACATGAGAAATTAACCAAATTGATTTCGATGATTTTTGAAAGGAAATCAAGTTTTTGAGCACTTTTTCAATTGAATCAGGTTAATTTAGATGTCATTGCTCTTCGAATTCAATTGATATTCAATTAAATGAGCATTTCACCTTAAATTTGATCAATTTGACCAAAATTAATTAAAATTATCCTATTTCAACATGGCGGCAATTCAAAATTTATAAAATCGTACATGAAATTATGAAAAAATGAATAAATTGCTTGGAAACTATTGATTCTCCTTCTCACACTTTTTCATAACTGAAAACTATTTTGGAAAATTTTTTCGAATTTTCAAATTTCCCGAAATTCACATTATTTTTCCGGAATTTTCACTAAAATTGCAAATATTTTACAATGGTTTTAATTTTCGTTTTTTTTTTTCATTCAGCACAATCAAACTTCGACAATATATCATCTGATTGCGAAATACGAAAATTAAAACCAAAAAAGTGATTTTCCTATTCAAAATTACAAATGAGAATCATTTTTAGCATCAATTTTCAATTGAAAATTATTCAAAAATCGAAAAAATTTTGGATTTCAAAATTTCCCCAAAAAAATCCGAATCTAACTCATATATTTTTGTGAAAAATCACACTAAAATTGCATTAAAATTATTTTACAATAGTTTGGACCAAGTATCGACTGAAACATTAAAGAAATAGCGAGAAAAAAACAAAAGAATTCAAGAAAAAAATTTAATTAAAACTGTCCGTAATTATTTGATCGGTGATTGCGGACAAGACAAATCTACAGTACCCAAATGCGATAAAAATGATTATTTCTTATTGGTGGAAATTTCAAAAAATTTATTCTTGATTCAAAGCAAAACGAAAAACACAAAAAAACCAATAAATGCCATAAAAGGGAAACGAGAGACACCAAAAAACAAGCCGAATAGGGGGACAGGCAAAAAAAAAACAATGACGAGGAGACCGTTGTGAGCATCAAACACACACACACTCACACACAGAGGTACGTACAGAAATGGAAATTAGGTGAGACGGCGAACAGGTCGCTAGTCAGCCAGCGAGTGCGAGAGACTCATCGAAATAGCGCGTCGATCGGTGAGGGGGAGAGGGTTCGGCCGGAAAAAAGGTCGAAACCGTCGACCGGGCTACCTTCAGCCGCGCACCTTCGCTCAAAGCCGTTATATATTCTAATCTGGACGAGCGAGCGAGAGAGCACACGATTGGCGAGTGGACGCAGACACTCCGCTCGGCAGCGGTTTTGTTTTGATTGCGGACGGCGCCCGACGGTCGCCAAATTCCCCCCCCCCTGTCCCGTCCTTTTATGGGAAACGTTCGAAACTGTCTCACACGTCACATACACACACACACAAACGGCCCTTATAAGGTTTTGTTTGACGAGACGCGTCAAACTATTCCGAAAATTAATAAATGTTCGCCTTCTTTTATTTTCACAATTTTGGATGACCTTTAGCATGCGCCTTTAAACAAATTTTTTTTTCGTGTACGTCTGATATTCAAACGATTCTTGTGAAATAAAATGAAGTGATCAATTCCATACGAGACCCATGAAAGAAATTTAAAAATTCGCTTTGGAATGAATAATTAAATTTCTATCAAAATTAATTATCCGGTATTAAAATGATTTTAGGAGATTAAAAAAGTCTTTCAAAAATATCAAATATTTGAATTTCGAGAATTCCGACCAAAAGAAACGAGTAAAAATAATTTCACTCAAAATTATTCGGAGTAAAAATTGAGTATAAATGAATAATCGAAATTTACAACAAAAAATATGGAAAAATCGATATCAGATCAATTTTTGGAGAGATTGAAAATTTGAAAAAAAAAATATTCTAAAATTTTTTCCGGTTTCCAAAAACAACAAAAATCGAAAATTTCACAAATTTTTTCGAGAATAAATTTAAAATTTTAACAAGAATAGTTGGAAAATCGTTTTTTAAGCTATAAATTTATTTTTAAGACTAAAAATCTTTAAAAAAAACCGCCTATTGATTTTCGAGATCCACGAATAAAACAAGCTGGTAAAAAAAATAATTTCGCTCATTTTTTAGAGTAAAAATTTTCGCAAAAATGAAACATTTCAGATCCAAAAAAATATTTGTTGAAAATTTCCAATTGAAGACCCAAAAAAAATCAACTTCGAAACAGAAAGAAAATCGATTTTTGCCCACAAAATCACAAATTTTGAGTAAAAATTTCAATATGTATTTAAAAAATTGCTTAATACACCAAAAAATGGCGTTCAAAATTAATCCAAAAATCCAACCAGCGTTTTCGATAATGTTTAACGATACTATTCAAACACTCACATTTATTCCTTTATAATAATGAGTCATTGTTTTATTGATTCCTCCACCCTCAATTATTCTGCAAACACTTTTTCTCGTCGCCTTGCGTGATGACGAACGAGTAGAACATGAGGAACAATGCAAATATCACCGGGTACATGACTTTGCAGAATGTGTCGACTTGTCTCGCCAATTTGTGGTAATAGCGGCTCAATAGTAGCGATTTTGTCAGCTGGTATTTGCCGTAGCCTTCAAGATTTCGCTCGCATTTCAGCTTCTGCAAACAATCCAAAAATTTGTGAAATTTTACTAAAATTTTGCCGGCAATTTGGGAATTTCAAACGGGCAACTAAATAAAATCGCAAAAAAAATTTAAAGAATGAAAACGGTTCGAATTACTCTCAGTTTCGATACTTCAGAATTAGTATGAAGGTTTCGTGGGAAATTTTTAAAAAATATTTTGAAACATTTGAAATTAATATAAAAATTACTGCAATCAGTTTTTCCTAATTAAAAAAAATTCAAACATTTTATATTTGAAAAATAAATATCATTGAAAAGCACAAGAAAAAAGGAAAAACTGTGCAAATTTTGAGATTTTCAAGTAAAACAAGAAAACCTGCGAATTTCTCACGAAAATGAAGTGCAGAAATTGAAAGTTATGCCAAGAATTTTGAAAAATGCGAATTTTCGGATTTTTTAGGAAAAAAAACTCAAAAAACCTAATTTTTTCATATCAAAAATTAGTTCATATCAAAATTTTCAATTTTAATTTCAAAGTCAAAAACTAAAATGCGATCATTCGTTGGTTATTAATAGAATTTCCAAACTAAAATATTTATTAATCCTTTTCGACTTTCAAAAATTCTAAAAAAAAATTCAGCGAGACCCTTCAATTTTTGAAAATTTCTCGGTCTGTTTTGGAGTCTAACTGAGATTTTTTCTGATACTGCCAAAATCTCGAAATTCAAAAAAAAACTAAAATTTTTGACAAGACTCACTAGACGTTTGCTATTGTGCTCCAACGAGATGACGACGAGAGCTTGAAGCATTGTCATGAACACGAAGGTCGACGTGAATCCGAACCAAATATCAATGGCTTTCACATAAGACACTTTCGGCAGTTCCTCTTTAGCCGAATTATTTTCGGCGCTCAACGTGAGGAACACCGTCAACGAGACGAATATTCGTCCTTCGACGAACTCCTCCGGCAGCCATACGGATATCCATGAGAAGACGACGCATATCGTCGATGGGATGTAGGTGTTGGCGATGTGGTAGCCGATTTCGCGGTGCATTTGGAATTTCGCCTCGAGACACGAATAGTTGCCCGATTTGCGGACGCCGTTGCACTCTTCCGGCATTATGTTGCGGATTTTCAATTCCGGAATTTGAACGTTCTTCTCGATTTTGATCGCTTCGTGCCGATTGGCGAACCATTCGAACCGGACGACGTCTTGTGTGAAGCCCACTGAATATTGAGAAATGGATTGACGAAAAAATTGACACAAATAATTAAATTGAGGCGATTTTTTGAAATCTTAAGATGTCACAGGGGATCTTAAAATCCAAAATTCGAAAATTAAACAAAATTTTGCCAGGTTGCTTTTTAAGTCTGTTTTTGAAAATAACAAAGCGGCTGGTTGGTCACAAGACTCTGAAGGCTTTAAAATGAGATGGGTCTTGTGCCGATTCTGATAGCCGCTTTATTCTTTACAAAAGCGGACCATAGAAAAATAGTATACTTGAGCTGATCTTCAAAGACACTGCTGGATTGTCATGCGGGTATTTGCAGAGCACGATTTGAGCAGCAGTCGGCTTCAAGTAAACGCGAACATCCATAAAAACTTTGCCGTCGGGAAAGATTAGCAGGTAGAAATTCAGATAGGAGACCTTAAACAAGGAATTCTTAGCTTTAAAAATGAAATTCAAATTTTAAAAAAAATTATATGTACTACAGATTTATCGAAAAATCGAAAAACCTTGTGAAACGTGGCGCTTTTCGAATTTGTAAAAATCGGATCCGGCCTCCAAATCAACTTCAAAAACGTGAAATCATTGACCAAAATCGGTCGCGATAATCCGTGCCGCAATCTTGGATCGATCCACGCCATTCGCAACCACGTATCAAGATCATAGTCCTGAAATTTTTTAGAGTGAGAAAAATACGAAATTCGATCATCAAAACCATTGTGGAGAGCTCGAAATTGCTCATGGATTGAATGAATAGGCCAACTTTTACGGTGACGGTGTCATGAATGTGAAGCGCTGGTGGTTGCCTGAAATTTTCGTTTATTTTTTGGGAAAATAAATCTAGAAAAAAAAACCGTGGATCATATTCAACTCGTTGTAGAAATGGCAAGATTGTTGAAGAAGGCAGCGGGCGTTTGCAGGAATCAGCAGCATGACTAGAAAATATCAATTTTTGTGGAAATTGTGGAAGAATGCGAAATTTAGATGTGAAAAAAAATTAAATTCCCGAATAAAAGCAGCAAATACAGTACCCAGGTTAAAGGGAGATGACAAACTTTGGTAAGGGTCTCGTCACGTCCATCATTTAATGGATTTTTTAATTTTCTCATTTTCAACCAATTTCATAATATTTCAAAAATCTGAAGGAAAAAAATAGAATTTTCATTTAAAATTCCTATTATATGTCTTAATTGGAATTATTTCACCTCATTATTTCGTCCAATTCTTCAGTTTTCCTAACCAATTCGTGTAATTTCTCAACATCCATTCCAAGATTCTTAATGTCGTATGAGAAGTCCCCATATTTCTCTGAATTATTATCCATAAATTATTTTTAAGCAAAAAAAAACCTAAATAATATTGAATTACAGCTTCATTGGCGTCACTGGCATTTTCGTTGCACGCATTCGGCAATTCGATAATAATTGATGCATGATTCCGGAAAATGTGATAATCGATTCCGATGTCGTTCGCGTTTGCGTCATCGACGTCATCTAATTTGATTTCTGTCACCTGAATGCCAGTTTTTGAATCTCCACCGTCCGGAATACCGTTTCGTTGACGGATTCGCACATCGAGCTCAAATTGATTCGATTTTTCCTCGCCGCCAACGGTGATCCAATTTTGAGGACGCGCGGCAGAAGTCGGCAGATGTTGTGGAAATCCACTAATATGTACTGCAAAAATCGGATTAAAATTCGAATCTTCGAAAAATTTTCGAATTTGATCGAAACGTTTTCAAAAACGTGCCGTTTTTTTTAAATTAAAGTTTTGAACAAAAAATAGAAAATTGAAAAATTGCTTTTTAACCGATTTTTTTGCAAAATCTGCTTTTTGTGGTTTTTTTTAGAAAAAACTTGAAAATGATTGTTTTTGGGAATTTTTTCAGTAGTTTGCCCTATAATTCGTTATACAGCTTTTTGAAAAAAATAAAAACCCTTTGCATATTGCAAAAATAATTGGTTTCAATCGCATTTCTTGCAATTTTTCTAAAATCTAAATGAAAAATATTTGCAGGTGTTCGTTTTTCCCCGGAAAAATTCCGGATTACTGTAGCCGTCGCCTACGGTAATTTTTCGCGTCAAATTACCGAATAATTAGTGAGCAATTGCGGCGGAATGCCAAATCGTCTCGCATCATTCTCATTGCGAATCGCAACTTCAGCGCGTCGCGACGCCAACAAATCGATATCACTCGTCGTTAGATCAACCCGTCGATTCTAAATCATTTCGGTTCGTCAATTTTTTTTGTTTTTTGTTTTTCACGTCAATTCGTTCACCTGCGTTTTCCAGTACAAGTTCCACGCGAGACACTGTTGATGGGCATCGGTGGAGATGTTGAAGTCGTCGGCCTGATAAGTGGCTTCGATTTTAAGGACCTTCGCGTCATCAGCTGATGCCAAAATTGGAGACACAACGAAAACGGCGAGAAAAAGTGACATTGATTGATTTCGAATCGGCGACGACGCGTCCGTCGAAACCTGCCCGAATCAAGCCAATTAGCGCGCGTTCAACTTTGGCCCCGATTCCGAATGATTGCGGACTTCGCATTCGATTCGATTCCAATCAGTCGAATGAAGTTCATCAATTTTCTTCTCTTCGTTGTTCCAGGTATCATTTTCAAATTACCTTGTCTATTCATTCAATAATTCAGCGATTATTTGCGCCGATGAGGTTTCGAAGGATCGACTAATGAAGATGATGGACGCTGAGTGGATGGATCGATTCGTTCCGAGGCAATATCAACGACTGAGCACGAAGAAGGATGATGATGTGACGAAGGATAACAATTTTGGGTATTCCGAGCAAGGAATGAAGGATTTGGATGAGGTTGGTTGAAAATCGAATTTTCCTTTTCGGTAATCAATAGCTAAAATAATTAAATTTTGCTGAATTGAGAGGATTTTGAAGCAAAAATTTGATAAATTTGCCATTTTCGAGAGATAATTGGCATTTTTCAATTTTATATCATTTCGTTTCGAGAATATTCTTTTTAAAAAGTTGTGAGGATCACGACGCTTCTTGAAAACTTATCAAAATTCATCTGCGAACATTTCGAATTGATTTTTCTCAAAATGTGAAGGTTTTTTCCAAGATCAAATCGGTCAAGCATTGAGTTTTTTACGATTTTTCTTACATTCAAAAATTAATCTAATAGCACTATTTGAAAAAAAAAACCCAAAAATCTTTTCAAAAATTGCAAAAAAATAATTTCAAAAAGGAAATTCTTTTAAGCGTCGTGAGAAGCAGAGCACTGTCTTTTAAAAATCCATCTGCGGACATTTTTTAACATTATAAATTGATTTTTTTTTCAAAAAAAATTGAAGATTTTGACACATTTCCCGAAAAAAATGGATGCAAAGATGACTGTTGATGTTTAAAGGCGCACAGACCTAATATCTCTATCAGACAAAATTTTTTCTAACTAAATATCAATTTCTCTTTTTGCCAATGGAATTTTTATCGTATTGATTGAAAAAAATTGAGTTAATTTGCAAAATTCAAATATTTCCCGGGCAAAGAAAAAACATTTCGCGTTGAGACCTTTGTGATGAATCGGCGAGGTGCGAAAAAAAATAATCAAATCATTTTTTTTTGCCGGTCAGGTTGGCGAGCTCGTTGGCGGCGGCGATTCGGATTTGCTCGGAATTCTGCGCCCATACTACTCGATGGTGGAGATGACGGCGAACGGCAACAAACAGGTTGAGTCATACTTTGTTTTTTCCGCCCAAAAAAAAACACAAAACCCATTTTGCCAAAATGATTTTCGTTGCGAGACCAAACTCGATGCTCCTTGAGAAACAATTCGGTTTTTATGTCGATCAGATGCCGCCTTCAAAACCAATTTTCGCGGCGAGACTTATTGGAATTTCAACACGAAAAACCTCTTGCAGGGAACCGGACAGTATCTCCACGTGCTGCCGGATTCATCGGAAGGCGACACGCCGATCTACTCGGTCGGCGGTTCGATGTACGGCGGGATCGAGCCGGCTGGCGCGAAAATTGGCTACATGAATCGGCCGTTCGGGCGATGATCAAGCGAAAAACTCGAAGTGCGCATGAGATTTTAAATGGCGATGGCGATGGTTGGTGTATTAATTAATAAACGTGTACCGGATATCCTTTATCAATTAGCGAGTTGTTCGACGATAGGTGTGAAAAGTCAACACGATGACCGTTTTGCGGCCGCCGACACCGTTTTTGCACCTCTTTCGGCCAGCCGACCATAAAAGGATCAGGAAGCTCCTATGGCAAGACGATAGCGGTGGGGAGTCGCGAATCGACGGATTATGCATGGATCAACGGCGCATCCTTTTCGCGTGTGAATTACTTCTGAAGGCTTGTCACGATTGGTGCTCTCTTTTTTTGGGAAAACGCCATCTTTTTGCCGGAATTGATTTGTTTTCATTTGTGTTTTTACTCGAAAACTCCATTAAAGGGGGGAATACTATTGAGGAGCGAATTGTCGTCAAATAAAATGCACAAGTCCGCAATGATTTGAATTTTGCTATTTTCAATATTTCTTCGATTTTTTTTCATATCTATGACATTCAAAAGATCTAATTAGTTAGAAGTTTCGAAATTGTCGTCAAATAAAATGCACAAGTCCGCAATGATTTGAATTTTGCTATTTTCAATATTTTTTCGATTTTTTTTTCATATCTATGACATTCAAAAGATCTAATTAGTTAGAAGTTTCGAAATTGTCGTCAAATAAAATGCATTCAACACAAAGTCCGCAATTTGGGTTGCGGACTTTGGCGCTTTAATTGACGACATATACCGTAGGAACCAAAAAACTCAATTTTTGTTATATTTTTTTCAGAAGAGCAACCAAAAAGCGCGATTTTCAGGAAATAAAAAATAAAAATCGCTGCAGATGGGGGGTTTTTTTTGAATTTTTTTTTTCAAAAGATTCTCATCTCAAAAAAATGTCCAATATTTGAGTCCAACGGTGTGTTGTTAAACGACCAAAAAAAAAACTCGAGAAATTCCCGATCGACACGAAAAATGAGGCGACAAATCGTATTTGTGGCGGCTGGCAAATAGCCAATTAAATGCTCAAGTGGGCAAACCACGCCCACCAGCCAATCAGCGTCGAAGAGGGGAGGGGCGGAGTCGCGATGGAGGCGGGATGAGCGCGCGCGCGGCGCGCTCGCCGGCCACCCACCACCATCACCGCTGAACGATCCTCATCGGGCACTCATATAAGAACTAAATGAGCTCTAAGAGATTCTACGGTTCAGCTGAAGCACCACTTTTGGCGCTTCAACCCAATATATGTTTTTTTTTGTGTGTGTTGTGTATAGCACTGTGCATGATGACTTTTCAAGTTTCTAACTTGAGTGCCTGGGTGGAGCCCCCCACTTCCACTCATACTTGAATTGTTGTGAAGGGTAGCGGCCACCGAAACCCCACGGCGAACAGTGCCGGGGCCACAAAGTCATCATGCATGGTACGTTGAATAATTGTCCATCAAGCTTCATGGTCCTTCGAATCTAATAGATTGTTGTATTGTAGAATGTCGACGGGCTCATCGGCGTCGACGGTCGATTCCGGAAGCTCATCATCGGCGGCTGAATCGTTCGCGTCGAGCATCTCGCTGGCTCAACCCTCATCGGCCGCTCAAATGCAATACTTCAACTCGTTTCAGCCGCAATATGCCGCCGAGTTCGCCGGCTATAATCCATCGACACCTTATATTTATCCGCAGCATCCGCAATTCGCCACAAGTCAGTTTTTTTTTTGGAATAATTTGAGACAAGCCTAATTTGGGGTGCGCAATCTAGCCTCCAACAATAATTATTTTGATTCCAATTTTTTCGACTTTCCTCTCGCGCCTTATTATGCGAATTATAATTATTGGCAGCGTTTGCGCGAAGCGCGCGCGCGATCGCAATCTTCCGGTTTCGCTGGTTTCCAAACTTGGACGACGATCGCTGGTTGTCCGCAAACACCGACACTCGATTTTTGTTTTGTTGGCAATTTGGGGAATCCAAATTTTTTTTGTTGCTCAAAAAGTCCGCAAACACCAAGGCACAGGGGTTTTTTTTGTGAAAATTACCACAAATTTGTGAATGGTCCGCAAACACCGAGCTTTGAAATAATCATTTGATGTCACGATTACTGTAGACGCGCGATCAAGGTCCGCAAACACCGAGCGTTTTCAAGAATTGACATTCGATACCAATGACTTCAAAATATTTTTTTCATTTTCAAAAATTGTTGCCGATTACTGTAGATGCGCGAAAAGTCCGCAAACACCAACGAATTTTCGAATCGCCCAATTTGCCATTGAAGCAATTTTTACACTAGTTGTTTTAACCTTGAGAGAAAGCGATTACGGTAGACCGGAGATGGTGGGGGGTGGGGGACCTTGAGACGTAGAAGCCCTACGGTAATAGTTTCGGAATTACGGTATCAGAAGGAAATTTTTTTTTCTCGCTATAACAGAAAGAGGGGGGGGGAGTTGATTGAATTGCGTGTTTTGTGTTTACCCTACCAAATAAGACCTGCCTCGTCGATTGTTTGTTTTTGAGCGCGGACGCATACGGTAGTTTTCGCCAACACCACCACCACCATCACCCAAAAAGGAAGGCGTGGAAGTATTTTGTTGAACTGACGCAATCTGGCCATGTAATCCGTGATTATCGCACTCACTTCACCCACCGAGATTCCACTTGGCAAGTTGGTTGGTGTTGCGCCATTTTGGGTGCAATTTGTGCGCCAAACTGGCACCAAGGTCATATTTGCACAACGCCCCCCCCCCACCTAAATATTTGTGGACCAACCAATTTCAAGTGTGTTAGCATTGCCGAGAACAATGGTCCCCCAACGGAAATTGGCGATTCATGAGACAATTGCCATTCAGCCTATTAGATGGATTCATTTTTGCAGTCAATCGATTCGGTGGCACCAATCAGTTGAGCATCGGTCTCGGCGCGCCGCAGAATATCATGAGCATCAATATGGGACGACGGAAGCGACGTGTGCTGTTCTCGCCGGCGCAGGTAGGCCCCCCCCCATTCGACGACGACTCGAACACGTCTGATGTGTTGTAGGTGACGGAACTCGAGCGACGCTTCAAAACCAGCAAATATCTGAGCGCGCAGGATCGCGAGGGACTCGCGCGAAGCATCAGCCTCACGCCGACACAGGTACAGTAATCCAGGCGGCGGCGCGCGGCAGCCGATTGGCTGCAATTTTGGCGAATTTGCCGATTGACACAAAAATTGAAACAACAACAACAAAATGAGGAACACAATTTTTGCAGGTGAAAATCTGGTTTCAAAACCAACGCTACAAGCACAAACGGCAGGAGAAGGAGCGCGGAATGGGCGGCGGCAAGTACACGGAATCGGAAGGGCGCAGCAGCGAGTCGCCGATGAGTCCGGCGAACAAGCACGACGGCAAGCACGATGATAGTCTCGAGCCGAAATCGCATCTCGACTGCTATCCGACGACGGCCTCCAATGAGGTGGCGGTGAATGAGGCGGCGGCGGCGGCCGCGGCCGCCTCCTGCATGCCCGATCTCGCCGGCCAACAAGCATTCCCATATCAGGTGAGCGGTAATCCAATTATGCGTCGAGATGATGAGTGCGCGCCCACTTGAGGCTCGATTCGAAAGCAGATGCAGATGGGCTCAAGTGGCAGATGTCAGAAAAAAAATTCTCTCGGGTTTTTTGAAAATGAATATGATGGTCCCAAAGACAAAAAATAATTGTTGCTTGGTTTGCAGATGTACCCGCAGAACACGTATATGCCGCAGGGGTTCGCCGCGTTCTGCCAAAACGCCACCTATCAACCGGCGCAGTATTTCGGCAATTTTCAGCGGCTATGATCGCGAATGGTCCTTGATTTTTGTTCTTCGTTTTACAATGATGCTCAAACCCAGTTAATTTCTTTTTTTTTTCCTATTTGACCCCCCCCTCGCCCCTCTCGAACCCCCATTTTTCCGATGACTGGTATTATGTCGACCTTTCAGATGAATCTCTCTCTCTCTCTCTCTCTCTGTCCCTCTCTTTATAAAGAAAATATTTCATATATTTATTTGCATGCGATTCCACAAAATGACAGAAATAAACAATTGCTATGAAAAAAAAAAGATGTTGTTTCACTTTGATTGAGCGCTTTTCGAGTGCTGGCGTGTTTGCAGTGCACAAAAAAAAAACGAATTTGCACTTCCAAATACGGTATCGAATTGGTCGTCATTTCCCTTCAAACACACACCCACTCAATGCCTATGGTTCCTTTTTTTTGTATTCTTCTTCACACTCTCGCGACGGCCTCTTCATTCGATTCGATTCCATTCAAACGTCGTCATGTTCATCACTCGAGTACCTTATGTTGTTCGCGACTACTACATATAATAGACGATTGTTGGAAAGGGGGGGGGGCCACTTGAAAAATTATTTCGTGTAATAATGAGCGATAGGTGAGATGTGCGAGTTGGGGACCATCATCAACACCTACTAATCGTGTTGCGCAACACCGTCACACATCCGACTCATCCTTCTAATTAGCCGTGCAAAAGCCTCGACGCTATAATTAGTGGGCGGCGGCAAAAAGTTCATGACCCCCGCTTTTCGATAAGTCTCTGGGTACAAAAAAAAAAGGTCCGTCCGTCCGTCCGCAGGAGACCATCATTCAATTAGTACCCCCCACCCTCTTCAATATGTTCATATAATGGGGGGCTTTTGATAAAGTGACCTCCGACATGTTGTGTCCATTAAAGGCAACGTGCCGACAAAAGCGAGATGAGCACAAATAGAACAATTGTTGTAGAATTGGTTGAGGCCACTGATATATTGACATTTGGCAATTGAGAAGTGAAGCCAACGGGGGTCGCGCAATAAATGTCCGCAGCACATTTTTTTAATATATGAGTGAAAAGAGGGGGAGAGGATTCTTCAACGCGACTCGGCGCCTTATCAGCGGGCGGCGTGATTGGCGACAGCGTTGCGGGTTTGTGTGGGGCGCGAAGCGTGGCGGACTCGATTCCCACCCACGCGCAATCTCGCCTATTGTTTCATTTTTTGCTTCTTGATTGGTTGCAATCAACGCGTCACATGTGTAGGTAAACACACAGCTGGGAGCTGCGAGAATTCCAGCAGAGCGACGACACCCGATGAGCAGGTTTTTTTTCTGGTGATCGTTTCGAGCTTGACACCTTGTCGATGAATAATTGGCTGCCAATTTTTGAGCATATTGTCGTCGAATGATACGTGTCGCATCCGTGTTGTTTCAATCGCCACCCAATAATTAGCAGCCAATTTTGAAATCGATGCAACATGTCGAATTTTGGTCCTAATGTGTGTGTGTATGTGTGTTTTTTTGTGTCCACGACGACTCAAGGGACCCTTGAGTGTTTATACTACTAGTAACTCAACTACGGTTACCGTATAAGGCAGCAGGCAGCTTTCAAGTGGCTCACATGCCTAATGGAATAAGCTGATGTTTGTCGGCTTGAGGAGGCGGTTGAGGAAGGCGAAAAAAATTAATTTTCTCGCAGGGAATTTGTCCGCAGCACGAATTTCATATAGCCGAGAGAGACGGTTGAATAGTTTCTCTCGGATTGCCCATGTTCAGACTCAGAGTGATTCCTATATCGTTTCAAGACCCAATCATGTCAAGACTATGGTAGCATTGTTTATAATCGTTGTGGGACCAAATTACAATTTTTCAAATCCAATTTCGAAACTAGGGAAGCTTTTAAAATTGGCATCGCGTCAAGACCCGTCAGGATTACGGTAGTGATGAACCAGCCGAAATGCAGGAATACAGTAGCCCTCAATTCCGAGAGGGTGTCAGAACAAAAATCCAGGACAATGGTAGCATTTAGAATCATCATCGTGTCAAGACCCAAATTCAGGATTACGGTAGTGATGAACCAGGTCACAATAGCCCAGAGGGTGTTAGAACCCAAAATTCAGAGAGTTGAGCATCGTGTCGAGACCCGACAGTATCTCGACGTTGTCGCCAGCCCGAATCGATCCATCAACAACTAGGTGCGAAAATCTGTTGGGTGTTGAATGGGTGCGTGGGGGGGGGGTGAGGCGATCGTCGCGCACCTGTGTTTAACATGCGCACAATTTTTTACGGACCCCTCGCGACAATACCTCGAAATTAGCATTTCCCGAATGAATATTCAATGATTGCGTTGGGGGGGGGATTATGGTGGCAGGAAACTGGGCAATTTATGGCGGCAATGCTCATCATCTCGATCAATCGGAAGGAGGGGGTACAAAAATGTTGACATAGATTATTTTGTGTCGGCTTCAAGTAGTCGAGACACCGATTCCGATCGACGCTAAGCTCAACGGCAAACAATCACTTTGATCGCCGTGCTTTTTTTTTACCGCACACGATCCTACCGTACCTCCTTCACTCCCCCCCCCTCCAAGATTTGTTGCCTTTGGGATTCTTGTACGAACAATAGGAAGCGCATTAATAATCCGCCGCTCATTTGTCGGCTCCTCTTCGTTTCCTTTTCTTATTGGTAATCGATCACCTGCGGTGCGGACCATTGATTCTCTTTTTTTTTGAAGAAACCGGATTTCCTTTGTGACGCGCCTTTAAATTTGACGCGGTCCCTTCTTTTTGAAAAAAAAATCTCAACATGCTAAAATATTTTGTGTGCGCCTTTAAATGGGGTTGACTGGTGAGGGGAGTCCTGCGGCGATAAAGGCGAATGAATGAGTGTGCGCCTTTAAATCGAATATCGCGATGCGCCTTTAAATTGGAAGGTCCGGATAACGAATACAACAATTTCAGCGTACTTCTCTTTGAAAAAAAAACTGAACATCGAAAATATTTTGTGTGCGCCTTTAAAGGGGGGTTGACTGGTGAGGGTCCTGCCGCGAGAAAGGCGCCTAAATGAGTGTGCGCCTTTAAATTGGAAGGTCAGGATAACGAATTCAACAATTTCTCTTTGAAGAAGAAGCACTTCTCTTTGAAAAAAACTAAACATCTAAAATATTTTTTGTGCGCCTTTAAACTGATGCGAGGGAGTGGGGGTCCCGCGGCGAGAAATTCTCCAAAATGATTATTGCGATACGCGCCTTTAAACCAATCCAATGATAGTAGTAATATATCAAAATGAGTTGCGCAACACGCAGTAGCGAGGTAATCCGAGAACTTCCTCCCCCAGCCACCTGAAGTTGTCGATCATTATTGGGTTTTATTGAGTCGAGTTCAAGTTGGATACTTTTACGTAATAAATAAACAAACAAATATCAACGATTGGGCTGCTCGCCGCCGGTTTTCCCGCCAAATAGGGGGGTGGGGGGGTCCGAGCGATATTCGATATGCGTGAAATCGCGCCTCGAAAAATCGTTTCGTCGGCGTCTTCAAACGAACACGAAACAAATATCATGCTTGGATTACGGTACACCGACGGCTATCACAAACATTTGGCGCGAAGAAGCGTGTGAGCAACAAAATGTGATCGGCAAACACTTGAATGGGCGCGTGTGAATTTGGTTGGTTTCGTTTCGGGGGGGGGGGGTGCTCAGCCGGTGAGACTCATTTACCTCAGGGAGAAGGGGGGGGGTCGGTGACACACGACATCATCCCCTTGGATACAAATTTTTGTTTAAAGGCGCATGCGAGAGTTTGAACGCGTCTTGCACAGACTTTACGATATTTATAGAATTTTGGGTCTAAAATTGGATTTCACGATTTTAAAGGAGCATGGCCTCTTTCATCGAGGCTTCTCACACGAAAATCGCATTTTGCGGACTTAAAGGAGCATGGCCTATTTTTTCGAGGCTCTTGACGCGAAAAATTGGATTTCACGATTTTAAAGGAGCATGGCCTCTTTCATCGAGGCTTCTCGCATGAAAATCGCATTTTGCGGACTTAAAGGAGCATGGCCTATTTTTTCGAGGCTCTTGACGCGAAAAATTGGATTTCACGATTTTAAAGGAGCATGGCCTCTTTCATCGAGGCTTCTCGCATGAAAATCGCATTTTGCGGACTTAAAGGAGCATGGCCTATTTTTTCGAGGCTCTTGACGCGAAAAATTGGATTTCACCATTTTAAAGGAGCATGGCCTCTTTCTTCGAGGCTTCTCGCATGAAAATCGCATTTTGTGGTCTTAAAGGAGCATGGCCTATTTTTTCGAGGCTCTTGACGCGAAAAATTGGATTCCACGATTTTAAAGGAGCATGGCCTCTTTCTTCGAGGCTTCTCACACGAAAATCGTATTTTGCGGACTTAAAGGAGCATGGCTTATTTTTTCGAGGCTCTTGACGCGAAAAATTGGATATCATCATTCAATTAAAGGCGCATCGCTATGGGAAATTGTAGACCAAAATTGACTTCTGACGCAAACCCGCAACACTGTCCGCAGCGATGTTTCGCCTAATGGTCGCTCCTCAAAACTACCGTACACTGCGACTGTGAATGAAAAGGCGCGCGTCACTCGACACAAAAATATTTGGTCGAATGATTTCCTGAATGCGAGACGAGACAATAATATTGCAAACACACTTGACGACGTTGAAGACGTTTCCGCGCGGATTACGGTACGAATTTGTACAAAAGAGGGGGGGGGGCACTTTTGGGCGACGACGACGACGACGACATCTGACGGCCACCTGCCTTCGCTGAATCAGGTGGAGCAGAGACAGAGAGCTCAACTCGAGTGCCCCGTTTTTGTTTTTTTCGCGATCGTTGCGCAACTCCGCCGTTTTGACGTCGCCAGGCCCTACTTGAGAATGATTGGCGGATCGATTGAAGTGATTCGATGATGGTGGCGGATTAAATATCGAGGCACACCATATCTAATTTGTTTGATCATCATATTTGGATGGCGCCGAAAAAAATATTGTCGACGATTGGTTTTTCTTTTTTTTTTTCCATTGCTTTATGCAACACCATCTGCCGACGTTTTCATGGAAAATGGCGATTTTGACGATTTGGTGTCCCCCGCGAATTGTCCGCAGATGGTTTTTGATGAAATCAATAGCGAGAAATGATTTTGAAAATCGTCTCCAGAAATTCTAGATTTTGAAATATACATTGTATTTATCAGAAAGTTGTCCCATTTCGCATTGAACTATCTAATATTCTTGCTGCGGACATTTTTGCGGGTCCTTAGAACGAGGAGAATTCCAAATTCAATAATATTTCTATCTGCGGACATTTTTGGAATTCAATATACTTAAAATTCCATCTGCGGACCTATTCTAAAACTACTGAATTTGGCATTTAGATCTTATCATCGATTTTCGGACCATTTCAATTTTTTGCTAATAATGTCAATAAAAAATTTGAAAATGTCTGCAGATAAGATAAATACTGTATTACTATGTTTCGAAATGTTTCATATGGTCCCAAAATCGACTTTGTTTCATTTTTGATTGCCTAGCAATTGTCCGCAGCTGGAAATTGTCAAATCATCAACAATCGAACTTTTTTATTAAGAATTCAGTATAGTAAATGTGTAAAATTAATATCAATGCTCATCTGCGGACATTTTTTGTGTTTCAAAAAATTCGTGCTGCGGACATCCGGTGGCTCAAATGACAGATGGCTCAAGGTGAGAGTCGAGTGTTCCCACGCTTTCCTTATTTCGACGATGGGACCATGAAAAACGGCGGGCCATGTTAATTACGTGAGAGAGCACGCGCGGCTCTTGAATGGAATTGTGCAAAGTGGTGGCGAAAACAATGCGGTTGCTCATCACTCGACATATTGCGATCACAAGTGGTCCCCCTCCCCCCATCCTCATCATTATGGCGAAAACGACGATTTTGTGGGACCATTTTTTGTTGAAACGGGACCCGGACAAGTGTCCGCAGATGGATTTCAATAAATGCGGGCTCCCACAATTAATTTTCCAGTTTTCTCGTTTTTTTAATCCTTTCGATTGTCGAAAGGTGGCAGATAGGCGAAACCCGGCAGTTGTCCGCAGATGATTTTTGAGAAACCGGGGGCGCTGCCCGCGAATTGGTGTGATCTCATCTTTCTCAAATTTCTGAGAAGAACGCTGATCAATCATTTTTGTAGATTGGCGTCCCCGAAAGATGTCCGCAGCAGAAAATTTTAATAATCAATTCGAATAGGCAACACGAATTATTGTCGGCAGGAACGATATTACTAAAATTAGCGCCAAGATGAGTCTATCAGATTGTCCGCAGATGGAATAGAAAATAGTTGGGCAATTCGAAGTCGCCCTCTGTTTATTAGATCGCTTGAATTGATAGAAAGCATGATTTCAAAAATTCCGTGCTGAAGGTCATATTTCGGTGACCTCGAAAATGTCCGCAGATGAAGATGGCATAAGATCAGAAGCGACACTCGTGGAAAGTGGTCCGAAGTTGATTTTTGGACCAGAACCTTTTTCCACAGTTAATCGCTAAAATTTTCAATTAAAATATTTTTTTAAATTATTTTTCCTCTCTTTTTTTGCACTATCACTATTGTATTTTTAACTGCCTAGGTCTATTCATTCCAGTGACTTTATATTGCACGACGGTGACTTTAAAATTTTCATCTGCGGACATTTTGGCGGCCGCCGAAATCTGGTTCAAATTGTCCGCAGCACAATTTTTCTAAAAATTAATTTTCTAAACTTTGCTTCGCTATTTTAATAGTAAATATTTAAAGTGACCTGTTTAGCAAAAAATTTAAATGGTCCGAAAATCGATGTTAAGATCTAAATGCCAAATTCGGCAGTTATAGAATTGGCCCGCAGATGAAATTTTAAGTATATTGAATCTCTAAAATGTCCGCAGATGGAAATATTATTGAAATTGGCGTTCTCCCCGTTCTAAAGACCCGCAAAAATGTCCGCAGCAAGAATTTTAGATAGTTCAATGCGAAATGGGATCAATTTTCTGATAAATATATTTCAAAATCTAGAATTTCTGGAGATGATTTTGCAGATTGTTGAGACAATTTCAAATGAAAATAAAACGTTTTTCAAAGTTTTAAAAGAAAAATGAAAAACTTGAGCTGTTTTGAGATATGTAAAACTGCCAGATGAATAGAGGAAAATCTCGTTATTGATTTCATCAAAAACCATCTGCGGACAATTCGCGGGGAAACCAAATCCAATTGGAAAGTGCCCGATGACAACGTTCCGCGACGAATTCCGTTGCTAAAAAGAATTGTGCGAGCCGTAAACCTGTCCGCAGATGGCTGGAAAGAAAATGCGACCACAGTGAAGCATCGCGTCGAGTTAATCTGAAATTCGAGACGTCGTCGATGTCAACAACAAATCTGCCATCAAGTGTGTTTGATTATTGTATCAGTCCTGTTTGCAGGTTTCTCAGTTTTTTTTCGCTGCTCGCCAACGACCACCACTTGTACGCGGCTGTCCGTCGCAGTTTTCGGTGTCAAGAGCCACAACAAATTTTTGCTCAAATATTTGACTACCATGTTTGGCCGGATGGTACACATTAGCTAATTATATGATTGAAAGGGGCATTGCAGCATTTTTTTTGTCGAGATTTTTGAAATTGGGTCTTGCAGCGAAATTTGAGCAGAATAGCTCAATTTTTAAAGGGTTTAATGGCATCTAGGTGTCATTGAACCAAATTTGCGCTTTAAAGGCGCATATGATAATCTTGCACGTTATCATTCGATTTTTAAAGGTGCACTCAATATGTACCCTATTTAAAAAAGCATGAAATGCGGGAAAATTGAGGCCAGCGTGCAAATTTGATTTATGCACATCCAGCTGCGGACAATTTCAAGCGAATTTTTCTAATTAATCCATTTAAGGTTTTATGTAATTTTTTGAGCTCTTTTCAATGAGAATTGTGGAATTTGAAAATTTTTTGATAAATAGTCAAAATTTTGGAGCTGTGCTCGTTACGAATTGTTGGGACCACTGAGCTCATCTCGCTGAGCGGCATTCTTCTAATTGTCATCGAATGTATATTAATTGCTGTTTTTTAGTCTAAACTTCATTTTTTGGGGTTTGAAGTGAACCCGTCGGCCCCGAACGTTGTCGGCAGCAAGACAGTGTCTAGTCGAAAAATGATCAGAACGTCGAGACCATCGTCAAGCATTTTTCTGAAATAGTTTTGATGGTCCTATATTGAGCTTCAAATACAATATGAATCTGCGGACATTTTTGAGGGTCGCGAAACCCGCATCGATGTCGGCAGCAAATTTTGCTGGTTTTGCGATCAATGTCGAAATTCCAGCGAGTCTCGCGGCGAAAATTTCGTAACTCACGTTGATTTTCTCCCCCGCCAAAAAAAATGTGTACGATACGCGAGGAAGCCGCTCCCCCCTCCCCGCCTCTGATAAGTTTCGTTCATTTCGTAACCCCCCTCGCTCTCTCTCGGCAATCGGGTCTCGTCAAACGAAATGCGGCGATCATATAGCAGCGAACACCTGCCGACAATGAAGCGGGCCGCCGCCACATCGCAGTACCTACCGCGCCTTCACTACTCCAGCGGATTCTATCGTGGATCGACGACGACGACGACGACGACGACGTCATCATCATCGTGTCGGAGAAGCGTACGAGCAGGTTTGATAATTAGCGCGCAATCAATCGATTCGCTATCAGTAGTTAGTTGGGGAGCGGAAAATCAACAATTTTCGAATATCTTGCCGCGAAATGTTTAAAGGCGCATCGGCGAACAATTCTTTTTTCGTTAGTTGTTTTTTTTTTTTTGCAAGCGCAATTTTTTGGCTGAATTATGGAATTTTCGTTGCGAGACGACGCGGCGCGCTTTTTGTGTACTCCACACGGACAATACCTACAGCGAGTTTAAAGGAGCTTCATCATCATCATCGAAATTTCATATTTCAAAGCGTTTACGAGATTTCGCGCGATTTTTTGGTTTGCGGCGCGGCTTCTGTGTACTCCACACGGACAATAACTACCGCGAATTTAAAAGCACATCACTATCATCATTGGAATTTCATATTTAAAGGCGCTTTCGAGATTTTTTTGGTTTCAAGCAATCGCTTCTGTGTACTCCACACGGACAATCAATCATTGGTGTCGAGTTTAAAGAAGGAGGCGACAAAAAGAAAAATTCCAAAAAAAAATTTTTTTTCCTCTTTCTCGGTTTAATCGCATTTGAATTGCTATCGCGTCGACAAAATTAGTAGTAGCGCGATTTTTATCGCAATGAAAATGATAAGAAATTGAAATTCGAACATTTTCCGAACACATTTTGGGTCTCGACGCGATGCGCCTTTAAATTTGCTCTTTACAGCCACATTACCACATTTTCGTCGTCTCGAGACGATTGTCGAGGAGGACCGACAGTACGCCGAGTCGGAGTTTCCCATCGAGACCGCATACAGCTACACGATGAGACGTGTGCCATATTTGGTAAGCACACATTAAAACGACTGCTACCGTAACCCGCGTGTGCTTCCAAACAAGACCTTGCCCTTTAGAAATTGCTCATTACCACACGATATAAACCTCGCCGGTTATCATGGTCCCTTAGAGGGTTTGAAGAGGGTTCTAGGTTTCAAACGAGTATCTCAGACAAATTCGGGACCACCAAAAACCTGAAAATTTGAAAATTGTTCAAAAATCTAAAAAAAAATTGATAAATAATAAATTTTTTATTTTTTTTGTGTTTTAATTTCACAGATATTAGATAATTACGAAAAAAAAAGTTTTAAATTTTGCCCAATAAAATTTTTAAAAATTGTCTTTGAATTATTGTTACCGTAACTCGGCACATTTCAACTATTGCTACAGTATGCTCACTAGTAATTTCCATATGAGACCTTGGCCTATAAGAGCTGTCGATATTGGTATCGTAATCTAGTTGCTTCTCACTGAGCACATCTGAACAATGGCTACAGTATGCCGACTACAGTAACCGGGGTTTTTTTATTTTTACAAATTTCACACCAACCAAAATTTCAGCCGCCACCACCACCGCCACCAACAACGCCAACGATCACCACATCATCACCATCGTCACCTTTTTCGCCGTTGCCGACGACGACGACGACGACGTGCGGCCTTCAGAAGAACATCGACGACGTTCGACGAAATGTCGAAGAGCTCGAGAAACGCCTTCTCCTTCTCAACAATATGTGTTATAATGCGTCGAGTCGCTGATACCCATTTTTTTTGTTCAACCCATTCTAGACATTTCGTTTGTAGTTTGATCTCGGTACAAAAAAAAAAACAAAAATGAGCTTCATCGTCAACGGTTTGTTTTTGCAAAACAATAAACATTTCATATTTCTCTGCTGCCGACACCCTACGGGTTGGATATCGTATTCGCGGCGAGACCTCGGCGCACTGTTTTTTTCGAAATTCCTCCACTCAGTCAATCTCGCATAATAATAAACGCATGCTGCGGACAACGAACCGGGACTTGCATCTGCGGACAATATTTTTTAAGTGTGTACCTTTCGGTCACGTTTTCACGGCGAGACCCCCAATAATGTAAATTCAACAATTTTCCAGATAAATTGGATTTCAGCCAATTTATATAGCAGCGGGTATTTGAAAAAAATTGCTCCAGGTCCGCACAATTAATTTTTTTTAAATTATCGAGGTCCGAATTATGGGTCAGATGTCCGCAGATGAAATTTGTCAAGATTGTTAACTCGTCCGTACGGACCCTTAATAACATGAACTTCACAATTTGATTCTCGCGTTTTAATGTATGAAGACGCAAATGGTGGCCGTGGACGAGAAAATACGAGTCCATCTCGAAATCATAGACGGAATCAATTTTCTTTTGCGATTATTTTCGAAAAATGTCGCCAAACCATTTTTTTGGATTCGAAATGAATAAGAGCGTGTTTAAAGGAGCACGACAAGTTGAGAATGTCGGCAGATATGAATTGATTAGAATTTGCTCAAATGTCCGCAGATAAAATTTCGAAATACTCCAAAAATTTGTGGCAAAACTAATAAAGTAAATAGAAGTGATTTTAAAAATTTCAAGGCAATACCGAAATTGAACAAATGCCAAGATCGTGCCGATTTAAAGGCGCACGCCTCATTTCCACTTCAAGCTATTTGTTCGAGTAAAAAATTCAATCCTTTAAAGGCCGAATTCTTTGGATAGTGGTTATCAGGGTGATTCGAAGAGATTAATACTGCTTTATTTTTTTTTCTTATTCAATTTTTGATTGATTTGAGATTTGAAATGACTCAATTATGAGCAAATAATTGGGGAGTAGCTTGTACCAGCAGAAGCTGATTGATGAGGGCGTCCTTGCGCTGGAGTTGCTCGTTGAGCATGTCGCGCTGCTGCTCGAGTCGCGCGATGTCGGCGCTCATTCGGCGTACCTCGGCGGCGAGCGCGCGCTCGTTGTCGACCTTCTGACGCATCTCGGCGCGATATTTGCGCGCGTACATCCGCCGATGCTTCTTCTTCTGGCTCGCCTCGTCGTCGCCGTCGTTGATGGTCTGCTGCGGACGACCGCGGCGAATCGGACGCGACGTCGACGCGCTCTCGTTGGAACAGCATCGCTGAAAATCGAATAGGCAATGGAATGAGACGGAGGCGATGATGAGGAATACCGACGAGACGCCGCTGCTGCTGCTCGAATCGGTCGCACTTGCCGACGGCGAGCATCGCGCCACGTCGTCGACAAGAGCTGGAGTAGGTTGAGATGGAGCTGGAGGTGCTGCCGTCGTCAGCATTGCCTGCATTTGAGATAGGAAACCTGCAAAACGGCAACGAATCAGAAGACGTCGAATCGAGGAAGAAACTCACAATTCAAATAATCTAGAGACATTCGTGTTATCCAACAAAAAAATAAGTGACTCCTCTAATCTTGGTACTCTATTGGGCACTTCTTATCGCACTCTTGGTCCCACCCCCTTTTTGGTGGCGGTCGACGAATGCTGTGCTGAGCAGAAGAAGACCGCGTACCGCCCCCTGTGAATCATCGATAAACTGAAAACGAAATTTGCGTTAAATTTAGCAACCCATTTCAGGGCGCCTCGGCGAAACTATTTAGAGGCGCAGGCCAGCGTTTTTTTTTATCAGAGCAGGAGCAATATTCGCTGCCATTAACTAGTATTATGGTACATCAAAACTATTGTGGACGTCTTTGATCTCTTTGAATTTCTTTTCCCCTAGTGAACACGCAGCTTATAGAACATTCTGGAATTAAATTTACTTGACATAATTATGAAGTCGCTCTGAAGGGCGAAAAATTACGTATAGCGTAAAAATTGTGTTCAGCACAATAAATTGCTTATGTGAACTTATTTTGATGGTGTTACCTTTAAACATATCCTCGTCGAGATCAAAAATCCAAATAATCCAAGAGGTGATATTATCTGCTCCGGAGCTTTTTCTCCTTCGGTACAATGAGACGATCAATTAGAGCAAATTTTGGAGCAGTTCACTCGCCGTGGCGTCACCGTGCGGGAGTTGTCCGGAATTGAAAATTGTTGCCAACTGACGAAGGAAGTCGAAATATGACACTGAAAAATTAAATTAATTAGTACCAAGCAATTACAAAAAAACAAAAACAAACAATTTTATGTCGTCGAGTGGGAAAAAATTGATTTAAAACATTTTTCAGTAGTTTTTATTTATTTTTGGCAAATTTCCAAAAATTGCAATGAAATTAAGATTTCCCTAGATTTAAGGAAAACTACTATTATAAATAAATCGCGTAATATTAACAATTAACACGTTAGCAAAAGCAGAAACGCTAAAAACATCGAATTTACCGAAACTGTGTAAGTGCGCGTCAGCCTCTGGCATGTCTGTGTACACCGTCTGTGCACCGTACACCCTGGAAATAATCGATTTGACTCCTGAGCAAATTTGACTTAAAATAGATTTTTGCAGTTTCCAGACTTTGTTTTTTAGTTTTAACGGAATTACGGCACAACGCTGGCCGTCTACTCTACTATCCACAAATAATGAATTCAAGTATACTGATTGATGGAGAGCAGGACCGTCTGATTCAACCGAAACCATACTTCATTATTTCCTTTTCAAATTTTTGTTTACACTAAATTTTAATCTCCGTCGAACTTCACAATTGCGTTAGTCATCATCATAGTTTGAAAATTGCAGCAAACAAAAAATACGATTTCTTTTTATGATTTGAATTGCCCATGGGTCTCGTATGGAAAACTGGCGATTTTTGTTAAAACTAATCATAAAACAATACAATTTGTTGGTTATTATCAATATTTTCAAAATTTTGAAACTCGTTTCCAAATTGATATTGAAAATATTACATTCACCAAAAAAAAAACGAGCACAATGAGTTTGATTCGCACGTTTTCCAGAGCACGGTATTTGAATTCCCGCCTCGAAAAAGTGCGATGGTCCACAATGTTGATTACTAATAGGCTACCATCATGAGACATCATTATAAACACTTGCCTATAGTAGGCGGTCTGTCTTGCTCAGCACAAAATTCGTCGAACCCCACCAAAAAAGGGGGTGGGGTCGGCTGATAAGAAGCCCTCCTTAAAAGGAGTGAAAAGATAAGAGGAGTCAATTTTTTTCAAATCGAAAACACGAATGTCTCTAGATTATTCGAATGCGATGCTTCAACATCAGATCATGAATTGTGAGTTTCTTCCTCGATTCGACGTCTTCTGATTCGTTGCCGTTTTGCAGGTTTCCTATCTCAAATGCAGGCAATGCTGACGACGGCAGCACCTCCAGCTCCATCTCAACCTGCTACAGCTCTTGTCGACGACGTGGCGCGATGCTCGCCGTCGGCAAGTGCGACCGATTCGAGCAGCAGCAGCGGCGTCTCGTCGGTATTCCTCATCATCGCCTCCGTCTCATTCCATTGCCTATTCGATTTTCAGCGATGCTGTTCCAACGAGAGCGCGTCGACGTCGCGTCCGATTCGCCGCGGTCGTCCGCAGCAGACCATCAACGACGGCGACGACGAGGCGAGCCAGAAGAAGAAGCATCGGCGGATGTACGCGCGCAAATATCGCGCCGAGATGCGTCAGAAGGTCGACAACGAGCGCGCGCTCGCCGCCGAGGTGCGCCGAATGAGCGCCGACATCGCGCGACTCGAGCAGCAGCGCGACATGCTCAACGAGCAGCTCCAGCGCAAGGACGCCCTCATCAATCAGCTTCTGTTGCGCCACCAGTGATGAATACGATCGGCAAGCTCATCTCGCCGCATAATTCCTCATAATTGATTCATTTCAAATCTCACAACAATTAAAAATTAAATAAGAATAATAATAATAATAAAACAATATTAATCTCTTCGAGATCTCTTCGAATCACTCCGATCACCTCCTTCGCCGCCTCGCTTCTTCTCCTTCGCCTGCTCGAACAGATCCGACAATCCGAACACGTCCTGATCCTTCTCGAACTGCAAATACATAACAATTGATTCATTCCTCATGAAGTTCTTATGATTATCGATTATCAAAGTTCAACTTCCACATAAGGCAAAGCATGGGTATTAGCATCACAAATGACGTGATTCAACCATAAATATATTGATATCGTAAAAAGCGGCGGAATGCATCATTAAATTACCGTGTAGTTTGGTACACACTTTCAAAATCAACAAAAGAGCCTATAGCGAATTGTTATTTCAGTATGAGGTCTCACAACGAATCGATATCTAGTATGCTCCTTTAAATAGTCTATTACGAATTCAATAATGACTTCATTCCGTTCCAAAAAAAAAACGGTTCGTTATCAAAATTCGTTTGCGTTTTCAACGACAAACTCGCCCTTTTTCGTAATCATCGAAACAATTTCGACAATTCCTACGAGTGCCGAAGAAATGTGCATCGAGCGCACATACAAATTCCGTAATCGTGTCGTCATTGCTAATAATCAATTGCGAAACAACATTTTTTTTGAATCGCCAATCAGACCGTCACCGCATTGCTAATTTTATTGGTTACCGTGTTTCAAAATGATCATCAATTCGAAAAACGCACAATCAGAACTCAAGGCTAGAATCGCGACGAGACCCGGAATTAAAGGGGGGGGGGTGGGAGGACACGATTACCAATTTCAAAAACTACCGTCATCGTTGTCGGAAATTCGGCGAATTTCGGAAAACTACACATTTTTTCGTGTGCGCCTTTAACGTATACTGTAGTTTAGTGTCGCATTCAAAATTCGTAAATTATTGCTAGACCAAATTCGGGTAGTTCAAATTTTTGTTTACGCTCCACCCCACCATCAATAACACTTCATGTTGCGCCTTTAAATTCCATGTGGCGAGCCAATCGAAAAATCACGAATCAAAACGAAACTGATTGATTTATACACCTACACAATGCCTTATCGACCTTATCGGGAGGGTGCGTGTGTCAAAAAAATTTCCGATTTCGCACAAAGAGAGGGAGGGGAAAAAAAACAAAGCGTCGTTATCATTGAAATCAAAATTGCGCTATCGTCAACACCAACCTGAACCGGTCCGGCGCCGCGACTGCCTCCCTCGGCTCCCGAGAATCCTTTATCGGCGACGAATCGCTTCTGGCTCATTATCTTGTCCAAATCGTCACCGTAAATGTCCTTGTCGATATTTTTGCCTGCAAAACAAAAAATGAAAAGATTTCTATATCGAATGAGTCATCGATTCGGTACGTACTCGGCCGATAGATATGCTGTTGAACGTTGTCGCCACCGCGCCACGCCTTATCGTACGGATTGTATGTCTCATCGTCCATGGCGCCGCTGTCGAGCCCCTTCAAATTTATCAATTATAATCGTACACTTATTTTTTCGGGTGAGTTTGGTATGCACAGCGTAACCATCGCCGGAAATCGAACATCGCGCTGACTAATTGCTCGACTCCGACTGATAACGAAAAAATAATGGCGCACTCAAGAAGCAAGAAATTTTTTTTTGAAATTGTTGCCAGTGGGGGTTGTTTGGGTCCTGACACGAACTTCTATAAAATTTTCGTGGCCTAGAGGGTCTCAACAAGAAAATACAGAAGTGCCTCGTAAATCGTTTCTCCATATTTCCGGGGTGATTTAAAAAAAACAAACAAAGTAATATCCCGTAAATCTACACAACCTATTTTTTTAATCTTATGAAGAGGAGTTCTTTAAAAAAAAAGAACATGATGCTCCCCGTAAATTTACATTAAAGAACCCATCGGAAGGCCCTGAAAACAATAGGTCTCACGACGATTTTCTATATCTTTTTCCGGGGAGATTTTGAAAAAAAAATCTCGCCACGAATTCAATTCAATTCAAATTTCGCGCCGAAAAAATAATAATACATTTCTTTAAAAAAAAAACGGCAACATTCCGAAAATCGGCAAAATCTCATGTCTTAAAATTAAATTTACCTTGGTTTTGTCGAACAATCGCTGATCGAACTGCACATCGCCGGTGCGTTTATTCGTGTCGGGCAAACCGAGCACGATCTTCTCGGAAATGTCGCGTTCGCGCTCTCTGCAAAAGGGGAAAAGAAGAAAACAAAATGCTAATACAATTCGAATCGCCCACTTTCTGAGTTTGTCGGCCTTGTCGGGCCGCGATCGCGCGATATTCCTCTCTTTTCGGATGTCGTCGAGACGATCGCGTCGAATCTCCTCGCGCGCTTTCGCCTGCTCGTCAGCCTCGTCGTCTTTGCGCATCAGACCGCGACGTTCCTGAATTTCAGTTTCGCAAAAATCAAATCAATAAATTTCTCAAATGCAAACCGACCTCTCGAGCCTTGGCGGCCGCCTGCCTCATCTTCTCCTCCTCGTCCGCCTTCTTATTCTGCGCAACTCGTCGTTCAAGTTGCGCTCGCGTCTCAACAGCTTCTCTCGCTTTTCGATCGGCAATATACAGGGCGTCCGCCAATTTCGCAAAATTTTCATTAATATGCGTCTAGAAAAAAGAAATTGAAGCGCCCAATTCGGAAAAAAAATCATCATTTTCACTAAAAGCGAATTTCCAAATTTAAAAAAAACCTGCTGAAGACCGCGCCCATCAGCCGCCAATCGTTTATCCAAACCAACGGTGAACCCTTTCGGATTTTTCCAATTCGAAATGCACGGCGGAATTTTCCAATCATTCTGATCTTTGGCGGTCAGCTGAAAATCGGCTGATAGTGTTACGCAAAACAACAAAAAAAAAATGCCAACTTTTCTCGGCGGACTATGCATGACGGGCGCCGGTGGCGACGGCGGCGCTCGCGGAATCTTCGAGTTGATTTTGAATTTCGGCGGCTCCATCGGATCCTTCTGCTCTTCCACCATTCGAATTATGCGCTGTTGGGCTCCTACAACAATTTTTTTCTATTAATAAACCAACTTTGGCACATTTCAAACAAATTTCATACAATTGGTCTAAAAAAAAACAAAAACATGTTGGGATGGATGAAAAACAAAAAAGTTATTTTTTTCATAACTCTATTTAATCGTATCATTTCAAAATTTCGGGTACTATGAAGATTTTAAGCTAAAAATTCCCTTTCTAGTTTTTTCAAGTTATTCAAACCGGTTTAACAATTTTTTAAAGAAAAAAAAACCAAACTTATAGTACCATTATGAGGAGAAATTTCGCATTTTTTGAATAATCTCACCTCCAAGCGCCTCATTCTGCTGACTCGGCGTATACCGAATATATTGCGCTGGTGCCTGCTTTTCAGCATGTCGTACAGGCAATGCTGAAGCCACCTGAAAGAAAAAAAACCAAGCAATTGCCCACACGGCGAAAAAGAAAATGTTTTTTCTTTTTATGAAAACCTTTGCATTGATAATTTTCTCCAGCGCCATTTTTGTCTTTTCGGTCGCGTCGGCCACTTTCTCCTCGTCGGGCTTCTGAATATCGTCGTCGTCTTCGTTCCACGTTTTCGCTTTCATATCCGCCAATTTGGTGTAAATAGTCTGGAAAAATTCCATCATTTCGAGGATTTCCCGGCGAAAACGATCAAAAAAACAAAATTAATACCTTGTCTTTAGCATGTCCGACGCGCGCAATCGCGTCGTGCTGCAATTTTCCGTCGGCGCCGTACTGAAGCGCCAACTGATTATCGGGTTTGCCTTTTCGATCACTCATTCCGAGCCCGAGCGGGAATTGGGCCATGTGGATCTCTGGAAACGCACCACCATCGCCGAAATCCTGAAAATTGCTTCATTTTCTAAAAATGTTATTATTTTTTTCAATTCAAAGCTCGCTTTTTTTGGTAGTTTGGTTGAAAATTTTTATAAACTAAATAGTTTTACGTTTTATATTTTTAAAGACCTGCTAGAAAAAAATTGATTTTTTTTTTAATTTCGATCTAAAAATTTGCAAAACTCGTCGAAAAATGTTGGCATTTTTCAAAAAAAAAAAAAAAAAAAAAACGAAAAAATTCTTTTGAAAATCCATCTTTCATACTTTTTGGTAAAATTTTGAAAAAAATTGAAGGAGCATGATAATTAAACCCATCAAATGCCTTTTCAATTCAAAAAATTCCAAATTTCAATTTTAAAGGAGCAAAATAATTTCCTAAAAGCCAGTTTTTCATTCAAAAAAATTTAAAGGAGCATGAGTTTACCTCTGGCCCACGAGGCCTATAATTTTTTCTGCTTCCATACGGTGGAATTGCCTTCGAAACCAATGCTGTCGACGGTTCCATTCTGGCGCCGAACCACGGATCGCGTCGAATCTGATTCGCCTCATAATCGGAAGCCACCGGCGGCGGTAATAATCTAAATTTGGCAATCAATTATAATTCGGCTAATTAACACCATCAACTCACTCTTTTAAATTCAGTGCCATTCCGACGGAATTGAGGCCTGCAATACAATTTTAAGTTTTATCAAAAAAAAATAATGGACAAAAAAGGTATAAAATAGTGTAAAACTATTTAAAAATGAGATAATTCGCAAAAAAATTGAAGAAATTATTTATTCGAGCAGTTTAATACACAAAATTGTTAGACAACGACAGCCTTCTTCGCTTTTTTCGTCGTTTCCCGAGCCAACTCAATCAAATCGTCATACTGAAATCATCAATTCTTGAAGTTTACTTTAATTACACCTTAATTACCCCCTTGTTAATATTATCAGCGACGTTTAATTGTAGAAATTGCTCAATGGTGTAATCGGACTCGTCGATTTGGCCGAATTGCACAAATATGCAGTCTTTTCCGCGTTTCACGTGCTCCTCCCTTGAATTGTTCGAAAATCGACACAATAAAAATATGTTCGCTTACCATGGATCATCAGTGGGATCAAATTCGAGCTCCTTGCAGCAGAATGCGCATTTTGCTGTGGTTGGTGAGCTTGGAGAAGCGGTTGATATAAATCCGGCTTTGGCTAGCTGGAAAAAAATTCTCGTCAAAAAATTTATCACGAAAATGTTGTTCGAAACTTTTTCCGATGTACACGTCGCACTGTGATCACTATCAAACTTGAATCGTTTAAAAGTGTCCAATCGATTCTGCAGAAACACATAATTTGCATTACTCTGCTTCGATTTCGCCAATTTTGTTGATGCGATTTTTCGTGGCGGCATACTCTGAATAAAACCCGTCAAATAATGCAATAATATCACAAACCATTTTATTTTTGATGAAATATTGAGAAACTTTGAAAGAAATCGACCAAGAAATGAGAAAATTAGAGAAATGGGAGCAAGCGAAAATGAAAAATTTGAGTTTGGTGAACGCGCTCGGTGTTTGCGGACAGTGGCATACACGCAGCGCGCACATTGCACACCAAATAATTTAAAATTGCGTGATACCGCCAACAGAAAATGAGTGCTTCTTTTTTGGAAATGTTGCACGCAATTAAACGGAAGTCCTTTTGCAAAAAGAAAGGACAAATTTGGGAGATTCGCAACAATTTTTTTCTACAGCTGGATCCCCAAAAAATTATTATTTTTTTGGCTCCTGTTTACAGAATCTATATCGAATCCTTGCAAAAGCCCATTTTCTGAATGAAATGAGTTTCTTTGACGGCAAGAAATCCCGAAGAACGAGCGCATTTCGAATTTGTAGTCGGATTTATTGAAATGTGCTATACATATAGCCATCATCTCGTTTTTCGTTCGCCGAATTTCACATTATTCGCGTTCTTTATGGTACTGGCGTCATTCGGCCGGCCTCGCGTATTCCAGTTGGCTCGTCTTCAAGCAATAAATGTTTCTTTTCTCGTGAGTTTTCGAAAACTGACAATTTTTGCCAAAGTTTCCGCTGTAAAACTTTACGATTTCCGAAAAGATGTCAAATAAAAATTTTTCCTATTTTTTATCTATAGATTTTTTTCGTTTATTTGGGAAATTCACGCAAAAACTCTGGTAAATGATTCCGAGTCGTATACGAAGAAAGCTCAATCGTATACGCTGATATCGCTCTTCAAACGCGGCCAAATACGATTGGGATTTCTTAATATACGATTGGCATTTCTTCGTATACTATTATAATTCTTCGTATATGATTGTGATTTCTTCGTATACGACTACAATTCTTCATATACGGTAACGATTTCTTCGTATTCGATTGGGATTTTTTCGTATTCGATTGGGATTTTTTCGTATTCGATTGAGATTTTTTCGTATTCGATTGAGATTTTTTTCGTATACCATTTCACTTTACACTACTCGTTTGGCATTTTAACGCTTTTAAATATATGATGTAAAGATTTCTATACCTGTTTATTTAAAAAAAATATGAAAGACAAAAAAATGAAAAAGAAAAAGGAATAAATTAATTAATTTTGGTTGGCGCATCAACCATTTTTTTCCACTGCTCGCGCTTTCGATCGTGAATTGTTTCTGAATTAAGTTCATTTGAATGATTAATCATGAGGCAGTCTTCGGCATGTGCAGATTTTGGAGAAAAACGCGAAAAATCTGATTAAGACTAGTTTAGCCGAATCTTTATAATGTTGTCGAGTTTCTTTAAAAGGTTTTTATTGCGTTTCTTTTCAAAATCTGCATAGGCCCACTAAAAAAGTGAAAACTCACAGGAGATAGGTCATATGACCGTGTACCAAATAGGAGATTGTAGAATTCGCCGTTTCGTCAGCCATTCCAGCGATGGTAACCGTCTTTTGTAAAACAGCTGAAATTAATTTAAACATATTTTAAACATTTTTCGCGCTATTTGAGCATACCAATCGCTGTGTTGACAAACCGAACTGGAAGCGTTGCGTGCGGCGGAGTTGGCTTAAACGATGTTGAATAATTCACACGATCGTTATTGGGAATTGTCTGAAGATATTTTTTGCAACTTTAAATAATTGTAAGATACCTTATCGACAAATCTGTTGACTGTAGTATTTATCACATGCTTCAGAGCTGCCTTCATGAACGGAATTTCCAAAAATATTTGGGCGACGTTGATGTCTCCTGTTAAAAGATTTAATACAAATTCAAAGCTTTCGAAACACAAAAAACCCACTATTTCCATCCAGTGATGGAATAATTATTTCTGCGTCTTTAAGAGCTTCAGGGTTGTATACGGCGATCACGTCGATCTAAATTTAGAGAATAGCAAAATTTAAAAAAATACTCACATTGTTTTTGTTTGGCTTTGCCGCGAATTTTTGGGATAAAGTTTCTATCTGGAAGTATAGGGTTTCTATAGTTTCTATTGTGGTACTATGCAGATTTCGCCAAAAACTCAAACAGCGGTAACCATAATTATAATGGTTTTTGCCGGTTTTGACGAGTTCTGATATTTTTTACGGCTTTTGATGATTTTAATGCTTTTTTTTCGCGGAATCTGGTACCATTACATTTGGAATGATTGAACAATAAATAAAACATACCGTGAACATGATTCCTTTCATTTAGAATGTATGGTTGTAGAATAACCCGGTCACCGAACTTCTCATTGAGGAGAAATCCCAATACATCGCCATATTGCAGTGAATTTCGCCAACGAAACATCACGACGCTATTATCCGAAGCAATATTTCTTTGTATTGAGTAGTGTGAGCCTTGATAGCTGTATTTCTCAGTAAACAAATCGCCTTTTTGAGCCAGCATTGAGTACTTCAGTGGTACATCTGTCGTTTTTTCGATATCATCATTCTCCGAATATCGAAATAGCAGTTTTCTCAGTTTCACGATAGACACATCATGTTGTTTTCTCGTTGGGTCCGAATCAAGTCTTGCACGAACTTCGGTCGTCAAATCTTGCAAAATTGCAGCACTAAAATTTTTCTACGGTGTACAATTCTATAATAAAGCATACTTCCGCAACATTCTTTGCCCAATTCCCTTTGTGATTTCTGACGATAATAGTCGTTTCAAACTGTGAAAATAAAATCTCGCGAAGATAATGCTTCCCATTGGCCTAAAGCGAAATAATTTCAAAAATATGCAAAAACGGTAACAACCTCTCGACGTAATGACTCTTTGCAAGTTGTCACAGCTCGACATTGACACAAAATCTTCTTCCGCGCAAGTGAGCTCATCTTCAGACGATTCTATAGAATCTATAGAAATTAAATCTTGCTCTGTTTTTACATTTAGTTATACCTGATGTTAAGTTTCTCTATTTTCTGAAAATAGTTATTTTCTTCATTTTTTCTGTTGTTATCACCTGTTTCTGTCTCGTTCCGATATTCCCTATATATTTTTTTCCATGATTTCTCGTGTGGTGTAACGATATCGCTTTCGATATGCAAATAGTTTTGAATTTTGCGACATATCTGCAAAGAAAATATAGATTTCTTAGAGCGGAGCCAGTAAAATGCACGATTTTTTGGAAAGTATATATATTAAAACGCAATATACGCATAAAAATCGAATATGAAAAAATTCGAAAATTTTCGAAAATTGTTTTTCGAATTTAGACGTCAATTTTAATGCATGTCCGCAGTGTATAATTGTGGTGGTTACACTACTGTGATAAAATCCAAATCGTATACGATCCTTGCAATAACGTATACGACGAGGAAATGCGGATGTTTCGTATACGATTACAAACCATTCATCAGAATCGTATACGATCCTATATGATTCACATTAACTAATACGATTACCATTAACGTATACGATTTTAATTTTATCTTATACGATGAAGAAATTCGCTTTTTTCGTATACGACTAGGAATCATTTACCAGAGAAATTGCGAAAATCGGAAAAAAAAAACAATTTTGCTTTGCGATACTGTCAATTCGCTTCAAGACCATTGCGAATAAACACTTTGCGTCTTTGAAACTACAGTACCCACAATTTTGCAATTTTCACCAATTTCATCAGAATCTTCACCATTTTTCGGAGGATTTTTTGTAAAACGATGAAAATTAACTTTTCAAATTATAAGTTTCATTTTTAATTGATGTTTTTCCAGGAAAATCATGAAAAATTTCAACATTCTATTTAGAAATGAACGCATTTTTTAAAATTAAATTTTTCCATGTTACCCTTCAAAATTCATCTCAAAAAAAGCGCAAGGCTCCTTTAAATTTACAGTGTTCTAATTTCATGATTTTTGGAACAAATTCGCATTAAAACCCCAACCAAAGCATTTATTTAAAAATGAAGTTTTTCCAGACAAATCCGATGGGGGAAAGACGCCATTTCGTTGCAGGAGAACACAAAAAACTTCATTTTCCAGGCTTCTTCTTTTCTTTTTGACGCTTCATTCCCCAATACGACGACGATGATGATGATGATGATGACTTCCACACACCAAAAATCGGCACTCCATTAAAAAAAATAGAGAGAGAGAGAGACGAGAAGAGGAAATATATCCATTTAATTCGCACAATAATATATATTTATATAAGCCTATATATATATATTTATGGAGAGTGAGTGAGTGAGAGAGACAGAGGTGATGGGGGAGGGAATTCAAAAAATTCCATCTTGTGGTGCAGCTCATGGAGCAGCAGCAGCAATGAGCTTCAGGCTCTCTTTCTCGCGAAACATGTGTCGGTCGTTGAAGCGCACGCAACGCATGACCGCAACGCAGTTCTCGACGCCGCCTCCGGGCTCGTCCTGTGAATAAGTGAAGCGTAGCGTATTTGGGTGAAGGAGCCACCCAAGACAAATCTGCGTGTACACACACACACACATGCATACACGCACATTGATTCATCGCTATTCGTCGCCACCTCGTTTTTTTCTACCCCCCCCCTCATCTACTTCTTGCTTCTTTTTTCGACGTTTCCCATTCATTCCTCTCCCCCCCTCCCCCCACTTATTTATTTTTTCTTTTTTTTTGGTTGCCATGTGAGGCCAAATATGGATTATTGAGCCGAACCGGACCCGTATGATGTCCGCAGATGCTTTCGATACCCTCCCCAACTGCCTCGCCTCCAACCCAGCGACTACCTTTTTCGCTTATTGATTGTTAAGTTGTCTTGCACCAAATTATGCCTTGAAGCGAAACTCGCAACTTGTCCGCAGATGGGATGGTTTTGATTACCCGAAATTTGACCGCAGATCGATTTTTAGTGGACATAGGTTTGAGTATGCGAAACCCGCAATTTGTCAGCAGATTGATTTTTAATTCTTTCCGACTTTTCGGAATTGGGTGTTAAATTTAATTTAGGGAATTATTTATCCAATAAAGATTTCACATTTTTTCCATGGCAGAACTGGAGAAAACTTTTTTCTTCCTTTAACGCGAAACTCGTAACTTGTCCGCAGATGATTTTATTCATTCGAGATTGAACGCGCCGCACATTAGTTGTCCGTCATTGAAATTTCTATCATGGGTATACAGTAGAGCGAATCCTCGAAATTGTCCGCAGATGGAATTTCTAGTATCAAAATCAGAAACAAGTTCATTCTTGATTCGGTCGAGAAGACAATTATTGTTAAGCAAAACCATCTGCGGACAATTTGCGGTTTTAAAAAAAATTTCCACAATTTCAGAAAAAAACAAGAATAAATAAATGTTTGGCGTATTTACAAAGTAAATGACACATAAAAACCAGTGAGGTCGACGCGCGAGATAGTGTGGCGAGTCGAAGAGACGCATTCATGCTGGGGGGGAAAAGGGGGGAGGGGAGGCTGGTGGGAGTAGGAGGAAGAGGGGGGGCACGAAACCGACACATACACACACTCGCATTTCATGAGGCTCCCGTCTCTCCTGTCTGCCAGTCCCCGTTTATTCATTTTTTGTTGTTGTTGTTGTTGTTGTTGTTCGCCAAGTTTCCAGTAGTAGCAATTGGAAATTTTGCCAATTTCTCGACACTCTCGCTGATTTCCCGCGATCCCTGACATTGTCCGCAGATTTCAAAAATTGCGCGATTCACCGAATTCGAACTTTTTCGCCAACCCCCATCATATGGGCACCTTTGAACTAGTGCTACCGTACCTCTCACCTCACCCTCTTCAAAGATTTTGCTGGCAAGATTACACCACTTCTACCGTAACCGAAATTGTTTTTTTTTTCAATAGGGCACACCTGAAGCACTGCTACCGTAATAAAACGAATTTCCAGGAGTCCGCCCCTCAAAACCAACAACAAAACAATCCGCAATTGGCAATGATTGACGACGGTGGGCGAATCGGTTGAATCGGCGACAATCAGAAGAAGCCTTCACAAAAAAAGGCTTGTGAGGGTGGCGAAAAGGGCTTCACACCAATAGACACACACACATAAGAGAAACAAAGAATATTATTATTTATAATAATATAGTAATCGAAGAAGAAGAAGAGGAAGGCGCCCTCGATGGAGGAGTGCACACCGTCGTCGTCGTCGTCGTCGTCGGCGACCGCTCGCGCTCTCGACATGTTCAATCGGCGAGGTTCAGTGCTTGCTGTCGTTATTGCAGGTCTTGTTGTGAATTCATTCTTTCGTGTGACCTCATGGGTCTCGCGGCGATTCATTGTCTATCGCTTCCAACCACCAAAATTTTTTTGTTTTTTTTTTTTGCTTTGCGTTCACACCCCAATTTTCGGATTATTGTTGTCGCAATTGGCGTTTTGTTTCGATGAAATACAGTAATCCGTTTGGGCGGGTCCCGACGCGAAAACCTTTTTTTTTTTTTTTCGAAACGCCAATGATGAAAAAAATAGTGTGGTGTGATCTTTGAGCAAAAAAAAAGGTGGTTGATTTTTGTGTCTTCTTTCTATTGCTGTGACCAGAAAAATGAGTGGAATTGACGCCGTCGGCCCTCAACTGCAACGATTTCAGGCAACGCTGCCGATGTGCTGCCGTCAGCGGCTGCCGGTGCCACGTCGTCGTCGTCGGCGGCGATATCCGCCGATCAGCCGTCATCGACGAACTCGGATCCCGATTTGGAGACGACCTCGTTAGTTCTTTTTTTGTCTTGTTTTCCACGAATTAGTTTGGGCGGTAAAAACAAATTTGGGAATTTCAAAAATTTTTGTCGCATTTTCTTTTTCATGAGGAAAATTGCACCGAGTCGACCTTCTTGCTTTTTTTTCTTCAAATTGTGAGATTAGAAAATTTCGAATATTGCGTTTTTTTTTTGCGAAAAATTGAGAAAAAAACTGCGAAAATTTACTAAAAAAAAAAGCCGAGCGCAGTAACGACACTCCGACGTTTGCGATGTGCCCTTGGTTTAACGTAAACCCACACCGGCAATTTTTAAATAATTATCACATCAAAATTGCTTAATTTTTTTGCCATTTTTCACGAAGATTCTTGAAAAAGTTGGAAAAATTAAAATAAATATGATTTTTCTATTAATAATATGTTTGTTTTTTAAAATTTTCGGCGAAAAAAAAACGACAATTGCCAAATTTTCAGCGACTGGCGTCCGCCGTACCCTCGTCTAGTCGCGTTCCACGACTGCCTCTCGCTGGCATCGGCGTGGTCGTTGGGCCTTCATCCGACATGGCTCGACGACAAACCGACCGGCGCGAGTCAGGCGCAATCGCCGAGCGAAGACGATTCCGGCGACGGCAAGTACAACGAGCTGTTGGCGAGCTGTCCGGCGTTTAGGAACGAATTGGGCTGGGAGCCGACGCGACGATTGGCGTTGTCGCGACACACCCATGATTATTCGGGTGCGGAGGCGCACGAGTGCGAGACGTGGATGCGCGAGCACGCGGCCGCCGAAGCCGGCATCCTCGAGGACGTCTCGAACGTCTATCTCGGCGGTAGGCTGTGCGCCGCGCGACAACCGAAAACCGTCATCGAACCGCAGGACATCGGCTCCTACTACTATCGTCATTGTTTTGTCGGCAGACGTAAGATTTTCACACTAAAAATGAACAATTTTATTTTTTTTTGGGGTGCGTGTTTTAGCGCGTCACGGTGTTTACACACATTATCGTAATTGTTAAAATTAAAAAAATTTTTAATTCCAATTTTTAGAGCATGTTGAGTATTTCGGAATGGACGATGTCCTGGGCCCGATTGCCATCTCAATGGTCCGCGAGAACGTCGATCGAAGGGATATCAGCCAGGGCTCCTCCATATATCGAATGATTATTCGGATTTCCGATGTGAGTGACGAAAATCGAACAAAAATGGGAGGGGGGCGTTTTTAAAGGCGCATAAAGGTGTCATGTTTTGTTTTTGTCTTTTAGCAACGCACAATGCGAGTGGCCGTCGCCGAAGAAGCGCTATCATCGTCGGAAGCGTCGGATCGATCGACGCGTCCGCTGATGCGCGAACTTCTCGAGATCGTGTGTCCCCGAATCAGCTTCGGCATTCTTCGACCGGCGCTTCAGACGCCGCGTGTCGAGGAGCTTCTCATGAAAATCGACGAGCAGCCGATTTATACACGCTACAAAGTCGGAATCATGTTGTGCAAAGCCGGTCAGAGCACCGAAGAGCAAATGTATAATAATGGTGAGTTCGACGTCGAGAAATTGGGGTCTCGAGACCCTTTTTTGAATTTTTTTGCCTTTAAAACCACAAAAAAGTGATATTCAGAATCGTCGACGCCGGCGTTCGACGAGTTTCTAGATTTTATCGGGCAACGTGTCACATTGAAGGGATTCGAGTCATATAAGGTATGGTGTTTCATATTGCCTTCAAATTTCTTACTATTTCAAATTTCATAAAACATTCAAATTTCAAGTTTTCTTATTATTATATATTTTTGAAATGCGTAAAAAACGGTTAATCTTTTTTACAAGACCCAAAGCGGGAATTCAAATTCAAAAAAAAAAACTGTCACACCAAATTGAAAAGAACTTTGTTAAGAAAATCTTACTTTTTTGAAATTCGCGGGAAAAAAACAACCGAATTCAGGTTGTGGCGCGAAATTCGAATTTTGAATGTTGAATAGTCCAATTCGCAGATTTCGAATGTCTACCCTTCTAATTTTTGGCGCCAAATTTGAATGTTTGATAATTTTATAATCGTTTTTGTTAGGGACGCGAAAACGCCAAAAAAGCGAAAACTAAAAATTGGAATTTCCCCATTTTGGCGCCAAATTTGAAAAAAAAAAAAACACCAAATGTGTGGATTTAATGTTTTGTGTTTCAGGGTGGTCTCGACACTCGCGGCGACACGACGGGTACACATTCGATATACGCCGAATATCAAGCGCACGAGATCATGTTCCACGTCTCGACGCTTCTCCCATTCACGCCGAGCAATCGGCAGCAATTGTCGCGAAAGCGGCACATCGGCAATGATATGGTGACGATCGTGTTCCAGGAGCCGGGCGCGCTTCCGTTCTCGCCGATCACGGTTCGCAGCCATTTTCAGCACGTCTTCATTATCGTTCGGGTACATAATGAATGCACTGATAACGTGACATATAGGTGAGGAGGGGACAAATTCCAAAAACCAATTGCCGGAATCAACCGGAGATGATAATAAGAGGCTCGGATTGGTTTTGAGTTTGTCTTTTTTCTTTTTGATGAATCGCGTTTTTCATTTTTCTTTTCTGAATATTCCAGTGTGGCGGTTTCGCGCTCGAAAGATGTACCGCCGTTCGGACCACCAATCCCAAAAGGGGCGTGTTTCAGCAAATGCGCCGAGTTTCATGATTGGCTTCTAACGAAAAGTGAGTTTTTTCTTTCTGGGGGGTTAGCCAGAATAATTAATTTTTCAAAATTCCAGTTGTGAACGCCGAGAACGCCGTGCATCGCTCGAAGAAGTTCGCGACGATGGCGGCGCGAACGCGTCGCGAAGCGCTTCGCGATCTCGTCGAGAACTACGTCGGACCGCATCAGAACGAGGGCGCGAGCAAGATTGCGAGCCGATTCCTCGGCGGCAGTGTGAAGCGCAAAGAGCGCCACAATCCGAAGCCGACGAATATTGTGATGCGCGGCGCGATCTCGTGGCTCGTCGACGTGCACGATTATTCGACGAATCAGCGCATCAGTTGTGTGCTCGGCGTCTCGCAAGACGCGATTGTGCTTCTCGAACGCCCGTCGGGCTCCGTCGTCTTCTCAACGCCGACGCACTCGATAATCGGTTGGGCGAACACGGAGCTCGGACTGAAGCTGTATTACGATCACGGCGATCAGTTGCTTCTTCGTTGCTACGCGGAAACCGGCACCGATCACGAGCTCAACGAGCTGATTCGACGCCTCGAGCAGGTGACGAAGGGCGACGAGGCGAAAGAGGTGGTGTTGAGGCGGAGCAAAACGATCGGACCATGGGGATTCCATGTGCAGGACGAGGGCGTCGTCACCGACGTCGAGATGTACCAGACGGCGTGGCGGGCCGGCATTCGACAGGGCAGTCGAATTGTTGAGATGGACGCGATGCCGGTGGCAACATTGACGTATGACAAGATTTGCGATCAGCTCGCCGTGTCCGAATGCATCCGATTGTTGTTGATCTCGCCGGCGCAGGACGGCAGCCCGCGACGCGGTTGCGAGGATCCCAATTGTCCGGCGGTCAAAGGCATCGAGCAGATGCTCACGCCGGACGCGTTCGCCAAACAGCCGTTGACGTGAGTGTGCCAGCCAGCAGAAATTAATCACTCGCCACCGTTTGAAGGTATCAGGAGATGTTCCGAATGCGCAATTTGGAGTACGCGACGAACAGCGCCAACAGCAGTCCGGCGCCGTCGTTCGATGAGAAGTCGTTCAGTTTTTCCAATAAGCGAAGTATTGACAAAACCGGCCAAACGTGAGATTTTCGCGAATTGTTGTCAAATTCGATGCATTAAAAAACTTGAAATTTTGCGGACAATGCGCCATATTTGACGCAATTTTTATTTCAGAACTCAGCGTCAAACGACGATATCAAGTACGAGCGTCCTCGATCAGATGTGTTCGCTTCTGAATCCGCCGAAATGTTTGAATCGAGCACAATCGGACGAGCAGCTCCGATCGCCTATAATGGACGATTTGACGAGAAAAGTTTGCGTTGTTTTTTTTTTTGTTTTCGTTGGTGATTTTAATTTTTTTGTTCAGGCACCGTTATCCGCGCGCGAATCGACGAATGATCGCGACTTGTCGGAATTGATCCGAGTGCAAACGCATCTCGAGCGGACCGTTCAGGAGAAGCGCGCTTTGGAAATGCTCGCCCAGCAGCTTAGAAAACAGCTTTTACAGGTGAGGGATTTTTTTTTGTTTCAGAAAATTGAGAATAAAACGAAGCTTTAAATTTAGGCCTAGCATTTTTTATGGATTTAAATTGAATGTTTGAGTTTCAAAAATTTTCAAAATTGAAAAAATTATTATTTCTTGGCATTTTTTAAAAAATTTCTTGGCATTAAAAAAAATTAGCCATTTTTTTCTGGAATTTATTAAAGAGTCAAATGGTTTTATTATTCGAACCCCTCGTAACATTTGAGGGACCATGATATTTTAGTGAAAGAAAAATGCAGCCCTTGAAAAGTATTCCAAAAATTGATTTTTTGGACATTTGTAGAAATTTTTGAATTTTTTGTGCATTTCGAATTGTGTAAAATTATCAATTTTCGATTTTTAAATGTTAATTTTCATGTTTCTTTTTAAAGAATATCTCTAGAAAATTGGAAATAATCGAATCAAATTCAATTTTTGAATGGAAAATTTGGTTTTTGCGTGAAAATCCAAAAGTTGGTGTTGCGTTTTTAATTTTTTGAAACAAAAAATTGAAAAACTGGAAAGTTTTCAAAGAAAATGCTCATTTTTGAACAAAAGCCACAAAAATTGTGATGAACTTGAAATTGATTCACAAAAATTGAAAATTTGATATGTTTTTGAAGATTTTGGTAAAATTTGGACACAAAAAATCAATTTTGATAAAATTTGTGAAAATTCACCAAATTTTTTTCAACAATGTGTGAGATTTTTAACGAAAAATTTGTGTCTCTTTGGAATTTTAATTGTTTCAGCATTTTTTTTGCCACAAAAGATCATTAGGCAATAGAAAACTAATAGTATTTCAACAGAAAAATTTTAAAAAAATTTTGGAAAATTTATTGCTTTTTTTGTCAGTGGAATGCTATATCTTTTTAATTAAAAAAAAGGGCAAAAATTACTCAAAAAAAAAAAACTGAAAGTTGCGAAAAAAGGGACCAAAAAAACAAATTATCTTTAAAAATATGCACAATTTTTTAAAAGGAAAAAAAATTTTGTCTAAATTTTTTCACAATGAAATTGGCTCTCTCATGTTTTCCCACACGCGCCTTTAAACATCTACAGTAATCATAGCTTGAAAGATTTTCCGATTGGAAAATTTTGTAGCGAAAATTCTCGATACATGCGCCTTTAAACATTGACAGTAATCAGAGCTTCGAAAATTTCGCGATCGCGAATTTGAGTTGCGAAAATTCTGCAGAGAAAAAAAAACGTAAATTTTGTTGGTTCATTCCAGGAACGCCAAGCACATGAGAACACAAAACGGGAAATGGAGCGTCTGAAGAAGCTGTACGAGAAGAAATGAATCGGCCACATTCATCTCATTTTCGCCTTCGTCTTGTTTGTACAAACATTGTGATATTTGGTTGTGAATATTGACTAGTCCAAGTGAATCAAAAAGGAATTTTGTTATTCTATCTCCTCTCCCCTCCCCTTCCCTTCCCCATCCTCTCTCTCTTCCTCCCTGCTGATCTCTGTAATTAACCCGACCCTAATTGTCGCACCCCAAAACGCAACCATATGCTTGTTTGGTTTTTTTGTCCTTGGCTTTTATTTTTTTTTGACCATGAAGTGTTTTGCTCTTTGTTCAACTCAGAGTTGATGGAATGAGCAAAGTGCGGCGAAATGATGATGTTGTTTTCCGGGAATACGGAACATTTCCGATGAGCAGCGTGCTCTTTCATTATTCGGCTAAACTAATTTCCATTCGCCGACGCGGCTTAATTCAATAGGCCGCCGGTTGGGTGGTGGTTGTTGCGAAATTTTGTTTTTGGTTTCTTCCTCCTCCTCCTCCTCCTCCTCCTCCTCCTCCTCCTCCTCCCACCATCACCATCACCATCACCAATGTCGCCAACGCCATCCGAACGGATTAGGAAGGGTTGTGCGAGTTCGAAGAATGATCGCCGCTTCCCCCTTCCGGAAATTGTCGAGCCATTTTCCGGTTTCGGGAGAACCCGCGAATTGTCGGCAGCATTGGGGAATTCGGAAACAATCGGCTTGAGCACCTAAAAGCCGCTAATAGCGCGCGCATTGATAACAAATTTCGTTGAGGCATATCTCGAACCGATTGCTACCGTAACCATGCCTTGAGAGAGAGAGAGAAAATTGGAGGATCCGGATTACGGTAGATCATCTCAAGCGGCGAGGGAAGGAGAGGGAAGCAAATTTGGCGAAGAATTTACATATATGTATAATTGCGTGCACACACACACACAAAACGCATGGCGTCTGTGAGACGGCGGCCAGAAGGCGCCTATCTCGCCGCTAGCTGATAGCGTACGCGGCGCGTGCATTTTTTGTCGACAGTTTGCGCCGTAAAACGCGGGCGCGTTTTCGTCCATCAACGATCACCTCGTCGATTTCTTCTTCTTCTCATTTTTTTTTGCAAATTTTTATCAAAAAAAAAAACAATTTTTCTCCCCCTATTTTTTGTTTTTTGGGTGTGAATCATCACCATCAACGCAATCGTGTTTTTGCGCTGCTCCTGCTGCTCCTGCTGCTGCTCCTGCTGCTGCTGGTGCTCAACGCGACACGCTAGAAGAGCAGCACGACGACGACGACGAAAAAAATAACCGGCGGTGCGGTGGGCGTGGCCGGCGAGCAACACGAGATGGAGCGCGATCGGCTCGAGTTGCGGCTCCGATATCACGAGGAGAGGTACGAGGGAGACGCAGATGGCGGCGGCGGCGGCGCCGACGACGATGACGACGATGATGATGATGATGATGATGAAGAGGAGTGGGAGGAGGTAGAGGAAGAAGAAGAGGAGGAGGAGGAGGAGGAGCTTCCGCTGCTGCTCGGCCGCCCTCATACCGGCGCCTCGACACCGCAACACCGGCGACGACGACGACGACGGCGACGACGACGACGACGACGAACACATCAACACGACGACGACGACAACGACGACAACGACGACCACGATCACGACGACGACGACAAATCAATGCGATTGATTGACGACGACGACGAGCCGCCGACGGTGCGCCGACGCCGACGCGGCACCACCCAGCGAGCCATCGCCTTGATTCTCGTGCTGTTTTTGGCGGTGTGCGGCGAAGCGGCGCCGCCGCCACCGCGCCACCATCGAACCGCTTCATCATCGAATTCGATCATCGACGGATTCGTTAGCATTTTAAAAGGTTCGTCGTTTCAATCGATTTTGATATGCACCGCCCGTCCCCCCTCCAATAATCGAGGGGGGGGGGGTAAACAGACGGAGTTTGGGTGTCGATGCAACAGACGACACTGATAATGGAATAGTGCAAATCGCAACACACAATTTTGCTTCTTTTCGATTCGCTCTAATTAATGATCGAGCCAAGCAATGGTTCTTCGGAATTCGCACACCTTTAATGGTCACGCGCTTGATAAAAATGATTTCAGATCGAAACGCGACGAGTTTTCGCGACATCTCGCGAGACGCGTTCCTCTCGCTTAAAGGATCGCCGATTGAGGCGCGCCTTCCGCCGTATTCGATTGAGGATGAGCCGCCGGATCGACCGCCACCGCCGCCGCATCCGATTCGACACCATCATCAAAAATCGAAGAGCTATGAAGGTTCGTCGCCGTCCGTCCGTCATTTGTTTCATCGGATCGTATTTCGTGTTGATGTTTTTCGCGGGGAGGTCGACTCGACATCTCTTTTTTTTTCTTCGTCAGACCCCCCCCCCTCCCCAACCCACCAACCCCCCGATTTCATTTTATTGCGCGATTTTAATTGCAGGAGGACATAAACGCGAGAAGGTGCTCAATGGACGCAATCAGGCGTTGCTCTATCTCGCCGATCCGAACGGACTCCGAATGACGCAGAAGTGCGACGGGCAGAAGTTCAAGCAGCGCGTTCGCGTCGACGGTTGCCTCACAAAAGTGGTGGTGAATCGGTAGGCGACATCACCAATTTCATCTGCGGACATTTCGCGGCGCGCCAATTTTTTTTATTTCGGTTTTGTCGACAACGCTTCAAACGATTGATTGAAATTCAAAAAATTGTTGGCTCTATGCCAGAATTTTTCGAAATGCCATTAAAAAAAAAGATAGGGATTTCGCGAGATTGGAGGCGTTGGAAAATTGGAAATTGCAAAAAAATAGAATTCCTTAAAAAAAATATTGATAAACCTTTCAAATTTTGATATTTTTTCTTCTAAAATTTTAAAAATTCAAATTTTCCCGTTTGAATGATGCTTACCGCGGCTTTTTGAGCAATTGTGGACCATCGCGTCTGGGCGGCAATTCAAATATCGAACGAAAACATTTTTGCGAGTATAGTAATTATAGATTTTTTGCGAAAAATTCCTCATTGATTTTGCAAGTGGCGCACGGTTTTCGGCAAGTGGGCGGCACATTCCTTTTGACGAACGAAAATAATTTTTTCGAATTATTATTTTTTTTTCTCAAAAGAAAAATTGCGACGATCACAAGAAATTGTATCGGCATAATGCGATTTCAAGCTTCTCGGAAATTTTTTTTCAAAACCAATTTGCGTGCGTCAGCAAAAAATTGTTCATTCGTCGTCATCTACCGCTAATTAAGCTAACAATGTTTATGCGAATGTGCAAAAAATGCTGATAATTCAGACAAAAATAGCATTCTTTTGATGCCGGTTGCCGAAAAATAAAGGTTCTTGGATGAAACTTTGGGTGAATACCTCTTCATTGCATATAGGTGCTTAAACAATTTTGGAAAAAAGAGCAAAAAAAAGTTAACACTCATGAAGTCTCGAACCCTGGACAAAAGTTCCGCGCTCTGCCGCGCTTGCCACTTCACCACTCCCACTCGCACCAGCTAACGACGCTGGCTCGAGTGTAATGTCTTACTTATCGCCACTGGCCATATTCGACTCTCGTCAGAAAATAGTGCTCCTTTGAGGGTCCAAAAAGTCGGACATGACATTTGCGCAATAATTGAACCCGGATGTTTTCAAATCAGCCACTGGATCGATTTCAGATTATGCCACGGCACGTGCGCCAGCTATTTCATTCCGCGAATGCATCCAAAGAAGCTGAAAGCGGCGTTCAAGAGCTGCGCGACGTGCGCGCCTTCCGAATACGATCTCGTCGATATCAAATTGGATTGTCCCGGACAAAACCCGCCGACAGCGACGAGGACAATAGTCAAAGTATGAATTTGCTAGTTTCCTTGATTTTTGAAAAATTTGAGTTCTCGGCCATTCTTGAAACTATTCATTTTTCCTTATTTTTTTTGCAGGTGAAAAGCTGTAAATGCCGCGAAGTGAGTATATCAAGTGTATACGATTAGTAGCGCCAAAAATTCAAATCCAAGATTTCCTTCATTCTTGTTTTGTTGATTGTTTCTGTATTTTTGCGTACTCACCTTTTTCATTTTTTTTTCTTCTTCTTCTTCTTCGTCTTCCATTCATTGTTATCGATTCTTAATCCTCGACCGATCTCACAAAAATTGTTCACAAAATTCGAAAAAACATCCGGAAAATTTCGATCAAAAATTTCGTGCTCTCAACGAAAATGCCCACCACATTCAATTTTTTCATTTTTTTTTTGATTGAAGAAAAAAATCCAAACCAAAAGACGAGTAACCCATTGAAAATTATTATTTTCATTTTTTTTGAATAGAATTGATAGAATTCATAGATTTTTAGGCGGCACTCAGGCAAATGAAAAAAAATATTTTGAGACAATTCTAAAATCTTATGAGGTTCGTTGAGAGGCTAACGTGTCTCTATAATATTTTAGATTTGTCTCAATAAACTTTAGGAAATCTCATAAGATTTTAGAATTTATCAATAAGTTTCAATGAATATTGTGAGACTTTAAAGTTTATCAATAAGTTTTAGATTTGTCTCAATAAACTTTAAAGTTTATCAATAAGTTTTAGATTTGTCTCAAAAAACTTTAGAATATATCAATAAATTTTAGATTGTTCTCAATAAACTCTGTCCAATATTATGTAATATCATACGTTATCGAGCAATTTTCACACAAATAGAATGTAATAACATCCATAATAATTGAATATGTATGAACATTTCATTTATTACAATATTAATGCGAAATGAATATATTAATAATAAAAATCAGAAAAAAAATAAATGAATCAATTTATCCTTTTCGCATTTTCTCCTTTCTCTGCGAATGACGCACAACGTTGCTATAAGGAATTCGTTGCATATACTGAATGAAAATGTTGAACTTACAAATTTTGATGATTGAATTTGTCGTTTTTCGATTAATTTCATGAGTTCTTTGCGATAAAATGACTTCTTAATTAAATCCGGATTCGTGTTGAAACGAATTTTCAATGAAGTCACAATCTCGTGATATAGTTTATAGCTGAAAATTGCCAGTTTTAAAAAATAACTGAATGAGTCTAACTTTCTCAAAATACTATATCCAATCCCGTTTGTCTGTTCCGAGCACATGTTTCTCTTGATAACGTGATAAATGTGCTCATGCGCTTGCGTGCTTATTGCCGACAGCTGACCATGACATTACTGTACAAATGGTATATAAGTTGCTGAAACAATAAATACAGTAATCATTAGTATTATTTCTTATATCAACGACAATAGCATGATGCTACAACGTTCAATAACTCTTAAAATTGCAAAAAAAACGACTTACGTGCACTTTTGAACCAGAAAACAATTGAGGCGCCCCATCTCAAATTAGAATTTCTAATAATTTGCAAATACCTGCGATCTGAAATAAAAATTTTCTATTATGTACATAGCTAACGATCCCATATTACTTTGTTTGGTAATGTTGTATTTGTAACTAAGCGAGTCGGTGACACCATCCATCGGTAGCAGGCATGTATAAGCAACACAACAGCTGAACCTAACGGAGGGAGGGTCCCGATCATGGCGTTAGAAACAATTTTCACTTCAAAAATCTACAAAGGATGATAATTGCAAGTGGTAAATTAACTTACGCTAGCTTTTTCAGACCCATTAATGTCATTGAATTTTCCCGATAGCGACTTTACCGAAGATGGCAGTCTCGCTTTCACATCAATAGCTTTGCATCGAAAAATATTTATTTCGTTTTTAACGAAGACTTCTAAAAAGCAATCTTCAATTTTTGAAAAAGGAGAGACATAATTGAAGTACCTTTTATTATACGTGTGAAAATTCCCTCGTGAAAAAGGTGGAAAAAATCCATGGCCGCGATCCACATGGGCACCTGCTCATTGAATTTGCTGTATTTACCTCGTTCCTTCAATCCATCGGCCAATGTTTCTGGAATGTTTGTTCCACACTTTTCCCGATCTACAGAAAACATTTAAGATCCTTTCTGAATTTTGAGTAGATGTGCACATTAAAACGCACGTCCGACTTATAACGACATACCTATAACATTTTGGTCGTTGATTTTGAGAATCGTTTCTTGTGAAAGACAGTATGGACACGAGCCAGGTGATGAAAACATTTTCAAATTGTAGACCTTCCTTCGTGCCTAAAGTTTGATAATTTATTTGAGGTTATTTACCTAGAATACCTACAGGATCGTCAAAGACGGCGGTAATCACTTTTCCTCTAAATGTATCTTGACGGCAAATGATTTGATGTTCGAAATTCACGTTGATCCAGTCTATAATTCGATCGTGGATATGGTAATTGGGGTCAATCGATCCGATGTACACCCCGCAAATCATCATCGCGCTTACTAGACTTCGCGAACTGTCTTCGAGATCCATATTTTGTAGTGACAAAATCCAGATTTTCTTGCTGAAATTTGTTTTAATATGGAAAATATTTTTGTTCTTGAGAAGTTTAACCTCCTCAGATTTATTTCAACTCCATCGAAACAAGAACTGAAATGGACGACTGTGCTTGCGCCCGATTCTCTTACAAGAATTTTCTTGGGGAAACTTTCATTCATGAGTGATGAATTACTTTCACCACTTAATACTTTACTTTGTGCTTCTTTTAATTCGCTTCCATAGCTTTCAACGAAAAGTTTCAGATTACTTTTTACATTGGGTAAAAAAAGTTCGCTTTCCATATATTCGTGACAGAAGCATCTAAAATAAAACTTATATATAAATATATACATTTTTTCGAAGTTCACTTCAATTTGTCATTGGCGCAATATGAGCAAACACGTATTCGAGTTGTTTCTTAGTACTTCGATTCCGGTCGGTTTCTACTTTCGAGTCATAGAGATCCTCGATGGCATTTTGTTGGGACCCGAGCGATTCGATATCTGAATATATATATATATATATATATATATATATTCAGATATCGAATCGCTCGGGTCCCAACAAAAATATATATATATATATATATATATATATATATATATATATATATATATATATATATATATATATATATATATATATATATATATATATATTTATATATTTATTTATTTATATAATGTTCAATTTCCGCGTAAATCAAATTTGAACAACTAGCAAACACACGTACCGTTCGAATGTGATACTGCTTCACTTTTTTCTCGCATTCGCCTTATTCTCCACACCTTCTTCGGCTTTCCATCTTTTCTTAGTGCCTCTCCGATTATTTCCTTGGTCACATTTCGTATTCTCCGCGGGGTCATCTGAAATATCGAAATCATTAGAAACTGAAGTATATTTGTAATTAATTGTAATAATTGTGCGCATTTTTTTAATTCATGAACCTGTTCATGCAATGACATGTTTAGGCACAACTGTTTCAAATTCAGCATGTAAAACAATGCAGATTTAAGGTAGTGTTAAACATTTATTATAAAAACTTGCATTTCATGAATACGTCCATCACTGAAGTGAAGAAACTATTACAAAAAGCTAAAAAAAACGGAAGAAACATCAAAAACATAAATTATTGATTGGAATTTAGAAGATCTTAAAAAGAGACGCCGCAAATTGCGTCAGTGGAAGTCATAAGGGCCCTATTCAAATTTTAAAGTCTCACAATATATTGAGATACTTTACACTTTCTCAAAAGATTTAACTTTCTCAAAAGATTTAATTTACAAATTCCAAATTTTTAAAATTTATTGATTCTCAATAAGTTTTAGAATGTATCAATAGACTTTAGAATTTCTCAAAATATTTTAGAGTTTATCACTGAATATTTGATTCTCAAAATATTTTATTTGATTTGCCTGAGCAGCTCTCCCATTCATTTGTTGTTGTGTTTGCGCTTTTTCTCTTAATTTATCTCGCATTTAAAATAATTCCTTCATTTTCTTTTTTTTTCTTCTCTTGCCTACTCTTCATCATAGAGTAATTCGGTTTTTTTGTATCATATATTGTATACGAGTTTTTCTCAAGTGCAAAGTATAATATTGCGAATAAATGGAAATTGAGATTCATTTTTTTGCATGATTCACTCTATCGTAACACCATTCAAAGGCGCATTCCATAAATTGTTCGCGATGTGGCGAGACCAGCGTCTAATTATTATTTTTTTTTTTGAATTTAGTTGGAAAATGTTATGAACAATATTAAACACGATAATATTTTCAAGGGTATACGGTACACAATGCGGTGTCTGCAGACATGCACACTAGTTGACGCGCATATACAGAATTTTGAGTTGGTTTTGAGAAATTGCTATTCTTTTTTGTGTTAACTAAATATTATTTGTTTTGTATTTTTTTAACGTAGGATTTTATTGTTCTCATAATTATTTTGCTGATTTCGGATTGCCCTAGGCGCTGTTTGTTCTTTTTGTTGCTAAACCTCAATTGTGATAAATCAATATATATACAAGAGAACGTACAAGTCAAAAATTGGTTTTATTTTTGAAATTTCCACAATTGAAAATTTTATTTTATTAAAAAACCATTTGGGAGTCAAAATTTTCAAACATTTCCTTGACATGACGATATTAAATCAACGAAAATAAATTAGATATTTGCGCGAGCAAACAGAACTCTGAGTATATTTGTGTATGTGCCATAGTCTGACTGAAAAAAAGAGAGAACTGGTACTCATTGTTTCGCGAATGATGATTCGACTCGAGTTACTCGTTTTATTGATCACCTATTGTTCATGCCAATTTTGTCCAATCGGCTATTCGGATTTAAGGCAAGGAACTCCATGTACGGCGACGACTTATTGCCAAGTGGTTGGCGGCGGCTCCTACACCTGCGTGCGCGGATATTGCTGCCGGTCGAATATCGCTCAAGATGGTAACCCACTATTCAATGGTGTATATAAAAAACTAATGTCAGTGTCAAACGACTGAACGAAATTAAAAAAAATATTGGCTGTGTGCGAGAAATACGCAAGACTGCGTACATTGCATTACAGTGTACGCATTTAATACTCAGTCAACTATTAATTTAAATCTATACCAATTTCGAGAAATTGAAGGCCCCGCTTCAATTCAGCCGTTTGGCGCCGACAATTCTTTATATTTCATGAAAAGAACGAGGCTACCAAAATCGCCATGTCGTTTTCCGCGTTGTGCGCCTTTAATTATCCAAAAAAATTAATTTTGCGTTTAAATTACTTACACATTTATTCTTTTCTTATTTTCTGTAATTAAAGGCGCACGCGGGTTTTTTCGTGCTATTTATTTCAATTTCGCAATTTCTATAAAATCTTAAAACAAATTTTACTTAAAAAATTTTAAGAATTTTTCTTAGAAATCATTTCCGATACGGTAATAATTAAAGGCGCGCGTAGAATTGGTGCTGAGTCTCACAGCGATCGTTTCTTTTTGTTCCAGATACTGAAAATATATAGTAGAAGCCGCTGCGAGACTCAAAAAAATGGCCTGCGCCTTTAATTGCCGTATCCAAAAAACCGGCTTCGAATTTCTCAAATATTCTAAAAATCACCAATTTCAGGAATTTTCACTACAATGATTTCAATTTTTGATATATAAGAAAACGAAATTCAAAAAAAAGCAAATAATCGATTAAAGGATCATAATGAGAAAGATGAGTTGGGTCTTGTGGCGACTGATTCTGGTAGCTGTTTTTTTTCGCAAATAGACAATACTAAAATTACTATATTTTTCATATTTCTTGAAATCGAGAAAAATCGAAAAATTTTCTTGAAAATTTGCTAAATCTCAAAAAATTATTCCGATTTGCAATAATTAAAGGCGCACGCTACCGACATCGAGAACACCAATTTTCCAGATGCCAACTATTGTCGCGCTCGGCGTTCATCAATCCAACGCACTTCCGACGGCGGCGTCGTCGACTGCTTCGCCCAACAATGCCGTCAGGGCTATCAATGCGAGTACAGCGAGGCGCTCGCCATCTACATCTGTTGCAGTACGTCGCCGGGCGTTCCGCAATTCGACGACGCGCCCGGCACCGTCCGACTCGTCCCCGGCACCGCGAGAGCCGTCCAGTGCTTCGAACCGAATCACTGCTTATGGGTCGACACGCCGAATTGCGTCGATTCCAACGAATGGGGCTACAAAGTTTGCTGTTCAACTTTTAACTGTAATTGAGTCCACCATAAATGTGCTAATTTATTGAGATTGAAACAAAACCAACAACAAAACAATCCTATCTATCTAAAATTATAACCTAGGCGGCACATTGGTCTCATTCAACATATAAGTCCTATAATTGTTGGCGAGGAAGAAGTCATCCATGATCATGAATCGATTTTTGTCCACCTGAATGTTGCCAAAAACGAAATTCAAGCCAACCCGTAAAATGTCCGACTGATCATCGGCGAAATAGAAGCCGGTGGCGAGATCGCGATGAAAATTATGCTGAAAATTCATGGTATGGCATTCGCAACAAAAAAAAATCACGAGCACCCTGCTGTGGATTTACGGAATTTGAATTACCGCCTAGAAAAAAGTGCGATGGTCCACAATTACGCAAGGTGCTCGTTTTTTTTTTCAATGGTTTTAATTATCTCGAAATGCTAAATAAAAATATACCTTTGCTTGACCAACAACAAATTTCGACTTGATCGCCACGAACTGCTCAGGATCGTTGCGCTTCTGGTAGATCCTCAACAATCGCAATTTGTGGACGCGCAGGAGTAGGGCGATTACGGCGATCAACGAGATCGCCGGCGCCCAGACCAACGCGCCGAGCTGAAAATCGCACGTCGTCGGATGGATTCGAAGCGACGCGACGACGACTCACCTCTTCGGCGTCATTCTCGAGACGTCTTACGAATTCGAATCGATCGTCGGGTTTATTATTGGCGACATCGTAGGCGAATAATGCGCAGCCGGCGAGGAAGCACGGAAAAAATATGGCTGTCATTGCGAACGTTTTGCTGGCACCTCAAAATTGGCGAAAATGTGGGTCTTGCAGCGAATTTCAGTTTTTTTAAAAACTTTTTTCTCTAGTTTTTGCATTAAATCAAGAAAACACTGTATTCGGAACTTTAAACTGAATATAGTACTCATTAATTACATCTGCGGACAATTTCATATCGACAATTTTGAATTTCGCGTGCATTGTAGTGAAGAATCAATTCAAATCATGCTTCCGTTTGGCGGGAACAGTACCCAGTTTTGGCGCGAAATTTAAAAATTTAAAATTAATTGGCAATTTTTGAGACACAAAATTCGCATATTAAAAAAAATGAACAAACTAAAAAGGTGCCAATTTCAATAATTTACGATTCGCCAAAATTTAGGTTAGAAGTTTTTTTATATTATTGCGAAGAAAAACTTCGCAAAAATTCCCAATTCATTATAATTGATTTCATCTGCGGACAATTTCAAAACCTGGATCTCTGTAGATGATCGTCCATTCATTGAAATCCATTCCATCCCATTTATGGGCCTTTTTCACACACTCCTCGTCAAATGCCTCTTTCTCGGCCTAAAATTGAAATAATTGCGCGTTTAAATCCATTTTTTTTTTCAAGAAGATCGAAGCAAAACTCGTTGCTATTCCGAAAATCCAGGCGAGACCCGGTTTAAAGGCGCATCGAAAACAACTCACCCCTTGCAAGAACGATTTGATTTTGTTGAAAATATTTGGCGACGGTCTTGAAGTGCATATCGAGCGCCTACCCAGCAGCGGTGAACATTTCAGCAATCGAATTAACATGTCATAATCCTAAAAGATTTTTTAAAGGATCAATCTGGATCGGAAAATGGATCGTAAATATATTGGAGAGTGGGGAGAACCGCCCAAAAAAGAAACATGAAAATGAAAAAAAAATTGAAGATTTATTGAACAAGAATTTGATCAATGGAATGAATTGTTTCGAATTTACTCAATGCTTCATCGCTGAGCGGAGCATTTCCGGGCCGAATGACAAGTTTCGTCTGAAGGCCGGCGTCCGTGGCGGCGTTGGCTTCTGAAATTGCTCGTCACACATTTTTGCCCTAATCATTCGAAGTCACCTTGTTCAACATCGGTGAGAAATAGAATGTCGCCGGGCGCGCATCCGATCGTCTCGCTGATTCTCGCATACGACACCTTGTCGACCTTCTTGCCGACGTTCGTGTCGAAATAGCCGCTCAGCAGCGGCGTTACATCGCCTTTCGTCGAATTCGCGAACAGCAATTTTTGGGCGTGCACCGAACCCGACGAATAGATGAAAATCGGGACACCATTGGTGTGGAGTTGGCGCAGAATTTCGACGACATCATCGTACAAACTGAATCGAATTTTGGGTTTTTCGCAATTTTCTTCACTTCAACTTTTTTTTTAAATCTTAAAATAAGCAAAAATCTATCAAAAATTATGCTCAATTAAAATATTTCTTTAAAAAAAACGAATTTTTACTCTTTTAATATTTTTGTCGAAATTTCACTTACTGCCCCTTGACATCCCCTCTCGAATAGGCTTCCTCCCAAATAAGGCCTTGAAGCGCTTTCAACGTCGTCAGCTTTTTGTCTTTCTTAATCCAATATTGCACATTCTTCGTGACATCTTCAATGCAATTCTGACGCGGCTCGCGAATTCGAACAACGTTGCTATCCGTCTCGGCCTCCTGCTCGGCGAGCCGACGAAAATCCTCAAGGAGAATCTGAATTGCCGGCTCGTCGTAGTGCTCGTCTAGGTATTTCTCGGCATTGTTATAAGCGTATGGGAAAAGCACATCCTGAAAGAAAACTCATTAACGATTGAATAGAAAATTAATTTGAATAATTGACCTTAACAAATGAGATACTTGTTATGGTGCCTTCAATATCAAGAAGTAGCGCCTTGAAAGTCATTGTCGCAATTTTCTGAATGTTATTCTCTTTTTTTGGCGACACAAATTGTGACAGTGACAAATTGAAGAAGGCAGAAAACAAGGCAATCGATTATTGCGGAAAATGACCTGGTTATCAGCAAGTGCGATAAGAGCTAGTGTATTGTAGCTTAACAGTTTGCAAATAATTATATAATTTTTGCAAAAAAAATCTTTAAAAATATAGGTTTTGCCTGAGAAATTTGGAAGAAAAATGAGCGGAATGCAAGAAATTGAAAATAATTTTAATTTTGTGGCCTAGAAAAACCCACGTCCTGGCCGCAAAAATCCGCGGCCACTTGCATAATTTTTCCAATTTTTTTGCATTTCATGCATTCAGCTCACGATTTTTCATGATTTGTCGAATCTAGGTAGATGGACTAATAATGGCACGTCGAAATACATATCTTGCCATCGCGCTCGGCGCGTTTTTCATGTTTTCCCTCTATTTGTACAATGGGATTGACACCGGATCGGATATGCGAATTAAGCGGCAGGTAAATACATAGTTTTGAAGAAAATGCGCTTAAAGTCATTGCCGATTGTTAAGGAATATGTGCAGAATCTTCAAAGCAAGTTGGGGAAATTGGAAGAGATCGCGAAAGCCAATGAGAAAACTATAGAGCAACTCGAAAAGGAATTGAAGGAGGCCAAAGTTGAAGTCGAGAATTCGCGGAGGAATGCGATTGAGGAAGAGGTTAACGGTGAGAAGATGTAATTAAAGTCTATTTTTTTGAAACTTGAATATTTAGACGAAGATGAAGAGAAAAATGTTGGAGCCGAGCCGAAAATCGATGAAGAGATTGATGAGCGACGCGGGAACAAAGTGGCTCATGTTCACGAGGTCCTGCAGCGAAATCAGAAAACAACACCGTCAATGTCGAATGTATGCGGAATTCGCGAGAATGTGAGCTCGCCAAATACGGAGCTTCAGGTGGAAAAGAAAATTGGGAAAAAAATTAATTTCAAAAAATTTTAGATGCTCGATTTGTACGAAAATTGGGCATTCGACAATCCTGACGGCGGAGTTTGGAAGCAAGGATTCCCGGTAAGCTTCACATCAATTCAATAGGGTTTTATGCTCAAATTCAGATCACCTATGACGCGGAAAAGGTGAAATCCGACGAGAAGCTCGAGGTGATCATCATTCCGCACTCGCATTGCGATCCCGGCTGGATTTTCACGTTCGAGGAGTACTATCAACGCCAAACGCGCAATATTCTCAACGGAATGGCGAAACATTTGGAGGCGAAAGAATCGATGAAGTTCATCTACGCCGAAGTCTCGTTTTTCGAGTTGTGGTGGCGTGAGCAGAATGAGGAGACTCGTAATCGAGTGCGCAAATTCATCGAGGACGGAAAATTGGAGATTGTCACTGGCGGATGGGTGATGACCGATGAGGCGAACGCGCATTATCATTCGATGCTCGTCGAGCTCTTCGAAGGCCATGAATGGATTCAGAATCATTTGGGCAAAGGTGAGAGAGGGTTTTTCAAAAAAAAAATCCAATTTTTTTAAAATATTGCCTTTCAAATTTAACCTTTGACATGAAAAATGTGACATTTTGCGATTTTTTCAAATTTCAGCCGCCAAACCAAAATCGCACTGGTCCATTGATCCGTTCGGATTGTCGCCGAGCTTACCGCATCTGCTGACATCGGCCAACATCACCAACGCGGTCCTTCAACGGTAATTCCGATTCCGTGCATTTTTTTTTGAAAAATTGAATCTGGCTGTCTGAATTTCCTAATTCTTGATGAAAATTTCGGTTGAATGCCTCATTTTGAAGGGTCCACTATACTGTGAAACGCGAGCTCGCCCTCAAAAAGAATCTCGAGTTCTATTGGCGTCAACTCTTCGGCGCCGCCGGCCATCCGGACCTTCGTGCCCATATAATGCCGTTCTATTCGTACGACATTCCGCACACGTGTGGTCCGGAGCCGGCGATTTGCTGCCAATTCGATTTTCGCCGAATGCCGGAAGGCGGCAAATCGTGCGATTGGGGAATTCCGCCGCAGAAGATCAACGAGAACAACGTCGCGCAGCGGTAGGTCGAAAAAAGAAATGCGTTTTCAACTCAATTGATCAATTCGACAACAGAGCGCACATGATCTATGATCAGTACCGGAAAAAAGCGCAGCTTTTCCGGAATAATGTGATTTTTGCGCCGCTTGGTGATGATTTTCGGTTGGTGCCAATTTTTGGTTTTCGTTTTTCGCCAATTGCCCCTTCTTTCTAGATATGATATCGACTTCGAATGGGACTCGCAATATGAGAACTATCAGAAATTGTTCGATTATATGAATAATCAAAACGAATGGAATGTGCACGCGCGATTCGGCACCGTTCGCGACTATTTCGAGGCTCTCGACGCGAAATTGAAATCGAGCGAAACGAAATTGCCGACGTTGACCGGCGACTTTTTCACGTATGCGGATCGCGACGATCATTATTGGAGCGGTTAGTTTGGTTTTTGAAACGATGTTGAAAATTGGGGGCTCTTTGGGCCCCTTCAAAATTGTCCACCGCTGGTTTTTTTTGAGTTTTGCCCCCATGAATTTTGACATTTGAAATTTTTGGCCCGCAAGATTGTCCGCAGATGGCTTATTGATACTTTTGCCACTGGAAAATTGTCCGCGGCATGAAAAGTTGAATTTGTTGAGAAATCGTGAGCGGCATTCAAAAATGATGTCATTCCAAATCAATGTTGATCTATATTTTGAAAGATCCGAAGAAATTTTAAATTCAAAAAGAAAAAAAATTCAGGATATTTCACGTCGCGTCCATTCTACAAGCAGCTTGATCGCGTCCTTCAACATTATTTAAGATCTGCCGAACTCGCGTTCACATTGGCGTCGATTGAAGAAGAAGGAATGGTGGAGGCGCCGGTAGAATCCATCGTTGATCCTTGATTGATTTCCGATCGTTAACTTCTTGCAGATCTTCCAGAAGTTGGTGCAAGCGCGACGAGCTTTGTCTCTATTCCAGCACCATGATGGTGTGACGGGAACGGCGAAGGATCACGTTGTATTGGATTATGGGAAGAAGTAAGATTCATTTTTTTTGTTTGGCAAAATTTTTGTTCATTTCTTTTTTGATTAAGCGAAAAAAATTGAGAAATTGACGCGATTTTTGGTTTTTTTTTCTTTCCCAAAATTTTAATTTTTGCGTTTTTTAGAATGATTGAGGCCCTTCGAATGTGTGAAGATGTGCTTTCGGAAGGTCTCACGATTTTATTGGGATTGGACACGACGAAACCGATGCAGCTCGATGAGTATCGCGAAAATGAGAGTGTGCTGCCGAAGCGACGCGTTTATTCGATTGGGCAGTGAGTTTCTTTATTTTTTTCTTTTGGAAAATTGAGAATTTATGAAGTACGTATTAAAAAACTGAAGATTTTTGAAGTTGAAGGTTGAAAAATTAAGGAAAAGTTGAGAATTTGGAGGAAAATTGGATTTTTCAATGAATTTGACATCGAAATATAAAAATATTCAAAGAGATTGTGATTTTTTAATGCGATTTTTTTTGTTCCAATTATTACGATTATTAATATTTTCAAGGGAAAATGGAAAAGTTGAAGTTTGGAAAGTTTTTTTTTAATAAAACATAGAAATTTTGGAGAAATTCTAATTTTTTTGAAAATTTCGATGGAGAATGAAGAATTTTGGAAAATTGCTATTTTTTTAAAGATTTGTTTTCACTAAAAAAAAAGAAATTTTTAATGATTTTTCTCTTAAAATTGAAAAGGTTTTAAATTATAATTTTTTTGGTGCTTTTTGACTTAAAAATCACGGAAAAATTTTGAAAGTTATTTTTTTCAATGGAAAAATAAAAAAAAAACAATTTTATACGATTTTTTGACGGAAAATAGAAAAATTGACTTTTTTCTGAATAGAACGCAAAAATAATGGGGAAATAAATATAATTGTTGAATTTTCAAATAAAAAATTGTCATATTTTGTAGAAATGTCGTCGTTTTCAATCCGTTGGCTCGAAGCCGACCGGAGCCGGTGTGCATTTACGTGAGCTCGGCAGAAGCCTCAATCGAAGCCGAGCCGCCAATCGAGAATCAGCAAATTTCGCCGGTGTTCAACTATGCGCAAAATTCGCTGAAAATTGACGACAACGTGTATGAGGTGGCGAAAATTTCAAATCCCCGCCCATCATTATTATTATTTTTTTCCAGCTCTGTTTCGCCGTCAATCTCGGACCAATGACGTCGGCGAGCTATCGAATCGTGTCGGACGCGACGCGCGTGCACAAAGTCGAGATATTATCGAATTTGAGCGAGCTAAAGTTGATTTTGCTCAGTGAATTTCAGCTATTTTTTATTTTTTGCAGAGCTCCCGGCTTTGATTTGAAAGAATTGGAACCGAGCATTTCGATTGGCAACACGAAAGTGACGGCGATTTTCGACACGTCGGGAATGTTGAAGGTATTTTTGATTGGGGAAAAAAAAGAAATATTCCATCAAAAATTGTTGAAAATGCCGTTGTTTTTTTCTTGATTGTTGTTCTTCAGACGATCACACATTCGGCCGACAAGACGCCGATCGAGATGAACGCCCATTTTGTGCATTACGGCGCCCGAAAATCGCAGCGAAAATGTGAGAATTTTATTATTATTATTATTATTATTATTAGTGGGTTGTACATTGTGTTGCAAATTGATTGGCCCAATTAGCTAATTAGCGGCGCGGAATGGAAGACGCGAAACGGTGGGACCTTGATAATAGGTCGGTGTGTTGATCATTGGGAAGCTTGACGCGAGAATCGGAAATTGGGTGGAGGCGAAAGCGGGCTCTGCAAAAAAAGAAAAGTGGAGAAAAAACCATTGGAATTGGGTCCCAAAATCGATTCAGCAAATTGTGTTTCGTGATGAGACCCTTGTCACAATGAACGCGCTTACTTTGGTACATTGGATAGCCGTTGACGACGAACGCCGGCGGCATGTAGTCGGCGACGCCGAATCGCGGCTTGTAGGCGTTGCCGAACAGCGCTGAATAGGGAATTTTGAATTGTTAGGCCGAAATCCAAAAATTGCGAATTGATTTGAGTGGATTTGGGTTTTTGTTTTTGAAGAAATTTGATGGAAAATCCCCCAAACCGTAAAAAATAGCTGAAAATTGAGGAATTTTGAGAAATTTTTTTTCGAAAAGCGACAAAAAAAAACCAAATATCGACAACATACGCATATTCTGATAGCCTCCGACGACACCGCCGATGCCGTGCGTCATCGGATTGCCGACGCCGGTGTAGAATTGCGGCGAGGCCGTGTTGAAATTGGCGTCGTATGGTCGACGAATATAGACATTCGAGTTGCCGTTGTAGAGATTTCCTGATAAGATTGAAATTGTGACCGACGGGGTCTTGGCGCGAATAATAAAAAAAGCGTTTACCGTTATAGATGCCGGGATTCGCAATCGACGGATTCAAATAGGAATTCGAATATGGCGCGAAATCGTAGGCATCACCTAGAACAGTTTTTTTTTGTGCCTACCGTAATTGGCCGCGTCGAGACCTATGTTGTTAGGTGCGTTGCGGTTGGCGAACTATTTTTTTTAATTGATTTTTCGCATTTTTTGTGAGTTTTTTTTTTGGATAGATTTGGACCACATGCGAACCGCGACGCGTCTGACGGCAAAAAAATTTTATGCCGTAAATTTTTTTTAATTATTTGTTTTAATTTATGACACTCACGACACCATCGCCATTTTTCAGCAATAGATATTTTTTTTCGTGCGCCTTTAACCACTAATTTGAACTACTCATTTAATTTGGTGTCAAAACCTCTTCGATAGCCATTTTTGGGAATTTCGACAAAGAAACAAAACTGAGAGGAGCTTGCCAATTTTTGATTTAAAAAAAGAAAGTAGCTTTTTTTAACGAAGAAAGTAGCTTTTTTTAACGAATTTTTGTCTTTAAAATGTGCATGGCGCAAAAAATTGAGAAGAAAAAAAAGGCGACAAACCTGCGCAAAAATCGATGAGAATAAAAACGAGATAAAATTGAATCGGCATGATTTGTTCGGTGTTTTCGGTGAGGCGAGAATGATCGAATATGCAATTGGGTCAAATTTGGAGGGGGGCGGATATCGGAATTGATATGAAATTGAATATTTCTGCAGTCGCGAACGGAAACGAAGACAACCCGTCGGGCGCCTATTTGTTTTTGCCCGATGGCGACGCGAAGCGCATCGACAACGACGAGAATTCGCCGATAGTGGTGAGTGAATTTGGGGGGGTGCCGATGATTTTTTTTTTGTTGAGCGGTCCGAAAATTTGATTTTTTCAGCGATTTCACCCTAGTTTTGATGAAAACTCCGCATTTTATCCATAGAATACTGAAAAAAAAAACAACAATGTGCCCCGCTTCCTGAATGTTTTTTTTGTTGCGCCAATTTGTTTGCTCCTTTAAACATCCTACAGTAGCTCGCTTTTTTTTCCATTCTAAAATTACTGTAGATGTTTAAAGGCACATGAGGGGATACCATTTGGTGTTCTTTTCCAATAATAATGGTTTCATATTTTTAGTTGAAAAAAAAACAATTAACTGAAACTGTTGAAAATCAAAATTTTGTTGGTATTGTTTTTTTTTTTTGCGATTCCGCTTTCATATGAAAAGCTACTCGTGCTGCGGACATTGTTCCGGGCAACATTGTCGTTGAATTCGATTGTTTTTTTCTTCTTCTTCAAGGTGATTCGCGGCAAATGCGTGAGCCGCGTCGTCAGCGCGCCGCTCAGCGAGCTCCAAGTGCTCCAGACGTACTCACTGTTGGGAGAGCACGACTTTTTGGACATGGACACCGAAGTCGATGTCAGGTTGGTTCGGCTTCAACTAGCTTTGACGCGTTTTCGTGTCGAGACCCGATTTGTTTTTTGCAGAAGCAAAGAGAACTTCGAATTGGCGCTGAGATTCGAGACGAGCGTGTCGAGCGGCGACGATTTCTTCACCGATCTCAACGGTCTTCAGGTTCGTCGGCATTCCACCGACCGATCTCGATTGATTGGAAATTTGTAGATGATCCGACGGAAGCGTCAATCGAAATTGCCGATCCAGGCGAACTTCTATCCGATGGCCGCCGGTGTGTTCGTCGAGGATGACAAAACGCGATTCACAATTCATTCGGCGCAAGCATTGGGTGTCGCCAGCCTAAAATCGGGTACCATTCATTGTTCGCTTTTTTTTGGTTGAAATATCTTTTTCGAAATTCCAAGGCGCCGTCGAAATCATGCTCGATCGGCGACTCAGCTCCGATGACAATCGCGGCCTTCAACAGGTAATCGTCATCATCATTTCCAGCTGCGGACGATTTTCTAGGGCGTTCGTGACAACAAACGGACCGTCTCGCGAATGCGACTGCTCGCGGAGCCGATGAATGCCGGCGGTCACGGCGACAAGGAGCGCATCGGATTCCATTCGGCTGTCAGCCACTATGCCACGTGGTCCCTTCATTATCCCGTCGTTAAAATGATGGCTGAAGGTTTGCGAGCGGCCTGGATGGCTGTCGGTAGCAGAAAATTGCTTTTGGCAGTCTTCCGGTGGGTGGCAGCGTTTTCAGCGTTTTCTTTCAGCGACGCCGAAGCCGATATCGATGAAGAACTTTGAAGCGGAACTCAATTGCGACATTCACGTTGTCACCATGAGGTTGGTTGTTGGTGATGTTCGCGGCGATGACGCGATTTGATTTAGAACGATGGCGGCGCCGACGGCGTATGAGAGCGCGGACATGTCGATGGCGGCCGAGCGGAAAGCGGCGTTGGTCGTGCATCGAGTTGTGCCGGATTGTAGATCAAAGCTGAAATTGCCGGATGAAAAGTGCGCGTTTGAAAATGAACAGGTGAATAGTCGCAAACAAAAATTTTGTTATAATTTGAATAGTAACAGAAATCCATATTTGGTGTGAAATAATTTGAGGCTAAAATCGAAAATTTCTATAATGATTCAATTTATGAAATTGTGTTTAAAAAAAAAGAATTACGCTTTTTTTCCAATGCAGGGTTGTTAAAAAATGCGCATTTAATGTAATTTTTACATTTTTGTTCATAATTTCCTTATTTGTTATATTAAAAAAATACTTTTTTAAAATATTTGAGCATAATTTCAATTTTTTTGCAGATTTCGCCAATTTCCCTTATAGGGACCATTAAAGAAGCGCGCAATAGCACATTGACGGCGTTGTATGAAGGCGAGAAAATGACGAAATTCGAAATCTTGCCGAACGATGTGAAATCGATCATCATCTCATGGTAGATCTAATTTAATTGTATTTATTGATTTTTCAAAGGGTACCTTCTATGTATTTTATATATTTGTTTATTTATTTTTTGACAACGAAATCCATTTGTCGGTTGTAAATTAGTGTGGTTCGGTTCGAATAAATGCGCGTTGTGTCGGTTTCCATGGTAACGCAACACGCGAAAAACGCTCTATTCGGGTTCGCCATTTTATGGATTAGCTCGCGATGCCGCCATATTCGGACGAGAAACTGAAAAATGTAAGAGTTTTTTTGTGAATTATTAATTTATTTAATTACAAACTACAGAATCCTAAAGAAGCCCGAAAGGTTTTGATTGACCAATCTAAACAGCAGCAAATTAGCTTGATTTCGGGATTTCGGGGTGTCACACGGCATTTGAAGAGTGTGCTGAATGTTGAAATGTACAAAACGACATCTGGAAGACAAAAATGAGATTTTCGGTGTTTAGAAATACGGAAACTATTAGTCTTAGCGCGTTGGAGCAGGTTCGACTCCTCATTTTACCGCAACCGAAAAAGAGTTTGGGACCCGGAGAGGTTTGAAACGATCACAAAAATTTTCAAAAAGGAAATGACGAATTATTTTTTGTTCCAATTTTAGATTGAATCGATTTGGAATTTTGTCGAGGAAGGCGGAAGTTTGCTGGTTTTGGCGAGCGATGATGGCGAGAGAACGTCGTTGAACGAGTTGCTCACCAAATTTGGCATTACTGTCAACAGCGGTAGACAATTTGTGAACCCGTGAACATCAAATTTGAAAGAAAAATTAACAATTTTAGGCAAAAATGAGAAAATTAAAAAAAAATGGTTACTGTAACTTGAAGGCACATAATATTTTGTGCATTGTGTCTCGAAGGGAATTGTTAAAATTACATTTTTTTTTAATAATCTCGATTGCATATTTTCATCGGTTTTTGCAATTTATTGAATTTTTTTTTGAAAAACACCCATAATCGCATTATTTTTACTTAAATTTACACATTTAAAAAACTAATATCTCGAAATTGACGCTTTAAAATGAAATGCTAACAAATGATCTTTAAAAGAATGCAATATTTTTTCAGATGCCGTCATTCGAACGGTGTTCTACAAATATTTCGATCCAAAAGAGGCGCTGATCTCGAACGGTGTTGTGAATCGATCGATCGCGGCAGCGGCGAAAAAATCGGTGTCGGCCGAGCAGGCGGAAAACTCGCAGTAATCAACATTCACAAATAATTCGCATGATTCGTTCTAGAGCACTTTCGTTCGTCTTCCCGTTCGGCAGCACGTTGAGCGTCGAAAAATCGTTGGCGACGCCTGTCATGTCGACAGGAAGCGCCTGTTTTCCGGCGTCGCGCCCAATTATCGCATTCCATGAGACGAAGCTGAATGAAAATGTTATTGAAAAAAAAGGAAAATGGCTGAAAACGCAAAAAAAGCAATTCCAGAAAACACGCGGACGCGTTTGTGTTGCCGGCTCGGTTGCGATGTTCCATGACACTTATATCGATAAAGAGGAGAACGGAAAAATTTTTGTGAGCTTTAGACGATTTGAAAAATAATTTCATTTTTTTTAATGTGACGAGAAGGCAAAGAAAATCGAAAAATTGAACATTTTTCTTCGTTGTCCACTAGAAAATGCGAATTTTTAGGATGCTCTGGTGGATTATCTCGTAAACGGCTTTGAATTGAATCCCATCGACGCCGCCCAGCCAGAATTGAATGATTATGTGAATATACCGGACCATGTTTATATGTCAACTCAAGTGAAGGTAATTTTTCAATCAATTTTTGAATTTTAATTAAATAGAATTTAACGCCTTTTTCTGCAGACATTTTTCGTGTCAAGACCATTAACTACTTTTTAATGAAAAAGGCGATGTCTTAAAATTTCAACTTCTCCTCGATGTGAAAAAAAACTCGTTAGAAACAATTTTTGTGCTTAAAAATCGAAATTCTCAAATTTGTCCTATCGAAACCATGATCAAAGGCGCATGACCTACAGGAAATGAATTAAAAATTATATTACCTAGACTTGTTTTGCTTAAATTATTCTGTCGTCACAAAATCAATATAAAATTTTGATTTTCGCATTTTGAGAGGTCCAAATTGTCAATTTTCGCAGAGTTGCTTGTTCGAAGGCGAGCTCGAATCGTCAATTAATATGGATTTCATGAAAAAGCTCGAAAAATCGCTTCATTCGTTCAATTTGAACGCCTGGCCGACGGCCTATGCGTGAGTTGGGCGCCAATTTGGCGACGCAATTTTTTTTTGGTGTGTTCAGACTCTACGAGCAATTGAATTTGGCGCCGCCTCCATTGACACTAGTCGAACCTCAATTCGAGATTCCGCTGCCGCCGCTGTCGCCGGCCGTGTTTCCGCCGAACTTTCGCGAACTTCCACCGCCGCAACTCGAGCTGTTCGATCTTGATGAGCACTTCAGCTCGATCGACAACCGATTATCGAAATTGACGAACAAATGCGCCGACAACGACCTCGAGTATTTCATTCGCGAGGCCGGCGAATTGTTGGGCATCAACGGCGAGTTGACGATGGCGAATCGCACGCCGAAGAAGATTCTTGAGCAGGTCATGAGAAAGCTGATGTTGTTCAAAACGCCGCAAATGGTATGTGCGAATTGAGATCGTTACTTGAAAATCGCTTCAGGAGCCGAATGGCTATGAGCTCGATGCCGCCGGCATGTACGATGTGAATAATATTGACAACGACAGTCTCCAGAATGAGCCGATCGATTATCATCATGATGGCGATGAGCAGCTATTCAGCGACATCGATGAATTTGATGATTTGTGAGATACGCTGAAGTTCAATGAAAATTTTTGTCGAACTAATTCAGAATTAATTCAGAATTTTTATATACAATTTTAAATTTCAGTCTGGAATTTGGTTTTCAAACAAATCTAAAAACATTTCCAAAAATATGATTTTTTTTTTCAAATAAAAAAATCAACTTCCATGTGAGACCCACTTGAAAAAGGGGAAAAGCTTTTATTTATATTTGGAGAAAAAAAAAACAATAAAAAACATGAGTGAGTTTAGTCGAGAAGAAAAAAAAAGAAAATGGAGGGGGGGGGAGAACCCGAAGAAAACTTGCTCTAATTTTCGGAAAAAATATTAAAGAAGGCACAAAATCGTGAAAACATCTAGTTCAAAAAAAATAGTTGGAAAAAACCGGGGGAAGGAGCATGGAATATAACACTTGATATATAATATTTGTGTGAAATCGGCTAGTCTAGTCTAATCTAGTCAACGGATTTCCATCAAAAACCATTCATTTGAATTTCTTCGCGTAGATTAAGTAGCCGATGCCGGCGATGCTCGCCACCGCCACCGCCGACGCCACGTACACCATCTCGGGATTGTTGTGGAGCCACGCGGCGAAATCGCCGCACTCATCGTCGTCGGGCACCATTTTCGACTCCTCGACGACCGTCGCTTTGATCGTCGGCGTCACACGCGTAAAGTCGGGCGCCGGCGATGGTGTGTGTTTGCGCTCCTCCTCGACTTGAGCCTGAACATTGCCAATCGATTCGTGTCGGTTGTCATTCCTACTCAAAAATGGGTCCTAGAGCGACTCAGGTGAGTTTTCTATGAATTAAAATAGAAATACCACTTTCAAAACATCTACACTAATCGGTGACTTCAAAAGAATGGCTCGAAATATGGCTATACGTCTTCAGGATCAATCGCTTCAAAACCCAATTCATTTTTCGTGTAATGCGCCTTTAATAAATTTAAAAAAGATATTCGAAGATTAAACAAAGCCAAATTAAATAGAAAATTGGGCGCAAAAAAACGTGCCAGTTTGAATGGTTTTCAAATTGCGACAAATCCAGTTTTTCGATGTCATTGTTAAAGGCGCACACACAGATTTTGAAGACGAGTCTCGATCCGTCCGGGCCGCCCGCAAAATTGCTTCAAGAGATGCACTCACCGAGATGATCGGAATGTTCGCGGCGATTCCGGCAACCGCCGCCGACACCGTCTCGTCGTTTTTCGCCTCGTCCTTCTCGACTTTCTCGAAATCTCCCGGATCCGAATCGAAGCTGTTGCGTTTCGCCGAAGCCGACACCGAAGCGGCCGAAACCTCCGCCGTTGGCTTTTGCTCCTGAATGACAAGCGATTCATCCAAAATGCGCACCGCGCAAAGCCCACCTCGATGGTCGTGCTGTTCTCCGGCACACTGTCGGCGTTCGACTCAATATCGGCGATGCTCACCGGCGGGCTCGGCTCCGACGCCTAAACACACACACATACAAATCAATCATGGAATCCGATCGAATCACGATTCTCACCACCGTCTCCTCGTCTGGCGTCGGCTTCTCAATCTGCTCGACGCTCGGAATAGTGATCTCATCCGATTGGACTCCTTGTGAATAGTCTAAAGCTTAATCATTAATCGGGTACCACAGTCAAAACATTTGAAGGTCCCAACGTGGGCAAACTGCCAATTGTTTATTGGATCGATTTACTAGAGACAACGAAAATTGTAGAGAGTACAGACATACCATATAAGACTCGAAATTTGGCAAATTTTCGAAAATCGACGACATCTCACAACGACGGAAGTTCGCTTCGAGACCCCGGGCGCCCTTGGGTTTTTGGGTCCCCAACACGATTCGATTTCGCTCACCTTTCTCAACAACACTCTCCTTGTGCTCTTGCGACGCCATTTTCACGGGTTGCTCGCTGGTCTGCAACAAAATGAATTCAATTCTGGCAATTCAATATGGGGAAGAAATTTTTTCAAAGAAAGAAAAAAAACACATGAGGGACCTTTCGAGCCGGCGAGATGCTTGTCGGATTGCCGTCCGACGACGAAACCGAACGAATGAAAAATTGGCGACGACGCGGTCGCGGCGACGGCACCTCGACGACAACATCATCGGCTTCCGATTCCGACGACGACATCGATGATTATGAATCGCAAGACCAACAACCGAATGAATGCAACTGGTGAGGTGAACAAGCGTCGAATGATGGAAATATGAGAGGAGCGCTGGGTTGAGCTCATCGTTGACGATGAGCAAGAGAGAGAGAGCTCTGATATGATGTCGAGAGGAATCAGAGAAACTATCTTGATATGTGACGAGGAGGCATCCAGAATTTCGCTCGCCGCTCGTCACGTTTCAATTCGTAATCAACGTACTTTGGCACACATCGGAATGAGGAGGTCAAATGAAGTCACAAATGGGACCACAATGCGCTTGAAGCAAACTACAGTAATCCTGGTCCATGAAGGCAACGAGTGGATTCACGAGTTCCAACCAAATCACTAACATCGACACCTACAGTACGATCTAGTCTGGTCGTAAAACGACTGATAGTGTCAATAAAACGGGTCCCGCAGCGAAGACGCCGGAAAACTTTATAAAGATGATTTTTTTTGGAGGGCGGCATGATGAAACAACTTTTCATCGGTCACACCTTTTCTTTCCTATTTTCATTCTTTTGAAATTGTCCGCAGATGAGAGATATTACACAAACGCGAACTCAAATATTGGAGAACGTCAACAAATTGATATAGTTATTGTTTTTTTTGGTTGAACGCGCCTTTAAAGGATACTGTAGATTGCAATGGATTCAAATCGAAAATGGTTAGCGTTGGGGGGGGGCGAAAAAAAAATAAATGAAAAAGCGGATTGCTTGCTGCTGCTGATAGAACGAACAACAATCTCTCATTTTCATCAGGAGGGGGTTGTAGTGCGAAAATTGATTTCTGAACAAACAACACAAAGGCACCTGATTGACACGGGCGGCAAAACAAAAAAAAACGCTTGGAATGGTTCAAGGCCACAAAAACGAGTGGCGAATCGATACCAAAGCCGAATAGCAAAAAAAATAACACACGATGACGAGAACAAGACGCACACGGGCGGCGGCTGAGCCGAACACCTCGGAAATGTTGCTCCAGTGCGACGAGGCGAAATAGTAGGCGAATTGGCGAGAATCAGAGAGGCAGAGAGAAAGAGGACGAGCCGTTCTTGTTGTGTTGCGATTCTCGTCATGAAATTCATGTGAACCGTCAACTTTGACCTTGGGTTTTTTCGCGATATTTGAAGCATTTTATTTTGAGCGCAAATTTTTGATTTCTGCTTTGGAATTTTAACGATGGAACTGCAAATTTCAGAGATTTTTGAACAAAATTTGGTGCTGCCAAAAAAAAACTCAAAAACTGAACTCAAAAAAACAGTTATTTGAAACGTTAAAAAAACGGATTTCTGGCAGAATAAAATTTTTTGTGAATATGAAATTCTAGACGTTTTGAAGCAAAAATTATTAAAATTTCAGACTTTCAAAAGAGAAAATCGAATTGAAAAAAAAATAGACTATAATTTCCAAAATTTGCCGAATTTTAAGCAAAAAAATTTTTTCCCGTTTTTATTGCTTAATACCCAAAAAAACGTCAAATGTGGGGTTAAAACTTCCAATATTCAATTTTTCCAGCAAAAATACTGAAAATTACTTAAAAAATGAAAAAAAAAACAATTCAATTATGAAATAAAAATTCAAATTTTCGAAATTTTAAATTTTTTGTCTCAAACGAATGAAACAAAAATCATAATTTTAATGCTAAAAATTCAATTTCGAAAAAAGCAACTCGGAAAAAAATCAAGCGTCGCAAAGAAATGAGGTTCAGCGTTTCGAAGTGGAACGCGTCGAACTGCAAAATGAGCCGACGCGCCTGCCCCGCACGGCTCAGGCGAGCACGAAACCAACTAACCGACATCGACTCCTGGTCTTTGAATATCACATCAACCTTCTGCGAGTGTTTGAAGGCGCGAATCTGTTCGACGGTCTCGACGAGAATCTACAATTCAAACAATAATCATCATTATAGGTCAAAGCTGACAAATTTGTGGGGTTTGCGATTACTATATCATTTGAATAGGGTCTCGTATGGAAAAACTCTTAAAAGACATCACTATAATTTAAAAAAAAAAAACTAATTTTTTTTAGTAATTAGGTTATTTTAAAAAAATGTCAAGCGGGCCCATAAGGGACCATTAATTTTTCGATAGAAATTGCTAGAAAAACGGCTATTCTGATAGGAATTTTTTAAGGGTTTTCCGGATAAAAATTCCTTCATTATTAATTTCAAGAATCTTACATTATCGGGCAGCGTGAATATCATCTCGACGGGTATTCTGAACGCCTTCTCGATTGTCAATTTCACCTTTTCGAGATTCATTCCGCCGGGCAGCGTCACCCTCTTGTACGTTTCTTTGCCTTGCGCGACACTGAAAATTCATAGACAATTCACCAGCAATCTCAAAAAACAAACATTTTTTCCCCGAAAATTAAACATTGAATGGACCATTTCGATTCTATCTCATCTCAAAAATGGGATCGAGTGGAAATTTGGCTAGAATTTTTTACAAGCGATCAAAATTCATGGCCGAATGGAAAAAAATACAATAATAATTAAAATTGAGCGAAAAAGAACGATAATTTTGACAAACACTTCTATGCGCCTTTAAATTTTCAGTCAACATAAATCTAATTTTTTTAAAAATCCCCCTAAATGTGTCTATTCTAGAATAAGAATAATACATTATTTGGTAGATCATTTGAACGACGCTATGCGCCTTTAAATTTTCGGCGTACCTTGTTCTGACCAACAAGAATCTCGTCGTTTCCGCCGAATCCCTTCTTCCATATGAGTACGTCGACGACGAGACGGCTGGTCCCGGTGATGCTGAAAACAATAAGAAATAAGACGCCGAATTTGAAGCAACCAAAAATTGCACCTGGCGATGCCGGCGTCGAGTAGTTGTCGAACGATGATCGACTCGAATACGGAAACGGCGGATGGCGAATGTAGTTCGGCACGAATTTCGGCGACGTGCTGCTCGCCGTCGAACGATGATCATCTTAACATTTTATGAAACATAAAAGCATTTTCTGTTTTTTTTTTCATGTTGATGCGCCTTTAATACGAGTCTCACATCGATGATCGATAACATGTCTTTAAAGCTCGCAAAAAGAACCAAATCATTTTTAAAGGCGCACGTTCGACATTAGAGATAATGAAAAAAAAAGCATCAATTTAAAAAATCAAATGTTGTCCTCAAAATGGCTTTCTTTTCATCACAACATTTAAAATATTGATATATTTCTCAAGACCGCCCGTTTAAAGGCGCATGACACGATTTTATTCGAATTGTTTGCAAAACCTGCTCGAAATGTGTTTCAAAAATCTCATAAATCATCAATATTCACATTTTAAATTACTGTCTTCAATAATAGCTAAGTAATCAAAATGATGAACGACAAACAAAATTCGTCTGAAGACCTCGTGTCGCAAATCCACGTCATTCTTAAAGGCGCACACTCCCATCAACATTTTCCATACGAGACCAACAAATGAATACTTTATTAAAAGCTTCATCGATCATTTTTTGCTTGGGCGAAAGAAAAAAAAACCAACTTATATCGGTTCCACTCACCCTCAACCATTTCCTCGCTTGTTCCTCCCTCTTCCTCGTCGTCCTTCTCCTCCTCGGGAATGCCGGGTTTCAATATCTCGCGTAGTTCGGTGTGATCCGCAGGGCACACCTAGAAAAAAAACCAAAGAAATATTTTGACAACCAATTTTTTTTCTTGTTTCAAAAATCAGCAAATTCCCTCCAAATCCAAAAATGCTCAAATTTTGTTTTTTTTTCGCAAAATCTCACGTCGTATGGATATTTTCCTTTATTATCCTTCAAATTCAGCGGCACACCGGCTTCGATGAGCAAAAGGCAAATCTCTTGATGTCCGCGACTGGCCGCCCAATGCAACGAGCTCCTGAAAATCGAAAATCAATTGCCAAAGAAGAAAGGGAAATCAGCTTTTTGTGATGTCCACTCAAACAAAAAAAAAAGAACCCACCCTCAAATATTTGGATAATTTTGTGTAAAGTGGGGGAAAAAGCAAAGATTTTTTTCGCGGCAATACACTCTTGTAAAAATTGCGGCGGGAATCTTGAGGAATTCAAAAAAGCTATTTCTTTTCAAAAATACCATACACTAGGTAATTATTAAACTTTTGATTACTGTAGATCGTTAAAGGCGCACTGAGAAGTGCATTCCTATTTAAAATTTTCATATTTGGTCTTAAAATTGTGGTAATTTAGAAAAAAAAATGCCGAAATATGAAAATGACAACAGATTTTATAAATTTCGTCCATGAAAACTTTGAAAAACAATGGCCAAAAATGGTATTCAAAAATTATTGTCTGTTTCTGAGAAAACATTCGGCTACAAGAGTTGATCGTCGCAAGACCCAACGAATTGGTCCACATTTTCATTTGGTCTCAACAGGCTTCGAATATTCAACGATGTAAAATTTATAATCTGTTTAAATTCACACAAAACCTAGAATTTCAATTCAACGTGCCACTTTTTTTTCGAAGATAAAAATTGTGAATACGGTAATTGAAGACACATGAAGTTATGGTAGTTGGGTCTCGTGACGATCGATTCTTTTTTTTGAAGCAGCAAATATATGCAGGAAAAATTTGCAGTAAAAAAGAAGAAAATTTTTCTTTTTTATCTTTTGACGATTGTAATGACAAAATTTGGGTGGACCAAAGTTTTTATTAGACGACTTATTTTAAAAAAATCGCCTGTTGAGGTTTGTCAGATTATACTAATAATGCGACTTCGAGCAAAAACAACGAGCCGGCCAGCGGACTGGTCAAAATTGAAAACTGAGAGGTCCGTTGAGCCGCGCCGCCGCTGACGGCAACAGTTGTCGTCGGCCTGCCGAGCGTGCATTCCAGTTGCAGCGATTTACGTACGCCGGGAGCGGCGCACGTAATTAACGAGCACGCACGACGTCGGAACGAATGTTGCAGGTTTTGCAAAAAAAAAATTCTTTTTCTTCTCTTTTTTTCGTTTCGAACACAACAACGATTTTGCGAAAATGTTAAGCGCAATGCCAGAAAAAACTAAGAAGCCGTTTAAATAAAAATTAACCAATTTTCCAAATTTAAACATACAAATTTTGTGGTCGAACCAATTTAAAATATTTAAATTGCGGAGATTGGCAATTAATTGACATAAAATCTGCTCATTCATAAAAAAAATTGTATGAGGGGTCTTGGAGCGATTGCCTTTAATCTACCCTTCGATTTAGCCGAATCGACATTATCATTATTTGATATTTATCTGATTTTCAGCACAAAAAAATTCCGAAATTTCAATTTTTGGTTGAAATCGGAAATTCTTGAGGATTTTAGCAATTTTTATTAGTCAAAAGTTAGATGAAAACACGAAAGTGCCAGTTTTCAAGTTCATAGGAAGAGAACAAAAATGAAAATTGAATATTTCAAAAAATTCAAAAATTCTCGACTCACCGAAATTTCGCAATCTTCTCATTCGTTTGCTTTTAATCTATTGTAAACTTTATAATCCTACCATTTATTATTCCAGTGCTGATAATTGACGTTAATTATGCCTGTAGCCAAAGCGGATCGCACTCGCTGAGCATCACCAAGCATGCACATTTCGCAAAATTCAATTTGCGGCAAATCTCTGCTATAACTGCTCATCGTCGGCCTAAAAATCAATAAAATTCAACCAAAAATGGTTCAAGCAGAGAATTCGGCTGTCAACAAAAAAATCACGAAATAAAAACTGAAATATTAGGACCAAAATAAATTATGGAAATTATTTAGAATACAATTATTATTGTACTATCCAATTCTTATCAGATTCTTCGAAAAAATCGCCAAAATATGAGACTGGAGGCAAAAATTCGAAAATACTCCCAACCACCGTCTGCAACATTTTCCCTCGGTGTCCGCACACCAAATGCGCCGCATTTGACGCAACTCGTCTTTACTTTTATTTTTCATCAACAATTCTCCTAAGATACTCGTTTTATGCGCATTATAAGGCCTCCAAGTAATAAATTAAATAACATCTATAAAAAACGGGCATTTTCACCTTCCAAGACATTTCAAAAAGTCGGGCATCTCTTTGAAAGTCGAGAAAAAGGCGATTTCGCAATAACAATTTAAAAAAGGGGGAAAACGGCGTATTGGGTGAAACGCGAAAAAATTGGACATGTGTGACACGCATTAACAACTAAAAAAAAGAAAGGAGAAACAAATAAGAAAAGAACCATAATTGAGGGGGGGCTCTGCTGGTAACTATAAGTAAATGGCTCGGTAAGTAGTAATTAATTATGGAATTATTTTCTTTCAATTATTTCAATAAAGCGTCGCTATTTTCAATTCATTTCGACGATTTCGATCCTCGTTTGAACAACGATCCAAAAACTTTTCGCTCTGAACATGAAAACAATTATTAGGGGAGGACGCGATCAAACAAATCCCCATACTCGACGATGATTTGATCGAATCCGAATCATCGAAATTTCCCGAAGGCGTCGACGCGATACTCGCCGACGTCGTTCTTCCATCAGGCGTCTGATTATTCTCAACCCACGAAATGAATTCGCCGTTCGTCGCAGTCGGGTCTCGCGGCGACATTGCGCGTTCAACGTGTTGATATGCCGTCGAGGTGTGCTCGCGATAAATCAGTGTTTCCTGCAAAAAATATACATTTCTTTAAAATTCTTTTGCATTCGAAAAACATGGGTTTTTTTGCGAGCGCCTTTCATCAACTACCGTTTCTCAAAAATCATTGAGGAATGAAATCCGCAAAATCGAGAAAAAATTAATTAATGCGCAATTCGCGTTGGCAAAATTCAAAACACAATTTTCAAATCTACGGATAATAAGAAAAAAAAAACTCACCGAGTACTCTCCACCATGTCGAATTTCAGCAGTATCGCCTGAAATAAGAAGATAAATACAACAAAAAAAAAACAAATTGCAATCAGAAAATGTCTTCAGTGAATCGAATTAGAATCATTAGTTTGGCGTGTCGGCGTGTTTTTGGTGTGTTCATGCGTGCAAAAATTATAAAACACGAAGTTCTATATAGTTATTTAATATCGATTAAAATGTCACATGTGCCCACACATATGACTAACCGCCATTCGCACCACCGCCGCGAGAAGCCTTCGCGGCTTCCGCGATCGCCTCTTCCACTTCCCCATAAATACTCTCGGCGTAGATCGATTGGCGTCGACTCGCGCGACGCACAACGCCCTTCTTGCGAACAACAACCGTCGGCAGCACACCGCTGCTCGACGACAACGAGTTCATCGACAATGGCGTCGCAAGAAGGGGTCCCGACGGCGGCAAAAACACCGGCGGCGATTCGATCGCCGACGAGCCGCCGAAGCCGCGCGGAAGCGTCGCGCAATCGCGAATCGCCAACGCGTCGTGCTGACGGCCGCGCGGAAGCGAACTACAACCACCTAAAGCGAAAAAAAGCAAATCAAAGCATGAGAAAAGCATTGGGAGAAAAAACAAAGCGTCCGAAAAAATAATGAAGAAGAATAAGGTGTCTTACGATTATAAACAAGCTCGAACTGCGACAAATCATCAGAAGTCGCGTAAGAGGCGCGATTCTGCGTGTTGTAATCGCCTCCGGCAAAATTCCGACGCGGCTTCACCACCGGCGGCATCTGATCCGTCGTCATCAAATCGTCTAAACCAAAGAAATAACCCATAAATCAAACCATGCAAAAAAAAGAAACGAAAATCATAGGACACCAAAAAAAAACCCACCATTGTACGAGTACGACATCAATTGATTGCTTGGCGCCAAATTCGCGTGGAATTTGATCTTCGCCACCCATTCAAGCATTTGCCGCTCTTCCGGACACGAGAAGATGAACTCGGATCCATCTTGTGTTATCAATCGGAACGCATGCTTCCGCTTCGCATATTCGGGATACGGCTCACAAACCGCTCCATAGATATACACCGGCGGCGAAGCAGCAACATTCTCCACAAACATCGTCTCGTCTTTGAAGAAGCACAACAATTGACCACACAGAATTCCATAGTAGTTCTTCCATGATCTCACCACGGCGCGCTTACCGCCGCTCATCGTGCACATCTTACGATCAAAATATCTGAAAACAACTCAAGGTACGATGCGAAGATTCCAAAACAGGGTTCGTACCCCTTCATGTCAATCGCTCCCATATCCTCCCACTTGCTCGTCTTTCTCAGCGCCTGATTGCGTCGCGTGTTAAACGACGGCGTCTTCGTGATCTCAACGCTAGTCTGAAGTGGGGCCGCCGTCGACGATGTGATAATGTCGCCAACTTGAAGGGAACTTCCTGGAACTGAAAAAAAACCAACTCAAAAAAAATTTCACAAGATCCAATCCTCCTACCCAAATCCGCTGTCGTCTTACTCCTCTCCTTGCGATCCTTTCTCGGCATCGTGTGCGTCGAGAAATCCTCGCCGTTCGAGTTCGGCCTCAACAACGAGATCTCTTGTGTCTTTCGCCGCTCGCGCTCTTGTCGCCGATTCGCCAAAATGTTGCCCTTCTCGACAATCTTGATAGTGTCTCTTCGCTTCTGATCCTCTTCGGCGATTCTTGTGCGATCAATCTGCAATAAATGAGCTCAATTATTGAGATAATCAAAAATTGCCGCAAACCTCCTTATTCCTCAACTTGCTGAAGTTCTGCTCAACCAGCGTCAACCTCTTGACCATTTCGCACTTCTCGCTTTGCGCCTCCAACGTCACCAAAAAGTCGTCAAACTCTCGAAGTTGAGTTTCCGCGGTGTCGACCGAATCAACCACCTTCCAATCATCAGCAAGGAGTCGTTCGCGCTCAAGAAGCCAATTTTCCAGCTGCGACGCGTTCTCCTTCCACTTCTGGCAATCCATATTCTCATCGTACAACTCCGCGCGATCCTTCCAAATCTCGCAAAGCATCGCCCAAGATCGCTCAAGAATTTCAACCTGGAAATCATCAATATTCAATGACAATCAATTGTAATCCAAGGGAAACAACCTTCTCCTGAATCTCCGCCGACAGCAAATTCTTCGACTGAATCATTCGACGTCCTTGCCGCGCGAAATCATCAACAAACGCCTTGCGTCCCTGCATCTCCACATTATACTCATCATGCCGTCTCGCAAGGCTCTCGCATCCGGCGACATCCTGCGGCAGCAGCTCCGACGTCATCGTCGCCTGCATGTTCTTCATCCACTGCATCATCTCCCGATACTCTTGGAAGTACGATTGAAGGCTCTGCATCTCTCGCAACTTCTCATAATGCTTCTTCGCCGCCTCCATGATATCCTTGAGCTGCTCTTCCATGTCAAGTCGTCGAACTTCCAAATGATGACGGGTATCGGGGAACACGTTCCAAAGTCGTTCGGCTTCATGACAAAGCTCAGCAACCTGTTTCTCAACCGCCTTCATTCCATGCATAAACTCATCATGTCGCTGAAGTTGCGCCTTCACCGAAGCCAAGTCAGCACGCGACAAATCCTCCTGTTCCATAGCAACTCCAGTCGCTTCCTTATCTTGAAGCCAGTTCAGAGTCTGATCGGCTTCCTGATCAAATCGGTGCACCTGACGCGCTCCATGCAAAGCCTGCTTTCTCTCGTTCGTCACCTCATTGACATGTGTCCAAAGACGCTGAACATCGGTGGCTTTGGCGGTGATCGAAGCGCCATACGGATGTCCACTTCTCAGCAAATCCTCCTGGGCGCGTTGAACCGCAGCAACTCGTTCACCAGCAGCAGCCAACTCGCGAACAGTCGTCTCAAACTGTTCGATGATATTTTGGCAGTCTTCGAGATCCCGCCCGTATTCCTCGGCTGAAGCGACTCGCTCCTTCTCATGAAGCCAATCGACCAAATCATCAGCCTGTCTCACGAATCGATGATACTTTGAAGCATCAGCGAGTTGCGTTCGTCGTCGGGCGCTCTCACGGCACAAATCGCCAAACAAGGCTTCCAGCTTACGCTGCTTCGCAGCAATCGACATCGCATCATGGTGTTCTCGAGCAAGAAGTCCGTCAGCTCTAAAAACGTCAACATCAATGAAATGAGTCGATCGAATCATGACCACCTCTGTTTAAGATTGTCAATCTCCTTCTTGAATGTCTCAACCTCCTTGTCCAACACCGTCAATCGTCTCAGATGGCTTTCAGCTCCCGCTTGATCTCGTCCCATCTCTTGGCTCATAGCCAACGGCATCTGCTCGCGAAGCCATTGCTCAGCTTCAGCCTCTTCAGCATAATACTCATGAGCGTCAATAGCTTCCTAAATTTCAAAAATTTTCGAAATCCAATCAAATAAAAAAAATGACAGACCTGTAGAAGATCTTTCCGAAGACCACAGCTTTCCTTTAACGTCAAAACCGCCGACGTCAACCGATCCAAAGTCTTCTGAATAATATTCGAAGCAAAGTGCCTTTGTCGAATCATATCTTTTCCCCGCTTCTCCGTCTCCTGCATAGCAGATTGCCGAGTCTCAAGCTCCTTCTCCAAAGCAGCGTGCTTCTTCTGAAGGGACAAAGCGCTTTGCAAGCTATCGCCCGTCTCGTTGCTACTCGCCAGCGGCATCTTGTCCGAAAGCCATTCCAAATCCTCTTCGGCGGCCTTGATCCATTCAAACAGCTTTTGTGCATCGATCAAATTCTCTCGTCGAATTTGCACCGGTTCATCCAGTCCCGAGTATCTCGCTTCGACCTGCTCCGCCTGCTGAAGGCATTCTTCCGCGGCAACCGATCCTTGAACGCGAAGCTCTCTCGCCTTCTTCATCATCTCCACAACGGCATCCGATCGTCCAGCAATTTCGGCTTGAAGTGTATCAAGCTTCTTAATGAGCAATTCCGTCGACAACATGTCTCGTCCATGATCCTCCGACGCCAGTTCCGCTTCGACTCGGTCCAGCCACTTCTCAAGATCTTCGACTTTCCTCTGAAGCGAGTGAAGCTCGAAAGCCTCTCGAAGTCGTTGCGTCTTCATTGCCGACTTCGTTCGCAGCTCATCCCATCCCGATCGCAATTCAGCGAGTTGCGCGTTCACCTGCTCGCTCATGAAATGATTCTCATTGACGAGCTCGACACCTTGCCGCTCGACTGCCGTCAATCGCTTCTCATTCTCAACGAGTTCCGAGTCGAACGCCATATGCTTTTGAAGTTTCGATCGCAAATTCGTATGATCCAAAAACGATTCGTCGTAAGCCAATTGAAGTTTCGCCGTAATCCAGATGATCAACTCGCCGCAGTGTCGAATAAACTCATGATATCGCTTGCTATCATCCAGCATTCCTTTTCGTTTCGCGACAAGATTCAACAAGTTCGCATATCTCGACTTCACCTCATCCTTCTTCGCCTCAATGTCGGCTCGATAGTCGTTTCCAGCCGAAACTAGTTGATCGGCGTGCTTCTCAAGCACTCCAATCTTTTCGCCTTGCTTCCGAACCGTCTCCTCAAACGCGACGTGCGATTTGATGAACATCTCGGCAGCATCGGTCGTGTCGCCAAGCTCGCCTCGTGTCAACTGATTCTCCTTCTCCGACAACCACTGCTCGCACTGCGCTGCTTCATCGCACCATCGCAACCATTCCGCCAATCGCTGAAGTGACGCCTTTTCAATTTCCCATGTCTGCCTGAGTTGATGTTCCGAATTCTGCACACGCTTGTGGGCTCTTTGCACTTCCGCCTTGTGATCCGGCTGCTCAGCAATCAGCACTTGTCCCTCCTCATGAAGAGCTCGAATCTCATCCGCTCTTCCATCAATCTCCGCCTTGCGCTCGTGATGCTGCTCCAACAACTTCTTGGCTCCCGCCGAATCTTTCGGCGTCTGATGAGCGGTCATCTTGTTGCGCACCTGATTGGCCCACTGCTCCACCTTCTTGACATCATCCAGGTACTTGTAAAGCTTATAGGATCGATTGAGCTTGTCATTTCTGAACTCCGCCGCCTCGCTGAGTTGTTTCCACGACTCTTCAAGTTTCTTCAACGAATCCAAAACCGATTGTCGCAGTGGTGGTCGCTTCTCAAGAATCTTTTGCGCGTCACGATCATGAGCAATGAGCTTCTGATGAATCGCGCTCATGTCACGCTCCAAAGCCGACTGCTTCCTGACAAGAAGCTCAACACTGGCAAAGTCTTTGCCATAGTCCTCGCTCTTCATCGCGGCGATCTTCTCATGAATCCGCTCATCGGTGTCTTCAACATCGCGATTGAACGTGTGAACCTCCATGGCGGCCATCAATTCGGTGCGATACTGCGACAATTGACCAAACAATAGGCGCCACCTGCAACGAAAAACGCATTAAACCATCGATTCGACAAATCCGGATTAGCGCGTGAAACGACGCGATTACTTCTCGTTGAGATGCTGCTGCTCCTTTTGCACCTGATCGCGACTCGTGCGACCCTGTCCAACTAGCTTCTCGCCGAGACGATTAATCTCATTAAGCGTCTGCTCATCAACAGTGGTATCCGAGCGGGATCCTGGAAACAAGAAGGGACCTTATTATTAACATTCGAAAAACTACCATCAAGCCTCTCCAGAAGCAATCGGCAATGTTCCATGTCTCTTCCCATATCCGCCGTCGACACCAGCACCTCCTTCTCATGAATCCATGTCAACACACGGTCCACCAGCTGTTTGAAGCGCAACAAATCGCGCGCCTCTTCCAAAGCCTGCGATTGATCCTCACAAGCAGCCACCAGCGTGTGCCATTTCAAACCAAACTCCTCGCATCTCTGCGATATTTTCGGATTGCGATGCGCCGTGTTCAAGTGGCGTCCTCGTCGCAGAATCTCATCGACCACCGATTTATTGGCCGACACCTCCGCCTCCAGAGCCTGGTGAGTTTGAAGTCGCTTCATTTTCTCTTCAATCGTGATCGTCTCAGACGATTGATCACGAGCCTTTCGGATTCTAGAATCAATATAATCAATATCTAAACAAATTTGCCATCTTCTTACCCATTGGTCTTCTCATCAATCCACGTCTCAATCAAAGCAACATCACTATCAAACGATGCCAAATCATAAGCATTCGAAAGCGTTCGATGTCTTGTCTCAATATCCGCTCGAAGTAGCGCCAACTCTTCATGAACCTTGTCCTTCCACAACGCGATGTTCGCCGACTCCATATGCTTGGCATTTCGAAGACCATCCGCCGTCTGATCCAAACTCAACGTCCTCTCGTCCAAAGTCGACAAGGCCTTCTCGAACGTGTTCAATCGATTCTTCTGACTCTCAACATCGGCCACTGATCCGCCAACAGCCAAATTCTTAAGTGTCGTCCGTTTGCTGGCAATCGATGCAATTATCTGTTTGGCTTCTCGCTGGAACGCATGCCACTGAACCGCTTGCGACAAGAACTCATTCCGCAGCGCCCACTCCTTTCGTAGGCGATCTCGCGCCGCATCAAGTAGTCGCGTCTTGTTCCGAATCTCCTCCGACGAGTAGTGTTGGGCCGAAATCATCTTCTGTCCATCGCTAATCAACCGATCAAATTCCGGCTCGCGCGCGTCCATCTCATTCAATAGTCGCGAGTGCTCTTTCTGAAGCCATTCGGCCTGCTGAAGATCGTTGATTTGAAGATCCGACTGAATGTCATTAATGGTGAGATCGGTCCATGCAAGAAGATCGCGAACTTTGCCATTGAATCTGAAAATGTTCAACACTCAAAACTAAGCTCGAATCAGTGCAACCCTTACGTATGAAGATCGAAAGCCGCTCGAAGCATATCCCTCCGATCATCAGTGGCATTCCGAAGCTCATCCCATTCCTCATTCAACGAGCTTTGTTGAGCGCTTATCTGCTCGGCGTTGCCTCCAGGATAAGCCTTCTTCAACCGTTCCGCTTCTTCCATGATCGCAACAAGTCTTGGCTCGGCATTTTTCGTTTCTTTGTCAAGCGCCTCATGCTTCTGCCAAAGCGAGTGCACGTGCTTCACGTCGCGTCCAAGATCTCTCGGCATTTGCGCCATCTTGTCGGCAATCCACTGCTCAAACTCTTCGACGTCGCGATTGAATCGATGAAGCTCTTCAGCGGCGACGAGTTTACTATCGCGCGCTTCAATGTACTGCTCCAAAAGAGTCCAAATCTACAAAACAAAAACTCATGATTAGTAATACAACGTGTGCTACCGTTCTGAGCTTCTCCTGCTTCTTAACAACATCACGAGCGAACGGCGGATTCCTACGAAGGATGGCGCTAGCGGCTTTCTCGCAAGAGATGAATCTCTCACTTCCCGTCTTCACACTCTGCTTGAACTCATCAAACTTCGACTGAAGCTCTTTCAAGTGCTCATAATCTTCGGCGTAGTCCTCGCTCATCGCCGTCTGCAGTTGCTCATTGATCCACAACTCCAAATCCGCGCTCTCTCGCATGTATTCATAGAGGCACACCGCGTCTTCAAGCGCATTCCTTCGATCCTCGGCAAGCCGGCTGAGCCGCTCAAACTCGGATTCAAGTTCCGCTTGACGATTCTCAAATCGATCCACATTCGGTCGATTCGATTGAACAAGCTCCGCACATTTCGCCGACAACTTCTCCAACCATTGCCTATACGTTGCCATGTCCTCACAAAGTGCGCGATGTTTGGCGAGAAGCTTCCTTGCCGCATCCTCATCACTTCCGTAGTCCTCCGACGCCAATGCATTCCGCTTCTCATTCATCCACGACTCCACTTCGGCGGCATCGAACAAGTACTGTTGCTCTTTGACACCCCAATCAACAATGTCTCGCCGCTTTCGCAAGAGTCTCTTCAACTCTCCCCACGACAGCGACAGCTCTCCGATCTTCTTTTCAATCTGCGCCGATGCCGGATGCCGACGTTCCATCAGCTGGTCGCCTTGCGAGATAACCTTGTCAATGCTCGTCGCATGCTGGTTGACTTCCGCTTCAAGCCGTTCCTGCTTCTTGACCATATTGAACGCTTCCGTCAGAGTTCTTCCGCAGTCCTTCGACGACACAATTGGCTTCTTCTCGGCAATCCACTGAAGCTCACAATCAACATCGAACGCCAATTGATGCCAAAGCCGAGATTCCTCCAATGCTTCACGCCGTTTTCCAGTCGGCACGCTCAACTCATCGTATCTCTTGAGAAGCTCGGACACAGTGAACTTGATTCGATCAGCATCATAATGTCCCTCAGCGGCCATCTGTTTTCCACGCTTTTCAATGTCGGCGAGCTAAACAAGCAGATTTATTTTCGATTTCTCAAATCCAAATTCCCGCCAACCTTCTTTCCATACAATCCCATCTCCTGCTCAAGTACCATATGACGCTGAAGGAGATCTTTAACTGATCTCAGATCATGTCCCTGATCGGCAGACTTCAACGCAAGCTCCATCTCATCAAGTTTCGAATGCGCATCGGCAAGAATTTGGTCAAGTCCCTAGAAAAGCCATGAATAAATCCAAATCAGCCGTGAAATTTTTTAAGAAGCATACCTTCTGATCGGCCGCCTGTTTAAGCCTCTCACCCTTCGCCGCAACCAACTTCTTCAGATCCGCCCATTGCAAATTGACGCGTCTGACAAGCTTCTCAACATTCGGCGACTCATAATGATTGCTATTGATCAGCGCGGCACCTTCGCGATTGATCTGCTCAATTCTCGGCTCGTTCGCGCCAATCTCGGCCTCAAACGCCTCATGCTTCAAAAGACGTTGCGGAATCGCCGACGGCGCCAGATTCGCATCATCGCCGCTGTTCACCAACTTCGCCTTCTCATTCATCCATCCCATCACTTCTTCGGCTTCTCGCCGCATCTCCTGGTATTCCAGCGACGCTTCCAATTGTTTCTTCCTTTGAGCGGCGGCGCGGCGGACCGCCTCGCGTCGAGCCAACACATCGCGTCGGCGTTGATCAATAAACTGCGAGTCCGCGTGATCCGCTTTGATCATATCGTCAGCTGTTCTCGAAAACGCTTCAAGTCTCGCATCCTGAGCGTCAAGTTTCGCCTCCAGATCGCGATGTCGCTTCAAGAGATTCTCAACCGACTCGACCGAATCGCCGAGTTTGTCAAACTCGAGGAACGCCTCATGGCCCTTCGTCGCCGCGTCGATTCGTTCCGACTCACGATTGAACAACTGTAAGTCGAGCTGCTGCTTCAGCATAATGTCTCTCTTGCGGTAAAGATCCTTGAGCATCGCCATCTCATTGACCAACTCTTTCAGCTGCTCGTTAACATTCGGCACCCTCGGATTACGTTCCAAAAGTCTTCGTCCAAGCTCCTGCACATACTCCACTTCATACTTCTTCTCCTTGATCTGCTCGCCAAGCTCATAATGCTTCTTCAGTAGTTCCTCCGCTTCATCAACATCAACAGGATGAACATCTTCAAGCATCTGCTTTCTAGTCTTCTCAATCCAAACAATCATGTCTCTCAGCGCCGATTCGAACATCTCCTTTCCTTGAGTCTGCTCGGCGAGCTGCATCTTCTCCTTCGATCTTCTCAGCAAATCGGCGTGAAGGGCCTTCAGCTCGGCAATTTTTCTCTCAATCGCAGCCGCTTCTTCAGGATGATCCTTTTTCACAGCGGCAGCGAGCTTCTCAAGGTACGCAATCTTGTTCTCAAGCGGCTTCAAATCTCGCTCAAGATTCTGTAGACTTTTAACATCGTTCGGATTGCGATCGAGCTGCTCAAATTTGCCCTGCATCCATTCGCGGGCGCTTTCGCACGAATTCTCAAAGTCCGCAACTCGTTCAGTAGCTTCAAGGCGAACAGCTCGCTGCTTTCGAAGCCTCTCCAAATGATCCCAAAGAGCATTCATCTGTAATTCAAAAGTCAATTATTAATAGCAATTCAAAAACCAATCTCCAACCTTCATCTGCCTCATTTCAATCTGTTTCGATTGTCCATGCCCCTCCGATATCAAATCATTCGCAATCTCATTAATATGCTTGAGTTGAGTTCCACCATTCGTCTTCATATCCGCTTCAAGCTTGTCAAATTTGCGTCGGAATGCGGCAACGTGTTCCGGCGACGGCTCATCCGCCAACGACACTTCCACTTCTCTCGCCCATCGCTCAAACTCATCACACTCGCGGAAGAACCGCAATAGTTTGATGTTATCCGACAACAAGCGTCGTCGCACCTACAAATCCACAATTCAAATTCCAATACCCGTCATAAAAACTCCGTCTCTTACATCCGCCAATCGATTCAATTGTCGGTAATCATTCGAGATCATCTGTTGTCGTTCTGTGATGACAGCGCGCTTCGCCTCACTTCCCTCAATTGTCGTCGTCGTCTTCGACGTGGTCTGCGTGACAGTCACCATCTCGCCGGGAACAAGTCGGCAATAGTTGGCTGGCACATATCCCTCGGTGCCATCGCGCTTCAAAGCTCGCCACCATTCCGGCGTCGATTTTTCGAGAAGCGCAAGAATCTCGCCCTTCGCCACCTTCATACCATTGCCCTCATATTTGTAAATCGCTTCAATCTGTGGAACAGTGACTTCTTCAGTCTAAAAAAAAACGAAATATATACAAAGAATAAGACGAATAATAAATCATACCTCTTGAATCGAAGTGCTCGCCGTGGAAGTATGGAACGTGCTGTTCGACAACGCGACACTCATTTCCTCAAGTCTCACGATATCAGCCCTACAATCATCAAATCAGCGATTGTGGTACGAATCAATCGAGAAAAAACAGCACCCCACCTGTAAGCATGAATCTCCTCCTCAAGACGCGTATGCCTCTGAAGCAACGATTCAGCGGCTCCCTCATCGCGTCCAAGATCATCCGATTTAACAAGTGGCATCTTCTCGCGAATCCACGACTCCGCCTCGTTCGCATCCTGGAAGTACTGTTGCGCTTGTCGCGCCTCATTCAACCAATTGCCAAGCGCGGCGACAGCAACACGAAGTCGCTCCCATCCCTGATTCATCGCCGTCAATCGTCGCTGAATGTCCTCTTTCGATTGGCCATTCTGAACTAGTCGCTCGCCGGCGGCAATCATTCCTTTGCTTCTCGCCCAATGCGTCTGCATTTCCATTTCGACATTCTAAATAATTCAATGCGTCTTGACGAAACTAAATCTCTCTAAACCTTATAAAGTGTATTCGTCTGCGGAACTGTCGAAATGTCGCCACAGTTGAGCGCCGTCTTACAAATATTCTCCTTCTCGGTTAGCCACGCCATCTCCTCCTCATGATCCTGCACGAATTGGAATAGCGCGCGAGCTCTCTCAAGAGCCAATCGGCGAGCGCGGCACAGTTCCACAAGCCTAGAATCACATTTCGTCTCAACATTCTCCAAAAGACACACAAAAAATATGTATATAGCTTACGTGTTATATTGCGCGGTGACCTCGTCCAACTTTCTCTGCAGCACATCAAATTGCTCCTCCTTGTGCCGAATATAATTATTCGCCGATTGCGACAACTTGGCAAGAAGCGATCCATGCGCTTTGATTTGCGCATCGACAAGACCATGATTGCTAATAAGATCCTCAACACCGATCAAATGCTTTCCAACATCGCGATTGCGTACAGCCGGCTCCAGCGTGTACAACTCGCTCGACAACGTGTCAATATCGCGAAGCAACGACATCAAATCGTTCAAGCTCATCAACGCTCGTCGGCGTTGCTCCAAAAGCGTCAACAATTGCGTCCATCTATCAATAATCTCGCGCTCGACACTACGAACCCGATCCGATTCGTGATATTTCTCGGCGCACAAATCGTTGCACATCGCGGTCAGCATCTTGAATCGATCCTCTCTCGCGAGAATATCGGTGGCGATCGCCTGCTGCTTCTTCAGCGTCTTCTCCACCTGACTTGCGCTTCGGCCATTCTCCATCTCCTCCAGAATCGTCTGCACCGATCGCAGCCAACTGTCTCTTAGTTTTGCCTTCTTGTAGAATCTCTGCGCAAGTTGCTCCAATCTCTCCTGGCGTTGAAGTTCCGCAATAATCGCCTCCTGCCTTCCATTCTCAGCGCAATCCAATTGCGACCAGGCGCTCTCAATGATATTCATGCCAAGCTCCGGCGGCGGCGTGTACGCTTTTCGACTCATCGCCTTCCGCTTGGTCTGAATCGTGAAGAACAACGCTTCAAGTTCGCCCTTCTCCTTGTATTTGGGCGGCTTCTCGCTGGTGCGAAACTGATTGAATTTCGCGTGCTCTTCGCGCATTCCGTTCAACGAGTTCGGGAATCGACGCGAGTCGAGCATCAGAATCGTCTCACGAATCCATTTGAGAAGCTCCGAAGCGATATGCTTATAGTCATCCTCCATTGTTTCACTGTCCATGAGTTTTCCAACAATCTGAAAAAGCAAATCATTGAAACTTCTCCAAATTCATCAATCTCACATTAGCGATACGTCTCGCTCCGGTCATTTCGGTTTTTTGCTTTGCAAAATAATGATAATACAACGAAACATAGGTGATGATCGACTTCTCATCCGGACGCGCCGCATCAACGTCTTCAGCGTCCAAAAGTCGCTGAAAATTCGAATAATCATCTACACCCTTTGTTTTTCTAAATCGAATACCGCAATTTCAAGCTTCTTCTCAGCCACATCAAAAGCGTTGTTCAAATTCGTCACATGATCATTCGGATTCAATCGATTGAAATCAACGAGTTCCGGTCTATAAGCTTCCAATAAATCCACCAAAAAAACCATCAAAATTACCTGTGAGCATGAATAAGTGCATTGAACGCCAAACCGCTTCTCCACGACGTCGTGAAGTTGTCGATGCGGACATTCGGGTAGCCAGCCGTCTTGCGTTGGCACCACAGAAGAAGCGCATCTTTCGCATGCTTCCTCTCACCTCGTTCCTCTTCGTCCTTAATTTGAATAATCAGAAAAAATATTCGAGGATGTTCGAGTTTTTAGTGTCAAAAATTTAGTCTTTTTCAAACCAAACAATCTTTTGTCATAATTTTGCGTGTTTTTGTTGGTATTTTTGCACTACATATAAAAAATATTGAAATGTGCCTTTTTGAATTATTAAAAAAAAAACAGTAAATCAAGGTACAAATCAAGCTATTATAAAAAAAAACGATAATTCTTCTTTTTCTAAACCGGTTATGAGCGGAAAAAAAAAGAAATTTTAATTTTTTAACTGGTCCTCAAAAATCCGTTTCTTTAAATTTGCAAGCCAATTAAAATCCAAAAATAATTAAATTCTACTTTATTTTTTCAAAAATTCCCGCCCAAAAAGAAAAAAAAATAACTCACTTCAATAACAATGGTGTCAATCTGGAATCTAAGAATAATCGTCCAGATGAGACCCAAAATCAGTCTCTCGTTTCGATCCAAAATGTCTTCAGCTCCAATATTCTCCAATTGGATTTTTTTGCGCTTCAAAAAATCGAGAACCTTGTTCAAATTCTCAATTTTTTGCACACGCATCGTTCCTCTAAACAAATTACAAAAATCTTCGAGACCCTTTTTTTCTCAATACTTGTTCGGTTTTCCGAGTTTATCACCGGAAATAATCTCAAGCAGCTTCATGAGCAAAATTCCATCGCCAACATCCACAAAAAGGTCGACAATCTCCAACCTTGCCTAAAATTCATCATTATCATCAACACAGGATCCCCCATTCATTCGTTTTCGAACCCCCCCCCCCTTCCAAAACAGATCACTTCAAGATCAAATGGCAGATAATCGGTCGACAGACGGCCAAGGTCACCCACACACACACATTCCGCCAACAATTCAAGGCGACAGGCACCGGTACAAATTGGGAAGATACGTTTATAATTATATATATATATATATATATATATATATATATATATATATATATATATATATATATATCGATAACGAAACGCACCCGATTAAGGAAGGAGTTGCACCATTTCGTGAATGTCTTCTTCTGAATGTGGACACGCTCATCTTGAAGGTGTCGAATGCGATTGCGCTCAAAGAACAACGTCTCATTCGCGAAATCCTCATCGTTGGCGCTGATGTCGGCGCGTTGCGGTGTTGTCTGAGTCTGCAACAAAAACGAAACATTTCAAATGCATCGATACTCGCATTTAAGAGAAAAAATAACCCTTTTAAAATAATTTGTTTCAATATTCTGAATTAGTTAAAAATGGCATGTTCGTTGATAAAATTTTGCCGAATATATTTTTTTTTAATTACGTGAGAGGATTGCAAAATAAACTTCGCAACTAGCAAAAAACACCAAAAACAGTACAAAAACAAATATTTGCATGTTGAGAACCCACCGAAGTCATTTATGCATGCACATATATATTTATGTGTATCTATGTATTAGCGCACCAAAATTTTTGACAGTTCGTCGCATAATTTCCACACATTGATAACGAGCCGCGCCAAAAACAACTTCTCTTATTTTATTTTTTTCTTATTCTCAGTTCAATGTCTAATGTTGCTTATTGGTGCAAATTCTTGCGGATGTGGCACCTTGTTTATAATATTCGTTCCGTTATGTTTATTCTCTCTCGTTTTTATTGGTGTTATAGATTTTTTCTCTTTTTGAATAAATAAATAAATAACAACACCAACAGCAACAACCTCATCAGCCTCTTCGGCAATCGTGAAAATCTGTGCTCCGCGCTCGGTTTTTCTCAACAAATGTTGGCCGAATGTCGCGTGCTCAACCGCGTGCGCAACATCGGCGCTAGAAACCTTCGTTGTTCGTCGGCGAGCTCGCGGTGGAGCCGGCGATTCCGACGACGACGAACGCAACGATATCGAATACACAAGCGTTTTAGGCATGGAATAGATCATAAACTAAATCGCGCTCAACTCAAAAAGTAGACAAGTCCCCAACAACCCTCTAGAGAACAATCCGATTAGCGCTTATTATAATCGAATTTGGATTTCAGGCTTGCAAAAAAAACATATCTGGGTGGTATTATACCTTGATCTGGAATTGTCTCATCTCGCTGTTCGCTGTCTCGTACTCTTGTTGCTGCTGCTGCTCGTCACAACCGTAATCGTGTTTGCTGTGCTGATGATAGTCGCGATACTGGTAGGGTTTCACTGGTATCGAATCAACGGCGCAACTACTCGTGCTGCTACCACCGCCGGTCGTAGTGTATGATTCGTATTCCTCTTCTTCGGTTTCGTCGTTCTTCCGACGACGCAAGTGCTCAAAATCGACGTTGGCGCGACTCGGAGCAATCTCCCTTCGGTACCCTTCTACCTTGTCTGAAATCAAAAAAACGAGTGACAAATTTAAGAAAAACAACAAAAATGAGTGAATGAATAAAATTATTTCAAAAATGCAAAGGTACACTTTTCTTATCAGATGCATGAGTCATCACATTTTCTAAAAAAAAACGTTGAGGCGCGTCTGGCGCGTTAAAAATCCATGGACAAACATTCACTTTAACAATTATTACGCATAAAATGGATTAATTGCATTTTTTTATTTTAAAAAAATACCCAATAATTGTCAAAAAATGACAAATACCCAATAAAAATGCCACTAGATTGACATTTTTGTTTGAAGAACGCTTAAAAATTGAAAAATGGCATTTGTTTAAAATTAATAGTTTCGACAAAGCCAAGAAACCTTAATGACGAAATTTATTTACACACATAAATCTAGCCTAAATAATTTTGATTAAAAAGAAAATAGGCAACTTTAAAAAAAATTGACAATCTGCGTCGAAATGTTGCAAAACTGTCAACAAATTAGCATAAAACCCAAATTCTCCGGAAACGCGCGACGCACGCGAGCGCCGAAATTTTCATATAACACCAAAAGCGAAAGAGACACCGTCAAATACTGTGTTTATTCGGTCAGTCAGTCAGTCAGTCAGTCAGTCATCTCACCTCACCACTGCGCCGTTCAATCATTTGATTACCCTAGGAATTAGTAAGGCAGTCAGAGAGAGGAGGCAACCGAAAAAAAAATGACGGGTGTGGCGAGCCAAGCCAGATTAGGACGCTCACCATAGAAAGCTCTTGTGTTTATTTATTATATATCTATCTGTTTCTCTAGCCTCAATAATAGTCCATAAACAAACAAAATAAGAAGAACCAAAAAGAAACAGCTGATTGTCCACTAGAACACATACACACGCACAACTAAACCGACTCGAACCGATGACGAAGCGTTGACAAGACCCCACTGATAAATGGGCCAAGGTGTAGTGGGTGAGTGTGTGTGTGTGTGTGCGTGGTGTGTGTTTGCAGGTATGCCGTCCGTGTGAATCACCCAACTAAGGGCCGAGTCGGCACCTATTTATTTGTATGCATATTATTTATAGTTTTTGTCGACAACATTCATTCGACATAAAAATTTGGAAACTCACAATCCTTTTTTTGTGGTTGAAATTTCGCAACGAAAACGTTAACGATGTTAAAAATAATTCAAAATCCTACACTTAAAAGCGCATTCCATCATTTGCAATAGTTTTTGAAGGTTTTTTTTTTCAAAAACGCCCATTTTGCCAGAATTTTCAAATTTTTCTAGTTTCTGAGATTCGCAATTTTATTAAAATTGAGAAAAATTGATTTATCGAGCCTATAAAGCAAAAGCGAGAAAAAACAATGAAATTTTAAGCGATTTGAAGAAAAAAATGTTTTATTTAAATATTCCAAATTTCACCAACACTAATACTTCCCAAAAATAGCATAATTAAAAAAAGGACTAAAAGCTGTCAATGGCCAAAATTCCAAAACGTCACTATTTGTGTGAAGGCGCCCTTTTTTTGATCTACACCTATTTGCACTAGCTAGCCGCCGAATGGTCAAGCCGCGAGCATTCGTTTCGGCTCAGCTCGAGCGCGCGCGCTCGCATGCGACACATTCCCAGGATCTCAACAAGAATCTCAAGAGCGAACAACCGAAAACAACAACAACAAAAGATAAGCCGAAATTAGAACATCGAGGATTCAGTGAATACGGAAAATTATCAGCCAAAACCTCAAAAAGTTTTTTGTCAAAATTGATAATTTAGAAGAACGAGGTATTTTTTCCGAAATTTTGAACAATTTAAAATATTCAATTTTCTTTTAACGTCATTTTCTCGCAAAAAAAAACAAACAAACAAACAAATCCAAAAAAACTTACCATTCATATTGCGAACCGTTTTGCCTTCACCAGGCGAGTAAATCGCCGCCGAATAAACGTAAGACATTTCAGAATCTCAGAATATGCATATGTCGCGTTCCAAAGAACAAAAATATAAGAATAGTTATAATATCTATATGTATATTTCTATAAAAAGTGAAATACACCGACAACTGGGTAATCCGTTGAGGAATGGGCGGGATATATATGCGATTGGCCAGGTCAAGGCGAAACCGTCACCGGATTCGTCGTCGTCGGCGTCGGCTGTTTATTAATACGATATACCAACGCTACTAGTTTCCCAGATTACTATACGAATATTTTCGTCGCGCAGCGGCGGTTATCCGGAGACGCAATCAGCGGCCGGACTTGTCGAATCGCATCGATCGGAAATGGCGCGCAGGAGGAGCGCCTCGAAATACACACACAAAAGTCACTCTCGATTTGGGCAACACAATGACAAATCCAACGAAAAAAAAAAACAACAACAACAACGGGCCGGTCGGCGAGCGGCGGGATGTTGAAGAAATTTGCAATTAAAAAAAAAGAAAGCGTACGAACGCACTGTCCAGCAGCGTCGGCGCCGCCGGCGGCACACAAATGGATGGATGCAAACATCGAAAAATAGCAGGCGCACTTAAGTTCAAACATGCCCCTATTTCGAGGGCCGCCACTAGAACCACAGATTGACACCAACTATAACAATAATAATAATAATAATATCCGTCTTCTATTCCACGCAAGGGCGATGAAAAGAAGGCTTGCTTGACAATGATTGAACGCACGCACACACAGCTGGTGAGAAGTTCGCGACAATAAAAAAAAACACACACAGACACCAATCGGTGGGAGAGCGGAATTGCGCAGCTGGCTGCCTGCCTGATTTCAAAAGGTCAGATTCACAATCGTTTCGAAAGCCAGCAACACTTCTACAATAGGCTTCCACTCTGAGACCAATTCACGTAGATGTCGAGACTCGCAAGAAATTTACCTTTAAGAAGGTGCATTTTACAAATTTTGAAGATGGTCCTCGTCAAATTTGATTAATTTGCTATTTGCGAAGACAGACAACTGCCAGAAATTTAAATAGAGCGTTAAAAAGACTTCGAGCTGCACATCTTTGTCTCGCATTAATTTTCGAATTGGCTGCGTATCAAACATATGCAATACTACATTTCACATTAAAGGCGCATGAAAAAATTTTGAATTTCAAGTCATTAACTGAAATTGTGAAAATTTTTGAATTTTAACAATTTTTTTGAATGCGCATTTGGCTGTAATTTTCACATGTTTGATACTCAGCCTATTCTTAAATGAGTATAATATCAAATAGAAGACTTTTATTTCATGTTTTTCATGATGGTAGGACCTTCTTATTTTTCGTGATGGTTGGACCTTCTTGCCCCCGATAGCGCATTGACACATTTTTTCGAATTCAGATAAGCCATTTGAAACCGACAATACGCCTTTTTTTTTAACTCGCGATAATTGAAGACAAACATGTTGGGCAATTTCGATGTATTTGACAAAGCTCAATTTAATGGGTGTCGATGGCGCCGTTGTTCGCAGATTTACGATACATCCTCTGGCGAGTTTTTATGTGATGGCCGCTAGCGCGCAGGCGGCCGTCCGGCCGGCCAGGCATCAGGAAAACAAGGGCACCACGATTGGTATGAGGACAGCGAACGCGTATTTTTCGCCGACACACGATTCTCACGGCATTCGAGATCTTCCACCCCAAAACGGTCAACATTGACAATTTTCGTTTTGAGGAAATCTTTAAGGTTCGAATAAACAAATAGACTAGTCAGCAGTAAAAAAAATTGATGTCAAGAGGACGGCAAAATTGGAATTTCACACCGCGTCTCGAAGCGAAAGACTGATTATTTTTTTTCAATGTCTTTATATGAGATCTGGACACCATTGAGCAAAGACTTATTTGAAAACTTAACAAGAATTCGAGAACAGGATAAATTTGCACGAATGTCGAGCCAGGCCAATGCGCCTTTAAACAGATTCTCATCGCGATACCGATTTAAAAGAGCGAAAGAAGAAACGTTAATAAGAAAGTTTATGAGTACATGCGCCTTTAAATAGTTTCAATTTCAAGAATTGAGAGCCCATACTTATGGAGAAAATGGTTCCCGCCGCGATTAATCGCTGTGGGTTCTCAAATTAGCAATTTCCAGAATATTCTGCCTTGCCAAAAAATATTGAAAACGCATTTCCACAAAATCGACCTTTTTGGATGAAAATTCAATAGTTTTGGGCAAAAATGCTCCAATATGCTCATAAAAGAGCGTCGAGGGGTGTAACGACAGAATAGTTTTTTTTTAAACACATAACTTTTGTGAGAAGCAAACTCGAGAAATGAAAGAGAAACGGTTCTCGTGAACCACCAACAAACCATAATTGGGTCAAGAGAATGCGAAAAAAACAGGGAAAGAAAGAGTTGTGGTGGCCGGCGGAAAAAAAAACTGTGTGCAACCAGCAGAGAGGGAGAGGACCGGCCAACAAGAGGCCGATGAAAATCACCGGGCGGCAAAAAGGAACGAACATTTGCATTTCCGGGCACCCACTCACTCTTTTTTCCATTGATTGATTATGCGGAAGACTGGAATCCTATTATTAATAGAGTACTGTATTCAATGAAATCCATCAACCAAATCGAATGGATCGGAAAAGAAAATTGAAAAAAGCGCATTATTTGGTAAAAAGAGATGAGAAAAATAATACGGTGGTGTTGTTTCAATTTCAAATGTGCAAACATTTACACATTTGGCGCCATCCTTTCTCAAGGTCTCGCGCTTGTCGAAATCGAGTGCAACATCGATGTCAACGGTTTTTTCTTCCTATTTCTCTTTCGCTCCCTCTCTCTTTCTCCCATCGGCGATCGCGCCTTATTTGGTGCGACGGTCAAACACTGTACATTTTTCGATAAACAAATAAACAAACAGAGTAGATTTTGTTAATTTTGAATTTTGGTAAACTTTCCGTTTGACGCCAGTTTGCGAGAGTTTTGTAAAGGGAAAGAAAAATATTACAACTATTACAATGGGATTGCATAAAATTTGGTTTCTATTAAATATTTAATGTGAAAAAAGAAAAAATTCAATTTTCCCATAATCAAAATTCATCAGAGGAATCAATTTTTTGACATTGTGTCATTATTTCATGAAAATTTGAATAAAATCGAGATAATTTTAATTATAAAATGCAAAAAATAAGACAAAGTGAGAAAACTACAAAAATCGAAAAATGAATTAATATTATAGCAAAATTTTCCATAATTTATTACAATTTTCATAGGAGATATTTTTTTATATAAATTCAACGCAGAACAACTCTTAAAACATGTGAAACTCATAAAAATCGAATTTTCCAAAATTGCGTCACTATTCTCGAAATGGTTCAACAATTTCATATCAATTTGCATAGAAAAATACATATTTTAATATTTAACGCAAAAAATAAAACAAAATGGTGAAATGCGGATTAAATTGAGCAAAAAAACGAGCGCGCAAATTCAAAAATTCAAACAAGTCCCAATTTATGACCGTAATAGGTGGCTTCTGTGTTTGCGGACAATGCGCCGCGTGTTCAAAAAATTTGAAAATTTTTTATTTATTTCCATTCAACACATATTTACAAATAACCATTGATCGTTTAGGCAAACGATCAATGTAGAAGAATGACCGAGGTGAAAATGTGGCAAAAAATTAAATTCAACGCGATTTTATGGGCTGGCAGCAGTGTGCGAGCCATCTGCCCGGAACGCACTTTGAACCAAACGGGCAAAATCTGCGAATTTCGTTGATGATTTGTCGTAAAACTTTCCACAAAAATCTCACTTGTGCTCACAGCTTTTCCCAAGAAGCGGCTGCTCGCCATACCATACCGGTTCGGTGACCACGGTAAAGCCGCTATCAAGACACTTCGGGTGATGCTCCTTCCTCCAAGCTTCTGCAATAAATTAATTATTTTAATAATCATTAATAGTTTTTTTATTTTACGTTGAATTCGATCGTTACAGCAAAGCCCATTGCCAAACGCCATGATATAGCAGCTGGAGCCCAATGGGCATCTCCTGTTCCTTGTTGAGCACGACGCTAGAGCTCGAGCCCCGCCTCCACAAGTTCCGCGGTCTGCTGAATTCTCAACATCAGACGGTTTGATGGCGGAAAAGCTTGCCTGGTTTACACCTTTGTATACAAAACTCGACGTCATTCCAATGGTTCGCGCCGCCGCCGCATCCTTCATAAAGGAATGGAAGGCATGTATCGAGTTCCTTGTCAAAATAATACTGAGAAAAAAAAACAACTACATATTTTGTTTAGGCAGGTGATTTTCTAATTGGTTTACAATCATCGTGCGGCATTCGCCGAAATGTTTTCGAATCGACGCCTAATGCGATAAAGCTTGAATTGATTGAAAGGGGTGTTCCCAATAAGGAAGTGTCGAAATTTCTCGAATGCCATTCTATTGTTGTACTATTTGATGGCAATATGAGTCATTTTATTGGAAAAACTAGAAAAAATGCAGGATTTTTAAAAATCAAAAATTGTAGGGGAAATTTTTAAACTTGATTTTTCGAGTTTCTCAATCTCAGGTGAATGGCAATCAATCAGATTCGAAAATAATTTCGTTTTCAATCGAATATAAATTAATCTGTTTCGAATTATTCCAGAATTTCAAATTCGATTTCAAAATTGAAAATGAGAAATAAATCAATCAATTTCGAAGATTTTTGAATCGAAACCAAATTTTCAAATCGAATTTTAATTATTTTTTAATCGAATCAGGTTAATTTATATTTCATTTTTCTTCGAATTCGATTGATTTTCATTTACCCGATATAAAATTTTTTGCATTAATAAGAAATCACAGAAAATTGAGAATATTTTAGAACATTAAAATAACACCTCCATGAAATCTAAAATTCTTTCAAAAATCGCAATTTAGCATCGAATCAATGTTTTTTTTTAAGAATCAAAAATATCTCGACCCACCTTAATTGCTCGCGTGCGATTTGAGCATCGCCAATGGCCGCGATTCAGATCGCCATGGCAGCTCTCTCGCGGTATCGCGATTCCGACAACAAACATGGCCGAATAGAAGCAGAGCGCAAAAATCATGGCGGCGAGACGCTTGAATGCGATTGAAGCGAGTAGTAGTAGCAGCGCGTAGTGCCGCCGCGCGTTTTATAATTGGGGGTTTGGATAACCAGCCCCCGACCCGAACACTTGTGATGTTCCAACTTCCTGACGACGAGATGACCTTATACATCGAAGATTACATTTATTTCTGGTTGTAATACTCGTATATGACAATTTCGATTAGCAGGCACGTCAAGAGACCATTCAATTAAAACTACTATCTCATTCGCTATTCCTCTTCCTAATTTACAATGAGAAGTCGACGACGGCTCGCGACGTGATCTTGCCGTCGAGCATCTTCTGGTACACCTTCGGCACATCGTCGAGTTTGATAAGCTCCAATGGGACTTTGACGATGCCGCGCGTCACAAACTCCATGGCTTCATCGACGTCGAGACGAGAGCCGACGATGCTGCCCTTGATGGTGATCGCGTTGAAGATGAACGGCACGATGTCAAACGAGATCTAGGTCGAATCAAGTGTAATGTTGAGAAAGAAGCTGAACGCGCTTACAACGGAATCTTTGGGGAGTCCAACGAGCACGACAGTTCCGCGCTTGCGAACGTACTGAATGGCGTCTTCCATGGGCTTCTTCGCCACCGCAAGATTGATAACTCCGTGCGGTCCACCGTCGGTCATCTATAATAATACATTTTGCGGAAAAATCTTATCATTGTGGTTCCACTGCGTACAGGGTGTCATTTAAGTTCCCGCACAAAAGTTAGACGCCATGAAATGCTTGGCTGTCGCACTTTTCGTGCACCAATACAATTTATTTTTGTTAAATAAGGTGTATTTTACTTACTTTTCAAGTTTCACTTCATTCGGATGTGTTTCCGAGAAATGGCGAAGGCTAACATCCATTGCGCTTCCATTATCGAACTTCATAAGCGAAATGAGCGCCCGACAGAGATCATTCAACGCCTCGGTGTGCCTCGTAGAACGGTTTAAGACACCAACAAACGTTTCAAGGAGCTAAATACGACCAGTGACCTTCCCAGACAAGGAAGACTCGTCTCAGTAACCACTCCTCAGAAGATCAACGCCGTCAAAACGAGGATCAGGCGAAAACCGCACAGGAGCATAAGAAAGATGGCGTCAGACATGGGAATGAGCATCTTCGCTATGGAACAAATGGTCAAAACGAAGCTTGGACTGACCCCATATCGCGTCCAAAAAGCGGCAATTCTATCGGCCGTCAACTAGCAGAGACGCTTCGAAAAAGCAAAACGACTTTTTGCTCGCACGCGGTCTGGAGAACACCTCGCCACTGTCTTCTCCGACGAGAAGCTGTTCACTGTGGAGGCGGCATTCAACTCACAAAACCATTGAGTACTTGCCCAGACATCCCAGAAAGCTTCTGAGAAAGGAAGAACAATTCATCCAGCCTCACATCCTGCCAGTGTGATGGTTTTCGGTGCCATCTGCTCAACCGGGAAGTGCCCCTGGTTTTCGTGGATCAGGTGGTGAAAGTGAACAAAGAAGTCTACGTTCGGGACATTTTGGGGAAGCATATGATGCCCTGGGCCCAAACGCATTTCGGTGGGAAGATATGGGTCTTTCAACAGGACGGAGCACCCGCCCCTACTGCCAAAACTACTCAGGAGTGGTGCCAGACCCATTTTCCCGACTTCATCAAGTCATCCGAATAGCCTGCTTGCTCCCCAGACCTGAACCCGCTTGACTTCTCCGTGATGGGGTCTTGCAGGAGAAGGTCAACGCAAAACCCCACTCAAGTGTAGAGGCTCTGAAGAAGACATTACTGGCGGAATGGGACAATCTTTCCATCGAATACCTGCGTACCACAGTCACATCCTACCCGAAGCGTCTCCGCGAAGTCATAGCTGCGAAAAGAGGCCGAATCGAAAAGAGTTAATAGATAATTATTTGTTGTACTATAGATAAAAAATATTTCGAGTCTCGTTTGATTTGGACTTTTAGTTTCAGAAATATACGTCTTCAAAGTTGTGCGGGAACTTAAATGACACCCTGTATAATTGAAAAAAAAATTACAATCTACACATTGTCGTCGGCGGAAAAATTTGAATTTCGCGAGCTACTCTGTCAAAAAACACTCAAAATTCACAAAAATCGCTTCAATGAATTTTTTAAAAATCAAAACGAGACCCAAGGCGGCTATTCAAATAATAATTGAATGGCTTCCCAAAATTCGCGATTGGGTGAGAATATTTCCCATTAAAGGCGCAACACAAACCTCTTGCCAGGTTTTTTTTTTAAATCAAATCCTCACCTCGGTAACCGTCTCAATGATATCCTCCGTTTCGAACGCGTCCAAAAACCATTCAGCTCCCATTTTCATGCAATGCTCCTTTTTGCTTCCGTGATCCATGGCGAGCACTCGCATTCCCATCGCGTTCGCGTACTGAATCGCCAACGATCCCAATCCACCGCCGGCGCCCGTCAACAATATAATCTGACCGGGTCGCACGTTCGACTCCTTCAGCGCTTTATAAACGGTGACACCGGCGCACAAGACTGGCGCCGCCGCCGCCAAATCAGTCTTCTTGTTGATCTTGGCGGCGTCGACACCGCGAATCGCCAGATACTCCTGGAATGTTCCCGATCGATCAATTCCGCAATTCTTCTTGTGAACACATAGCGGCTCATGGCCCTTCTTGCAGAACTCGCAGTTGAGGCAGTTGAAGTTCATCAGCTGAAATCAATAGTTGACTTTTGTGATTGTTAAGGATTACCTTGACTCCTGCATAGTCGCCAATCTCCCATCCGGGAACATTTTTGCCGACTTTGATGACCTCACCGGCACCTTCATGACCTCCAATCAATGGGCAAGTCGTCATCGAGGAAAGATCGCCCAGCCAAATATGAAGATCGGAATGACATACGCCGGAATAGCGAATTTTGATGAGAAGCTCATCATCGGCAATCTCCGGCACCGGCACCATTCGCACTTCCAATGGCCCATTGTATTCATCGAATATGAGCGCGCGTTGCAGTTTCGGCACCTCGACAGACATTTTCCCGAAATATATCTTATGCGGGGAGGGGGGTCCCTCGTTATATAGGTCGAATTGTGTACTTCAGGCACGTGTTGTCCGACGGCAACTGTTATCAATGATAACCACGTGGACTCGCGAGCATTGAACACTTTTTTTTGCAATCAACAATTCTCAAACGAATTGCAACAATCGGATAAGAATGTGTGGAAAAAAAACAGATATCTCTTTTCGCCTATAAATAGGCCCTCACGCCTAATTCTAGATACAGCTTTTTTCGCGATTCACATAAGATCAAAAATTTCTAGTTTTCAGGTCATAATTACTCCTTCACTAAAGGGACAATGCAACAAAAACAAACATTTTGAAGTGAAAAAAAGTGGATACTAGAATTTCTTTTATTTTTTCGGCATTTCCCTATAAAGCAAGTTAAAAAAAAGGCAAAATCGGTTTAAAAAAAAGGCAAAATCGGTTTTTAAAAAAAAGGCAAAATCATTTTTTTGCGCAACTCAATTTTTCAGCATTATGCATATGACCGTGGCCTAACTTTCGATGTGCAGCGTTTAAGTCCTGAAATTTAAAAAAAAACGCTCCCGGCTTCCAAAATTAGACATTGAAAATTTAAATTAGGTACGTGAACTTTTACGTGACCGCAAAGTTTTTGGGTCACGTGGCTTTTTTTCACGCTCCAAAATTCACCCAGAAAATCGTTTAAAAATAATTTATCTCTATGACAATCAATTCCTGAATAGGTAATCATTCTCGGATCGTCCGAATTCTTGGGGAACACACATTTTTCCAGCACTCAAGATCAATCAAACCATCAAACAAAACGAGGTGTGCTCTTGAACTCTACCAATCAGCGAGCAAAGAACCCGCAAAACATGGCTGACACGCGGAACGAATCGCTTATCAATCACATCTTGACCACATTTTGCTGCTGATTCCGCAAAAACAAAAAAATGGTCGTTATTGAACTTTGTTAGATGCAGAGTATTGTCGGCGGCGTCCGGTGACTTCAATCCACGTGTGGATTTACGTGAATGCGCATGTTCGTTGTGGTCCCGCCACGTGTTGAAGGTTTGCATTTCTAAAATTCAAAATATTTACCCCCAACCATACAAAACCATAATAACAAAGTCGCCGGCGTGAGAGGCTAGCAAAAAAAACGGTTTCCGGTAAATCGCCGAATATAAGAACTTCGGCTATTCAATTTTTTCAACGATTATTCAAAAAATTAGTACCCAATTTTCACGGTGCCCATCAGAATTTCAAATAAAATAAAAACTGTTCTATTCTTCTTTTCGTAAAATTTTTTTCTTCGGCAATGCCCTGGTACAGAAGACGCCAGACGCCGACTATATTCCTATCACATTCTTCTAAAATTTAGTTTTCCAAATTTTTTAAAATTCTAACGTTTTCAAAATTTTTAAATTTGAAATTATTTATATACATAGTTTTTAAAAATTATTCGCGACGTCATAGTTTAAAGGAGCATTGCAAAGACCAGTAGCTCGAATTTCAATTGAAATAGCGAGCAATAATGTACCGGTGAATCAAACTTTTCGTAACTTACAAGAGAGTTCTTCTGTGTTTTTTTTGTAACAATTCTCGGGAGTCTACTAATCTGCAAACAAAAATGTTCCAGTTCATTTGAGTTCATTTTTGAAACAGATAGAAGAGAACAAACAACTCGCACGTGGCGTCAACATATCAACTTTTGAAGAGATGCGAGATAACCTGACCAAAGTTCGAATCGACCAAATGATGTATTCGTTTTTTTAAAACTATAGAATAACAATTCTCGTTATAAATCAGTAACACTGTAGATCTCTCTCCAATCATTGTCCTCTTTGACATATGCCATATTTGTGATGCCCAGTCTAAAATTCAGAATCACAATTTTCACGACGACGTTCTCCTACTCCTTCTGCCTCTGCTTCGCAATTTCGGTGGCGTCGCGAATCGTCGGATAAAAATTCGATTTTGCGACTATGTCGAAAATCTCACATCTTTCGAGCACTCCAAGAATATTCGGGCGAACATTGGCGAAATAGACGAGCACATTCTGTTTTCTCATATCAGAGAAGACCTTTAATTAATTAATTAGGCTGTGATTGACTAGAATTATACTGATTAACCTCCTTGATCGCATTAACTCCCATCAGATCAATTAGAGTGAACCCGGAGCAATCAATAATGAGATGCCTTGATAATACATTTTCTAGCGGCGCAAATTCAGAAAGCGTCTGAAATTTTTTGCGGTTTAAAGAAATTTAAAACATTCCCACTTTTGTGCTCAGCTTCTCGTCGTGTTTCGTCACAAAAAATTCATGCGATCGCTTCCATTCATTATACGCTTTTTCGACATATTTCTTGAAACTGAAATCAAGCGAATTCATGAGAAACTTTCATTGAAGCCGTGCCATTCAACATTATAGAATAATAAAGGAGCGTCAAATCGAAAAATGCAGATCCCCTTATAATAGACAACCTTCTGGTAACGATCATCATCGAAGAAGTCGGACGAATCCGAGAGATTCGCAAGAATCCTCCATTTCGGGCTGAAAATGCGTAGAATCTTAGCCAATCGATTTTTTCAGACATTTATTGACGATTTCGCGCGACGGCGCCAAATTGGTCTCGAAACGCGCGTTGTGTACTCCACACGGAGGGCAATGCATCACGGCGTTAAACCGACAGACCACGCCGTCTGCAGTCCCCCTTTGAAAATACATACTATTGCTCTCTGACAATTGTTGATAGAAGAGCAAAGACGACTCCAACAACAAGCCCTTCTGTAACATCGATTAGGACGGTGGCGAGGCAGGCAACAATCCAGACAAGCTGAAAAATAAGAGTGTGTATATTAGAAACCAGGTTTGCCGTTTCGAACCCGAGCCAAAGCATTTTTCTTTTATTCGACCGATCAAGTAGGCCGAAATTATCAAGTTTAATACAATTTTTAATTTCTTCCATATCTCAAGTCTTTAAGAAAATTGTTATTCGACCCGCTTCAACTCGACACCTACAAAATCGGGTTTCGACAGTCGCCAAAGACGCGGCAACTCTTTGAATTTGTAGACCATCCCTTTGACAGCGACGAGAATGATTGCAGACAAGACGCACTGCAATATTGCAATGAATTGCGAGAGAATTGACGAGAATCGAACCATTGGCAATGCTTCGAGAAATCTTCCAAAGTATAGCGACACCAGAAAAACGAAGCCGGCAGCGACGACGGTGGCTATCTGAATCTCTTGAAAAATTCGAGTTGAATATTATGTAGAGTGATTGTCAAGAGAAAAAAATCGACTACCTTTGACCTCTTGCCAGCTCGCCATGGATCGCGGAAGCAAAAAAAAATTAAACAATTTTTCGCTGCAAGATCTTGCAACGGATCTGGCGGCATTGAATAATTACGGTAGGCTCATTTTTTTGGGGAGAAACGCAATATATGAATAATTCGGCTGCGTGCTTTCACACGCACGCAAAACTACACACATTTGTTTAATGTTAAATAATTTTTTTTTAATTCAAAAACGAAACTTGCCTGCGAGATGATGCCCGTCTCGACACCAACAATAGTTCTTCCGACAGCGCACGACGCTGGAAATGTTGGAAAGAAGCTGGAAGCGACCGAAGATATCGAAAGAGCGTAGAGCTCTTGCCCACAATCGATCTCGTAGGCGAGCTTCTTCGCGAACATTTTTGAGAGCGACAAATGAACGGCGACGGCCACAACCGAAATACTAATCGCGTCGGGTAGAATATTATCCATCACGTCGAATCGCGGAATCGTGATATCGGGAAAACTGCGACAAGCAAAAATGTTTTGGATGAAAATAGCGAATGACAAACCCAGTTGGAATATGCTCAACAACTCGAACATTGAATTCTCGATGCCAATTCGTCACGCTCATTATTATTGTGAAAATGATCACCTAAAAATCAATCTCTAGTTTTTCTTTAAAATTTTTTTTAATACAGCGATAAGCTCAAAAGGGATCGGAATTTTGGTTTTCGTCTTCTTCTTGAACATCGGATTCAGATATTCCTTGCCGATATAGACGAATATCATTGTCGCGATTCCAATGATCGTTGTCACAATGTTCGCATTCGGAAGATTCAGAATCACGTCGATTACTGTCTGAATCTTGTTCTTGCATTTTTCATCTCTTTTTCTCTCCAATAATTCATACAGTAACAATATAGCCGGGACCACTGTGCTTTTTGAGGGTCGTCATCCCAAAAAACTGCTTAAATTGCGCAACTAGAACATGCATTGCCGCACCAGTACTGAATCCAGTGATCAGCTCATCAGACATGTAGGTTGTTAGAAATTGGAGGTTGAATAGAGCCATTATAAACTGGAAATGCTCTCAAAATGTCTAATTCGAGTAAAAATTGTACCTGAATAACGCCGACCATGAACACTAGAGCACATGAGACTTCCAGGCGGGAAGGTAGATCGACATCGGAGGTTCGATTCTGTTCTAGGGAATCCAATGATAACACTGATTCTCGCTCGACGGCTAGGCCTGTCATCAGGGCAACAACGGCGAAGGTCCCTTGAATAGAAGAAATTATAATAAAATAATATACTTTTTTGAAAACCTAGACTAGCATGACGGGAAGTTGCAAAGAATAAATAGAAGAATCCAGGAAATAAGGAAGTGTAGAGGCCGACTATTGGATCCTGCTTGGCGATTACTGCGTAGGCAATTCCTCAAAAAAAAACAATTTGAAATAAAGATAAATTTAATGAGTTGCCTTGTGGAACATGCATGATCCCAACAGTGAGGCCACCAATGAGATCCGACAAGAAATTCGACTTCCAATCATATTCGGGAAGCCATTTGAGGATAGGAATCAGGTCGAAAATGAATTTTCGAAAATTGGTGATCGACATGAACGGGCTCACATATCTCAAATCGGACTATGCAAAAATTGAGAGGGATATTGAATAAAACCTTTTCGCAATTTTCCAGCTTCGTCTTTTCACGTTGAATTTTGATGGCGGTTTTCGGGTCAAATTGTAGGTGTCATCAAATTCGGCCTACAAGAATCAGAAGATGAAATACAATGCAATCGATTTGCACAACACACAGCTCAAACCTGATTCATTGGTTTTCGATTTCGAAAATAATAGGGTTCATCGAGAGCGTCTATCGGAATTCCGTCCATTTTTGCAACAAAAAAAATCGCGAGTAGAAATGGAATCTGTGTCCACCCTCACCAAAAAATCAGCGATTATGGAAATCGAAAAAATGTAAATTCTGTCACAATTCCGACTTCAGAGATTGACGAGACTCGTGGTACTACGTACATTCTGTAATATGTGTACGCGGCAGCAAACATCAGTAAAAAAATGGAATTCCTAAAAAATATTATTTTTTTTATATTTTATAGTTTTTTTTGACAATAATACGGATAGCAGAATAAGCTCCTGAACAAAGTTTCAGTGAGAGTTGAGAGAACATTACGAATGTTCCTAATAATTCGTACTATTTGCCGCTTTGTCTGCGGCAATTTCCGTAATTTTTCGTCCTATCAAGGCTTAAACAATTTTATATTCAATTAAAATTGCGACAATGAAATATTAAAAATGCAAAATTGAAAATTTGAACTGAATTTCTGAAAAAGTGGTGCATTTCGACGTGACAGTGTATACACTGAATACTATTTACTCTTATGCCTACAGTAGCGCGTGAAGAATAAATTAACTTTTGCCAATTATCGTATCTTCAAAATCAAACAACGAATAATTACAATCGACTCAAATATGCAAAATTTTGCGAGAAAAAGGAAATAAAATATATTTATTGGATTTTAATTCAAATTGGAGAATACCTGTATTTTATAAAGTACACATTAAATTAATTAATAGGATAAATCACATTGGATGTGAGCTCAACACCTCGGTGAGCCGGTCATGCTCCGGCACATAATCGGTATCTTTGAAGCCGAGTCTGAACATCACAACGCGTCAATCGTATTCGCACAATCGTGATCTTACTCAAGTTGGCGCTCTCTCGCTATCGATGTGGCGTCTCGCATCGTCGGATAGAAGTTGGTCTTCGGAACGAATTGGTAGAAGTTGCACTTCTCGAACAGCTCGCGAACCGGCGCTTTGGCGTTCGCAAAATACACCAGAATTCCGCGTTTTCTCATGTCTGAGAAAACCTGCAATTTTTTTTGGTTAGCGCCTTTAAATCAAGGTCTTGTGACGATGAAAAACCGTCGTTTAAAGGGACATGTCTTGAAATTCGATGTCAAATCTAAGGTTTTAAATGCGTTCACCTCTTTCAACGCGCTGACGCCCATCAAATCGATAAAAGTGAATCCGGAGCAGTCGACGATAAAATGCCGCGACAACATCTCTTCTTTGGGAATTGATTGATTGTCCTTAATCGCGCACTAAAAAAATGAATATTGTAGATCAAAAATTGATTATCGAACCTCTTTGCCGTCGTCCGAGATCTCCTCCATCGTCGGCTTCAGAATGACACCGCGCTCTTCGCGAAGAACGTAGAACTCGTGCGATTTTTGCCACTCAAAATAGGCTTTGTCGACGGCTTTTTTGAAGCTGAACAAGAGTCATGCGCCTTTAAACCATCGACTCGCCGTCGAACCTACCATTCAACATTATGGAATAGCAGTGGGGCGTCGAATCGAAACAAACAGATGCCCTTGTAATAGACGGTCTCGCCATATCGTTCGGCGTCGCGGAAATCCGGCGTGCCTTGGACACTTGCCAACAAATGCCATTTTGGGCTGAAACATATCGAATCAATGGATTCGCGAATGACGCTGTTCCGATTACTATTGCTCGCGTAGAACGGTGGTGAATAGGGCGAAGCCGACCGAGATGATGAGGCCTTCGGAGACGTCGATGATGACGGTGGAAGCAAATGAGACAATCCAAATGCTCTGCAAGACGGGAGGGATTTGATTCGAGGCGTTCGCGCGAAGCTCACAAAATCGATTTTGGCGACTCGCCAAAGATCGCGAAGATCGATGAGCTTCTTGAGCATCCCTTGAAGATTGAACACGATGATGGCGGCGAGAGCGCACTGCAACTCGAATCGAATTGATGCGACGAATCAATCAATCATACCATTGGTAGGGTCTCGAGGAATTGACCGAAGTAGAGCATCACCGCCAACACGAGAATCGATGAGAATAGAATTGAGAGTTGGGTGACGACGCCGGCGCCAACCGCCACCAGGGTGCGGCTCAGCGAGCATGAGAACGGGAAGACGGGAAAGAAGCATGAGCCGATGCTGGCGAAACTGTTGGCGAAGAGCTCCTATGAAGAAACAAAAGCAAATTATTAAAGGCGCATGGACGAGATGGACCTACCTGGCCGGCGTCCAACTCATACGACAACTTTTTCGCGAGCATTTTCGAGATCGACAAATGCACGGCGACCGAGACGATCGTGATACTAATCGCTTCCGGTAGAATCGTTGGGATCAGATTGAAGTTGGGCAGAGAGACGTTGGGAATGCTGAAAGCTGAATGGCTCATCTTGCTCTTTCTTATGAGGGGGACCTACTCGGTGGGAATTTGCGATACCACTTTGATGTTGTCGGTGATATGGATTTGGGTGGCGTAGACGAAAATTGTGGAGAGAATCACCTGGAAATATTAGGGTGGAAAGAAGAGACGCAGAGACGAAGAGCTCACCACGAGCAATTCGAACGGCAACGGCACATTGCAATTCGTGGCCTTCTTGAACATCGGATTCAGGTACTCTTTGCCAACGTGCAACACGACAATGGCGGCAATCGAAATTGCGCAACACCAGAAATTGGCGCGATCGATGTTGGTGGCGATGTCGACGAGATTCTGCAGACACCATCAAACGATTCGAATCGTCTCGCTCAGGGTTGTTAAATTTTGGGCCCGGAAAGCCGGGCCGGCCGGCCGGCTTTCGGCCCCGGCTTCAATTTACCAACCCTGGTCTCGCTGATTACCATGAACAGATAGAACGCTCCATTGCGCTTCGGCAATCCGCGAATGCCGAGAAGGCCGCTCAATTGGGAGACGAGCACGTGAACCGAGGCGCCGGTCGTGAAGCCGGCGATCACTTGATCCGACATGTAGGTGGTTAGGAATTGGAGGCGTAGAAGGGCCATCACCAGCTGGAATCTAGTGGGATAGGTATTGTGCTTCTTTTCAGAATCCTACCAGGATCAATCCAATAGTTAAGCAAAGTGTGCAGGCAACTTCCGACGCTGTCGCCGTCACCTGCTCGCCACCATCCAGAACCTTGTCCACAGCTATTGACGTCATCAGGGAAACGACAGCGAATGTTCCCAGGCTTGAATGTCTCGATGTTCCGAACAGCATATAGATCATTGGCCCGAATAGTGATGTGTAGAGGCCATTGATCGGCGGCTGTTTGGCGAGAATCGCATAGGCGATGCCCTGCGGCACATGCATCACGCCGACGGTGAAGCCGCCGATCACATCGGCCGCAAGATCGCGCTTCCAATCATATTTGGGAAGCCAGTCAATGATCGGCAGCACGCCGAGAACGAACGTCTTGAACGCCGACAGACTGGTGAACGGATCGTAGTAGCTGCAAAACCATCAACGTTAGCCAACCATGAAATCGCGTCTCGAGACTCAACTGTCTCAGAAATTTTTTGAAATTCCTCTTCATCTGATTCTCGCCGTCCGGCTTCGAGTAATCATAGAGCTCGTCGAATTGCACCTGAACAAAATCGAAATTATTCGATGAGCACGGCTCACCTGATTCATGGCTTTTCTTTGCTTAAAACTCGGCCTTCGCTTCTCATCGACACTTTCATTATAGAAGTTCTTCATGTATTTGTCATGGTCCATTTCTTTGTCGCGATCATCCAGCGATATGTTCACCGATCGGATGTGCATCTTCTGAAACTAATCGAATGTCGTTTCGGGACCTGGTTTAAAGGCGCACAGGAAAAAAGAGACAATCTGAAATATTCAATATTCTAATTTTCGCAGAGCAAGAGAAGACCTAGTTTAAAGGCGCATACCCCATAAACAAATTTTCGCGCAGATCAGAGAAAAATGAAAATCATATTTAAAGGCGCATAACAGAGCCGACTAGAAAGTGCATGCACCCCACGCAAAGCAGATCGATAAAGTCGGTTTCCAAAAAAAAAAAACAATCGCGTCTGAACTAGAAGGTCTTGCAGCGAAAAATTGTGACAGCGTGTTTTTCTTGAGAAACGCACACTATAGGAAATCCGCAATCACACCGCACACAAAAATGCACACTTTTAAATAATGGCGGCGAGTTGAAAAGCTCACACGAATCTCAAAACAAAAAATTTTTTGTTTTTAAACACCGAAAAAAGTGAAATATAAATGCGTATATGCAAATTTTTTTTGGCATGCTCTCGCCTAAAATCACGTATTCGCGAGACACTTGATTATAATGCAAATCGGAAATCGTCGACGCACGCCGTGAAGTTCAACGGTTATTGAGATTTCTCAATGATAATGATGGTCCCCAGAATACGATGGATTTTTGATTGACAGGATCCGATGGCCATTTTCACGTGGAAAAAACAAATTCGCACTCGCTTCATCCCCCTTCCCCTTTTTTTTGCATTCGTTTACATAATAATTTAATTTTCGCCAATTTTCAAATTCCCCCAATTATACAAAATTTGTGCGCACAAAGAAAACATAAAATATAAAAATGCGGAAGGAAAAAAAAATGAAAAATAAAGAAGAAGAAGAGTGAAATTTCAAAGCGGAGAGAAACAGGTGACTCGTAAATCCGAAAAAAATCTTTTTTCGCGACGAGAAAAAAATAAATGCAGTTTTTCACGAATTATAAAATGAGGGCAATAATTGAATGGAGTGTCGTAGAATTGGGAAAAGACAAATATGGCCCTATCAGAAAAAAAATTGTCGGAAAATCAAAAATGCAAGTGCAAGGCGCACAAATTCTGAGAAAAGTGCAAGTGTGACACACAGCCAAATTAGATGAATCCCTTTATCACGATTTTTAATTTTAAACAAACCACGCCATATATGTATTCATTGAGTTATATCTAATACAAAACAATTTTTTTTTTACTATTCCATAAGGTGTGGCCGTGGCCGAACCTCGTTTTGGAAGACATTATTTCTAGGCCACAGCATTGTTGCGACGAGCCGTGGCCTCATAGTTCCGAATTAGAGCTTAGATGGAATGGGAATGTGACAAAATGAGACCGGCGAGCACAATTTTGAATTTAAAAAAATAGACATTGTTGCACTGAACAATTTTTTCTGAGAATTCCCTTGTTGGGAAAAATTTGAGAAAAATCGCTGGTAACTCAAAATCCCGCAAAATTTGTCACAAGAAAATATATTTAAAAAAAATGATTATGAAGAATATTTACAAAAAATTGCGTCCCATTTTTTCACGTCCGCATTTGAATTTCCCATTTCGGCAAAATGGGGCCTTGTTTTTTTTTAATGAGGTCAACCAAATTCCCGATTTAAACCCCCCCCCCTCTCCTTTTTTATATATCGTAAATAGATATGGCTAGATATTGAAAACAAGGGTAGGGGTTTCAAAATAATAGCAATTTACCTAAAAATTGTTTAAATTCGATGAAAAAATGGTTGAAACAATTCTAGAATTATCTACTTTTCATCCACATTTTTGTTCTTTCGGAATTTCAGTGATTGTCAGTCTGAAATACATTTTAAGATTAATTTTTGTATTGAATTGATGGCCAAATCAAATAAAAACAATATTTGCTCATATTTTTATGTTGGTTTTTTTTGGGAAGACGAAATGTTATTTAAGCCTTGTTAAAATTTTTAAGACGATTAGAAAAAAAAAACAATTACAAGTGAGGTCTTTTTTGTGGACTCTCTTAAATATAAAAAACGATTTTTTTTGCACACAGATTCTTTAGAAAATTTCCAACCTCTCGAAATCAGTGCAAGATGCAAAAAAATTAAAAATTTTAAGACGGAAGTTCAAACTCCATTTGTAATTCGTTTAACTGTACAGATTTCGATTCAATAATGTTTTAAAGGCGCATAGATTTTATTTTTTTTTAACGAATGAATTCTCAAATTAATTGCCTCACATTTTGGCGCGATATTTGCATTTTGAACGTTCCCGCGTGAGCTAGGTTTCAACAGATTTTTAAATTCATAACACAAAAAAGAACAAGCATTCTCATGCTTCTTTTAAAAGAATATAGGTATATTGAAGTCCATATTTAAAGGAGCATCCTCAAAATAAAGCAAAATCACTTTTTAAGCAATCGCTTAGATTTGATCTTTTTTTGCAAAAATATATATTACAAAAAAAAAGTAAAAATAGGTTGAGCGATTTTGAGAATTTTGAGAATAAGTCACGATAACAAGGGTGTCAATGGAAATATTTAGATTACGCCTTTTTTGGGAAATATCTTTCAAGTTTTCCGGCGTGCCGTAATTTGAAGTGTTTCGAAAGAAAAAACGATGAACCGGTCAATAGAGCGAAAACCATGTTCAGTCTTGAAACAAGTGCATGCTTAACAATTATTATGTGATTATTGCGGACGCCTTTGAGCAAACAGATGAGCCGTTCACAAAAAATTGGATTGCGCAATACTGCCGGTTGCCAGTGGTCATGGGTATAAAAGCACCGGGAAGCCGCCAGAGCATCACACCTGACAACCATGCGCTTCTTCTTCGTGCTCTCCGCTCTCTTCCTCCTTGCTTCGGTAATTAATTAATTATATAATTAGAGTACAATTAGCATTTCATTATAGGCAACATCTCTTCGCGTTAAGAGACAATGCGGTTGCACTGAGCAGCCGACGTGCTCCTGCCAGCAATCGACTCCGCAGCTATACACCTGCGCTTGCCAGCAGCAGGCTCCGATGTCTTCCTGCTCATGCTCCCAGCAAACCGTCCAAGTTCAGGCTACACAATGCGCTCCAGCTTGCCAGCAGAGCTGTACTCAGCAATGCCAATCGAACACCCAGTGTCTGTCGAGTTGCCAGGCGACTTGCCAATGCACCCCACCTGCTACTCCGGCTCCACAGGTGCTCCAGCTCCAACTGCAGTTCTCAGCCCAATGCATGCCCCAGTGTCAGCAACAGTGCCAGCAGCAGTGCACCACTACGCAATGTAGCCAACGGTGTGACCAGCAGTGCCAGACGAAATGCGAGTCGGCCCCCGTCGCCGTAGCTCCGACTTGCGCTCCAGCTTGCCAGCCAGCCTGTCAGACCATCTGTGTCGCCCAGCTTCCTGCTGTCCAGCAATGCCAGCAACAGAATTGCCAGCCAATCTGCCAGCAGGCACCAGCAGCCCCTCAATGCCAGCAGTGCCAAACCAACTGCCAGACTAGTCCAGCTCCGCAAATCCAAATCGTCAGCTTCGTGCTCCAGCCAACCGTCGTGCAATCGTCGGAGTGCATTCCGCAATGCCAGTCCACCTGCCAACAGCAATGCGTCGCCCAGCAGCAGCCAGTCGTATCATGCGTTCCCGCCTGTCAGACCACTTGCCAACGATCCTGCCAGCCAGTCCAGGTGCCGTGTCAAGAGCCGGTGAGCTCGAACACCTGCACCTGTCAGATCAACTACTCGCCATGCGGAAACGGCCAATGCTGCAGAAGATAAACGAGAATGAACCGCCTAATTTGGTCTGTAAATAATCGAATGAATAATAATTATTTTTTTTCCTTTTTCTTTCTGGTCAACCGATCATCATGAAACCCTTGCTAGTGGTTTAGGTTATGCAATCCACAAAATTCCAGTAGATTCCATAAATTGTCAGCAATTTCTGCATATCTTCTTCAAACTATACAATTTGTTCTCATCGAATTCTTCTGCAAACGACTTCAATTTTTCCCATAATCAGCATATGAATAAATGCGAAACAATGAATCTCATTGTTTCGATTTCGAGACAATAGCGCCGAATTTGGTATAAAACGGACGCCGATTCGATGGAATGACATACACTCATCGACAATGAGCATCAACCTTCTCATCATCGGTGTTCTATTTCAAGTGCTCGCCACTCAACTGACGGTATGTTCAGAATAGGAATGAATCAGCCGAATCTAGCAAAATTGCAGCTCGGACAGGGCATTACTTGCCCGCCTGAATTCAAGACGTACACACGTCTGAATGGTATAAAATGGTGTAGCTTAGCGGCCCCATTCTCCGTGAACTACAATGAAGCATGCTGGAGGCATGCTGACGGGATTCGATAACGCCGCTCAACGAAAGATCGCAGCTGGTAATATTCGTTTCACACTTTGGTCTTGACTTTCAAAAAATTCAGATAACGCCAAGGAAGTTCTTAAACAATTAGGACTGACTTCGGGCGCTTTTTGGATCGGAGCATACCGAAAGAAGGAGTGCCAAGTGTCGAATTGGAAGAAGGTCAAAGCATGTTTGCCGGCCGAGAAGAACTCGATTGAATGGACCGACAGAAACACCACGTCGACCGACGGATTCAACTTCCGCAAAGGACAGCCCGATTATAACATGGGCAATCAGAACGCCGTTTATATGGTTGTTGGTGAAGACGTTGTTGATCGATACGGAGTATGGAAAAACGAGGAAATGGATGATGTGCGGTAGGCGGTAGAATCCCGAGATTTCATTAGAATGTGTTTGCAGTGCGGATCAGATCAAAAATCCGAGATCCCCTGGAAGAAACATCGTAGGATTCCTGCGGATTTCCCGCACTCTAATACAAAAAACACAGTTTCTTTTTTTCAATAAAAACAGCTTTATTTGATTCGGTTTATGGGTTGTACTCGATCGGCAAATTCTTTCTGCGGACCATTCCGTCGCCCTGGAACCATTCGCGACGGAATTGTTTCGCGGCGCCGTCGGGGGTGTTGGTCCACTCGACAGTGATACGGTCATTGTTGGTGTCCTGCAAACAGACTACTGTAGATGGTCGAGCAGCAGCCAGTGTACCTCTTGTCCGTAGGCGAACGCGTCGCAGGAGACGGCGAGAAGGACAGCTTCCTTCGGGTCGAGCACTCCACATGGCGGGTCGACTCCGAGTCTCTTCATGTTCGTCGTCTTGATGCCGTAGCCAATGCGGCGAGCCGACGAGTTGATCACCTTGATGTGGTAGGTGTGCTTGTCGTCGTACGGAGCATTGAACACGATCTTGGCGTTTGGCTGAGTCTGGATGTCTCCTGGTGGAACCGATTGAGCCATTCTTTCTTTCTGATCCGATCTGATGAATCCCCACTCATTTCAATTCTCTTTTATACTTCTCTTATCTTATCATTGATCTAATCAATCGCAAGATTTCAAGATTCTCTCTAGAAATGAAAAGCTTCACGCCATCCCAAGTATTAATACAAACGAAAGGTTTTGTGTGTCGGAAATGAGTGAGATCGGAACGATATTTAGTGATCTTCATAGGGCCTTCTTACCCAGCAACTTCACACTAGCCGTTTTCCATAAGCATGGAACCTGATTCTTCGTCATGACTTTGTTGAAATATGTCGGCAAGCTTGGAGACATCCGAAGGTATTTTGAAGATTCTGAATTGCTTCCTCAACTTCTGATGTGAGGACTGGAGGTTGCATAGAGATCGTTTTATTTAATGACTAAGTAACTTTCGCTTCTTGGTTTCCTTCTCGCAATATTTTATCAATTATGTTTAGGGCTCTGCTAACTGAGCTACTTTAATTCGCTTAAAGTGTAAATATTTGTCCATTTTCCCACTGTAATATATTTTCGTTTTTTTAAATAAATAATTTTAATTGATTCTATTGTCGGCGTCAATCGACAACGAAATTTAAAAAATTATTGGCTACGTGCCAATGCGTAGCCAACAGGCAGGCAGTGAGATTGCGTACATTGCATTATAGCGTACGCGCATTTAATAATCAGTCAGCGATGTTTGCAGGTATTCAAACAAGAATGTCCTTATCAGAGAGTTTTTTTTTCAATTTTTGCTCATAGGATTTTTTACTTGTGTGAATCAAGAATGGCAAAATAAAAATGGACGGCGGGTCAATAAAATTCTCACCTTGTCCCGCCGACCAGCAACGACACTCCATGTTTACAGCGAGGTCTGTGTTTAGCGTATTAAGAATTTCGAATTGCATTATTTTGAGTAGAATTAATTGTTCTTGGAGCACAAATTGCTCAGAAGTTCCCAAACAAAACCAGCTTTTGCTGTTTTTATTTCATTTTTAATTTTTTTTTTGATAAAGTTTTCTTAGAAATCTATTAGCGGGTTGGGCCGTTGCAAGAATGGTATTTCCAAAGAAAATTTCCTGGTTTGATATTATTTTAAAACGGAATGTTATTTTTGTTTTTGGCCACCTTTTCCCTAATATGGTAGGTTTTATTAGGCATTTGCCATTAGGCCGGAAAACTTGAAAGATATTTTCCAAAAACTTTTTTTGATAATATATATTTTTGCAAAAAAAATCGAATTTTTTTTTAATTTCAAGAAAGAATCTTGAAATTTTGAGATTGATGAGATAAATGATAAGAAGGTTGATAAGATAAGAGAGGTATAAAAGAGAATTGAAATGAGTGAGGATTCATCAGATCGGATCAGAAAGAATGGCTCAATCAGTTCCACCAGGAGACATCCAGACTCAGCCAAACGCCAAGATTGTATTCAATGCTCCGTACGACGACAAGCACACCTACCACATCAAGGTGATCAACTCGTCGGCTCGCCGCATTGGCTACGGCATCAAGACGACGAACATTAAGAGACTCGGAGTCGACCCGCCATGTGGAGTGCTCGACCCGAAGGAAGCTGTCCTTCTCGCCGTCTCCTGCGACGCGTTCGCCTACGGACAAGAGGTACACTGGCTGCTGCTCGACCATCTACAGTAGTCTGTTTGCAGGACACCAACAATGACCGTATCACTGTCGAGTGGACCAACACCCCCGACGGCGCCGCGAAACAATTCCGTCGCGAATGGTTCCAGGGCGACGGAATGGTCCGCAGAAAGAATTTGCCGATCGAGTACAACCCATAAACCGAATCAAATAAAGCTGTTTTTATTGAAAAAAAGAAACTGTGTTCTTTGTATTAGAGTGCGGGAAATCCGCAGGAATCCTACGATGTTTCTTCCAGGGGATCTCGGATTTTTGATCAGATCCGCACTGCAAACACATTCTAATGAAATCTCGGGATTCTACCGCCTACCGCACATCATCCATTTCCTCGTTTTTCCATACTCCGTATCGATCAACAACGTCTTCACCAACAACCATATAAACGGCGTTCTGATTGCCCATGTTATAATCGGGCTGTCCTTTGCGGAAGTTGAATCCGTCGGTCGACGTGGTGTTTCCGTCGATCCATTCAATCGAGTTCTTCTCAGCCGGCAAACATGCCTTGACTTTCTTCCAATTCGAAACTTGGCACTCCTTCTTTCGGTATGCTCCGATCCAAAAAGCGCCCGAAGTCATTCCTAATTCCTTAAGAATTTTCTTGGCGTAATCTGAATTATTGAAAGTCAAGACCAAAGTGTGAAACGAATATTACCAGCTGCGATCTTTCGTTGAGCGGCGTTATCGAATCCCGCCAACGTGCCTCCAGCCCCTTCGCACCAGCTTTTGGCTTCATCGTAGTTCACGGGCCAGTAGGCGGGTATGCTACACCATTTCACACCATTCAGACGTGTGTACGTCTTGATATCAGGCGGGCAAGTAATGCCCCCCTCTCCGAGCTGCAATTTTGCTAGATTCGGCCGATTCATTCCGAACATACCGCCAGTTTCTCCTCCATGTTGGGAAGGAGCGTCTGATGAGTGGCGAGCACTTGAAATAGAACACCGATGATGAGAAGGTTGATGCTCATTGTCGATGAGTGTATGTCATTCCATCGAATCGGCGCCCGTTTTATACCAAATTCGGCGCTATTGTCTCGAAATCGAAACAATGAGATTCATTGTTTCGCATTTATTCATATGCTGATTATGGGAAAAATTGAAGTCGTTTGCAGAAGAATTCGATGAGAACAAATTGTATAGTTTGAAGAAGATATGCAGAAATTGCTGACAATTTATGGAATCTACTGGAATTTTGTGGATTGCATAACCTAAACCACTAGCAAGGGTTTCATGATGATCGGTTGACCAGAAAGAAAAAGGAAAAAAAATAATTATTATTCATTCGATTATTTACAGACCAAATTAGGCGGTTCATTCTCGTTTATCTTCTGCAGCATTGGCCGTTTCCGCATGGCGAGTAGTTGATCTGACAGGTGCAGGTGTTCGAGCTCACCGGCTCTTGACACGGCACCTGGACTGGCTGGCAGGATCGTTGGCAAGTGGTCTGACAGGCGGGAACGCATGATACGACTGGCTGCTGCTGGGCGACGCATTGCTGTTGGCAGGTGGACTGGCATTGCGGAATGCACTCCGACGATTGCACGACGGTTGGCTGGAGCACGAAGCTGACGATTTGGATTTGCGGAGCTGGACTAGTCTGGCAGTTGGTTTGGCACTGCTGGCATTGAGGGGCTGCTGGTGCCTGCTGGCAGATTGGCTGGCAATTCTGTTGCTGGCATTGCTGGACAGCAGGAAGCTGGGCGACACAGATGGTCTGACAGGCTGGCTGGCAAGCTGGAGCGCAAGTCGGAGCTACGGCGACGGGGGCCGACTCGCATTTCGTCTGGCACTGCTGGTCACACCGTTGGCTACATTGCGTAGTGGTGCACTGCTGCTGGCACTGTTGCTGACACTGGGGCATGCATTGGGCTGAGAACTGCAGTTGGAGCTGGAGCACCTGTGGAGCCGGAGTAGCAGGTGGGGTGCATTGGCAAGTCGCCTGGCAACTCGACAGACACTGGGTGTTCGATTGGCATTGCTGAGTACAGCTCTGCTGGCAAGCTGGAGCGCATTGTGTAGCCTGAACTTGGACGGTTTGCTGGGATTTTTTGAAAGTCAAGACCAAAGTGTGAAACGAATATTACCAGCTGCGATCTTTCGTTGAGCGGCGTTATCGAATCCCGTCAGCATGCCTCCAGCCCCTTCGCAATTCTTTTTGGCTTCATTGTAGTTCACGGAGAATGGGGCCGCTAAGCTACACCATTTTATACCATTCAGACGTGTGTACGTCTTGAATTCAGGCGGGCAAGTAATGCCCTGTCCGAGCTGCAATTTTGCTAGATTCGGCTGATTCATTCCTATTCTGAACTTACCGTCAGTTGAGTGGCGAGCACTTGAAATAGAACACCGATGATGAGAAGGTTGATGCTCATTGTCGATGAGTGTATGTCATTCCATCGAATCGGCGTCCGTTTTATACCAAATTCGGCGCTATTGTCTCGAAATCGAAACAATGAGATGCATTGTTTCGCATTTATTCATATGCTGATTATGGGAAAAATTGAAGTCGTTTGCAGAAGAATTCGATGAGAACAAATTGTATAGTTTGAAGAAATTTTGCAGAAATTACCCCCGAAGGCGCCACGAATGATTCCAGGGCGACGGAATGGTCCGCAGAGAGAATTTGCCGATCGAGTACAACCCATGATTTTTGAGCCACAAATAAAGCAATTCGATTTCAATAACATTCATATTTATTTTTGATGTTGTATATGAAAAGAACAAAAAATGGCACAAGTATATATGAACAACTGGGTATCTGACTATATATGGTAAATGGTGTACATTTGCTAGAAGTGTGAATAAATATATTTGGTTTTTTTGGATGTTTAATTAAAAGGCGAGTAACTATAATAAAATGTGGGTAATTAAACGGTATGTGTATAATTAAATATGGGAACTGCGGCTACGAGGCTTCAAGACGAACACAGTTCTGCCCATCCCGGAGATGTCATCACTCTCGTCACCGTCGATCATCAACGAGTTCCGACGACGGTTCGGATTCTCAGGGCAGTGCGACATCGTGTGCGCCTTGGTTCCGGACATCTTGCAGTGTGGGCACACCTGGCAACGAAGGAACTGGCATCTGAAATCAATATCCCTATATGGAGAGGCTCAAGCAAGATGTCAGCTTACTGTGTGAACTTCTCATTGTTCTGTCGGACGACGATCTCGTGGGTCGACCACGGCCCGAAGTCGTCCTTCGACGGCGCCCGAACTCCCATCTTCCGGCACGTGGTGAGCACGAAGTTGTAGCAGAAGCTGCAGCATCTCGAGCGGGTGTTCTCCCGCTTCGGCAACGGTGCCGGCGCGAAGCGCTGAATCATGAACAGCCGCATGACGACCTTGTGAACGTAGTCGTGACGATGAGACGCTTCCGGCAGCACCGTGGAAGTGCGCTCGGCGAGAAGCTGCTCAACGGTACGACGGGCGAACAAAAGATTCACTCCGGCGAACTCATCGCACTCAAAATGGTTTCCGCGAATCTGAAACAGACGGATTTTGATCGAGAGACTTCAGAAGTGATTACCGCGAGCTCATCTTCTCTGTTTGGAGTAACCATCTCGACGTTGTTCGGCACGAGCTGAAGGCACGACAAAACGAAATCAAGCTGATCGGGATGGTATCCCCTGTGTAAATATTCGGCGTCAGCGATGTCGAGCAAGTTGTCAGCGAGCAGAAGCTCGTCGTCGTTCTTCGAATCGTCAAGAAGTACGTAGGATCCCCTCGAGCTCGTTTCCGATGTCTCCATCGTCATCAAGGCTTGGTCCAGCGATGCTACCGACTCCTCACTTCTAGAATCCGGGATCGCGACGAACAACGTGTTGGCATCCAACGGTCTCGTCGAGAAGACCCAGTTGTCCTCGATGGACTCCACATCCGAAGCGCGCTTCCAAATTTGCTCATATTTCTTCAGGTTCTGAAATTCTGGCATACAGTTCTGGTAATAGGGGACTCCGAAGGCTACCTTGAGATCCACCTGGGTCGAAACGAGGCTCAACGAGCCGGCCGGTCGAGTTGATGTTAGGCGCAAATCATTGACGCGTCTAGGTCCGCGTCTTTCATAAAGCCTTCCGAAAGTAGCCGAGTAGGTATTCTGAAATAAACGATTAAAGGCGGTTCAATGCATCGTTTCTATCCTAGTCCGCAAACACCGAACAAGATAAATCCAAGAATATTCCAATAATAGAACTTCTGAAGACCGGAAACCCGATTTTCAAAACGAAAATAATAAAAAATAACCATATCATAGTGCTCCGAGCATAATGATTACCATCTCCTCATTGATCAGCTTCTGTCTTCTGTCTACTTTCAGTTTCTCCTGAAAACGAAAATTTTACAGTAACTCGAAATTACTCGAAGAAAAAAAGGAATACTGTCTACAGTAACCGACAATTGTCTTGTCTGCTAGTCAATACAGTAACCCATCTAAGATATCTAGGCGATGAAGTTGGAACATACCAGTTCAGCATACAAGTCGAAAGACGATGAGGCATTAAGATCCTTGAATAGGTCGTATTGTCCGATTGATGAGTTGTTGCGAGCCATCGATGAGTTGTGTCAAGTTAGGTGACAAGTGAGGAATGCGCGCCGATCGCCGCTATTTATAGTTCGAAAAGTGGGCGGAGCCAGTGTTCGCACATTTTGTCTGCGACGCCACTTTTGACATTATCTCTCGTCCATTTATGGTCGGTGGGCGGCCGAAGGGTGGCGGTCGAAAACCGAGGGCGCACACCATTTCGCATTGGTGTCGCCGAAGGGTGGCGGTCGGAAAGCGAGGGCGCACACCATTTCGCTTTGGTGTCGCCGAAGGGTGGCGTCGAAAACTGAGGGACCACACCATTTCGCTTTGGTGTCGCCGAAGGGTGGCGGTCGAAAACCGAGGGCGCACACCATTTCGCTTTGGTGTCGCCGTCGAAAATGGAATATCGTTCACCAAATCGATTTGGTATCAAATAATAACAGATTGGTGTCGCCAAAAAAGTGACAACGTGAAAATGAGTTGCTAATAGATAGTAATCTTCTAAAAGCTATCAGAGTCTTTTGCAATTTAAGAATGCACATTTATTATAGGGTCTTCTTAAAATCGGTTTGAACCAGAGCTGCACGAAATTCCGATTTCCGTGAAATTTTCCTGTTCCGTAGAAAAGAAATTTGTTCCGGATTCCGTGTTCCGCAAAAAAAGCGAATTTCAGTAAAAAACGAAGATTTGAAAAAAATGTTTTATTGATTTTTGTGTGTTAGGTAACCCTAACGGTAACTCTCACATTCTGCACTGTTAATTTTAAAGTATTTGGATTGGATTAGGTTTTAATAAATTATTTTTTATATTACCGAAAAGTCGTCTTGCGTTTTTAGAAAATTAAAAAAACATTTTCCGTGCAGCTCTGGTTTGGACTATTTAAAATCAGAATTGTCGGTGTCAAACTGACCAAATTTCAAAAAATACCGATGTAATGCGTTTTGCGCTTCAGTATCGACATCTCACATCCGAGAAAGACTTTTAGAATATCTGAAAAGCACACCAAGACGAAATCGCATATCAAATAACATTATTGACACCTTCATCTTTTCAGATTTCAAGTTAACTGAGTGTAATATTTAAAAAAAAAATGCGTTTAATTATTGCTTTGAACATTCCAATCAACGGAATTTTGCGAAATATTTTTTTCCCAAAAATTCATAATACAGAATCATTTTTAAAGCTTCTAACCACTAAATTATTCAGTTTTCCATCATCCTTCTATGAGAATAGTTTAAAGGCACATATCGCGAGGTGCGGCAAAAATTTAAGGCATTTGATGAACCCATTTATCGAGAAACAATATTCCAAACTGTCGATTTATCAAAACGTTTTTATTTTCGATTAAAATTTTTCCAAAAAAAGCAGTTTGATGTGAAATATATGCTTTATTACTGGTAAGCATCTGGCAGAAAAATAAAATACATACTATTATATACAAACGGTCAGGTTTTAATGCATTTTAGGACAACTATGTAGTAGGCAAAAAAATTTAATGGGTGGGTATCACAAATAATTGGCGCTTCAAAAATTATCTCTAATTCGTTTTTGACGGTCCGACAACTGGGCAGTGGTCCCGAGTATGTGCCGAGCGTCCAGTTGCCTTGCACACCGCGCAAACTTGGCAGCGAAGAAGTGGACACCTAGAAATCCTTAAATTTCCAAAAATCGACCCGAAAAACGGTTCCTACATTGTGAGAGAAGTGCCATCAATTCGAATGTGGAGATCATGAGTCGACCATGGTCCAAACGAATTCGCGGATGGCGGCTCCATTCCGATTCGGAAGCACTGCTTCTTGACAAGACAATAGCAGAAATCACAATATTTGGTTCGACTTTCGTCTGTGGGCTCCTAAACGGAAAATCTGGGAATTAAATTAAAATAGACGAAATTCTCACCTTCTGATAGCTGACAAACTTTTGACAAAAATGCATCTTTTGCTTAATCTCGCTGATATATTCCTCTTTTGTCTTCCCGTTCAGCACAACGTTCTTCATCAGCTCCTCGAGGGTACGACGCGCGAGAAGGAGGAACATTCCTCTGGGTTTGACACTATCTAATAAGTTCCCTTTCAGCTGAAACACGACGATTTCTTTTCTATTTTATAATTTAAAAAAACTGACGGCGATGATATCATCATCAGTTTGAATAATCGTTTTGGGGTGAATCGCGAAAATTGGCATATTGCACTTCTTCAAATACTCCTCATTGCTCATTTCTTCAGAATCAACCTGAAATTTAAAATACAATAAAATACAATTCGAAAAGATATTCCACTTTTCAAATTATTGTTTAATTTTCTGGGATTATTAAAGAAGATACAAATCCTTTTGATCCGGATTCCGGAATCTTCAATGATTCAAAATTAAATAATAGGCCAATTATCTAATTAATTAATTATAGGACAAATATCGGCTCTCGGAGTTGATGCGAATCTTTTGGACCCGATGCAATCCGGATGACTTCGATCAAAAATAATTAATAGATCAATTATCCAATAATAGTACAATTAGGGTATATCGAATCACCTAGCCTAGTTCTCAACAAAAATGTCTACAGTCTTAAATTGAAACGCCCTAATTAATTAATTATAAGACAAATATCGGCTCTCGGAGTTGATGCGAATCCTTTGGACCCGATGCAATCCGGATGACTTCGATCAATAATAATTAATAGACCAATTATCCAATAATAGTACAATTAGGGTATATCGAATCACATAGCCTAGTTCTCAACAAAAATGTCTACAGTCTTAAATTGAAACGCCCTAATTAAATAATTATAGGACAAATATCGGCTCTCGGAGTTGATGCGAATCCTTTGGACCCGACGCAATCCGGATGACATCGATCAAAAATAATTAATGGACCAATTATCCAATAATAGTACTATTAGGGGTCTATGGTAATATTATATAATAGATAATAATAATAATATAAAATCATACAAATATTGTAATAGACAATATACTTGTCTATTACCAGAGTTCCATTATTTCCGTGGTTCGACTCCTTGGGTTGCGTAGTTTCCTGTAAAAATCAAAATAATATTCAAATCATATTCATCTTAACTCTTAAAAAAAGACATACCGTTTGAGGAGAGCTCCATTCAGCACAGTTTGCTTTAATCCAGTCGCTGCGAGTCATTAATGCGGTCTTGAGATCCATTATGTTGAGGATGAGCTGTGCCAAGTTAGGTGACAAGTGAGGAATGCGCGCCGATCGCCGCTATTTATGGTCCGAAAAATGGGCGGAGCCAGAGTTCGCACATTTTGTCTGCGACGCCGCTTTTGTCATTATCTCTCGCCCATTTATGGTCCTCAAAGAAGGATGACAGTCGAAAAGAGACCATCACTCACCAAATCGAATTGGTGTCACCGAGTGATGACAAAGTGCGAAAGGATGAGGCAATATAAGAATGCAAAAGCGTGTCAGAGAGATATCAATTAGCTCAAACTGCAATATCTTAAAATAGATTAAAAACTGAGGAGACTAAAAATTTGTATTCTAATATAATGTTGACATTTGAAGTCATGAGAAAATAAATAAAAATGTATTTTTTCTTATTTTTCAGTTTACTTTGTCAAATGATAGCAAGCGAGAAATAATTTAAATTAACTTAAAAAAATAGTTTTCGTCGAAAAACGAAAGTAATATTTGACACCGCCTAAATTTAAAAATAAAAAATGCAGTGGTGTAAACACTTTACGAATAAATTCACACTTCGCCTACAGTATTCATTTGTCAGAATTATTTCCCAGCCAACCGTTTTCCTTCCGTATATTTTTTTCCTCATTTTCTATTTCTGGTAAAACATATAACAAAAGTTTCGCTGAAAATAATTTATTACTCATTTTTTCTCTCTGTTCAAATTTAAGATAAATTAATTAGGTAGCATGGCTCAGGAACAACGAGGGGGGGGACCTAATAAAATAAAATAAAATAATTTTTTGAACTGGAAATATGGGCATTTAATGCGGATAGAAGGGGCAGCGCTTTGGAATATGGGCACGAAGTCCAGTGGCGCAGCAGTAGGGGCAAAGCTGGCATCTCAAAAATGGGCACCTGCAAATCGGCATATATGGATATGAAAGAGAAGCGATGCTTACAATGTCATCGTGACACCGCGAACATTGACCATGAGGGGATGGGTCGACCATGGTCCGAAGCTCTCTCTCGGAGGGATCGGCACTTGCAAAAATTGGCAGCGCATCTTCACATAGTTATAACAGACACGGCAGCAGAATCGCCGGTTCGAGTATCGCTGAACACAAAATTAATTAAAGCTAGCTTTTCTCGAAAATTGAAATTCGATACCCTAGAAAGAAGGGGCTGCGCGAACTTCTGAAGGCGGTGCATGAGGCTCAGCATGACCTGATAGTTGAACACCCTCTCCTCGGCACTGATCGCTTCGGGAGTCGTCAACCATCGAATCAACAATTCGGCGATTCGTCGGGCGTACATCAAATCGAGAAGATTTGTTCTGGGATTCCCGCGAACCTTCAACGAGTCATTTAATTGAAGGACCGCTCGAAATCGGCTTACCACCATCCAGTCATCCTGAGAGCGACAGAGGCTCAAAATCAATTGGGTCCTATCGAGAAGCTGTGGCTGCGGCGAGTCCGCGATCGGCTCCGGCGTCGGGTCATCTCTCGCTTCACCCATGTCGATTCCAAACTCCTCTTCTATTGATCGATTATCTTCCGAAGCCCCCGAATCTCCCTGAACAAATTTTTGAAGTCGCAGAATTCAAAAATTATATAATATTCAACAATAATCAATATAATATCAAAATATCCGCTGATTGTCGATTACCATCGATCGATTCTCATCATGATTGTTGTTGTTGAAGTCAGCCATCGATTCGTTATGCATCGTCGTCGATTTAACAGCGGCTAGGAATAAGTTATGACAGGATCAATGAATGATTGATGCGGTCCACCTCGCCGCTATTTATGGTACCAAAAGTGGGCGGAGCTTAGCCAAAAGGTGTCGCGGAAGGAGGAGGTGTGAGAATGAGGACCAATTTCCCAAGTCGGACCCTCCTAATGGTTACCAATGTTCATATTATTAAAATGTTCATAATTCAATGAAAATTGATTGAATTGGAAATTTCGCTCGCTGGAATCCTTAGACATTGCTCCTGAATATGTATTCCAAATTTGGGAAAAATCGGTGATTATGCGAATTTTGGCAGATTTTGATCGAGTTGTGTCGATTCGTCAGGAAATTCTCAAAATAGCTCACTTGCATTTATCGGACGAACACTGAGAAGAAGTATTCGGCATTTTCCCGCACTTTGCAACAGAAGCCCGCAGAACTGTGTGCACAGATAAACGGCAGCATAGGCACAATGGAAGCATAATGGAACGGCTGTGGATATCATAGGAATCTTATATGCAAGTTATATGGAAGCATAATGGAAGCATTTTTTTGCGGAACCGCGTGTTTCGTATATGGAATGAGCCGTATGCCTTCCATATGGGCAAATAAGAAAACAATTTGATTGCTGTATTCAAAATTTATTTCATATTAACACATTTATTTAATTTAAAATAAAAAAAACAACAATGAAATGAATTTCAATTAAGATATAATCAAACCATTAGTTACTGGCAACTGCCGAACTATTCGAATCATTGTCAGTACTGACATCGAGCGGGACGCTGTAATAAGTAGAATTCATATCGTTCACACTTGGTTAAAAAGCCGTGTTATGATATTTTTAAAAACAACAACTATTGCTAAGAAATTAGGCAAAAGTCCTAATGCACATTTAACCTATCCTTTTTTCGCAAATATACGCTTGTAGAAAGAAACCGTTATCGAATTTTTACCTTTTCTCCACTTTTCCTAGTCGCTACACTTCGATTATAATGGGCCTATTAATTTGAAAAACTTGTAAACCATTGTTACGTAAACTAAATTTTTCGAGAAAATACAATCAGTTTTTTTTACATCAATAATTTTCTTAAAAATAAAAATAATTTATTTTTATTGCATTTTTGGAAACCCTTTAGTGCACAAAATAAAAAGTGAATTGGCGGAAGAAAGAACAACTCCAAAATTTGAAGCAAAAAGGCATTTTGGTTAAAATTTCAAAGACATATGAATACTCACATCTGAGGGTTGCTGGTAGAATCAAGCAGCTTCCTTAATTGCGCCGCGAGCGCTTCCGGCGCTACACCAAATTGCCTTTAAAGTCGTTGGCGCATTCTATCGCTTAATCAAATAAATAAATTAATAGTCATAGCTCAAAATCTTACAGAAGATTATCCATGACTTCTCGAACCATGCGTAATGCTTTCGCTTTGAAGTCATTTGTCGGTTGTTGCCCAAAGCCATGGATAAGAACATCTGTAATATAGATATTTGCAATAAAGTATAGGATCTTTATATAGTCGGCGTCTGGCGACTTCTGTACTAGAGCCCCACTTAAAAAGATAAATGCCACTGAATGATATTGGTACGAAGGCTGTACGGCAATCGGAAATTTCGGCGATTCGGCTAATGGCAAATTACCGATCGAAATTTTCTTCGGCAATTTGAAAAACCGGCAATTTCGGCAATCGGCAATTCCATTGCCGCACAGCCCTGATTGGAACCAAATAATCAACAAGCTTTAAACTTAGGAAGTACTTTATAAAGACTTCATTGCGCATATTTTTCTAATTGAAACCATTTCTGGAGTCGAACAGGCCAATTTTTGATGATAACAACTTACAAATTGCGCGTACGAAGGTTTAGGAATTGGCGTTGATTTTGTTGTTTGTGAGGACTGTGGAGAAAAATTTTTTTGCTGAGTTGGCGAGTAAATTGGACTATCTGGATCTGAAGTGTCGAGCGAATTTGGTTCCATGTTAGGGACTTCTGGTTCTTTGTTATTGACTTCTAGAGCAGTATCAGTTATATCTGACAACACTCTCGATCTTGTCTTCATCTGTAAAAAATTTCAAAACATTATGTTTTATTAAAAGAAAAAAGCGAGCGATAATAAAAAATATGTTAAAGTAAATAAAAATAAAACGGATTCGATGAGAAATTAAACACAATTCGATTGAGAAAATATTTAAATTCGATTTTAAAAGTGTAGGAAACGATTTGAAAACATCGTATCGATTTTAAAATTTTCGAATGATGATAAACATGAAAATGATAAACATGAAAATTTTTCCTTTATTTTTTAAAAACATTTTTCCTTTAATTTTGAAAAAAATTCTTTAATTTTTGACAAAAAAAAAAAACACAAAAAATCTTGAAAATTCATTGAGAAAAAGCAAAAGGACAAAAATTTTGAAAACGAATTTCGAAAATGTGAGGCGTGGCCGCATTGTGCAAAGCGGCGCACGGTTTTGCAATGCTGCGGCACGCCTCTTCTACGCGCGTCTGCTACCAGTTTGGAGCAAATTGTGAGTAGTTTGCGATGCCAATTTCGGAAAAACCGGCAAAAATATATTAATACGACTAAATTGTAGTTGGCAATCTTTAAACAAAGTGAGGAACAGTTGACTGAATTAACATAAATCTGAGTAACATAAGTCATTAAATGGTAGAAGCTAAATTTCGTCCGTTGTGTATCATGTAATTTTCAAATTTTCATTGTTTATATGATAGCATAAGTTTTTTGTATTGATTTTTCTAGAAATTGTCTTGGTCTGCCGTCCAGACGCCAATTGTATAATGTGTAATGATATATGATTATTTTATCCATATTTCATCCATATTCGTTCCACGGCTCGCAAACACCGGAAGCATATTCATCCCGTTTTCATTCCATCCATATTCGTCCCATATTTCTTCCACAGCCACTAAGAATTACATTATGCTTCCTATATGGAAGCATTATGCTTCCGTTCCACAGATTTCCCACAATACTTCCATTATGCTTGCGTCGCACTTAATCAGTGTGGTGCAGTGTTTTGATGCGCCGCATCTTCTAAGTTTACCATCGCCGTTTTGAACTCCGCTACCACACTTTTACCATTTTTGCAGATTAGTTCTACTTGTTTCGTTTTTGCTGGATCATTATGAAACTTGGCATGATTCATTCTAGTGTATTTTACTATCTGCATGCCAATTTTCAACCAATTTTATCCATTTTTGACGATTTTCATTTCAACTTCTACGCCGATTTCGAAAAGTTGGCAAAAATTTTTCAAAAATTTCAATCTCACCTATTTTTCTCAAAATCGCTACATAAATTCTGGATAATTTTCTAAGATTTTTGGCATTTCGGGAATTTCGATTCAACGATTTTCATCCGAGTTATGATCCTTTTTCCTAGCAACATATTTTGGGCGTGAAATTGTATGGAAAATTATCGTATGCGCCTTTAACTCCCAGAGAGTTACGGTAACTCAAAAAAAATTAATTCAAGTGAAAATAACGAAAACTTGAAATTTCAAAGAAAAAAAGTCTTAGAAAATTATCGAAAAAAAAAATTATGATCGGAGACGGCTTGGGAATTCTGGATGTTGTAAACTTTTGCAAATTTCGTTGATAACTTGTAGGTTGCATTCGTGGGCATTTTAATCATTTGAGATTGTTCATTTTTGGATTTTTCTCATTTTCAATGAATCAATGAACACAATTTCATGAAAATCTCAAAAACTATGTGCAATTACTATTATTTCAAATCAGCTTTTATTGTCTCTCACTAGGGGAGACGGTTCCAAAATTTCATATCGACACCACTTGGTTGAAATGGGTCGAAAATTCAAGGTGTACCTCAAAATTGGGTAATTAAACCAACGATGTAGGCACGCGACCGACCCTAGTCGAAACACTGCCGCGGACATTTAAGCAGGCCATCAACGACTCTACACGTTTCTTGAAATGAAAATCGTCAAAAATGGATAAAATTGGTTGAAAATTGGCATGCAGATAGTAAATTACACTAGAATGAATTTTTCCAAGTTTCATAATGATCCAGCAAAAACGAAACAAGTAGGACTAATCTGCAAAAATGGTTAAAGTGTGGTAGCCGAGTTCAAAACGGCGATGGTAAACCTAGAAAATGCAGCGCATCAACACACTGCGCCACACAGATTTGTCCAAGCATCGCGCAAACTGCGGGAAAATGCCGAACACTTATTCTCGGTGTTCGTCCGATAAATGGAGTTGAGCTATTTTGAGAATTTCCTGACGAATCGACACAACTCGATCAAAATCTGCATCAAAATTATGGTAATTTAAAAACGAATTTCAACAAAAATTCAGGCGTGATTTTCTCAAAAAACTATCAACAAACTAGCCGAAATAAATGCTTTATTCCTGAGAAGCATCTGGCAAATCATAAATATAAATAATTTATGGAAAAAAAACCGGTGGCGCATTTTCAAGTATTCATTAATATAATAGTGTTTTTTTTTTAATTGGGGGTGTGGCGAACAAATTAATATAAACATTTAGGGAAGAAATAAGGTCATGAAGCTTCGCATCTCTTGAGGGCACACAGCATGCGCATATTGTCCAGTGGCTCCGCATTTTCCGCAAATTTGGCATTTCAAGAACGGACATCTGAACGCCATTAACATTTTTAATTAGTTACGATTCGAAACGATGAATGACTACCTTGTCTTTCCAAGAAGCTCTTCCACATGCGTCGACCAGGGACCAAACGACGTTGGCGGCGGTGGGACCATTCGCATTTGGATACACTTGTTGTAGACGACGGCGTAGCACACCGTACAATATCGACAGCATTCCTCAGCGGTCCGCTGCAATTTGATTTTGATTATATCATTTGGAGAATTTCGAATTATACTTGATCCGAAGCGATTCCCATATATGATTGAATGGCGAACATTTTGTCGAAGATGTGGACGATGAAGTTGTCCATCGAGCGCCACTCGCAAAAATCGGACGTCGCCATTCGAACGTTGAGCGCCAGATTCTTCGCGTTGACGACGTTGCACGGATGGATCGACGGGTTGCCGAGCAGCTGAAAATCGCAAACTGATCAACTGGGGAACACCTCGGCATGCTCGTACCGCCAGCATGTCGTGAAACGTCGGATTCATATATTTTCGTGAGCAGCACAAATAGAGACGGGCGGTTCTTGTTGTCGGGCCGCGCGACGCTTCACTTGGAAGATGGCCTTCAATGGAATCGACTCCGGAATCTGAGCCGCTTGCGCTATTCGATTCGCATTCTACAGAATCCGATTCAGAAGAACAGGTCGAGTCGGCATAGGATTCGATGTAGATGGCAGAATATTCCTGAATATCCCAATAATCATTTGAAATAGAGATATGAAAAACATGTTCATCTTCCTCTTGAGAAAACTGCATATCGAGTTCCGAGTGATCCGAGACTGCGATGAAACTATCATCCAAAATTTGATGCGAATCGACGACCTTAAATAATTAATTAATATTTTAGAAAGGATTGGTTGCCTTCCTCCGATCACAATTAAATAATAGACCGAATAATTACAATTAGGTCGAAACACCTAGCCTAGTTCTCAACAAAAATGTCTATAGTCTCAAATTGAAACGCCCTAATTAAATAATTATAGGACAAATATCGGCTCACGGAGTTGATACGAATCCTATGGACTCGATGCAATCCGGATGACTTCGATCAAAAATAATTAATAGACCAATTATCCAATAATAGTACAATTAGGACATATCGAAACACCTAGCCTAGTTCTCAACAAAAATGTCTACAGTCTCAAATTGAAACTCCCTAATTAATTAATTATAGGACAAATATCGGCTCTCGGAGTTGATGCGAATTTTTTGGACCCGATGCAATCCGGATGACTTCGATCAAAAATAATAAATAGACCAATTATCCAATAATAGTACAATTAGGGTATATCGAATCACCTAGCCTAGTTCTCAACAAAAATGTCTACAGTCTCAAATTGAAACTCCCTAATTAATTAATTATAGGACAAATATCGGCTCTCGGAGTTGATGCGAATCCTATGGACTCGATGCAATCCGGATGACTTCGATCAAAAATAATTAATAGACCAATTATCCAATAATAGTACAATTAGGACATATCGAAACACCTAGCCTAATTCTCAACAAAAATGTCTACAGTCTCAAATTGAAACTCCCTAATTAATTAATTATAGGACAAATATCGGCTCTCGGAGTTGATGCGAATTTTTTGGACCCGATGCAATCCGGATGACTTCGATCAAAAATAATTAATAGACCAATTATCCAATAATAGTACAATTAGGGTATATCGAATCACCTAGCCTAGTTCTCAACAAAAATGTCTACAGTCTTAAATTGAAACGCCCTAATTAATTAATTATAAGACAAATATCGGCTCTCGGAGTTGATGCGAATCCTTTGGACCCGATGCAATCCGGATGACTTCGATCAAAAATAATTAATGGACCAATTATCCAATAATAGTACAATTAGGGGTCTATGGTAATATTATATAATAGATAATAATAATAATATAAAATCATACAAATATTGTAATAGACAATATACTTGTCTATTACCAGAGTTCCATTATTTCCGTGGTTCGACTCCTTGGGTTGTGTAGTTTCCTGTAAAAATCAAAATAATATTCAAATCATATTCATCTTAACTCTTAAAAAAAGACATACCGTTTGAGGAGAGCTCCATTCAGCACAGTTTGCTTTAATCCAGTCGCTGCGAGTCATTAATGCGGTCTTGAGATCCATTATGTTGAGGATGAGCTGTGCCAAGTTAGGTGACAAGTGAGGAATGCGCGCCGATCGCCGCTATTTATGGTCCGAAAAGTGGGCGGAGCCAGAGTTCGCACATTTTGTCTGCGACGCCACTTTTGTCATTATCTCTCGCCCATTTATGGTCGTGGGCCGCCGAAGGGTGTCGAAAGAGGTAACATCACTCGCTAGTTTGGAAAGATGGTGTGACAGTCAGAAGGAGGAATATACTATCCGCCAAACCAATAATAATTTTTTAGAATATACTATCCGCCAAACCAATAATAATTTAACGCGCCTTTTTTCTGCAAAACGAGAATTACGAAATTTCGAGCGGCATTTAAATTCGAAACAAATTTCTAGAGTACTAGATGAATACCGACGGGGCAAAACCAAAAATACCGTTCGAAAAAAAAATCATAAACGCTAATTAATTAATTTACAATTGAAAATGGTACAAGTGGTTAATTTAAATCATCAAACAAATCATTATCAATTAAAAAATTTTTGATTATTTGCGGCAATCGGAAATTTCGGCAATTTGCCGAAAATCAAAATTTCGGCTATTAAATGTTTTCAACGATAATTCGAAATATAAATACCGAATTTTCACGGTATCCCAAATTATTCAATGGACATTGATTTTTGTTTCGCCGATTTTTTTTTGATATCAAATTGCCGAAAATCAAAATTTCGGCAATCCGGCAATTTGCCGAAAATCAAAATTTCGGCTATTAAATGTTTTCAACGATAATTCGAAATATAAATACCGAATTTTCACGGTATCCCAAATTATTCAATGGACATTGATTTTGGTTTCGCCGATTTTTTTTTGATATCAAATTGCCGAAAATCAAAATTTCGGCTATCCGGCAATTTGCCGATCGAACGTTCTTTTCGGCAATTTGAAAAATCGGCAATCGGCAATTCCATTGCCGCACAGCCCTGGTATACAAAACAATCAAACGGCTACTGAATCAAAGAAAAGGAATCAAGTATACTAATTGTTCAAACAATAATATCCAAAGCCCGACAAGCTAAACTGAGGGCAAGGTGTAATCGGAGTGTCGTACTAGTAGCGTTTTTGGTAACTCACGCGGTGCTTTTTGAATCTCTGTGAATTTCATTAATTCGGGACCATCATGGAACCTTCAAAATACTGATATAAAGGTAAATCAACACACATTTCACACAGCTCCATTATTTATTCATAAAAAGTAGTATTCAGTAATCGAAATACAACAATGAGGTTAGTCGATCAATTAGTGAATGATTTGAAAATTACGAATCGGAGAGGAGAAAACGCAAAAAAATGCACAACATCAAAAATTTCTGACGATTATAATAAATGTATAAATAGACAATAATACGAATCAATAGCTCGTCGACGATGCCCAATGAGATGGTGGCGCGATTCGCGTTGGTGGCGATTGTCGGTATATCAACAATCAGCTGAAAATGGCGATCATTGAATTTTGGGGGAAATTCGCGTCACAATACATACATTCGGCTCAAAAGCACGAGATCGCTCCCAATTCATTTAAAACCCGCACCTCATTTTCAGACTTCTCCTCTTTACCGACTTTCGCCTTCTTGTCCGCTTGAACCTGCTCGAATTTCGACGACGCGCTCTCAATCATCTTCTTTTTCGACGAAGCCATGACGCCGTTGAACATCCCGGTGAAGTTGGTGATCTTCTCCGTTTCAAACAATGCCGCTTTCTTATCGAGACGCTCGTCCTGCACAAAAAAATTGAACACCAAATTAATTAATTAATCAACCAACTCACCAATAGCTCATAGCTTTTGAAGATCGCTTCAACAGTTTCGATGTTCTTTTGCGACGACATGGTTCAGCTAGCAAATAAAAAGAAAATGATAACTGACTGGCTCCCGGGAACGTCCAATGCAATTGATGGTCCACCCCGCCAAATGGGCGGTGCCACAGTTTTTCGCCGTCTAGATCTCTCAGCCAACAACACTATTTCGATTTGCCCAAATGGGATCAATTCGCGCTGCTGCGTGCCTATGGGATGATTGCTGCAATGACATAACAATTGAGCGTCGTTGCGTCTAGCCGATGGCAACAATTCCTAGCAATATCGATATTTCCACATATATATTAATAACGCGTTTATGCAATCAATACTCGGCTTTCATTAGGATTGGGGTGACTTTGAGGTCGGCGGCGATGTGCAGAACGGCACCGACGTCGGAATTCTTGCCGGGCGACGACCAGAGATTGATGAGGCGATGTCGCCAACACGGTAGGTAGCCGTTTCTTAAGCACGAATGACCTGAAATTATAGAATTTCGATTTTTTTTTCAAAAAAACTTTCTTCAAAAGCAAACAAGGTGATGTTTAAAATCCCGAATAAAGTACGAATATCTTCAAAAAACGCTCAAATTTTTCTTGAAATAATTCACATATTTCCATTCAATTTCGAATTTCGCGCCAATAAAAATATATTCCCGCGAAATTCAAAAAACCAAATGACATAATGCAAAAGAAACTAGGATTTTAAGCATTTTGCTATTTTTTTGGGGCATTTTTCAAAAAGAATATTTCCATTTCGCGTCCATTAAGTAATACATATTCTAATGACCCAATTCGAGTGTTTAAAAATAAGAAAAAAAAAACAGAATGCTGGTTCGCGTCGAAATTCATGGTATGCGTCTTAAATTAGGGTATTACCGCATTTTTTTGGTAGAAATAAACCGATAAGATTAAAAAAAATTTTTTTCGAACTGGATTTTTCTTACCTCCTACATTTCCCGATTTGTTTGGTCCTTTTAACCCCTCTCCCAAAAACAAGGCCAAGGATATTTGCAGAAACCCCCTCCGAAAAAAAAAGAACCCAATTTTTCTCGACAACCATTCGCCAATAAATTTCGAAAACCACCAAATTGAGTCGCGAAATGCAAAAAGACACAAATCAAAAAAACAAAATTGGATTTTTCAGCGTTTGGCTGTAATTTTCAACAAAAGAAATCCACACCTCGAACAATCATTGAGACACCGACGCTTTTACAGCAAAGCTTCACCGCCTGTCTGCCAAACCAATCGCCGCGACTCTCTGAAACGATTTTCAGAAACCGAAATTCGATTTCAAAAAAAAAAAATGAAAAAGATTCCTACTCATATGCGGTCGGTACATTCTGACATTATTTGAAGGCTGATTGAATATCAAATGATTCTCGAGTTGAGTTAAAGATGATGGAAGAGCGGGTCGATGCAAATTGCGAAGGTTCGATTTGCCCTTCACCTAGAATTCAACAGTTCATCATTTTCAGTTCGTTCACGTTGCGCTCGGGTTCACCAATGGCGAAACACCGCTATAAACCGCCAATATCGAATTGCCAATAATTGCCGAAAATGGCATTTGAGCGCACATTCTGAAAATAAAAAGACAAGGAGCATATTGGAGAGAAGAAGCTGTCTACCTTTTGACACATGAAGCCAATGCTTCAGAGATCTTCGGATGGAATCGTTGAGCCGTTGAGAATTGGAGGGTTTCTGGAGCGCCGCGTAGAATGAACACGTGCTCTGGAAAGCAATTCTGAAAATTTTGCCGAATTGTTTGCAATCGTTCGGCTCTGCGGCACCTTCAAACAGCAAATCAGCGCCAGACATTCAATCGATCCCGTCTCATCGCTATCAATTATTCCGCCGAGGAACAATAATCGATTTCTCGGCGGCCAGCCAGTGAGTTGAAGCCATCGATGCAAATTCTCATATCTGAAACGCGTCGGCTCAATTTCGCGTCGACAATTCTCGAATGCGCTCACTTGCCCCGAAGATCACCAATTACGGTGATCTCGCCGTCCAACTCGAGAAGCGATGGATCCGCGGAAAATGTGTTCGACGTTTCCTCAAAAAGCTAAACGAAAATTGGATTGACGAAAAAAGAAAAACCTCGAGAAGCTCAATCGCCGAAATCGGATAGAAATATGGGCCATGCTCAACGAGGCGATAGAGAAGCTCAAATGGTGAATAGATATCGCGATTGACGCGTTTGAGTTGATGATTGCCAACGGCGAATGTCATAACGGGCCTCGCGATGTGGACCTGGATAAACGAAAACAGCGATTTCGAGTTTTGGCGAATTTCTGATGAATCACCAAATGATGCATTGTGCTTTTCGACGACGCTTGACGAATCTCGCTTTTCGGGAGCGTTTCGTGCGACGGAAATTCTTTCTCGTTCTCGCGCTTCATATTTTCCGACACCAGCGTCAATATCTCGCTGGTGTCATTGATGTTCATCATTCCGGTAATATTGAGACGCGTCTCGAAAATTTTCGAATTTTTAAAGCAATTATTTTTGTTTTACAGCACCTTTCACGAATTAAACAAAAAAAAACTAGGTGGATGAACAAATTTGAATTTCGCGGGCTGCTTATTTATTGGGCTCACGTAAAATACTTAAAACTCATTAAATGAAACATTATTAAGGTCGAAAATCTCCCAAAAATTTTTTTCCATTTGAGACCCATGGCGGAAATTCAAATGATACAGTAATCAGTAACAAAAATCAATTTTCAATAATTTTGAAGGCTTGTTTTGCTTTCAAATTTCCCGCGCATTTCTGCTGAAAAAATTTTTTCACCAACATCACGAGCATTTTTAATATTGAATTCGTCGATGCTCTGAATGCTCTCATCAATCTCCGTATTATAGTCCATCGTCATGATATTGGCAACAGTTTGGCGAGACTGGATAATTGCTCTGAAAATTGATGCGTTTTTTTTGCTATGCTCCTTTAATCACGATGTTGAAGGTTTTTAGAATTTCTAGAAAAAAAAGATCTTACACGATGAACGCAATTGCTGTTATCAGGATGAAGGCGTATGCGAATATTCCCCTAACAACAATATTCATTAACAGCTTCTCGTACTAGAAATGCCAATTTTATGCAATTTTAAAATGAGATTTGTGGTCCCCACAATTGATTTCGCGTCACCTTCCTCCATTATATACATTTTTGGCGATGTGAATTTGTACTCATAATTGCAGAATGTATGCCAACAGCAGACCTTTCGAACATAAGCGACCTTGAAATAAAAATATAAGGATTAAAAAAATGTTTGTAAAAATTCGTTGAGCTATTTATTTTTTCCAAATCTCACTGGCAAAAATTTCGAAAATTCCCAAAAATTATCATTTTTTACTTCATTGTTGAAATGTGAATTATTTAAACTCAAAACTATAAAAAAATTTAATTTTTATTGAATTTGACAAAAAAATCTACGAAAATTCCAACAATTTCGGATTTTTGAACTGAAATTTGCGAGAATGTTCGGATATTTTTGATATTTTAGTCGGAGAAATTTTTTAAAGTCCAAAATGATTAAAAAATAAAAATTTTTGAAGTGAATTATTTATAAAGAAAATGAGTAAATTTTGTGGTTTTATTGGTAAAAAATACCAAAATTTTCGCTATTTTTTGAATTTTCCAAATTTTTCATAGTTTTTACCTGTCTTTCATTCACATTTTTCGAAATTAACGTATAATCGATTGTATATGGCAATCCATTGTTTCGAGTGATGTCGCAAGCAGTCTCACCCTCCTCTCTGAAAAAGTGGTCTTCAAATAATTGGTTGAAAAAAATCAATAAAATCGCTCGAACACATCACATCCAACCCGAATCGCCACATTTATATCATATCTTTCGTTATTCTCCTTTCGATAAATTATTTGCTTGTGAACGCACGAGGTTTCGCATTTTTTGAAGCGACGCTTATCGATTTGGGTGTAACATAGTAGGTCTGGAATTTTCTATCAATTTTTCGCCTTAATTTTCAGAAATTTTGTTTCACTCGAATTTGTATCCTTTATTATTTCATAACTACCAGTTGGGAGTTTAATTGCAACTGAAATTTTGAATTTTCAATAATTTTGAAAAAAAATTCTGAAACTTGCCATCTTTATAGTTATCCGGATTTAATCCTGTAAAATATTTTTTTAGCATTTTTTTAATGATCCATTTTACTTCTATATGGCACTATGATATTTTTACTATCAATAGAAGTCCAATTTTCCTCACAATGAACATTCTCGTAACAAATTTGAGTTAACAACAAGAAAACAATCGCGTACATCATTTTGGATATCAAAAATGAAATTTTTAATTTCAAAAAATTCACGCAAATGATTTTATTCGTCCCTTTCGTCTATTCGTCATTCCTATTTTTATTTCGATTTGAATTTGCTTGACGAAATTTACACATCGCTATGAAAACGGCCGAGGAGGGTGAATAAGAAGACCAATTTTTTGAAACATTTAGAGCTCAATTTTTTTCAGCGCAAGATGAAGATATCGGCTCGTATCATTGTGATTCAAATCGAGATCACGATCACTCAGTGTTTTCTTCAAAATTAACGTAAGAAATTCGACAAATTTGCTGACAAAAAAGAAATAAAAATAAAAATGTGTAAATTTGCGTCAGTCGATGGCGTTCTGCAATTCGCCTACCGTACCCAATATATTCAAAAGATTAATTTTTATTTCCATTTTCAGAAAAGTCGAAGAAAGCTATGTATCTCCCGACGTCATAATGGTGATGCGCCACTCGGAAAGAGTCGACGATTGCTGTCCAGGATGGATCGAAAAATGCAATAAAGCCGGCAAATACGAGCCGTTCGATTTGAATATGGTGAATTTTGTGAATTTTTCAACATTTCCCATGTTTTTTTCCAGCCCTCTCGCCTCCCAATAATTCGACCGCTTCGCGATTTCATGTGCGACACAATTCTAACACGAAGCGGCGTCGTTTTAGCGCAAATGGTTGGCCGCGGCCTCTATATGACCGACAATGTGCCAGGTGTCGATTTACGGCCATCCCATCCGAACAAGACCCGATTTCAGACGTGATCTATTGCTCGCCGTCGTTGCGCTGCATTCAAACCGCCTCGCTCGTCAAACAACTCTCCGGCAGCAACGCGCTCGTTCGCGTCGAGCCCGGCCTCTTCGAGGACTTCAAATACCCCAAAGGGGTCCCGTGCTTTTTGACGCCGATTCAACGCCACATTTTTCCCGTCGATAAAACCTATCGACCATTGATGTCCATCGAGAAGGTCTCCTGACAATTTGGGTGTACTCTGGGTTTTTCACGAAAAACGTGGCAACCAAAATTAATCGTCGCGAGACCCAGCGTCATTTTTAGTATTCCCAAAATTGATTTTGAAGCTTGTAAAAAAGGAACGCGAGAAAATTAAATGAAAATCCAGAAATTCTAAATTCTAAGTTTTTTTTCTAGTTTTAAATTTTTGAATATTCGAAATTCTGCGAAGCTCAATTTTTACACAAAAAATAAGTGTGTTTGCACACAATACATTTGATATGACGACAATTTGCCCAAAAATAATTAGTTTTTCCTTTTTAGGTCGTCAGCCGTCAGGAGACCAACGAGGAATACAACGAACGAATTCACACCGTGCTCACGAGCATCGCCGAGCAAAACGAAATCGTCGTTGGACGCAAAGAGCTCAAAGTGCTGATTGTTGCGCACGCCTCAACCGTCGATATGTCGATCGGGCTGCTCCGCGAGCGTCCACGATATACGCGCAAAGACGAGCTGCTCAACATCGCGCTTCCCGTTCCCTATTGCGCGATGGCTTATCTCAAAAAGGTGTCGAATTTCATTTTCTTTTCCAGCAAACCTTTCGAATCCCAATGATTTCCTTCAGAAAAAGGGCAACTGGTGCCCGAATCCGCACGCCGTACCGCCAGTCACCTACGAGCATCTCACCACAATCTACAATCCGCATTTTTTGCATCGCCCTTAAAGGAGTCGACACAATTAATCAATAAATATTTATTCGATGAAAAGAGCAATGGAAGAGAAGAATCTTTAATTTTTTTGGGGAAAGTCATCGGACGAAACCGTATAAGAATTTCTTGATGAAAAATTTTGGGGGAAAACGAAATTTATCTTGATTTTTTTTTCAAAACGCCGCTATTATGCCGAGGTGACCAAAGTGTAGATCATGCTGAAAACTCAAGATTTAAATTGAAATGGTTGAACAATCTTACGCATAGAGGTAATAGAAGAACGAGAGAAGGTAGAAAGCGAGTTTGATCCAGCTGATCCGAAGGGTCGTCGACAACGTCGAACGATTGAGAATGGTGGTCGGATCGTAAATTCCAGGGCCTGACATGACCGGACGGTTCGAGTAGCTGAAATCAATTTTTCTTGAGTTAATCAAGAAAAATGAGGGCGACTTACGAGTAGATGTGATAGATGACGAGTGGAAGATTGAAGAGAATCGCAATCACCTGCCAACTGAACACAAACAGAATCGTATAGATCCCCTGGATCGCGTATTCAGGAAGGATGAGCTGAATGATATTTGTCTTCAAGTGAAATAATATCTTATACTCCTTGAAAAGAAAAAAAAAACGAAATTTAAAGGATCATCGCTTAAAATGTCTCTAGGGTTTCATCGCGAAAACGTAAAAATACAATTTCTAATGACATTTGTCAAAAATTCGGCACCTGATTCAAATTCCGGCATTGCTCAATCGGATTCTTGTAGTCCGTACGGAGTTCATCAATGCAAATCACCTTAATACAATCAAAATGAATTGGAATATTAATTTTTTCAAAGTGCCTACCGTATAAATCGCGAAAAAGATGCAGAAACCGACCGCAATGAGGGCAATCAAGTAGCAAAGCGCTGCAAAAGTGAACGCCATTCCTAAAAAGGTAGTGAAATTAAAAATGACAAAAAAATAGTTGTCATGGAAACAACCAAAAACATAAATATCGAAAGCGTAATTTCAACGCCAAAAAATTATTTAAATAAAAACAAAACAAAAATTCTAACATTTATTTTGCAAAAAAAAACAGAGATATAATAACAAAAAATTGATGAATTTAATAGCTGCAGGCCGGCTGTAAATGAAAAATTAAAGACATTTCAGTAAAAATGAAAAGAAACATCGATGAGCTCTCGATTATGCATCGAAAAAAATTGGGTAGGGAAAAAAGAGCAACAAAATGAAATACAACAATGTCGAATATAATAATGTTCATATATAGATTTTTCATTTGAAGACAAAAAAGAAAACAACCAGCATCATTTTACCGGTACCGCCTAGTCGGAATTCTTCTCGTCCTTCTCAATTTTCGGCACTTTCGTCGGCACTTCCGGCCGCGTCTCATCATCGTCGAACACCGTCAACGCTTCCTGCTCGCGCCTCTCCGACGATCTCAACAAATCCATTATCTGCAATCCTTGCATTTCAGCCTCGTCGTCGTGCACTTCTTCTTCTTCCTCATCCTCATCCTCAACGTCGTAATCGATCGCGTAGGATCGCGGCGGCGCACTTGGCTCGTCCTCAATCAAATAATCAATGTTGTGACTGTTATGATCGAATCCAAAATGCGTCACTCGTCGCAATTCTTGTTCGATCTGAAACCAAAAAATAAATAAACAAAACAAGATTTGCAAAAAAAAATCCAAAAGAATCAACTCGAAAATCCGAACGTCGGCAAACACGCCCTAACGCCAAACAAAAATTCAAACCTCCAAAATTCTCTCGTATCCCAACAACTCGACAACCTGATCGTAGTCAATCTTTCTGATTCCGTTCGAATCAATCGCTTCCAATACCAGCGGATGGTATTCGTGATTCTGAATGTCGACAAAAAAATTGAGTGGTTCGAACACGAATCGCTCTCACCGATTTACTCAAATCCCACACCATTTGCCTCTCCTCATCATTAGTGCACGCCAAAAGCGGTGTGCTGTTCGATTTCTTCCACAATCCCATTCCGGCCTGGAAACGCAGGGCGTGCTTCGAAAAATGCGAAGCGCAAAGATAATGTCGGCCTTCTTTGGCGAGACGCTTCGTCAAATATCGATAGATCTGCGAGTTTCAAAAATACACAATCAACGACAATTTCGCTTCAAGACCACCCCCCCCTTCCCTTACCCATGGCTCTCGACACATCGCATTGATCCATTTCGTGCGCAGCTTATCGTCCTCCTCGATCGGAAATGGGACCATCGATGTGCAATCATCGACATGCGAGCACAATACGCATTCAGCCGTCACACCGTACATGATTCGGCGTTCGGCGACAACCGAATAAGGATCGACGTGTTTGTCGGGATAATGAAGGAGGCAGATCAACGCGGGTTTGCCGTGTTTCACCATTGCCGAAATGGTTTTTCGAATTGTCTGAAATCGAGGCAAACATTAATTGATTTTTTATTTTTAATTTCCGCCTTGGGTCTCGTATGGAAATTTTGCATTTTCTAGCTATCATGATAGAAAAGAGCACATTTTAAAATGAAATTTGAAAAAAATGGGCCCCAATTTCTCCACAAAATTTTGAGCATTTTAAATTTCAACACAAAATCTCACAGTTCTCTCGGCAGCGAGTAGGCACTCAGCCAGAAACTGCTTTTCCGATTCCATCACCGGACATCTCAAAAGCACCATGTCGGATTGCTTCTTCCAATCATCGCAAAGCATACACTTGCAAACCGAGTTCGGACCACGCGGCACATTCTCAAATTCATCGCTTTCCTGGAAAAAAAAACGAAGGCAATGACAAAATTTTATGGGAGAAGACGCTCAAACCATTGCAATCGGAAGTGCGCGATTGTCGAAAACAAAATCGCCGTCGGGTCGGACCACAAACGAATTGTGCGCAAAATGGTAGACGCACAGACGATAACGCGTTGCTTTTCGTCGCAACAGACGTTGGCGAAGCTAAAAATTGGCAATAAATTGCGGTGGTTTCGTTAAATCGCGCAATTCCTACCCATTGAACTTTTTTGATTTGAAATCTATGCGACTTCTCCGGCGGGAATAATGCTTCAACCCATTTTCGACTGAAAAAAAATTGAACACTTCAAGTTTTACGGGGGAGAAAACGATTTTATCACTGTCATTTCAAGTTGACTCATAGAAAAACAAACAAATGGGCACAAAATTGGTATAATAACGCAGACCGCAAAGAAACCTTGCATTTAAGGCCTCAATTCTGTACAACGTTATTTAAAGGCGCATAGGAATGTCTATTGGAACAAAAATAATTATTAAAAGATGTTTCCCCTAAAAAAGGCACAAGCTCCTTCTAAAAACATCGCGCAAATCAATACCCCTCAATTATCTTGGCACGTTTTTTTTTTTTGGAAAATGGCTGTCCATAATTGTTTTTTTCAAGGCGCATCGTGTTTGTCGGTAAAACGGACTCAAAGCGAATATTTTAAAAAATAAACTCTACATAGCACAAATCTACAGAAACTATTGAAGAACCCAAAAAAAATCATCAATTTCTTACCGCGTCTCATAATCCGGCGGAAATGGTACGACGAGATTCTCGGAGCTCATACACGAAACGCAAAGCACACAAAACGTTCTCAGCCATTTCTCCATCCGTTCGGGCAAATTCTACAAGAAAAAAACACAAAAAGTCGAAAACAAACAAAACAAAAAAGCCAATCATACCCTATAATCCAAATGCGTTTGACAAATATTTATCGGGCAAAAATGATAGTTATCCGAGAGATTTCCTTCAGTTTTTCGCTTCTGCCACAAAGTTCGCATCGAATCCTCGAAATCTGATGGCCAATCCATAATTTCAAGCCATTTTCGATGGCGATATCTGAAAGAAAAAGGGTGAATCGAATTTCAGGGCGGAGCACAGAAATTCTCATCGTACTCATCAAAAGGCCACGTTCGAAGTTCCGATTTGAAAGGATACACATTTCCAACCGGCTCGATTCTCGTGCAAACTTGACACAGCCGCTCCGCATACGGTATCTCTCCTATCTGTAAAATCTTTTACTATATAAGCATAATTGTTCCGTTTTTTTTTTTTTAAATGAGAAATGTTACCTTCTCTATAAGCTCATTCTCTTCATCGGAATCATCCGAATAAACGATATCATCCGATTTCGATGAGGGTCCCGGCTCACATTTCCCTATTATTATTTCCTTCTCAACAATATGTTGTGGCTCCTCCAACGCTTTTCCATCATTATTGCTTTCTGAAAATGTGGTTTAAGATTAATTTCAACTAAATAATCGCATGCACCTTGAATTACGGTGACTACAAATTCAAAAAAAAAGTGATTAGATTCAATTATTTGGAATTTTTCGCCCAAAAATAACGAAAAAAATTTCGATACCTTGATAATTCTGATCGATTATTGTCTGCATGTTTTCGGCAAGGAATCTCGTGAGCATTTCGGCATTATTCCTCTCCTCCATCAATTCACTGCTCTCCTCGTTGATCTCCCGACTGCCCGACAACGGCTTCGAGTGTCGATCGGCGTTCTTCCACAAATCGCCTTCCCAGAACATCATGTCGCGACATTTGTCGACGAGATAGATTCGTGTTCCGCGTTTGTCCGACTCTTCAAGCTGGAAACAACAAAAAAACAATGCTCAAAATTGCGATGAACAAAAAATTGTCAATTTACGTGAGGATCGGGGAGGGCATTCTTCAACAATCTCCATTCGCCGAATCCATTGATTTCAAACGAGCTGTCGCCGATGTGCCAATCGCACAGGAATTGAGTTACGCCGCCTTTTAAAGTAGCTTGAAGGCGTCTAAAAAATTAATTCATTAAAAATCGATTTTTAAAGGAATTTCAGCTATGCAAATAATGCCACCTTTTGAAGTCCACATCTCCATTTGCCAGCGTTTCAATCCATCTAGCTCGTTTGGCGCGATTCTGGAAATTTCTTCATTTTATTTTGGGTCCGGTTGCTTTATCAATTGGGAGGGTTGCCGCATTGGGTCTCAAATGGAAAACCTCTTGCAGATCAGATTTACATTTCAAAACTTGAAAAACTTCATTTTGATTATTTTTTAAAATTAAAATGATGAATCACGAGCTAGAATTGTTTTACGGGAACAATTAAAAATTTCCTAGCTCGAAAATGCACCTGCTACCCAAGATCAAAAGCATCTGCTAATTTCCTCACGGGTGGTACCAAAAAAAAAAGAAATCGTACCCGTATGAACGGGAGCATCGTGTTCAAATGTCCCTCCCTTCCACAGAATACGCATTGAACCAAAATCGTGTCGAAATCGAACAAAATATCTTCTAGCACCGAGTGTTGGCCTTCCGGCGGTCGTCGATCGATCGGAAAAAGCTGATTTCCCTTCATATGACTGGTGCCGGGAACGAAGTGCGCCTCGCAGAATTCGCCGCCGTGCGAACCTTCACAGGCGAGCTCTTTGAGCCAAAGTTCAGCCGAGCGCTCCTCGTCCAGATTCGATCGCAAAATCCACACCTTTCTCATCTGAATATTGTCAAATTTGGTAATAACACAAGATATCTCGCCTACCCGAAGATCACCAGGTAAAACTCGCAGTTTTCCGACGACCTTTTTCCGGCAAACATGACAATATTTCATAAAATCGTTCCTTTTCGTATATTCTTGCTGTTTGTACCGATCATAATAACGCGTTTGAGTGTAGTCGATGAAGCCCTGCGCTAATCGCTGCCGTTTCGTACTATTCATTATTCTAAATTCGACGATTTTGATATTTGTTCGTCTAGAGCATTAATGCGACTCACTCTGACATTGTTAAAGCTGGGTTTAATTGTCTCATTTGAGGACCAGACGCGCCAAGAAATGGCTGATCAACGGTTTGCTAAATTCAAACAAAACATTCATGCTCATAAATTTCTTTAATCAAAATTACTTCCTGCTCAGCCTGACGCAAACGGTATTCGTTGTATTGCATTTCTTGAATATAACTTTTCACGGTTTTCGGTATCATTGCCGGCGCGCTCGGCTCAGCCTCCACTAAGTCGTTGGTGCATTGTTCCTGGTAGAAGAAACATTTTTTTTAATCGACGAGAACAAAACTCACTTTTTGCTCCAGACTTTTTCGCGCCGTGTTCGGCTCATCGCCATCAAATCGGGGTCGTTTTGACATGACGTATTTAACAGAAAAATTTCATGCAGAACACTTAAATCGTATTTCATAAAATTATCATTATTGAATAAGGTTTTCGTTTCAAATAGTCGGGATTATTGACGTGAGAAAAAAAAAACGCGTGAATTTGATGGCTGTGGAGTTTGACGATTTTGGCGGCCACGCAAACCGCGGCCACTAGGGGTCCAATTATTGAGAAATTTCGATCAATCGGGTAATCAATGGGAACTTTAATAAATTGGACATTGAATTTAATTACTAATCGACGCTTTTAAAAATTATCGAAGATTTCAACAAAAAATACGAGGATAAAATAGAAAAATCGATTTTCGAAAATAAAACGCTATTAAAAATTCAAATTATAAGAAATTCGTATTTTTTAGAAATTCACAACGAGTTTTTGTGATTTAAAATAAACTTTTAAATTAAACTCAGCACAATTTATTATAGAAACACGGAAAAACGAAAGAAAAACGGAAAACGCTTGCGCTCAAGAATTTAAGCGTGGAAATAAGGTTACGGTGAAATTCAGACGACCGTAAACACCGGCTACCGTATTTTGCATTTTACTTGACGAAAGTTATTTCATTTCTTTCCCAAAATAAATGCATTTTGCCGCTAAAGTGGTCTCAAATAAAATAAATCTTGCAAAAAGTGGCATTTAAGCTCTTTTTCTTTTTTCAGAGTAGTTTTTAAAAGCTAAAACCAACAATTCATTTGTAATTGCAAATTCAATAAATTTATATTATGCTGGCGCAAATAAAAGTGAGAACATTGTTATGCGCAATGCGAAATTCAAATATATGCGGTAAATGTTGTCTGAAAAAAAGAATTCCACTTTTGAATCGAATAGGCTTCATTTCAGATTTTTATATTTTCGAATACAAAAATTTAAAATATTCAATTTCGTCTCGCAATACTGGCATGCTGGCTACAGTACGACAACTACAATATCAAAAACAAAAATTTATGAAAACTATATCTACAAATGCACAATCTGAGCACGTATATTCACCCAAATTGGTTCCTTAAAAACATGGAACCCATAAAAATCAATAATATATTTGCTCTTTTGGAACGAGAGCGCCGAGGCATGGAGCGACGTAGTCGGGAATCATGTCGTCGCGTTCGTTCATCTGATTCTCGATGATGTCCTCGATTTGGTGGCATCCGGAGAGCACGAGCATCGTTTTGAGGCCGTGATCTCTTCCGAACTTCACATCGGTATTGGTTCTGAAACGAAATTGCTTTGAGGTTTGTTCGTCAAAACAGCGATTCTCTCACCTATCGCCGATCATCATTGTTCGAGCCGGATTGATATTGAACTTTCGCTTGATGTAGTTGAATGCCGGCGTGCACGGTTTGCCAACAGTCAACGGGTCGCGTCCCGACGCGCATTTGATGGCCGCGACGATCGGGCCGGCGTCCGGAATGACGACGTCGGGATTCGGTCCCGGACACGTCTCATCTTCATTGGTGGCGATGAAGAGGACGCCGTCTTCGCGAAGATAGTTGGCAGCCTTCATCAGCTTGCAATAGTCAAAGTACTTCTCATAGCCGACGACGACAGCGCCAACGTCGTCCTCAAGTTTGATGTCGTACATGAACGCTCCAGCTCCAAGCGAATCGACGTCGCTCTTCTCGGCTCCATGGCCGAAGTATTCGATGCCGAGCTCGTCCATCTCCTCGCGAAGACCCTGCTCTCCAATGAGGTACACCTTCTTTCCATTGAGTCCGGCTCGATGAAGGGTGTCAGCCACCACGGCGGCGGGATTCACCAATGTGTTCTTATTGAGTTTTGCGTTGTACCCGAGTTTCGCGAGCTTCTTGGCGTACACTGCTCGCGATTTGGTCGCGTTGTTAGTAAGCACAATGATCTGCTTGTCGTGCTTGATGAGGTATTCGATAAGTCTTGGCGATCCTGGCATCACACCCTCTCCAAGCCAAAGGACGCCTGCAATCATTACAATGGGTTATTGCAAACGGATGGCTGAATCTCACCGTCAGCGTCGAAGATGAACGTGTCAATGTTCTTTATAAGCCTTTCAAACGACTTGGATCCCAGTTGAACAGTGGATCGGCATTGTGGATCGAGTCCGGAATGAATGGACTTCTCATTCCACAAATGATTATTGTTCGAGGCAGCTTGAATAACCAGTGGGAATTTCATCGCAATTTTTTGTTGATAAATTTTCAACCAATTGGCCCTACTTTTATACCACCAACTGTTTTCGTCTAGTCGTCATTGATAAGCCGCGGAGACGCAGAAACATTGTTTCACGTGAAGTCACCATTTCGGTCAAAGGGCGTTCTGAAACTGAGAAAATGACGACATATTTTTTTCTATTTTTGTGTGCTCGATTTTTTATGATGCAAGTGCCTATTTTGATGGTGCAAGTGCGTGTGAACTCTTCCGACAGGTTAAAAGTCATTACAAATTGCAAAGATCCATTGATATCAATCGAAATCAATCGCCAACATTTAGCAAAGCCGATTTTTGATTCTTTTGAAAAGAAAAATGTAACCGAAATTATTGTTTATCAAGCAATGTTCAAGTAAAGTTGTTACAAAAGCATTGTTAAATATTGCTTAGCGAATTCGTCAGTCAAGGAAATGAAGCATGGGAATGATTTTAAAACGCGTAGGCTTGATTGGAACATCTATAGTGTAAAGGAATAGCATTGCAAAAATTGAAAATTGGGAAAAAAATTTCAAAAAGTTGAAAAAAAATTCAAAAACAACTTGCATCCATTTACGATAAACGTCGGGGTGAGCCGTCAACCTGGAGCATCGTATTCCTAATTTTTGAAAATTTCAATGGTTTTCCATCAATTTGTAATATTTTCTTCATTTTAAATGCTCAGATTCGTCTTATACGTTACTCTACACTCGAAAAACACTCTCGAGTAGCAGAATTACGTGCAAAATGGCACCGACAAGCGGAAAAAGCACAGGTCACATTCTTTTTAACCCTCCGATACGTGATAATCCATTTCTACTAATTCGCATCGATGAAAAATCTTCGCAATTTATTCAAATCAATATTCCCAGCGAGTATCGAATTCCAAAATGTGAGTTCTGATCATTGCGTTTCATTGGTCTCACCACTTTATCACTATCACAAGACGACAATTTTTAAAGATTGCCTTCCTCGCTCATCTATTTCTCTTCATTTCTTTTCGACCTTCCGATCAAAGTACATTTCGCTTCGTCTGTGTAGTCCATCATCGCCAAAAATAGCGAATGACGTTAACATCGGTGTTCGTCGTCGCACGTGAATTGTTGTCTGTGTTTTTAAATCACTGATCAAAATTGTTGTTCTCGACCCGACAAAAAAAAACCCAACAACGGTCAGTCCATCTTTGAAAATATCTCGTGAGCCGCGAAAAATTGCAGCTCTCACGGTTCTCATGGGGGAAACTTCCCCCGATATTTGGCACCTTGCAAGTCAGGGGGAAGAATCAAACTACATACAATAGTTGATACTGTAATTATGAATCGACTGAGCAAATATATAATGCGGCATCCTTTTTATTATGGAAAGGGTCCCGTTTGCCGAAAATGTAGTCTTTGATACACATTATTACTTTTAGAGGTCAAAATTTTCCAAAGAACGAAATTTGAGCCACATTTCGCCATTGCTTCTTCGTTTTTTCGCTTGTAGGCGAATTGCGATTCATAAATTTGACTGTCTCGGTGGCGACGAAGATGATGCCGTCTTCGCGAAGATAGTCGGCAGCTTTCATCAGTTTGCAATAGTCAAAGTACTTCTCTCTTTGAGCGGAATTCAGCCTTCCGCATATTAAAAATATGCCTTTCCGCTCAACTCTGCTTCACATAGCCGACGACGACAGCGCCGACGTCGTCTTCAAGTTTGATGTCGTACATGAAAGCTCCAGCTCCAAGCAAATCGACGTCGCTCTTCTCGACTCCAGGACCGAAGTGTTCGATGCCGAACTTCGTCGTCCTCAACTTTGATGTGATGTCGACTTCTGATCAGGTCCAGCTTGTCGAGCAATGCTTCCTCACGTTTTATACATACATGCATACAGTAAACTATCGTGACCAAACCCAAGACCAAATAGTTAATTATCATCAATATGCATATGACCCAATCCCATTTTCTCAGCTCTCTCCTCATCTCTCGACTGATCTCACTACGTCATAATCTTTGACCGCACCTCTTAATGAGAATATGAAAGAGAGGGGGAGAGAGAGAGAGATGTTGTCTGCGTCTAGCGATCTTTAAAATTTTTGAAAATTTATTAATTTTTTTTGGCTACAATCGTGTTCACCAAAACAACATGTTTATTGACTTTCAAAGGTTGTGCTGATTACAAAAATAACGCAATTTTTAAACAAGATTTGTAATTTTTTTTGGAGGCGTTTTAATTGCTACAGTAATGATAAGATAATGCGCGGCAGGAAAAAAAATTTGATTGGTCGCGGCTACTGTAGATTGACGAAATCATTGTTGCGGCGGCCGATTCGAGTAATTTGAAATAGGCGGAAGAAACTTGAAAGTCGCATATCTCATTTCGAGGCTTGACATCGAGAATCAATGATTCGCAAATCGTCTGAATCCGATTTACATCATCCATCGAAACAGAATTGGTTTGGCAACGTCGCACCACAACGTGAATATGTGCAAAATTTTCGACGGCTGACCTCGCACTTCTCTGCGTCTCTTCTAACCAAGATCACATCTAATCATATTCCATATTTGGGTAATAAGATATGCGAAGAGAAGTGCTCTAAATGAACTCTGATCGGTAGGGTCGAAACAATCGTCGAGAAGGTCTCGAAGCGAACGAGAATGCGCTTTTCAAGGCCTCCCAAATGAAATCGACAATATTGGAATAAGATCGGATGCGCCTTTAAATGTTTAAGAATCGAAAAATTAAAGCATCACATCTTAAAATGTATCATACGCGCCTTTAAATGTCCCGCAACGATTGATCGTAGGAATTTCCCCGAATGTTGGAATGCGCCTTTAAAAGTCGTTTAGCAATATAGTGAAACATGACGTATCAATTACGCTCCTTTAATGTGGTCTCACAACGAAAGCCGGTCTTCTATCGAAACTATAATTCTAGAAATAAAAAATATCGATTTTTATCGTATTTAACGAGATATCGAACCTCCCCCCCCCATGCGATGATCCTTTAAAGGTCTCATAGCGAAATGTGCACTTTGCGTCGAATGAAGCCCTAAACGAATAGTAATGCGAATAGTCGTCGCCTGATTTCTTATCGCAAGCCAGCTTTTTCGTCGTCCGAAAATAAACTCGTTACAATCTTTAAAGATACCACCAGACGACGCCGACGACGACACAAATCACCTCCGGCGGCGGTTCCACGAAGGCGACTTGCAAAAGTCGAACCAAAAAATTTTGTGTGCGACGAAGACGCAGAGAGTCAGCGGTGGCGATTCACGTGAATCAGCGACGACCCGTCATCGTGTCCCACCGAAAAACGAAAAGAGGCCAATTGGCACATACTATGCATTATTACTATTATTAATGATGGCAAAGAGAAAAGAGACACTTATTGATCGATCCGATCAATTCAATTTTTTTTTCTTGAGCAAAAAAATTCCTGACATGATCATAGTTCAGTTATCTCTCATTTTTTTTCTTCGGAAATCATCACATCTTTAAAGATGGTGTCGAGTGAACATTTCTTATCAATGTCGACTTTTAAAAGATTGCCCATTGAAGAGACGCCGAGTAATTATGGGGTCAAAAAATCAGATTCGTTGATGATGATCAGAAATTTGGAGGATTCAAATTGGTTGAAAATGAATTCTGGGGCCCTCTGATGAGATGGGACCAAAAAGTGGTTATGGTCCAATTTTTGAAGCGAGCCATCGACGAAATGATTTTGAATTTTGAAATTGTGAGAATTGGAAATCTGGAATAGCTAGAAATGGTGAGATATGAAAGACTTATTGAAAAAACCGACACCATTTTTGTTTTCATTAGTATGCGCCTTTAAATTCGAAATAAATTGGTTTGGTTCGTATGCGCCTTTAAATTCCAAATCTAGATTTTTTTTGTGAACGAAAGGGACCTTCTTAATCAGATCCCTTTCATCAAAATTTCCTACCAAAACCGACTTTTTAAAAACAGAATTTTTTTTTAATAGAAGAAAACCCAAAATTTCATCAAAATCGAAATTTTCTTGCGAAATTTTTTTTCCGGTGAATATTTCGCGATTTTGATCTACCAGTTTACCACAAAATGTTCCCAAAAATAAAAAAAAGCAACCGTCAACTGTTTTTTTTTGAAACTGGTCCCGAAACGTCATTATTATTATTATTATTAGCGATCTTCTTATCATATATGCACTTATCAAACTACACTCAGTTACTGGATGGTAGTTGAAGCTTCGATGTACATGTATACATCATACATCGCTTCTTCCTTGTTCCGCGTTTTCTGTTCACGTGAATCGACCCCCATCGAATACAACTTTAAAGATTAGCGTCTCGTCGTCTGTCGTCCTCCGACTATCTCGTTTCTTGTCAAATCACGCCCCCTTCCACCCCCCCCGCCGGGCCGCCCCGCCCCCCTCCAATCAACACCATCGTTTGCTCGCGCCCCCCGACACCATATAAAAGGCCGAGCGAGTTCGCGACGAACACCAAACCATTCGGCCATCTCCATTACTAGCTAATACTTGTCGATTTTGCAGAAGTCGCCAAACAACGCCGAAATGAAATTCCCAACCGTGTTCGACACTCGCCGCATGCTTGATGATCATCCGTTGAAGTCGGGACTCGATCCGAATTGTCGAACAACGTCGCCGTTGTGTCCGGACTCGTTCGCCAAGGTTATGAAGAGCATTGACACGTTCATCTTCGACGCTGACGGTGAGATTCAGCCATCCGTTTGCAATAACCCATTGTAATGATTGCAGGCGTCCTTTGGCTTGGAGAGGGTGTGATGCCAGGATCGCCAAGACTTATCGAATACCTCATCAAGCACGACAAGCAGATCATTGTGCTTACTAACAACGCGACCAAATCGCGAGCAGTGTACGCCAAGAAGCTTTCGAAACTAGGGTACAACGCAAAACTCAATAAGAACACATTGGTGAATCCCGCCGCCGTGGTGGCTGACACCCTTCATCGAGCCGGACTCAATGGAAAGAAGGTGTACCTCATTGGAGAGCAGGGTCTTCGCGAGGAGATGGACGAGCTCGGCATCGAATACTTCGGCCATGGAGCCGAGAAGAGTGACGTCGATTCGCTTGGAGCTGGAGCGTTCATGTACGACATCAAACTTGAGGACGACGTTGGCGCTGTCGTCGTCGGCTATGAGAAGTACTTTGACTATTGCAAGCTGATGAAGGCCGCCAACTATCTTCGCGAAGACGGCGTCCTCTTCATCGCCACCAATGAAGATGAGACGTGTCCGGGACCGAATCCCGACGTCGTCATTCCGGACGCCGGCCCGATCGTCGCCGCCATCAAATGCGCGTCGGGACGAGACCCGTTGACTGTTGGCAAACCGTGCACGCCGGCATTCAACTACATCAAGCGAAAGTTCAATATCAATCCGGCTCGAACAATGATGATCGGCGATAGGTGAGAGAATCGCTGTTTTGACGAACCAACCCCGAACCAATTCCGTTTCAGAACCAATACCGATGTGAAGTTCGGAAGAGATCACGGCCTCAAAACGATGCTCGTGCTCTCCGGATGCCACCAAATCGAGGACATCATCGAGAATCAGATGAACGAACGCGACGACATGATTCCCGACTACGTCGCTCCATGCCTCGGCGCTCTCGTTCCAGAACGCTTCTAATTTATTCAAAACTTATATGTCTTTCGTCGTTCGAAATAATTCACTACGTGTATGTACATTTACCCCTCTTGTCTACGAGACACTCGAATCATTTTCGACACGTCTTTTCTGAACTACTGACATAACTACTAATGTAGGTGACATTATCCATATTGGAAAAATAAATCATCTGAATTTTTTTTATTACATTGTAATAAGAAAAACAATATATGAAGTTAATTCGGGGGAAAAAAAATGAAAAGGTCCTAGAAATAAATAAAAAGGTCCCGTTTAGAGATTCGACTTCACCTCGTTGTCCGACTTCTTCAACGGATCAACACCAATCGGCTTGAGGTTGATTTTCGGCTTGGGTCGGCCATAGAATGGCAAAGTCTGTCGCAATTCCTCGGAATGCTCAATTTCCTGGAAAACAAACGCAATTTCGCATCAAGACCCCATCAGTGTACCTTTTGTTTGCTATCAGCCGGTCTACTCTTGATAATCTCGGCAACTTTTTCGGGCGTCTCGTTTTTGCCGTGCACAATGACGGCCAATCGTTTTCGTTCGGCGGCATCTTTGCCGAATTTCCTGCAATTTTTTTCAATTAGCACCTATTTTTGATGGCATCAGCCAAAAAAAAAAACAATAGAATCCTACTTGTCGAATAGCGCGAGAACATCCTCCTTTTTGATCTTCTCGAGTATCGCAATCTCCTCGTTTCCTAGAAAACAAAACAACCATTTGGATATCAATAAGGGTCAATGATATTACTTCGATCAAAATCGTAGAGGCGATTCTCAATCTCCTGCCAGAATCGCCGGAATCGAGCTTTAAGCGTCTTCGGCTTCTCCTTCAATTGCGCAATCATTCCAGCGACTTGCTGCGCGAATTCCTCATCGGGCATGTTTTGAATGTCGTTCTGCAAAGTAAGCATTTTCAGAAATTGACGTCTTCCGGAACACATCGACGAATTAAAGGCGTAGCAAAAAAAAGAATTCCGAATCGCTCACCCTCGTCTTTTGCACAAACGCTTCAACTCGTTCCAACACGTGATCAGCGCTCTTCGGACCTTGAACAAGAAGCGTGAATGAGAGTGTTCCAGAAGTGATGCGATTTCCAGCCCAAACAATGTATCCAAGTGCCTCATTCGTTCGCAAAGTGTTGAACGCCGGCTCGCGAACAATGAACTCAAAGAGTCCGGCGACGGCATTGTCAAAAGTGTTCTAAATATTTAAATATGGCGGGAATTTGTCTCTTTATTTTTTCAACATCGAGATTTACTGGTTAAAGGGACATCGCATCGCACCAAGACCTCTTCCTCAATTTTTTTGGGCGCTTAGTCAATACTTCGATTTTTCCTCGAAATTTTACCTTCTTTAATAAAACTGTTGGCAGAATTTGGCGAAAAACTCCAAATACCTATCAAAACTAGCCTTTTTTACTCAATTTCCAGTTCTTAAAATTGTTTTTTTTCTCAGAATTTTGCATAAATACGCATTTTTGAAATTTTCGATTCATAGGCATATCAATAAACCAAAACAAAAAATTTACCTGCACTCCAATCTGATAGATAACTTCCACACAGGAAACTTCATGCGTATTCTGGTAATGCCTATAAACAAGCTCATCGCCATTATTCAACGCGCATTCCCTTCTCGGCGTGTATTCATTCCAATAAAGCGGACGGCTATTCTTTGTGGCATTCTTCAAAATATTCGTCACATCACTTCCCAATTCCAACGCTTCCTGAAAATTGATTGGTTAAAAAAAATTCAATTCTACATAATATCCTCAGACGATCTCAATTATTACAAAAATTTCTTAAAAATGTTCCCTGGCTCTAAGGTTTTTATTAATCAACTTTAGAAAGCATTTGAAAAATTGCATCGAGACATTTTCGAAATTTCAGAAAATTTTATAAAATATTTAAAGTTTGTTATCAATTCTTCATAAGTTTTATGACATATTTTTTCAATTTTAGACAATTTCTTATAATATTTAAAATTCTTAATATGTTATTGGAATATTACAACACATCAGATCGTTTGCCTGAATAGCCTGCTAACTCAAAACCAATAGGATCTTAATTTCTTAAATTTATGAAAAATTAAATCGAATCGATAATTTTACAATATGATCCGCAAAAAATTCCATTCCGGATCCCATGGGTTTTAAGCTTCAGTCATATTCAAACCTTTTCTGTTGAGTTTCCGTGAACAAAAAGCTCGACATGGAACGCCTTGAGCATTTCCTTCGAGAATTCTTCAACATCCCTCTGATTCACATCTGAATCACGATGGTTTTTAATGATAAATGATAATCGACGATCAAACCTGCGCACACTTCCAACAGTTGCTCTTTGCTCCAAGCCTTGTCCGAGAGCAAAAGCGTCGCAAAATGTTGAGTGAGTGAATACGGTTGAGAATGCGAGAAGTTCGATAGTGCTCGTCGAAGGGATTCAAACAGCACATGGAATCGCGTTGAGTCTAAATTTTAGGGAAATTTCAGAGATAATCTTCCAGACGAGAATCCTACCAATTTGGAAGTTTGTCATCCGATTCACGAGATGCTTCACAAAAAGCGCCTGCTTCTCATCATACCCGGAAACCTGGAACAATTTTAATAGGAGTGTTTCATTTTTTTTCAAGAAAAAAAGCAAAGCTAAAACAAATCATGCAAAAACACAGGAAAAGATTAGAAAAAATAGTCAAATTTTCAATTTTTTGGCAAAAAATGCAACAAATTTGTGCATTTCTGTTCCGAAAAATCCAGATTATTCAAAAACTGACAAGTCGCGTTAAGTGTGTTTCATGCAAATTAGAAAACGAAAAAGAAGAATTGGTAAGAAAATCCACAAACATGCAGGGTTATTGAAGCAACACGCTCATCCACTTCACGTCGTCTTACTTTCATCTGAACACCGAATGGACCGGCGTCAAGTTGGCATTTCAAACCGGCAAGATCAGCATTGTAGGTCTCCTCAGCAAGAGTATCCTAGAAAAAAATTCGCCAAATGCGGAAATATTCCTTCAGAAAAAATTCAACCAACACTGAGGCACCACAACCAAAGGCTCGATAGTACGGCTTTTCGTGGATCCTGCGAAACGACTGGAGTGGTGAGAGCGAGTTTCGTCTCAGTTTTCGGCATCTTGAACTCATCATCCTGCTTGAACCACACTCGACACCATCCGTTCTCACTGATCATTCGGGGAACCTCGCTAAATCATTTCCAATATGAATAAATGAATCAATCTGCCAGATAGTTTGAAATAAAATCGACTTTTCTTAAATTTTGCTAAATTTTCTATAAAAATACACGAATCTTTTTAATTTTTTTAAACCAAAATATAAGCGTTTCATAATCGAAAAAGAAAGCCAAGGCCTTTGATGTTGTACCTCTTGATTGCTTCTCTCGGCTTCAAATCGAACTTCGTCGGAATATACTCGTTCTTCTCCGGCATATGCAATGCCGGATGAGCCGTCACGCGCGCTTTTCGGAATCGATCGATCGTGCCATTGGGAATCTTGACAACGCGAATCTCAGTTCCGTAAACCGGCTCCTTCGTATTTCCCTCCTGTCCGGCAAACTTCTTGGCAACCACACGATATTGCATGTTATCCGGACTCAATCGTTTCAGCGATTCCATGATTCGATCTAAAACGAGATAAATCAAAGGCGACGTTTGGTAAATTTTGGGTGGAAAAATAAAAAGCTCAAACCTGGATCATACTCAGTCATGAGGTACTTGTACGAAAGAATATCCTCAAATGGTGTGTGCTGAAGATCGGCAGCCACCGTCGTCGCCATCGTGATCGGATTCTCCTTGTCTTTGAATCGGAACTTCATCGCGCCGAGCTCGGCAAGCTCGTCCTGCACCCATTTCTGCGGTCCAACGCGTTCCAGCATTCCGATGTAGTTGAAAGCAAGCTCAATAATCTCTTCGGTGTGTTCAAGGCCCTCTGAAAACTTGACATAAACGTGTTTCTCGGAAAAACTAATTTTACCAGGACTAAGGTCAACGCTGATCTCAAAAACTCCGTACCCTCTGGCGCTGGTGTGGTATCCACAAGACAGCGAGCTCACCCAACCTCGACGCTTCAATTCCGATAGAAGCGATCCGGGACCCTCATGGCCAAGAAGATGAGCTGGATATCAATATTGATTTGAGGATGAGCCTACACACATTGAAACTTACATATATAATGCTCCGGTTGTGATTTGTAGCCTGCTCTCATATCCGGAAACGGAAACGCTATATTCAGGTAACGATTATCCTTGATCGGGACCACCTGAAACCTCTTCCGATCAGTTCAAAGCTCTCGAGTTTGACACCCACCTCAACCCGCCTTCCCAGCTCTTCGGGACCATAAGGCGATTCCAACCATTCCTTCCGCTCCAAGTTCTTATTCTGAATTGCGTCAAACTCCAACGTTCCCAGATATTCCTCAAGTTCATCCAATGACTCTTTTCCAATAACGCAAAGAGTCATTCTAAAACAAAGAAATTAATGTAAAAATAAAAAATAAGGTCAACTCACATATTCGAGCTGTACCATTGCTGATGGAATTTCAAAAGCGCTTCTCTCGGCTCAATGCCTTTCAGTTTTGCGTCTTCCCAAAGGGTCTTCTGAAAGAATTTCAACATTGAAGATTTGTTTGTTTTATTCCACCTTGTTGCCAGTTCCAAATTTGCCATTGTCATGGCCTGGCTTCGAAAGCGATCGATCGACTTGCATGGTCCGCCAACTGTCGTTGTTGAGATTGTTGGAGTGCTCGGAGTCGACAGCGCACACCTCGCGCTCGGTGGCGCTTTCTGTGAATTGCGGAGCCAGGAAGAATTGCACAAATCGATCAAGAGCACCCTTAAACTCGTATTTTTTAATTTTTTATGGTAAGGAGAGCTTAAATACCGGCAATTGTTCGGGCTTCACGTCAAAATGATAATTGGTGTGGTCCGAAGCGGTATAGGCGTTGGAGCTTCCTGCGTGAGCGGAGAGAAACTAAAAAAATCGATCATCTTTTAAAAAAGAAAATGTCAAAATTCACCTTGGAATACTCATTTTCCGATGGATACTTTGCTGTTCCCAAGAAGAGCATGTGCTCGCAGAAATGAGCAAGACCTGGAAGCTCCCACGGATCCATTAGATGACCTGCAAGTCGGTCAATGAATTGGCACCCGAGAAATCAGAAGCTGGTGAATTGGCTTACCGACGTTGACGTCAAGCGCAGCTGCCGACTTGTCCGTGGTAGGATCGGAAACGAGCAAGACGCGCAAACCATTCGTCAATTCCAGACCACGATACTGAAAGGCGAAGTTTGACAGCGATCATTTTATCGGTTCGAACCTCTCTCGCGTCATTCGCTGGCTTATTGATGATGTCATAACGATTTAGAACGATATTCTTGCCATTGTGAGACATTTTCGGCAGCGGATTAGCAGACGAAATCTCTCGAACGAATCGGACACGTGAAATATTGCGGTTAGGGGATTGTCTGAAATGAGATGATAAGACAGAGTGAGAGAGAGAGAGAGAGGAAGAACAATAAAAAATTGGCGAGGGTTAGTTAGTTTTATTTTTTGCGATTTGATAATTGATAGAATAAGTAACAACAAACAATCTTCGAAACACCGAAATTCCGGCAAACCTGAGAAGCGGCGTGTAGCATTTTGTTGATAGGCAACGCTTGAAACTGTGAGCAACACCGCCTACATTTAGTTTCGACACCAGTGAAAGCGACATATAAATGCGAACCCTGGAAACAATTTGAAAAGAGTGAGGTGAAACCGATAAAAAGAAATTTTCGAAGAAAAAAAAATAAACGAGAGAAAATAACAAAGAAATTGATGACGTGTTGCGTTGTTTCAAAAGAGAATTGCATTTTTTCCATCGGAAATATTTTGTTCTCAAAAATGACACTAGAAAAGGCGGCGAGTTGGAAATAATACGTATGCCTACAGTACGTGTTACGATGTGAGACGTTTTTCGAATTTTAATATGCGCCTTTAAATTTGTTGCGATTTTTCTCCCGCCGTTTCTTTCTATCAATTTTGCGCCAACGTTTGCCTTTGTGACTGCACGAAAAGAATTTTTATTGGAGTAATGGGATCATCATGATGATGAAATCGGTTTTTGAGCACTATTCGGACGACAACCTTTGATTTCTGTCGATTCGCTGTTATTCACATGGACAATGGTAAATAATAAATATCGACGAAAAAAAATTTCGAAGAAAATGCAAGCAAACGACCGGCAAATTTCTAGGCCATTTCACCAGATATTCTCGGCCACATGTGAATTTCAACACAATTTTGCAAGGCAAGCTTTTTTTATTATTATGAATTTCACGGAACACAAAACAATTACAGAAACGAACAGGAGATTTTGTACTCAATTAAGCATACAATATGTACATTTTAAAGCGTGAGACCAGCTTTTTGTGAGATCTCGTGGTAGTCGATGCAGAATGGCCCACAATGTGAATCTTTTTTTTGGATATACATGACGGCGGCGGTGGCGAACGGCATCTCGAAGAGCACGGCGTCGCACAGCGAATTTCCGTAGGATTCGTTGAAGGCAGGCTGCTGAAGAAGGCGAGTGATCTGAACGGCGCCGACGCGCTGGCCGACTTCCATGAAGCCGCCTTCGCCGACAGTTTGCCCGGTTTTGCACGCGACGCATCCACCGAAGATGATCGGCCGCGGGATGTCGGTGAGGAATCGCGCGATCACAATCGGAGCAACGCATGAATGAAGGCCATACCTGCATTTAGAATTGCTCAAATTTATCAAGAAACGATCAAGTTACCAATTAAACATTCCCACATTCGGGCACTTCTTCATAAAATCGACGACGGTGTTCAACGCGAAATTCGACGACGAGAAGCAGAACTCGCGAACCGTCTTCAAATCCTTATAGAGATGCTTGGTGATGGCGTCCACCACCAGATCCGAATGAATGTAGACGCGCTTGAGACTCGCCGAAAGCAAAAGAAGCGCGAGATTTTCGACGTTTTGACACGGCACATCTTTTTTCGGGCAGAAGAATAGTTGAGTAATCGATTTGGGAAAACCAAACTCCTTTTTCACCGAATGATTGAAGTTGACCACATCCATCATGTCGAGGCTATCGATTTTCGAGCCTTTGAGAAGCGGCCAGAATTTTGAGAAATCCGTATCGTACGCTGGATTGCTGATGGCAAGACGCTTGAGGTTTCGGCACGATTGCAGCAAATCATAGACGCCGTTCGTGCAGGAAAGCGCGCCATCAAAACAAAGATTGTCGACCTTTGGAAGGTCGAATTGGTTGAAAATCGTGAAGACATTCGTGCTGTAGGAAAAAAAATGTTAGCTATAGATTTTCAGCCAACTTCACTTACTCTTTCTTAAAATTGTTGAATCGCATTGAAATGAGCTCATCGCTGAAGACGCTCATCAAATCCTGAAGGGCCAAATCCAATTTTTTCGAGTCGCATGAGAAATGCGAATGGCAATGAGCTCTGAAATAGAATTGATTGAATTCCTAATTATCAATTCTGATCGCCATACTTTCCAATTCGGAATTTCGCCTTTCGATTTAGGATCATCTCAAACTCAACTTTGTTTGAGGAGATGCTCTCCGTGGTGCAGCATGATTCTTGAGGAAACGTGATGTGCAAATGAGCCTGAATGAAATTTTGTGAATTAAAATTTAAAAAAAAATAATTTTCAAGGCAAATTGTTTGTGAATAAAGTGCTCGCCACCGCGACCCTTCCCACAACGCCTACTAACAAGACATTTCATGGAATTCTATGTTAGCAAAGGTGTGTGAGAATGGTCGAAGCTCGATGAACTGCAATCAACTCGACTTGCTCACCTCATAATGTCCAACGACGAATCCGATGAGGTCGCGAAGTTTCGTCGACGTCTTCGAGAGCAGGCAAAGGCTGGTTGGGTGATCGACAAGCTCGTAGGTGATCTTCTCCCAAATCTCGGTTGGAATATTGACGGTAGTTGTTGTAGACGAAGACGACGACATATCCGTAGGAATGGCAACGCTCTGACGACGGTGGTTGCCTTTTATATGAAAACGTTGCGTGAGATGATGTAATAGGCACGGCAGGCACGGCGAGGTTGGGGCCTAACGCGAAATAGCGCGCGAATCGCGGAGTGCGATGCGAGATAGGAGGGTTCAAAAGCGAGGGGCCTAATCGAAACAAAGAGTTTGGGAGAAGGACGCCAATATATTTTTTTTGCGGTGTAAATGATTTGCTACTAAATTTCTGGGAATCAAATGCGATGATATGAGCTGACAATAAAAAATAAGCCGAGTTTTCCTAAAAACAAGAAAGGAAAATTGAAAAGTCGGGCCTAAATTTAGTCCTAACTGCGATGCCTGAAAATCGTCGCGGGAGCCCGCGCGAAATTTTTGTGCGCGCGCCTTTAAGCGCGTTACTGTATGTTATTTTTTTTCTTCAAAAAATCCAATTCAACCTTTTATTGTCGGCCTAATCATTAACAAACTCGAATTAGCGTGTGATTTTTGCAGTTTCACGTATGAAGCCAACGGCGAATCTTCTTGCCGATAGGGGAACGCTGTGTAAACGATGATCGAAACGATGACAAGCGCGGTTCCGAACACGAACAGAAAGCCGGGCGTGAAATCGAAAAGCAGCCACGATCCGATGGCGGCGCCAACGATTGCCATGCTCTGCAAAAAACATTGTTTTCAATTTTTTTCGCAAAAAATTATTTTTAGCGTACTAGCGATGACGAAAACAAGAAGATACGGCTAATTTGTCATTATCATGATGCAATTTTGAACTTTGCGTTGAAAATTGGTCAATATAGTCTCTTTATAAAAAAAATGATAACATGGCAAATGTTAAACTGTTAAAAGTTCCTAGAAAATACAAAATTCGGCCATAATTTTTGGATTTGTGTTATTTTCCGGTTCGAAATTCTAAAAAATCAAATCTAAAACGGACATTATTTGTAAGAATATATTTTTTCGCATTCAAATCTAATTTTTTTTTCTTGAATAAAATTCAATTTCCAATTTCATTAGGGGCGAGACCTCATCAAGAATTCAAAAAAACATAATCTTACAGTATTCCTAAGGTATACGTGTATGCACCTTTAAATTTGATATCTAGCGTCTTAATACCTAAATCGTTGCGAGACCATGCTTAAAGGTACATCTATACATACGTCTTTTTAGATATACTTTTTAATTTAAAATTTTTCCATCGGTCCAAATAATTGTGGAGAGACGAATTGGTTGAGACCAAGTTTAAAGGCGCATGCGCATATGATATTGTTAAGAATGGCCGAATTTGGCAAATTTGAAATGTTGTGTTTAAAATTCCTAAAAAACTATGCTCTATCATATTAGGTTGGTCAAATTCAGCACAATTCGCTCCAAAGAGTTTCTCCATCTGAGACCAAAGGCGGCAATTCAAATGGTCCACCCCAAATTCGTCCACATCTCTGACTAAAGCTTATTTCTCAAAGCCGAATATCACGTAAATATCAAAATATGTAATGATGCCTACCTGAGCATAAGCCTTGAGAATATTATCGGCATATTTGATAACGACCGATATCAGAATTCCGCCGATCGAATTGGTGACGGTAAGACAAACGACGACAATATCCCATCCGCGAAAAGCGCCCTCTGAAAATGAGAAATTCCGACAATTTGTACCCTTCCCTCAAACGGGTGGGGTTCATGTGTACACCACTTGATAATTGCATGCGTTTGGGTTTCGTTTGGAGCGGCAGCGGAAAAAAACAAACAAAACAACGAGGCTCGAGCATGTGCAACAAACGACGGCACAATTGGGCGCGCGCGCGCGGCTCGATCGCAGCAAACCGCGAACACAACAATAGCCGGTGTGAATCAAATACACTATGTCAACCGGGGCAAACAGATCCGTTGCCTTGTAATGAATGATATTTCGGACAATGAAACCGGCGGGAGCAAAAAAGAAGAAGCCGGATTCGCATTCCAACACCTTTTTTTGGCTGCACTCTCCCCTCAAAAAAAAAAGAAACCTTCATTGATCTTTTCCCAGTCGTAATACCACATGGTGAAGAAGGAAATTGGCAGACCGATGAGAGCGAGTCGAATGTTCTGCATCCAAATCGACGCCGAGCTCGTCTTCAGCACCTTTTCCAGGTAAACGCCTAAACGAGAAGCGTCGAGTGAAAAAAAAAAGAAACGACGGCTCTACCTGCGAACGCTGAGGTGAAGCACATCGTGAGCACCGATATCAAACCCAACATCGGATTCTGGTGGATGTTCTCGCTGGCTGGCGGCGGCGAATAGATGATTTGAATGTCGGCGACGCCGAGAACGAGAAGGCACAACGCGATCCACTGTTTGCTGGAGAGCTTCTTGCCGAGAAACATGTACATGAAAATGGCGGTGGTGAAGATTTTCATTTGATATGTGATCTGCAATTTTTGTTTTATGAGTCTATAAAAAATAATGATTTCATTTTCCTTTAATTTGAAATATTCAATTATTCCAATGACAAAAACAACGAATACCCTGTTGTAGATTTACGATGAGTTTGATTCGCAGATTACGGTACACGGTGTCAAAAAACATAGTTTCCGTCTTTTAAAATAACACTGCTCACCGGCGTTACCATGGAACGATTTGAAGAGCAGAGTAATTATTTCAAATTTGAGTCAGGAGCTCGTTTTTTGAGAAAAAATAGGCAATTTCAAAAAATCAACAATTCATTTTTGTTGTTTCGATTCATTTTTTCCATCCATCCATTCATGGTTCCCACAATTTAAAGGAGCATACGAAACTCACACAAAACGTGGTGGCCTCCAAATGCGACAACGCGATATAATACAAATTGTTTTGTAGGGTGTAGATGAGCGCTGGAACGCATACCTTGAGCGTCTCGGATTTATTGTCAACAATGCTCGTTTTGAGCTCGTTGATGTACCTGCAAAGCGCAACACTTGAGTGGATCAGTGACTCGAACCCCAAAAACATGATGATCACAAATAAAAGGCGACGCGCGGATTTGAGAATTTACAAGCCGAACGAACGACAAAAAAAACAATAGCAAACTTGAAAATTGATCCGTTTGAGTAGATGATGATCGATGAGCACACAACAACCTTGATTATTTCCATTGTGAACACGTTCACAGTCGTCAGGAACACCTTGGAGTCCTCTCGGGCTCTTGAGTATCTTGCCATTAGCGGCATACTGAAATTTAACTATATATATGTGACATTGGCATTAGAATATTACCTGGCTTGTTGTAGAGTGAGTAATAGTAAACCAAAGTACTTGAAATTCGCATCGTGGCCACTAGGCGACATTTTTTGGCGAATTGACGCTCCCGATGAAGCTGGTGGATGAGTCGACGGAGATGCATATCGGTTGGCGATCGATTTCGGACGATGAGATTGGGATCGGAGGCGCGCACGGTTTTGGGTGTGCGTTGTAGGAATCGGCAAAAAGTTCAATGGTTTATTGGATTGTGGCAATTGATGGGGTTATTATAGTTTGAAATGAAGAGAATCGCAATTTTTTGAGGAGTTCATGAATAATTGAAATATTTCGAGGTGTACGCAGCTTTTTTGGGGGTTTTCAACTCCCAATTTTCAGAAAAATTTGATTGAGTTTTTATCTGATTTTTTCCAGACAATGAAAGCCAAAATTCGGATTAAATTTGGGGAAACAGTTTTTAAAAAATAAAACAAAAAGTCTGCAATTTCGCGTACGGTGTTTGCGGAGTCCACATTAATTTTCAAACAATTTTACAAAAATTGTTTTGATTTTCAGCTTTTTTTTTATTATTTTCTTCGGTTCTGAGAAATTATTTTCAGAAAATGGAATCGATTATTAACGTGAATCAAGCGTAATGAATTGTTTTGAATATTTTTGCAAAACAAGGTTGGTATATTAAATCGAACTTTTTTTCAGAAATTGAATTTCCTGTTGATTCATTGATCATGTTGATTCGTGCCAATCATCGCATTTCGGTATTTCATAGCCATATTACACATTTTTTTCCATTTTGTCCACTTGCAGTCCCTCGATATTGACATTGGATCACAAAGGCGGATAAATGTTTGGCTCTTATCAAAAATTATCCCGTCCGGATTCGGGCGGCATTATTGACCGAACGGTAAATGAGACAAAGACAAAATTGTGGGGTGTCATCGGCATTGAGAGCCGCCCGAAATATCCTGGCAAACGATTTTCATCGATGTCCATCGGTGTCCGCGCAATCGCCCCCTCTGCTCGTGACCCTCTCATCGCGCCGCGGCCGCCGCCGCTTCTTCTTTGCTCATAACCGCCACCACCCGCCACATCGAACGCCCCGCCCATTCATCACTGTGCTTCTCCCCGCCCGATTTTTCGCGCAACCGTCTAAGTGCGTTCTGTTTTCTGTTCTGCGTGTGTGTGTGCGTTCGCCTCTGGCGCACCAAAAACTCCCCCCATATAATATTCATATTTTTTGTTGGCACCGATCATTGTTAGCATCGTCTCGTCTTGATTCATTCATATTGTTGTGCTTTATCGTTGAAGCTTGACGGAATGCGCCACATCGCTATTATTCTTGTGCTACTACTATGTGCCGAGACGAATGCCGGAGCAGGTAGAGACACTCTTTTAATATCGTTTAAAATTTTGCCAAAAAAAAGGTCATAAAGATTTTTTGCCCTCAAATTTGTAACTCAAGAATGATCATTTTGAGAGTGGCGTGAAATTTTGTGATGAAAATTTTCGACTTCCCATCATCCAGAAATCGCCGCCGCCGCAAGACTAGCCGAATTCGTCGGCCGATTGCGCAACCACGCGCTTATTGTTTTTAGAAAATGCCGAAATGATATTCGAAACTGGCCGCAAATAGTCAGCGGCCCGTGAGATACATACATAATAAATGCACACACACACACACACAAACTTGAGGACAACGAACACACACGCATTTGTGTTTGTTTCTTGTTGCTTCTAATATTGCAAAAGAATGTTTCGGAGGTAGTGTGGAAAGGTGGGGGGGGGTCTCCAGAACGCGCCGAATTCCATAAATAGTATGCATTGTTTTTTCTTCTATTATATTCTAGCAGTTTTCATTCTTGCGATCCCAAAACCGCATCAATTTCAATAGGTTTTATTGTTCTTGAGGATGGGGGGAAACGCATCGAGGTGTGAGAATTCGCGGTTGAGCAAAGACAATGAAAAAGTGAGGTCAGTTGAAAAAATGGAAGCAAATAGTGCAGCACTTGGTCAACATTTGATATGATCCTGATTGACCAGTTTATATATATTGGACGAGTCGGAAATTGTCCGCAGGTGGAATTGATAAATTTGAAAATTTGGCTTGATTGATGTTATGACTTACAAGAATTCAATCAACTAGTCTACCCTTTTTGGTCTCAGCGCGAAATTCATTTGTTTTTTTTTTTCGTGTCGCTTTTGACTAGTTTTTAATGTATTTCCTAATGGCGGAAATTCAAATTTTTGAAATAAAATCATGTTAAATTGTTTTTGGAGAAAATTCTATTTTTTCCACCAAATCTTTCAAAAACTAGGATTATTTAATTTTTTTGCTAGCCCTCAAATAGTCCGCAGATGGTTTTTAATGAATTAAACATTATTTTGATAGTCAAACTATGGCTTAAACGAATTTCCAGGATTTTTTCACAAAAAAATTGTTAAGAACAAATGAAGTTAGTGAAAACGCAATTTTCTTTCCAGCATCTCGCCAAGCGGCCGTGAACAAAGCTATCGAACAAACGAGATCGCGTCTATCGCCGGCCGCGCAGCCGCAACGGGTCCCGCAAAGAGCCAACGTGCGTTTGAATGCCGAACAACCGACCACGGTAACCGCTTGAACTCCGATCTTTGCAATACCTATTTGAGAATCGTTCGAATGGAAACCATCGCCCAATCATTTTTATTGAAAAAAAAAATTGTTTTGCTCGGAAAACTGAAAACACGATATTCAAGTATTATTGAAAAGATCGCCACTATCTCTAATTTATTTTCATTTTTTTCGCTGACTTTCATCGATTTTTGTTTTGCCGATTTAATGATTCGTTTTCTTTTTGTTGTTGCTGCTGCTAAAACATGGCTAAAACGTGCATGCCGTTCTAAAATTTGGTGATGGTGGCGGGGCAATTTAGACTAGAACATCAGTTGTGGCATGACTCACCATAATTAACACTCGCTAATTGCTCCTAATTAGCCGCAATTCATATTGTAGTCGAGCCCCGGAAAAATGGAGTCGCTCGACGTTGAACGATTGAATCGTTTGATACGAGCGCTTGACAGAACTTGGGTTCTGCCGAAAGCCGGCGCCAAAGATCCAGTGGGAAGCAACTTCCAGGTTGAATATGAAGAAGCCAGGGAATCTAAAAAGTTTGTATATTCAGTATAAGAAGACTTGCGCTTCAATCTACAAGGCTCGTCACGGCGCCTGCCAGCAGCTTGGATTTGGTGTCATGTGCTTCAATTACTGTCATGAGCGAGGTTGGTCCATGAAATCGTCAACGGACCATTGGCATTGATGTGTTTTAGGTGAGAAGCTTGCATTTAAATGTCAGGACGCCTCGGATGCCAGCTATTGCAAACAATCGGGAACGTTTGATACATTCCTCGCCAAATATCGAAAAGACGGCTATAAGGCGAAAGCCTATATTCATCAGATGATCTCGCGATGCTATTCGACGACGATTTGCAACACCCAAACCGGAATATTGAACTCGACGATCATTGATGAGGATTTTGAGCCGGTTGAGAAAACCACAAAGGTATGTTCAGCGCTTGCTGCGGACAGTTTTTTTTTGTGAATCTTGATTTTTCTTTTTTTGCGTTATTCCACCTTGGTTCTCGTCAATTTCAGTTTTTTTTTGGGATTTAGGTAAATCGTCTGAAGTTGCTTACGAGAAAACCGGGAAGCCCTTTGGCGTTGATGAAGCTCAAGACGAAGGTCACCACCACTACCACTGAATTCCCTGAAGTTGAGGAGGTTGACGAGGATGAGATGGAGGCGACGACGACGACAAGAAAAGCAAAAATTGTCAAGGTTTTTGAGTTTTATTTCATTTTTCGATTTAGTTCTGAATGGATTAGTTGTTTTTTCATTGTTTTGAGACTTTCACGACTAGAAACGAATATTCGATGTTTCAGAAGAAGCCTAGCGGAAGCCTGACTCTGAAGACGAAGCCGACGCCGGCGCCGGAAAATATTCCAACAACGACGAAGGCAAATATTTGGGACAAGTTGGTTTTTTTCCCTTCCCCTGTTCCATATTTGAACCTCGACCAAGATTCCCTCAAAAATGGGAAGGAGCTCTCTTGAGCTCAAGTGTGTTGAGCGCGTGCGCCGACGCGGCTTCTCCTCTCTTACTCAACGATTAATGCTTTTTTTTTGTAGGTTCACGATTGGGAACAAGGCGAAACCGACGCCGAAATACATTCCATTCTGGCAGCGATTAATGTCGACGACATTAAAGCCGACTGAAGATGAAGCCGATGTTGAGGAGGAGGCTGAGCTCGAGGAGGTGACGTCGACGCAAGCCGAAGAGCCGAGCACGACCCTCACCACCACCACCACCACCATCGTCACCACCAATGAGCCGTCGACGACGATGGAGATTGAAGAGGAAACGACGGAAGAAGCTATGGAGCCGATAAAAGTGGTGCAAAAATCGAATCCGGAAAAACATACGTTCAAACCGCTGCCGGTCACCGTTCCGCAACCGTTTGGTCCGGAGCTCGCCCATCAGAAGCCCAACGAGGATGTGGCCGCTGGACCGGGATTCTGGAATCGATTCCAGCCGAATCGCTGGTTCGAATCGATTCATTATGTGACGAATACTGGAAAATAAGTTTTTCGTCATTTTCACCATCATTTCTCTCTCTGTTCCCAAAAGGAAAATATTTTTTTATTTCAATTTTTCTCAGGTTTTTTGGGGGAAACCAATTGTTGTCTGAGAAAACACCAATATTAATTATATATTTATTTATTGATATATTTTTTTTGTGTACTTTCGGGTATTTTCGTGTGCCTTTCACCTAGCAAAGTATGCCATATTGGCGCCTCACGTCTTTCACAATTAATTAATTAATTATAATTAAAACGTCGCCAATAAATTTGAATGTCATTTTTCGAAACAAGATTATTATGGGTTTGACGCTTGGCGTTTTGGCTGAAGCGTTTTCGCATTATGACAAGGTGTTTTTTTTTTCAAATTTCGCGCCGCAAATTGAAGATTTTCTAGAAAAAGCATGCTTGGATCAATTATTGCGATATGAATCAATACGTCTATTTTGATGTTGGATTTGATAAGGGGGTCCCGTTGGGAAGGTTGGCGTGGCGTTGCGCCTTTAAATGATGAACGGTTTAGAGTGGTCGTTGAAGTTGATGCGAAGGCGTTCAAATCGCTTGGCGAGACTTTCATCAAATTGGCGAGAGGCGATTACAAGGACTCCTTATATGGCAAGAAGCTCGAGTTCACCAAAACGAGTTTGCATTATATTTCGTCGACGCGCAACTTGATAATGGGCGGAGATGTGCTGGTGCGTTGCGGTCGCGTCGCGGCTTGATGGTTTTTTATTTTCGAAATGCGCCTTTAAAAAGAGGAGACAATGGAAATATGGATTTTTGAATTTCGATAGTTCAATTGATAATTTAAATTTAAAGGAGCATGACAATGTTAATTTTTCGGAGCGAAAAGGCGGTCGCTACGAGACCCAGATTTCGGAAAAATGTTATTTTTGTTGTTCGAATAATTGGCAAATTTTTTGAGTAAATGCAATAAATTCCAAAATAGAATTTTAAAGACGCATAAAACGGAAAGCTGGGTCCTGTGGCGAACCGAGTTGTGTAAGAAAAAGAAATCAAAAATGGTCGTATCCATGGAGCGCACTTGCCGCGATTTCAGTTCAACAATGGCTGCGGCGGTTGCGCGCCGACACCCTCAGGCGTCTGGGAGGAGAAGAATAGCACATCGACAGTGGATTCGACGTGAGACCACCGAAGGCACAGGTTTCCAACAATTTTTTCTTTTTTTGTTTGCAGACGCGGCAAGGTTGTTCTCCTCGCTTCCGACACGAATCCGAATCTGTACACGTCGATATTCTACGTGATGCTCGACGCCGCCGAGAGCAGCGTCGTCGACGGTTGTGTGATTGGACGTGTGAGCGAAGGCATCGAGATTCTCGACGACATCGTTCGACACTATGGCTCGCATTCGGGCGTTCCGAAAAAATCAATTCTTATTCACAAATGCGATCATTTATAAAGTGCGGCCGGTGTTGAACGAATATTTGTCGCCGTCTTTGCCGCACATGTAGACATGATTGCCCGACGTCGCGTTGCGATTCAGCGGAATCTCGCCGAAACCGTCGACGTGACACGCGGTGATCAACGCGATGCCGTATTGCGAGCATTTGCGCACAAAGTTGCCCTCAACCCAGGTCTCGTCTGGAAAAAGAAAACATGTGGAATTCATCAAAAACTGCAAAAGATTGTTGTGGGTTGCTGAAAAAAAAAATGAGAAGCGGTCACAATTCATGACCCAAATCATTTTCCGCGTTATGCGCCTTTAATCAATGAAAATTTCGATATAATCAAATATGAACAAAATTAGAAAAAATAATTAATTTGGAATAAAAAATGGATTAATGCGAAGAAAAAAAAATATACGAAATTTCAATGCAGAATTTTTTTTTTCTCTTTTTTTCCTTCATTGAAATTTTCTCCATTTTTTCTTTTCATTTTTTTCTCGTCATAAAAAAATAAAATTCAAGGCGCACACGGTTTTTTGTTCTGAGTCTCGCAGCGACGCCGCTAGTTTCAGAAACCGGCAAATTCGTCGGGCGAAACAGGAGGGTTTTTCTTTTCTTGGGTTTCCCTTGCACGAAAAACCGAGGCATTGAGGAAAATTTGTTCGATTTTGTTTTCGAGCCACTGCTTCTTCCATAGTGTGCCATTAACACGAAAAAATCCCTTGTATTTCGTTCCCCGATGAGTTTGCCGAGATCGGTGTACGTTGTCGTCAATTGATATGTATTGTGTGCAAACACGCGGTACATTCGGCTTCGAAAAAAATTTCGCTTGATGCATTTTTCAAAAAAAAAAAAATTATTCGCGCAACGCCCCCACATACCAATTTTCTTCGTCTGCCCGTTCGACGCCGTGCATTCAGAAGCCGCCGCCTGTCGCAGAATCACTTGACCGTCGACACTAACGCACTCCATCGTGTAGCCTTCGGGAAGCTTCTGCGATGAGCCCAATGGAATCTCGACGCCAGATTTCGTCAAACACGCGGTGAGATTCGTCTTGCCGTAGGGCTCACATCGGAGCTTGAACGAGCCCTCGACCCATTCCTCTCCTGAAAATCGAAGCATGAAACGCAACCGCCCCCGCCCTCGTACCCAGCTTATGCACTCCCTGACAATTGCTGCTTTTGCCCGGCCACGATTTCAGCGAGACATTGCCGGCGGTGCATTCCAAAACGCGATCGCCCTCTTCCAATTTGGTGCCGATGGGAATCTGAATCATTCGTTTGCTTCCTCTCTGCGAGCTTCGGTTACCTCGACGCCGGCTGGTGTGATGCATGAGATTGTCTCGAGTGTCGCTGTGAGATTCGGGAACGTGACGCAACGCACGCGGAACGCGTTTTGCACAATCTTAAAATCAAAAAAATTCACGTTGCGTTTTCCACTTCCGGCGTCTGTTGTAGATTTACGCGCGTGTGCCTTTAAGGCAATGTTCAATTTCAACGAAAATCTACAACAGTCGTCGCCGACAAAATATTGCTTTTAATTTTTTTTTGGGAAATTTATCTTGCTTACAAATGTTGAGCCGTTACTGTAGAGTTTGCCCTGATGCGAGCATTGCGCGTAAACGTTGGTCAAATTTGGATTCTGCAAAAAATGATCGAGTGTGTTCAAACGTTTATTAATATGCATATGTGCGATTAATTGGATTAATAGGCGGTGAATAGGATGCGAACGCGGAAAATCGAGGACGATGAAGAATTAGAAGAAGAAGAAGAAGAAAAAAAATTTAGACCGTTGAGTACTTCTTGAAGAGAATCTTGTCGTTCTCCTTGAGACAACTGTAGATCTGATCGCCGACGGTCACGTTCTTGCCGATTGGAATCGTGTCGCTGACGCCGTCAGCCTGCAATAATCTCGAGCTCATCACGAATCGAGAAATCGATTTTCGCCTACAGCGCATCCGATAATCTTTCCGACGCCGTTGTCGCATTGACGCATAAAGTTACCATCGCGATACTCGTCGCCTGGAAGTTGGACCATTTAAAAATCGGCTAAAATTTGAAAAAAATAGAATGTTCACCATTATTCTTGAACTCATTCTCTTTAGTGACGCATCTTCCCGTCGCCTGGAACGCCACCGAATTGTCGTCATTCTTCTTGCACTCATACTCGACGCCACGAATGACGCTCGTCGAACCCAACGCGATGAACGTCTTGTCATCGCCGACGACGCATCCGCTGATCTCAGTGACGCCTTCGGGTCCGCATTTGTGTTTGAAGCTCTTCTCGACCCATTCTTCGCCGATTTTGTGTCCCGACTGGCATGTCGTGCGAGCCGAACGAATCTCCTGAAGCATCACTTGACCGGCGTCGTTCTTTTTGCACTCAAAAACGCGATCGCCGGTGGAGTTTTGTCCGATTTCGATCTAGAATCTCAAACAGTGTATCTACCCGGGACAGGATTTCCCGGGATCCCGGGAATTTCGTTTCCCGGGTTTATCCGGGAAATCCCGGGACTCCAATCCCGGGTCTCGTCCCGGTTTCGTCCCGCAACTACCCGGGATCCCGGTATCTCGGGATCCCGGGATCCCGGGAAATTCATTTCCCGGGATGAGCGGGTTCCCGGGAAATCCGGGAAATTCCCGGGAAACCCGGGACAATCCCGGGACAATCCCGGGAAAGTCTGCAAACACCGCGCGCGCAAACGCACACTCTTCGAATATTGCGTATTCTCGTTTCATTTTAATGAATTTTCTTATTTTAAAAAGATTCCAATGCTTAGAAAATGGCGTAGGAAGTCCCTATTTGGAATTTTTAAAATTTGGCAGAAAAATGAGTACAATTGAAATGTGCAAATAACGATTTTTCCAAATTAGCAAGAATTTTATACGAAATAATGGTTTTAAACTTTTTTCAATATACTTTTTTCAACGAAAAAACTTATTGAAGATCGATCAAGTAAACAATAAATTATAATAATAAATAATATCGCTGATTCGATCTGAAAAGACTGACTGAAAAGATTCGATTTGAATATGTCGCGAATCAGAATGACAAAGAAAATAAGAAAACTCATAAAATTTCGAAAAAAAAACGACAATACGCAATATTCGAAGAGTGTGCGTTTGCGCGCGCGGTGTTTGCAGACTTTCCCGGGATTGTCCCGGGATTGTCCCGGGTGTCCCGGGAATTTCCCGGGAAACCCGGGAAATGAATTTCCCGGGATCCCGGGATCCCGCGTTTCCCGGGAAACGAATTTCCCGGGATCCCGGGATCCCGGGAAATTAAGTTTCAATGAGTCCCGGGTCCCGGGAAAATTTTCCCGGGAATTTCCCGGGAACCCGGAAATTCCCGGGAAACTTCGTCCCGGGTAGACACACTGATCTCAAATGTGATGCTCGGAATTCATTAAGCGTACCTCTTGCCCATCCGGCGTCACACATCCGACAATCGTTGTCGACCATCCGCCATTGTTCTCGGCGATGCATTTGATGCGGAAACTGTTGCGCACAGTCTACAAACCATTGTTACAGTAATCAGATAGAAGACAACCACAAAAATAATGAAGCAAACTCACGACAGTCTTTCCGGCTTCGATCTCCTGCCCGTCATACGTGCACTTGTTGGCATTGGCGTCGACGAGAAGCGCGGCGGAGGCGAGAAGCGCCCAGACGAACAACATCTGAAAAATGAAACCGATTTTTGAGCAGTTCGAGGTTGGGCCTTTTAAAGGCGATTGAGACACAAGGTGAAGAGTGTCGCCACCTGCAGAGATCTCATCACCTTCATCTCATCAATTTTTGTCGTTTTTGTTTCGGCGGATTTTTGGCGGGGCGGGAGGCGGCAAAAACAGATGGCACCTGACGGACGACGTCGAAACCTAATCAATCTTTTAGCCGATTCGATTCACAACAAATGCTCTCCTGTTGTTTTGGGGTGTTGATGGTGGAAAACAACAATTGCCCGACGTCGGGAGGCATTATTGCGATAGTTTTTTCTGGAAAAAATTTGGAAACGGACTTCTTTCCGAAAATGCTTCGGATGTAAATGATTTGGCAGAAAAAATTAAAAAAAAAATCGCGATTTCTAGATTTAATATCTTTTTGATCCAATTTCAAATGTTACAATTAATTTTGAGATTTTGGAGCTAAAAAACAAAAATTGAAAATAAAACAATCTGGAATTGAGTTTCAGCAAAAATTATTTCATTTAAGATATTCAACTTTTAAAAAAATTGAATTTTAGCAAAAATAAAGAAATTAAAAAAAACATTGAGAGTTTCTGATATTTCGGAGCCAAAATTCCAAATTTAACTGATTCCTTTTTTTGAAATTTTAATGAAGATTGCATTTTCGAAATGGCTCGATTCCTCCATTGAATTTCAGATATTTAATCATTGGTTCGATTTCTAAAAATAAATATCGAGCGAAAAATGTTTTGGAACAGGTCTTGTCGCATAAATAACGATGCAGATTTACGGGCCTAAGAATAAGGATGGACTAAAGGCGCACACCAAGATCTTTACTTAATTTTTTTGCCAATTTTGCGTAGTCATGCGACACCGACGAATTAAAACAACAAATTTCGAATGAAACTATAATATACAACGAAATTTGATTTTCTATGCCACCTATTTTTTTTATAAAAAAAAACCAAGGCTTTCAATTTAGGAATCTGACAATAATATTTCGAAAATTTCAAAATGCCAATTTTTTTAATTTTTCGAAAATTTCGAAAAGCCAATTTTGCTCTCGATTGCCTGATTTCCGAAATTCATTTTTTAGTACCTGCATGAAGATGATTTTTGAAATTTGTTTCATCATCTTTTGTGTAACAGCATAGTTCTGGAAAGAAGATACCGCAGCTCTCTTGTGCCCCCGAAGTAAACAAAATTGTTGCATTTTTTTTCTTCTTTTTCTTGCTTTCGCCTACATCGTTATGCCTGCAACAACAAACCAGCACATTACACAAAAAGCATGAGGTTGTTGGGTGCCGCGAACGCCAAATGATTTATTGGCAACGAAAAAATGATCGGATGACGTCAAAAGATGCATAGCGGCTGGATTTCTGGGCTTTAAAACGCCTCGGGGAGGTTAATGCCAAGTATTTTGAATAAAAAAAAAACATAAAGGTTGTAAAGGCGAACGCGAATTACACACCGAAAATCGAAGTTTTTTGAGTGAAACCGATTGACGATTAATTGCGGACTTGGGCGCAATGATTGACGCGATTTCGCAGAATGCTTGGCAATATTCGATTTTTTCTTAAAATTTTCAATTTTTTCATTTTTTCTGTTGTTTTATGTCGAAGCTCAAATTAAAATCATATTTTTTAATTAAACAGATTATTGGAGTTTCTCAAAATTTTCATTTTTTCATTTTTTTTAAATCAATTAAGCTTAAAATTCTACAGTGCAGACTTTCACACTATAAATTACGTAATTCCTCAGGCTACAATAATTTTTCTTAAAGACACTCATTTTCACCTTCAAATAACTTGAAATACAGTATTTATTGACATACGACGACGACAATTCACAAGTTTCAAAGTACACCAGCTAACCGAAAAACGAAACGAAAGATTATTGTTTTGAGAAAAAAAAATGAAAAAGAAGATGGTGTTTGCATTTCTTCAAAAAAAAAAACAGCGTCTACTCGAAAATTACTGTAAGCCAGAAAAAAGTAATACAAAAGAAGACAAATCAATAAAAGACATCAAGAAGAAAATTATACGAATGAAAGAGTAGAGGTTGGAAGGGAGTTGTGGAGGGAGTGTAGGCCAGGGAGTGGAGCGAACAAAACTATCCGAAAAAATACCAAAAAAAAACGCTAAATCATTCTAAATATGGGGAAGAGGGGGGGGAGGGGGTCTGTACAACATCACCGGGCGTTTGTGCGCGAAAAAAATTCCAATATTTTTTTTCATTTTTTAAAATTTTTTTGTTATAAAACACTTCTTGTGTGTAGTAGAAAGACATTTGCTGATTTTGGAGGATTATTATAGAAGACTTGTCAATAATAATTAAATATAATAATAATAATAATAATTAAATTGGCGGGTTAAAGCTGTAACATTTATCTGAATTGTATTTTATTCTTTTTCTTGTGGGGATGGGGGTTGCAGAAGAAAGAACATTGTGGTATTTCTATCACATTTTTGCATCGGGTTGGTGGAAAAAACAGATTTCTAATCGGTTGACTAATGACAAAACAAGGCGATACGAATCAGATTGGGGGTCAGAAAGTCCTACGGGTTCACTTTTTTTTGTTTGATCGACTAAAGGCATTTCAATTTTGAAGACGAGTGTGTTCTTTTTCGTAAAAGTCACCGGGGGTGCACGAATATTCACAATTATACATTATATATATATATATAGTTTGCGGGCAAAATGATCACGACACAAGAAACGAAAATGCTAAACGGGAGATATACCATTTGGTGATGACTAGAAAGTTCTCTAAATAAGCGGGCTAGTTGAAATCAATTGGCCGCCACCGATGGTACTTGGTCCTTCTGCAAAATACAACAATCTTCGACTTTCAATTTCAGAATGCCTACCTGCATGTGACGATCATGAAGCTCGCTGGCTTCCGTCTCCTCCATATCTTCATCGGCTTCAATGATCTCATCTTTCGCGTTGTTCGACGCTGTCGTCGGCGCGCCGTTGCTCACATTCAGCGCCTGCAGCCAGTTCAACACAATCTGATTGCTCTGCGAGACGGCGCTGCTTGACGCTGCCGGCGGTGGCGGCGGCGGTATTGTCGGCGCCGACAACGCGAGAAGACTAGTAGCGTCGGCTAGCGCTGACGGCGTCGGTCTTGGTCGCTCCTGCGGCGGCGAACCACCGTCATCACCGCGACGAGCTTGCGTGTTGTTCACCACACACTTCCTCATGTGCTTCTCAAGCGTCGAGTGCACCGAGAACGGCATTCGGCAAATATAGCAGTGGTACGTCTCCTTGCCCTGCTGCCCATGCGTTCTCATGTGGCGCGTCAGTTTACTGCTTTGCGCACACGCGTACGGGCAGAGCTGACATTTATACGGCTTCTCGCCGGTATGCGATCGTAGGTGGACGATAAGATTTGAACGATTCGTGAACACCTTGTTGCAATAGTGGCATCGCTCTTTTTTGATGTTAACCTGCCTACGAGCCGCCGGCTCGGCGAGCTCCGTATCGTCAACAACAATGAGCTGCAAGGTAAACTTTTTATTGGAAAAATTGAGGGGACCCTATACCTGCTCGCTATCCTCTTCGTTCACCTTCGCGGTCTTCCTGGGTACCGAAGGCTCCGTTTCCGGAGAGGCGCGACGTCGAACTGCCGCCGAAGCGGGCCTCGGAGTAAATGCGGACGGCTCATCGCTGCAATAAGAATAAAAATTGCCAAAATCGTCAAGCTCCCGATTTTACCCTCTATTCAACGCCTGGAACACTTGCCCTTGATTCTGGTGCTGAGCTGGAACCGTTGGCGGAACCTGCTGCTGCTGCTGCTGCTGTTGTTGTTGCTGCTGCAAATTGTTCGACAGACTCAACAGCGCCATGGCAGTGCTGCTGGCATTGTACTGCTGAACCTGTTGAGCGTAGTAGTCCTGCATGGCGGCCAACACCGTTGGCTGCATCCAAACGTTCGGCATACTCTGCGAGGTGGCAGTTGGCGCCGGAAGGCTACCAATTGCTGGCTGCGAGGCTCTCGCGTTGAGCAACGCCGACGTCGACGTGAACGCGGAGACCTGTTCCTCGTCGGTCTCCTCGCCGTTGCCGGCCATCAGACGCGAGCGCAAATTCGACAACGGTTTGAGTTCCTTCTCGCTTGCCTTGTTCGCGATCTCCTTGAGTCTCTCCGAGCAGAAGCTGTTCAGGAACATTGACTCGCTCTTAATGGTGGTTGGATGATGAACGGCGGCTGGAACACACTCAACATTATATATGCTCGGTTACAGTTGCATTTCCCTCGGTTCCCCCAAATGCCAAACTCACGCGCTGGATCGGTGTGCCGGTAGCCGGCTGGATGATGCGCGTCATTCGACGTCGACGACGATGAGGTGGACGTCATCGACACCGCAGATTCGGGCAGCGTCTCCTGACAAATGCGAAAGCCGTGCATGTTGTAATTGTGTTTCAGAAGCGTCCAGATGTCGGCGAAGCGCTCTTTGCACGTGCAGCATGTCAGCGACGATTTGCCTGCAACAAATTTTCCCCTCAATTGTCATTTTGTTTGCGAGACGATGAAAATCTTGCGCAACTCGGGTCAAGACCGGTCCACGTGTTGGCCCACGGTGCTCGACGTGTGCGCGAGACGGGGCGAGTGGGAGATTCGCGCGGTAAACAACGAGACGTCAGGAGGATGGCATAAACGCGTTGCGGTTGGCGGAGCCGCGTACACAAAATTCGTTTTTCAAGTACCGTAACCCTGGTGGACAAATATATGCGTGAATAGTGGTTTTTTGTTGCGCGGGCGCGCGCGCAACGGACGCGCTTTTGTTGCAGTTATTTGAAAGTTGGTCTATAATGTCTCATAGTGTTGAAAATCCAGCTGGAAAGGTCAAAGGCTGCGGCATTTCAAGAAATTCCAGTTTTTCACTTTTTTTCTAGCATTGTGCGCAAAAAATTTGTCTGTCAAGAGCTGCTAGCTGTAAATACGAATTTCGCTAAATTTAATACACAAAGAACAAATTTCAAAGAAGAAATTGAAAGGAAAATGGAAAAAAATGGAGTTTCGAAATTCAACACGCGCGGCTAGTACATACACGGCGCGCACAAATGCAGACTAATGCGTTACAGTACACAATTTGAAATAAATCGTTATTTTCCGCAAAACTAACCCAAATCATTGGTGTCTGTCGTCACATCCATATTGTAATTCATAATGAGTGGATTTGCAGAAGTTGAACGAACGCATCGGGTCTGCAAATAAAGAGAAAAAATGTACGGTCATCAATCCCCCGAGATTCCCGCCCGCAAAAAATGTTTTAGCGTAGAGTTTGATGAGGGGGGGGGTCGAATGGCGCGCGTCTATTTGCACAGGTACTCTGGTGGCGCCGAATTGGCAAAAAAACGAATTTTTTATTTATATATTTTTCTTTTCTCTCGTTCTATTGATTCGCCGTCTAGGCGCCCACAAACATTGCCCAATGGCCAAAGCGGTCCAATGGTCTTGTGATTCGAGATGGTTGGATGGGGTAGGACTTTGCTGAACAAATAGCGCAACGGTTTCGCATCTGACCGGCCCGCAGGCGAAATGGGTTCATCAGGCGACTAACCAAAACGGCCGGGTTGAACGTTCGCCGACGCGATCGATCGTAGCTTCGATGCGCCATCTCGCAATCATCCGACGGCGTCAATTTGCCGCCGCAATTCGAAATCTGCAATTCGGCGAATCTCATCAATGCTGACGAACTCGTCGTCGCTTCTACCTTGTGCTCGATGAACGCTGAGAAGCAGCCCAACGAGAATGTGGTGTTGCATTCGCCGCACACGACAATGTCGGCGCGGTCTTCCTCGTGCCTCGGCGAATCGGCGCCGTTGTGCGACATCGGCGAGTCGGACGCCTTCAAATCGGAATCGGCTTCCGCCGTCGACTCGACGCCCGAATCCGATGAGGCCATTGGTGTGCCGCTTGTCAAAAACGTCGTCAGACGCTTTTTCAGCTCCAGGCGATATTCTAAATAATTAATTAATTCGTTGGACAAGAATGATGATGGTTTCCGATTACCACTGCTCGAATCGTTGTTGCTCGGCCCGGCTGGCTCGTCGGACCCGCTGTCCGCCTCGCTGTTGGTCTTCTTACGGCGGCGGCTTGTCGACGAATCGATCGTCTGAAAATGTGGGGAATTGAGGATCGAGGCTGATTGGGGTGGAGGGGGGCATGTCTTTGATTTAAAGGCGCATGAATTACCGTAATCATGATGATTCAAATCACAACACAGAGGTGGAAAATAATGGCGCGAATTTCAGGGTGGATTGGCGCAGTTGGGTTGGACAGGGTTAAAGTAACTCGGTGCCGATGTACAAAATGTACAGTAAAAATGAGCAAATAGTTGGCGGCGGGGCCGACGGCGCGCCGACGGCTCCGCCCACCTTCCCCCCTTCAGCTCTCGACTAGCCAAACTCTGACATTTCGGTTTGATGATGGAAATTGAGGAGAGCAACAAAAATTTTTTGAAACTTGTCTATTTATGGTGATAACAATCCCCGCCCATTATTAGACAAAAGAAATTTTTCAAATTTTGGTTTTTGCCATCGTCCCAATAGTGCAACAATGCATAATGATAACAAGTGCTGATAAGCGGGACCAACTATTTTTTGTTGTTGTTGTTGTTCGGGTCCATTGAAGCGTACCTGAGACTTTGAACGTCCGCCACTCATAAGCCCAACTCCTTCCTCCACTTCGCAGTACGTTCCTTGTATGTATGTGTTATTTATATAGGGGTGATTGTTTCAGATATTTAAATTCCTCAGTCGAGACTTGAATATTGAATGGTTAAATTGTTTCCTTTTCTGAAAATGTCAAAAAGTAAGAGCCATCAAAATTCGATCAAAAATTATTTAGGGCCGAATGGTGAGAGATGCGATGTTCTACCCGAGTGTCACGACGCATATATCATTTAGGTGATGAATTCACTCGGCAGCCAAATCGTGCACAGTTTGAGACGAAGGTGTGATGGCGACAGAGGCGACGAATCGAAAGCGACCGATTGGCTGGTGGGCTCCTGCAACGAAACGAAAATTGGCATTTGGAAAAAAAATAAACAACAACAATTGAAGTGAGACGAGACGGCAGAGAAAAATGGTGGTCATTGTCTTGGGGTGATAAGAGCTGATAAGGATGAACAAAATGATATTCAAAAGAAGAAAAAAAAAATGGTTGCTTCTAAAAATAGTAACATTGGCCATTTTTAGTCGTTTTGGAGACAATGGACCCGATGATAACGATTTGCCAATGCCGACGGTCGGGTTCGATAAATTCGTTTCCGGTTTTCCGGCGGCCGAGTCGCGTGCACACGCCACGCCCAACCGGTCAAAAATGTTGCGTGAAACTTGGGCTCCTCGACAACCAGTTTTGACTTGCCGCACAGCTATAACTAATCATACCGTAATCAACTCAATGCCCTTTTTTTGAAATTTCCCCCACTAGATAATGTGGTCTCTTTGGGAGATGGAGTAGATCAAAAATTCACAAAATGCTTTTGAAGATTAATCGCAAAAAATGGAGGAATCATGGACAATTGCTAACCAAGTATGAGGTAGATCATTTTCAATTTAAAAGAGACAGCATATTCAGACCATTCTTCTAGATAATAAAATTGGAATGGAAATATGGACCATTGCAGGGGTAGATCAATAGCGGAAGATTGGTGGAAGTCAAGAAGAATAATCGTAATGGGTAGATCAAAAAAGAATTTAAAAAAAAAAGACCACCATGATGGGCGAGAAAAAAAAATGAGTGATCCATTCTGTTGGGGAGGGGGGGTCCAGTGTTCTCGTCGGTCGCTCACATCAATTGAAACAGAGGCGCGCGCGCGGCACAGACCGCCCATTTCCGCGGTGACGTCTCGCGGCGTTGGCGGCGCCGCGCCGCGCCGCAAATACAAACATACACGTACACGTCGACGGCGGCGGCGGCTCACGCGTGTATTCACGTAAAGGCGCGGCCTGCGCAAACAATCATGTCTCATGGAGGCGAGCTGAACGCGCGCACCTCGTCTCGTATGATATTTCGCTATTATGTATTGATGTGTGTGCCGACGACGGCGACGACGACGAAGAAAAATCAAATACATACGACGAAATAAATAAAAATTCGGTCAGCCGTTTTTTCTCTCTCTCTCTCTCTCTCTCTATACAAAAATGCGAAATATAATAATAATAAAAAAGGTAGAGGGGAGGGGGGAATTGTGACGAAAAACCGTCACCACAATCGTTGTATACATTTCCACGCAGCGGGTCGCGAATAATATGGCAAACGTTCGTCAGTTTCAGATCAAAAGAAAAAAATGGCAAAGGGAACAAATCAATTATCGAAATTCTGGGAGCTGGAGCATCTCTGAAATTGAGTGCTTCTCACATAGTTCGAGGGGGGTTGGGGGGATTTAAAAAATTGATTTGGGTACCGTAACGATGGTATTACAGTGAGGATGTTACACAAAATTGATGATTGGTTGGTTAGCTGCCTGCTGCTGCCGACATTCTACCAGGCCCTGGAAGAAAGTGAAGGATGGCAAAAGTGAAAATCAGTGAAGGTGGGGGGGGCCCCCCTCCCTCAACTTCGATATCTCACTAGAACTGGACGAACTGGTCGTCATCGGTTGGAAGAGGAAAAACGATCGTCGTTTGTAGTCGTTTATGCCAATCGCTCCAAGTGAAAACGATTGGCCGGCGCGGCAGGCGAAAGCCGCTTTCGATTTCGGCGCGACGACGACGACGATGATGATGATGATTGCGCGTTGAAGCGCTCTCTGGAAAGCCAGATATTATGCATTACGCAACGACGAAAATGAAAAGAGAAAGTCATTTTTATGAGAAGAAGACGCGAATAATCGTTAGTCGGTCCGAACGATATGAAGAAGATGAAAGCGAAATCGTTGGCATGCCTTCCTGGTCAACTTCGAATCGATCTATTACTTGAAGCGATTGGGATGGAGGGGGGGAGGGGGGGACCTAGGATTCCATTTTAATGATTTGTGAGGACCTATCTATCTGCCGACAATTAACGGGGTTGTGGTGATGAGAAGGAGAGGGGGGGGGGGTCCATCAAAAAAAAACTAGCTTGATTCGACGGATTCGAAATATTTTCGAAATTTGCGTCGGCGATTTTCAAGTGAAAGTTTCGGAAGAGCGTCGTCCGCTCCGTGTGACGAAGCGAAAGAGAGAGGGGGAGAAAAAAAAATGGATGGCACTGGTTTTTTTTCTCTCTTTCCACTTTGGACGACGACGCAATGCGTGATCATTATGCGCAATCGAAAGCGATTGGGTGGACATTCGAAAGTGAGAGCCGGCGCGACATTTATTGGAATGAGAGGCGCAGAGAAAAAGGGGGTAATCTAGACAATTGTGTAGATCAAAAAAAAAATTGGAGAAATGAAGCAGAGGTTGAAATTGAAACTGCGCGAAAAAAATGTGAAAATAAAAATGATGATGATGTTGATGATGGCTGGCGTCCAGTTTTGAAAAAAAAATTTTGAGAGGAATCAACCCTTCACAAATTGGCCACCCGGCCATCGCCTTCCCCCCACTGCGGGTCTCGTCCAGCCAGCCAGCAACCGGTTAGTGGAGCGCGAACACGCGCCAGGTGATTGCGCAACAAAAATTGGAAATGGAAAAATGTTATTTCATTTTGCTCGTTGGGACCCTTTGCCGATAATCGTTGATGGTCCCCGGCCATTGCATGTGTTCGAAAGCATACACATGACAACCAAAAAGAAGAACGAGAGAAATGAGAAGCAGCCGGGCCCGTTCTTTCGTTTTTTTTTGTCGAGCTGTTTGGTCGTATAGTTGGTTTAGGTGTGAACATATGGGCTCCGAGAGAAAGCTACCGTAGTCGGATGGCTCGTCTAGAATTTGGGAATCCGACGAAAACGCCGATCGACGACTCTTCAAGGTGTGACGTATCATTTTTTGTTAGCATTGTTTTTTTTTCTTGCCACACACACACACACACACACGTTTTTTTTTTCTGCGCCCGGCCCGGCCGGCAACTATTCAAACAATGCCCCCCCCTCCCGAGAGCGAGGCTCATGCAACACACAAAAAGAGAAGTGAAGCTTGTACGTGTGTGCCTCTCTATGTGTATGTGTTTGCATTGTGTTTGATGCCATCGGCCCCGCGCCGCTGGCCCCCCGCAATAGCTAGCGCGAGCCAACGCAACAAAAAAAAAATAGTTTCCACCCGTTCTTTTATTCGAATCGATCTTAAAAAGCGAAAGGCCCACACACTTTCACTGTCCGGCCGATGGATGAGGGAACCTGTTGGTTGCGCAAGTCGGGTGGACCGCTTGCCGATCGAAACGAAATAATAAAATGGGGGGGGGGGGCGAAAAAAAAGTGCAAGTGAAAGGAGGGCGATCAGAAATGGATTGATGAAAGCTTTAAAGCGAAAGTTTTTGAAAAGTGAAACCGATTGTTGAGTGTGTGTGACCATTGGGAAAATTTTTGCAAATTTTCAGCAATTCGGGGGACATTGATTTTTTCAAAAAATGCGCTTTCAGATTTTTTTAGAGACACCTCTTTTGATATTGTGAAATCACGAACAACTCGATTCTTTATGAAGAGCAAAATTTTTCAATCGAAATTATGAGGATTTTGATAATTTTTTTTTAATTGGAATCGCTTTATAAGGTTAAGCTCATCCATTTGAAAATCTTAAATTTCAGAAATTTCAGCCAGGGTCCCTTCTTTAATTATCTAGACATTGGGGGCAATTTAGGCCTATCACATTTATAATCCATTGAAATAATGTGTCAAGTTTGGCACATTTTTTTCTATGCTTGATTAGGCCCCCTCTCAATCAGACTAGGCTTGATTAGGCCCCCCCCCCTCTCAATTAGGCTAGTCTCCAGCAATGCTCCCAACCATTTTTAATCGAATTACTCAACGAGACGAAAAACATTCAAAATGTCATCGGGAGGTTGGCGAAAAAAAAAGATAAATAAATAAATAAATAAAACGAATACAAAAAAAATTGAGAAGAAGCCAATTCCCAAATAGCCATTTTTTTTTGTGCCGTTGCTGCTGCTCTCGTTCGTTTCGTTTCGTTTAGTTTTTTTTTTATTTCGCGGCGTCTAGTATATATGTATGTGAGTGTGTTTGGTATATATGTTGGCTGGAAAAAAAATGCAGACACCATGCGAGAGAGGAAGAGCGAGAGGCGCAGAGGAATGGCGGGGAGGGGGGAGGGGAGGGGATGGGAACGAACGGCTCGGTGCCCCCGACAATATGCCAAAGAGAAGTAGAGACTATACGAGGAAAAAAAACATACACAACACACAACAAATTCTCGCCGACATAAATAACAACAATAACTAATACTATACTAACCATTCGGGTAGATCAACACCGGATTACTGTAGTTTTGTTTTGTTTTTTTTGCGGGAATGCTTCAGATCCTTGGAAATCTGAAGGTTCGATTTTTTTGGTTTTCAAAATCTTGAAGAGTCGAAACGATTGGGTAGATCACAAGTTTTAACGGCAGAGGAATAGGTAGATCAAAAGTAGATCAAAAGTGGACTGTGGATTTCAGAAGTTCAAAATAAAATATAGCACTCTATCAGAGGATTCTGAGAAGTTGGAAAAAAATCGATAAATCTTTTGGGGGCGACGCGATGAACGCGATTCGAATTTGACGACGATGGGGGGCGGATTCGTCAAACATGGAGCGACGAGGTGAGAGAGAGAGAGAGAGAGAATGAGGATGAGACAATTTTTTCGTCGGTTGAAAATTCAATCGACATCGCCCGGGGGGAGGGGAGGCCGGTAATGGTCAGTTCAAGGTCGAGACACCAACCACCTCGCTCGACGAGATGGAGAATGAGCGAGTGAAAATTGGGAACACACATGCAATCATGTTATTTGATGGTCACTGGAATGCCAACGAATGGAATTCCAGTGAGAGGGGGGGGGGTTCTGATAATCCATGGATAATCTGATCCCATGGGCTTTTCTCTCTCACACTATCTCAAGCAACTCTAAAAAAAGTGACCACATGCACTCAGCCCCCCCCCACCCTTTTACACTTTTTTCTCGGCAACGTTTCTCTCAATTTTTTTTGTCGCCGGCTTCTCGATGCTTCGTATAGTGATAGTCAAGTGAAGCTTTAGTCGACGCTTTGCGACCTACAGTAGTCGTTGGGTCTCGAAGTGATGATTGCGTCGGGGTGTAGAGCTTACAGGAGCTGGACGAGGCGACTGGCCGGCGACGACAAGCTTCATGGTCCGCCCGTTGGGACCTCGACGCTCAAGCTTCTCGATCTGCTGCAAAAAAAAGAAGAAGGAGAAGAACGAACTCTCGGTCAAGTATACATCGTAGTATTCCAGAGCGGAAACGAGATGATGATGGTTGATGATGAGAAGAGCGAGGAGGAGAGAAGAGCTCGGTGGAAATTTGAGAAGCTTGGACTACGGTATGGTCAACGCGCGATTACTGTAGACTTGGAGGGGGCGGACCTTGCGGATCCCTATCTCATCGATGTCTTTTTGGTCACTCCCCACTAGCTTCCATATTTAGGGGGGGGGGTCTGAGAGAGAGGCTTAGAGAAGCACAGCCCAGTCTAACGAAGTGGTATGAAAATCGAGAAGCGGGAAAATGAAAATAAATAAATAAATGAGGGCGTTTTTCATATAGTAGATCAAAAATCAATTTTTTTTTGAGAGTATCAATTCCACAAAAAAAGCGGGGACAAAAAGAAAATGGGGGGGGTTGGTAGATCAAAAAGCAAATCACCTCGAGACCCAAAAAAAGGCGAAATTTCCATGATGTTTTTTGTTTCAGCCAATTTTCAGAAGAAAAACAAAAAACCCAAAAAAAGTGACCAATCAAGGGACGCCATGCACTCATCATATGAGGCGGAGGAGGAGAGCAAGTGGGGGTCCAATGAGCCGGCTGGCTTGGCTGGCCACTCGCAAAAAAATAGTATAGCAAAAGTGCACAACCTCGCCTCCACCACTTCTTCTTCTTCTTCGCATTTTCTTTCTTTTTTTTTTTGCTTGTTGTTGTTGTGCCGAGCCCTGAGGCTCGTTTTCTCGTCCTCCTCCTCTATGTGTATATATGCGTGTTAGAGAGAGAGAAAAGGGGGGCTCGCCTTCTTTTTGCTATGTGTGTTTTTTTATTTCCAGTGAAGCCTCGTCAAACGGCCATCGTCGTCGTCGGCGGCGGCGGCGGCGCGTTGACCACGCCCACATTCATGTGTCCGCGCGCGGATTTTTGCTGCTTTACGTTTTTTTTTTCCTCTCTCATGTTGCTGCAACAAAGACTAGCAATGAAGAAGGCGAAAAATTGATATAGGTAGGGACAATGCAAAAAAAAATGCCATATGAACTGGCGGCTCTCGGAATAGTGAAAGTGAGAATCGGCCTATCGAAAACCGGTAGCTCCACAAATGAAAATTAGCATATTTAAATGTGAGTTAAAAATGCGTCCAACTTTCTTTCCATTTTTTGTTGGTTGCATTGATAAGGCAGACAATTCGCGTGTTATCATTGAATGCCTCTGGAGACGGCGTCTCCTTTTTTTTTATCAATTGTCGCAAATTGACGTGTGCGGTGGAGTGGACTCGAACTCGCGACGTTGTGCGGCGCGCCCAAAAACGGAAGGCAATTGCCACGAGTGACATACTGCGCGCGAGAAGCGAACGCCGTATAAGAAACCCGTTGGGGGACACCACTCGGCATGACCCAATGGGACCAAAAAGTGAACAACAACAAAAGGGTCCAAAAGTAAAACAAAATAAAACACACAAAAAAACGCGAGTAGCGATGCTGAGGAGGTCTCGTGTTTCGCATTACGATCAGCGAGGCTCCCAACGCAATTTTTGTCGTCTCATGTTTCACGCAACGGACCATTGGCGCAAAAATAGAAGAAGCACAACAACAACGAGAAAAAAAAAGAGTTGAGGGCCTCAAACGCAATTTTTTTTTTGGGAAATTCGCTGAAAAAATCGGCGAACATCGAGATTTTCGACGTCGAATGTTGTCGAGAGCCGTCGTAAATCGACAACTGTCTCACGTGAAATTTTTGTTTTTTTTTTGCCGGCCACCTGATTTCCGATCAACGACTGAGAAGCTTCAAAGAATAGATGAAAGGCGACTATTTAAAGGATCATGGGTCTCGAGAGACTCTATGTGCCTTTAAGGTAGATCAAATCGAATGCGGAAATCAGATGAAGAAAATCGAAATTTCTTTTTTAAGAAAATTTGAAGAAAAACCAACTTGTGGAGAATTTTCAGAGAAAATTTAGATTGGTAGATCAAAAAGTCGAATGGAGCGATTTTGTTGAGGAAAAATGAGGTTTCAGTAAAAATTAAGAAAAAAAAATAACGTCGAATAATGAAAATCTGAAAAAGAATAGAAGATTCAGAAAAAGTTTCAAGAAAAAAAATGAAAAAAAAAAAAAATTTCAATTTTTCTTATTTTTTTCCAGATTTTCTCGCTTGAAATATTTTTTTTTAGAAATTTTGGTTCATGAGAAAAAAATTGAAAAATTACTAATAAAAAAATTTTTAATGCATTTTTCTAGGAACCTTTATAGATTTTTGAAATTAGGAGAAAAATGAAAAAAAATTCGAATTTAAAAAGAGAAAAAAGTTTTTTTATGAAAAAAAAATATTTTCCTTATTTTTACTAATTTTCATAGCACAATTTGGGAGAGAGAAAAATTGGAAAAATTTTTTTTGCGATTTTTTTTGGATCCCTTTGGGACCTTTAAAGCTAAGAGGGAAAATTTATAGAATAATTGGGGTGCATTTTTCGCGCAAAAATATGAATCAAAAAATAAAAAATAAAAAAACGCAAATAAAAATGTTTCGAAATACGCGTGGCTGACCGATAATCAAGATTTTTTTGTTTGATTTGATAACAACAAAATTTTTGTGTGTGTGTGTGTGTGTGTTGCTTCTTTTTGCCGATGGAAGAAAAATGCTGAAAGGGGGGTCCGAACAAAACAAAACAAAAAAAGGGGGGGGTCTGGAACAAAAACGAACCGCCCGAAACCAAGCATACATACATACACAAGGAGAAGAAGAAGAAGAAGAAGCATACAACAAAAAAAAAAATTTTTTTTCTTCTTCTTCTTCTATTTTCTGAACGGAAAACACGGCGACCAGCCAGCCGGCCAGCCGGCGCGGCGATCGTCTGCGTCTCTCGGTCCTGCGCACTATTTCGCCGGCGGCACCTTGCCGTCCTCTCCTCGATTTTTCGTATAGTTTTTTTTTTGCTCTTTTCGCATTTTTTTTGCCAGCCCGGCTCTCGTGGTCCGCGAAAATAGCGACGAACCAACGAAAACGATGAGGCAGCGGAGAGGGGAGAGCAAGAAAAATAAAAAAAAAACACAACGCCACACATACACAAAATTATACAACGAACGCAAGGCTAGCAGTGGTTGTCGTCGAACTTTTTTTCTTCATTTTTCCTCTCAAAAAAGGGACCACCCGCATCATTATTGTGGGTAGATCAAAGCGCGTTTCGATGAGTTTCAATGGAGCGCGTTTGATGCCCATTCATCGGAATATGGTGGGAAAACCACGAATTGCAATGGAGCGAGTTTTCTATCAAATAATGAGATTTCAATTTTTCATTGTATTCGAAAAAATCGCAATGGAGCGCGTTTGCTGCAGAAAATTGATTTTTACGCTTTTTTTGACCAATCGCAATGGAGCGCATTTACCGCCAAAAATTTGATTTTTCGATGTGAAAATTAAATCACAATAGAGCGTACTAAAAAATTCAAGATATTGCGTTTCTTTTTTATTTCAACAAATCGCAATAGAGCGCATTTTCTGCGAACAGCCAAAACCGCGAGATTTCATCAAATCGCAGTGGAGATAGGTGGAATCTTTTGGGACCCTTGGGACCCCCCAAAAAAAACTGGAATATGTTTTTCTTTCCCCTCAATCTATATCATGTTTTTTTCTTGTTGTTGTTGTTGTTTAAAGGGGGGGGGGGTAGCTGAGAGCATTTTTTGGTCCCTTCGTCATCACCACAAAACAAAACCCATTTCGATGCTATTTCGCTCATGTGTTTTTAATCGTTTTGTCGTTGCTGCTGCTGCCGAGCGTCCGAGCAGCTGTTTTATGTGTATTATTGCGTCGCGGTGCTCACACACACCAACATATGAGAAAGAGAAGACACGCGAAATGACCACATTTTTATATACATATAGATTTTTTGGTTCTCGTTTTGTTTAACGACTTCAGCCGTCAATTTTTGCGTCCCCAAATTTTCATGGTCCGTTGGCGTGACGGGACCATCGACCCGCCGAGATGGTGTCGAAACTAAAACAATAAAGAATTTTCAATATTTGGGTCTTGTTTGGAAAAAAAAAGAATTTAGGAGGACACAAAAAAACCATAAATCGTTCAGGTCTCGTTTGGAAATTGAGAGCCCATCAAGCCAAGGTCATTTCCGGCAAAATTATGAGCTCTTTTCGTTTTTCAGCTTCTACTCGTCCGGCTTTTCGCTGAGGTGGTTGTCATCCGGCAAAGAAAAAAACAACTGCAATCCATGTGAGACCCATTGATGATCAAAAATCAAAAAGTGGTGCGATCGTTGCGATTAATTGACCAGCCGAATTTTGAAATTAAAACTGAAAAAAATCGAAATTCGTTGTGAGACCCGTTTAAAGGGAGGCGTCGAATTTTTTGAATTGAGCGCCAAATTTTCAAAAAACGTGTTTTTCACTTAAACTGTTCGATTTTTAAATTCAATTTTTTTTCGCCTTTGAGAAGAGAATTTATTAAAAATAATCAAATGTGTGCAATTTTGCGTGCGCGTGTATGCACCATTTTTTTTTAAACTTTTTAAATTTGCTGAAAAAAAGTCAGGTGCGTTTTTGAATGCGACCGCAACGCCAACCGCAACGCGTCTGACGATTTCATTTTTCTGTGTCAAATCCGTGTTGAAAATTTGCTCAATTTGGATCCGATTGGTTTTCATCTACCCGACGAATGAATTCGAAGAATCTCCTTAAGAAAAAAAATGCGAAAATCTCCTTAAATAGTCAATACCATATACGGCAACCCATTTGAACAGCTTTTTTCTATATATTATGCTATGCATAGTCAATATGCACTAATTTGATAGTAGTGGCCCGAAATCGAATAATCCAATCCTATCGAATGCAAAGAAAATAACAAATGTGCATATTAGGCAATAAAAGTCATATAAGGGAATTGGGTGGGGTGCAAATGATCCGATTATCGCTTTTAATGTCACAATCCCCAAAATATATATTTATATATTAAATCAATTATAAATAAATACGTTGATCTGTTCACTGTTTTCCAAAATGCGTCCATCCTTATTGCTATTACTATTTTTGGTCTCCATATGCTCTGCATTCACATCGGCCAATGAAATTGTTGCATTTGTACGAGTTTGCCAGAATGCTTCTCATCTGGCGTGTTGGTTTTTTAAGGAGGGCAACACGGTGGAGTTGGAGCTCGGCAAATATCAAGTCTATCGGCGAAAAGTCGACGCCGGCAAACACGTCTTTCGAATTTGCACGCCGAAAACCAAAAAGAACGGAAAATGCGGATTCTGGATGAATAATAAGGTGGGCGTTAAGGGACCACGACGATTTCGTCAGTGGACCATTTTGCAGACGAAAAAGCGGGTGAAGAACGCGCCAAAAACGAAGCGGCAAAATGCGAAATTTTTGGTGTTGGATCGTGTTACCCAAAAGGACAGTGGAACCTATGCATCCGACGGTTTTAATATCACATTGAATGTTATTAAGAAAACTTTGAAAGGATAAATATGTAATGAATAATTATTTCTAGGTATTATTGCCCAAAAATTAAATTTCGTATCATGCCAATTTTCCAATTCTTTCTCTTTGATTGAACCAAATCGTGCCGAGACCAAGAGTAAAGGCGCATGTCCTAATTTCACCTTAAAATATTTCGGAGAATTTTCTAGAGATTTCATCGATCTTGGTTTGGAAAATTAAAATTGAAAAGACATTCTTTTGTCAGAAATATTGCAAAGTTCAATGCGCCTTTAAACATGGTCTCGCTTGAAAACCTGAATTTGTTTGATATACCAACGCGTACTGCCTTCATAATATTATGTGCATAAAAAAAGAAATGACGATGGAGCGCATTTTCTGATAAAAAAATATAAAATCAAATTGATTCACATTATTAAAAAAAAACAAAATTTGGTTACCAATCTGCAAAAATTATTTCAAATAAAAACTAGAATTGGTGCGCCTTTAAATTGTATCGAAATTTATTGCAGTGCGCATCGGTCCCAAACTTCGTGACCAAATTTTATAACTCTGCTGACCGATTCGAATCAGCCGGCTCTCATTCATAAATTTGTTGACTTCATCATAATGTCACATCACAATATCATCACAATAATGATATTATCATTCGTTAGTGGAAAAATCAAAAATTCGTTAAGACTGTCCAATTTTGCAATTAATCTATTGATTTGAAATGAATAAAATATAATTAGTTGAAAATTGGACAAAGAAATAAAGGGCGCCGCAGGGTTGCAAGTTACCGTGCGCCAGTTGCATCATTTTAAATTTTTTTTCTAAAAAATTTCGCCGTTTATTTTCCCAAATTATTATGTCTATGTCTCGAATACACGCACATTAACCTAATATTTTTCTTATATATTTAATATGTCGCAAAAATTGGCTCTTTTTCGAATTCCCGGTCCACAATTATAAACAGGTCGCAATTCTTCCATTAAAAAAAGAAACAATCATTTTCGGATTCTTCTTATCGTTACTTCATGCATCGTGATCAATTCCGAATCGCCATTTCACGTTAATTCATATGTAAGTGAATCGTTTTCATTTTCATTAAAAACAATTCAGATTAGCGATGATGTCGAGATAAGCATGGGAAAATATGGGCAGTAAACGCGACGTGTGAAATCTGGAAAAAAGACGTCAACACTGTGCATGAATAGTAATAAGAAGAAGGGGGAAGTGCGGATTCTGGCTAAATTCCAAGGTTCGACATTTTCAATTTCGAATTGTTCTTGAAGAAAAAAAAATTATTTTTGTGGGAAAATGCGGCAACTGATGCCTCGATTTGTGGCAGACCGCACAGGAAACCACCGTCATCACATTGAATTCGAGTTTTATCAATCCTATAAAGCATCCAGAGGTTGCCGACGGATTGCAGAGAGAGAGAGAGAGAGTTGACGGAGTTCACCGATCAGGGTTTTAGGCCGCTATCATTGAAGGATCGCTTGAAGACGCCTTACTACGGATATCCTTTGGATGCTGGAACTGCAATTACATTGTAGCTCAGGAAAATTCATACAAATAACGAGCTCAACACCGCAATACTCAACGCGATCAGTCTTAACAATCAACCTTTGGAGGCCGACCAAGAATTACACTGGCGAAGGAATGACGAAAGTAGAGCTATATCTAGTAAGTAATGCCCTATTTGGAATGAGGCAATGAAGTGCTAATTATAGATTATTTACAACAATCTACTGAGGTACGACATCGAACCACGCGGCGAGCTGCCAACAATCATGAAGCTACTGCCATTGAATGTCACCAAAGCAGCGCCAAGTGTTCTCAGGGATGAGATTGCGGATTCGCCCCGACTTCCCCCAAGAATGTATGGATTCATTTCTAATTCGTTCTGCATAACATCGACGGAAATAGTCCAGAGATGCTGATAAAAACTGTGTCTGCAACTGGTTGGGAAAATCAGAAAAAAGACGAGACACAAAGATGAATTCGTTGTGTTGTTAAAATTGTTGATGATTGATCTCGTGGCAAATGTTCAAATATGTAGTTACTTCGAAAAAATGATTCATGGGAGGAAACCGTGGAGATCCAAAAAATCTAGAACCTATTAATTCGAAATGTAGAGAGAAAAAATTCAAGTATCTGGGACACTATTCTCGAATAATCGCCTGAATACGCACTTCTCGGTAGAATAGAAATATGAGGGAAAGAAGCCCTTCTGGGAACTTTGCTCTTGGAGCCAGTCGATTATCATCAATAATTTATTTTTCATCATCGTCGATTACTACACTAGAAATTTTCAGTAAACATGGAAATTATCGAGTTCCGCGCTTCTTGGCGGCTTCCAACATCTCGTCCTGAAGCATTTCCATGATCTCGCAACGTTTGCGCGTGCGGCCGTCCAAATCCATTCTGAATAATTTTGCAAAATCTGTCGATTCGATTTTCGCACTTACGCGACTGTTGGAAGCTTCCAGTACTTGTCACGAATTCGCTCCCAATCCCACGGCGCCACCTTGCTACCTGAAAAAATCCGAACAAACTTTTTTTTGTCGGGACCATTCAAGTTTACTTCGATCCAGCCACACTTCCACCTTTCCAAAACTCCAATAGCACGCGTAGAGGAACAATGCGAACCACGTTCCGCACAAGACCAACAACGGATAGACTTCATAGGCGTGTCCGAGGCGACGCGTCATGAATCTGGAAACGTCGAGAATTGTCTAGAGCACTCTTTTTATTTCCTCGCGGTTACGTGAATGGCGTGTCACCCTTCTGAATAGCGTTTTTCGCGTAGCGCGGATCTCTCGACCAGTTGCGCGTGTATTTGAAATGTCCCTGAAAATAATGGAAACATAATTTGGTTTTTTTTACTACGACAAAACAAAGCTCACCTGCTCATTGGGAATTTTGAGTTGAATTCGCGCTGGTGCTGGAATTGAGCCGGTCGATGTGCTCGCGGTGCGGCTCGCAATCACGAATCTGATGAACGATTGACGTGGCGCTTTGCTCAGCGACATTGTTTTTTCAGCAGGAAAAAATGGCTAAAAACCTTGTAAACAAGCCGCGCGCGACACATTGCCAACGAGTGCTACAGTATCCACGTGGCGAGACCTGGTGCGCAATTTCAGACCTAAAATCCACAAGCTTGATGGCAAACTCAATAAGATGCAGTGGCACCTACAAGCGACTTTGAATTGAATGTATTTAATTTCATTTTTAAAGTTGCTCGATTGCATTTTCGAAAAAAAATGAAATTTTGGTCAATTGGAACAACTATTTTTTTCAATATTCGAATTTTTTTTGAAAAAAAAATTAATCTAGAATTATTTTCACTTGTGTGGGGCAGTAATTAATTCATTAATGAAAAAAAAAACCCGGCTAATTGGACGGCATTTAACACGAAAATTGAAATAAAATTGAATGTCCGTGAGAATTTTTGAGCGCATCACAAATGACGCAATTTTGCAGATATTCAATTGGTTTAATTTATAAAACTTGCGATTTAAATATAAATATCAAACATATGAAAACTTAATTATTTCGCTCCAAGTATTTAAACCACACCTGAATCATCTATTTCCTCGACAATAATCTATTTTGAGATAATGACGGCGGCTACAAACCACGGTTTCGGAGATGTGTGTCACATATGCTTGAAATACATTGAGATATTAATGTCACATAGAAAATCCCATATCTCGACGAAATCAAATTATTAAAAAAAAAGAAAAGTATCGATTTGTTCGATTCTCATTTTCATTATAGTCATTAAATCAAAAAAGGGAAAAAAAAAGGAAAAATACGATTGTTTGTGACACATGTTTTTTCGAACTGTCGCTGCTACAAAGTACGGGTTTTCGGATTGATAAGAGCCGCCATATAAGGCGGTTCTTATCAAATTTCCAGCCAACATCAAACAGAGATCGACGATGATACTCCAAATTATATTCACGATTCTCTTTGTATGGCTGTTTGGTCGACAATTCCAAAAGGCTTCAAGACTCCCGCCGGGACCTTTTGCTCTTCCCCTCATCGGAAATGTTCCCCAAATTTTGTACTACGCCTGGAAGACTGGCGGCATCGTTCCAATGCTATCCCAATTTAGAAAGGTTCATCCCAAGTGCCATATTAGGCAATCAATCCAATATAACAATTCTAGAAGTATGGCAATGTGTTCACCGTGTGGCTCGGCCCGCTGCCCACCGTTAGCATCGCCGACTTCGACGTTGCCCATGAGGTCATGGTCAAGAATGGCGGCAAGTATGCCGATCGTTTCACACCACCAACGTTCAACTATTTTAAGGGTATAATTTATTTATTTTCCTTTCGAGAAGCAATATCAGATCTTTCTAGAAGCCGGCGGGATCTTCTTGTCCAACGGAATCGAATGGTCGGAGCAACGGCGATTCACACTGCAGGTCTTCAGGAATCTCGGAATGGGCAAAGATGCGTTCGAGGAGAGGATTATGGATGAGCTGAATTACAGGTGCTCCCAGACTCCCCCCGCCCCATTAAAGGCACATGTGATGGCTTTGGTTTCAGACTGGCCATCATAGACAAAACGGCGGTGGACGGCGTCAGCGTGATGAAGAACTCAGTGCTCTTCGATGTCACCGTCGGCAGCATTATCAACCGAATGCTGTTCAACTGGCGATTCGCTGATGTAAGCGCGATGAAGCTTTTCGAGTAGTCGAAAACCCCATTTTAGGATCCTGAGGATTTCTACAAGTTAAAGCGAACACTAGACAAATCGTTGGAGGTGTTCACACCGATCGAATTGATGCTCCCCATGTGGATGATCAAGATGTTCTTCAAATCGAGACTGGAAGCGAATCGCAAGATTTTCGACGAGGTTAAAGATTATGTAGCGAAAGAGGCAATGGAAAGGTGTATCATTGAAAAAGTGATGATTTCAACATTTTTTTCTTCAGATTGACGAAAGCGCGACGAGATGAGCTCGTGCTTACCGAGGAATCTGCTCAGGACTTCACCGACATGTTCATTGTGAGAATTCTGAATGATGAGAAGAAGGGAATCAAGTCGACATTCACGTGAGCCCCACTGCCAATGCAACAAACTATTATTGATTTGAAGGGAAGAGAATCTGAGGGAGATGCTTGTCGATTTGTGGCAAACTGGCCAGGAAACCACCACGTTAACATTGAATTCGGGATTCGTCAATCTCATGAAGCATCCAGAGATTGCCGATAGACTGCGGAAGGAGCTGATGGAGGTCACTGATCAGGGTTCAAGGCCGCTATCATTGAAAGATCGCCTGAAGACGCCTTACTACAACGCAGTGCTCAATGAGATTCAGAGGCATGCTTCGATTCTCAACGTGAACTTCTGGAGGATCAATCACGAGCGTACTGAGATTGTTGGGCATACTGTAGACGCTGGAGCAATCATTTGCGCGCAACTCAGCGCCCTTCACACCAATGACGAGCTGTTCAAGGATCATGAGAAGTTCAATCCGGATCGATTCCTCGAGGATGCCACACTCGGCAACAAGGTGATCCCATTCGGAATCGGAAAGCGATCATGCCTTGGAGAAGGAATGGCGAAAGCAGAGCTTTATCTAGTAAGTAGCACCATAATTGGAATAGGAGCCAATTAAGAGCTAATTATAGATAATTGTCAATATTCTACTGAGGTATGACATCAAACCACACGGCGAGCTGCCGGACAATATGGACAAATTGCCGTTCAGCGCAGCGAAAGTCTCGCCGAAAGTGGACATCGAATTTCGGAAGCTATCGTGTTGAAAAAAAAAAATCAAATTTTGACTTCAAAAAAATGCAATTTTTGGCGGAAAAATAAAAATTTGAACATTTTAAGTTTGTTTCGGGCACTCATGTACCTTTAAAATTGATTTGACATTGAATTCGGGGTTCGTCAATCTTGTGCATTTCGATATCATTATGAGAATGCAAAAGGAATTGATGGAGGTCACTGATCAGGGTTCAAGGCCGCTATCATTGAAAGATCGCCTGAAGACGCCTTACTACAACGCAGTGCTCAATGAGATTCATAGGCATGCTTCGATTCTCAACGTGAACTTCTGGAGGATCAATCACGAGCGTACTGAGATTGCCGGGCATATTGTAGACGCTGGAGCAATCATCTGCGCGCAACTCAGCGCCCTTCACATCAATGACGAGCTCTTCAAGGATCATGAGGAGTTATCTAATAAGAAATGCCAAAATTGGAAATGAGACCAATTAAGTGTTAATTATAGATACTTGGCAATATTCTACTGCGGTATGACATCAAACCACACGGCTAGCTGCCAAAAATCATGAACCTACTTTCATTCAATATCACAAATGTGGGGCCAAATGTGCGCATTGAACCGCGCATTCCATTTCACTGGTACTTTTATATTGCGTAATAAATACGCAATAATTGGAAGAATGAAAGGAATCAATTCTAATCCTTTTGATGTTCTCATGATGAAAATGCGCTGCATAACATCGACGGAAATAGTTCAGAGATGTTGATAAAAACTGTGTCATTGCTGATAAAAACTGTGTCTGAAACTGGTTGGGAAAATCAGAAAAAAGACGAGACACAAAGATCAATGCGTTGTTGTTAAAATTGTTGATGATTGATCTCGTGGCAAACAGTCAAATAGTTACTTCGTTGGAATGATTCATGGGAGGAAACCGGAGAGGTCCAAGAAACCTTAAACCTATTAATTCGAAATGTAGAGAGAAAAAAATTCAAGTATCTGGGACACTATTCTCGAATAATCGCCTGAATACGCACTTCTCGGTAGACGATTGAGCGTGCGGCGAACCGTTTAATTGTTTTTAAAGTTGCTCGAGTGTATTTTGAAAAACTTGAAAAATTGGTCGATTGGAACACAAATAATTTTTCCAATATACGTATTTTTCGGGAAAAAAATTGTGAATTACTTTCACTCGTGGTGGGCTGTAATAAAAATAAATAGACAGTGAAGGGAAGGCCGCGGCCGAAGTCCAATTTATTTAAATGCACGTCCCCCGTTTTGGGCGAATAGCATAATGCGGTTAGACATTTTCTTTTAGCTTTTTTTGTTCCCAAGTCCCTGAATCAACTTTAGTTATTATTATTATTGTGTTTGATAATGTTTTTTCTGGTTTATATACCTCATCCTTCCCGTTATATAATAGAGGTTTAATTATCCAAGTTTGAAAGTTCACACGACTTGCAATCGGTTTCGATATTGTAAAAAGCTACTTGGAAAGCTTACTCAAATCAAATTTTTCCAAAAAAAGAAGATCACTAAAAGTAACGATTGATTGATAAGAGCCGCCATATAAGGCGGTTCTTATCAAATTTCCAGCCAACATCAGACAGAGATCGACGATGATACTCCAAATTATATTCACGATTCTCCTTGTATGGCTGTTTGGTCGGCAATTCCAAAAGGCTTCAAGACTCCCGCCGGGACCTTTTGCTCTTCCCCTCATCGGAAATGTTCCCCAAATTTTGTACTACGCTTGGAAGACTGGCGGCATCGTTCCAATGCTATCCCAATTTAGAAAGGTTCATCCCAAGTGCCATATTAGGCAATCAATCCAATATAACAATTCTAGAAGTATGGCAATGTGTTCACCGTGTGGCTCGGCCCGCTGCCTACCGTCAGCATCGCCGACTTCGACGTTGCCCATGAGGTCATGGTCAAGAATGGCGGCAAGTATGCCGATCGTTTCACACCACCAACGTTTAATTATTTTAAGGGTATAATTTATTTATTTTCCTTTCGAGAAGCAATATCAGATCTTTCTAGAAGCCGGCGGGATCTTCTTGTCCAACGGAATCGAATGGTCGGAGCAACGGCGATTCACACTGCAGGTCTTCAGGAATCTCGGAATGGGCAAAGATGCGTTCGAGGAGAGGATTATGGATGAGCTGAATTACAGGTGCTCCCAGACTCCCCCCGCCCCATTAAAGGCACATGTGATGGCTTTGGTTTCAGACTGGCCATCATGGACAAAACGGCGGTGGACGGCGTCAGCGTGATGAAGAACTCAGTGCTCTTCGATGTCACCGTCGGCAGCATTATCAACCGAATGCTGTTCAACTGGCGATTCGCTGATGTAAGCGCGATGAAGCTTTTCGAGTAGTCGAAAACCCCATTTTAGGATTCTGAGGATTTCTACAAGTTGAAGCGAACACTAGACAAATCGTTGGAGGGGTTCACACCGATCGAATTGATGCTCCCGATGTGGATGATCAAGATGTTCTTCAAATCGAGACTGGAAGCGAATCGCAAGATTTTCGACGAGGTTAAAGATTATGTAGCGAAAGAGGCAATGGAAAGGTTTATTATTGAAAAAGTGATGATTTCAACATTTTTTCTTCAGATTGGCGAAAGCGCGACGAGATGAGCTCGTGCTCACCGAGGAATCGGCTCAGGACTTCACCGACTTGTTCATTGTGAGAATTCTGAACGATGAGAAGAATGGAATCATGTCGACATTCACGTGAGCTCCATTGAAAATTCAACAAGCTATTATTGATTTGTAGGGAAGAGAATATGAGGGAGATGGTTCTCGACCTATGGCAAACTGGCCAGGAAACCACCACGTTGACATTGAATTCGGGATTCGTCAATCTCATGAAGCATCCAGAGGTTGTCGACAGACTGCGGAAGGAGCTGATGGAGGTCACTGATCAGGGCTCGAGACCGCTATCATTGAAAGATCGCCTGAAGACGCCTTACTACAACGCAGTGCTCAACGAGATACAGAGGCATGCTTCGATTCTCAACGTGAACTTCTGGAGGATCAATCACGAGCGTACTGAGATTGCTGGGCATACTGTAGACGCTGGAGCAATCATTTGCGCGCAACTCAGCGCCCTTCACACCAATGACGAGCTGTTCAAGGATCATGAGAAGTTCAATCCGGATCGATTCCTCGAGGATGCCACGCTCGGCAACAAGGTGATCCCATTCGGAATCGGAAAGCGATCATGCCTTGGAGAAGGAATGGCGAAAGCAGAGCTTTATCTAGTAAGTAGCACCATAATTGGAATAGGAGCCAATTAAGAGTTAATTATAGATAATTGGCAATATTCTACTGAGGTATGACATCAAACCACACGGCGAGCTGCCGGACAATATGGACAAATTGCCGTTCAGCGCGGTGAAAGTCGCGCCGAAAGTGGACATTGAATTTCGGAGGCTTGAGAAAATTAAATGTTGATATCAAAAAAATGTAATTTTGGCGGAAAATAAAATTCAAACGTTTTAATAAAATTTGTTTCGGGCACTCATGTGCCTTTAAAATTGATCGTCGAGCTTCGTTATGAAAAAAATGTGCCATATATTTTATTTTAAAGAATTTTGGTCAGATTCATCCAAAGTGTGAGATTTGGCGTTTCGGTGTTTGCACACAATTGGAATCGACAGTTTTTTTTTAATAAAAATTTTATTAAACAAAAAATGCTGAAGGAAACATTCAAATTCGCAGCCTCCATTTTTTGTCTGTTTACACACCGACGCAATTTTGCACTCAATTCATTTCTATAATAATTATTCTCGGTTTTTTTTTGAAACAAATAAAGTCGTTTATTAAAATTTTTAAAATTTTGAAAAATTATTTGTTTTTTTCGAAAAAAAATTTCCAAACTGGCGTGCAATTCAATATTTAAAAATAAATTGAAAGGGAAAATTCGTTTTTTTTTTTGCATCGAACAATTAGAAGGAAAATCGAAGTAAAACTGGAAAACCAATGAAAAATGAAGGCCCAGTTGAGAATTAAATGTTTATTTTTTCTGAGCTGCGAACTGAATTTCACAAAATGAAACTGATAACACCAATATTTTTTCGCCAATTAATACCATTTCTGGAACTGGCGATTTTGATAAGAAGCGTCACATCGCCTTGCTACAACATACACGTTCAACGTTGAGAAATAGCGAGGCGATTTGAGAGGTGCCGTTGTTTTATATGTTGTATCATGATTTTTGAACTGCAAACACAACGAGACCCGAACATAAATCAGACAAAATTAGGAGTATTTAAGAACGAGCGATTTTCAAAAAGAAAAAAATAAATTCGCTATGATACTTCTAATTATATTCACGCTTCTCCTTGTATGGCTGTTTGGTCGACAATTCCAAAAGGCTTCAAGACTCCCGCCGGGACCTTTTGCTCTTCCCCTCATCGGAAATGTTCCCCAAATTTTGTACTACGCCTGGAAGACTGGCGGCATCGTTCCAATGCTATCCCAATTTAGAAAGGTTCTCCCCATGTACCATATTAGGCAATCAATCCAATATAACAATTCTAGAAGTATGGCAATGTGTTCACCGTGTGGCTCGGCCCGCTGCCCACCGTCAGCATCGCCGACTTCGACGTTGCCCATGAGGTCATGGTCAAAAATGGCGGCAAGTATGTTGATAAATTGCTTCCACCAATTGCGAAGGATATAAATAGTAAGAATGTTTGCAGTTTCCTTCCGAACTCAAACGATTTGATTTGCAGAAGGTGATGGAATCGCTTTCACGAATGGCGAAGCATGGAGCGAGCAGCGACGATTCGCTCTTCAGGTGTTCCGAAACTTGGGAATGGGCAAAAATGAGTTTGAGAGTTGGGTTCTCGATGAACTGGATTTTAGGTAGAATGAGTTTGGCTGGGTACTGAATAGTCTCAATTTGTCAGATTTTCGGCGTTGGAAGAGAAATCCGAAAATCGGGTGCTTGTCATGAACAACTCCGAGTTGTTCGATGTGACCGTCGGCAGCATTATCAACCGAATGTTGTTCAGCTGGCGATTTGCCAAGGTTGGCAGTCTTCACGGGAATTGACGAATTTGGTAGATTTAAAGGATCCTCATGATTTCTACGAGCTCAAGGAGAAACTCGACCATTTTTTGAACACCAGCAGCCCGCTTGATATGATTATTCCGACATGGCTGCTAAAAGTGCTGTTCAAGAAGCACTATGAGTTTTCGATTCAAGTCACCGAAGACGTCACCGAATTTGTCGCGAAGGAGGCAATTGAAAGGTGATGTTGACGTCTAAACCTTGGTGACGTCTAAACCGACGCGAATTTTGAGGTTGAGGAATGCGCGAAGCGGCATTCTGGAATTGACAAAGAACAACGCCAAGGATTTCACCGACAACTACATTCTTGAAATTCTCGAGAATGAGAAGAATGGAGGCAAGGGGACGTTCACGTGAGACATTGAAGCCCTTTTTCGGTAATGAGCAAGTGATTCTAGCGAAGAAAACTTGAAGCAGATGCTTCTTGACCTTTGGCAAACTGGCCAGGAAACCACCACGTTGACATTGAATTCGGGATTCGTCAATCTCATGAAGCATCCAGAGGTTGTCGACAGACTGCGGAAGGAGCTGATGGAGGTCACTGATCAGGGCTCTAGGCCGCTATCATTGAAGGATCGCCTGAAGACGCCTTACTACAACGCAGTGCTCAACGAGATTCAGAGACATGCTTCGATTCTCAACGCGAGTTTTTGGAAAATGAATCATGAATACACAAACGTCGGTGGATATCCTCTGGATGCTGGAACTGTAATTACAGTGCAGCTCAGCGCCCTTCACACCAATGACGAGCTCTTCAAGGATCATGAGAAGTTCAATCCGGATCGATTCCTCGAGGATGCCACACTCGGCAACAAGGTGATCCCATTCGGAATCGGAAAGCGATCATGCCTTGGCGAAGGAATGGCGAAAGCAGAGCTTTATCTAGTAAGTAACACCATTATTAAAATGGGAGCCAATTAAGAGCTAATTATAGATAATTGGCAACATTTTCCTTCGCTACGACGTCCAACCGCATGGAGAATTCCCGACAAGCATCGATATGGCGCCATATTCATTCGCCAAAATCTCGCCAAAAATCAGCCTCGAATTTCGCAAACTGTGTGCACATTGATTTTTTTTTAAACTTTGAATGAACATTTAAATGACAATAAAATTTTTATTTTTATTTATTTTTTATTTTTTTTAATTTTAATTTTAATTTTTTGATGTTGCAATCGCGCCCTATTGATTAATCATTTTTTGGTTTCCTCTTTTCAGTAAATTTCAGTTTAATCTTTGAAATTTGAAATATTGAAAAAGAAAAATCCACGAGAAAAAATTAGTCGCAATAAAAAAAATCGCCCTTCATTGAACAGGGTGCTATCGCTCAATGAACATCTGAATTTCGATTCTCACGAGCAGGAAATGAGCTTTTCAATTTCCCGTTTTCTCCCACGAGCCCTCATGAACATTTATACGCTTTTTTTATTGGCCGACATGTTGCCATGTGAGCCGAGCGCCGATTATCAGTCAATTATTGAGATCACGCGATATTCGACGATATTCGCGATTCCCGTATTCGGCGTTTCATCGTATTTGCTGTTCTATCGGTCCAGCACTCACTGGAAGCCTGGACGAATTCATTATGCCAGGTTCATGGGAATTAATTTTGCCAGTATGGTTTTACTCGCCAGCGGCACATGCCCAATTCTATATTTGGACATTTCGGGACTTCAAGTTTCTGGAATTCTACGGCATTTCCTCAATGAGGAATACTCATATGCGGTTATTATTAATATTATATCATTTTTGTGTAAGTTTCAGAAAAAATGTCTCTTTAAACTTAAATGCTTGTGGATATTTTTGAAAAAAAAAATAATGCAATTTATTGAAATTATAGTACGGTAGAGCGATAATGTGCAAACACCGTGACGCAAACATCGCAGATTTTTTCCATTCCTTTCTTTTTTAAACAATTGTCTAAAATTCCGATTTTCAGTTGTTTCGTTCGCTCTTTTGCAAGTCATCGAGTCAAAATGCGATCTGATTCAGAAGCTTTTCGACGAAACCGATCTGAAACCTCAACAAGTCCTCAAAATCGTTCGCAAGATCGTTTATGCCAATTTGATGGCCGCCTGCTTCACGATTCTTCTAATACGCGAATTTTCCGAAGAGCAGGACGACATAAAACAGCGGCTTGAGCAGCAGGTGACGATTTCATAAATTTTCAAAAAAAAAACAGTCATATGATGGACATGTGGCTACTCACGTGATAGTGTTAGCAAATGAGAGACGCAGAGAGACAGACAATTTTTTCAGGCGCCGAAATGCTCGAAAATCTGGCTCATCAACAACCAATCATGGATATTCTTCTTGAATATAATTACGATAATTATCTATATAATTATCGCCATCACTTATATGGTCTCATTGATTTGCTCAACACGACACACGTTCAAATTGTGTAAAACGAAAGTCTCGAAGAAAACGTATCGAATTCAAAACGGATTTTTGTTGATGTATTTTCTGAATGTAGGTTGTCCTAGTTTTGTGGTTGTCAATTTCGCGACCATGTGAGAATTTGGCGAGGACCATGTGAGAATTTGGCGAGAAACTATAATTTTTCCAGTTTTTGACAAATTTTTGAGTCCTGAAAAAATATTCCTAGATTAATCAGGTCCCAAAATGTAACTGTAATAGCTGGAAGGTCCAACAAAAATTATGAGTGTGCTTTTTTAAAATTTGAAGAGTTGTGTAAAGTTTTCAGATCGTCATCTTCCTCGCCTTCATCGTCACCCCACTCTTCGTGTTTCTCGCTCTTCGAAATGAGATGGGTATCACCGCTCTTTAAACATTGACAAAAACCATTTTAGTGGCCTATTACCTTATATTGTTGATCGCACATCAAGGAACAATGCAGACCGCCGCGTTTATGGGCTCACACCGGCAAGTGCGTTTGATTGTGGCCGCAATCTATGGGAAATGTGCGCGTCGTTTGAATCACACATAAAATGGTCCGAATTTATTTTTTGTGTTTCAGTGGTCCCTAGATCAAAGTCAACCGCGACGGCTCTTGATTCTCAGGACCGAGTCGCGGAAACGCCGGTGTTCACTATAGTCACTTCGAATTCGGTGGTTTGAATCGACAAGTATTATTGAAAATGCGAGTTATCTAATGCAAATAGGTTTACTGATAACCATTGACCTTCAACTCGCCTGATATGTACAATAATAATCACCATCATTTTAATAAAGGATTTAAATTGGCATTGCATGGTACATTTATGTATGTGTTAAATCTCATCTGTTGGGTGTTACAATAGATGTAATAAAATGGGGCGGGACGCGTCTCGCGTGACCTAGAATCGACCAGAATAATCTAGTGTTGCCATTCGTTGCTGGTTATATAGCTAGCAGATGGTGATGGTCCGCATTCTTCCCCAACTTTTTAAAAAATTTAATTTTGCGTTACGGTTGACATTGATGTTCATGCACCGTGACGCCGAATTGCGTACAGTTGTTTCTTGCCACTCCGTTCTTCCACATTAAATGTTTCTCCTAATTTTTGAATTCTCTCCTACATTTTTTACCCAATCTCGTCGAGTTTTGGAATTTTCTGTTGGAACTGGAATTAAAGTTGTCAAAATTGAACTAAATTTGCACTTTTTCATTGCAGGAATGTTGATTAATCCATTTAAATTAGGCCAATATTTTCGCGATAATTTTGGTTATTATTTCTTCTTGAAATTTTTCGTTTTTCAAAGCCTTTCATGAGATAGTTTTATAAACTTATAGTTTGCTTTCATCTCAGCTGAGAAAAAAAAGCTTAAAACAGAAACACCAAATCAAGTGTGCAAACCTATTTTCAAATTCAAAATTAGTTTTTTCTGATGAAATAATCACGTGATTTCTTGTAATTTGAATCGTATTATGAGTTATTTTGTACCCATTCTCATATTTCTGGTTGTTTGATTTTTGGATCATTTGACTTTGACCACAGCTTTTCTCTCTCTCGGAACCTCAATGGTACCTTGCTGTGGAAGACCCCGTGCCGACATCCCATTATTATTATTATCAGTGACCAGAAGAGAGAAGAGCGAGAGAGAGACCCCCGTCTGTTTCGTTCTCGTCGCGACTCCGCCCACATTGTGCGTTCAAAAGCATCGGCGCCCATACGACCTGTTCATATGATATCTCGCTTATCGCGCCGTCAACTTTTTCTATGTTTCATTTCCTTGCCATTCGCGGGCCGCCTATAAATATAGGGTTCAAATTGAACGAAATCCATCGTTTTGCAGAATGAATCGTTTCATTCTATTGGCATTCTTGTTGGCCGCCACCGTCGCCGCTTCGTCGATCTCCCGCCAAATCGAGGCGGCCATTGAGAAATGGGAAGACTACAAGGAGGATTATGGTAAGTAATTTGACGATTTCATGCGTAAATTCGAATATTTTTGTGTTTTTTTTTAAGATAAGGATTACCATCCAAGCGAGGAGCAAGATTACATGGAGGCATTCGTGAAGAACGTCATTCATATTGAAAACCACAATCGCGAACATCGAATGGGCCGAAAATCATTCGAGATGGGACTCAACCACATCGCCGATTTGGTAAGAAACCCGTTTGTTTTATCAATCGCGTAATTCCCGGCAATAAACCGGCTCGGTCAAGTCAGTTGACCAACAGCTGTTTTGTTGTGAAATCTCAAGAATTGATGCAATTTTTCATTTTTTCAGCCATTCTCGCAATACCGCAAACTCAACGGCTATCGTCGATTGTTCGGTGACTCGCGTCCAAAGAACGCCTCCACATTCCTCGTGCCGTTCAACGTCGCTATTCCCGATGAGGTCGACTGGCGCGAGCAGGATCTCGTCACCGAAGTCAAAAACCAGGGAATGTGCGGATCGTGCTGGGCATTCTCGGCGACGGGCGCACTTGAAGGACAACACGCCCGAAAGTTGGGAAGCCTTGTTTCGCTCTCCGAGCAGAACCTCGTCGATTGTTCGACACGCTATGGAAACCATGGATGCAACGGCGGACTTATGGATCAGGCGTTTGAATACATTCGCGATAATCACGGCATCGACACCGAGGAGAGCTATCCATACAAGGGCAGAGACATGAAGTGCCACTTCAACAAGAAGACCGTTGGAGCCGACGACAAGGGATTCGTTGATCTTCCAGAAGGTGATGAGGAGAAGCTCAAGATCGCCGTCGCCACCCAAGGACCAATCTCGATTGCCATCGACGCGGGACATCGCAGCTTCCAACTCTACAAGAAGGGTGAGCGTTTGATTTTTTGGTTTTGGTTTCTTCGCCAAATTCAAATCGTGGGAAAAATGCCTATGAACGAAATTATCAAAATAGTGTAGTCACAATAAACAAAACGTTGAGCACAAGGTCAATCAAAGTGCTGTTATCAGCGAAAATGATAAACCGAAATATGCCAATATTATAGGCGTTTATTACGATGAGGAATGCTCGTCGGAGGAGCTTGATCATGGAGTGCTCTTGGTTGGATACGGAACCGATCCGGAACACGGCGACTACTGGCTGGTGAAGAACAGTTGGGGAACCGGATGGGGAGAGAAGGGCTACATCCGTATGGCGAGAAACCGCAACAATCATTGCGGTGTCGCCACCAAAGCCAGCTATCCGCTCGTCTAAATTTTGAAGTTGTTGTAATCACAAAAGCTTTATTCAATAATTGTTCATTGTATCCCCCCCCCCTCGCAGTATTTTTTTCTCATTTTGCTCACGTTGTGTTTTGTTGTAATAACGCCTGTATGTTGTATATACATGAATCAATTATTATGTGTATTATTAGATGATCGAAATTGGCGATGATTAACGCGAAGAATTGGCACCGACGATTAGCTTGAATGCGATGGCGAAGATGAGGAAAGCGATGGACAAGCCGGTTGAGGTGGCGGCGAGACGCGTGTTCACGCACACTCGAATCTCGTCTGAATGGAATTTGAAAATTGGCAATTTGTGATGTCTGCTGATCCCCCCAAAAAGCCTCACTACTTACCAATGTAATCCGGTTGGCAGTTTTTGGAGACGCACAGCGTCGCGCGAACCGATTGACTGACGGCGGTGAGCGCCTGCGCTTCGAGATTGCGTCGCGGTTTCGCGTACGACGACGCGTCGGACAGAATCGAGTTTTGTGGCGACGTGACGAGATCGGCGCAAAACGGCGGCGACGGAATCGCGTCGCAGCTCGTCGCGTTCGTCGCCGTCGATTTGATGTTGGAGCAGATGAGAATGTCGCATTTGATTCGAAGCGACGACATGTCGGGCACTTTGAACGCCCACATGTGCGCCGACGCCGTATCGTGATAGGTGTCGTAGTGCGGATGGTCGATGATCTGAACGTCGGCCGAACATCCGTGCTCGTCGATGAGCACGTGCTCGTTGTGGCCGATGGCGTCGACGACTTTGCAATTCCTCACGTGAAGTCCATAGGCGTCCGACTCGGGCTCGAGACTCCAACGAATCGCCAACGGCATTCCGATGTCGGCGGCCATCACTTCGGGTCCGAGTTTGTGGTGACCTTCGTCGACGACGATTTGCATCACCGCCGTCGGCATCGACGCTTTTTGCTCGAGTTTTGACGGCACAAGATGAAGTCTGAAAATGACAATTCGGATTCTGGAATTCTCAACGCGGCGTCGTCTCTCACTCTTCCAGCGCCTCTTCAATTCGCTTCGGCAACACTTGCTTATTGTAGTTGATCTTCTGGAGGACGCATTGAGACATGAAGGATTGGACGACGTTGGTGCCGTTGCCTTGATCCATCTCGAGGACCACCTGCAAGTTCGATATTCGGCGAGTTTCGCGCTTTCCTTTTTTTGGGGATTACTGTATCAATAGTTATTTTGTGTGTGATTGTCCGCAGATCGATTTATTGATATCAAAACTCGTACCTGTATGTGATATTGAGCTCGTGTGTCGGCTTCATCGCCGACATTCTTCACACCGCACTCCTTGAACGGAAGGAATAGCTTTGGATGCGCGTCATCGCTGAACACCTTCGAGCATTCCGGATGACGTTTGCGATCATTCGCGAATATCGAGCCGCTCAGCGGAAGGATGGTCTTGATCTCGAACGTGATGCCGTCCTCTTTGCACAGAATCTTCGGTTTGCCGATGACGCGATTCGGCACACGTGGAGCGCCTTCCGGCGGCACGTATGGATTGTGACGCGTTGGGATTCTTGGCGTCGTTTGGGTGGTGAACGGCTGAATGGTGATGGTGGTGAATGGCGACGGTGTGCTTCTTGGGCTCGTCGTCGTCGAAAACTCGAAACTTTGAATTCTGTCAGTGATTCGCGAAGTTTGCTCTGCTGACCCCGGTGTGATGAATTCTGAAGTGCTCGGATTCTCGAATCTTGACGTCCTCGCTGTCGTGGAAACTGTTGATTTCGTCGTCGTCTCGCGATCAGTTTGTCTTGAAGATTCTGACGTCGTCAAATTTGGAATTCCTGAAGACGTCGTGCTTGCTGGAGGCGTTTCCGACGTTGAAATCGTTGACTCGAGGGTCGTCGTCTCTCGATCGGTGTGCCTAGAAGTCGACGAAGAAGTCGTCGTCATCGTCGTCTCTTCATACCTCGGTGACGTGTGATATTCAGAAGTTGTTGTCGTCGTCTCTTCATACCTCGGTGACGTGTGATATTCAGAAGTTGTTGTCGTCGTCTCTTCATACCTCGGTGACGTGTAGTATTCAGAAGTTGTCGTCGTCGTCTCTTCATACCTCGGTGACGTGTGATATTCAGAAGTTGTTGTCGTCGTCTCTTCATACCTCGGTGACGTGTGATATTCAGAAGTTGTTGTCGTCGTCTCTTCATACCTCGGTGACGTGTAGTATTCAGAAGTTGTCGTCGTCGTCTCTTCATACCTCGGTGACGTGAGGTATTCAGAAGTTGTTGTCGTCGTCTCTTCATACCTCGGTGACGTGTAGTGTTCAGAAGTCGTCGTCTCAAAAGCTCCACCACCGCCTTGCGGAATTCTGGTGATACTCGCCGGCGTCTGTGTCGCCTTGCTGATGTCCGCGATTCGAGTCGTCACATCTTCCGGATGAAGCGGTTGATACGTCGGTGGATTCTTTGGAGACGCCGTAGACGGCGTCATATGCGCGATTGCCGGCGGCACGTACATCGTCGGACCCTCATCATAATCCGTCACACGTGGTCGAGAAGACGTCGACGTCGACGGCCTGGTGGTCGTCAGCTCCGATTCCATTGTCAACGCGGTGGGAACGAACGGCGTCGTCGTCTCCTCAAATAGGTATTCCGACGGCGGCACCGAGGTGTGGAACGACGGGAATGGATGATTCGCCGGCGGATTCGTGTACGGCGTCGCGTAGTCGTCGGGATTCGGCGGCGGTGGCGGCGGAACGTAGGGATTGACGGTGGCCGTCGGCGGCGGTTTGTAGCCGGCTCGAAACGCGTCCTCCTTCGCCGCATTGCTGATCACCAGCGTCGGGCCGATCTCGCCGCGATCCGGCTTGTACAACGACACTTTGTCGGTGTCGATGCCGGTGCACGGCGGTGACGCGCACGCCTTCGACGGCTTCTTGAAGTTCACATTGAGATGACATCCGAAATCGTCGGGCTGATGGCCCGGCGGCTGATAGGCCTGCTCGGTGACAGGTCGCGGGAAAAAGTTGGCCATCATTTCCTTCTCTTCCTGCTCAGGTGTCAGCGTCGCGCCGTCTTCCATTGGTGGAGATGGTCCGTTGAAGTTGGAGGAAGTGATATCCTCGTTCTCCTCGCTCGACCCGAGGTAGATTGGGGGAACTGTCTTGCTGGAATCGAATGGATTCTTGGTCATGATGAAGACTGGAGCCTTCGATTCCGTGGTGCTGATTGTGGTAGAGGTGGAGGCGGTCTGAATTCGGATTTTTATTTTCGTTGACAGAAAACCAATCGACCAACCGTCTCCTCATCGCTCGCCATCCGATTGCTCGGCTCTTGCGGTCCGGCGCGAATCGTCGGATTCGGCCGAGACGGCGTCGTCGTCGGCGATTGCGCGGCCGGCGAGTGCGCCATCGTGCCCGTATAGGTGTCGGGCGAATGGGCGGGCCTCGTCGCCGCCTGCCTCGGACCATACAAGCCGTATTGCGACGGACTCATCAGATAGGGACTATAGGCGTTGCCGGGACCGTCGGGAACCCAGATCATCTGCACCGGATATTTGTCCCAGTTGGGCGGAAGCGGCGGAAGGCCGCTGGGGAAACTCGGCGCCTTGTGCGGCGCCTGATTGTAGAGCGCGTCGTGCGTCGAGCCGGCCTTCGGCTGTGGTCCGACCCACGCGAACGGTCGAAAATGGCCGGGACCCAATGGGCTCGCTGGACGATAGTCGGGTATCGAGACCTGCTCGGGACGCGTATAATAATTGGGCTGGGCTCGCTGCAATGATGAATTTCGATGGTCCCCATCGCCCCCGCCAATTCGACTCACCTTTGACAAAACGGTATGCGGAGCGCTCTCATTACTACTGCTCGCCACCGGCGTCCTCCAGACGGGTCTCACAGCGAAACAGCCGAAATAAGGCAGAACGAGGAGAGCGACCAAGTTCATGTTCGACTTGACATGAAAGCAAAAACAACAAACGATTTGACTGAATGGAGAGATCGGCGGCGAACAAGAATATGATGACGATGATGATGATGATTATAATATTCGGGAGGAGGTCCTCCTTCTCCTCCTCCTCCTCCTCCTCATTCTATTGTAGAGGGGAACACGCCGCGCCGATCGTGCGGAAGATCGCTTCACGAGATAATTCACTTCGGCTTCTTCCTCGCGATTTCCGTCCAGACATCGTTTATGGAAATTAAGCGCCGATATCGGTTTCGACGACAACAATACGCATTTTTCGAGACACAAGAATTTCGTGAAATATTTTTACGTGTTTAAAGGCGCATTGAAGATTTCAATTGTGGGTAACTTGAACTATTTTTTTTTCGGAGAATTGAAAATCACAAATTTCGCAATTTTGCCTCAATTTAAAGGCGAATAGCGATTTTTAAAAGCAAATGATAGTTTTTAAAGGCGCATAGCGATGTTTGAAAGCAAATCAACATTTTTAAAGGCGCATAGAAATTTTTTGAAAGCAAATCATCATTTTTAAAGACGCATAGTTCTCTGAAAGAAAATGTTGCTTCCAAAACAATTACTTCTGTTCTTTGAGTTGAAACTTGGAATTTAAAGGCGCATGGTCTAGAAAAAATCAGCTGTCGTCTGCCAAATTTGGACAACAGGTTCGAATTTTTTTTTACGTTTTCTCCACATTTGAGCCGAATGCGAAAAAAAAGAAACACCGAAAACGAGGGCAATTTCAAAAGTGGGCTGACAAGTTCGTTCGTTCGTTCTTTTCGGCGGGTAGTCGACGATAATTGCGCTTCGTTTTCTTTTCTTGTTGTTGTTTTTTTTCTGCTCTGCGAGCATCTAAAAGGTCCGACATTATTTTTTCCGACCGATTGCGATTCCTCAACAACGTTTCTTTCACATTTCAAGTGGAGTTCGACGAGCGACAATGTACCAGGTTACTGTAGCAGTAGTTATTCAGTGTGTGCCGATTGTCCGCAGATGCATATTCATAAAGTTCGCGGTGTTTTAATATAAATTTGTCCGCAGATGCATTCCAGTATTTTTCTATTTTTTTTCTTTTTTTTATATTTCAAAAATTTTTGCCTAGTTTCTTCCACATTTTTTTGCTTTGTCGATTACTGTAGCACTAGTTATTTTATGTGTGATGAATCGATTGGGTTTAGAAATGCGAAAAACATTGCCGATAGTTTCCCTCACCAAGAAAGGATTTTCAATTTTTGATCTACTTTGCCGAATTGGGACTTCAGAACACTTCAGAAGAAAGCTCTTGAGTTTTATTCCTAGAATTTCGATCAAAATTGGGATTAGGAAAATTGAAAAACGCAAAAAACATGGATTTTTTCTTCATAAAATTATGATTATTTCATTTTTCGCTACAATTTCTAGGAAGCAACGATTTTTTGAATGAGCCACAAATCATTTTCGTTTGATTTTGGCAAGCAATGTTGTTGAAAATTAATAGTGCAGTATGGCGTCGTGGTGGTTGCAGAAGGATACTGTAGCTCGCAAATAATATTCGATTAATTATTCGAATAGTTGGCTTGGCCAAACGCGAGCGCTGCTTAATTGTGGACCATCGCAATTTTTCGAGGCGGCAATTCAAATTCGAATTTAAACAGCGGAAAGTGGATACCGTACTCGGGATAACCTGTGGAATAAACTAGCCGTAAATCGGCGCAGGGTGCTCGTAATATTTCGAAAATTTATAGTGCAATATGGCGTCGTGGTGTTTGCAGAATGGTACTGTAGCACGCAAAAAATAATCGATTAATTTTGAATATTCGGGCCTAACGTCTTCTAGCAGAAATGCAGATGACAGAACATTCTTCCACCAATTTTTGTGGTGTTCGTCTATAATTCGCCAATTCCCACCATTCTCATTTTCTATTGAATTTTAATTTCTCCCACTTACTCTCACTTTCACGAACCGCCGATTCGTTTCTCGAAGTTAGTTATACACACTTCAATTTTTCACTTTTTTTTACTTTTGATTTTTTTTTTTATTTAGAGGTATAATATTGAAGAATTGAGAATATCAAGAAAGTTCGAGCATCAAGAAATATTCAAAATCTCAATTAAAAAAAAATATTGGCTATGTGAATCGGGGCAGCGTGAAGTACGAAGATTGCGTACATTGCATTATAGTGTATAATCGGCGTCCGGCGACTGCTGAAGATTTACGTGCATGCGCCTTGAAAAGGTCTCGCCACGCGTGAACGTTTAATTTTTTCTTGATGAGTTTCGCATTTCTTGGAATTTCGAATATCGTTCGATTTAAAAATTATCGAACCTATCCATCAAATGCAAAAGTCCGCGCGAGACCAAGAGAAAGACGCATCCTCGTAAATCTACCCGGACGCGCATTTAAGATTCGACACGATATTTGCCATCCGTTAATCGTTTGACGTCGTAAATTCATTAATATGAAACTGTTCTTTGTGTTTAGTGCGGGACCATCTCACGTGGACCTTCAGAAGTCACCCAAGTAGATTCCTTTAATTCGATTATACCGCTAACAGTCACTTACTTAGTCACTTAGTCGGTTCGTCCTTGGCTTGTTGAGGCGCGAACCACAGCTTTCCAAGCTTTTCGGTCCTTGGCTTGGGTGGACCACGGGGTGATAACGGCTCCTTCAGCTGTTCTTGTAGTGATCTCCTTCCGAAGCGAGTCCGACCATCTCATGGGAGGCCTTCCTCTTGGCCGGGTCCAATTCCACGGCCGCCACTCCGTTAGAAGAGTAGTCCATCTTCCATCTGTTCTTCTAGCAACGTGTCCAGCCCAGGTCATCTTCCTCTTCGTGATGTGGTGTAGGGGGTCCCGAACATTAGACAATGAAATAAACAATTGTATTTAGAGTTCTGCCTTTGAATCACTACTCGCTGAGATTTGCCATCTGGGTAACTTAAAATTTTTTTTCAAATTCCAGACGTGCAACTTTTTTTTTGTTTTATTGCCAAATGGCTGCGAGGAACCGATCTCGCCCGAGGAATCTGCTGGAATTCTCATTTTTCGATTTTTTTTTGTCGATATAATAAATCCTGATGAATAATGCATAATTTTTAAATTTATATGGGTGGCCTTCGAACTACGCTGAAAAAAATCGGCAAGAAAAAATGACACCAATAAAATTCGGATCTTTTTTTTTTGACGACATCCAAAAGCTCAGAGCAAAACGAAAATATCAAAAGCTTGGTGGGGGGGAACAAAAAAATCGGCACCCCCCGCCCATGGGAGGGACGGCACTCCTAATTAGGCAGAATTATTCAAATTTCATCATCTGGCATAAACGAGATGCGACGAAAGAGGAAAAAAAATTCTCAACAAGCCGATTTTCTTTCTCCCCGCTTTTTTCTGTTGTTGTTGTTGTTGTTTGCCGCGCTGCGGTTTTTTCCGTCCAGCTTTTGCTCCGAATATCTAATGTAGGTGTGTAATTCAATCCGGTGCGGTTTTTGACAGCCAAAAAAAAAGAAGACATCGAATGAAAGAGCGAAGGGAAAAGCCTTTTACGTCTTTTTTTTCTGAGGCCTTTGCGATTTCTTCTTTTCGGGATTACGGTAGCACTAGTTATTATGTGTGTGCATTTCAATGAAGCTCACAGTCATTTTTTTGGCAGCCTAATCGTCAAGCGCGTTTCCCCGAAATTTGTCCGCAGATGATCATTTTCATAAAACTCGCCAGAAAGTTTGGATTTTCTCTAATTCACAAGTTTTTGCATATTTCGCCCAGGAAAAAAAAACGAATACAAAGCAATGACGAACGGACCCGCAACGATGTCGGCAGCAGGCAATAAATCTTTCGAATCGCTAGATCATGTACGAGGGGCGGCTCTCTCTCTATCCGTCTCAGAGCCGCGATGGGGCGCACGTCTTGTCAACGATGTGTAAAAGATAAAAATTTTGTGGGACCCCCCCTTCTTGTTTTTTTTGTGTGTGTTTGTCGATATAAACTGATTTCTTTCACACAAAAAAAACCCGTACAATTGACTCGTTTCAGGCTCAAAATATCATGACGGCCGAGGATCTTCTTGATGGTTATGATGAGGTATTTGAAACATTCAGTTTTTGTTTCGGCCAAATTTCCATCGAAATTTGCGTTTTTGGCATTTCTAATTGGAATTTTCACGAAAATCAAAAGCTGGACCGATTTTCGATCGTTTGAAAAATGTTGACATGCCACCTGCGGACAACTCGCGACTTTCGCCACAACGCACCTTTAGACATAAGAATTGAGTCCAACAATCAAATTTTGGGTGTTTTTCGTTGAATAATTAATCTGAAATTTTTTTTTCAAAAATTTGTCCAAAAAATTCCATAAGATTTGATTTTTGTTCCAACTGTTCCGAAAATCGATTAAATTAGAAAAAAATCGTTTGAGACGCCAAAATTTGCTCGAAAATTTCATTTTTTTAATGAAAAAAATGTCAAAAATGCGATTTTTCTTTTCAAAATTGTCTTCTTTAAAATTGTATCGAGAAAACTGCAATTTTTTTTGTTACAACACTCAAAAGACGATTGATAATAGGGGGGAATGAAGGAACTGGTCTTTTGTTGTCATTTTTCCGAACAAAAATAAATATTTTTCCCATATTTGGATATCAATTTTTTCTTTTTTCAATTTTTTCTCTCTCTCTCAAAAAAAAAATTAACATCGAACCCTTGAAATGAGCAATTTTTGAGAGTCCAAAAAAAAGCGAAGATTCGAATCGCAATGAGACCCATGATTCAAGGCGCATACATGTGAAATCGCGAAATCACCAAATAAGGCATAAAAACGCATATATTTTATTTCGCAATATTTCCCAAAATTGGCGATTTTCGCAATTTCCTCTAAGCGCACACTCACACGATTTTTTTTTTCGAAATGCCGATGTCGGTGTCGGATTCGTATTCAACGATTCCCAGTGATGATTCGGTGAGTGTCGTCAAACCCGCAATGGTGTCCGCAGCTGAGCGGGGCTTACATTGCTTGAGTCTCGACACGATTTTTTTAAAAATAATTTTAAACCCGCAACAATGTCCGCAGATGAACATTGTCTTATTTGATTGGAATTCGACAGGGATTAAAGCGTCGACCCCCCTCTCCAAACCCCCATAATAGGAGACATTTTGCCGCCGGCTAATTCGCTGCGCAAACACACACCGTCAATTTCAGGAGCTCGGCGGCGGCGGCGCACAAGAGCGCGATTGGAAAGGCATCACGATCGCGTTGTTCGTCATCATCATGATTTGTTCGCTCATCGGAATCGCGTTGATTCTGTTCACACCGCGTGAGTTCTTTTTTTTTTTTTCGCTTCTCCCTCTCAAATTATTCACGTCGTCTAGTCACCGAAGCGTCGCACGTGACGACGAAACGAATGGAATTGTCCGACATCCAATCGACGCGCTATCCCGTCGGCGACATGAAGCTCGTCGGCGATTCGATTGTGATGCAGAGCTGGATGGGCGTCGAGCAGGTCACCGACGGCGTCAGAAAGGTTCTGTTTCTAAGAGACGGCGGGGTATGGCGAGCGTTCTAACGAGAAAAAAATGATATGATCGTGTTCAGGACGAGATCAAGGAATCCTATGATAATCGGATGTTCGCCAGTCTCACGAAGGCGCCGAATCCCGGATTGAATCCGGAGAACGTCACGTACTATGTGAAGGTCTACAACGCGGCGACCAAGTCGGAGCGAGATTGGAATCTGAACTTAATTTTTAGCGATTCAGAATCGCCACCCATATTGGAAGCGAGCGTGAGAGGAGCACCCTTCAAGCGTTTCAATGGAACACCAACAACAATGATTTCGTATGTCCGCCAGCTGATTATTGATAGCACACCCACTTGTTAGGCGTTCATCGAGAACAACGAGGTCTACTATCAGACGTCCGCTGAGAGTCGAAGTGTTCGGCACATCAGCGACGGCGCGAAAACGCGAGTTCACGGCCTATTCGATTGGATCTACACCGAGGAGATATTCCAAAAACGCGAGGCGTTGTGGTGGTCGCCCGACGGCAATATGTTGGCGTTCGCCTCACACGACGGCCGTCTCACGCGCAATGTGACGCTCAAATCCTATCAGCGCCTTCAGTCGTATCCCATCGATAGCGCGCTGCCGTACCCGAAGACGTTTGCGAAACGATTGCCGACGTACACGGTGTCGATATGGGATAAGGTGACGGATGAGGTGAAGCAGCTTGATGTGCAATTGACGACGAGCTCGTGAGTCGATTCTCGATTCAGCGAGTCCGAATTCATTGCAGCGAGTACCACTATTTGATCGCCGTCAAATGGCTTCTCATCGATGGCGCGCCGAGATTGGTGTTGGTGTGGGCGAATCGCTATCAGAACGAGATCTCGATCACAATTTGCGCGTTCGAGAACGCGATTTGTAGTCTCGCGTTCGAGTACAGCTATTCGAGTCGACGTTGGGCGTCGCCCGACGACTTCGAGTCAATGATCGCCCACAACGATCAGATCTTCTTTCTGCTTCCCAGAGATCTCAAGGACAACGCGTTTCAGCACATTGTGAGGCTCAAGATTACGGTGGGTCGTTGGTTTTTTTTTCGATGGTTGTCGGACGCTCAGCAAATTTTGTAGCCAACATCGGGAACGCCGGAATTCATTGCGCTCGGCCATTACGACGTCGCCGGCCTCATCGGCATCGACGCCGACGGCAAAAAGGTGTTCTATCGGGCGTTGGCGCCGAATCCCGGACAGATGAGCGTCTATTCGGTCGGTATTGACGACAGCCCAACGGAATCGCCGGAATGCGTCACGTGCCACATCAAGAATTGCACCTACGTTCAGATTCTTGATTTTGACAAACGCAATCTGCTGGTGACGTGCAAGGGACCCATCGTGCCGCACACGATTCTCATTGATCTCGAGAAGCTTGACAAACGAAACACGTCGATTTGTCAGATTTCGACGATTCCATTCTAGCGAGATTTGGTTTTTTTTCAGACAAGCCGGCGTTCGATGAGAAGGAGTTCACCGAGACGTTCAATCGAATCGACATTCCCACTGTCATCTACGACACCTTCCGAATCAATAATGAATTTGGTAATGGGATTCTGAGCAAGTAGAGTAAATGTTATGATTCTTCTAGAAGCCAGGATCTCGTTGACGATTCCCGCCGGCCTTCTAACAAAGGACAAGCCGAGAACCGTACCACTTCTTGTCTACGTGTAAGCTACCGTAACCCCGGTGTCTCATACCGAATCGTTCAGTTACGCGGGTCCCAATGACATTCAAGTGAATGAGATGCTCAAAGTCGGCTATGAGGAATATCTATCGTCGCATTTACAAATCGCCGTCCTCCGAATCGACGGCAGAGGAAGCGGCGGAAGAGGGTGGAAGTATCGATCGGCGGTTTACGGCCAACTCGGAACTGTGGAGGCCGACGATCAGCTGGTGGCGACAAAGTACGCAATCGTTGAAATTGTCCGCAGCAGAAAAAAAAACGTTTTCAGAATGGCGCTCGAGAAGTACGCGTTTCTCGATCCGTCGAGAGTGGCGGTCTTCGGCTGGTCGTACGGCGGATTCATGGCGATTCGAATGGTGGAAGCGTCGGGAAAAGCGAGCTTCCGATGCGCGGTCTCTGTGGCGCCGGTGACAAATTTCGCCTATTACGGTACGGGTTGGGAGGTTGCCCAAAAATTCCTCAACCGATTTCAGACGCCACCTACACTGAACGATACATGGGCAATGCTCCGATCTCCGACTACGTCGACGTCACCAAGAACGTTCAAAAGTTCAAAGAGACGAAGCTCCTATTAATGCATGGATTAGTAGATGGTAATCAGATTGCGATCCTTGAAAAGCCAACTTTTGGCTTCAGATAATGTGCACTTTCAAAACAGCGCATTGCTCATTGAAGAGCTGCAAAGTCGAGGAATCGACTTCGATCTTATGATCTACCCCAACGAGAATCATCAGATCTATTCGAAGAAGAGCCATGTGCACGGCAAAATCGCGCACTTCCTCAGTCAATGCTTCCGCTAGTTTTAATTTTAATCATCTGCGGACACTCTTACGGGTCATATTTTGCTATTTTTCTTATAGCTTCAATGAAGTGCTCCAAAATTCCCAAAGGTCTCAATTATTTATTGGGCGTCTCGATGTGCCTATCGCATTCGCTTCAATGATAACGTTCAACGAATTCCGAGCATCGTCTCAAATCATTTTCGGCATCATCGCGATCGTCACCAACATCTACCTATTGCTTCTGATCCATTTCCGATCGCCAAAGCAGCTAGGGCTCTATAAGTACATGATGCTCTGCATAGCCTACTTTGAAATTGTCTATTCCGTTGTGGATCTCATCGCCGAGCCGTTCATCCACTCCTATAAATCAACGTTCGCCGTCCTCATCACCACCAAGCATTCCTATTTCGGCGATGCTGGCAACATCGCATTATTGAGTGACAAGCCCCCAACATTTTTTTTCAGCTCAACAAAAAATTTTCAGTCGCCTATTGCGCTCTTTATGGCTTCTCGATGGCGATATTCGCTGTTCATTTCACGTTCCGCTATTTCGCCACACAATCGTCGACAAAAAAGAAGTATTGTCAAGGAAGCTTCGCGATTGTCTGGTTCGCTCTTCCCGTCATCTACAGCCTCGTCTGGGCCGCCGATTGTGCCCTCTTCTTAAAAAGAGAAGACATGTCAAATTTCATTAGGCAAATGATTGCATCACCATCTTCCGAATCAGCTTCTCACATTTTCAGACAGACAATTCTCGACACCTATGACTTAATGATTGATGATGTTATATATATGGGACCCTATTATTATCCAATAGACGCGAATGGAACTCAATATATTAGTTATAAATCGTTTGTCGGAATGGGCGAGCTCTTAGTGCAGATTGTTCGAAGAACATCTATTTTTACGTATTAGTGTGGATTCTCAAGTGTTCCAGATGATCTCAATATTCTGTGTGTTCTACTTCGGCATCCGCTGCTATTTCAAGATCTCCAATGAGATGTCAGATATCGCGGAGATGTCAAAAAAGACGAGAAAGCTTCAGAAGCAACTCTTCAACTCCCTGGTTCTTCAGGTAACCTTAAAGGGGGGGACCATTAAAATTGGAGTGTTGCAGGCATTGATTCCGGTTGTTCTTATGTACATCCCAGTGTCTGCTGTACTCACATTCCCCGCCCTCAATCTCAACTTCTCATTGGGTGTTCAATCATGCGCCATCACCATCGCTGTCTATCCGGCCATCGATCCGCTACCAACAATATTTATTGTGGATGCCTATCGCAGGGCCACGTTTGGTATGATATCTCATAATTATTGCCGTCTGAAATTGGGAAAAATTTCCAGGATACCTCAGAAAACTTTACAATCGTGTAAGCCTAACATCGGTGAAATATTAATAAAATGTGTGGTCATTTCTTGAGAGGATTGTGTTCTCATAAGGAACAATACGAATCAACCTATATATGGATACATTTCAGTAGACTAAAAATTGGGATGATGATGACGTTAGGATTCTGTTTGATGAGGGGTACGGTAGCAAGAAAATTGTTTTGTTTTTATTAAAACAACAAATGTGTCGAAATCCCTAAAGAGCTCGTCATGGAGCTACCGAGCGAGATGCTATCTGAGAACATCTCGAAGGAGACCGCCAAGATCGTGGTGTTATCGAAAAAGATGAGCAAGCTTCAGAAGAAATTGTTCTACGCTCTGGTTGTTCAGGAAACTCCTGATGAGAGCTTCTGGGATTCCGCTATCGGAAATCCACCATAGGTATGCTAGAGGGATTCTGAATCGAAGCATGTGCGCCCTTCAGAATTCGTGAATGCATTCTACAAAATGTTCGCGTCATCAAATTAAGATAGTGGAATTCAATTAACTGGCTATACAGTGCGTTGCAGAATTATAAGGCCACCCCCAAATTTAAGCGCCTCGCAATGATTTCGATATTTTGAGACCAACCAGTGTGAAAATCGTGTTCAGCATGAAAAATAACCTATATGTACCTATTTTTATGTTAGTATTTTCAAAAGTAACTGCGTAGTGGTCCAAAACCGTTTTTTCAAGCGGTGCAGAATTATAAAGCCACCCCCCAACAACGGACTTTTTCGCATTTTTTGAAACTTTGGCGGGACCAGTGTGCATAAAAATTGTTGTGTGGCTTTGAGAACCTACAGTGGTCCTTATTTTTCACTTTTTGAATGATTTTGAAATGCCACGTGGTCGCTGTCTTAGTGCTTCTGAACAATCTCAGATTATCGCATTCAAAACGACAGGATGGTCGAGCCGTAAGGTTGCGAAAAATTTAAATGATCCGAAAACATTCGTAGACATCTTTGTGAAGGATCCAACTCGTGTAAACATGTCGCAAAAGTCATGCGGCAGAGGAAAACTGGACTATCGCGCTAAACGAGCATTGATTCGAGCAGCTTCGAACAGTATGAAGTCTACAAATGACACCAAGAAGAAGCTAAACTTCGACAAAAGCAAGTGGACAGTTTGGGGAACCATCAAGGATAACCCCAACATTGCTAGAGAAAAAATGAAGCCGGCCCCGCGACTCACAGAGGACCATAAAATTCGACGCCTTGAGTTCGCATTCAAAAACATGAATACGGATTGGAACAAGGTGTTCACATTCGAGAATGTTGTGAATAATAACCATTCAAACTTCAACAGGATATTTTTTCCGATGAAAAAAATTTAATTTCGATGGCCCAGACGGCTATAACAGTTGCTGGCCAGAGTAATGAAAGAATCGTCTCCTGCTTTCAAAACTCAATTTTAGAGAAGGAAGCGTGATATTATGGGGGAAGCGTTTTCGTAGGCCGGATTTCTGGAATTGACTTTTCTGACGAGTAGGGTTGACTCTTCGGATTATCAGAATGTTCTTGAGAGCCATCTCCTTCCATTCCGACGTCATTATTGTCCTTTTTCAACAGGACAATACTGTCATTCATGTGAGTCGGTCTACTTTGGACTGGCTTCAGTCTCACAGTGTGGACGTTCTCGACTGGCCATCATGTTCTCCTTTTTGGAGTCCCATGTAGAACGTCTGGGGAGAGTTAGTACGGCGTCTCTATGGCCAAGGAAGAAAATTTGGGGAGTTGGAAAGCTCAAAACCGAAATCGTAGTCGAATGGAAGACGTTAGAGCAGAAATTCAAATCTAAATCGACCCAATATGTTTAAAACCTTCTCAAATCTATGCCAGACCGTTTTTCTGACATAATTACCTCGAATGGAGGTGCCACTAAACATTAAACTGTCGTTATTTTTGAGTTTATAACTTGTTTTATGGGGGTGGCTTTATAATTCTGCACCGCTTGAAAAAACGGTTTTGGACCACTACGCAGTTACTTTTGAAAATACTAACATAAAAATAGGTACAGGGGTGGCCTTATAATTCTGCAACGCACTGTATTTAAATTGAGAAATTTCGACTGTATACATACGGATTTCATCTGAAAATCTTTCTTCGTTTCCCAAACCAGAATGCAAATAACATCGTGAACTTTGGATGTATTTCGTCATTTATCATCAAATTGTTGACATCAAGTAAAACGCCTTCAATTCCCCCAACTGGGGAATTTATTCCCCTCTAAACATCCCCTCCTCATTACCAGCCAATGTATTCGTTTAACTCGCTCCGAACATTACTTCAATACATCTTCGGTGTTCAATCCATTCTTCTCAACACCTTTTTGATGTTCCTGATTTGGAATCGATCCCCAAAGCAGATTGGGACCTATAAGTACATGATGATGTATATCTCAATTTTCGAGATGTTCTACTCGATTATTGACATCATCGCCGAGCCCATTGTGCATTCCTATCGATCAACACTGAGCGTTCTAATGAGCACAAAGAATTCCATATTAGGGCGTGAGATGAACAAGCGCCTTCTCGGTTCATTAAAAAAAAAACGCATCGCCTTAATACCAATGCATTTTTAGCTACGTTCTGCGGCTCCTACAGCTTCTCGCTGGCCTTATTTGGGGTTCACTTCATCTATCGATATGGCTCAACTCGCCGGCAGACCCGAGACCGATATTTCGAGAGTCGATTCGCTATTATATGGTTCTCGATTCCAGTTTTTGTCTGTATTATCTGGGTGGCAGTGTGCTTACTACTCATCTGCGAATGGGATGTGATGACCAATTTTATCAGGTTGTGAGCATGTTTTTGATAGCATTAGAACCTTGTTAACTTTAGAAATAGCGTTCTTAATGATTATGATCTGTTGATGGAAGACGTCGTCTACATTGGAGCTTACTTTTATCCAATCGACGACAATGGAAACCAGTATATTAACATGAAATCATTATATGGAATTATTATCTTATGGACCATTCTAGTAACTATACCATACGACAAGATTTCACGATGATTTTAGGCTTCTTCAATATTTTGCGTCTTCTACATCGGACTCCGATGCTATTATAAGATCTCAAAGGGGATGCCAGAGATGTCGAATTTGACGAAGAAACTTCAGACGCAGCTATTCAATGCGCTTGTGATTCAGGTAGCAATTCTAATCGGTATCCATGAACTGTCCAGTTCCAGACAATGATCCCGGTGATCCTGATGTATTTCCCTGTCACAGCGCTCTTCTTGGTTTCGTTTTTCGATGCCAATTTTGCGTTTGCTGCAAGATCCACCCCGATCAGCATTGCCTTCTATCCAGCCATCGATCCACTACCAACAATCTTCATTGTGGAAGCCTATCAAAACGCCGCATTTGGTAGCATTCGTTATGAGACCCCATTCTTGAAGACGCATTTCTTCGTTTAGAATATTTCGGCTGGTTCACCAAATTCTTCAAAAGCCATCACTCAGAGGGCACAAGTCCAAAAACACGGCGAATTTCGCAATAGATCGTAATAGAATCAACCTTTTCGACGTCACAACGTCTTCAAATACTGACAATTCGAACTATGCGATGAACTTGGAACAATTCACACCATTATTCGAAAAATTGTGGTTTTAATAGAATAAAAATCGAATTTTCGGCAAATTTGGCATATTTTTGATGATGCGCGCTCACCAAATATTTAAGGTGTCGAAATCGGATTTCAGCAGACCCTTGGCCATCAATTGATCTGGCAATCTGCAAAAAAAAAAATAATTCTCCCATTTTAATTGTCGCCATTCGTAAACACTCCAATTATATTCGAGAAAACGACCAACGTAAAAATCGAGGTCGTGAAAAAAGTATTGGGTTTTCGGCTATACTCATCCATTTATAATATAATTAAAAAAAAAAATGAAAACCTTGTTTTTCTGCATATTTTTTACTGGAATTTCAGCCATGAAGTGTAGTTGTAAGATTTTCGATTCGAAAATAATAAGCGAGTTGATTTTTTGATAATTTTTGCTTGGAATTAGAATCGCAATAAAAAAAAAATTGAGATCCACTTTCACGCAGAAAATTTCTAGAATTTTAAGTACTTTTTGTTATTTTATTCGAAATGATTTAACTGTTTAATGAAAAAATTGGGATTTCGACGAGTCGAGAATCAAAAAATTGAAAGAAATTATGAAATTTCGACAAAAGGCTCACTAGATATGACAGAGTGCTCTCGATATTGACGTTATGGTCCGATCACGATTCTTAAAATTCACTATAAAAGAATAATTGAAAAATTCTTTATTATATATAATGAGCAAATCGAATGGATGGTCCTAAAGAGGACCGTTGGAATTCGGACCATCTGATTGGTCTGTGTGAATACTTCTCTTCGACTTGCCAAGATCGTTGAGAAGCGGCGCGGATGAGGAAGAATATCCCCGATCTGCGTGAGACAGTGTGCCGATTAGCCTGACTCGATTCCCGTGAAGGAGAACCGAGTCAGTTGATCTCCTTCGCCACGTAGAGGCTCGACACTTGAAGGAGAGGCTCACCAGCATCAGGCCGAAACCTGATGTGGGTCATCGCCGATCCCACCATGGGGATCACCCAAGGACATCCCACAACTATCATCCGAGGATAATAGAAGTAGAAGTGGTTGGGCAAGCCACGTCTGGCTGGGCCCCGGGTCTACTGGTGATATGGTAATGTGGTTTTTGTGTTCTTAGCACAGAAGCTTACTACTAAGTAGTAGCAAGCCACTACAAAGTAGCAAGCTACTATGCCAAGAAGCACGGTCCATGTGCACCCGAAAGGCTGGACATATTGACATAGCTGGCCAATCCACGTCAATATAGGTCTGGGCCAGATGCCATCCTGACTAGTATGGAGGACACCCGGTGAAGCAATGTTCTAAAGCATAACCATCCATAACGTCCAATAAGCACTCGAGAGCACTTGAAACGGGCGTTTGGGTAGGGTTCGATTCCCGGCTACGGAATCAGGGCTGAAGGGCTTGCCAGGCCAATCACCCGAATTTAGGATACAGCGGATAAGCCGCCATCCAGCCAACGCCTAGGCACTAAGGGGGGATAAGGAAGCTTTGGCGTTTGGGGGAATGGCCGACTACGGCCCTAATAGTATAGCCGACTACGACGGATTAAGTAGAAGAGGGGTCCTTAGTATGGCTAATGCTTAATGGTGGGGGGGGGGAACATTTAGTAGTGGTGGTGAATCGATTCACCGGCAGGGTCCTTCCATCGGCGGCTGCAGCAGCGGCGATACCTAAACACCTAAAAACCTGAACAAATATGTAAGAAAATTAATACGAAGAAAAAACGGAAGAGGGAAGCCAGTCATTAGTGGAATGACTGACATGGCCGTAAGTGGTACGACTTTCCCCCACGGAAAAAGAAGAGATGGTTGGTCCCAAACGGTAGGACCGAGAGAGAGAGAGAGAGAGAATCCCAAGTGGTGGGATATAGAGGAGGAAGCCGCAAGTGGTACGGCAGGGGGATCAGTCGACTGATAGAGAGAAGGGACAGTCGTAAGTGGTACGACTGGTGGCAGAAAGGGGGAAGGGGAAGCCGGCTTTCCCCCGAAAAAGAAGAGATGGTCCCAAACGGTAGGACCGGGAGGAAATACAGACGTAAGTGGTACGACTGTACAGAGAGGAGAGAGGGGAATCCCAAGTGGTGGGATATAGAAGGGGAAGCCGTAAGTGGTACGACTGGTGTAAGTGAAAAATAATAATAAAAATAAATTAAAAAAAAAACTTGGACCTGACCAAAAATTACCAAATATCCGACAATTTTGCTCTTTCCTCGTCGCTTCTTCGATCCGTCGCCTCCGATAAGATCCATTCGATTCAAGATGCCTGCAATGATCCGAGTTATACTGATAGACTGTGCCTCCTTCTTTACCTTTCGAATCCGCTTCCTCTTTCGTCATTCCCCATTCTTGCTCATCTTCACGTGTTATGCCTACTCATGAATGTGGGTTTAACGTCGGCCTGGACGCAACACTGCAGTAGGGTTAGTACTGGCTGACCGAGTCGCACCAGTCGAGAATCCCCGACACTTTCGACATAGCACATCGGAAGAGCTCGAATGAGCAACGACTGTGGCTTCCATCGGATCTGCAATACAAGGAATTGAGAAGAAGGATTGCGATGAATGTGACATACCGTGTGGATCCTCGGCCATGACGAGCTCGCCAGGATATGCGAGGCACGCGGAGCCCGCAGGTTATGCGGGAGCACGTGGAGCCCGCAAGATAGGCGGGTTTCCCGCAACTCGAGGAGCTGCGAGAACTGACGAAAGTGCGCATTCGACGGCCTTTTATAGTGCTACTCGGGTCGGTGCACAACTTGCAATAGAGCGCATTTGTAGAAAAGAACCGCCAAGTGTCCGCTGACTCTCTTTTGTTGGCACACTCTTTTCTCACAGCCGAGCTTTCCCGATGGACGCCGTATTGCGGTAGAGCGCGCTTGCCTCATGGAACAATTAAATGAGGGCGGGTTTTTGATTGTTACGTAACCAATTAATCAGATATCATATTTTTCAATTAATTGACTCCTCGTTGAATTCAATTCCTCAAAATCAACGGACCTTGGAATCAGATTTTGGAGGAGATTCGTTTCAATTTAAGATCTAGTTTTTTGTTGCTGAATTCTTCTAAACTTGCAAAATGATTTTCTGAATCAATATAAATATAAATCTATCAAAAGGGGGTGTCGGAGATCTCGAAAGAAGCTTCAGGTAGCAATTCAAATAAGGAACCATGGATTGTCCCGTAATCGACAATGATTCCCCCGTGATCCCATAAATATCGCAACAACTTTCAGTGGATTTGAGCTTGCCTCTTCGACCGGGATTTCCGACCATCTTTCCTTCGGATCCTTTCCTTTTCTTCTTGTTTGGTCTAACGTCGATTGTTCAAAGGAGCGACGTGTTCGGCCCATATGAGTCATGGCTAAGAGTTCCCGTTGGAGTCTTCTGGAGCTGCTCTTCTTGTGAAAATAAACGACGTTATCAGTGCAAACCCATCTCTCATGGGCTCTCATTGACAATAACAAAAAAAAAATCGATTTACGATGAGCTCCGAACCTCTTCTCAAATCCTATTTGGCTACATTTCAATATTCCTAAACACCTACCTAATCCTCGTGATCCACTACCATTCTTCAAGACAGCTCGGGACCTATAAGTTCATGTCGATGTACACAATATCAATATTCGAGATGCTCTACGCAGTCATTGATCTAATAACTACACCGCTCATTCATTTCTATCTTTCCTCATTTGCGATTCTAATGGACATCAGGAATTCCGATGTCAGCAATGACGTGAACCTGATCCTAATCAGTGAGCCGAAATTTGACCGAAATTGGCCATCGAAATTTCTTTCGAGTGAATTTTACAGCCGTCTACTGCGGCCTCTCTAGCTCAAAATTTTTTTGTAGTTCAATCCGCGAAAATTATTTCGCTGGTCTCTTCGTCACTGTCTGGTTCGCAATTCCCGTAATCTACGACTTTATTTGGATGACCATGGTGTGCACATTAGGTCGGAACGATGATATGACTGCATCTATTCGGTTTGAGAAGTTCAACCATATTTTTGGGAGTTCTCTTTGTGAATCATAGACAAAGCATTCTTGATAGTTATGGACTACAAATGGAAGAGGTCGTCTACGTCGGACCTCACTATTTTAGATCCATTCTGGAAAGTAGACCATTCTGGAAAAAAAATAGACCATTCTGGAATCACATCCTTCTTCACGCATTCTACCCAATAATTGTGTTATTCATCGAAATCGTTTGATAGGTTCGCGGCGAGACGCCTGAGATTTCTTGATTCCAGATCTCATCGATTTTCTGTGTCTTCTACTGTGGCATCCGATGCTATTATAATATCTCAAAGGAGATGTCGGAGATCGCGGTGATGTCGAGAAGGATGAAGAAGCTTCAGAAGCAGCTGTTCAACGCCTTGGTTATTCAGGTGCTTAGCGCTTCCTAGCACTCGTTGGATCTAGATCATTGGATTCCAGACTCTGATCCCAGTAATTCTTATGTACATCCCAGTGTCACTTCTCTTCTTATTCCCAGCCTTCGATCTGAACGTCACCCTGGCTGCGAATTCCTGCGCAGTCACCATATCTATCTATCCAGCGATAGACCCCCTACCAACAATATTCATTATAGACGCTTATCGGAAGGCAACACTTGGTAGGTGATCATTCTAGCGATTCGAAGTCTCGATTTGTAGAATTCATGGCTAGAGCTTCAAAAAGTATCGTGATCTTTGGATGTATTTCATCACTGATCATTTAATTGTTGACATTAAGACAAACGCCTTCAATTCCCCTGACTGGGGAATTTATTCCCCTCCAAATATCCTCTTCTCATTATCAGCCAATGTATTCATTCAATTCGCTCCGAATATTATTTCAATACATCTTCGGTGTCCAATCCATTCTCCTCAACACCTTCTTGATCTTCCTGATTTGGAATCGATCCCCAAAGCAGATTGGGACCTATAAGTACATGATGATATACATCTCAATTTTCGAGATTTTCTATTCAATCATTGACGTCATCGTCGAGCCAATTGTGCATTCCTATCGATCAACATTCTCCGCTTTAATGAACATCAAGAATTCCGTCTTAGGGCGTGAGATGAATAAGTGCCTTCTGGGTTCGTCAAAAAAGCGCATCGCGTCAAGACCCCATCATTTTGCAGCAATGTTTTGTGGCTTCTACGGCTTCTCGCTGGCCTTATTCGGGGTTCATTTTATTTATCGATATGGCTCAACTCGCCGGCAGACCCGAGACCGATACTTCGAGAGTCGATTCGCTATTATATGGTTCTCGATTCCTGTCATTGCTTGTATTATCTGGGTGGCAGTGTGCCTACTACTCATCTCCGAATGGGATGGGATGACCACGTTCATCAGGTTGAGATTTTGTTGATGATCACAATGAGATTTGTTTGAAGCCACGGGATTTCTGACGTGCCGTAAAGTATGTTATAGACTCACTTATTTCCAGAAAAAGCGTTCTTGACGATTATGATCTGATGATGGAAGACGTCGTCTACATTGGAGCTTACTTCTATCCGATCGACGAAAATGGAAACCAATATATTAACATGAAATCATTATATGGAATTATTATCTTATGGACCATTCTAGTGACTATACCATAAAGCAAAAATTATTGGATATTTTCTGATTTTAGGCTTCGTCGATGTTCTGTGTCTTCTACTTTGGCATTCGATGCTACTACAAAATCTCAAAGGAGATGTCGGAGATCGCGGTGATGTCGAACTACGCGAAGAAACTTCAGGAGCAGCTTTTCAACGCGCTTGTCATTCAGGTAGAATGGCTCATCTGAATCCATTGATTGTCTAGTTCTAGACGATGATTCCTGTGCTTCTGATGTACTTTCCAGTAACCATTCTCTACAGGGTGTCATTTAAGTTCCCGCACAAAAGTTTGACGCCATGAAGAGCTTGGCTGTCGCACTTTTCGTGCACCAATACAATTTATTTTTGTTAAATAAGGTATATTTTACTTACTTTCCAAGTTTTACCTCATTCGGATGTGTTTCCGAGAAATGGCGAAGGCTAACATCCATTGCGCTTCCATTATCGAACTTCATAAGCAAAATGTGAGCCTGAGAGACATCATTCAACGCCTCGGTGTGCCTCTTAGAACGGTTTACGACATCATCTAACGTTTCAAGGAACTAAATACGACCAGTGACCGTCCCAGACAAGGAAGACTCGTCTCGGTAACCACTCCTCAGTAGTTCAACGCCGTTAAATCGAAGATCAGGCGAAACCCACACAGGAGCATGAGAAAGATGGCGTCAGACGTGGGAATGAGCATTTTCGCTTTGGAACAAATTGTCAAAACGAAGCTTGGACTGACCCCATATCGTGTCCAAAAAGCGGCAATTCTATCGGCCGCCAACAAGTAGAGACGCTTCGAAAAAGCAAAACGACTTCTTGCTCGCACGCGGTCTGGAGAACACCTCGTCACTGTCTTCTCCGATGAGAAGCTGTTCACTGTGGAGGCGGCATTCAACTCACAAAACCATCGAGTACTTGCCCAGACATCCCAGCAAGCTTCTGAGAAAGGAAGAACATATCATCCAGCCTCACATCCTGCCAGCATGATGGTTTTCGTTGCCATCTGCTCAACCGGGAAGTGCTCCCTGGTTTTCGCGGATCAGGGGGTGAAAGTGAACAAAGAAGTCTACGTTCGGGACATTTTGGAGAAGCATGTGATACCCTGGGCCAAAACGCATTTCGGTGGGCAGAAATAGGTTTTTTAACAGGACGGAGCACCCGCCCACACGGCCAAAACTACTCAGGAGTGGTGCCAGACCCATTTTCCCGACTTCATCAAGTCATCCGAATGGCCTGATTTCTCCCCAGACCTGAACCCGCTTGACTTTTCCGTGATGGGCTCTTGCAGGAGAAGGTCAACGCAAAACCCCACTCAAGTATAGAGGCTCTGAAGAAGACATTACTGGTGGAATGGGACAATCTTTCCATCGAATACCTGCGTACCACAGTCACATCCTACCCGAAGCGTCTCCGTGAAGTCATAGCTGCGAAAGGAGACCGAATCAAAAAGAGTTAATAGATAATTATTTGTTATATTATAGATAAAAAATATTTCGAGTCTCGTTTGATTTGGACTTTTAGTTTCAGAAATATATGCCTTCAAAGTTGTGCGGGAACTTAAATGACACCCTGTATTCCCTTTCAGAATATTTCCGCTAGTTCAGCACATCCATTAAAGGTCCTCACACTGGATCGACCGAGGGCATGATCACATACCCAAACAACACCTAAAGCTAAAAAAAGTTCGCTATAATCTAATTGTTGACATCAAGCTAAACGCCTTCAATTCCCCCAACTGGGAAATTTATTCCCCTCTAAACATCCCCTCCTCATTACCAGCCAATGTATTCGTTTAACTCGCTTCGAAAATTTCTTCAATACATCTTCGGTGTCCAATCCATTCTTCTCAACACCTTCTTGATCTTCCTGATTTGGAATCGATCCCCAAAGCAGCTCGGGACCTATAAGTACATGATGATGTACATCTCAATCTTCGAGATGATCTACTCGATCATTGACATCATCGTCGAACCCATTGTGCATTCCTATCGTTCGACATTCTCTGCTCTAATGAACATCAAGAATTCCGTATTAGGACGTGAAATGAACAAGTGCCTTCTGGGTTCGCCAAAAAAACGATTCGCGTCGAGACCCAATCGAGACAAAAATTTGCAGCAATTTTTTGTGGCTTCTACAGCTTCTCGCTGGCCTTATTTGGGGTTCTTTTTATTTATCGATATGGCTCAATTCGCCGGCAGACCCGAGACCGATACTTCGAGAGTCGATTCGCTATTATATGGTTCTCGATTCCTGTCATTGTCTGTATTATCTGGGTGGCAGTGTGCTTACTACTCATCTGCGAATGGGATGAGATGACCAATTTTATCAGGTTGTGAGCATGTTTTTGATAGCATTAGAACCTTGTTAACTTTAGAAATAGCGTTCTTAATGATTATGATCTGTTGATGGAAGACGTCGTCTACATTGGAGCTTACTTTTATCCAATCGACGAAAATGGAAACCAGTATATTAACATGAAATCATTATATGGAATTATTATCTTATGGACCATTCTAGTAACTATACCATACGACAAGATTTCACGATGATTTTAGGCTTCTTCAATATTTTGCGTCTTCTACTTCGGACTCCGATGCTACTACAATATCTCAAAAGAGATGTCGGAGATCGCGGTGATGTCGAACTACGCGAAGAAACTTCAGGAGCAGCTTTTCTACGCGCTTGTGATTCAGGTAGCAAGGCGAATCGGAATCGATGGATCGTCTAGTTCCAGACAATGATCCCGGTGATCCTGATGTATTTCCCTGTCACAGCGCTCTTCTTGGTTTCGTTTTTCGACACCAATTTTGTGTTCGCTGCAAGATCCACCCCGATCAGCATTGCCTTCTATCCAGCCATCGATCCGCTGCCAACAATCTTCATTGTCAAAGCCTATCAGAAAGCCACATTTGGTAATAGTCGTAATGGAGATCCATTCTTAAAGTAGCATATTCTCTTTCAGAATATTTCCGCTGGTTCAGCAAATCCTTCAAAAGCCATCACTCCGAATCGATAGAGGGCATAATTTCAAACTGAAATAAAACTTAAAGCTTAGAAAAAATGTTGACATCAAGCAAAACGCACTATCGTTTGGAACCGTCAGAAAACTAAATGGTTTTATTTCATGTTTAAAGGCGCATACGGTAGCTCCAAAAGTGCAATTATGTATGTTGTTATCAAGTACAACCCGGCTCTCAAAACAAGCCACTCCCCAAAGAGTTCCTAATGGAGTACTCGTTTCGTAACAGTCACAATTTGACGCGATGAACACAATCCGGCCGGTGTTTCAAGACACCTTCGGCTTCATCTCAATCACCATCAACATCTACCTGCTGCTTCTGATTCACCATCGATCGCCAAAGCAGCTCGGAACTTATAAGTACATGATGCTCTATATCTCCTTATTCGAAATGTTCTACTCAATTATCGATATTGTCGCAAATCCCATTATGCATTCTTATCGATCGACATTGGCGGCTCTCACCAGCACCCGGAATTCCGTATTCGGATTTGAAGGCAATATGCTACTTATAGGTGCATAGAAATGGAGGTTGCATAATTTGTGAAATCTAATCTTCAGCATTATATAGTGGCCTTTATGGCTTCTCCATGGCTATATTTGGGGTCCACTTCATTTTTAGATACGGCGTGACTCAGAGGCACTATCAGGCTCATGAGGACGTCCTTAAGAACCTATAATTCCAGACACATTCGACACAAGTATTTTGAAGGTTGGAAATTGATTATTTGGTTCATTATACCCTTCATCTATCTGATTGTATGGATGACAACGTCTCTGATCTACATTCCGAAGCGTCCGCAGATGTCAATGTTTATAAGGTTACATACCACATGTAGGTTTCCCTTTAAAGGATTCTGAATAGAAAGTCGGTTCTCGACAACTATGGGTTGATGATGGAAGATGTCGCCTACATTGGTTTCTACTACTATCCAACAGACTATCAAGGGAATCAGTACGTCGACTATGATTCCATAACTGTTATGGGATTGATGTGGCTAGAAATTGTAGTCATCAAGATTCATTTAATCCGCGAATTTCTTCTAATTTCTGGTCTCTTCAATCTTCTGTGTCTTCTATTTCGGCATCCGCTGTTACAAGAAAATCTCGAAAGAGACCTCCAAGATCGCGGTGATATCGAAAAAGATGAGTAAGCTTCAGAAACAATTGTTCTACGCGTTGGTTGTTCAGGTAACGCTTGAAGAGAGCTTCTGGGATTCCTTCTGATTCAGACCCTGATCCCAGTAATTCTTATGTACATCCCAGCAACGGGCCTCTTCTCATTCCCAGCTCTCAATGTGAACTTCTCACTGGCAGCCAGCTCCTGTGTCATCACCATTTCAATCTATCCAGCCATCGATCCCCTACCAACCATATTCATTGTGGACAGCTATCGGAAATCCACCATAGGTATGCTAGAGGGATTCTGAAAACATACATGTGTACTTTTAGAATTCTTGAAGACATTCTACAAAATGTTCACATCGTCACACCAAGATGGTCGAAGACAACTAAATGGTGGTTATATTTGAATTGAAATTATTCGAATAAAGCTCTATTCATTTTTAATGTTCGCAGATAAAATTTTTGGAGAGGTCTTACTATAGATAACAGGGACCATGTCGATTCATCGTTTTCGACACTAAGACAATTTTAATGCGCTACCGTAATCTGGCGCTTTTTGGACTTTGAAATCACTCTAAATGAAAAGCAGACAGCTCTCGACAACTAAAATTGGAAAATGGTTGAAAACCCATTTTCAACATTGGTTCCGACGACAATTATATGAATGGTAGTAAGGGATTGCTGACGTCAAGCAAATCGCCCACAATTCCCCTAACTGGGGAACTCATTCCCTTTACAAACATCCTCTCGTCATTATCAGCCGGTGTAACTCGCTCTGCTTTGCTTACTTCTCTGTTGCAGCGCTCTTCTTGGTTTCGGAAAATCAAATTTGGTAATAGTCGTTTTGGAATCACTTCTTAAAGGTGCATATCCTTTTTTAAGATTATTTCCATTGGTTCACCGAGTCCTACTGTACCTAAAGTGCAATAGAGCGTGGTTTCTCATTAAAAATAATCCCCGCAGATTTCAAAATCTCCCATTTTTCGTTTAGATTTCACATCAATAAATCCCAATGAATTCATTCCGTTCGGTATTCCAACGAATCTTTGGAATTCAATCAATTTTTATCAACACCTTCTTGATCCTCCTGATTCGGAATCGATCCCCAAGTCAGCTTGGTACCTACAAGTACATGATGCTCTACATCTCGGTCATTGAAATATTTTACACAATGATTTGCTGGCCCGCCGAGCCCGTCGTTCATTTGCGCGGCTCCTCATTCCTTGTCCTAATGAGCACAAGGGGCTCCATCTTCAGTCATGAAGTTAACAAATACGTATTAGGTAAACGTTTGAAATTTTCAAAAATTTCCAAATCTCGAAGATTTAAGCTGTTTATTGCGGCTTCTACGGCTTCTCGCTGGCCTTATTTGGGGTTCATTTCATCTATCGGTATGGCTCAATTCGACGACGGACCCGTGACCGATATTTCGAGAGTCGATTCGCTATAATATGGTTCTTGATTCCCGTCGTTTTTTGCCTAATTTGGACAGTGTCGTGCTTGATATTCATTTCGGAATCGGACGGGATGACGAATTTTATCAGGTATTCGGCGTGCTCCTTTCATCGTGATCTCACCACGAAGCTCTAGGAAACACTTCGCGGTGAGACCTTGTACAAGAATATTTTCAGGAACAGTGTTCTCGAGAACTTTGACTTGTCGATGAATGACGTTGTCTACGTTGGTCCCTATTTTTACCCGCTCGATGAGAACGGCACCCCATATTTGAACTACTCGTCCGTTTGCGGGATGTCAATTCTTCTAGCGTTGGTGGTATAAGTAAAAGCTTCTCCAGCTCAAAGAACCCCAACTTTCATGCAGATTCCATCGATCGCCTGCATCGTGTACTTTGGCGTTCGGTGCTACTCGAAGATATTCGCGTCGGTGAACGTGTCGGGCTACGCGAAACGCCTTCAACTCCAATTGTTCTACGCGCTCGTGTTTCAGGTCTCGCGGCGAATAATTGGAAGCGGCATCAGCTAGCAAATTCTAGGCCACCGTTCCAGTGCTTCTCATGTACATTCCATTGCTCATCATCTTCACCTTGTCGCTGCTCGACGTCGAACTCCCATTTCTCGCCACCACCTACTCGATGTTGATTGCTTTGTATCCGGCGTTGGACCCGCTTCCTTCGATCTTCATCATTGACAGCTATCGGGCAGCTTCAATTGGTGAGCAATCTATGTGCAAACGATTCTACAGGCATTCAGAACTCTTCAACAAACTTTTTTCACTGTTGAAGTCAATATAATCGAATCAAATGTTTGGATTTACATCTGGCTGCAATGCGTTTCCATTTTCGGACAAACTGGGCTCTTGATCTCAAGAAACGCGTGTATTCCACACGGACAATCACAACTTAACAAGTCGCTCGACGTTCATAAAATTCTCTTACTAAAAAAATCGATTTTTGGTCGATCCTTTTGAGCCCATTTTGAAAACCTCTCGTACCACATTCGTCGTTCTATGGAACACCAAAAATCATTTTCCAGCTATCTTCTCCGAAATTTAAGGCATCTCGATAATATCTCGATTCTGAAATATCTGGATTTCAATTTTTGCTACAAATCATAGTGCGGTTTTTCGTTGTTGTTTTCATCAATTATCATCAAATTGTTGACATCAAGCTAAACGTCCTCAATTCCCCTTACTGGGGAATTTGTTCCCCTCTAAACATCCCCTCCTCATTACCAGCCAATGTATTCGTTTAACTCACTTCGAACATTTCTTCAATACATCTTCGGTGTCCAATCCATTCTTCTCAACACCTTCTTGATCTTCCTGATTTGGAATCGATCCCCAAGCAGACCTATAAGTACATGATGATGTACATCTCAATCTTCGAGATTTTCTATTCAATCATTGACGTCATCGTCGAGCCCATTGTGCATTCCTATCGTTCGACATTCGCCGTTCTAATGAGCACAAAGAATTCCGTCTTGGGGCGTGAGATGAATAAGTTCCTTCTGGGTTCATCAAAAAAAGCGCATCGCCTCAATAGTCATTCAATTTCCAGCGACCTACTGCGGCTTCTACGGCTTCTCGTTGGCCCTGTTTGCGGTTCATTTCATCTATCGATATGGCTCAACTCGCCGGCAAACCCGAGACCGATATTTCGAGAGCCGATTCGCTATAATATGGTTCTCGATTCCTGTCATTGCTTGTATTATCTGGGTTTCGGCATGCTTATTGTTCATCTCCGACTGGGATGTGATGACAAACTTTATTAGGTTGGTGCATTCGCCCCAAAAAAAGACATCTTTTCAGAAAAAGCATTCTTGACAACTATGAGCTAAAGATGGAAGACGTCGTCTACATTGGAGCTTACTTCTATCCAATCGACGACAATGGAATCCAATATTTTAATATGAAATACGTATACGCATTAACCATTCCCTGGATCATTCTAGTAACTACCAAAAGACAGGAATTCTAGAAAATCATCTGATCTTAGGCTTCATCGATCTTCTGTGTCTTCTACTTTGGCATTCGATGCTACTACAAAATCTCAAAAGTGATGTCGGAGATCGCGGTGATGTCGAATTGGATGAAGAAGCTTCAGAAGCAGTTGTTCAACGCGCTCGTCATTCAGGTAGCTGGGGGCGGAGGCATCGGAATCCGTGGATCGTCTATGTAGTTCTAGACGATGATTCCGGTGGTCCTCATGTATTTCCCAGTGTCAGCTCTCTACGCTGTACCGATTTTCGACACCGACTTTGAATTGGCGGCGAGCTCGACATCGATCACCGTTGCATTCTATCCAGCCATCGATCCGCTACCAACAATATTGATTGTTGATGCCTATCGGAAAGCCACTTTTGGTAATAAATTTCAATTCTTAATGGCGCATATTCCATTTCAGAATATTTCCATTGGTTTAGCAAATCTTTCAAAGGCCATCACACCGGATCGACTGAGGGCATGATCACATCCCCAAACAACCCCTAAAGCTAAATAGAGCAACGTCCTGTTCTTTGGCTGGATTCAAATTGTTGACATCAGGCTAAACGCCCTCAATTCCCTCAACTGGGGAACTCGTTCCCCTTCCCTCCTCATTACCAGCCAATGTATTCGTTCAACTCGCTTCGAACATTGCTTCAATACATCTTCGGTGTCCAATCCATTCTTCTCAACACCTTCTTGATCTTCCTGATTTGGAATCGATCCCCAAAGCAGCTCGGGACCTATAAGTACATGATGATGTACATCTCAATCTTCGAGATGATCTACTCGATCATCGACATCATCGTCGAGCCCATTGTGCATTCCTATCGATCAACAATGGCGGTGGCAATGTACACCAAGAATTCCATATTTGGCGACAGTTTCAATCATTTTCTCATCGGTGAGATTCTCGAACGTTTTTTCCATATTTATGTAGTTTGATGGTACAAATAATTTCCAATAACTGATTGACATTCTCAGCGACATACTGCGGCTTCTACGGCTCCTCAATGGCCATATTTGGAGTGCATTTCATCTATCGATACGGCTCAACAACATTGTACAAAAATGGCGATTGTTTCAATTTTAGCTCTTCCACTTCAGATCGACAAGAAGCCGCTATTTTGAAGGACACGCGATCGTCGTTTGGATTTCGATTCCGATCGTGTTCTTCGTTATCTCGATGATCACTATTGTCGAGCTTCTGCCCCCGAATGAGACAATGACAAAATTTATAAGGTAGTGTCTTTTAGAGAAAACTCGCCACGGGATTTCTCAGAGGAAGCTTCTTCGACAAATTTGGCATCGGCATGGAAGATGTGACCTACGTCGGTGCCCACTTCTACCCCATCGATGATCAAGACCATCCCTACATCAACTATCGCTCCTTCTATGGCATCGCGTTGTTCCTATCAATGATCGTAATCCCCAAATGATGTCATTGTTTTCGATGTTGGCCGCTCGATTCCAGATGTTCTCAATGTTCTGCGTTCTCTACTACGGCATTCGATGCTATCTGAAAATTTGGCGAGAATTGTCGACGGCGACGATCGTCTCAAAAGTGACGCGACGCCTTCAGAAGCAGCTGTTCAACGCGCTCGTCGTTCAGGTGGCCCGTAACAATGTCCGCAGGCACAATTTCGTCATATTCAGACAGCGATTCCAATGACGCTAATGTACGTGCCGGTGGCCGCCGTTTTCACGGCCCCGATTTTCGAGATGGACTTCACCGCCATCGAACACATATGTCCCATCACGATTGCCATCTATCCGGCCATCGATCCGCTTCCCTCAATTATCATCATTGATGCGTTTTGGGATGCGGTATACGGTAAGATGGATCATGATCCCGCCGTATTCCATAACTATATGTAGATTATGCGAACCACCTACGTCATTCAATCGTTTCAATAATCTTCAAGCGGATCGAGCAAAGAAGATGCTCCGACGATTCGGTTCGAGACCTTCCGAATTCGTGAAGATTGTCAAAACCATCATGAGATGCCGAAATTGTGATTTTTCGACGAAATTCAAAGTATGTAGCATAGGTGCCAAGATTTCATGCGACCTTGTAAATGTCCGCAGATGGAACTCCGTAAATCAATTATGAGGAAAGTATTGAGTCAAAAAAGTTGTTGCCTCCGGGATTCAATAATAGAAAATGGGAGACTCGATTCAAAGGCGCACGCATTCAAGCCTACCGTCTTTGGGTCTTCTATTTCTATCGATTTTCCAAAAATTGAATTCCGGACACTTGAATTTTTTATTCGGAATTGAAAATCTGCCAAATGAATTGTGTGCAAACACGACGACGCAAAAAGACACCGACCCATCTCGTTGGAATTTTTTTGGGGGTTCTCCCAATTAAAGAGAAAAGAAAAAAAAAAGAGAAAGGGCTGTTTTTTTTTCGTGTCGAGACCCATCGTATAAATAAATGGCATACGTCAAAATAAAACCGCATAACGAGAAGACGCATGCCATTTATTTATGCGATGGGTCTCGAAGCGAATAATGGGGAATCAAATTTGAATTTTATTCAATCGATGTGATTCGCTTCTCCTTCGATTTGCTCTTCTGCTGCACCGACGACTTCTTCTCCTTCTTCTTCAACTCGCGACAATTCGGATAGAACACGGCGAACTCCTTCTGGAATCGATTCTTTCTGCACGCAAAATCTGATTTTCGACGTCGAAAAAAAAATTGAATACCGATTATAATTCACCATTTTGTGCGGTATTTTGAACGTGATATTGTGCGATTGGCACACGGGAAAATCGTCGAGCGTCTCGTGACATATCGCCGCCGCGCTGACGCCGATCAAACTGAGAAGCGTGTTGGACTGAATCCGATTGCGGCACGTGAAGTAGTCGTCGTCGCGCGATTGCATCTCCTCCATCGTGTTGAACGGATCGAGATTCGCTCTGCAATTTCAGATGCCGACATCCACCAACTCCGGTCCCCCCCCCCTACGGTTTCTCGAGAAGATCGAGCGGCTTGAACTTCTTCTCATAGGCCGCTTTGACGACGTCGAGAAATTTGCAGAATTCGACTTGCGGCCGCTCGCGCTTCCAACACCAGAACGGCACACCGTTGACGATCAACCTTCCGTTGTTCTCATTATTGCGCACCGTTGGCTCGGCGCTGCCGATCTTCTCATGCGGGTCGTAGTCGGCTTGAACGTCCGGCTCGTCATCGTCATTGATTCTAGAGTGTTTCGACGGATCTCAACTGGTCTTGATTGTGGAAGGGATTACGGTGCATAGGCGTCGCCGAAATTGTTGCCGGTTGTCGTCGCCGGTCTCGTCGATTTCACGCGATCGATTATGGTGTTCATGATTTGATCTGAATGCTCATTTTAAAGGCGCATGCTTCAAGCCTACACCTTCATTTAATTTTGGTCCCTTATCTCGAAGAATAAGGCTTTTCTGAAGACATTCTATAATTAGGTGAATAGGGCAAGTCATCCGACACTTGGGAATCGTGTCGGGACCCGAATCAAAGGCTCACTGACCCCCCCCCATCAACCCACAATTTTTCGCCACGACGACGATTCGGCGTGATTCTTGACGCCTTCGGTCGATTCAAGACTTTTGCTCTTCCGCTTTGCACCGCCCCCCTGCTTCGTCCTCTTCGACCGATTGCTCTTCCTCAAGCAGTCCACGTACGTCGATCGACTCGGCGTTTTTGCGAAGGTGCTCTGAAACCAGATGAATGATTGCGATTCGTCGTTCGGTGTCACCTTCTCGACGTCGAGACCGCCTTCGAATCGTCGACGATGATCATCTTCAATCAGGTGATGATGATGCGTTTTCTCGAATTTCGATCATGTTACCTTTTAAGGTTTCCCATTGAGACATTGGTTTTTGAGAACAAAACGAGAAAAAATTGTTTTTGGAAAATGAACTCTTGGGCAGCGTGATCATCACGCATTCCGTGCATCCCCAATTCGTTGGTTGCCATTGGCGATTGGACGCGCATTATTGACGATGCTCATTAGTCGGCTGGCTGCGCGATGGGTCTCGGAACGTCTCGAAGTCGCGATACGGTAGGTACGAAGCGCCCATTTTCATTCAGTTCATTGTTTTTCCCGGCGTTTCAGACGAGTTCGATACGCTCACAATTTGGGGAGGCGACATCGACGAGGCGATTTGTGGACGCGGCAAAATTTGCTCGGATGAGTGGACGCCGATTAGCTCGACGGCGGGCACACCGCGCCGAATGTCGGCGATCACCGTGCAACCGCTTCCCGTCGCCAACAATCCGCCGAGGATGCTCGAGGAACCGTTGAACATTCTCACCATTGAGCACGCGCCTGTTGAGGTGAGAGAGTGGCGAAGTGAGGAGGGTGTAGAGAAAAAGAGGCGAAAAATGAGGAAGGTTGATCATCGGCGAAGCGCTTCGAAAAAAGTTGTACCACCGTTAAGGATTCGAAGGTTTGAATCCTCCAATCCGCCGTCTAGAACACCATTCTTCTCAGAATCACTGTCTACCCGGCCATACCGCCACCGACTAAAGGATTCGTGATGTTCCGGAGAACGATGGTCCCGAAGGAAAAGGGACCACGACGACTTCGTGCGGTTCCTCCGCGCCATCTCAAAGGGCTCAATGTGACACCGCCACGTCCGTTTCGCTACAAGCGCACTGTTTTGAGAATTCTTTAATTTACATTGGATTTTTTTGATAAATAAGCTTCTTTAATATATTTGATGTTCAACCTGTAACAATGTCCGCAGCAGCACTTCTTTAATAGAAATTTATTCGTTGACCTATCGAATTCAATATTCACAGCTTTCCAAGCTATTCGGTCCTTGGCTTGGATGGACCAGGGGGTGATAACGGCTCCTTCAGCTGTTAAAAATGGAAGGGGCCTATCCTTGACTTGCGTTGTCGTAGGCGTAGGCGCTTGTGGGGCTCTATTCGCAAAGAGCTTCGTGTAAAACGATTTTACTTCCTTTTCCATTTCTGTTCTAGAGGTGAGAGTTCTGCCTCGCGCTACTCTCTTCAAGCTTTTGCGTTGATCGGCTGCTCCTAGTAACCGGGAATTGGTGAACTCCTTGTGATCTCTTTCGATTGCTTCTCGGCGCTGTTTTGAGAGGTTCTTGAAATTTGGATCGGACCTGCTCATGAGCAATTGTTGTGTTTCGACAGAGATCCTATTGATCCGGTGGTTTGCTGGTTTAACAATGGCTTGGTCTTGTAGTTTCCTGAGTAGCGTTGTTAGATTAGAGTAATCTTCGTCAACGCTGTTGGCTACTGGAAGACTAACAATCGAGCTTATTGTTTTAGCCATCTCCGGGTCCAATACTTTCTTCGGCGCCTTTCTCTTTCTGCTTTTATTGTACTTCAGCCAATTTATGTTGAAGTGGACGGAGAAGGCGGTGGTCGCTTCCTACTGTGAATGATGGTAGCACAGAAGTATCTGTTACAAACCTGCCGTTGGCGAAGATGTGATCGATTATGAAAGTCCAACGCTTATGAGCTGGCTTTTGAAAAAGCAAGTTTGTGTGCCATAAGCGGTTTGTTTCACAGAAGGTTGCGAGGAGTTCACCAGCGTCATTTCGCGGTTCCATCGAATTGACTCCGATGAACCGCTCATTCTTATTACTTCTGGCCCCTACGCGTGCGTTGAAGTCACCGATGACTAGCTTTCTGCATGAATTTCTGCAAAATTTCTTCAAACTATACAATTTGTTCTCATCGAATTCTTCTGCAAACGACTTCAATTTTTCCCATAATCAGCATATGAATAAATGCGAAACAATGAATCTCATTGTTTCGATTTCGAGACAATAGCGCCGAATTTGGTATAAAACGGACGCCGATTCGATGGAATGACATACACTCATCGACAATGAGCATCAACCTTCTCATCATCGGTGTTCTATTTCAAGTGCTCGTCACTCAACTGGCGGTAAGTTCAGAATAGGAATGAATCAGCCGAATCTAGCAAAATTGCAGCTCGGACAAGGCATTACTTGCCCGCCTGAATTCAAGACGTACACACGTCTGAATGGTATAAAATGGTGTAGCTTTGCGGCCCCATTCTCCGTGAACTACAATGAAGCCAAAAAGAATTGCGAAGGGGCTGGAGGCATGCTGACGGGATTCGATAACGCCGCTCAACGAAAGATCGCAGCTGGTAATATTCGTTTCACACTTTGGTCTTGACTTTCAATAATTCAGATAACGCCAAGGAAGTTCTTTAACAATTAGGACTGACTTCCGGCGCGTTCTGGATCGGAGCATACCGAAAGAAGGAGTGCCAAGTGTCGAATTGGAAGAAGGTCAAAGCATGTTTGCCGGCTGAGAAGAACTCGATTGAATGGACCGACAGAAACACCACGTCGACCGACGGATTCAACTTCCGCAAAGGACAGCCCGATTATAACATGGGCAATCAGAACGCCGTTTATATGGTTGTTGGTGAAGACGTTGTTGATCGATACGGAGTATGGAAAAACGAGGAAATGGATGATGTGCGGTAGGCGGTAGAATCCCGAGATTTCATTAGAATGTGTTTGCAGTGCGGATCTGATCAAAAATCCGAGATCGCCTGGAAGAAACATCGTAGGATTCATCTGCGGATTTCCCGCACTCTAATACAAAAAACACAGTTTCTTTTTTTCAATAAAAACAGCTTTATTTGATTCGGTTTATGGGTTGTACTCGATCGGCAAATTCTTTCTGCGGACCATTCCGTCGCCCTGGAACCATTCGCGACGGAATTGTTTCGCGGCGCCGTCGGGGGTGTTGGTCCACTCGACAGTGATACGGTCATTGTTGGTGTCCTGCAAACAGACTACTGTAGATGGTCGAGCAGCAGCCAGTGTACCTCTTGTCCGTAGGCGAACGCGTCGCAGGAGACGGCGAGAAGGACGGCTTCCTTCGGGTCGAGCACTCCACATGGCGGGTCGACTCCGAGTCTCTTCATGTTCGTCGTCTTGATGCCGTAGCCAATGCGGCGAGCCGACGAGTTGATCACCTTGATGTGGTAGGTGTGCTTGTCGTCGTACGGAGCATTGAACACGATCTTGGCGTTTGGCTGAGTCTGGATGTCTCCTGGTGGAACCGATTGAGCCATTCTTTCTTTATGATCCGATCTGATGAATCCTCACTCATTTCAATTCTCTTTTATACTTCTCTTATCTTATCAATCTTCTTATCATTTATCTCATCAATCTCAAAATTTCAAGATTCTCTATAGAAATGAAAAGCTTCACGTCATCCCAAGTATTGAAAAAAAGAATATTATAAAAATACCAAGTGTTTTTTTTTCGTTGAAAATTGAACAAAACGTTTATCAAGTAATCAGCAGCATAAATTTTTAAAAATATTCAAATTTTCCGCCATTGGTTTTGACAAGCTTCTTCGGGAATGAGCTAGTAAGGAGTAGTCGGGTTCAAGATCGTCAAAAGCCATCTTGAATATGATTTTCAAAGTCACAAAACTAGAATAATTTCTAGTGAAGAACTTCTGCGTCGAATATACTCACACCGTGAAATCCATTAGAGTTAAATCTGAACTGGAAGACGGCAATTCAGCAGCAGTGGATACCACTATTGAATGACTTTGGCTCAATGAGCCGCTACTCAGAATTGTTGGAAAATCCAGTGTTGGTTCCCGACTATTCTCGAAGAGACTTCGTCTGCTCGGTTCTACAGAAGTCGACTCCCACAAGCTCAAACGCCCGGACAGCTCAACAACACATACCAGACCGGAAATCACAAGATCTCTTCATTATACAATGAGGCATCAGCTCCTTCTAAATCAGCTTTAGCTTTAGCACAGCAACGTGCCCTATACAACCTCCAGTCCTCAGATCGGAAATCGAGGATGCAATTTTGGAACAATTTTGCTCCTGGACCCGACGGGATTTCAATCTTCAAAACACCTTCAGATGTCTCCAAGCTTGCCGACTTGTTCAATAAAGTCATGACGCAGAATCAGATTCCATGCTTATGGAAAACGGCTAGTGTGAAGTTGCTGGCTAAGAAGGCCCTATGAATATCATCGAATATCGTTCCGATCTCACTCATTTCTGACACACAAAACCTTTCGTTTGTATTAATACTTGGGACAGCGTGAAGCTTTTCATTTCTAGAGAGAATCTTGAAATCTTGCGATTGATTAGATCAATGATAAGATAAGAGAAGTATAAAAGAGAATTGAAATGAGTGAGGATTCATCAGATCGGATCATAAAGAAAGAATGGCTCAATCGGTTCCACCAGGAGACATCCAGACTCAGCCAAACGCCAAGATCGTGTTCAATGCTCCGTACGACGACAAGCACACCTACCACATCAAGGTGATCAACTCGTCGGCTCGCCGCATTGGCTACGGCATCAAGACGACGAACATGAAGAGACTCGGAGTCGACCCGCCATGTGGAGTGCTCGACCCGAAGGAAGCCGTCCTTCTCGCCGTCTCCTGCGACGCGTTCGCCTACGGACAAGAGGTACACTGGCTGCTGCTCGACCATCTACAGTAGTCTGTTTGCAGGACACCAACAATGACCGTATCACTGTCGAGTGGACCAACACCCCCGACGGCGCCGCGAAACAATTCCGTCGCGAATGGTTCCAGGGCGACGGAATGGTCCGCAGAAAGAATTTGCCGATCGAGTACAACCCATAAACCGAATCAAATAAAGCTGTTTTTATTGAAAAAAAAAAGAAACTGAGTTTTTGGTATTAGAGTGCGGGAAATCCGCAGATGAATCCTACGATGTTTCTTCCAGGCGATCTCGGATTTTTGATCAGATCCGCACTGCAAACACATTCTAATGAAATCTCGGGATTCTACCGCCTACCGCACATCATCCATTTCCTCGTTTTTCCATACTCCGTATCGATCAACAACGTCTTCACCAACAACCATATAAACGGCGTTCTGATTGCCCATGTTATAATCGGGCTGTCCTTTGCGGAAGTTGAATCCGTCGGTCGACGTGGTGTTTCCGTCGATCCATTCAAATGAGTTCTTCTCAGCCGGCAAGCAGGCTTTGACTTTCTTCCAATTCGACACTTGGCACTCCTTCTTTCGGTATGCTCCGATCCAAAAAGCGCCGGAAGTCAGTCCCATTTGCGTAAGCGTTTTCTTGGCGTTATCTGAATTATTGAAAGTCAAGACCAAAGTGCGAAATGAATATTACCAGCTGCGATCTTTCGTTGAGCGGCGTTATCGAATCCCGTCAGCGTGCCTCCAAACCATTCGCATATGTTTTTGGCACCATCGTAGGTCATTTGTAATGGGTAGATTCGGCCACACCATTTCACACCATTCAGACGTGTGTACGTCTTGATATCAGGCGGGCAAATAATGCCCCCCTCTCCGAGCTGCAATTTTGCTAGATTCGGCCGATTCATTCCGAACTTACCGCCAGTTTCTCCTCCATGTTGGGAAGGAGCGTCTGATGAGTGGCGAGCACTTGAAGTAGAACACCGATGATGAGAAGGTTGATGCTCATTGTCGATGAGTGTATGTCATTCCATCGGCGCCCGTTTTATACCAAATTCGGCGCTATTGTCTCGAAATCGAAACAATGAGATGCATTGTTTCGCATTTATTCATATGCTGATTATGGGAAAAATTGAAGTAAATGGCTGCTGATTGTGAATTGTCTAGACTGATTATACGTTGATTTCGATCATTTCCCATTTAGGGATCGATTCGATAATTTGAATGAAATAAAAAAATGTCAAATTCATGGAGCCAAGCAAAATAAGCCTTCACGAGACCCAATTTCAAAAGGCGAACCCTGTAAATCTACAACAGTCGAATACGAACTATATATGAAAACTGCTGGAATTCTCCAACTATATGTAGAATCCTTCTCCGTGCGGACTACACAGAAAAGTCTTTCAGCCGACTATTCCAAGTATAAAGTCTGCGAAAATTTTGCCGAAATTTTGAGGAATGCGCCTTTAATGTATACGGTAGTTTTACACACTTCGCTCCACGATCACTACAGTAACCGGCAACCACAGTAATCAGTTTGCAGGAGACCGAAAGAAAACGAGATAGCCACAACCCATGATTGTTTTTTTTTTTGCCTCAAGAATAATGATAGGGTTGTTGTGAGTCGATGGCGACGACGTCGAGCACTTGAAAGCAAGTGTGGGCAACCTCTTGACTAGAAGCATCGAGCCTTCTCAGAAGCGCTGCCGCCCTCCTAATTGGGAGCGGCTGGAGGCAAATGAGCAATGAGGAGAGTCGCCAATTATTGTTGTTGGGGTGAGTCGCTTCACAAAAATTTTTTTTCTCGCTACTCGCTCATCTCAACGATGTTCTCGAATAATTGCGCCAAGTAAGTCGGGGGGGGGGGTGTTGGTTTTTTTCCGACACCAATTTCCCACCCAACTAAAAAAAAGGTCGAATTTCACTGATTCGATTTTTCCGCCGAATATCCGATTTACCACCTCGGCCAACAATAGCCCGAGCGACACCCTCCATTCATTCATTCATTTTTCATTTTTTTTTTCGCTTCAGCTCGACAACGATGACCTACTACAATGCCGTCGACAACTATTCAGCTGCGTATGATAGTGAGTCGCAATTTTTTTGTTGTTGGATTTTTTTTGTCTGAAATTGCTTTACAATTTTTGTTCTCTAAATTGAACGATTTTTGGCGATCTAAAATTGCAATTTAAAGGCGCATTAGGCCAACGACTCCCATTGGGCTTGGCGACGACAACATGAAACAGAAAACCGATGTATTTTTTTTTGGAAATTGTTTGCCCTCGCTGATATTTATATTTAATGAGTCGCACTCCCCCCAAGGGGGGGGGGAGTTGTCGCTGGGGACCACAAAAAAAGAAACTTGATATCGGTGGGTGTATGTCGGCGAGTTGAGCTCGACAAGGTCCTCAACTATCATATCTCAACGAATGTGTTGCAACCCGCTTTCTTTTTTTTTTCATTCGTTTCGGTGAAATCGAATCACGTCGTCGTTTTCATCTCTCGGATATTCAATTTTTTTTTCGCCTTCACCCCCTCATCCACCATCAAACTTGATTTCAGACCCACCGAAATGTTTTCAGGCAAGAATGTGTTCTCACCGTTGGCCAGCGAGAAGATTCGCCGACGACCGAGTCAGGTAACTCGAAATTTTGATTGTTGGCAATTTTAATTTGGTCTCGGTTTTGAAGATTCCAAAAAAGACTTTTTTTCAAAAATTTTGGCGCGCTGAAATGTGTGCAAACACCGCGACTCAATTATTGCGTACCTCATCTCTCACTTCGATTTTTACATCTACATAATTCTATACGGATGTTATATTTGGCTAATGTGATAGCTATTTTAAAGGCGCATCAATTTTGGGGGCGGAGTTTCAAAATTTGAAGGTTCAAAAAAAATATGAGAAAAAAAAAACCATTGTGATTGGCGGTCGGTGTTTGCGGACTTGCGTTATTTCGAATTTCCGGTGACATTTCTAAACGATGTAGATTTACGAGCATGCGCTTTTCTCGCCATGGTCTCGCACCGACAGCCAAATTATCTACGAGAATTTTTAATTTTAAAGGTACCACCCAAAAATTTCCAGAAAATGAGAATTTGATTTGAATTGCCGCCATCGATGTTTGCGGACTTGCGATATTGTTTTTGCATTTTCTCGCATTGAAATTCCTATTTTTTTTTTAATCTTGATTTAAGAATTTTTGAGATTTGAAACAACTGATTAATTGAAATAAAAAATGGTAGCGGGCGAAAATGTGTGCAAACACCGCGCTGCAATATCGCAGACAAAAAAGAGTCCAACTCATTAGAATTTCTATTTTCCTTTTTCTTTCTTTTTTCGATTTGTGTGTTGCAAAAAACATGAGCTTGAAAAAATCGTCGCTGAGTGTGGGGCATTGAACTCGCGTAGGCAAAAGTGTGAAAATCGGCGCATTTAAGCAATACACCATTGGCAAACACAAGCGCCCAGTGGGAAACGCCGTATAGGAAAGTCTTTTTTTTTAATCTACACAGTTCCACTCTACTATAAGACCTATTATTAAGGAGTTTTAAAGGCACATCGAGTTTGCGAGAGATTTCTCCAATTTCTTCAAGGAACTGAATTAAGCTCATCAAGAATCAAAAAATTAGGCCTGAAATTAGAAATTCGAATCAAGTCGCCGAAAAAAACCGATAGAAATTTATTTATGAATATTTGGAGGTTCAAGAAATTGAGAAAAAATCCAAATTTAATTAAATTGTATTATTCAGTGTGATGCAAAAAAATCGCGAACCAAATGAAAAAAAAGCATCCCATCTCATTTGCATTCGTCGGTTTTCCGAGATTTTCTATACTACTAGATATTTTTGCATTCAGCTTCGTTTCATCTCATACAAATTTTTGGGCAAAAATATAAATTTAAAAAAAAACAATGCAAGGTTTTTCTTCACTAAAAAGTTCGTCGACGGGGTCTAAAATGGAACAAAACGAAATTTTTGACAAAAGGATGGCAATAATAACTTTTTTTGTCCGAAAAAGACGAAATCGCTGCAAGAATGCTCCGGAAACTCGTGTTGTCATCTCGAATTTCGGTATGAAATACATATTTTTCGTGTTGGCGGGTAACCCCCAGGCCGTCCATTCTCATTCATTTCTTCTCGCCTCGCGCCACGCTTTATTTTATTTTATTTTTCTCGCCGCGAATGGAATAATTAATGCGAAAACGGAGGCGAAAAGTCGAATCGAGCCAATTTTTCACTTTACAACAAATTCGATTCGTTTCCTTTCTTTTTCTTCTTTTTTTCGCGACACGCTGAAATTGTTTATTCTCGCGTGCTTCTTTTCTTTTTCGATTTGCGTATACAACAAATATAAGGTTGCAAAAATGGCAGCCGAGTATGAGGCATTGAACCCGCGTGGGCAAAATTGAGAAATGCGGCGCAACTAGGCACGTCGCCACAGCTGACCACAGGCTGGCCACAGGCAAAACGCGACGGATGAAATCCGGGCGAATCACGGTCCGTTATTGACCGTTCCAGCGTGTCGCTGACGTACCGGACACGGACGTCTTAGCGTATCCGGGAACGGACCGTGATTCGCCCGGTGGCGTTTTTCACATGCTTTTTTTTCTTCCGTTCGTATAATAATCAAAATTAAAATTGAAATCATATAGACAGCATTATTATAAAAGTTTTATTTAAGAAAAATCGAAAAAAAAAATTATTTACGAATCGCAATCGCTATATTCGTTTTGAATTTAATCGTATTCGATTGTAAAATGATTAATTCGTATTCGATACGAAAGAGTCAATTTTTTGTTTCACAATCAAATACATTAAAATTCGAAATGAATACACCGAGTTTCGCACCAAATACGAGTACATTCGGGTTTTTCCAAAGAGTAATCGAGTACCACAAATTTCAAACTTAATTTTCGATCAAGTTTGTATCCGAAATTTGTTGTATTCGATTCGAATCGAATTACTAGAACAAAAATAATTCTAAAAAAAAAAAAATATTTGCACATTCCATTTGCACACGCGTGTTCTACCTGGATTGGAACATTTCCATTAACTCTTCGATTTTGGCGGTTTTTCCGCGTCGTTTATCATCGCTGAAACACAGTATATAGCATATATATAACATTCGCGTTGCTCACTTACATGAAGTTTCTTGTCATTTCTCGTATATGAGAAACGACGACGGTTTCTTCCACCCTTCACTTTTTATATCGAAGCCTCGGTGTAATATTTCTGAAAAAAGCATAGTTTTTACCATTCAATTTCTCATTGGCCAATATGGACTAGGCGCAAGTTTTTAGCCGGTCAATGTTACTTCAAATCTACTTACTTCCAAGAATTTCGAAGAACTTGTCCGGTATTTTGGGATATTTCGTTCGTTTCGTTGACGAAGCGGCCGAATAAATTACAAAAATTATCTTTTTCGCATAACTGAAAGTAAATGTGTTCATGCAGTTTTCCTAAATTGTTCATTTATAATGACAACTTTTAAAATTGTTACTTCGTATTGCCAGTCAATGACACACCGTCAATACTACCAATAATTGAAAATGAAGTTCCGTGTCCGTATCCATCTGGGACACTTTTGAAACATACTCTCCATTCAGATTGTGATGCTTGTTTGTCCCATTTTTATTTCGCTTCTTATCCGATGAATATCTGTCAGTACTCCTCCACTATCTCCGAGACTTGCTGAATTCCTCCAATTCTAACATATTTAATTATAGTTCCACAACTGAAAACCCAAACAATAGATAAAAAGTGCCCAACGTCTATACCATTTTGCGAACATATTATTTGTTTCTTTCCCACAACTATTGCACACATAGTGCGCGTTATAAATAGTCATATTGTTCTTCCATAGCTGGAAGCTTTGCCGACGGAATGTTAAATCTTTATGAGAAGAAAGGAATCTCTTGAAATCTGTAATTGCCTCTTTTACTTCTTCGTAATTTTTTCCTATTTCCCGCATCGGTACTTCGAGCTATGCACGCTGAAGTTACGAATGTCAAAACTTCGTCCGACACATTCGCTAAATACTGCGCCAAGTCTATTCGAAAATGGCGATTAGTATTAAGACAAATTACCTACCGCTGTGGGGACAATCTTCTGAAGATTTCTCATCGTTTTCCGCAACATCGTTTTCCTCAACATCGTTTTCCTCAACTTCGTCACAATTCACATCCCATTGAAACATTTCTTCCTCTTCATCGATGTCTATATTGAGCGACTCAGAAAGTTGAACATCAATCGGTTCAGATAAGTTTTCTTCACTTGAAGAAGATACTTCTCTTGATCCTATTGTAGTAAAAGAGAGTATAGCAAATAGTTATGCAATTTTAACATACTTTTGTTGGTAAAGATGGTAGAAATCTTCGATATGACCGTCCCATGACTGAAATCGTAGTCTTTATCAAAACTTGAACGAAAATTGGGAAATTTTTGTATTTATTTAAATGACCTAATGACCCATTTACAATCTGAAAAAACAATTTCAAAGGAACACTATTCATTTTTCAACTACAATGGAATAAAACAGTAACTTTTCCAAATAATGATACGGTATTGGAACCGTTAAACAAGTCGAGTAAACCTCAAACTTGGGTAATTAAACCTTCATTATTGAACGAAAACGAACAAAATGTTAACAAAGCGATACAAACTAATAACAAACTTGATGATACTAAATATGGTGGATGGTGGGCTTGGGGAAACAACTTAATAAACTGAAATAATACGACTAAAAGCATAAGTAATTGACTAAATCGGTGTTTACGATTGGGGACTTGCATTTAAATAAAGGTGAACTTCGGCCGCGGCCCTATTTTTTGCTGGACATTGCCCGATGGCATGATGGCGTGCGTCTCTTCATTTCGCACTCTCTCTCTCGCCCACCGCCTCATCGTCTCGCCCACTCTCCCATTTCCACATTATCTCTACATTACAAAACAACGAATATAAATATGGAGCGGAACAGTTAGAACGCATAACGGTGAATCGACAGCAGCGAACTTAGCACATCGATCTTAGGAAAGGAAGTCTCGAGCCGTGCTATGGTTACCGCATCGGTATCGGGCAACCTGCAACAAGAAAATTTAATTATCAGCCATCGGTCGCCACAGCTTCCAGTGAAGCCGTTATATTAAATATTAATTAACTTTTGTGTCGTAACGTTTCAGCCGGAAGTGTCGATCAGTAAATAGTCCTTTGTTTGTCGGTGACATTTTCACTCGAAAAAATTGTCACGTAATTGGTCCGTTTTTTGTCTGTGATGCCTTTCAAAGAAATATTTCGTGTTTTTTAGCCGTGGCGTTTTATCCTGAAAATCAAGATCCGTAATTAACACGTTTTAAAAACGTGGCCTATAAATCTCCGGACTTTGTCCGTTTTTTTACCGCGGCGTTTTTCAAAGAAATTTTTGGTCCGTACTTGGCCCGTTTTTTAGCCGTGACGTTCAAATATCCGGACTTCGCCCGGACTTCATCCGTCGCGTTTTGCCTGTGGGCTAGTGGGAACGGCATATAAGAGTCAGACCGAGCTCCCTGCTTCTCCAGTTTTTATTACTGAAAACTTTCAATGAAAAAAAATGGCTCGCTTCCAATTATGGTCATAAATTCGCGGAAATGACAACAATATCCTCGTTCTTCTCATTCATTTTTCCTCGTTCATCATCAAACAAGAGAGAGCCCAATAAATTCTCGCTTGTCGTCAAAACGAAGATGAAAAAAAAACGAAAAACGAGTGAACAAATAATTTTTCGTCGTCTTCTTCCCATTCTTCTTGCTCGTCCATTCTCGAATTCTTGTTTTTTTTTCGTCGAGAATTGACGATAATTATTCATTTTGGAGGAGCACACGCCTGTCGAGAGCAAAAAAAAACGAAAATCATGGGCGATTTTTCTGTTCGATATGATTTTTGTCGCCCCCTATCCTACATCATCATTTTTCTTCGGCATTCTTCTCAAATTTCTCCCAAAAATCCTTTTTTTTTCATTTGTATTATTCGTTTGTTTTTTTTTTCTTTAAAAAACTTTTCTTTCTTTACTCCTTCGCTGTAGTGACTGAATTGTTAAAAATTTGAATTTCGCTCCAAAATTTTCAGCTGCTGTTATTCGTTTTTTTTTTCAATTTCTTGCCTTTCGCTATGGAATAAAACGTACACTTAATTAAACGAAAAAAAAATCATTTCTTTTTTTAATGTTGAGGGAGAGATGAAATTGCGGCGGTGGGTTCGAATCCTCGACCTTCCGCGCGCGAGCCAAAAATCCAACCACTGCACTACATGCGATACCTGTTAAAACAAACGAAAAGTGCATACAAGAAACCCCCGCGCGCCACCTTCAGCATTGGTAGATGAAGCTCATCAAATCCGAAATTATATATGATTGACATTTTAAAAACAACAAGAGGTGTGTGTGAGTGTGCACAACTGACCCATCTCTCATTCGCCAATATCAATCTATGTTTTTTTTGTTGCTTTTTGCGCCAACCGTCCACTAATATTCAATAAAACAATGAGATGGGCGGTAATGTCGCGAAATGTCCCAACTCATCGATTCATAATGATTATGTGTATGAGACGCTGGTATGTTTAAAAAATCTGAAGAGCCCAAAATTTCAATATTTGTTTCAATGGTCCCGCAATCGAAAGTTTAAAATATTTGGGTGTTGCAAAAGAAATGCATTAAATAAAATTCTGATGGATGGCGTTTTTTGGGGTTTTTTTTTAATAATTTCTCATGAATTTCAAAATAATATAAAATTGATTTCAGTTCGATCGTGCCGTCCACAAAACCTACTCGGAGCCGCAGCGAGTTTTCCGCAACACTCTGGTAGATCAAATCTATCATCGAATTTATTGGTCGCTTCGATCCATTCAATACAAGATTTTCTATAAGAATGAAGGTAGAGCAGGTGCAAAATTGGATTAAATCGGCGGCAAAATCGCATTTTTTCATTTTTTTTTATTCGACATTCCACGAAAAACAAGGAAGGTGTTTTGGTTTGGATTTTTTTCTAATTTGGCACACAAATAGATCGGGAAATTCCCTATCGAGTGTGCCATGCCGTTTTCTGCAAAAGTTCCAAAAAGCCCCAAAACGTTGGGTCCGAAGTTTCAAATTTTGAACCATTGCGCTTCTTTTTTTTTCTTGTTTCATTATTTTTGCCATACTTCAACACCACGCACAAATACCCTGTTTCCATGGAGCCGCGGCAAGCAGTGGTGGTTCAGTCACTGATTAAGCGCGACGCAAGCATAATGGAAGCATTGTGGGAAATCTGTGGAACGGAAGCATAATGCTTCCATATAGGAAGCATAATGTAATTCTTAGTGGCTGTGGAAGAATTATGGGACGAATATGGATGGAATGAAAACGGGATGAATATGCTTCCGGTGTTTGCGAGCCGTGGAACAAATATGGATGGAATATGGATAAAATAATCATATATCATTACACATTATACAATTGGCGTCTGGACGGCAGACCAAGACAATTTCTAGAAAAATCAATACAAAAAACTTATGCTATCATATAAACAATGAAAATTTGAAAATTACATGATACACAACGGACGAAATTTAGCTTCTACCATTTAATGACTTATGTTACTCAGATTTATGTTAATTCAGTCAACTGTTCCTCACTTTGTTTAAAGATTGCCAACTACAATTTAGTCGTATTAATATATTTTTGCCGGTTTTTCCGAAATTGGCATCGCAAACTACTCACAATTTGCTCCAAACTGGTAGCAGACGCGCGTAGGAGAGGCGTGCCGCAGCATTGCAAAACCGTGCGCCGCTTTGCACAATGCGGCCACGCCTCACATTTTCGAAATTCGTTTTCAAAATTTTTGTCCTTTTGCTTTTTCTCAATGAATTTTCAAGATTTTTTGTGTTTTTTTTTTGTCAAAAATTAAAGAATTTTTTTCAAAATTAAAGGAAAAATGTTTTTAAAAAATAAAGGAAAAATTTTCATATTTATCATCAAAATCGAAACCAAAAATAAATTGATAGCATTCGAAAATTTTAAAATCGATACGATGTTTTCAAATCGTTTCCGACACTTTTAAAATCGAATTTAAATATTTTCTCAATCGAATTGTGTTTAATTTCTCATCGAATCCGTTTTATTTTTATTTACTTTAACATATTTTTTATTATCGCTCGCTTTTTTCTTTTAATAAAACATAATGTTTTGAAATTTTTTACAGATGAAGACAAGATCGAGAGTGTTGTCAGATATAACTGAAACTGCTCTAGAAGTCAATAACAAAGAACCAGAAGTCCCTAACATGGAACCAAATTCGCTCGACACTTCAGATCCAGATAGTCCAATTTACTCGCCAACTCAGCAAAAAAATTTTTCTCCACAGTCCTCACAAACAACAAAATCAACGCCAATTCCTAAACCTTCGTACGCCCAATTTGTAAGTTGTTATCATCAAAAATTGGCCTGTTCGACTCCAGAAATGGTTTCAATTAGAAAAATATGCGCAATGAAGTCTTTATAAAGTACTTCCTAAGTTTAAAGCTTGTTGATTATTTGGTTCCAATCAGGGCTGTGCGGCAATGGAATTGCCGATTGCCGAAATTGCCGGTTTTTCAAATTGCCGAAGAAAATTTCGATCGGTAATTTGCCATTAGCCGAATCGCCGAAATTTCCGATTGCCGTACAGCCTTCGTACCAATATCATTCAGTGGCATTTATCTTTTTAAGTGGGGCTCTAGTACAGAAGTCGCCAGACGCCGACTATATAAAGATCCTATACTTTATTGCAAATATCTATATTACAGATGCTCTTATCCATGGCTTTGGGCAACAACCGACAAATGACTTCAAAGCGAAAGCATTACGCATGGTTCGAGAAGTCATGGATAATCTTCTGTAAGATTTTGAACTATGACTATTAATTTATTTATTTGATTAAGCGATAGAATGCGCCAACGACTTCAAAGGAAATTTGGTGTAGCGCCGGAAGCGCTCGCGGCGCAATTAAGGAAGCTGCTTGATTCTACCAGCAACCCTCAGATGTGAGTATTCATATGTCTTTGAAATTTTTACCAAAATGCCTTTTTGCTTCAAATTTTGGAGTTGTTTTTTCTTCCGCCAATTCACTTTTTATTTTGTGCACTAAAGGGTTTCCAAAAATGCAATAAAAATAAATTATTTTTATTTTTAAGAAAATTATTGATGTAAAAAAACTGATTGTATTTTCTCGAAAAATTTAGTTTACGTAACAATGGTTTACAAGTTTTTCAAATTAATAGGCCCATTATAATCTACTTATTACAGCGTCCCGCTCGATGTCAGTACTGACAATGATTCGAATAGTTCGGCAGTTGCCAGTAACTAATGGTTTGATTATATCTTAATTGAAATTCATTTCATTGTTGTTTTTTTTTTATTTTAAATTAAATAAATGTGTTAATATGAAATAAATTTTGAATACAGCAATCAAATTGTTTTCTTATTTTCCCATATGGAAGGCATACGGCTCATTCCATATACGAAACACGCGGTTCCGCAAAAAAATGCTTCCATTATGCTTCCATATAACTTGCATATAAGATTCCTATGATATCCACAGCCGTTCCACTATGCTTCCATTGTGCCTATGCCGCCGTTTATCTGTGGTGGTTAAGTGTGCGGGTTATTAAAATGTGGCGTGTGGGTTCGTTGCCCCCCTTCCCGCCGGCTTTTTGCAATTAATTTGTGATAAAATTCATACAAGCTTTTGTAATGGCTTGCAAGATTGATTCGTTTTCAGCAATGGACCTAGACGAGGTCGTCGACAAATGGGAGGTCGGTGTTCAGCCGCCGCCGCTCGAGCAGCTCGCCGAAGCGACCGGCTTCAGTCCGAAATGGATCAAGTACATGTACGCGAAATTCAAGAACGTAATTAGCCAATAAAAATTTCGATTGCGATTCGCGAGAAAATCGTCGATTTTAGGAATCGCCGACCGGCAAAATGAAAGAGGAGGAGTTTCGCAATTTGTTGGCGTGTATTATTGCTCCCGAGAAGGCCACCGATCAATACATTTCGAGGCTGTTTCAGGCGTTCGCCGGCAACGAGCGAAAAACGATCACGTTTGCGGTAAGAGGCGTGAAAAAATTTTTTTTGACTCTCTTAATGATGAATTTTAAATTTTAAATTCAAAAAATTTGAATTGCCGCCTTGAAATTGTGCGATGGTCCACAATTTGCCGAAAAAAAACATTTATTTTATAATAATTTTTTTTCTGAAAAAATCAAAAATGAAAAAAAGATATTTGCCCTCTTTAGGAGTCGTTTGAAATCTTATTGTATGCTCCTTTAAAAATGCATTCGAATTATATTATTGTTGGGGAAAAAAGTGGGTTGGAATCGAAAGTGTGCAAACACCGCGACGCAATTATCACGTACCCCAATGGCATTTTGAATTTCAATTTTATAGTCTGACTCCTTAAGAAATTATTTTGAATTACAGAATCCAAAAAAATGTTTAAAAATTAAAATTTTGCTCACAAACCAGTAATTTCGCGTTTTTTTTTTAATTTGAATTTTCAATTATTTTAAACGTCGGATGTTTGCGTACTTTGCATTTGAGCTTACGCACATTTTCATACACAATCTTTTTTTTTAAATAAACTTTTTGATGATAAAAAAAATCGTGAAAACCGAAAAGTGTGCAAACACGTCGACGCAAAACCTCACAGAATCTGCTGGCGTGCCTGGCTACCGTACACCCGCAAACGGCTGGCAACAACGCGAGATGGACGATGCGATTGATCACCGGAAGCGACGCCGACAGTTTCGGCTATCCGGTATTTCCGGACTCGGCGATCGAGATTCAAACTTCTTTTTGCCTAGGCCTTTTATGAGTTCACACAATCCGTGTTCCAATTGAACGAGGGCAAACGAGCAATGACGGAGGCGAATAAGGAAACGGTTCGTCAGCGCGCTTCAACGATATTCAAGGTTCCCTTGATATTGCTTCCCACCCCCCAAATTCGAATCATCATTTCCAGGAGCTCGACGCCGATCAAGACGGTCTCGTCAACTATGAGGACATGGTCCGATTTTTTCAGGTTCGATTTGTCGTTGGTTTGGTTGGCTCAAATGAATGAGCAATGATTGCAGCAACATGAGTCGAGTCTTGGCATCACGCCGATCTCGCCTCATCCGTCAACGTCGAACGGATTCCAGAATTGAATGGTGTCGCCGGAAACATGTGTTGTGCCAATTGATCTCTCAACTACGTTCAGATAAATCAACTTTATGATTTTTTTTTGCTTCTCGAAGCAACGCAAAAATTGCTAGGCGTCGACTCTCATAAAGAGATTGAAGGGAGGATGCGCCTTTAAACTCTCAAAGCATTTTTTCGTGTCGGCGTCTTTGAATTTAGCACGCCCTCTAGTTAGTTGGGAAGGAATCGCGAGTCTCTAACATGCGCCTTTAAAATCAAACAGTCCATTTCAACATTTTCCTTATCAAATTATCAGAACACGTTATCATAGTGTGTTCTATCATAGAACAGAAAATCACAATGAAAATCGCTGGCCGCATGATTGGTTTTATTCTACGCGCGCTGGGACCTATGGCAATACGATGTCAATTTTTTGAAGCAAGGAACCGCGCTGAAATCAGTGCGGTGATGAGAATGAGTTCCCTGATCCATTCACCTTCAATCCGGATCGATTCATCGAGAATGGCAAGCTGAAGCGAATCGATGAGCTCATCCCATTCTCGATCGGAAAACGCGCGAATGGAGCTCTTTCTGTTCCTCGCAAGCTTCTTCAATCAATTCAAGGTAGTTATCGAATACTGATCATAGTAATCCCTTGATTCCAGATCCACTCTGGAAGTGATGAATTACCGAGTTTGGATAAAAGCAAAGACGCAACGGTGAAGCCAAGAGTGTTCAAAATGAAATTGGAGAATCGAAATAAATAATTTAATGAATTAAAGTTGTATGTTGCTGGTGAGATTCGAATAGAATGGCTGGATGAGATCTAAGAATGGTTGGGTGAAATGAATGGTGTTCTCGTAGTAGACAAGATTCGTCGCGGGATCGAACGTATGGTAGACATTTCCGTGAAGCTGTACACTAGCCAGATCGTAGAGCTGAAATTATTGCTTGATTTTCATGAAGGGACCAATGAAATAACAAAAATAGAACCAAGTTGAAAATAAATTTGAAAATTAGGCGGTTTGTGAAAATGTGCAAACACTCGCACGCAAAATTGCACACATTTTGGTTTATTTAAAATTGGGCACGGAATATTTCAAATTCTTTTCAAATAAATTTTGCTCATTCAAATTATGATGGTTTGGTTTAGTTAAAGGGATCTCGCTTCTCAACAGATTGTCCATACGAGACCCATGGCGGGAATTCAAACGATCCTACCTGACATTTGGGGCAATTCAAATTCTCGAGCCTCTTCGTCAATTGTTTGAAGGTTGTTTTATGCTTCTGCAATAAGATGAAGCCTCTACCTTATTCTCCACATACCGTATAAGGGATATGGAATCGATCGAGCTCGTCAGCGTCGTTCATCAAATCGGCGACGAACATGTTCAAAAATTTGAGAGGCGCTTGCGGAAGCGGCCGCATTATATAGATTCTCTTCGAGCACGATTGCAAAATTTTGAGATTCTCTCGCATTTCGTGAAGAATTCGATCGCTATCCGGATTGTCCATTGCCGTTTTTACCGTATCTGCAGCATGTCTAAAAAAAATTCCAAAAAAATATTTTTTTGGACTTCTCCCACTTTAGAATTATCAAAATCACATCAGGCTTGTAATCGATTGCCACCCGATTTGTGATCTTCTCAAGAAGCGCCGTCTTCGGCGGATGGTCCTCATAAAGCACATAATTGCCTGTCACCAATTAGCTGATAATTAAGCGGCAATTAGTGTGTACCTAAGACTCCAACACTCTCAAACGTTGAGTAGTTTCCATTCAATGACATTCGAATAGCCTCGGCTTGATTCGACATATAGCTATTGCCTAATAGGAGGTATTTGAGGGTCCCATTGCCGGACACGAATCGTTTGTGCCCAAAATAGGTGGTGTGAATGTCGACGTCATCGGGCGTCGGCAACAATTTGAACGTCGTCGCATTCTGCCAGAAGAAGTTGTCCAGCGCGAGATTCTCGTCGACTTTCGGCGAATACGCTGAAAATTATGGATAAGCATGATTCGGCAATCGATTCGAGAAGCGACGTCGACGTGTGGCGAATTTCAGCACGTCGGCGTGCTTGAACTCGGTGTAGAGTAGGGCGCAATTGGCGGCGATGCACGCGAGAAGCATCGCGACGACGATCGACGGTTGCTGGCGGAGCAGCGGCTTCTCGATGAGATGATGAATGCCGATGGATAAGAAGAAGCACAAGTCTAGAAATTCGGTTGCAAACGCGCTTCGACGCAACTCTTACAGATCAGCATAATTGGAGCATAATGGTCCCTGAAGAACACTATACTATAATTGGCCAGTGCACCAAATAGATGATGTAGGAGATGTCGCCGATGTAGCAGAGCGCTGATGAATTGAGGATTGGGAATTGAAGGTCCGCATAGATGAGGAGTGCGGCGACGGCGGTGATCAGCGGCCGAATCAGTTGAGACGCGATTGTCGACGGCCAGAAGATGAGGAACAAGCTGGCAAGAAGGGCAGATTGCAATTGAATCGCGATGAATTCTCGATCGCCGCATTTTTCCGATTTTTTGAGTTCCGTCGATTCGGCGCGTTTGACGACGTCGGCGAGAATGCCGAAAGCGAATTGCCACACGCGCGACGGTGTGAAGTTGAACGCGACACTCGAGCTGTAGAATGTCAGCGAATAGGAGACGACGGCGAGAATCAGAAGTGCGACGATCTGAACGATGGTGCATTGGTTTTGGGGGGAATTCAAATTTTTCCAAAAAAAATTTCGTCTTGAGACCCATTCGGATTCGAGAAATTGTCTTGAACCCGAAATGTCCGCATTATGTCGTCAAGTGAATGCAGACCAAAAGCAATTTTGAGGGTACAGAAGCACGCAAAATTGCACACATTTTTTTTGACTTTTTCATTACAATTTAAAGGCGCAGCGAAAATGGGAAAATTTCGTCGGAAAATGTTTTGCCCTCTACGATGACCTTGCTGGAGGCGCCAGATTTGCGGACTCGATAAGCCCCATGCGTACCCGAGCTTTGAGACGCTTGATGAAATGGATTCCGATGAAAATGAATGGGACGATGAGATAGAATTGAACTTCGACACTCAGCGACCAACAATGAAGGAAAATGTTGGACGATTTGATATTGGCCTCAAACTGGAATCGAACAATGGCGATTGGCGAGAGATTCGCGTAGGCTTACGGCTTTGAAATAATCGCGCTGATCGGCCAACACTTTGACGTTGGTCAGGAACAACGCCGAGAAGAACGCGTAGAGCTGATTGGCCGGCCACCAGACTTCGGCTCGGAATAGGTGTTTGCCGAAGTTGATGAGGAACAATAGAAGGTAGTAGATCACACAGAAAACCATCGTCACATTCTATTATCGTCGCTTCACTCGACGATAATAGAATGTGACGATGGTTTTGTGGTCGATCGCCTTCGAGTAGAGGATGCGCGACATGAGGAAGCCGGAGATGACGAAGAAGACGTCGACGCCGAGATAGCCATTCGGTAGCGCTTCGGGAAACAGATGGAATCCGACGACGGCGAGAATCGCGATCGCCCGGTAGGATTGGATGTCGAAACGCATTTTTGGTATGAAAATTGAGAGGTGGGGGTGGGGAGAAGCTTCTCCAAAACTTGGCCACTTCTTCGTTCGACCGGTTTTTTTTGTGTGGCGATTCGGAAAAATGATTAGCATGCAACAACACGATTGTCAAGTGTTCATTAGCGTGTGTGTGTGTGAGTTGGAAATTTTGAACAGCATGCTCCTTTAAATCAGAGAGGTTGCACGGAATTCCTTTCAACAAAAACAAATACTAGGTTGTCCGGAATTTCTGTTTTCCGGTTGACGGGGAAAAACTGAATCCGAGGTTTTCCGATGTCTCATTTTTTGTATCCACGTTTTTCTGTTATGTTTAAAGGCGCACAGCATGCTAAGGCTGCGGGACCTGATATTTTTGTTGAATCGTAGCACCAAGAGAAATTTCACCTCTGCCGACGTATTGCGCAAGCGGTGGTGGCCTTCAGCCGATGAGCTGGACCAACTGTGAGCTGGACCACCCCGTACCCCCATTGCAGTGAAAAATAATTGAAATTTGACGAATGCGGAAGAACAAGAGACCAATGCGATCGTTCAAAAAGCCATGATGAACTAAAGATTTTTCGTAGATAGCTTTCCTCAAACTGATTGAATTCTCATGGAATTTTTTTCTGTTTTTTTAATCTTTCATTTACAGAATTATTTTTTAATTTCCTTGAAAAAAAAGACGAGAAATTTAAATCAATCAAATAGAAAAAATAATACCGTATCTTGGGAAAAAAAAGACGCACATCAACAAATTGTCTCATGGGTCTCGCAGAGTTCTTCATTATTTGATTACAGTACCCACTGGATTTTTCCGCATCGCTGCATTTTGACAAATGCCAAACTTTTTTAATAATTGTTTTATTGGACCAAAATGTCCATTGAAATATGGAACCGCTTATAAGACTTCATTTTGCAATTGTTTTCACCCATTCGGATTTCAGAATCCTAAAATTTCAGCACTGTTGAAATTCGAATTTGAATTGCGATGGTCCACAATTATAGCTCGATTATTATTATTATTATTATTATTATTTTGTAATGTTAATTGATAATTCGCCAAATTCCAATGAATAGCTAATGTACCGCAATAGTGGTCCATCATCGGTGGGACCACGAAACTCTTACCGTAGGAAAATTGTCGAGAAAAATAATATCTTGGCGCGTTTCCCCCGAACCGAAGAAAACTAGCTACCACCAGATTTTTTCGCTGCGGGACCAATGAAGCAAGCCGCACGCGAACCGCAACGCGTCTGACGACATTGAAAAATTGTTTTATGTTTTTCATAAATAGTTAAAATCGATAGGAAATATGGAAAATTGAATGACAAATAATTTTTAATTGTTCTCCAATTTTTCACGATCGCTTCCTACCGGGCGATCGCGATTCTCGCCGTCGTCGGATTCCATCTGTTTCCCGAAGCGCTACCGAATGGCTATAGTAGTATATTGGGTCTGTGGGGCGTCGTCCACTTTTTCAAAATCAAGGATTCAAGCAAGTTTTCTTGTTAATAATTCAAAATTTATTTTAAAAAACAACACTTTTTGAATTGTAAGAGGGCTGACCTCAAAAAAGACACCAGCGTAACGAGACCCAGAGGGCTGTTACATTTTTACTTTTATAAATTTTCTGCATTTATTCGACTTTTTCACTTTAAAAATTCATTATTTCTTGTAATTTTTAAACTTTTTTAATGCAGCGACACTTTCAACACTCACGGTTTTCAAAAAATAAAAAATTAGTAACCATACAGAACAGTAGTAGTATAGAAAACGTTGCCACTGGCGCCCTTTTTTTTGCCCAAATAACGTTTTTTGACTATTTTAACGCTTATTTTCAACAGAAAAGTGCCTAAGCTCATCGAAAATCAGTCATTTTGAAAACGACACTTTTTAGGCTGGACGTAGAAGTGACCACTTTGCCCACTTACAATTTCGACACTTTTTGACTATTTTAATGCACAAAATCCATCACCCATTACAACAACTCGGAGATCAGTCAATTTATTCAATTCATGTCTTAAAATAAACAAATTAAAATTGAATCGCAACATTATCAATTCGATGTATGTTATGAACCACAAACAATTTAAATTGGCATGTTATGAACTCATATGAAAACCAATTAAACAAAAACTGAGTAATCACACTTGAAACTGAAACCACCAAGCTTGATAGTATGAGATTCCTTTTTAATTTGAACATCTGGATCGTTTCCGGCAATAAACGTCTCATTGAATTTGGCCCAAAGTGTCTTGCGATCAAGGTGTGCCAATTCGAATACAAAGGCCTCTACATCGGAGATTATTTGTCCATATTCACTGGGACGAAAATTTCCAGAACCATAGACGTCTCGATGCACGCTAAAAAATTAATATAAAAAGAAATGAAAGAATAAAAATTTTTTTAACCAAAAACAAATAAAAAGGAAAATAATAATAATAAATCAATTATGTATTAAATTAAACAACTCACCTCTCCGCTTTTACCCAACAATCGGATAAATAATCAAAGCGCTTCCACGAAAGACCAGCATGATGAAGTGCAAATCGGCAAAAATAATTCAACGAGTTGTGCGACTTCAAATCGATTCCTGAAACATTCGGATTAATAATACTTGAAAGAATTATGCGACTTCAGATCCATACCTCCGCAAGAAAGATAAGCTTCTTTGACTGCGTAGACAGCCGCAAACCAAATCTTCTCTGAACATTGAATTAGGTCCGGAGGAGACAGAGACAAGTAATGCCGGGCCTTGTCGATGAAAATTGACGCGCTATACTTCTCCATGGTTTCATGAAAACAAAATAATTTCAAAAAAAGTGTTTGTTAATTCATAGTTTTATTTTAAGCTGCAATAATAAATCATACCTTGGACTCCCAACTTTCCAAGTCGTCCACAGTCACATTCTCCTTGAACCTTTCGCGGATGTCGTCGAAATTGCCCTCCTGCATATCCTCTACGAGAAAACGCCCATCAATCAGATACTTCTTTGGCATTATTCTGAAATCAAAATTTTAGTTATTTACGATGAGCGAAAAATACAAATGAAATATTCGGTTTGAAGCGACTAGACAGTAAAACATTTTGAAAGAGGAAATTCAATCAAAGATAAATGAAACAGCAAAAATAGTTAGTGTTAACGTTCCCTCTAATGGAAGAATGCGATGTTAGCAGTTCACGGCGTTCGCACTAGTGGGATTTACCTGAAATGGAAACTCAAACTGTGTCAGTGACCGATTGTTGGCGTCTTTGTCGCGCAGACGAATTTTTTAAAAATCGCCAGGTTTTGACTCTTTTTTCAAGTTTTTTGAATTTTTCTCAAATTTTAACAAAAACGTGCAGCGACCACGTTTTTTGCAAGGCTTTTTTCTATCGAAAAAGCTTTACTATAATTCAATCGGATAAGTATTCAGAGGTCCGTAGTTTTTTAAAGATTGAACTGTAGAAATATTCACATTTCTTTTTTTCTGTTTTTTCACTCTCTCTTTTGTTAATATCATTTATTGTTATATTATATGATTTGATTTACACGGTTATGTTTGGCAAAACTTGGGAAAACATTTCATAGTTGTTTATTTTTTATTTTTTTGCAAATTTTAAATGTAAATAATGTGTCATTTCGGCGGAGAAGTCGCAACAGAATCTCTATAATTTTTTGTTGTTTTTTTTAAATTTTGTTAGTTCTTACGTTAATTTACCGTTTTCAGCTTTTTTTAGTTATTTATCTCTCTCGCGTCTTTATCTACTAGCATTGAATTCATTTATTGAATTCAGATAAACACTCCATCTCGAAAATCAAAAGCTGGCGGAGTGATGAAACGATATCACGGGCAATTCGCTTTTCGAGATTTTTTTAAACTTACGAATTACTCCAAAAGATCAATGGAATGACGTCCTCAACTCAAAAATGTATTTTTTTAGTCATTTGTGTTGTATAACATCAAATTGTTCTTTTCAAGAAGCTGCCTAATGAAATCGATAAAGAGAATCTTGTTAAATGAATTTGTTGATTATCCATTTGTTTCCAAATTGATAAGTGTATTTTTTTCCCTATTAGTTTTACAATTTTCCAATTATAAAAATCAAACTTCAGACATTCGTATGGATATCTTTCTGAGTTGAGTTCAACATAAATTTCTTCTAACCCACAATTATCAAACTTTGCAGCATTCAGATAATTGTTATCTCTTTTGAAAAGCGATTACAAGGTATTTTATTTTATCATATTTTGTTCCAAGTTTCCAAGTAAATTCACGATTACCATTAGGAATATTACAGGGTGGCCCAAAATTATGGAAACACAAGTTTGAAGCCTTGTGGCAGATGCTGGCGCATTTTTCGCACACCAATTTTATTATTTAATTTTTAGCATTTTTTAATTACCCTTTTCCCAAATTTTCTAGTTCTTAGCGTCATTTTTACTGGAATGATAGCCAATTCAAAACACCGAGGTACCATTATCGAATGGCGACGTAAGGAAAGAGCGACAGTTGCATTGCAAAAGCTCTCGGAATCTCTCGATCAACAATTTGTAAAACCGTAAAACGATACAAGGAGCTTAACACACATGAAAACCGTCCGAGAAGCGGAAAACCTCGCAGTTCTATCACTCCGGAGAGGATCAAGGTCGCCCGAGAAGGAATTCGTCGAAATCCGCACCGAAGCATGAGAAAGATGAGCTGGGACATCAGTATGAGCAAATCTTCGATGGAGCGCATGCTGAAAAAGAAGCTTGGACTGACCCCGTATCGTGTTCGAATAGCGGCCGTTTTATCTGAAAAGAACAAAGTAGCCCGAATGCAAAAGTGCGAATCTCGTCTTGCTGGCACGAAATTAAAATTTGAAGACGCTGTTTACGGACGAGAAGCTCTTCACCGTGGAGGCTGAATTCAACTCGCAAAATCAATCATCGGTCGGGTGCTTACAGGGGACACAGACGAAGCCAATAAGCACGGAAGACCGATCAACAGAATGTCTCATCCTCAACAAGTCATGATTTTTGGGGTGATCACGTCTGATGAGAAGATTTCGCTTGTTTTTGTGGATCCCGGAGTCAAAATCAACCGGGAATACTACTTAGAAGAAATTCTAACAAGAAACACGTGCTTCCACGGACCCAAACACACTTTCGAAACCAAGTTTGGACATTCCAACAGGACTCTGCACCGACTCACAAAGCAAAAGTCGTAAAATCCCAATGGGCCGCAAATTTTGCTGGTTTATTTCTTGTTCAGAATGACCAGCGTCGGATTTGAATGGGCCAAACTATCTCCAGAATACTTCCGTGCCACAGTCGAGGCATTCCCGACGAAACTCAAGGTAGTAATGAAGAACGAAGGAAATCGAATCGAGTAATGTTGATGCATTTTTGTTTATAATTGATTCAATAAACTAATTGAGAATTTTCAAGTTGATTCGATCATTTTTTAAAAAGCTACATCACTTTGAATGTGTTTCCATAATTTTGGGACACCCTGTAGAACACCCATGCAATAAAAAATTGCAGTGGGGGTACTGTAACTTACGCACGCCGACAAATTGTCTCATGGGTCTCGCAGAGTTCTTCATTATTTGATTACAGTACCCACTGGATTTTTCCGCATCGCTGTATTTTGACAAATGCGAAACTTTTTTAATAATTGTTTTGTTGGACCAAAATGTCCATTGAAATCTGTGCAACCGCTTATAAGGCTTCATTTTGCAATTTTTTTCAACCATTCGGATTTCAGAATCCTGAAATTTCAGCACTGTTGAAATTCGAATTTGAATTGCGATGGTCCACAATTATAGCTCGATTATTATTATTATTATTATTTTGTAATGTTAATTGATAATTCGCCAAAATAAAATGAATAGCTAATGTACCGCAATAGTGGTCCATCATCGGTGGGACCACGAAAATCTTATAGTAGAAAAATTGTCGAGAAAAATAATATCTTGGCGCGTTTCCCCCGAACCGAAGAAAACTAGCTACCACCAGATTTTTTCGCTGCGGGACCAATGAAGCAAGCCGCACGCGAACCGCAACGCGTCTGACGACATTGAAAAATTGTTTTATGTTTTTTCATAAATAGTTAAAATCGATAGGAAATATGGAAAAGTGAAAAAAAAAAGATTTTTAATTGTTCTCCAATTTTTCACGATCGCTTCCCGTCAATAATTCAATCAATAATGGCTCTTGGGCAAAATCGATTTCATTTATCTAAAAAAAAATTTTTTTGAGAAGCCATGAAAAATGGAATACCTTGCTATTGATGAGAAAGAGATCATCAACGAAATTCTGGAAAAGAAAAAAATTTTTTTTTTCAAATTTTCAACGAAACAAAAAAACCGGTGTCTTGGCGCGAGTTTTTCCGAATTTTTCCACACTTTCGTACGCTGCCGTCAATTCGTCTCGGATTTTTCGAAATTCGTCTCCTTGTGGAACACGATCGATGGCAATTTTTAAGATTTGCTCAAGATTTGAAAGTAGGGTAGTCAATTGGTTGAATTTCGACGCTCTTTTTTCAAGATCGGGATCCTGAAAATCCGATCCATTCATTCCAAAATCATTTTTTTTTCGATTTACACAAAAGCTCATCATGAGATTCGATAATGGCGAGGCCACCAATTGCACCTCTCGAATTTTGCCGTTAAGCTCTTTAACGCGACTCGCATGTTCGTGTAGTGCCTGGAAAAAAACTTTAAAGGCGCGATGCGCCTTTAAAAATAATTTACCGCATATTTTGAAAGTTCCTCACTACAATTTGCTTGCATTGTCTCGAATTTTTTCTGTGCCGCTTCCACCTTAAAATTGACGATTTTTTGGTAGATCAAGACCGCCAACTTTCAATTTTCTGGATTGTCCAAATTTGGGTCCCGCATGGAAAACCGTGATGGCGAAATGCCAATAAAAAAACCTCGAAAAAAAAATATTCGAAAAAAAAAATTCGAAAAAAATAGAGGAATTCAGAAAATGAGCGCATTATTAGGCAATTAAATAATAATCATGATTTTAATTTGAAAAAAATGTATTTAAAGGGGGGTAACCTTTAAAAATTTTTTTTTAAATATCAACGAAACTAGGAGAAAAATCGGAAAAAATTTCACGTGAAGTTGTCTTTGAAAATCGATGAAAACGATATGTACGTGTATTGTCGTCAAATAGAATGCACAAGTCCGCAATGATTCCAGTCTCGCTTATTTTCGATAAATGTCCCACCCCCCATAGAACGAGAATGTCGAAATCTGCAAATTTGCGTCATACACCGAATTTGACGCAAATTTTCAGAAGCTGCAATGAAAAAAAAAACAGAATGCGGAATTCCGCGCAACTCTGGTTCCCATCTCTGAGATCTTGTAGATCAAAAGATTAATTATTGATCTCAATCAAAATTCTAATCGATTTTGATGTCGATCTTGCAGGTTTTCTAAGGAAATATTTTGCTTGTGTGTTTTGTCGTCAAATGTAATGCACAAGTCCGCAATGGTGTGAATTTCACCGAATTTTTTGAAATTCCTTGCCAATTTTTCATTAGCACTCAACTATGCGCGGAAAATCACAAGTTTTGAAATAGTCGTCAGATAAAATGCATTCGGTGTAAACACGGAATTTCAATTTTTGATTTTTTGCCTCAAACACGAATCTGCGAATCCGAGTCTGTGTGATAATGCATAGTATACATTTTCGAAATGAATAGCTGAAAATGACATTGCGGACTTGTGCATTTTATTTGACGACAATACACACATTATTGATTTTTAATTTAGTTTGTGTCAGATTTAAAGGGACCCCCCCCCTATTGCCGGTTTAACAAGACAAATCTCACCTCTCTTCGATTGTTCGCATCGAATTCACGGATTCGATCCGGCCGAATCCCGCGCCTAGAAGGATTCGACCACATGAATAACTGAAGTGGAGGAACTCAATTTGATGAACCAAACAATCTCAGTTTTTCTTTTTCTGTCATTAGCAATACGCGTTGACAGATATTTTATCAATTACGAGGCAATCGACGAGCAGAGAGAAACCAGGGTGTCTGTCGATTTGCAATATTGGAAACGTCGGCGAGAATCTCAATAAAAACGACCAAAACCGTGATTTGGGAATGTCGTCGAACGCGTTGCGGTTCGCGTGCGGTCTCATTATTCCTTTTTATTCTAGTAAATCGAAAAACCAATTGGGCGAAAAAACGTTGACAATCTGATGTCGAATTTTGGCAATTCTGAAGGAATCGTATTCATCATGCTGAAAACGAAGAAAAATCGGATTTTTTATGTCTTGCTAAAAATGTGAAAGTGGTTTTCAGTGGGGAAAAGCGTTTTCCAAAAATTGCGCCGCGATATGTACCTTTAATTTTCCACTATGCTCGTTGAATGAGGAAAATCTTAGATGAATATGAAATTATCTCATTTGAGTGTGAAACAAAGAATAAAGGATTTACTTTGAATTTCAAGAATTCTAAAATCATAAATCATCAAAGTATGTTGGAAATGGTTAGAAATAATAAAGAGCTTGTAGTAATCGATGAAAATAAAATAACGAGAGATCCAAAAAATAAGAAAATTATTAATAAATATCAAGAAAAAAGTATACGTTTGATTATGATAAAAGAATTATTAAACGAATAAATGACAATTTTTATGATACTGTTCCTTATGGTTACTAAATTTTTATTTATTTTTTATTTTTTGAAAACCGTGAGTGTCGAAAGTGTCGCTGCATTAAAACAAGTTTAAAAATTACAAGAAATAATGCATTTTTAAAGTGAAAAAGTCGAATAAATGGAGAAAATTTATAAAAGTAAAAATGTAACAGCCCTCTGGGTCTCGTTACGCTGGTGTCTTTTTTGAGGTCAGCCCTCTTACAATTCAAAAAGTGTTGTTTTTTTAAATAAATTTTGAATTATTAACAACAAAACTTGCTTAAATCCTTGATTTTGAAAAAGTGGGCGACGCCCCACAGACCCAATATACTACTATAGCCATTCGGTAGCGCTTCGGGAAACAGATGGAATCCGACGACGGCGAGAATCGCGATCGCCCGGTAGGATTGGATGTCGAAACGCATTTTTGGTATGAAAATTGAGAGGTGGGGGTGGGGAGAAGCTTCTCCAAAATTTGCCCACTTCTTCGTTCGACCGGTTTTTTTTGTGTGGCGATTCGGAAAAATGATTAGCATGCAACAACAAGTGTTCATTAGCGTGTGTATGTGTGAGTTGGAAATTTTGAACAGCATGCTCCTTTAAATCAGAGAGTTTGCACGGAATTCCTTTCAACAAAAACAAATACTAGGTTGTCCGGAATTTCTGTTTTCCGGTTGACGGGGAAAAACTGAATCCGAGGTTTTCCGATGTCTCATTTTTTGTATCCACGTTTTTCTGTTATGTTTAAAGGCGCACAGCATGCTAAGGCTGCGGGACCTGATATTTTTGTTGAATCGTAGCACCAAGAGAAATTTCACCTATGCCGACGTATTGCGCAAGCGGTGGTGGCCTTCAACCGATGAGCTGGACCAACTGTGAGCTGGACCACCCCATCCCTCCCCCCCATTGCAGCGAAAAATAATTGAAATTTGACGAATGCGGAAGAACAAGAGACCAATGCGATCGTTCAAAAAGCCATGATGAACTAAAGATTTTTCGTAGATAACTTTCCTCAAACTGATTGAATTCTCATGGAATTTTTTTCTGTTTTTTTAATCTTTCATTTACAGAATTATTTTTTAATTTCCTTGAAAAAAAAGACGAGAAATTTAAATCAATCAAATAGAAAAAATAATACCGTATCTTGGGAAAAAAAAGACGCACATCAACAAATTGTCTCATGGGTCTCGCAGAGTTCTTCATTATTTGATTACAGTACCCACTGGATTTTTCCGCATCGCTGCATTTTGACAAATGCCAAACTTTTTTAATAATTGTTTTATTGGACCAAAATGTCCATTGAAATATGGAACCGCTTATAAGACTTCATTTTGCAATTGTTTTCACCCATTCGGATTTCAGAATCCTAAAATTTCAGCACTGTTGAAATTCGAATTTGAATTGCGATGGTCCACAATTATAGCTCGATTATTATTATTATTATTATTATTATTTTGTAATGTTAATTGATAATTCGCCAAATTCCAATGAATAGCTAATGTACCGCAATAGTGGTCCATCATCGGTGGGACCACGAAACTCTTACCGTAGGAAAATTGTCGAGAAAAATAATATCTTGGCGCGTTTCCCCCGAACCGAAGAAAACTAGCTACCACCAGATTTTTTCGCTGCGGGACCAATGAAGCAAGCCGCACGCGAACCGCAACGCGTCTGACGACATTGAAAAATTGTTTTATGTTTTTCATAAATAGTTAAAATCGATAGGAAATATGGAAAATTGAATGACAAATAATTTTTAATTGTTCTCCAATTTTTCACGATCGCTTCCTACCGGGCGATCGCGATTCTCGCCGTCGTCGGATTCCATCTGTTTCCCGAAGCGCTACCGAATGGCTATAGTAGTATATTGGGTCTGTGGGGCGTTCAAAATCAAGGATTTAAGCAAGTTTTCTTGTTAATAATTCAAAATTTATTTTAAAAAACAACTTTTTGAATTGTAAGAGGGCTGACCTCAAAAAAGACACCAGGGTAACGAGACCCAGAGGGCTGTTACATTTTTACTTTTATAAATTTTCTGCATTTATTTTAAAAATGCATTATTTCTTGTAATTTTTAAACTTTTTTTAATGCAGCGACACTTTCGACACTTACGGTTTTCAAAAAATAAAAAATTAGTAACCATATATGTTCTGTATACAGAACAGTAGTAGTATAGAAAACGTTGCCACTGGCGCCCTTTTTTTTGCCCAAATAACGTTTTTTGACTATTTTAACGCTTATTTTCAACAGAAAAGTGCCTAAGCTCATCGAAAATCAGTCATTTTGAAAACGACACTTTTTAGGCTGGACGTAGAAGTGACCACTTTGCCCACTTACAATTTCGACACTTTTTGACTATTTTAATGCACAAAATCCATCACCCATTACAACAACTCGGAGATCAGTCAATTTATTCAATTCATGTCTTAAAATAAACAAATCAAAATTGAATCGCAACATTATCAATTCGATGTATGTTATGAACCACAAACAATTTAAATTGGCATGTTATGAACTCATATGAAAACCAATTAAACAAAAACTGAGTAATCACACTTGAAACTGAAACCACCAAGCTTGATAGTATGAGATTCCTTTTTAATTTGAACATCTGGATCGTTTCCGGCAATAAACGTCTCATTGAATTTGGCCCAAAGTGTCTTGCGATCAAGGTGTGCCAATTCGAATACAAAGGCCTCTACATCGGAGATTATTTGTCTATATTCACTGGGACGATAGTTTCCAGAACCATAGACGTCTCGATGCACGCTAAAAAATTAATATAAAAAGAAATGAAAGAATAAAAATTTTTTTAACCAAAAACAAATAAAAAAGAAAATAATAATAATAATAAATCATTTATGTATTAAATTAAACAACTCACCTCTCCGCTTTTACCCAACAATCGGATAAATAATCAAAGCGCTTCCACGAAAGACCAGCATGATGAAGTGCAAATCGGCAAAAATAATTCAACGAGTTGTGCGACTTCAAATCGATTCCTGAAACATTCGGATTAATAATACTTGAAAGAATTATGCGACTTCAGATCCATACCTCCGCAAGAAAGATAAGCTTCTTTGACTGCGTAGACAGCCGCAAACCAAATATTCTCTGAACATTGAATTAGGTCCGGAGGAGACAGAGACAAGTAATGCCGGGCCTTGTCGATGAAAATTGACGCGCTATACTTCTCCATGGTTTCATGAAAACAAAATAATTTCAAAAAAAGTGTTTGTTAATTCATAGTTTTATTTTAAGCTGCAATAATAAATCATACCTTGGACTCCCAACTTTCCAAGTCGTCCACAGTCACATTCTCCTTGAACATTTCGCACACATCGTCAAAATCTTCCTCCTCTACCCAAACAGTACGTCCATTAACGGCAAGCTTCTTCGGCATTCTTCTGAAATCAAAATTTTAGTTATTAAAGATGAACGAAAAATACAAATGAAATATTCGGTTTGAAGCGACTAGACAGTAAAACATTTTGAAAGAGGAAATTCAATCAAAGATAAATGAAACAGCAAAAATAGTTAGTGTTAACGTTCCCTCTAATGGAAGAATGCGATGTTAGCAGTTCACGGCGTTCACACTAGTGGGATTTACCTGAAATGGAAACTCAAACTGTGTCAGTGACCGATTGTTGGCGTCTTTGTCGCGCAGACGAATTTTTTAAAAATCGCCAGGTTTTGACTCTTTTTTCAAGTTTTTTGAATTTTTCTCAAATTTTAACAAAAACGTGCAGCGACCACGTTTTTTGCAAGGCTTTTTTCTATCGAAAAAGCTTTACTATAATTCAATCGGATAAGTATTCAGAGGTCCGTAGTTTTTTAAAGATTGAACTGTAGAAATATTCACATTTCTTTTTTTCTGTTTTTTCACTCTCTCTTTTGTTAATATCATTTATTGTTATATTATATGATTTGATTTACACGGTTATGTTTGGCAAAACTTGGGAAAACATTTCATAGTTGTTTATTTTTTATTTTTTTGCAAATTTTAAATGTAAATAATGTGTCATTTCGGCGGAGAAGTCGCAACAGAATCTCTATAATTTTTTGTTGTTTTTTTTAAATTTTGTTAGTTCTTACGTTAATTTACCGTTTTCAGCTTTTTTTAGTTATTTATCTCTCTCGCGTCTTTATCTACTAGCATTGAATTCATTTATTGAATTCAGATAAACACTCCATCTCGAAAATCAAAAGCTGGCGGAGTGATGAAACGATATCACGGGCAATTCGCTTTTCGAGATTTTTTTAAACTTACGAATTACTCCAAAAGATCAATGGAATGACGTCCTCAACTCAAAAATGTATTTTTTTAGTCATTTGTGTTGTATAACATCAAATTGTTCTTTTCAAGAAGCTGCCTAATGAAATCGATAAAGAGAATCTTGTTAAATGAATTTGTTGATTATCCATTTGTTTCCAAATTGATAAGTGTATTTTTTTCCCTATTAGTTTTACAATTTTCCAATTATAAAAATCAAACTTCAGACATTCGTATGGATATCTTTCTGAGTTGAGTTCAACATAAATTTCTTCTAACCCACAATTATCAAACTTTGCAGCATTCAGATAATTGTTATCTCTTTTGAAAAGCGATTACAAGGTATTTTATTTTATCATATTTTGTTCCAAGTTTCCAAGTAAATTCACGATTACCATTAGGAATATTACAGGGTGGCCCAAAATTATGGAAACACAAGTTTGAAGCCTTGTGGCAGATGCTGGCGCATTTTTCGCACACCAATTTTATTATTTAATTTTTAGCATTTTTTAATTACCCTTTTCCCAAATTTTCTAGTTCTTAGCGTCATTTTTACTGGAATGATAGCCAATTCAAAACACCGAGGTACCATTATCGAATGGCGACGTAAGGAAAGAGCGACAGTTGCATTGCAAAAGCTCTCGGAATCTCTCGATCAACAATTTGTAAAACCGTAAAACGATACAAGGAGCTTAACACACATGAAAACCGTCCGAGAAGCGGAAAACCTCGCAGTTCTATCACTCCGGAGAGGATCAAGGTCGCCCGAGAAGGAATTCGTCGAAATCCGCACCGAAGCATGAGAAAGATGAGCTGGGACATCAGTATGAGCAAATCTTCGATGGAGCGCATGCTGAAAAAGAAGCTTGGACTGACCCCGTATCGTGTTCGAATAGCGGCCGTTTTATCTGAAAAGAACAAAGTAGCCCGAATGCAAAAGTGCGAATCTCGTCTTGCTGGCACGAAATTAAAATTTGAAGACGCTGTTTACGGACGAGAAGCTCTTCACCGTGGAGGCTGAATTCAACTCGCAAAATCAATCATCGGTCGGGTGCTTACAGGGGACACAGACGAAGCCAATAAGCACGGAAGACCGATCAACAGAATGTCTCATCCTCAACAAGTCATGATTTTTGGGGTGATCACGTCTGATGAGAAGATTTCGCTTGTTTTTGTGGATCCCGGAGTCAAAATCAACCGGGAATACTACTTAGAAGAAATTCTAACAAGAAACACGTGCTTCCACGGACCCAAACACACTTTCGAAACCAAGTTTGGACATTCCAACAGGACTCTGCACCGACTCACAAAGCAAAAGTCGTAAAATCCCAATGGGCCGCAAATTTTGCTGGTTTATTTCTTGTTCAGAATGACCAGCGTCGGATTTGAATGGGCCAAACTATCTCCAGAATACTTCCGTGCCACAGTCGAGGCATTCCCGACGAAACTCAAGGTAGTAATGAAGAACGAAGGAAATCGAATCGAGTAATGTTGATGCATTTTTGTTTATAATTGATTCAATAAACTAATTGAGAATTTTCAAGTTGATTCGATCATTTTTTAAAAAGCTACATCACTTTGAATGTGTTTCCATAATTTTGGGACACCCTGTAGAACACCCATGCAATAAAAAATTGCAGTGGGGGTACTGTAACTTACGCACGCCGACAAATTGTCTCATGGGTCTCGCAGAGTTCTTCATTATTTGATTACAGTACCCACTGGATTTTTCCGCATCGCTGTATTTTGACAAATGCGAAACTTTTTTAATAATTGTTTTGTTGGACCAAAATGTCCATTGAAATCTGTGCAACCGCTTATAAGGCTTCATTTTGCAATTTTTTTCAACCATTCGGATTTCAGAATCCTGAAATTTCAGCACTGTTGAAATTCGAATTTGAATTGCGATGGTCCACAATTATAGCTCGATTATTATTATTATTATTATTTTGTAATGTTAATTGATAATTCGCCAAAATAAAATGAATAGCTAATGTACCGCAATAGTGGTCCATCATCGGTGGGACCACGAAAATCTTATAGTAGAAAAATTGTCGAGAAAAATAATATCTTGGCGCGTTTCCCCCGAACCGAAGAAAACTAGCTACCACCAGATTTTTTCGCTGCGGGACCAATGAAGCAAGCCGCACGCGAACCGCAACGCGTCTGACGACATTGAAAAATTGTTTTATGTTTTTTCATAAATAGTTAAAATCGATAGGAAATATGGAAAAGTGAAAAAAAAAAGATTTTTAATTGTTCTCCAATTTTTCACGATCGCTTCCCGTCAATAATTCAATCAATAATGGCTCTTGGGCAAAATCGATTTCATTTATCTAAAAAAAATTTTTTTGAGAAGCCATGAAAAATGGAATACCTTGCTATTGATGAGAAAGAGATCATCAACGAAATTCTGGAAAAGAAAAAAATTTTTTTTTTTCAAATTTTCAACGAAACAAAAAAACCGGTGTCTTGGCGCGAGTTTTTCCGAATTTTTCCACACTTTCGTACGCTGCCGTCAATTCGTCTCGGATTTTTCGAAATTCGTCTCCTTGTGGAACACGATCGATGGCAATTTTTAAGATTTGCTCAAGATTTGAAAGTAGGGTAGTCAATTGGTTGAATTTCGACGCTCTTTTTTCAAGATCGGGATCCTGAAAATCCGATCCATTCATTCCAAAATCATTTTTTTTTCGATTTACACAAAAGCTCATCATGAGATTCGATAATGGCGAGGCCACCAATTGCACCTCTCGAATTTTGCCGTTAAGCTCTTTAACGCGACTCGCATGTTCGTGTAGTGCCTGGAAAAAAACTTTAAAGGCGCGATGCGCCTTTAAAAATAATTTACCGCATATTTTGAAAGTTCCTCACTACAATTTGCTTGCATTGTCTCGAATTTTTTCTGTGCCGCTTCCACCTTAAAATTGACGATTTTTTGGTAGATCAAGACCGCCAACTTTCAATTTTCTGGATTGTCCAAATTTGGGTCCCGCATGGAAAACCGTGATGGCGAAATGCCAATAAAAAAACCTCGAAAAAAAAAATATTCGAAAAAAAAATTCGAAAAAAATAGAGGAATTCAGAAAATGAGCGCATTATTAGGCAATTAAATAATAATCATGATTTTAATTTGAAAAAAATGTATTTAAAGGGGGGTAACCTTTAAAAATTTTTTTTTTAAATATCAACGAAACTAGGAGAAAAATCGGAAAAAATTTCACGTGAAGTTGTCTTTGAAAATCGATGAAAACGATATGTACGTGTATTGTCGTCAAATAGAATGCACAAGTCCGCAATGGTGTGAATTTCACCGAATTTTTTGAAATTCCTTGCCAATTTTTCATTAGCACTCAACAATGTGCAGAAAATCACAAGTTTTGAAATAGTCGTCAGATAAAATGCATTCGGTGTAAACACGGAATTTCAATTTTTGATTTTTTGCCTCAGACACGAATCTGCGAATCCGAGTCTGTGTGATAATGCATAGTATACAATTTCGAAATGAACAGCTGAAAATGACATTGCGGACTTGTGCATTTTATTTGACGACAATACACACATTATTGATTTTTAATTTAGTTTGTGTCAGATTTAAAGGGACCCCCCCCCTATTGCCGGTTTAACAAGACAAATCTCACCTCTCTTCGATTGTTCGCATCGAATTCACGGATTCGATCCGGCCGAATCCCGCGCCTAGAAGGATTCGACCACATGAATAACTGAAGTGGAGGAATTCAATTTGATGAACCAAACAATTTTAGTTTTTCTTTTTCTGTCATTAGCAATACGCGTTGACAGATATTTTATCAATTACGAGGCAATCGACGAGCAGAGAGAAACCAGGGTGTCTGTCGATTTGCAATATTGGCAAAGTCGGCGAGAATCTCAATAAAAACGACCAAAACCGTGATTTGGGGAATGTCGTCGAACGCGTTGCGGTTCGCGTGCGGTCTCATTATTCTTTTTTGGTCTAGTAAATCGAAAAACCAATTGGGCGAAAAAACGTTGACAATCTGATGTCGAATTTTGGCAATTCTGAAGCCGCGATATGTACCTTTAATTTTCCACTATGCTCCTTGAATTTTCTACAAAAATCTATGTGCCTTTAATTTTCTACACTAATCCTTTAATCGAAAATCTAGAGTCGAGAATGTTTAAAGGCGCATCAAAAACCTCCACTACATAAATAATGTTACGATTTATTAACAACTGGTCCGTTTTGAATATAAGGAGCCTCGGGATGATGGAATTGCGGAATCCGATCGCATTGGGTCCCTGGTGTTCCGGGATACGGTGGCGGTGGCGGCATTTCGATGGGCGGACCCAACACCAATGGAGGTTCCACAATTATCGGTGGATCAATCGGCTCGACGTACATTGGATCTACAAGGAATGCAAAAAATTTTGGGTTTTTGGGAGGTGACGAAGAAAAACAACGAATGCAACCTGAGGACCATCGGCTGGCAAACATGAGGAGGCCGACGATGGCGAGAAGGACCAGCAGCCCGCAGGCACTGTAGACACCCCACTGGAAATCGAATTGGTGTGGGTGGCGGGTCGTCATCATTGCGAACTTGCCATTGGCACAACGCCGACATGATAATAGGGATGATACCAAGCATAGTGCGGATGGAATCCGCCGTAGTAAAATCCATGATAGCCGACGCCGTAATAGTAGGGTCGGCGGTGGTAGGCGACGCGGTAGGGTTGATAGCCGCCGACGCGGTAGCCGCGATAGCCGCCGTAGCCGCGTCCGCGCAATACTGGCATCGGGTGGGAAATGGGAAATTGAAAATGATTGAGAGATTTCGCGTGAACCGCGATTTTGATTATATCGAGCACGCGCGTGGATTACTGTCGATTTTTAAAGGCACATTGCAATGGCCATAAGCCATTTTCGATTTTTCACAATTTTAGCGGGTTTCCATGATGACCAAATTCGTCTAGAAATCTGGCTTCTCGATATAATTAACAATTTTAATCACTAATTATTTTTGTTTTTTTTGGTCCCATACGACGCATGCTGACTCGCGACACCCGTGGGAGGACGAGGGTCCCGATTTATATTCAAATTTACGCAATCTTCTTTGGTCGCCAAATGAATCTGCGGACATGCAACGAGGTTTCGTTTTTGAAAATTTTGAAACCAAAAAGTAAAATATCCATTTTTAGATGACTCAATTTTATTTTTCTTTTATATTTTCTAAAAATGTGCTGAGGTATGGCAAACAATTTTATATTTCTTGAAATCTTCAATATTTCGAAAATGTCGACAAATTTATTTTGAACAAAAAAATTTTTTATTGGTATTGCGAAAGAGATGCAAATTTTTGGTATTTATCATCCGTTAGATCATAGTTTTCAAGCATAGGTGGTCTTGAAGGGAAGATGCATTTCTTTGGCAACGATCCAATTAATCATCAAAATTGAACTCATCGATTGGTTTAAAATTGAGGCGAAGCCCGGTGGCGCCATCGACGGGCGTCAAAATGCTGACGCCGCTCGCGTTTCGCATTTCCGCGTACGGCAATTCTTTGAGACATCTGAAGCCATTCTTGGCGAGCAACATTTGATTCGCGTGGCTGCTCGTTTCCGATATCACGCCGCCAATATTGAATTGTTTGAGTTTGTCGGCCGTCAAATTCGCCGTCACCATTTTGGTGGCGATGCCGTTTCGTTGATACGGCGTTCCCACCGATGAGATTTCTCTGAAAGTCGTTTTAAGATGTCTTGAAGAGAGAAATTAATTTTCAGATTTTTTGAATTTCGATTTATGTGTTGCACGCGCTTGGCTCGATCACCCCTCTCAACACCAGAGTTTAGCGCAAGGTTGGGCGTGCTGAGATCACAGGCAAAACGCGACGGATGAAGTCCGGGCGAAGTCCGGATATTTGAACGTCACGGCTAAAAAACGGGCCAAGTACGGACCAAAAATTTCTTTGAAAAACGCCGCGGTAAAAAAACGGACAAAGTCCGGAGATTTATAGGCCACGTTTTTAAAACGTGTTAATTACGGATCTTGATTTTCAGGATAAAACGCCACGGCTAAAAAACGGGCCAAGTACGGACCAAAAATTTCTTTGAAAGGCATCACGGACAAAAAACGGACAAAGTCCGGAGATTTATTGGCCACGTTTTTAAAACGTGTTAATTACGGATCTTGATTTTCAGTATGAAACGCCACGGCTAAAAAACGGATTAAGTACGGACGAAATATTTCTTTGAAAGGCATCACAGACAAAAAACGGACCAATTACGTGACAATTTTTTTCGAGTGAAAATGTCACCGACAAACAAAGGACTATTTACTGATCGACACTACGATTTCAGTCATGGGACGGTCATATCGAAGATTTCTACCATCTTTACCAACAAAAAGTATGTTAAAATTGCATAACTATTTGCTATACTCTCTTTTACTACAATAGGATCAAGAGAAGTATCTTCTTCAAGTGAAGAAAACTTATCTGAACCGATTGATGTTCAACTTTCTGAGTCGCTCAATATAGACATCGATGAAGAGGAAGAAATGTTTCAATGGGATGTGAATTGTGACGAAGTTGAGGAAAACGATGTTGAGGAAAACGATGTTGAGGAAAACGATGTTGAGGAAAACGATGAGAAATCTTCAGAAGATTGTCCCCACAGCGGTAGGTAATTTGTCTTAATACTAATCGCCATTTTCGAATAGACTTGGCAAAATGGTTCGCAAAATGGTATAGACGTTGGGCACTTTTTATCTATTGTTTGGGTTTTCAGTTGTGGAACTATAATTAAATATGTTAGAATTGGAGGAATTCAGCAACTCTCGGAGATAGTGGAGGAGTACTGGACAGATATTCATCGGATAAGAAGCGAAATAAAAAATGGGACAAACAAGCATCACAATCTGAATGGAGAGTATGTTTCAAAAGTGTCCCAGATGGATACGGACACGGAACTTCATTTTTCAATTATTGGTAGTATTGACGGTGTGTCATTGACTGGCAATACGAAGTAACAATTTTAAAAGTTGTCATTATAAATGAACAATTTAGGAAAAAGCTGTGGCCGGTAACGTTCATGCTTATCGACATACCAACAGGCGAGATGCAAAAGGCTCAAAAGGCTTTGTAATTTATTCGGCCGCTTCGTCAACGAAACGAACGAAATATCCCAAAATACCGGACAAGTTCTTCGAAATTCTTGGAAGTAAGTAGATTTGAAGTAACATTGACCGGCTAAAAACTTGCGCCTAGTCCATATTGGCCAATGAGAAATTGAATGGTAAAAACTATGCTTTTTTTCAGAAATATTACACCGAGGCTTCGATATAAAAAGTGAAGGGTGGGAAGAAACCGTCGTCGTTTCTCATATACGAGAAATGACAAGAAACTTCATGTAAGTGAGCAACGCGAATGTTATATATATGCTATATACTGTGTTTCAGCGATGATAAACGACGCGGAAAAACCGCCAAAATCGAAGAGTTAATGGAAATGTTCCAATCCAGGTAGAACACGCGTGTGCAAATGGAATGTGCAAATATTTTTTTTTGTTTTTAGAATTATTTTTGTTCTAGTAATTCGATTCGAATCGAATACAACAAATTTCGGATACAAACTTGATCGAAAATTAAGTTTGAAATTTGTGGTACTCGATTACTCTTTGGAAAAACCCGAATGTACTCGTATTTGGTGCGAAACTCGGTGTATTCATTTCGAATTTTAATGTATTTGATTGTGAAACAAAAAATTGACTCTTTCGTATCGAATACGAATTAATCATTTTACAATCGAATACGATTAAATTCAAAACGAATATAGCGATTGCGATTCGTAAATAATTTTTTTTTCGATTTTTCTTAAATAAAACTTTTATAATAATGCTGTCTATATGATTTCAATTTTAATTTTGATTATTATACGAACGGAAGAAAAAAAAGCATGTGAAAAACGCCACCGGGCGAATCACGGTCCGTTCCCGGATACGCTAAGACGTCCGTGTCCGGTACGTCAGCGACACGCTGGAACGGTCAATAACGGACCGTGATTCGCCCGGATTTCATCCGTCGCGTTTTGCCTGTGATGGCCGATAGGGAGTAATCTATGTCTCACACGCCTTTTGGTGCAGGTTCGACCCCTCTTGCATTCAAAACTTTTTTACCGATTCTTTTTCACTCTAAAAATCCAATTGATCAACGTTTGTGGCGAAAACCCGCACGATTAATAAAAAAAATCCACATTTTTGCCCATCTTTTCCTTCATTCATGAATTTTTGGAAGAGAAAATTGCGGCAGAAAAAAAAACGGTGATACCTGTGAAGGACAGCCTCGACGTTGGACGGCACTAAATTCCAGAGATCCTCATGCGCCCGATTGACGAATCGCACAAACGCCAACATGTTTTCGGACGGTTGCTCGCCGTTGTCGAAATCGCCGCTGCTCGCCGCGTCGTCGGTTCGCCGCCACACCGAATTGAGCATGACGGCGACGATGACGCCGTTCGGCATTCGCACGACGGTGCTGACCGGAAATCGGAGGCAACGCTCGACGATGCCCTCGAACAATGGACGGACTTCATCTTTGGTGAATTTGAGAGCCTGCAATTTTCAACGGAATCGCCGTATGTCGTCAGACGCGTTGCGGTCCGCGAGCGGTCAAATTATATTCATTGGAAATGTTTTTCAATCAATTTGAAATATGACATGCTGTTTCAGCAATTTTATTAAAATTCAGCGATGGTCGAAAAATATTATTATCTATGTAATATGTGTTTTGCGTCATTTGGAAAGATCATTGGGTTCAAAAAATGCCAACCTTGGTGCACGGCTCATCCTTGTAGAAATAGGTGAGAAGAAATTCGAGAATGTCGGAATGGTCCTCTTTGGTTGCCACACGATATTCCAAATTGTCAAGCATCATGATTCAAATTAATAAACGAATGAGAATTGGGTGAAACAATCGACTTTACCACCCTTCGTCTTATCATCAATTTCTGCGTTGAAACAAAACTCGTTTAGTCATGATCGTAGTTCATTCAGAAATCGGAGTTTGTAGTCGGACGTATTTGGAAAAATGATGATTTTTCAACGATTGACTGACATTCTGCAGTCGGTTATTTCGGTCGTTGCGAGACCCTGAACCGAAAAAAATTCGCTGAATTGAAAATAATAGATTCGCGTTTGATTTTTTCGCGATTTTTCTTTCGACAAAAAATTTACATATAGTCGAAGTCAAACGACTTGACGAAATTTAAAAAATCCATTGGCTATGTGCCAATGGGTCAGCGAGTCTGCGTACATTGCATTATAGTGTACGCGCATTTGATACTCAGTCAACGAAAAATTTAAATCTACAATGAATTCGCAGGCCCGCCTCTCTTCAATCATTTGACGCCGACAATATAAGCTTGCAAAAATCGTGGCCGAGTGTGGGGCATTGAACTCGCGTAGGCAAAAGTATGAAAATCCGCGCAACTTGGCACTACACCATTGACAACCACAAAGCTAGAGGTGAGAATGGCGTATAGGAAAGTCTTCAGCCGATATTTACTTACCCAATTCGAAATTGTTAAAATTTTAGTAATATGATGTGAGCACAATTCGATCATTTCTTCACCGACACGCCTGATTTAAAGAGAGCCGTATAGAGAAAAAATACACATATATAAATTAATATATTTATTTATAATTTATTAGCGCTTGGGACCATTAAAAACAAGATAAATGTATTCAGCACTTTCGATTCAATTCAATAATGCGGTTGTCGGCGGTTTTAGAATACAATTCAATTGTGAACTCGAGTATCCGCAGATGAAAAATGATATGTACATTTGTGTATAAAAGTTGAACATTGTGCGAAAAATTCTTTCAGATTATTATAGCGAATAATGTGGGATGCTAAAACGAATTTGGTATGAAAATTTGGCGATGATATGTTTTGTTGGAAATTTCCAAAAATTCCAGAAGAACATTATCGTATTCCTAAATACCAAAAATGGGTATGGCGAGAAATTGGCGGACATCGCCGGGAAGCTGCTCAACGAGATGGCGAGAGCCGATCAAATCGTCCAGCTTCCATTCTTCCATTGCCATATGTGCTCGCCGATGGTGGGTTCTTGAAAAATGGGTTTGGAAAATTTGTCGATATCATCACAGGATCGATACGAATTGACATACACGATAGCGAAATTGATGACGATTTCGAAAAATCACGCGGACATGCGCGAGTTGTTCAGCGAAATTCTCGAACGCCTTCACGATGAGCCGATATTCATCGGCGAAATTGAGCTATGGGTCCGATTTGCATTTTTTTTTGAGCACAACAATCGTCGGTGTTTCAGAAGGAGCTGATCGAGGAGCTGACGACGGTGATGGAACGCATTTCTAAATAAATGACCCCCATCTCAAATTTTTGTTTAAAGGCGCAGACAACAATTGTACCTCGATAATTCTACAATAAACCAAATTTATAGTAATATGTACATATATTTAATCCGCTCATCGCGATTCTTGCAATTGCGCGATGCTCGGAATTCGATTCGGCGAGATCTCATCAATCAGTCGTATCATCTCATCAAACGTCGAATTGATATGCATATCAGTGGTCTTCAAGAAAATTGAATTTTTACAATAATTAGCCTAATTGTCGATTTACGAGCAATGCGCCTTGAATTCATTGGAATTGCCTAGTGCTCGTAAAGCTTCTTCTAAAAACGAGAATACCTTGAACTTGACGATGACGATTTTCAGGCTCTCACAATTGCTGACAATTTCACGAATTGAATTCTGCAATTCGAAAATTGGTCCAAGAAAGAAAGACACCCATCTGCGTACCATTAATTTCGGAATCATCGAATTGTCGGGATTCTGATCGCGAAGCGTTCGAAGCTTCTCATACTCATCTTGCATCTCATAATGAGCACCGTCCACCGTTCTCAGCAAATTCTCAATTTCCGATTGCAATAATTTCTCAATGATGTCTGAATAGCATTCTTCCGGCGGTCTGACGAACCTCCGAATGTTGTTCGTCGAGTTCCGCACACGTTCAAGAATTTCCCTCAAAATTCACGGCTCTGAGAAAATCCACAAAAGGAAATACCTCAATTGATGAATATGGTCCTTCCAGATGCGCTTCTTCTGCTCCAAATCCATTCTGATCATTATCATCCGTCGGATCTCGTTCAGACTCGCCTCGAGTCTTCTCGCATTCTCAGCCCTCTCGCGCTCGAATCTCATCTGAAATCGCCATCGACATCCTATACGATTGCCAGATTTCCTACCGATGCTTGTTGGCGCTCCTCGTCGATGTCGCTCATTCTCGCCCGATGCGCTTCTTCGGCGTCGCGTTCTCGTCTGAATTTAAAGGCGCATGACAACGAGGGCGTGACGAGAGACAAGATGGGAACCTCGCGTACTCCTCTCGATTCCTCTTCATCTCCTCATCGAGCGCTTCCAATCGACAACGACTATTCTCATTAAGCTCACGCCGTCGCTCTTGTTCTCGTCGCGTGATTTCCTCGATTTCTCGATTCATCCTCTCCGAATCCAATCGCGTCTCCTCAACCATCCTCTTGTATTTCTAAAAATTGAATTCGTTTCAGAATAATTTTTTCAGACCATACATCGCAATTCGCTTTCGACTTCTCAATGAATTCTTGAACTTTTGGATCGGTCGCGACGTCTTCAAAAATCAAGAATAATTGTGTTTCAAAAAATGGCAAAAAAAAACATTTTTTTAAATTTTTTTTCCCCTAGTAGGTATGAAATATTAATTACTCAAAGTATCCATGATTCCCTGCTTCTCCTTCGCCAAATTGGATGACCTCATGGCTTCATAATTCGCCGCATCCGCGAAAAACCTGCCACTGAATTGTAAATTTTGGAAAAAATTTAGCTTTTACTCACTGATACGGTGCTTCTGATAGTGGTTTTCCGGTGAAAATGTCGCTAAAAATTAAAAAAAAAAAATTCGGACATATCGTTTTCATTGATTTTGGCATTTAAAAATGAAAAAAATGGTCACTTTTTTGCCTTTTTTTACTGGAAAAAAATAAGAATTTCAAAACTTACTCGTTTCGCCTAATAAATTGACTCCGTGGGTGATCAATAATCTCACGATAGCTCAGATCTTCATTCTGATCCGAAGCGAATCTCTGATTCGCCTCAGCTGCTTCTTGTTGCTCTCGTTGTGATCTGCGGATCTCTTCGTTCCAAGCCTTTTGAGCTTCTCGTTGTCTTCTTCAAAAATGTTACATTCGGACCACTAGACTCCGCCCATTTTCCGATTCAATTGGCTGGAGTTGAGAGCGAAATTCAATAAAGAAACAAGCCCCCCAAATTTGGAAAAAAATGAAAAATTCAAATGGGATGTAAGGTACGTGATTTCGAGTCGCGGTGTTTGCACACATTCAATTTCAAAATTTTCTTGTATTTTTCCGAAATGATTTCAAAATTTGCCGAGTATCGGCGTGCGCCTTTAATTTCCATGTGGTCCAAACCTTTTCGGCTCCTCCACATAATTGATGGTGCTGAAAATCGGCTAGAATTGAAGTTTGACAATCAAAACTCACTTTTTCTCATTTTTAAACCATGAGTTCTTCAAAATTTCCTTCTGCAAAAAAAAGCGAGTTTTGAAAATTCGAAAAAACCGACCCATAATTTTTTTTCCTTCTTCGTCATTTTCAAACTCGACAATCTCATGCGCACATTTTCAATGAATCGTCGACAATTCGAATCCAAATCGGATTTTGCAATTCCATCCAATAAATCCAACAATTTTTCGCGTCTCTGAAAATTTTCGAGCTACCCTCCATCGTTTTCAGTTACCGATTTTCGAAAAGAAAAGCCCGATCGCTTTTTGTTTTTCGGCGGCTTCTCGCATTCACTCAAAAGATTTTTCAGGTTTTCAGCAATTCTCGAATTTTCACATATTTTCACCAAATCATCAAGATATTCAATAATATATCGATTCTGAGAAAATGGAAAAAAATTTGATTGGGTTTCGAATTTCAACGACTACTTACTTCTTCAAAATTCGCCGACATTTGTTTTTTTTTTCTAAAAGAAGACAAAATGAAATCGATAGCAATCGTTACAAATGGAAGAAAAAAAAATTTTTGTTATCAGTAAATCGAATTTGACAACGAGTTTCGCCGTATTGCTAATGAAAATCATGGGTTGTTCGATTCAATCGCAAAAATTTGATTGCCAAAAAAAATATATCACCTTGACTTCATCTTTTTTCCTATTTCATTTGAAATCAGAAAAATCGATTTTTGAATTGCCGCCAAAATGGTGGATTTTGGTCTTTGATTTTGATCATTGGTTTGATGAAAAGACAATCAAGATATTTGCTCGAAAATTACCATCAAAATTTTGAATGGTGTTTGAATTGCCGCCAAAATGGTGGAGATTTTTTTGACGAATTTTCTTGGTCTTTGATCTTGATTAATCGGAAATCCAGTTGGTTCGTGGCGAGACCAACAGAAAGACGCATCGCCGTAAATCCGCACCAATTGAATTTCATAGAAAATTATGCCCTCCTGTAAGAGATTTTTTTCCCCTACGAGACCCAAGGCGGCAATTCAAATGCTACAGTAATCGCACCATCGACAGTATACCTTTTTTCATCGCATGAAAAAAGCACAATCGAAACTTTTGAAATACCATATTTTTTTTCTAGATACTCGAGTTCACAATTGAATTGTATTCTAAAACCGCCGACAACCGCATTATTGAATTGAATCGAAAGTGCTGAATACATTTATCTTGTTTTTAATGGTCCCAAGCGCTAATAAATTATAAATAAATATATTAATTTATATATGTGTATTTTTTCTCTATACGGCTCTCTTTAAATCAGGCGTGTCGGTGAAGAAATGATCGAATTGTGCTCACATCATATTACTAAAATTTTAACAATTTCGAATTGGGTAAGTAAATATCGGCTGAAGACTTTCCTATACGCCATTCTCACCTCTAGCTCTGTGGTTGTCAATGGTGTAGTGCCAAGTTGCGCGGATTTTCATACTTTTGCCTACGCGAGTTCAATGCCCCACACTCGGCCACGATTTTTGCAAGCTTATATTGTCGGCGTCAAATGATTGAAGAGAGGCGGGCCTGCGAATTCATTGTAGATTTAAATTTTTCGTTGACTGAGTATCAAATGCGCGTACACTATAATGCAATGTACGCAGACTCGCTGACCCATTGGCACAACGCGTCGCGTTTTCTTTGATATTGAAATTCTCGATGAATTGCTCGCTGTGCATATAGTCGAAGTCGGTTTCGACGAACACCAATTTCAGTGTGTGAATGAGTTCGGGAATGAATTGGCCAAGTGCGGACACCAGCTGAAAAATCCATTTTTACAAAAATTCAAATCGCAACCAAAAAAAATCAAAACCTTGACAGGTGTATACCAAAAATCATCGCCGATGATCTTGTTGATTGGCCTGGGAGCCCCTTCTAGAAGACTCTAGAATATTCTCAATGCCCTCCCTTTTTTGGGTGATTTCAAACCCGATATTCCGGCTCGGTTAGTTTGAACATTATCGGATACGGCGGCTCATCGAATGTTGGTGTTGAAGCGCGAATGAAGCAAATCAGAATCAGAAGAAGCTGAATCATCACGACGGCAATTTTTTGGGAAGCTAATTATAGGTGAAATTTGCATTTTTTTTTTTGAAAATTATTTAATTATATTGTGAATTTCAGGCGACTAATCGAAATTCAAATTCAAAAAATATCATATATGGGAATTACCTTTAAAATCAAGAATACTGTAGATTTTATAGTAGGTGCTAAAAATCAAATTTGTTCATTTTTCTCGGTATTCCGGCTTTTCATGGAATTTGAAAAACTAAAAATTGACTGAAACTGCTAAAACCCGAAAAGCGGATTTTTGAAATTGGCAAAAAAAATATAGGTGCGACTGTGGAATGTTTGGACCTGCATAACTCGTGTTTGGTTTTGGGCACATATTCTATTTTGGAGGACTCTTAAAAATCTGCTCTACGATTAAAATCGCATATGGGCTCCAATCCTCTCACTAGGTCTTCAATTAAAGATCCCCCAAACACAAAATTCAAACTATGGGCTCCTCAACTCACGATCATACTTTGTTCCTTCCAATTCTTATCGTCATTGAAATAAAATGATTGCTTTCATTTTTTCACGTCCAAATGTTAATTTTCAGGATTCGATTGGTAATTTTATGGATTAGATTGTAAAATTGTCGGATTGGAAATTATTCGAATCCGTTTCATTTTAATCTTTCAATTCGGATCGGATCAGAACAAATTTTCAATCGGACCCGAAAATTTTACAATCTAATCCCTAGAATTACTAATCTGATCGGGTTGATTCCGGAGCCGAAGTTTGTCGGGTCCGATTGAGTTACCAGAGATCCGGACATTTTCCTTGGTCATGGATTGTGTTAAAACCAATCAATAAGCAACTAAAAGTTCAAATTTTTTTTTTTTGAAAAATCCATTGGTTTTCCAATTTTTGATTTCTACCAACATCTTCATTTTTGTACAATTTACGAAACCCCAAAGGTCCGCAAATACCTAATTAGGGACCATCATGTTTGGTGTGGTTCTGCCACATAAGATTTTCATTTTCTTTTGTCAGCACATTTAAACTTGTATTTTTTTATTGTACATGGAAAAATTCAACAAAAAAAAGATGATAGCATTTATTGAGTGGCTTCCTTGGCGACAGTAATCTGCTCAAAATTGGTCCATGGCTGCGACCAAAGGCTCACATCATAGACCTGAACAAAATGGTCCCAATGACGTCTTGGCCTCATTCCTATCTCACCACCGTATTGCCATTCCCATTATAGGCGCATTGGTTTCGATCAAGATTCTCCGATCGCAAACAGTCCGATTGTCCGTAGATCACTTTGAGTCGATACATGATTCCCGAGACGACTTGGCTCGTCGCCGACGTCACCTGCAATTTTTTTTGGGTTCACAATTCCTCAAATTATATAATATTATAATGCAACCTTGACCGGCACGTAATAATAATTTTCATTGATTTCGGCGTTGACGTTTGGTGTCGCTTTCCAGGCGACGTTCTGCAAATTTCGACAGTGACGACAAAAATTTCTAGAACGTCTGAAATTCAGACGAGCGGTGTTTAAAGGCGCATATAATAGAATTGGGGAGGGGGGGGGGCTCTTGTGAAGGTGCTATATTTTAGCCTATACCTGAATTTCCTCATCGTCTGGATTGGTGGCAATCGGTCCTCCTGGAATTCCAGCAGCGATCGTCAAATCGACAATTAGCACAAAGACGAATAGTTTGAACATCTCTGATGATTGTTTCCTCGAACTTTCTTATAAAGGCTCGTTTTGGGCGGTTTTAATTAAATATTGCTTTTTTTGATGACTAAGCGTTGTGAGTGTGGCAACACGGAAACGAACAGACCAACAAAAAATAAACAAAAGCAAAAATCGATTAGAATAAAACAATCACGGAGACCAAATAGGCAACATCAACGAGGTCAAACAGCGACCGAGGTCAAAGAGCGACCAGGAGATACATATACATGACCCTTATCAATGGCACACGCTCACCCCCTATTTAAGCGATGCTCGGGAGGTGAACGGAGAGGTAGGAATCCTATGACCCCACTGAATTATGGTGCTCATTCTTTTGTTCGTTTATAAACTTTTATTTGTTGATTATTGGTTTTAATCACAAAACCATGAACAAGGAATGGAGCCGGGAATACGGACCGCACGGCCAAAGTCCGGACCCTCAATTCCCGCACTTTATCAAAATTGATCGAGGGAAACCAGTTTCTTTGAGCTGGCAAATCAATATTGACTCAGGGAAGCCTTAAGCACTCTGCATGCGTTTTTTCATATCAATCTTCTATTATTCAGAATTTTTAAAAATATCTGAATCAAAATTTTAGAAAAATCTGAACGGCTATAATTTTATGAAGAATGTCGTCGATTTTTTATTATTTTAAGATACATAATCCAGTTTTTTGTTTCCAAGAAGGCTTAATGGAAATACTCGATTCTAGCAATGTTTGAGACTCGAAGATTTTCGAGAAATGTGTACCTTCGAGCCTCAAATCGCGGACCACAAGTCGACTATGATTCGGAACTATCCTGAAGGTTCAGAACGAGCTGGATCTTAAGTGATCGGCTTGAAACCGTGTCAGGACTCCAATGTCAAGCTAACAGTGTTCAAAAAAAGTTTTAAGCTCATGAATTGAAATAAATGAAAATTAGTCGTCGCGTCGGCGTCTCTCCACAACGATCTTATACGGTTTGGTGTGCATAGATCCAAGTTGATCGTGATCCACGCAAGGCACGCCCTCTTTGGTGGGCCGTATGTGATAGCGATTCAGGAAGTTGGCCACGAACAGGAACAACTCCATTCGAGCCATTCCCTCGCCGAGGCATTGTCGTTTGCCGACCGAGAATGGCACGAGCTCGTCGATTTTCCTCAGTTTGCCGTTCGCGATGAATCGATCCGGATTGAACGCGTCGGGATTCTTGAACACGCGCTCATCAAGCATTGCCGTACTGATTTGCGCGACGACTCCCGTGCCCTTCGGAATACTGTAGCCATTGATTACGGTATCCTTGGTGGTCATGTGAAGAAGATTGAGTGGGACCACGTTGGCGCATCGTTGGCATTCCTAGGGACCATTGAAATGTGATGAAGGTGCAAGAAGCCACTTACATTGATGAACGCGTTCATGTAGGGAAGGTTATTCTTATCGTCCATTGTGATCAGACGATCCCCTTGGATCACGCGATCCATCTCCTCATGGACCTTGGCAACGAATTGCGGATAGTTGAGGACATAGGCGAAGCACCATTGAAGAGTATTCGACATTGTGGTGAGGCCGGCGAACCATAGATCAAGGCACATGTTGAATAGTTGGGTGTTGCTGAACATCGCATCTCCCGTCAAGACCCGAATTAAAGGCGCACCAACCTGTACGTCTCAAAATCGCCGTCCTTCTCGCGTTTGCGTTGCTCCTTCAAATAGGCCTCAACATAATCGGTGGTCTCATCGAGCTCGAAATCGATCTCATTTTTGTGCTGCTCGATTTGGCGTCCGAAGAACTCCGAGAAGCCGACGCGATACTTCTCGAATCGCTCGAGTATCGTCGGTCCCGTCATGAAGCGGCCCGTCCACGGCAACAAGAATTGCATTCGCATTTTGAACGTGTTGAACTCGCCCTTCTGGAAGTCGAAGAATCCGCGAATCGTCTTGAACTCCTCGTGCCGACTCTGAAATATCACGTAACGCTTTGGTGGGATTCGATGACCGACGTACCGCGTCGAATCGATAGCCGAACAGCATCTGATTGATCACATTGCCGACGGCGCGATCCATTTTTTCCTGAAGGGCAAAATACAAAATGGTCGGCTTTCAGGGGGTTCTGGGCTTCAGAAAAAATTTTTTAGATGATTTCATCACCACAAAAAATTTGGCAAAAATTTCAGATATGTCTGAAAAATGGTCTTTTTTACAAAACACCATCTAAGGTCATGATTTAGGATTTTCTTTCCAAATCCAACTAGCTCACCACAATATTGATATCCTCGCCTTGAGAATTGTCGCAAGAATTGAAAATATCCTCAACTTCGATGAGAATCTAGCAAAAACCAAATTGTGGGCTGGGAGACGATTTAAAGGCGCATTCAAACCCTCTGCTGCATTCGCTCTTTGCCATAGCCGAAATCGCGGAATTGATGAAGCGCGAATCGTCGATGCTCGCGCCAGAACATCCCATTCGTCTCGACGACACCATAGCAGCCACCTAGAATGTCGGCAGATCGGAAAATGAAAATGTTGGTGGGGGGAGGCGAACCTCGAAACGATTCTTGAAATGGCATCGGCTTTTTGTCGACGTACGTTTCGCCGTCTCGGATGAACGTCTCTTTGAGCGCCTCATAGCTCGAAACGAGAATGTAGGGACGAGTGCCTTCAATGGACCATATTGAGCTGATCACTGAGCAACGAAAAAAAATAATTACCGAGCCAGAAGGTGTAAATGTCGCCATAGGTTTTTCGCCATTTCACGAACGATCGAAAGCCTGGCGCCGGATTTCGAAGCGCAAGAATATTGCCCAAAAATGGTAGTGGAATGGGTCCTCGAATAAAATTGATTAATTTTTTTTTGCTTCTAGATTTTTGCTAATAGTCAAAAATTATGCTTTTTTATATTATAATATGTAGTTTTAAAGAAAAGCTCAAAATTGTCCAAGAAGAAAAAATTATTTGAATTGCCGCCAAAATATTTTTTGCATTTTTTTCCTATTTTGGAATTTTTAAAATTTGAGGTTCAAAAAATCGAAAAACAATGTAAATTAATGGTAACGCGCGAAAATATGTGCAAACACCGAGACGCAATATCACAGCCAAGATTTAAAAAAATCATTTTATTCGAAATTTTTCTCGAAATTTTAAAAATTGAGTTTCTCATTACTATTGGATTCGTATATTCGATTTTAAATTTTTTCCACACGAGACCCAAGGCGGCAATTCAAATAATGAAAGTCACAAGCAATAATTCTTCTAATATTCCAAAAATTATTAGCTCTATCATCAATTTTCCGATTTTTTTTTAATAACTGACAAAATTCGCTGTAAGACTCAACATTGACTTGAAAGGCGCGTTGCGGTCGCGTCGCGGTTACTGGAAAAATTTTAGATTCTTTGGGGTTTCCCAAATTCATTTTTGCTTTCTCTGAATTCTAAAATTCGACCAATCAATCCTGGGACCAATTTTGAATCGTGCCATTCGATCGAAAAAAAATTTGCGCATTACCTGGCGGCAAATTGCGTCGCTTCCAATACAGATGGTAGACGAGAAAAACGACGAAAACGGCGAGCACGATGAGCAAATTCATGGCGATTTGATCAATTTTCGATGGGTTCGGCGCACGATAACGAATTTCGTCATATTCGGCCGATTGCCGACGTGCAAACGCGAATGGTTCACACACAAATTGGTTGCGTATCAAACATGTGTATGGTTTGGGCATTCATCGAATTCGGGGTCAAGAAGGGAGAGGTGAGGAGATAAGAATCGTTAAAACAAAGATCATTTCGACTTGTTGAATCTATGTGGTCAGCCGCGTTGCGGTCCGCGCGCGGTCTTCTCCACAATTCCAAAAAAGCCTTTAACTGGAATGTTCAAGCAACAAAAAAAAAAGATCGTCAAAATCGATTTCATTTTTATGATCTACCGAGTTCAAGGCTGCCATGTGATCGATCAGCTTGCTGACACAACACAACCCAACAATTATGATAAGAGAAAAATGCACAGAAATTTTATTTTTGACACATTTTATTCATTTTTTCTTTCGCTTTTAACAAAAAATTGTAAGCCTTCTCATTTATGTGTGCCGACGTTTAACGATGGCCTTGAAGACGCGCGGTTTCACCGAAGCGTCGGCGCTTTTATCCAAATTTGGGATTCCTTGACTAGACGGGAAGATCTCAAATCAAGCTTTGCACTTAATTACCCTCGCCGTTTCTAATTACCTTGAATTGATTGAAGATGTTTGCGAGGAACAGAAAGAGCTCCATTCGGGCGAGGCCCTCGCCGAGGCATTGACGTTTTCCGATCGAGAATGGGATGAGCTCATCGATTCGCTTCAGCTTGCCATTCTCGATGAATCGATCCGGATTGAAGGTGAATGGATCGAGGAACACATTCTCATCGAGCATCACCGCGCTGATTTGAGCGATCACACCGGTTCCCTTCTTGATTGGGAACCCTCGAATTACGGTATCCCTTGTGGTCCGGTGTAGAAGATTATTCAGGTACCAACGACACATCATTCGACAACCTACTAATTGCCAATTAGCGATATTCAATTAACCAATGTGATTCTTGATCTATGGTTTGCTGGCCTTCTGACGACATCGAATACGCTCGCATGGGCGCTTGCTTACGCTTTAAACAATCCTGACAAGCTGGAGAAGGTTCAGAAGGAGCTGGACGAGGTGATCTCAAGTGATCGGCTGGTAACCTTGTCCGATAAGAACGATCTACCTTATATGAACGCCTTTATCAATGTAAGATACTCATGAATCCCAGAGGCGACTAGATGAAGCTTCAGGAAACCCAAAGATGCGCGAACATCGTCTACCATCTGTATTGGAAGCGACGCAATTTGCCGCCAGGTAATGCGCAAATTTTTTTTCGATCGAATGGCACGATTCAAAATTGGTCCTAGGATTGATTGGTCGAATTTTAGAATTCAGAGAAAGCAAAAATGAATTTGGGAAACCCCAAAGAATCTAAAATTTTTCCAGTAACCGCGACGCGACCGCAACGCGCCTTTCAAGTCAATGTTGAGTCTTACAGCGAATTTTGTCAGTTATTAAAAAAAAATCGGAAAATTGATGATAGAGCTAATAATTTTTGGAATATTAGAAGAATTATTGCTTGTGACTTTCATTATTTGAATTGCCGCCTTGGGTCTCGTGTGGAAAAAATTTAAAATCGAATATACGAATCCAATAGTAATGAGAAACTCAATTTTTAAAATTTCGAGAAAAATTTCGAATAAAATGATTTTTTTAAATCTTGGCTGTGATATTGCGTCTCGGTGTTTGCACATATTTTCGCGCGTTACCATTAATTTACATTGTTTTTCGATTTTTTGAACCTCAAATTTTAAAAATTCCAAAATAGGAAAAAAATGCAAAAAATATTTTGGCGGCAATTCAAATAATTTTTTCTTCTTGGACAATTTTGAGCTTTTCTTTAAAACTACATATTATAATATAAAAAAGCATAATTTTTGACTATTAGCAAAAATCTAGAAGCAAAAAAAAATTAATCAATTTTATTCGAGGACCCATTCCACTACCATTTTTGGGCAATATTCTTGCGCTTCGAAATCCGGCGCCAGGCTTTCGATCGTTCGTGAAATGGCGAAAAACCTATGGCGACATTTACACCTTCTGGCTCGGTAATTATTTTTTTTTCGTTGCTCAGTGATCAGCTCAATATGGTCCATTGAAGGCACTCGTCCCTACATTCTCGTTTCGAGCTATGAGGCGCTCAAAGAGACGTTCATCCGAGACGGCGAAACGTACGTCGACAAAAAGCCGATGCCATTTCAAGAATCGTTTCGAGGTTCGCCTCCCCCCACCAACATTTTCATTTTCCGATCTGCCGACATTCTAGGTGGCTGCTATGGTGTCGTCGAGACGAATGGGATGTTCTGGCGCGAGCATCGACGATTCGCGCTTCATCAATTCCGCGATTTCGGCTATGGCAAAGAGCGAATGCAGCAGAGGGTTTGAATGCGCCTTTAAATCGTCTCCCAGCCCACAATTTGGTTTTTGCTAGATTCTCATCGAAGTTGAGGATATTTTCAATTCTTGCGACAATTCTCAAGGCGAGGATATCAATATTGTGGTGAGCTAGTTGGATTTGGAAAGAAAATCCTAAATCATGACCTTAGATGGTGTTTTGTAAAAAGACCATTTTTCAGACATATCTGAAATTTTTGCCAAATTTTTTGTGGTGATGAAATCATCTAAAAAATTTTTTCTGAAGCCCAGAACCCCCTGAAAGCCGACCATTTTGTATTTTGCCCTTCAGGAAAAAATGGATCGCGCCGTCGGCAATGTGATCAATCAGATGCTGTTCGGCTATCGATTCGACGCGGTACGTCGGTCATCGAATCCCACCAAAGCGTTACGTGATATTTCAGAGTCGGCACGAGGAGTTCAAGACGATTCGCGGATTCTTCGACTTCCAGAAGGGCGAGTTCAACACGTTCAAAATGCGAATGCAATTCTTGTTGCCGTGGACGGGCCGCTTCATGACGGGACCGACGATACTCGAGCGATTCGAGAAGTATCGCGTCGGCTTCTCGGAGTTCTTCGGACGCCAAATCGAGCAGCACAAAAATGAGATCGATTTCGAGCTCGATGAGACCACCGATTATGTTGAGGCCTATTTGAAGGAGCAACGCAAACGCGAGAAGGACGGCGATTTTGAGACGTACAGGTTGGTGCGCCTTTAATTCGGGTCTTGACGGGAGATGCGATGTTCAGCAACACCCAACTATTCAACATGTGCCTTGATCTATGGTTCGCCGGCCTCACCACAATGTCGAATACTCTTCAATGGTGCTTCGCCTATGTCCTCAACTATCCGCAATTCGTTGCCAAGGTCCATGAGGAGATGGATCGCGTGATCCAAGGGGATCGTCTGATCACAATGGACGATAAGAATAACCTTCCCTACATGAACGCGTTCATCAATGTAAGTGGCTTCTTGCACCTTCATCACATTTCAATGGTCCCTAGGAATGCCAACGATGCGCCAACGTGGTCCCACTCAATCTTCTTCACATGACCACCAAGGATACCGTAATCAATGGCTACAGTATTCCGAAGGGCACGGGAGTCGTCGCGCAAATCAGTACGGCAATGCTTGATGAGCGCGTGTTCAAGAATCCCGACGCGTTCAATCCGGATCGATTCATCGCGAACGGCAAACTGAGGAAAATCGACGAGCTCGTGCCATTCTCGGTCGGCAAACGACAATGCCTCGGCGAGGGAATGGCTCGAATGGAGTTGTTCCTGTTCGTGGCCAACTTCCTGAATCGCTATCACATACGGCCCACCAAAGAGGGCGTGCCTTGCGTGGATCACGATCAACTTGGATCTATGCACACCAAACCGTATAAGATCGTTGTGGAGAGACGCCGACGCGACGACTAATTTTCATTTATTTCAATTCATGAGCTTAAAACTTTTTTTGAACACTGTTAGCTTGACATTGGAGTCCTGACACGGTTTCAAGCCGATCACTTAAGATCCAGCTCGTTCTGAACCTTCAGGATAGTTCCGAATCATAGTCGACTTGTGGTCCGCGATTTGAGGCTCGAAGGTACACATTTCTCGAAAATCTTCGAGTCTCAAACATTGCTAGAATCGAGTATTTCCATTAAGCCTTCTTGGAAACAAAAAACTGGATTATGTATCTTAAAATAATAAAAAATCGACGACATTCTTCATAAAATTATAGCCGTTCAGATTTTTCTAAAATTTTGATTCAGATATTTTTAAAAATTCTGAATAATAGAAGATTGATATGAAAAAACGCATGCAGAGTGCTTAAGGCTTCCCTGAGTCAATATTGATTTGCCAGCTCAAAGAAACTGGTTTCCCTCGATCAATTTTGATAAAGTGCGGGAATTGAGGGTCCGGACTTTGGCCGTGCGGTCCGTATTCCCGGCTCCATTCCTTGTTCATGGTTTTGTGATTAAAACCAATAATCAACAAATAAAAGTTTATAAACGAACAAAAGAATGAGCACCATAATTCAGTGGGGTCATAGGATTCCTACCTCTCCGTTCACCTCCCGAGCATCGCTTAAATAGGGGGTGAGCGTGTGCCATTGATAAGGGTCATGTATATGTATCTCCTGGTCGCTCTTTGACCTCGGTCGCTGTTTGACCTCGTTGATGTTGCCTATTTGGTCTCCGTGATTGTTTTATTCTAATCGATTTTTGCTTTTGTTTATTTTTTGTTGGTCTGTTCGTTTCCGTGTTGCCACACTCACAACGCTTAGTCATCAAAAAAAGCAATATTTAATTAAAACCGCCCAAAACGAGCCTTTATAAGAAAGTTCGAGGAAACAATCATCAGAGATGTTCAAACTATTCGTCTTTGTGCTAATTGTCGATTTGACGATCGCTGCTGGAATTCCAGGAGGACCGATTGCCACCAATCCAGACGATGAGGAAATTCAGGTATAGGCTAAAATATAGCACCTTCACAAGAGCCCCCCCCCTCCCCAATTCTATTATATGCGCCTTTAAACACCGCTCGTCTGAATTTCAGACGTTCTAGAAATTTTTGTCGTCACTGTCGAAATTTGCAGAACATCGCCTGGAAAGCGACACCAAACGTCAACGCCGAAATCAATGAAAATTATTATTACGTGCCGGTCAAGGTTGCATTATAATATTATATAATTTGAGGAATTGTGAACCCAAAAAAAATTGCAGGTGACGTCGGCGACGAGCCAAGTCGTCTCGGGAATCATGTATCGACTCAAAGTGATCTACGGACAATCGGACTGTTTGCGATCGGAGAATCTTGATCGAAACCAATGCGCCTATAATGGGAATGGCAATACGGTGGTGAGATAGGAATGAGGCCAAGACGTCATTGGGACCATTTTGTTCAGGTCTATGATGTGAGCCTTTGGTCGCAGCCATGGACCAATTTTGAGCAGATTACTGTCGCCAAGGAAGCCACTCAATAAATGCTATCATCTTTTTTTTGTTGAATTTTTCCATGTACAATAAAAAATACAAGTTTAATTGTGCTGACAAAAGAAAATGAAAATCTTATGTGGCAGAACCACACCAAACATGATGGTCCCTAATTAGGTATTTGCGGACCTTTGGGGTTTCGTAAATTGTACAAAAATGAAGATGTTGGTAGAAATCAAAAATTGGAAAACCAATGGATTTTTCAAAAAAAAAAAATTTGAACTTTTAGTTGCTTATTGATTGGTTTTAACACAATCCATGACCAAGGAAAATGTCCGGATCTCTGGTAACTCAATCGGACCCAACAAACTTCGGCTCCGGAATCAACCCGATCAGATTAGTAATTCTAGGGATTAGATTGTAAAATTTTCGGGTCCGATTGAAAATTTGTTCTGATCCGATCCGAATTGAAAGATTAAAATGAAACGGATTCGAATAATTTCCAATCCGACAATTTTACAATCTAATCCATAAAATTACCAATCGAATCCTGAAAATTAACATTTGGACGTGAAAAAATGAAAGCAATCATTTTATTTCAATGACGATAAGAATTGGAAGGAACAAAGTATGATCGTGAGTTGAGGAGCCCATAGTTTGAATTTTGTGTTTGGGGGATCTTTAATTGAAGACCTAGTGAGAGGATTGGAGCCCATATGCGATTTTAATCGTAGAGCAGATTTTTAAGAGTCCTCCAAAATAGAATATGTGCCCAAAACCAAACACGAGTTATGCAGGTCCAAACATTCCACAGTCGCACCTATATTTTTTTTGCCAATTTCAAAAATCCGCTTTTCGGGTTTTAGCAGTTTCAGTCAATTTTTAGTTTTTCAAATTCCATGAAAAGCCGGAATACCGAGAAAAATGAACAAATTTGATTTTTAGCACCTACTATAAAATCTACAGTATTCTTGATTTTAAAGGTAATTCCCATATATGATATTTTTTGAATTTGAATTTCGATTAGTCGCCTGAAATTCACAATATAATTAAATAATTTTCAAAAAAAAAAAATGCAAATTTCACCTATAATTAGCTTCCCAAAAAATTGCCGTCGTGATGATTCAGCTTCTTCTGATTCTGATTTGCTTCATTCGCGCTTCAACACCAACATTCGATGAGCCGCCGTATCCGATAATGTTCAAACTAACCGAGCCGGAATATCGGGTTTGAAATCACCCGAAAAAGGGAGGGCATTGAGAATATTCTAGAGTCTTCTAGAAGGGGCTCCCAGGCCAATCAACAAGATCATCGGCGATGATTTTTGGTATACACCTGTCAAGGTTTTGATTTTTTTTGGTTGCGATTTGAATTTTTGTAAAAATGGATTTTTCAGCTGGTGTCCGCACTTGGCCAATTCATTCCCGAACTCATTCACACACTGAAATTGGTGTTCGTCGAAACCGACTTCGACTATATGCACAGCGAGCAATTCATCGAGAATTTCAATATCAAAGAAAACGCGACGCGTTATGTTTGGAGTTCTCGCGAGTCTCAGAAATGTGTTCACTTTTGCAGCTTTTCAAAGTGCAAAAATTTGCAAACTCGGTGAAATATACGAGAGTTCGCGTGCTAGGTGATAACGAAATGATTGAGGATGTTCATTGAAGCGAAATTTGCGAAAAAAAAACAATTATTTTATTATTGAATTTGACAAAAAATGACCCATTTTTGAATTGTTGTATGAAAAAAATTGCAAAATAAATCTTTTAAATCACTTCTTTTTTTTAATTCTACGCCGACCGCGACGCATACGCAACACGATCAAATGCAAACCTGAAAAATTAATTTTTTTTTAAATTTCTAAAATTATCGATTTTCTATGTAATAAATTTGAATTTTATTGATGAAATTCAATTTTTTTCTATTTGTCAAAAAATTTTTTACTTGAAAAATAATAACTAATTTATCTGAAAATGTCAATTTTATCAAAAAATCGAGAAAAAATTCAAGTGGCCGCCTAAAAACTAGGCCACGGACTAATATTTTGGATTTTGTTAATAATTCTGAGCCACTGATTTCTAGAAAATTTGTTTGGAGCTGAAAAAAATTTATTTAAGAACCCTTTTAAGGTGTTAAAGTTTTTTTTTTGGGAAATCTGCAAACGAGCTCTCGTGTGGAATTTTCAGATATGATTTTTGCTGAAAATGACAGCTAGCCAGTTTTTTTTTCCAGAAAAAAAACTGTAATTTTACTTTTTTAATAATCGTATCTCAAAAAATGAAAATCGAAGTTTCCATTTTTAACGAACAACTTGAGTTTTTCTGAAATTGTCATCGACTACCCAATATTTTTAAAGAATCGACATGATTCCAAAAAAAAATGATATCCATAATCAAGAATTTTGTACTGAAGCACCATTTCGTGAAAAGCGAATTTTTTTTTTCTCGCCAACAAACCATAATACAATTTTGAGTCACCAATTGTTCTATTATTCGTTGTGTTCCTATAAAAGGCAGTCGAATTGACGACAGCAATCATCAGCATGTTCAAGCAGGCCCTTATTCTCGCGTTCATGGCCGTCATGGCCCGAGCTAGCGGTCAGCCATCCCCAACCCCAGCGATCCAGCCACCAGAACGATGGACCGAGTCACCAGATTCATCGTCCGAGCCGCCTTTCTCATCGTCTTCCGAGCCGCCATCGACACTAGATCGGAATGATTCCGAGTTTGCGATATTTCGGATTGGAAAAATTTCAAATTAAGATTTTTTCGGGATTCAGAAGATCGCTTGGGACGCGATTGCCGCAGTGAATTTCGACCACGACAGCACCTTCATATTCATTCCAATTAAGGTGAGAAGCCATGAAGATCCAACGCTACTGATTCCCAACATCGTCTAGGTGCAATCCGTCGAGCAAGTCAACACTAGAGATGTCGTCTACAATGTTTATGTGATCTACGGCAAGACGAACTGCTCGAAACGGTCCGGTGTTGTGTCGGAAGGATGTAAGCACACACCGGGCGATGAAGAAATGCTGTATTTGATTCAAACGATTCCCAATGGCAACTTCAGGGTCAGCCGCATCGAGAATAAAGAGCAGATATAATTTTTTTTTAATTTTTGTGATTGAATAAATGTATGATTCGAAAAATTGATCGACACTTTCAAAAATTAAAAAAAATGCAATTGATGCAATATAAAAATTTATTTCCATATTCGGGCGGTTCCAAATCATATACGAAATTGACGCATCTCATTTTTCGGATGTTCTATTTTGAGACGTGGACGTGGCCGAAGTCATTTTTTCTAGGCCACACCAGAAAAATAAGGAGACGCAAAACACTCTTTGCCAGAGCGGGGTATCGAACCCACGATCTCCGCGGTGATGAATCCAACACGTTCGCCACTGCGCTATTGCGCAGCTTTCCAGAATGCCAATAAGTTGAGACGTGATAAGAAAATCATGAAAAAAAATTCTAGGCCATCATCAACCCAACTTTTTCTTTGGGAATTTTGAAAATTTGCTGAAAATTTCGGAACGACGAGCTTTCTTTCAAATAAATCCAAATTAAAAAAAATATCATAATTTGCATTGGTTCGATTCTTTGTGGTCCATTGAAGACGGACCACGATTTGCCAATAATCAGAACATGACTACGCTCCGGTTATGTCGACCGAATTGACCGCCGAGTTCACCAAAAAAGGGAAATGGAAAATTTCGATGATTTTGTTTCTGGAAAATCGAGCAATCGACAAAAAAAAAGAAGCCGTGTTGCCTACCTGTAGGGTCGCACGAAATAAATGGTGACAATTGGCGACACCAAAAGCATTAGAATGGCCGGAAAAAACATGGTGTTCTCCGAGAGCGTCGACTGCTCGACGTCATAGTAGAGGGAGACCATGTAGAGGACGCATGTGAAGAACGCGACGGCCGATGAGAAGACTTGCGCGAAGAGGACCTTGAAGTTGGAAAGTCTTGTTCCAAAACGAGAAAAAAAATATATAATGGCATGGCTGCAGTGTTTTTCGGTGGACCATCGATATAATGGCATGGCTGCAGTGTTTTTCGGTGGACCATCGATATAATGGCATGGCTGCAGTGTTTTTCGGTGGACCATCGATATAATGGCATGGCTGCAGTGTTTTTCGGTGGACCATCAATATAACGGCATGGCTGCAGTGTTTTTCGTGGGACCATCGATATAATGGCATGGCTGCCGTGTTTTTCGGTTGATCATCGATATAATGGCATGGCTGCAGTGTTTTTCGGTGGACCATCGATATAATGGTATGGATGAAGTGTTTATCGGTGGACCATCGATACAATGGCATGGCTGCAGTGGTTTTTGAGGGACCATGTTACCAATGAGACATTCCACGCACACTTATCCTACTGCTACAGTAACCACAAGAAGGAAGAGGAAATTCGTTGAATTTTTATTTCCGGGTCATATTTTGCAAATATGCTACTTGAAACGCAATCAACACGAGACCCCCCCCCCAGGAGATTAGACTCATACTCTGATAAACCCCCCGGGTGCCAAAAAATTTTGAAAAATCTCGAAACCTACATTTGCCAGCCCTCTATGAAGATGCTTCATTTGCTCGCTCATATGCGTATCATTGCGCACAGCTTTATTCACGCGATATCGGCATAAAATGCCGTATACAACCACTGTTGGATTCAAGATATTTGTTAAAGCGTTGGGTGCTGAAATTTGGGTATTTTTTTGAAATAAGGCGTTATTAATGATGCCGTCCAAACTCGAAAATTTCATGGAATTTGTGCCATTTGAATTTCTAGTATTGGACAATCGAGATTTGGGAGGCGTTTTTTTAATTACAGTCGGTTTCTGAGTATCACAAACAGCGCGCCTTTAAATATCGTATCCCAATACAAATTTGAAATTACCCGGAATGTTGGTTTTTTTGGAATCGGACATTCAATTCCAAATAGGGAGGCTAAAAATGTTGGAAAATTTGAGGCATAATGTGGCCAGAAACCGACTAGACAATTTTGGCAAAAATTACGAATTTGAGAAATTTGAAACATATCGACAACTGTGCCAAATGGCCATCCCGATTTCACAATGCCGGGCTTCAATTTTTCGGCGACCGCGTCGGATACCTCAATAGGATAAAGATTTTGGACAAAAGTGACCACCTAAATGGACGTTTGAAGCGGTCATCAATTTCGAAACGCTTTCTCGTACCGTCATTATCGCGTTGAACGCCGATAGTATCAACACGTAGGTGAGAATCACCGATCGTCGAAACACCTTGAACGGATCGAGCACCGATTGCTGACGGAAATAGAGCGAATAGAAGACGATGAGTTGAATGCCGAAGATTGCGTAAATCGCGCCGCACTCAACTGAAAATTCTCACTTTCTCATTTTTTTTTTGCTTTTCGTTTTTACAAAAAAGGCAAAAATTCGATTGGATGTAGCGATCGGAGAAGAATAATTGACAGGGTCCGTGGAATATGATAACGATTGAGAAGCCCGAATTTCGAAATCTGAAATGGCTGCAATTTTGTTGCCCTTTTTAAGAGTCTATTTTTTTTTTGAACTTAAGGCCATTAGAATTGCAATTGAAATTTAAAAAGCAAATGTCGGTGTGCACACCGCACGCAAAATTGCACACATTTAAAAATGCTCCCAATTTCGCCAAAAAAAACTTTTCGAAAAAAAATTGGCGCCAATTAAAATTTTCAATTCAAGCTTTTCAGCTATCAGCGAAATTAATTATATTTATTAATTTGAAGATTTAAGAGTTTTGCAGAAAATCCCACTAAAATTTTCATTCTTTTCAAAATTCACCTCGGAATAACCATAGATAGGCAAAACGCCACAAAAATATCATAGATTGCCTCAGAGATGATAAGAATTCTGAACATCGACGATCGATTATAGACATTTTGAGTTTGCAGGCTTACGAGTAGGATTTCATCGCCATCGGTGAATACTTTGCAACGATATAGATTAGTAGAATGTTGAAGATGATGGAAAGAAACGCGATCGGAAACGAATAGAAGATGTTCAATGTATCCGACCAATGCCAAATCATTTTCCAAGAATCTTGTGAATGATATTTTTTTTCTGATTTTGAAAAAAAGGGAGAATTTTCTAGCTAATTGCTATGCGGAGGAAGTGTGATTTGGTTAATAAAGGGGTTGAAGTTGTGCTCAAATTATAAAATACCAACCACATCTGAAAGTGGCATTTTTTGTCGACTTTACGAATGGTTCGTTGATGTCGGCATAGTGTTCAATTCGAAATGGCAAACCAATTTTGTACAGTGATTTGTTAATTATAGGTGATTGGTGGCATTTTGCCGATAATTTCATCCGTCTGAAATTTGTCAAATGGCAAATGATGATAGAGGGTGACGGAATAAAAAAATGATGGGGGTACTGTCATTTATAGTTTGATGTGAAGTAGGATACGTGCTTAAAATTTGAATTTCCTGCCAAAAATATGGTCCATCGAAAAACACTCCAGCCATGCCATTATATCGATGGTCCCCCGAAAACACCAGATTTTTTGGCTGCCGGGGATTTATCAGAATATTACATATTTTAATCTCCCGTGTGGTTTGTGTTTCAAGTAGCATATTTGTGCAAATATGAGACACAAATAAAAATTCAACGAACTTCTTCTCGATGGTTCATCGAAAAACACTGCAGCCATGATATTAAATCGATGGTCCACCGAAAAAACACTGCAGCCATGCCATTATATCGATGGTCCACCGAAAAAACACTGCAGCCATGATATTAAATCGATGGTCCACCGAAAAACACTGCAGCCATGCCATTAAATCGATGGTCCACCGAAAAACACTGCAGCCATGCCATTATATCGATGGTCCACCGAAAAAACACTGTAGCCATGATATTAAATCGATGGTCCACCGAAAAACACTGCAGCCATGCGGAACCGATTTTGATTGGTCAACATTTCATTGAATTCAAGAAAGATGAGAAAAAATACCCGAAAATGGCAAAATAAATGTCATACGATGAAATATTAATACAAATCGTCACTAATCAAATTCCCATTAGCGTAGGAGACATCATTCTTGCGATCATCATCATCGCTGACTGCACTGTCTCGGCTGAACTCGACGAACACTTGCTCAAGAGTGGTCTGCGACAGCGAATAGTCATCCCAATTGAGCTCTTGCGAGATGACTTCAAGTTTTGCGAACAATTCGGACCACGAATTTCGATCTCTTCGAAGATCGTAGTTGAGTTGGAGGACGTGCTTCTCCTTCAATATCGAGCCTTGGAACGCGTTCGAGATCGCTTGTTGCGTTTTCAACGAGTCGTCGGCGTTGCGCAATCGGATCAAAAGCGTGTAGCCGGATCCGTAGCGACTCTTGATGTGCTGACAGCTTCCGTAGCATCGGAAGTTGCCTGCAATTCGAAAATTGAATGGCTCCGAAGTCTCTCTGATCTTAATCTTTACCATAGACCATGATTGCTAGTTCCGTGCACAGCGCCTCACATTCGTCCATACTATGCGACGTCAGGACCAGCGCAGTTCCGAGATCTCTGACGCGATTCAAGATGTTCCAAATGATGCGTCGAGCTTTTGGATCGACTCCACTAGTGGGCTCATCGAGCAGCAAAACGTCGGGAAGTCCGACAAGCGCAATTCCAAGAGAAAGCCGCCGTTTGTTTCCGCCACTGTATGATTTGATCTGCCTCTTCGCGTAGATGCCGATGCCTATCGCATGGATCACCGCTTGAACCTGGAGCATCCAATGAATGGAATCGAATCACTCCGAAGAAGCCTCTTACCTTCTCATCGATCTCATCGGCAGGGATGCCTCGAATCCTGGCGAACATGTACAGCGTCTCTTCGCCGGACAGCTCCTTGATGACAGCGTCGTATTGTGGACAGTAGCCGACGTTGGCGCCAGCTTCTCGCCAGTGATTCTTGACACTCCAACCGTTGATGTAAGCGTCGCCGGAGCTTATCGAGTTCTCGCCAGTGAGCATCTGAACCATGAATTGATGATACGAGCTTCAAGCTCCTAAAAACCTGGAACGTCGATGTCTTGCCAGCACCATTGACGCCGAGCAGCCCGAAGCATTCCCGTTTGCCCACATGGAAATTGACGCCCTTGACCGCGTTGAAATTGCCGTACCATTTCACCAGATTATCGCTGACCAACGCCATCGTGCTGTCGCCTAGAAGCTTCTTGACGACCTGCTTCTCGGCGATCACGTCGGAATCCTCCTCACCCGACACGTCGGTGATATCCCAGAGCGCCTGAAAATCACAAATTACGAATTTCGAGTTGACGACGCCGTCGAACCGCTGACGCATTTTTTCGCTTCAGAAACTCCAGAATTTTGGCGAACACGTCGAGCTCCTTCAAGAAGACGATCGTCCAGAAGATGAAGCCTTGAACACCAAGAAATATCACGAATATCATGATGCCATGACGATTCGCCGACAATAGCACATTGTCGACGTAGAGCCTCTGATCCGGTGTGCCGCAGCATTGGGTGATCTTCTTAAACGCGGCAATCGAGCAGTCAAGCTTCTGACATGCCTGCTTCACATTCTCATTGCTGAATGTCTACAAATCAATTCACTATGATTCCAAAAAACGAAAATGATCCTCGAAGGCCTACCACAGAGAATATATTCGAGATCGCGTAGGTCGGAAAGAACCATCCAAAAATAATCGACCATGTGTACCCATTATCAACATTCGACGTTTGCGAGATAATGGGCACCGCGATCGATCCGATCATTCCTGAACAATCAGATTCGAATCGACACCTTGATGTTGATACCAGTCAGAACATTATACATGATAATTATCATGAAACCCGTTGGGGCATTCTTGAAGAAATTCTGCATGAAATAGGTGAACGGGATATTCGTCCAGCCGTACAAGGCCATTGCAAGGGTGAGGATGAGAATCACCCCAAAGTCTTTGGTGAACGTCTGAATCGGATCGTAAGATGGTCTGGAAAAGTAGCTACCTGGATATTGAAGATGTAGAAGATTGCGTCAAAGCAGATGATGCGAATGATGAACCAGGCGGCGTCCCAAATGAACACCGTCAGCCAGTACATCCGTGGACGAACGCCGCAAAGAAGCTGCATGTGTTTGCTCTTCTTCTTCCTCTCGGTGATCAAGAATTGACAGTAGCCGGCGATCATTGCCGACATGCTGACTGTAATTGATTTCTAGAACGTCGTGCCCCTCGATGATTCATACCAATCATTCCATATGAGATCAGAAATGCTGCCACGTTTCCATTTTTGGTCGTCTTCAGTGAATCTTGAGTAGACGGTGGAAGTGGATGATTGATCGACTACAATAATTGGTACCAATGAAAATGGTCCCAATCCGTACCGTAAATGTGTATTGCTTTTTCATTTTCTGCGATAGAATGATGGAATCCGTCATGGTAATCGCTAGTGCCGGCGTGTAAAATCCAAAATTATTGAACAGTGCTATAAATTAGGGACCATTGAACTCCCATAAAAGAAAACCCACTTTTCATTATCTGCTTGGTGGTGTTGAAAACTGGGACCACGATTTGCTGCGGGTCAAACGCCAACGCATAATGAAGGCCGAACGTCCTTGATCCGATCTTGTTGATCTTGTCAATTATGAAGCGATCGACGTCTCGCGCACCGTCGACTTTGATGTTAGTGGTCCCAAGAGCTTGAACCGTATTATTGACCATCCTGAAATTGAGCTCTTGAAAAAAAAGAAGAAGAATGTATCAATCTGACCGGATCAGCCACTCTCCATTGTACTTCACGTTTCTCGCGATGACGTGTCCGGCGGTGTCATCATTGGCGAATGGATCCAACGAGATCACCCTCGGCGTTTGCTCTTGAACGGTCGGCACCACCGTCGACGTCGCCACCATCAGTGTCAGATAGGCGACCTTCAAATAGACGACATTCAATTCAATCGAAGCAGCTCGAAAAAACCACCCACCGGAAACAATAATTGCGGTATAAATTGGGTCCATTTGCGGTAGAAGTAGATGGCCCTCTTGATGAACATCGCTTTGGCGTGTTGCAATTGCAGTCGGAATCCGGTGAGTCGTCGAGTCGAGCGAAGGTCTGAAATCGAATCACGATCTCATTGATCAGCAAATTTGTCAATCCACTTCTCAATTGCGGATCATTCTCGGCGATCAGTTCGGTGTGATCGTCGAATTTTCCCTCCTCCTTCATGAATCTCTCTTCAGCGAGATCGCCAACCCTTGAAGACAAATTGATGGCTCATTGTCAGAATTTTCATTTTAAAGATTTTTTTGTTTGAAAAATAGACCATCTTACTTCAAGAACACCTCCTCCATCGTTGTGATCGAGACGCCGAACGAGGTGATCCCAAGTTGCTCTTGATGCTGCTCGAGCTCTTTGAACATCTTCGGGAACAATGCGCGATGTCTCGCGTTCAGCAAATACGTCGCTTCTTGGCCAACAAACGAGTACACCGATGCTTCAGCGATGTACTTTTGAATCATGCGCGTCGTATTGATCAAATCCGCTCTGTCGCTAGTGTTGAACACAAGCGTCAAATGATAGCCGTCGCCGAATTGCTGCTTCAGGAACATCGGCGAGCCGCAGCACTGCAATTTGCCGTGCGCCATGATCGCAATCCGGTCGCCGAGAAGGTCGGCCTCCTCCATGAAGTGAGTGGTGAGTAGAATCGTGCGTCGCGTTTTCTCCCTCTGAATCAGCGTCCAGGTCTCATGTCGAGCGCCGGGATCCATTCCCGACGTTGGCTCATCCAACATCACAATCTCTGAGCCGCCGATCAGCGCGATCGCCAATGAGAGTTTGCGCTTCTGACCGCCCGACAACGTTCCCGCCAGAGCGTCGGCCTTGAACTCGATTCGAAGGCGAGAAAGAATCTCGCGAGCCTCGTCGGGATCCCATTGACGTTGTTTGAGTTTCGCGAAGAATTCCAAATGCTCCATGACGGTCAGCTTATTGAACAGTGTATTGTACTGCGGGCACAATCCCATCTGCTTCCGAATACTCGGAATACTCGTCCGAACATCATAATTGTTGATATACGCCGTTCCGTCAGACGGCGATCCAACACCAGTCAGCATACTGAACGTGGTGCTCTTGCCGGCTCCATTATGCCCTAGCAATACAGTGCACTGTCCAGGATACATTTTGAGGTTGAGATTCCGAACCGCCTTCTTCTCACCGCTCTTCCCGAATTTGCAATCAAACAATTTTTTGAACAATGATGTTCCATAGGTCTTCGACAAATTGACCACATTAATCGTTGGCTCCATATTTGGCTCCGTCTCGAGTCTCACGTGATCCTCATCGATTCCGAATCGCATCTCATTCTGGAGTATCGGCGACACTTGCTGATGTTTGCCGTACGGGAACCAATATGATGGCTGGAATGTTGGGAATTGAGCATCTCGCTTATACGGACGATGACCTACGAGAACAAAGAACCATGGCTTTTGGGGGACACCTTCACCGCCAGGGAACACCGCTTCCATGTACCACGTGAAGATCATAAGAATGATTCCGTCGACGACAAGCATGAGCCAAGCATGAGCAAAAGTTAGATTGTTGTCGGGTGTCGGAGCAGTGAAAATTGTGCTCCATTGCAATCCGCCAGCTGAAAAAAAAACTTGCGACGTCAATCAATCGAGTCGAGAAGTCGCACCCGACGTCTCATAGGAGGCGAGAAGGTTCAATCCAAACGACAAGGCGATGTCGGGATTCAAGCAATGCACTAGGCGAACTCCCAACGAATAGGGTGTGATGTCGTCGAATGATGTGAAGAACGCGAACCAGAAGTAGAGAAGCATCCAGAAGACGACGGCGAGAAGTGTCGCCGATGTTCCCGAGTTCATGAACGTCGAAATCGCAAACGCAAAATAGAGGGTGTCGAAGGCGTAGGTGGCGAAGAAGACGAACATAACGGTCATGTCAGATCTGAAATCCATATTTGGCGTTTTGGATCATCTAGGATGATCCTACTTCTCCGCGACAAAGTGTAGAAGAATTGTGAGGATAATGACGGCAAAGAGCAATTTCGAAAAATTGACTATAAAATGAGCCAACCAGTTGACGAACTGCGATAGGCCCATCACCCTCATATACTCCTGAATGCACCTTTAATAATGGTCCCAACGCGATCACGACAACCTTTAATCGATCCTCCTTCTCCATCACCACAGTTCTCACGATATAGATGACGCTGGTCATGAACGAGAAGATGATGATCACCGGCATGAAGAAGATGCCGACCTCAATGATTTTTGTCGTATAGCCGGGAAATGGTGTTCGACCAAGCTGCAAAAAATAGAGATCATCATTTAAAGGCGCATGTATGACACGAACAAAGTAAGAATCGAATATGGGCTCTAATGACGATTGATTGGTGAGAATCTCCTGAATCGCCACATCAACGGCGCGCTCAATCGTCACGAATCCCTCTTTCCAATAGCCCGGCATTCCGCCGTCGTCCTGATTCGGATTGATCGGACCGCTAACGATTTGCAAGCCGAACACCATCGATGTCACCCATGGATAGGCGTCATCGCCGAACGCCTGAACAAAGAATTGCGGTGTATTGATTCGATTTGGATGTCTACATTCTCCGAACGTCGATGAGTATTGGATAGTCGAATGGTGTACTTGAAATTGGTGGCAGTGTCGAGACTTTTTGAAATCGATTCGTCGAACACGACGCCCGCTGAAACATGGCGCCTTTAAATTTTTTAATGAATACTCGCTTTCCAAAAATGTAGTTTCCTTGAAATTCGGTGTTTGCACACAAGTCCGCAAACACCGACGAGCCGAAATGAATGAATGATCGCCTACCGAGTAGTGGATTGCCGCATTGACTTTGAAACTCGTTCGTCATGTATTTCACCAATTCGCCCTCGGTGTCGAATCCTTCAAATTTCGAACTGGTCAACAATTCCGTCGAAAACCCCCACACATACCGTGAATGGTCATTCTAGTGTCAAGTCGCGGAAGTGAGCCGTTAAAGCGATACTTGAAAAATGACTGAAATTTGAACACATCTTTAATGGTGTACCGCTTCTTGACAATCTCCATGATGCGATCGATGACGTCGTTCTTCGGCGAGTACGCCAACGCCACGTCAATCGTGTACACCATCTTCCCGTCGGGATCCGTTCGATTCGTCGTCTTCAAGAACTCGCACGTCGGCGTGAAATTGTATAGAAAATATGGGGCGACGATGGCGCTCTGCAAGACGATCACGCCGATTATGCCGATGGTGGTGGCCGCCTTACATTGGTGTCGTTGGGATTCGTGGGAACGACAAGATCATAGCCGCTGCCCGACACCGGCCACGCCGGATACTCGCGTTTATCATAGGTGGTTTGAAATTGATCGGAGAACTGAAATTGAATTGATGAAAAGGACGTTCGTCAAATAAAAAAAATCACAGCACCCCAATGAGTATGCCGAACGAGGCGCCGATGAGAATGAGCGGCACGACGAGCTCGAACAACGCGAACCACGGCGACCTCATCTGCTGCAACGCGTTCTTCCATAGAAGGAGCCGCAATTGGCCGAGCAGGCCCATTCCTGCAAAACATGGTCGAATTCAAAGAAGGTCGACGTGCACTCGACTCAAGTATGTATTTCATTTTACGACTACAAAGGTGACAAATAGGTGTTTGCACAATGTCGGGGGCAGCATGAAGAAGAAAGAAAAAAATTTGAAACCGCTTATCAATGTGTGTGATTTGTGCCCTGAAATTGCATAATGGGACATGGGGGTCCCAGCTGCGCGAAGCACACGATTTTTGTCAAATCCATGTTATCTCCTATGCCCTGACGCGTATTACCTGGTCCCTCTCACACCAATCATTGAGGTCCCCCCCCGGGTGTGTTTCGACATCCTCAACAGTCTGACTCATAGATATTTAGGTTGAGTGCTCAAATAATATCGGTAGGTTGGTAAACATTCGATCAATTGAATATTGATGAGGCAAATCAAATAAAATGATTTCAGGTTTCTCGAGAATTTAAAGTTTAAAAAAAATTGTTTTAGAATTTTAAGAGGAAATTTAGAAGTTGCTTAATGCTCAATTGCAATAAATATTTAGTTTTTTGAAGTATAATCGAATTTAAAGGCGCACACCCGGAATTGCTTGAAACTTATCAGTTTCTGAATTGTCATCGTTCACGTGAACGAATTGCCATAATCAAATTATTTTCAGAGAGGTAGGAACACAATTTTTTTCTAAAATAAAATTCAAGAAGAGGAAAAATGAATAAAATTCAAACCAGAAAAAAAATGATTTTCGATTAAAAGAGAAAAATTGACGCATTGCGTAATGTTTGTTCGATTGTCATTTGCACATCGTTATCATCACTTCCAATAATGGCAACTTTTGTCATTTTTAAATTCCATTGATAACAATGTTGTGTCGTGGGGGTTCTAAATGTGACCAGAGGATTGACTTTCTCGCCTGAATGACACTGAATGACTAATGTCTTTCTTTTTTGCTGAAATAGTACGACAAATCGGGAGGCGTACACACTGGACTGTGTATTCCGTACGGACAATGCGCGCCATCAAAGTTTAAAATAGACTTGAGTAGCAAGTGCGCTCTACTGCACAAGTCGTTAAATTCAAATTTCGAATTATTATTTTTTGCTTCACGGCTCAATTATTTCCAATGGTAAGTCGCCACAAGATCCAACTCATTTAAGGTTTCTTATGTATTATTAAAAAAAAACAATTGAATATCAAATATGCGAGCCGATGTAACGGTATGGAACTTCTGAAACTTCGGACCCGCAATTTTTGGATTTTTTGAAAATTTTCGAGGGCATTAGCACCCGCGATTAGAAATTTCGCGAAATATTTAAATGCGAAAATTCGAAAAATTGCCCAATCAGTGGATTTTCCCAAAACTCGATGGTCCACAAATGTTTGAAGTGCTCTGTGTTGCTCTTTTGATTACAATTCAAAAATCATTTGTTGTTTGTGCATTTTCTAGCCTACTTTACTTGTTTCTATACCGAAATGTTTGCATTTCCTCTTAAATCTTGGCAGTTTTAACGGTGGCCACACTGTCATTCGTCGCCGCCACCAAAAAGAAAATGCTCGATTTCAGGGTGCCTTCGATACTATTGGCGCTAATTGTCACTAATTGTCAAGCCGCTTTCGGACCCCAAAATGCCAATTATAATGAGACTGAGGCGAGAATGTTGCTGAATCTCGCGGCCGCTGCGTATTCCACCAATCCCGACGGCTGTTTGCAACGGTAGCTCTTTCTTTCCACTAGAAAATTTCAATTACTCATTTTTCCAGAACGTTTCCGGTTCAGGAAGGCCAACGTGTGCTCAAGACATTCTCGGAAAATTGCGATTTCCTTGGGAACCCATGCTCAGGCTACATCGTGGTTTCCGATGTCCTCCGTCAGATCACCTTCGTTTTTCGAGGCACCAAAACCAATGTAAGTCATGAATGAAATTCCAAATGGTCCCTAGGAATGCATTTCAGTCACAATTGCTTCTTGAAGGCTGGACGACATTACAGCCGAAAACCGAGTTTTACGGCATCGGCAATGTCAATAATTATTTCAAAAGGGGCCATGAGCTCACGTGGAAGTACATCGAGGAGGTCTACAATGACACCAGATACCAGGTAGGGATGAAAACGGAAAACTGTTGAGTTATAAGGAACATCAATGCAGAACTACGACGTCTACATCACAGGTCATTCCCTTGGCGGGGCACTCGCGGCGCTGGCGGCCGCTCGAACTGTCCGCGGCGAGTACAGGCAAGGCAATCAGATCAAGCTGGTCACATTTGGTGAGCCGAGAGTCGGCAATTTGCAATTCTCCAGATTTTTCGATATGTTCATCCCATTCAGGTATGCTACTCGTTCTATACCATCAAAATACTAAATATCAATTTTTATACAGCATTAGAAAGTTGATTTAAAGTCTTTTCTGAATGTTTCTTCAAAATGATATTTTTTTGTATTGAGATTTTTCGAAATTTCAACATTTTGACAATTTCTAACACCGATAAACGAGAATATTTTCGAATCATCAAATATTTTTTGGCGTGATAATTCAAATTTCAATCATTTCTTTTGCGTCTTGCAGCTTCCGAATCGTTCACGCCATCGACATTGTGCCGCATTTGCCGGCGTGCGTCAAAGACCTCTCGTACGTGCCGCGAGCCGAAGACAACGGCTCGATGCCGTGCGATCCGGTGAGCACCAGCGGCGGCTATCATCACGGCCTCGAAATCTGGTATCCCGATGGTATGGAGCGCGGCGCGCAATATCGCGTCTGTACGGGCGCGCCGAAGAACGAGGACTTCACGTGCTCGAACGCGCCGAAAATCGATTTGGACGACACCTCGCGCGGCGTTTGGGACCATCGCAACTATTTTGGTGTCGCGGTGCCGGCGTTCGGCAAAGGCTCGTGCGATCCGACGATGTCGTTCGATCCGCCGCCAACCGAAACCGGGCCCCTATCGTTGATATCAGCGATTTTCGGCAGGAAGAAATAAAATTTTAATGTTTCATTCTTACGTGCTTTATTGGTTATTGTTGTTGTTTTTTTTTTTCAATATTTTCCCAATAAATTGTTGCAATTTTGGCTTCTGATCATAACCATGCGATGTCTCGTCGTCATATTCGCATATTTGGTGGCGTCGTGCCTCGCCGTGTTCACGGCGCTCGACAAACTCTACAACGAGACGGAAGCGCGACAAATGCTGAAAATGGTGGCGGCGACGACGGCGCCGAATAAACTCGAATGCATTCGGCAGTTGAGTTTGCGATCGATGATTCGGCGAGCACACGAACAATTTGCAGAGCTCATCCGAAATCGGAGAAGTACAAAATTGTGGAGGAATTCGACATGCCGTGCGATTTTCTTGGAAGCCCCTGCTCCGGATATATTGGTTTGATCGGAAATCGTACCGGGGAGGGGGGTCTTATGATTTTGATTTCCATAGAAATGGACATTCCAGGATCTGGGCTTGATTTTTTTTCCACATCTGAAAATGATATTTTAATCAATTGATTTCGAAAATTTTTGGATCGAAACCAAATTTTCAAATCGAATTTAAACACTTTTTCAATATATTTAATTATTTTTTAATCGAATTTTCATTTTTCTGACTATAACGAAATTTGTGGCACGAATTCCCACGGTTTCAGGTGAAATTTGAAAAGCCGGAATCAATTTTTTAAAAGCCATTCTTTTTACCGGAAATTTTCTTTAAATTCTCAAATAGACACGGCAAAAAAATACATATTGATTTCAGCCGTCTCGAAGAAGCTTAAACAAATGACGCTGGCCTTCCGATCATCGGAAACACCGGTAATCGATTAACGGCATTAAGTCAATATTACTGTATGAACACCTTTCAAAAAAATTTGTGTGAACACGCGTACGCAAAATTGCACACATTAAAAATGCTTTGAAAATAAAAGAGGAATTTATGATTTTACATGAAAATCGAGAATTTCGAAAATTTGCAAATATATTTGATTAAAGGCGCATACCTAAAAACTAGTAAATTATTTGTTTTAGGGTCAATTAGCGCTCCAAATGTGGTCACTGATAACGCCGGACATGAAATTCGGTCATTTGGGAAAGGTAGAGAGAGAGAGATTTTTTTTTTGATTTTACCGATTATCCGATTCGCTTCAGGTGAATCGCTATTTCAGTCGATCTCACGACATCATCTGGCCGTCGATTCAGAAGACGTTGAACAAGAAAAAATTCAAGGTATTTGAGAGGGAATCGATGTTGGAAGAAAAATTTTCAGGATTACGACGTCGTCATCACCGGCCATTCGCTTGGCGGCGCGCTCGCCTCGCTGGCCGCCGTCCGATTGGTCGCCGATGGGCATCGGCGAAGTGATCAAGTCAAACTTTTCACCTACGGCGAGCCGAGAGTGGGAAATTTGGAATTCTCACGCCGCTTCTCGCTTCTCGTTCCGTATAGGTGCTATCGAAAATCTGCGATTTCTCTGTTTTTTTTTTCCCATACAATCGCAATTTCAGCTTCCGCATTGTGCACGCCATCGATTTGATAACCCGCCTACCAGTGTGCACCAGAGCCAAAAATGCCAATGGTCCGACATCGGCGGGATTACACGATGGCCCTTGCGATGGCGACGACCCGAGAGGCTCATATCATCATGGGCTCGAGATATGGTACCCGGGCGATATGAAGGAGGGATCGAGCTTCACCGTATGCGACGGCCTTCCAATCAATGAGGACTTTCAATGCTCCAGTGGTGTGAAGCCCACAATAACCAACGCCACTGAAATGCTCTTCAATCATTTGTATTATTTTGATGTGGACGTAAGCCTTCAGAATTCCAAATAAGGTTTGATTGAATGCCTTCAGGTGTCGGCATTTGGCTTCAGCAATTGCAATTCAACAATCTCGTATAAGGAGCCGAACAGAAGTCTAGGGATCATTGGGATCTTCAAAGAGGTCTCGAGATGGCTTAAAAGAGTTTTGCCAATTTGATTGAATGTTTAATAAAACGTGAACCTCGTCAAATGTTCATTTCACAATGATTCTGCTCATCCTGATGATTCCGACGGCCGCTTCCGTCTTCCATCAATCGCATCGCTTCTACAATGAGACGGAAGCGCGTCAAGTGTTCGATCTCGTCGCCGCCTCGTATTCGCAACACGCCGAGGAGTGCGTGACGGCGCGATTTCCCGACTCGCGCGTCATCAAGAACATCGAGTTGAAGTGCGACGTGTGGTTCGGCAGCAAATGCGCCGCCTATGTTGGTAACCACTGAGGATGATTGGGGGCGATATGAATCTGCGGACAATTTCAGCCGTCACTGAATCCCGACGTTTGATGACTATCGTGTTTCGCGGCACCACGACAACGGTAAAAACGAAGCGGCTCTCCCATGGTTCCTCAGAATTCAATTCTCAGATTCAATTATTCTCGGAGCTATCGTCATTCTACTTCCAATATGAATCATTTGATGATATTGGCGAGGTGAGATCAGCGCCATGTGATCCTTCCTTGTGATCCTTAAGAACCCTGATTCAGATCAATCACTACTTCAAAAAAGGCCATGAAGCGCTCTGGCCGGCGATCCATTCAATCCTCTCCGACGCCGCCTATGAGGACTACGATGTGCTGTTCACCGGCCACTCGTTGGGCGGCGCGTTGGCGGTGCTCGCCGCGGCGCGCGCCATCCATCGAGGCCTTCGCGATCGTCATCAAGTCAAAGTGTTGACGTTCGCCGAGCCGCGCGTCGGCAATCTCAAATTCGCGCGCAACTTCGATCGGCTCGTCAAATACAGGCAAGCTCATCAACAACTTCCGTTCAACGGCAATGTGTGGAGTGTCCAGTTTTCGGATAGTCAACGGCGCCGACGCCATCGTTCACGCGCCGCCCTGCCACAAAGACTACTCATTTTTGCCGTCGTTCAATTTGCCGTGCGATCCGACGAGCGTCGATGGTCCCTACCATCATATGACCGAAGTATGGTCGGTTGAGCGATTGGTGGTGGCAACGAGACGCGAATTTCAGGTACCCGAATGGCATGAGCCAAGGTAGTCGATATATTGTGTGCGACGGGTCGCCGCGCGGCGAGGAGCACGTCTGCTCCAACAGTCTCGCGACAACATTTGCCAACGCCTCGAAAGCAATCGCGGACCATCGGAAATATTTCAACTTGATGGTCTCCCCCCCACAGACCCCAAGTTAGAAATTGTGATTTATTAAGGTGTCGCAATATGGTCGCGCGGGATGCAATCCGAAAAAAGACTACGACGAGAGCCAATCATTTCTAATACAAATTGAGAGCGTGTTCAAATATTTGCATAAATTGTTCTATTAGCTTCCGCGTGGGTGTTGGTGTGCGATGGTTTCTGATGAAGCTTGATTATCGTCGACTATTGGTGGCAATCATACGCTGATCACATCGATGTGCTTCTCGTGATGGCGCTGGAAGCAGAACAACAACGATCGGCGATATTCGGGCAGAATCAGAATCACACCGATCGGATCGATGATTGGGAATAGCGAGACGAAAATTTGGGAGAATCGCCAGAATAGTCTGAATATTGAATGATTCGATGGGGGAGTTGAGAATATCGATTCCATACAAGGGCAACGTTAGCTGAAACATTGGGCAGGACCATGAGATGATTGTCGGTATGAAGTTGGTGACAACTGGGATGATCGTCTGAAACGTCGGACCCCGAGAATTGTCGGCAGATGGGTTTCGACATACCTGAACGACCAGCGCAATCGTCAAGTAGCGTTGTAGGCTTTTCGCCGCTCGGCTGATAACCGTCCGGCGGAGATTTCGGATAATCTACAAGTATTTCGCTACCTTTCTTATTCCTTTTTTTTTTTGATCTACCGAGATTCCCAGAACTATATAGACCATAACAGAGTACAATGAGAAGAAGTAGAGCAAGCCGATGGAGAGGTGGCCGATGAAGCGAACCTCGCCGGTTCCTTTCGTCATCGTCATGCAGAGCACGTCGCGTTGCTCGATATCGATGCCGGTTTTATTGAAAACCGGTCCAAGAAAATTGGATTTCGTGTCGCGATCGCAAGGAAGCAGAATGATATAGATTAGATAGATGGATAGGCCGTGAAGAATGAAGTATAGGAAAATGGCGAGTTTGAACGCGCCACTCGCCAGATGGTTCATATAATGCGGTCTGGAAAGTCGTCGTCAATTGTCGGCAGCACGAATCGCACAAAGTCTCACTTGCACACCGCAATGTATCTGTAGATGAAATGGACCTCGAGAAGGCCATACGTCAATCCGATGCAGCACACTTTGATGCTCATGATGTGGAGCACGAACGGCGTCTGCTGAACGACATCCAGATGGAAACTACAAATGATGCATTAAGAGCCAACCGCCTTACATCGAAAATTGCTCCCGGACGCATGTAGACCATGAAGACGTCGGGCGAGATGAATAGCAGCTGATCGGAGACGACAATAAGCATTGAGTAGAAGATCTCGAAGACGCCGGTAGCGGCGAGAATCTCCTGATAGGAGCCCATCGCCTTGCGCGACTTGTACATGGTCAAATAGACGAATATTGAATTGACGATCACCGAGAGACACGTCGTTATCATGTTGTAATTGATTTGGATGAAGGTGAAGACGGCGTCCATTGCGATTCGGATCGATGCGCCTTTAAAAATGATCAAATGAGATATGCGAGATTTTCTTTTGGCGGAGTTTTCGGTCTGTTTTTTTTAGTTTTCAAAACGCGCAATAGTGGAATGTGGTTTTAAATAAGCGGCGAGTTTCACACGCCGCATTGTGCAGAAGCAACGTGATTGTGGGGAGATTCGCAAGCATATGCCTGAGTGTCATGTATAAACATGTCATTTCCATCGCTGCCAATGCAATTTCATCTAAAGATCGAAAGGTGAAAATTGTGCAAAACGGAATGGTTAATTATTGAAGCGAATTTCTGAGAAATGGCTAGCAGCTGGAATAAGCCAACAGAGTTTCTAGGCCACGGCCATTTTTAGGAATTCTCAGTTGAATTCCTAGGCCATTCCAACTTGAAGACGTTAAACAACGAGTTTCTAGGCCACGGCCACTTGTAGGAACTACTAGTTGAATTTCTAGGCCACGGCCATTTTTAGGAATTCTGAGTTGAATTCCTATGTAGGTCACACCAATTTAAAAACAGTAACCAATAAATTTCTAGGCCACGCCAACTTGAAGACATTAAACAACGGCGTTTCTAGGCCACGGCTACCTGTAGGAACTACTAGTTGAATTTCTAGGCCACTGCCATTTTTAGGAATGCTCAGTTGAATTCCTAGGCCACACCAATTTAAAAACAGTAATCAATTAATTTCTAGGCCACGGCCACTTGTAGGAACTACTAGTTGAATTTCTAGGTAACGTCCACTTGTAGGAATTTGTCCGGAGAATTTCTAGGCCGCGCCCAAACTATTGGCAATTTGCCGACAATTTTCTAGGCCACGGTCACAAATATGAATAAAACGAGAAAAAGCCTCGACGAACCGATCTGGTTGGTTCTTTGAGTAATAACAAAAAAATTTATTTAACTCATCGTCGAAAATAATAATGATTATGACAAAAACGCAATCACAAAAACAAGAGACTAAGACGCCTATTTACAGCTATAATTGCCGCTCTCGTCGTAGACGTTTTTATTTAATTCTTGGGTAGATGACAAAACCAAACGGATTCGAAGAAAAACGGAACACAAATTAAACCAGATTCGATTAGGAAATCATTTAAATTTGATTGAGAAATCATATTTGATTTGAGAACGATTAATTTCCGATTTCTGTTTTTCATTTACCAGAGTTTATTTCAAGAAAGTGGGAACGATTTGAATGGTTTGGCATTTATTTTAAATTTCCCGCCGGCTTCAAAGGGTTTCGATGGAGCTCATTTGCTGCAAACGTGATATTTTTAAAAATCTCATTATTCTCAATGGAGCGCACTTGTTGCCAAACTATAGTCGATTTGAAACCCAGTCCACCCACCATTTTCCCAATGAATCATTCGTCAAAAAAAAAACACAAAATTTATTTATTTAAAGTAGAGAATGAGAAAAACAAAAAAAATTTGACAAAATTCACAAGAAATTGCACGTCGATGTCGCCGCCTTCGTCGGCGTTCCGAACTAGAATATTCGATTCAAGGCAAAAAAAAATTGGTTGAATCGAGCGCGCTTCTCAACAACGCCACTCGGCGGTCGCTGTGACGCGTGTCGAGTGCTCGACGCGATGGCCCGCACGATGTCCGCCGGACGCGGTGTTGTTCTGATAGTGGGTTTGCTTGGCGCGCGCGAGCTGCACGGCGACGATCGCCGCCTCGATGGCGCGGCCGAGCATCTTCGGAGCCGCATCATATGGTCCGATTTCCTCAAAACATCTCCAATTTTGGTAGGCCCGCTTTTCCCCCCTGTTCAACCTCATAGGTGAATATGCCTTTCGCGGCGATGAATGACGAGGAGAAGTCGAAAAATAGCACAATTACCGCGTCAATTAACGCCAATTTGTTCACCTAGACTTAATTGCTTAATTGATCTGATGCGGTTGATTAATTACCCGCGACAACTTCTCAGAGTTTTTCAGTTGGATGCGATTGATGACGAAAAGCTTGACGCAAAGGAAGACGAGAAATGTTGCGGTGGTGCCGTACATTATCTAAAGGACCTCTGCTGACGTCATTGGGTCCGAAGCTCACCGTTTTGTTCATCGCATAGTAGCCGTTGAAGCATGAATATTCGTCTGACATGTGAACACGATGCACTCGAGATTCGGCGTGAATCGATAGGCGCACACGACGTAGAGCACGATGGCGTCGAGCGATGAGACCGAGAGCGCGACGAGTGGCAAAACGAATTTGTGGAGTTTCGCACGATAGTTATGAAATTCGGCCGGGAAATAAACCGCCTGAAATTCGAGAATTTCGCCCGAGTTTTGAAAGACGCGCCCCTCATGCGCCTTTAAATTGTTTAAAGGCGCAACTATCACTCTCTCTCTCTCTAATTGCCACCCTACTAAAAATGTCGGCAGATCAAATTCTATGTACCAATGTCCTCTCGGCGGCGATGAGAAGCGAGGTGAAGACGCGACACGTCGCCGAACTCGACACCACCAAACCGAGCCAATAGCCGACGGTGCTCCGAATCGGCGTCACGTCGCTGTGCACCGAGACGATCAAATTGAAATAATAGACGGACGCTGAAATTATTGCGGCTTGAAAAAACCAACAACGAAGCCGATTTACAAGTGGCCGTCATTATAAAATCGGCGATGAATCGAAAAAAGAATAGCTGATATTCGTATTTTCGTCGAAAATATGGATGGCTGAAATTGGAGGTGTGACGAGAATTTGATCGGGGCGCGTCTACCTCAACACAATATGGACATTGTAGAAGCCGACGACGGCGGCGGCGAACGACGACACACATCCGAGTGTTGACATCAGACACGGAATCAGGCCATCGTCGTCTTCTTTTTGTTCTTGCCGCTGAAAATGACATCGACTGAGGTGGACCACCGATCATCAAACATTTTGAGAGCCGGTGGGAAAATGTGAAAAGTCGCGTTTGAGCTTTTTTTTTGAGGGGGCTCGATGTGAAAATTGAGCCCCGTCGTGTCATTTATTTGAATCCTTGAATCATCGAGGCTCGAAATTGAAAATTGATCGTGATGGAACTTGAAATTCGAAATTTGAAAATGTATGCTTGATAGCGAAATATGTGAAAAATTCGATATGGCGTGAAAAATAAAAATAAACAAATAATTTTGTGATACTCAACGCTCCGCCCCCACCGCCGTGCGCCTTTAACTTTTTTTTTAGCGAAAGAGAGATTTTTTCAAGCATCTGGATCATTGGGCTTAAAAAGAAAAATCAATTCCGAAGTTTTATGAATTGAAATAGTGGGGGTTTGAAAAGTGCATTAACCAAACCAAAAACGATTTTTAAAAAATTTACGGGCATCAAAATTTGAAAATAATATTCAAGACATCGATTTCACACGCTGTGCTTCGGTTTTGACGGTGCGCGCTGTCATCAGCAACGCGACGACGGCGTCGACACTGCAGATGGCCGATTTGAGCACCGAGTTGAATGGTCCGAGCTCCTGCAAAAATTTGAGTTGAATCGCGAAGGAGGGCCTCGTGATCTCCGACCGCCGTCGAAACCAGGCGTTGGTGAAAGAAATTGGTGAGCACGAATGGCGTGAAGTCGAAAGTCAATGTCATGAGCACATCGACGAGACACAATTTGCTCGCCTGCAATTTGCTCGTCGAAACCAGGAACCAGTGAAAGTCTAACCCGACAGAGATCGTTGCTGAGCATCACGTGATTCATCAGAACTATTCTGACGAGCAGAATCATTGTGACCAATGCGGTTAGGGCGCCAATCGTCAGCTTGTAATTGTTATAGATGGTGGTGAAGCAGAAGTTCCAGGTGCACACGAACACCGAGCATGATTTGAGGAACGGTTCGACGCCACAAATATGGAAGTAGAGGAGATCCTCGAACGCCGAGCCGATTGATATGAGAGGAATGACGGCCACTAGGGGCACCTTTTTGCGTTGAACGTGATATTGGAATGGGAAGCAGATGGCCTATAATTGAATGGAAATTGGGATTATTAAAGGCGCATGGTGATGCTCATTGAAGATTAAAGCTTTTTTTGGGGGGGGGGGGTATGAGTAGCTTGAAATTAATTAAAACCAGAAGGTTGAAGTTTCTCTGGAAAAAAGTTTTTTTTTTGAATTTTCAAAAAAATTGATTTTTGGTGTGTACACACGTACGCAAAATTGCACACATTAGATTTTTTTTTGTTTTGGCCGCCTCCTCACCAAAACGCGCTCGATCGCGATGAGAAGTGCGAGAATGAAGCGCGCGGCGACGACGTTGGACCCGAAATCTCGTAGAAAATCGCTGCAAAAGGAAAGAAGAGGATTGATTTAGAGCTCGAATTGCTCACAAACAACGCCGAAGACAAGATCCAACACGAATCGAATATAGAACAATTGGTAGTCCGATGAGGAGGTCGCGATTCGATATCTGACAAAACTAAACATTGGGCTCAATTGCTCAAATCCTACCCACCGGAATGCTCCAATGTGTTTGGTGAACTTCGATTTTTGATATTTTTCAGTAATTTGACAATTTCAGATATAATTTTGTATGCCTTTAGGGTATAGTATGAATAGCATTCAAATCAGTCGCTGCGGGACTCAACTGTGTGCGCCTTTAATTACCGTATCCCAACAAGTGACTTCTCAATTATTATTTTTTGATATTAGAAATTTTCATAAAAATTGTGATTTAAAGGCGCATGCCGCCGGAATCCGCATTCAGAAAATTCAAGCTACATGTGAGGTGTGCAAACACGGCGACGCCGAATTGCACAAGACATGATTTTCAGCACAATGTTAAAATGTAAATTTGGGTAAAAACTAAATCACAGAAATATAATAAAAATCGGTTTTTGACAAAATGCGCCCCATTGCCAACGTGGCCAGCTTCTCAGAGGCAATGCGCCTTTAAAAAAATGGCGCAACATATATTTATTCAAAATCATCGCTTCGATTTCGTGCCCTTCGCGACCTTCATCCTATCCGACTTCTTCTTCGCCAATTTCAGCGTCTTCTTGGTGGCGGTGGCTTTGGAGCCCTGCTCAATCATGTCATCGGGAATCATGATCGACTTCATCGCCGGTTCATCGGCGGCATTCGGCGCGGCGGCATTCGTCGTCGACATCGCACGCTTCGCGTAGCCAAGCTTTCGTTCCGGCGGAGTTTCCTCCTAAATCCGATTTGAATCAATATGATCCGAATCGAACACCTACCAAAGCCTCCTTCGAGAATCGCCTCGGATTGAACGGAGCGCCCTTCTTCGCCTCATCCTTCTTCACCTTCTCATCCGATTTGACGCGCTTCGTCGGCTTCGGCAGATTCTCCCATGGATCAGTCCTAAAGAAATCCGTCGACTCCTCCCATCGATAGACGATCCGCTGTTTCGCCTTCTCGTCCTTCCATTTCACGTAGGTCGTCAGTCGGTCCGTCTCCCAATCATACGGGTCCGTCCACGAAGCGCCGCATTTCTCGAGAATGCCTCGAAGCGTCTGATAGATCAATCTGAATCGTCAAGTGTGAGTGGAGAGGAATCGCCGAATGCCACTCATACTCATAATCCGGCGACATGTAGTAGTTGCAGCTCTTCAAATTGTCGTCAATTTTTGCGAAGACGTCTAGAATCGAAGTGTTCGACGCTGTAGACTCTCTCGCAAACTCATACCATTCTTGAACAACGCCTGAATCGTCGTTCGATTCTTGATGTCCTCGATCGGGGTGTCCTCATTCTCCGGCAGCGTCCACGGCAGCGGATTGGTCATCTCGGCCATCATGTACATCAATGACCACACGTCATCGGCGCGTCCCTAAAAGCATCCAATCATCACCATCCGAATCATCGGCCTACCAGCTCAATCTGATTATGGGCGTTCGGCGAAGCGTACTGTTGAGTTCCGCGAAAATCGGTGTGTGGTCGCGCCACTCGGAATCGATACACTGGACCACTATTCGCTTCCACCATCATGCTCTTCTTAGCTTCCTGAATTTCTTTAGAGCTATTCTAAGGGACCATCATCACCGACGTACCGCACACTCAATATCGCATTTCGAGGCTTCAATTGCCGACGGAAGCGATGGTTCCTGCTTCTTCCTCATCGACTGCGTGATTTTCGCCGTCGCTGACATCTTGTTCGTCAGCCGCCGATTGATCTTGTCGAGATGGCTTCGCTTCTCGCGTAGGCTCTCGCGCGGTCGCGCCTTCACCTCGCGCTCATCGCTGTGCTGCTCGTTCGACGATCGATAGACGTTGTGTTGGCGCGCCGACGCGCTCTGCTTGAGGACGAATCGACGCGCGAGGCCGAAATCGAACAGAAACACCATGCGGCCTTTGAGCGCGTCGTCGACGCTGAGCCCCATCGCGAAGTTCGACGGCTTGATGTCGCGATGGACGAAGCCGCTGTCGTGGAGAAGCTTCACACTGAAATTTGAGAATCGCCGAGAATCGCCGACGCGCCGCCTACACATATAAGCACTGAATGCCGATTCGAGTCCACGTGCTCGGCGAAAGGCAATCGGGATTCGAGCTTTTGAATCGCAACGATTTGAGATTCTCGCCGAGAAGCTCCATCACAAGAAAATGATATTTGGGCCGCTTGCCGGCCTGATAAACCATCGGAAAATGCGGCACCTTTTTCGCCTTCAAATCCATTAGAACGTCGATTTCGAGTTTGATCGCCGAGCCGCCCTCTTGCATATTTGACTCAATTTTCATCGCATAAATCTTGTCGTTTTTGCTGACTTTGAACACCTGCCCAAAACCGCCTTCGTCGATTTTTTCAACAATTTTGTAACCAGAAACGCTGGAAATTCTCTTTTTCGTTTTTGCTTTGGGGTCTCCTTACGTGTCCCCAATATTGAAGATCAACGCTTCCTCTTTTTCGCCCGACATTTGCGACGCGTCTGATATTGGGGTAGAAATGAGCGGAAGCGCGCGAATCGCCGCTATTTCAAGCCAATATCGGGACCAACACGTCGGCACGCGGCATCCAAGATTTTGTCCGCAGATAAGAATTGCTATATGTAGTCATTGTCGGGCTCCGCGGTATCGAAATTTTCGATTCAGCGAGCGCCCGAAAATGTCATTTTGATTTTCTTGCGCCTTTAAATTTCAATGAGAATGCTTCTAAATTCGAAAAAATAATTGTTGTGCAATGGAGCGTACTTGCATCCAAAGAGAGAATTTGAAAAACTTCGTGACCTCCTTCTAAACTCGAAAATACTATTTTGTGCAATGGAGCGTACTTGCAGCCAAAGAGGGAATTTGAAAAACTTCGTGACCTCCTTCTAAATTCGAAAAAATAATTGTTGTGCAATGGAGCGTACTTGCATCCAAAGAGAGAATTTGAAAAACTTCGTGACCTCCTTCTAAACTCGAAAATACTATTTTGTGCAATGGAGCGTACTTGCAGCCAAAGAGGGAATTTGAAAAACTTCGTGACCTCCTTCTAAATTCGAAAAAATAATTGTTGTGCAATGGAGCGTACTTGCATCCAAAGAGAGAATTTGAAAAACTTCGTGACCTCCTTCTAAACTCGAAAATACTATTTTGTGCAATGGAGCGTACTTGCAGCCAAAGAGGGAATTTGAAAAACTTCGTGACCTCCTTCTAAATTCGAAAAAATAATTGTTGTGCAATGGAGCGTACTTGCATCCAAAGAGAGAATTTGAAAAACTTCGTGACCTCCTTCTAAACTCGAAAATACTATTTTGTGCAATGGAGCATACTTGCACCCAAAGAGAGAATTTCAAAAACTTCGTGACCTCCTTCTAAACTCAAAAAACTATTTTGTGCAATGGAGCATACTTGCACCCAAAGAGAGAATTTCAAAAACTTCGTGACCTCCTTCTAAACTCAAAAAAAGTATTTTTGTACAATGGAGCGTACTTGCATCCAAAGAGAGAATTTGAAAAACTTCGTGACCTCCTTCTAAACTCGAAAATACTATTTTGTGCAATGGAGCATACTTGCACCCAAAGAGAGAATTTCAAAAACTTCGTGACCTCCTTCTAAACTCGAAAAAATAATTGCTGTGCAATGGAGCATACTTGCACCCAAAGAGAGAATTTCAAAAACTTCGTGACCTCCTTCTAAACTCAAAAAAAGTATTTTTGTACAATGGAGCGTACTTGCAGCCAAAGAGGGAATTTGAAAAGCTTCGAGACTTGGTTCTCTTATTTTTTTGAAATTAATTAATTCGCCTCCCCTATGAAAATATTTTGCTTTTCGCCTAATTACACCTGGCCTCATTTTTTTGTTTCGGCATATTTGCTCGAAATGCACCGCGCCTATCATCCGCTGCTCCCACCGATTGCGATTTTCTATCTTGTGTGCTCATTTGTGGGCGTCGTCGGCAACGGCATCATGATTGTCGCGTTCCTCAAATTCGGGTATGGCGAAGCAACCCGCAATGCGCCTTTAAGAATAAATCGAGGAACTCAGTTTTGACATAAATATATGAATTTATGTATTAGATACCGCCTTGAGCAATTGTGGACCGTCGCACCTTGATTCTGCGTTTTTCTATTAAAATACCGCCAAAGTCCGTGAAAATTCATACGCAAAATTGCACACATTTTTGCATTTTTTTTTCTCAAAAGATTCAATCATGTTTTTATGAGGAAAACCCATTTTTTTATTTCTGTTTATCGCCAATTTTTTTTTGTTTTTTGCGTTTTCATTTTTTTTCGCCCTCCGACTAATTACCATTTCCATGTATGGCAAATTCCCCGGTGGGCGGGAGCCAGGCTTAATCGCAATTTTCGCCCACCGCGTGCGCCTTTAATCCAGTCTCTCACAAAAGATATATGAAACGCATAAGAATTTCCCAAATTCGAAAATTTCTTTAATAAAAATGCTACCCTTTAAAGGAGGATGGAAGATTCTTCATCTGAAAAAATCTACCATCAATAAAATAATTTTAAAGGCGCACAGCTTGTTTCTCAAATTTTGAACGATTTTCTCCATAAAAAAAGGCATTGTCAATAGAGCGCACTTGCAACATTAAATACATATTGAAATAAATGTGTGCAATCACTGTGACGCAAAAGCGCACACATCAGAGAATTGTTGAGGCGTCTTCGCTCGCCATGCCACTACATGATCACAATGAACTGCCTTGCCGATCTCCTTCACGTCAGCGGCCATGTCGTTTTCGCCTACCACGTCCTTACCGGAGGTAGAATATTCCGAAAATTCATCGCTGTGCAAATTGTCGTCAATTAAAACGCACAAGTCCGCAATCGAATTTCAAGTTGATTCTCAATTTTCAAAATGTTCCAATGCATTAAATTTGACGACAATTTGCACACCGAGATGCGGTTTTCTCTTTTTTTTCAGACAGCTGCTCCCAAAAGACATGCTACTTCATACAATTCCTACCATGTGTTGGATCATGCCTTGGAAGTCCGCTGATCATGGTTCTCGGAATCGATCGAATGATCTGCTGCCGATTCCCGAGGCAATATCGCGATTGTCTCAACGCGCCCTACCGCTATACGATCGCCCAAATGGTCTTCCCGTTCGCGTTCGCATCGACGTTAATGTATATCGCGTTCATCGAGAGGGATCCGAATTCGGACAAGTTGTCTTCTTTTTTGGGTGGGGGGGGGGACGATCCAGAAAAGAAAAGAAAAAAATTTGAAGATACGCCTGTTTTCGTTGGATTCGCATCGAGACCCATCGCATCAATATACGGAATGCGTCTTTAAATACCGTAAACAAAAACATTGACGCTGAGATACGGTAGTTTAAGACGCATGCTGGGTATTTATACGATGGGTCTCGATGCGAATCCACCAAAAATACGGGTATCTTCGATTCTTTTTTTTCTTGCTTTGCCCTATTTTGGAATTTTGGTTTTCAAAATAGGGCAATGTAAGTTTTTGCGGAAAAAAACGACATCTGAAATTGCAGCCAAATCGCGTGCATCATTCCGATGGCGATGAGGAATCGAGCATTCGAATATTTCAACTATGCCGGCGCGTTTGTGAATCTCACTATAATTTGCTTATACAGCTACACGGCTTATGTATTATGGTGCCAAGAGGATCATGAAAGTGAGCGATTCGCAAAAAAATTGCACCTGTGCAATTTGCCGTCAATTATAGTGCATTGTCCGCAATGGCGATGCACTAAAGTGTAAAGCTTTGTGTTGAAATGCATCTGGAATTATCGTATAATCAGTATTCGAAATATTTTGGGAATTTTGAAATTGAAAAAAATTGTTTAAAGGCGCATTATGAGCTGAGTAGAATTCTGGCAACATTGTGACATTTTTTGGATCGCGAACCACAAAATTTTCAGATTTGAAATTGCGCTCGGTGTTCAAATCAATATTCGCCACAATGCTATTCGTGATGTTCGGCTGGGCGGTGACATTCATCGTCAACAACGTGTCGTTCCGAATCTCGCTGGCCACCGACGTCGCCGGAATCGTTCAGATATACGCCGGCATTTCGGTGAATCTCTCGCTCGTTTGCAACGTCTTCATCTTCTATTCGATCAAGTGAGAAAGAATTTTAAAAAGAAGAAAAAAATTGGTTGGATTTTTCATAATTTTTTTTGAGGAAGCTCGAAATAAATTATTTTAAAATAGATTTTTTATAATTTTTTTTCTTGCAGTTCCGATTATCGCAAATGCATTCGACGGCTCGTTTTCACGAAATTTGAGCCCGATTTCGCACTATCGGAAATTCCAACAATTTTTGTGAAAAATTGAGAATGAATGGTTGAGAATTTTCTTTCGTTGATATTTAAAGGCGCATGTCGCCTGGTTTTGAGGCGATTTCTGCAATTTGCTAGATCTTCTTTCGTTCAAAAATTTTTTCAAAACGCAGGTTACGGTAATTCATTGTGTACCAAAGCGCAACATCTTACGAAGCGTTGCACCAATGGAAAAGGGTTACTGTAGAAGAATTTAAAATTAAAAATTATTATTATTTTTCTATTTTTTTAAAATGATTTTTGAATAGCGCCCCAAATTTCAAATTAATTGTGTGCAATTTCGCGTGCGCGTGTACGCACTTTTTTATTGTTCGAGCGTCTCGTCGAAGAATTTCAAAAATTCGTGCTGCCGACAATTTTCGGTGGAAGACAATTTCAGCATCATCTGAATTCAATTGGCATCAGAATTTCGGCGAATCGCCCAAATGAATCACTCGCTTTAAAGGCGCATCAGGTTGAGGATGCGTGGTATTCAAAAATCATAGACCTCATTTTCTAAAATTTTAATTCGAATCGCGATTTTTTGGGAAATTAAATTTACTTAATAAAAATAGTTTTAATTAGTATTTTTTTTAAAGAAACTTTCGTCGCCTCCGAAAAAAATATTGTCATGCGCCTTTAAGGAAAAAAAATAATGTTTCTTTTTTTCAGTGACCCTTAAAAATGTGAGTCCAATATTAATTTTCTGTTGCCAAAAGCGCACCGCACAATTTTTTCTGTTCGTACACGCGCACGCAAAATTGCACACATTTCGAAATTCATCGCACTTTGAGGGAATTCCAATTCAATTTAAACTGGATTGCCATTAAAGGGATGGTCGCGAAAAAAGGGGCTGGTCGAGTGTGAAAACACGATTCGATCCTTTCGGTCGCCAATTATCCCGGCGGTCGGGAGAAGGCCGCGCGCGAAATGAGGTCATCCCAACTGCTGGCGGAGAATCATTCAATTTCTCTCTCTCTCTCTCTCTCTCTCTCTCTCTCTCTCTCTTTCAAACCTCAATTTGTTTTTTTGTTTTTGAAATTCTCTTTCAGATGGCCATATTTGGCAATCCGTTGGGCCTATTTCAAGATTTTCTCGCCAATTGCTTCTACCAATACGGCATCATCATCAGTCGTCATCCGCGATTGTTCGCGCTGGGACCATTATGCCTCACGATTGTGTTGTCGTTGGGCATCTTGAATATGCGCACCGAGGACGACCTGCGATTCTTGTACTCGCCGGAGCACTCGTTGTCGCGCGTCGAATACAATGTGCACAAGGAGTTCAGCGGTGATTCGCACAATAAGTAAGCGAATACATTTTTTTGCTAAAAAATCATTTTCCTAATTTATATTGATATAATTACTAATTAAATATGATAACATTAACTTTTTAATTAAATGTGGGTCCATAGAGGATCTTTGGTGATCCCTAAGAGACTGAATGCTCTTTCTCAACAGTTTAAGCTTCTATGATGATCAGAATTAATTTTTTTTTCACTAAAATACCTCAATAAGCGTTTTTTGAATGACCTCTTTCGCTTCTTCACTTTTATTTTTATTTTTCTATTCATCCGGGAAATTTGACTTTTCTCCGGACATCTCGCAATTCCAAAGTTTCCGTTTTCACGATTAAACCTAAAATTAAACGCAAAAAAAAATAATTTTAACAAAAATCTAAACAAAAAGGCAAAAAGAATAAATAAAATTGCTGGAGTATTAAATTTAAATTTTAAAAAAATTAAAAAAATTAAATGGCCGTGGACGAATTTTTCGCGGCCGCGTAAGTCATTTTAAAAAATTATTTCATTATCACACGAATTGCAGCTCGTTCGTCGCCGTCACCGTGCAGGCGAGCGGCGATGACAAGAATCTGCTGCAGAAGGCGATCGCGCAGAACATCACCAAACTCAACAAGCGTGTTCTCGATGAGATGGAGGTGATCATCGATGGTCGATCGATCAATTTCGGCAAAGAGATTTGCTCGAGAATGAAGCAATGCGAGCTCAGTAATACAATTGTCTCAATATTTTTGGACACTTTTTGGAGCGAGAAGGTGAGCTGATGATCCATGCAATTCTAGAAATTCGTTGGTTTCAGCTGCGAAAAGATCCGCGAATCTCATTCGAGTACCCGACAATGAAATTCTTTGACAATAAATTCTTCCTTCCCACACACTTCTACGGCGTCCGAACTGGCGGACCACTGGGCATCGAGTACATCGATATGATCCATTTGATCTATCAGATTCCGTCATATCGCGATGTGATTCAACTCGCGAAAATAATGAAATGAAATGAGGCTTGTCGTTTTGCAGAAAACTTCCGATCAGGTTTCCAAGGCTTTCGAAATCGCTTTAAAGGAAGTGCTAGCGAAGGAGGACTATATCGAAACGTCAATGTTCAGCTTGTCAATTTTAAGGGTTAGACGGTTTTTTGGAGAAATTCCAATAAAAATTGTTAATAGTAGGAAAAAATTAAATATTTCACACTTGATGAATTCTCTATTATAAATTCTTTAAAGCTTTTCAAGACGAAAAAAAAAACGGAAATCAATTTTTTTTATTTTTCGTTCAAAATTTCAGGATGAGATGCAGAAGAATGCAACGTACACTATTCCATTCATCTCGCTCACCGCGCTTCTCCTCATTTGCTTCACCGTCGCCTCATGGTAATCAAGCAAGAGTATATGTTGTAGAAATCACCCCTTATTTGAAGCATGACTGACAATTGGGTGACATCGAAGCCAATCGAAGCGATGATTGGCATTCTCGTCTCATCGATGGCGATCGTTTCAACCGGCGGCCTTTTGTTCGCTTCCGGCCAGCCGTTCATCAATCAGGTCACCGTCATGCCGTTCATCGCCCTCATTATTGGCGTTGACGATGTGTACGTGATGCTCGGCGCGTGGCAGGACACCAAACGCAATTTGCCGCCGGAAAAACGGATGGCACTAGCGCTCGCTGAAGCCGGAAGCGCCATCACCGTCACGTCGATCACCTCGGTTTTGTCGTTCGGCATTGGAACGTTCTCGACGACGCCGGCAATCGCGATTTTCTGCCGATTCATTTGCGTCGCCATCATGTTTGATTGGTTCTATCAGGTTCGTATTGAATTAGCAAAAAAAGAATCGGAAAATGTAATAAAACTTATTTAACTATCGGGTTACGGTGGTTTGTAAAACAGTGCAACCACTGCATCGTAAAATTACATACGACATTTTGAAAATATTTTTTTATCCATTTTTTGCACGTGAAATGAAGATTTAATCCCAAATTTGGTAAGTTTTGCCCACTTTTCCAACATAAACTATTAAAAAATTAAATATATCACATGTTTCAGTTGACATTCTTCGCCGCTGTGATGGCAATGGGCGCGAAACGCGAAGCCGCTGGATATCATTGCGTTTTCGTTTGGAAACGATGCGATCGTGAGGAAATATTGAAAGGAAAAAGCGAGCAAGTCGTTTCGCCAACGAGATATTTCTTCGAGAACATTTTTTCGCCATTCATTTGCCATCCGATCGTAAGAATTATAATGGTAATCGATTATTGAGTTTATTGAAACGTTTTTAAAATTTGCCATTTTTAGCTAGTCGTCTACGCATTCTACATTCTCGCCTCATTCTATGGTTGCTCTCAACTCGAGCCAAATCTGACGCCGTCAAGACTTGTTGTCGATGATTCGCCACTTATACCATATCTTCATTTGGCGGAGAAGAAAATTTGGGCGGAAGGATTGATTGGAAGGATTTACGTGAACAAGGCTCCAGATTTCAGCAAGCATCCGGAACAGGTCAGTTTTCTGATTATTTATGGTAGTTATTGATCGAAGGACAATTGCCAAACATTTATTAAATATTCAAATATCAGAGATTCGACGTTTGCAGATTGACCGTATGCTGAGCATGGTACACGAGCTCGAATCTACCCCATACTCAATGGGGCCGAATTCGACCAACTTTTGGCTCAATGATTTCAACAATTATAGGCAATTTTTCTCACAAGATGACAGCAAGTAATCAAATTGTTCTTTTAAATTAATTAGCTGACATTTTGAGATTCTATGAGACCCTCAAATCATTCCTTCAAGTCTCTTTTAACAGCCATTGGGAAACCGATATTGTCTGGGATTCACCGGATAAAAGCTTCAAGGTATTTTTAAAAAGAAGGCTTTTCTTTTTCAAAAAAATTCAATATACAGACTGGGAAAAAGGTGGAGAAGTTTGTGCTCACGACGGCGTTCAAAATTTCCGATTGGAACGTTCGAACAAGTCTGCTCTTGAGCTGGAGGAACATCACCTCAAAATATCCCGAGTTCGACGCGATGGTCTTCGATGAGAACAACTTCTACAGCGATCAGGTAACAGTTCATCTGAAAATTTGTGGAGACTCGCTGGTTTAGATGCTCGAACTTCAAACCACAATCCTGTCGTCGTTGGGCACCGCGATTCTAACCCTCATCACCGTCTGCGTCCTATTCATCGCCGAGTCATCCATCGTGTTCTGGGTCGTCTGCACACTGATCTCTATGGACATCGGCACCGCCGGATTCCTATCGTTGTGGGGCGCTGATCTCGATCCAACCACCGTTGTCAACATCCTCATGTCAATCGGTCAGTGTATCGATTTCGCCACCCATGTGGGCTACCGAATCTATCGATCCGAATATTCGGATCCCGATATGCGAATCCGAGATGCGCTGGGAGCCATTGGATGGCCTATTGCGCAGTCAGGCCTCTCCACCCTATTAGGTATAAAGCATGAAAGGTTCAAACGCTTTATTATCAATTTTAGCCATCATGGTGATGCTGATGGTCCCTTCCTCGGCGGTTCGAATGTTCGCGAGAACCAGTGTTCTGGTAGTTTCCACAGGCTTTTTCCACGGTCTTTTAATACTTCCAATAATCATAAGGTAAACAATTTCTTTATATGGAATGCGATCTACTTTTGGAGTTTCCAGATCATTCGCTTCAAACGCCAAAGCTCATGTCCCAACCCATCCCCATTAGTAGTCTTCTTCATATTTGGAAATTAGCGGGTTCATTATATATTAATTTATAAATATAAAAATTTAGCAAATTTCATAGCAATTGTTCGCTTTGAGCAGCATTATCGCGGCGAGTGTCTCATTCTTCCGCTGAATCCGTCCTGATTTGCCATCGTTGAGAATATAAGGCGGTTCCTGAACATCAAGATTCGAATCGCGAAATTGTCGACGTCTCACCATCGTGTCCAATCCGAAGAACCACGAATAGAGGTGAACGCCTCGGAGGAACGGACGAAACAGATTGCAAAACTCCTCGCCATCGGTCGTTCGATATTTTTCCGTGATGCATTCCGTCGAGCGTTCCATCGAGCAAAGGTGCACATTGAGAATCGTGTCGCGTCCCGAAACGTTATACCGATAGCCATAGCAGAAATTGTAATCCATCCATTCAAACTCGGATTTGTGATAGGTGGCGTTGAGGCCGTTCAGGTTGACGTGGCGGATCATCGGCGTTTTCGCGACCGGTTTCGTTCCGGAGTCTACAATCTGCATTCATTAGTATTCATACATCGGACCTCTGCATACATCCTATTGGTATTTTCGATTTGCTCTTCTTCTTGGGAATCACCAAACCCGGAAGTGCGCTTCTCGGATACCTCTTCTCACACCTAGAAGATGGTTTGAATGGGTCCCACACATGGGTCTCACTTGGACTGGCACTCCTCTTTGGTGAGAAAATTGTTGTTGCTCTTCCCGCACCCGGTGTAATGGAAGCCTTTGCATTGTTTCGCGCGTTTGTTATAATAGTAGCGATTCGACATTGCCTCACACCAGCTGCCGCGATCGAGCGATTCGAAGCACGGATCGGCGCCGGTCGGCTCGCACGTCTTCTGGCAGACGTCGAAAGTCTCGAAGCGATTCGCGTTGCCATCGCATCCGCCGTAGAGGAACTGATCGCACGTGCCGCGCGTCTGATTGTAGAACCATTGATAGCGCAACTGATTGCACGAGCCGGTCGACGGCGGAAACGAGCAGAACCCTGGAATCGACATCATTCGTCGGCGCTAGTCATATTGGCGTGCGTACTCGGATCGGCGCTCGGCTTCATGCCTTTGCACGTCTGTTGGCAAATGTGCTCGGTGGCGAACCGATTGCGATTCCCGCCGCATCCCGAATAGGTGAACTGCGAGCAGCGAGCGCTCGACGCGGTGTACGTCCAGCGCTGAAGCGCGACGACGCTCGAGTTCGTCGCGCACGTTCCACGATCGCCGGGCGCCTCGTAGCACACTGAAAGAAATGCGGCTTCAGACATTTCCGATGACGACAAGAATTAATGTTTTATTCATAAATATAAATATAGTGATTCACACAAAAAGAAAATGGCCAATTTATAATTGCTCGAGTTTCGCGCGAATCTTGCGAATCCCATATTTGGGCCTACCCTCACGACTCGCGCGCGGCTTCCTCTCGATCGCCGGTGTCTTGAGTGGTTGGCACGTTCGTTGGCACGTCTCATACGAATAGAAGTTGTTCGCGTTGCCACCGCATCCGAGATACCACATTTGCGAGCATTTGCCTAGAATTGAGCACAATTAGTGGGGCGTGGTCCCTAATTGGCCAATTACCATAATTGCGATCGTAGTAGAATCGGAAGCCGGCTTGCGGCAGGCAGTTCTCATCGTTCTTCCCATATCCAATGTGCATCGGAAGATGGCAATCCATTTCGGCCTCTGAAAATCCGGAAATTTGTCGGCAGAGCTTCTATGCATGTACCATTCATTGTGTTGAATACGTAGCACGCGGTTTGACACTGGCTCATCGTCATGAAGCGATTCGAGTTGCCACCGCATCCCGAGTAGGCGAACGCGCGGCACTCCTTCGTCGTTCGATCATAGTAGAACGCCGGATAGGTGTCCTGGCACGAGCCGATCTCGACCGGCTCGAGACATCGATATTGCGAACCATCATCGGTGGCCAACTGCGACGAGATCTCGAATCCCGGATGTTGGCAGTTCGACGTGCACGACTTCTCGTCGGGAAAGATGTTCTGAGACGGCGACGTGCAACCGTCCCACCAGAACGAGACGCAATCGCCGGACGATTGCTGAAAATCCATCAACGGCGTGATCTAGTGATTCTGCGAGGTCTTACGTCGAAGTACCACTTCTCGATCCACTTGCCATCCGAACAGGATTCCGTGTACTTCGGATCGAATTTGTCGGCGCACATGGCTGAAATTAAAAGACTGCTATTAGTACGTCACCGTTCGAAGGAGACGGCTACCGGGAGCTCTCTCCTCGCGCTTCCTCTCGCAGATCCACTGGCACGACTCCAAAGTGCTGAAGATGTTCTGATTCTCGCCTTTGCAATTTCCGAACCTAAAAACCGCATCATTGAGCATCCATCCCCCAAGGGGGGGATCAGATCCTACCAGAACAATTTGCAGATTCCCGAATGCATGTCGAAATAGTAGTATTGTTGGGGTCTCGAATTCGAGCAAGATTTTCTGAAACAAAAAAATCAATACTAGAAGCTCGAGATCAAGAGATCGGATTACGTGTAGCTCTCATCGAACGGCTGAACGCAGGCTTCTGAAAAGAATCGATGAATGCGAATCGGAATAGGTGGTCGCCATTCTTACGCGTCAGCTCTCGCGGCGGCGATTCGCACAACTCCTGACATCGCCGCATGTCGGTGAAGAAGTTCGCCGATTTCGCCTGACATCCGCCCCAATGGAACGCGACGCACTTCTTGCGATCGTGATCGAAATAGAATCTGCTGGTGAACTCGCCGTGTCGGCAATCTTCCAGGTATTTCTCATCGAACGCTTCCAAACAGGATTCTGGAAATTTTCGAATTTTGTTTTCGAGCGCTCAATGACTCTGAATCGGACTTCCCGCCGGCTGCGGATGCCTTCCTTCGCACTTCCATTGGCAAGTCTCCAAATCGTCAAAATTGTTCTTCGACGTGCCGAAACATTCATTACTCCAGAACATTCGACACATCCGCGTGTCCTTGTCGTAATAGTACCTAAGATCTCGACAATCCGTGTCCGAATCACATGCGACGCCGTCTACCTGTTCTTCCAAACCTTGCCGTCGCCGCAAACCGCCGCCAAGCTCTCATTGAACGCGTCGAGGCAATCGTCGGCGATCGTCACCGGATGATCGACGAGCGTCGAGTATTTGAGATCCGCGCGCGATTCGCGCTCGCGTTTCACATCGGCGAGCTTCCGATTCAGATCGGCTTCGAACTCGACGACGTGTGCCTTGATTTTGAGGATAAATGGATTCGAAAAGCCGCCTGCCGACACAACGCGCGCGGCGTCCGGCACGAAAATTACCGTTTGTGGCGTCGTTGACGGTTCGGTTGAGGCGTCGGAAGAAGTCGACGCGTGAGCCGACGGAAGCGGCGTCGCGAATTTGTGCGCGCACGCGGTTTTGCATGTCTAGAATTTGCCATCAATGGTTGCTCGAAGGATTCTCAAATGCGATTTTACCGTTTTATCGAACCAAATATTCCTGGAGCTCGTCTGACATCCACCATACCAGAACGCCTTGCAAGCTTCCGCCTTCTTGTCGTAATAGCTTCTCACCACCCATTGATCGCCAAGGCAATCCTCGTCCCACTTTGGATCATATTCATCATCGCATGGATCGTTGATCGAGCGCGTCGCGTGCGTCGACTTCTCGGTCGTCGTCGTCGGCGCCTCCTTCTCAATTATCCGCGCCACCTCGACGTCATTGATGTCGTATCGGACGAAGTCGTTGCTCGATGACTGAATGCGATGCACAAATTCCTCGGGCTTCGCGAAGCCCGGATGCTCGCCGGTTTTGATGTCAGTGAACACACGATCAACGTGACTGAAGAATGACGGCTCTTCCGATTTTTGTGGTCCCTTGGAGACGTTCACAATGTTCACCGGTGGCTTTTCGGTGCTCGACGGCGCCACCACTTTCACCAATCCTTTGGTGATCGGCGGCCGGACCTCGCGCAAATTGTTGTCCAAAACTAGCGCTTCATAATGCGGCGGCAATTCCGATGGGAACAGATCCTCGGAATGCGGGTAGATCAACTTCAACGACGTCGTCAGTCGATCGAAGCGCGGCGCCAACGTCGTCGGAATCGCCGCTATCATGATCTTCTGCGCGAATCCGTTCTCGGCGGCGTACTTGTGCGCGCAAATCGCACGACACACCGCGTGATTCGGGAAGAAGTTCTGCGTTTCGACGACGCATCCGCCGTACCAGAACGATTTGCACGCGCCGCGATCCGGATTGAAGAACCATTTGATCTCCTGCAACACAGCAAATCCGTTTGGCAAACTGTTGGGAGACGTTACCCATTGATCGCCAGCGCAATCCTCCTCCAACTTCGGATGAAGCGGCTCGTCGCAAAAATCGCTAGGCTTGTCGATCTGCTTCAACGTCTCCTCGACCTTCCTCTTCTCGGCTTCCACGAAATCGTCGAAGCTCGTCGTGGTGCTCTGAGGTGATGTCGAGCTCACGGTAGCGGTTGTAGTTGGTGTCGATCCTGTCGGTAGTGTTGTGAAACCCGAAGGTAGCTCCATAAGCTTCTTCTAAACATCGAGAAATGGTCAATGGTGATGAGATTCAGAAGGTACCTTGAATTCTGCCATGTACTTCAATCGATCGAACTTTGTCGTCGCTGTCGGCTCTTTCGCGGCAAAATTGGACTCATACTTGGACGGCAACTTGTCAGGAAGCATTGATTCCTTATTCGGCTTGATCGCCTCATTCAGAATGAGATTCAACGGATTCCTTGGATCATAGTTCGGTCGCTCCACCTTCGGAGTAGTCGGTGGAGACGGAAGAGCCGGCGTCGCTGATGATTCAACGCAAGCTTCTTCGCAGCTCGTCGACGTCGCGAACACATTCTTCGACTCGTAGTCCAAATCGCCGCAAGACTTGTCATACCAAAAAGCCTCGCATTCCTACAAATCGATTATCGGAATCATGAGTGAACACGCGAATCGCTACCTTGAGATCGCTATTCCAATAGAATCTCTCATCCCATTCGGCCGAAACGCACTCATTCCGAAGGTCCGAATCAAACTCCATCGAGCACGTCGTCGTCGGAAGCGGCACCGATTTTTGGGTTGTCGTGCTGATTGAAAGATGATTCGGATTGAAGGTCGTTGTTGCCTCGATGTCCTCCAAATAATTTGTCGACGAGGTGTCGATTTTGAAGAACTCAAAAGTCTCTTGAGACGGTACCATTGATGTCGGGACCATTGGGGTTTGTGTGGTTGACGATGTCGCCTCAAGCTTCTCCGTCTTCGCAACACACTTGCTATGGCACGATTCGAAGTTGTCGAAGAAATTCTTGGCGGCCGTGTTTCTCGGATCACATGAGGTGTCGTACCAAAACGCTTCGCACTCCTAAACGACCATATTCCAGGGATCAAGGGAAATCAATGAACCTTGAACTCGTCATTCCAGAAGAAGCGCTCAACCCATTCGGCCGAAATGCACTCCTCGCGAAGCACCGCGTCGAACTTCTGAAGGCACGGATCTAAACCATCCATTGAGTTTAACGATTCTGTAAAAGAGATCCCCGCCCCTCACCATGATTCGGTGTGATCTCATTAACAATCTTCAACGCATCCGCGGCTTCCTTCTTTTGAAGATCGTGAGACACATCCTTGATCTCCGAAAAGTCCAAGTCGAGCTTCGGCTTGATCGTTGCCGGCCTCAAAGGCCAATCATCAACAGATAGTGGGCGTTCCGGCTGAACATAGGATGATGGGGAAGAGAGAAGATCAATCTTATAATGATTGCCTGAAGAAATGAATTCGATGCCAATATTATGTGACCATTTACGCTTATAAAGGTTCACTGAACTCGAAGGATCCTTAGCTTCCAAATAGTTGCGCTGTTGGGCGGCGCAGAGAATATCGCAAGTCTGCAATATTCGCATAAGGCATTCTGATCACCCGATTTGCGAACCTGTAGATCAGCGAAGAAGTTTCTCGACTTGGTCCGACACCCACCATAGAAGAATTGTTTGCATGAAGCGGTGAGTGAGTCATAGTAATACCTGCAATTGTATTGGGGGAGGATGCGCCTTTAAAAATCGTCCTACCTAATCTCCTGCCTTCCATTGTTGCAATCCTCCTCGGTGAGATTGATGTCGAACTCGTCTTGGCACGCTTCCGGGCCGATTTTGCAGGTGCCGTCGATTTGGAATCCGCTGTCGCATTCGCACTGCAAATCGCGATACATGTATTTGATTTACGCCCTCGCGCCTACCGTATACGAGCCGACGGTATTCACGCAACGCGAGTTCGGTCCGCATATCGCGCCGTTGTCGCATTCATTCAGATCTGAAATGCGAATTTGAATGCATTCCGAATGTCGCCTTTGCATTTGTTGATGAGCCCCATCTTAAGTTTGCCGCCGACTTACCGATGCACACTTTGCCCAGCGATCGGAAGCCTTTCATGCAGCCGCACACGCCGTCGATGCATGTGCCGAACAGCGGATCGCAATCGTTGCACAAGCCGTTCTCATGGACCGACTGAATATATACTTATCATGATGAAGAAAAATAAATATTGAAAATTGTAAATTCCGTGTGACGTGAATTTGAAGAGAAAAAAATCCATAAATGGATCTAATCGGATCAGATTGGTTGAATTCTGGATCCGAATTTTTGGTTTTTCATTTTTGAAGAATTTCTTCAAATTTTTTTTAATTGAATTTTTCGCGCTCATCAAAATCCCCAAAAAAAGCACTATAATTGACGCGATTTTACAGAAAATTGAAATTCCAGATTTGAATATTTCAGAAACACATTGTGCGCCTTTAAAAATTAAAAATTTTAATTTTTTAAATATCATATTAAAATAAATTTTCAAATTTCGAAATTTATTGGCGCTGGGTCTCGCAACGACCAATTTTGTTTTTTTTTTCAAATTATATAATTCCAAACTATTCAGACTTTTGAGATAGTAATAAATGCATCACAGGCGACCCAATATACCTTGACCAGGTTCATTTTTCTCACAGGCATCGTCTCAGGAGCCCTACGCGTCGTCGTCGTCGTCTCCATGGTGGTGGTGGTGGTCCCTTGAGTAGTCGTCGTCCTAAGCGTTCGTCGATGCTTCAACTCGGATTCCTGGGAGAGAGAAAAAAAGCGGTTCGGGCAATTCATTTTCGCTTCCACACTCTCATACCCTGTTCGGCCGTTTGACGCATCGATTGCGACAATGAGCGCGTCGCATGAACCGATTCGAATTGCCGCCGCAACCGCTAAATCATATGAGAGCGAATTCAGAGTCTTTTTTTGGGTTTGGGGGGGGGTTTCAGCGTGTTGCGATGTCGAATTGATGATTAAAACGACGAGAAGAAAAAGAAGACCTACGTGAAAGTGAATCGTTTGCATTCGTCGACGACCGGATCATAATAATAGCGCACGAGTTTTTGCGAGCATTTGCCGACGTCGGGTGGGAGCTGACGGAAAAAAAAAATCAAAAATTTGGATGTCGACACCAGTTTTGATGTCTCGTCTCCGAGGAATTTCACTTCAACAACTTTGCTTTTCAACTTTTTATAAAGAATAAAGTTCAAATGGAAGGCCTAAGCCCGTGTTCTACCGATTAAAGGAGCATGGTGTTGTTGATTATGAAGTTTCGAAATTCTTCAAGACCCTTTATCGAATCTGCCCCCATGCGCCTTTAAGCCATTTTTGGATATCTCCATTCGATCCTATGAATAATGGAATTTTTTTTTGGACAAAAAAAATTATTTTTCGAAATGAAATGGAATGCGCCTTTAAAATACAGTATGCTCTATTTAAAACATTTTTTGCAAAAATACCGTTCCTACAGTAATCCAACCTGACAAAAATCGATAGCGGTGGCCGCCTTGAGGGCCTTCTGCGCAACGGGATGAGTGCCGATGACCGGCTCCGTCGAATACCACGCGAGCTCTTTCGCGTCACGCGTGCTCACTAGTACGATGGCGATGAGAAGCGGTCGAAGCATGCCGAAAAATGAAACGGAATGCGGAATGTTGCGAGATGAGCCGAGTCGAGACAAAAATGCGAGAATCCATGAATAGTTGTTTGAAGGGGGGCGAGGGGGCGTGGCCCGAAACATCGGCAATGCATATGTCGACGCGTCGAGGCTGCGCTTCATCTCATCTCTCTCTCTCTCTCTCTCTCTCTCTCTCTCTCTCTCTCTCACACACGCTCTCATGGGTGCCGTCGACAGACAGTACATCATTAGCGTTCATATCGAATGAGCTTTTGGGGTGGAACTGGGTGACATTCAACCTTTGGCATTATAATTGTCGGGTGCGACGAACATGATTCCTAATGTCGTCATTTCAAATGTGGTAGTTTCTTTTAACAAAAATCACCTTTTTTTTAATTCGCGCCCTTTCGAGTTTTGGCGCGAAATTTGAATTGTTCATCCTCCTTTAAAACTAACAGCAGAAATTGATATATTTCTAGAAAAAGTTTTCCAACGGCTTAAATCGAAATTTGAATTACCGCCCATGGTCCACTTATTCTCATTTTTTTTATTATTTCATTATTCAAAATTTTGAGATACTGTAATTAAAGGCGCAGGCAGTTTTCGGTCTGAGTTTCACAAAGAAAAGCAACACATTGATAATTATAATATATTTATATTATGGATTTGATTTATAATTTATGCGACACTCTTATATGGAATCCCATCGGCGTCCTCAAACGCCGCGCGCATGCTACTCTGAAGTTTGAGCTCATCGATTGTGCTCATCGCCGAGCCGATCGCCTTGCATCCCATGATCGCCAAATGGAACGCGAGCAGCGTTTGCAGCGCGACAAGGAAGCTGAGAATCAGATCGAGATGGATCGGCTCCGTCGGCGAGACGAGCCAGCTCTCGTGAACTTTTGGGAACAAATGCGGGACCAATGGAAACATGCCTGAAGTGCTATTCGGTATTCATGCGAATTTTGTGTACTCACCAATTAAAAATGGCGCCAACGCGAGCATCATTTGCAATGCATTCGCGAGGAAGGCGAACATCGCCGCCGAGTAGTTGCCGGTTTTGACGGCGTAGATGCCGGCGAGCGCCGGGATCAGCGCGCCCGTCGCGAACACGTTCTCGACGCCGATGGCCCAGAGGGCGCCGGAGAGGACGCGCGCGACGCCGACGCCGAACATCGTGATGCAGCAGATCACCTGCATACAACAAATGAGGCTGACGCGATTCCAATTCACGTCGGTCGGCGTCAGCGAGAGTTGGCGAGCGACCGCTTTCGGCGACGGCGGCACGAAGACGGGTAGATTTGAGGCCAACGGCGTCGCCGGCGCCGCCATCGACGACGGCGGTCTTGAGATCATGTGAAGCGGCGGCGGCGGAATGCAGTAGGCGTCGATGGGCTCGCCGCGCGGCAGCGTCGCGATCGATGGATGTCGTTGCGGTGGCATCGGCGAGAACTCGCTGGGTCTCGGCAGTGTTCGACCATGGCTCATCGCCGACACCGATCTAAAGTGTTGATGGTGGTGCTGGTGTTGTGGAGGCGGCGCGCGACCCCACGTGAGCTTCTGCTCTCTTGTCAGTGTCGCCGCGCTGCTGCCGGGACGCGCTCGCGTCATTTTTGGCGTCGACGGCGCCGACGGCGGATCGTAGACGAACGGATTCGCTTTCGGCGGTCGCAGCGTGCCGGTGTGCACCGAATCTCCTGAAAATCGCACATCACACCAGACATTCATTCAACCATGTTTAGTCTACTCGTCGGTTTCGGCGTCGTCTGACTCTTGCTCAATGTCGTCGATCGGAACGGCGTGTACGAGTAGGATTGGCCCTCGTCCTAAATGAATCCCATATATGGTGATCTAGTTTTCCTCGACATAAATCGTATGTAAATACTACCAACAAAGGGCAATTAATAAATTTTGACAAATTGTTTAATTTCGCCTCGAGACCCAATCAACAGCGTCAAAATTGCAAAAATCCCCAATTCTCTAATTAAGCGGTTAATTACTCTAATTATAGCAACTATGTTCAATTTTTAATTATCATAATTACTAAAAGAAAAAGCCACAAGTCCATCTTTGTCACAAATTAATTCTTAATTACCGTTTCAAGCACAATGATATAAATGTTGAGTAATCATAATTAATTGATACCAATTAAGTGCTAATTACCTGCTCAATCTCCTTATTCCACAATTTGTTGCCATCTTTGAATTTTTTCGGCTGAAATTGTTTCGACAGCGTTCCCATTCCGTCGGCGTTCTTCATTGCCGACTCCTGGCACGAATACTCGTCCATGGTGTCGACGTTTTGAAAGTAGCCGCCCGCCGCCGTCTGGCTCATCAAAAACTGCAAGCCAAAAATTATAATGGAAATATTCATGAAATACAAAAAAAAAACAATCAATTTCTAATTTTTAAAGGCGCATGAAAAAAATTTGCGAGGGGGTCTCGTCGCGAAGTCTAATTTTTTAATGGTTGGCTTTTTTTTTTTGAGCGTTTTTAAAAGTTTCTTTGAAAATCCATAAAAACACTGTTTATTTTCTTTATTCGTCTCATTTTCCTCGTAAAAATTTAAACGGAATAAAAAATAAGAAATTACAGTATCGACTTCGCGTCGTGACCCTCCGAGCAACATTTCTCATGCGCCTTTAAGAATTAGGGAATTCAATTGATTGGCATAAAAAGGTCTTGATGAGAATTTCTTGATCAGGAACTGAATTCACAGGCATCACGCACTCCAATTTCTCTGCATTTAAGCGCTAGTGTGTTTGCGTACAAAACGTTTTAATCTACGCGCATTGCTTTAAATCAATTTCTCGCGCCACCTGCTGCCCGCTTCGATGATCTCCAAGCATTTCTCAAGACAATAAATGACTAGCACTTGTTTGAATTTTGCTTTGTGACTCGAGAAATCGCCTCTCACACTGGACTCCATAATAAATAAATGGTAAAAATCGAAATCAATAATAACAACAACAACAACAACAACAATAATAAAGAAGTGGCCCGGGCCGCGCGCGCACCGCGCAATTCATAAATGATAGGAATGTGATAACTTTTGGGTCACGATACGTTCACGACACAAAAATTTCACTTACGGATCGAAGGAAGAAGGGGGGGGGGCGATGAAGATGATAGGCAACAAATGTAATAATCTAGGTTGGACGACGACGATGGTGGTGGTGGTGATCGGGACGGGAAATTTGGCAAGTTTTTTCTCGCTCTCCCAAATCCCAAATGCGATTTTGTTTTTCGTTCGGAGGTCTTAATGAACCACGCGCCTTGGCAGAATGCCTATACGAATTCGGGTGACCTTCGATGACAAGTGAGAAGGTAGCCATTTCGCGAGATTGATTTGCTATTTTTGGCCTTCTTCGGGGGTTCATTAGGTGTTGACTAGTTGTTTAGAAAACTATTACTATACTATGTATTACTATGCGAGGGGATCTCGCTTACAAGGGAAATCATTTTACCTCCCGTCTTGGAATTTACTGTGGCAAAAAAGAAAAAATGCAAAAAGCTGTGGCCCGGGAGCGAACCTTCATTATAAATTCACTGTCCCGCACATATACCACTTCACTTTCACAGGTAAAACGGCACATACGAAAAATAGACGAAAAATAGATAATCATCAAAAATTGACTGTTTATAGACAATTTATTGTCTATAATCCGTGTGTGAAAAAGCTAGACGGAATATAGATGGCCAATAGATGGAATTGTGCATGTTTGCGTCATATGTAGTGCATGCATACAATGCACTTTACCTCACGATTTCGGAATTTTTGCATTCATCCTAAAATTTTTTATATTTTTTAAATCTTATAAGTGAAATTCTGTTATTATATATATACATATATATGATGATGATATAAGTCTCAGTTATATCTAACGTTTCAGCGTTTGCAGTAAAGAAAGTTGCTATTGAAATGGAAAAGAGAAAAAGAAAAGCAGTTTGCCTATTTTATAACAAAAAACAAGCAATACAACGCTTTTCCAGATAATTAACGATGTTACCACCGAAATTTTGTTGGCAAAAAGGTAGTTTTATAGTTATCGGAATAAATTACTTTTAAAAATTTAGCAAATTTTCCAAAAAAGTGTTGAGAAAAACCGGAATGAGAAATTAAATCAATGCTGCGATGGTAGCTGAAAGTTCAAAAGAGGGAAGTTATTTTGTTTGATACATAATTGTCTATCTCCACTTTTCAGGATTCTCAGAGGGATGATACAGTTGCGATTGACGAGTCGTCAATGATATATGTATGCTGATGCTGATCATAGGGTTTGTTGTCACAAAATATTGACTTGTTATTTATGCTAACTTTTTAGGCATTCTGTTCATATCAAAATACTTGGAACGTGCCGAACCTCATGAGAAAAGCATGCATAAACCCTAAAGCAAATCAATTGTATACCGAAGCCGATTGTGTGGTAAATCTTGAAAAAGTATTAAAATGTTGAAATAGTAAATTCAGAAAAACCTCGGAAACATGATGAAATCTAAGAAACGTTTGAATTTTTATGAATTTCTGCGCACAAATTTGAATGGAATGAGAACGACGCAAGATGATTTGATGTCGATTTTTAATGTCACAGTTCGAGAGGTTAAGAAGCTCCCACCGTCTGTGAAACGAAACCATTTGTGAAAAAAAAAAGAAATGTATGCTGTTCCTGTCGTATTTTTAATAAAATTATACTTCTAGGCAAAGTGATTGGCAAGAACACTCAGAAAATGGATGTTCCAGTCCCAAATATTCCAGCGAGTTACCCGAATAAGAATGAAAAATTCTACGAGTTTGAGCGTGGCGACATTTATCGTGATGAAGAATTCGACGTCGTGAATTATGAGGAATACGCAGAGAATAACGATGAATTGAGATCGGCCGACAGAAAAATTAAATTATGAATTTTCTTTAATAATAAAATTGATGAAAATAATTGAAAGTATACACAAACGGCGAGAATGATTTTCAAATCATATATATTTCTGAGCAGCTATTCATCCATTTTTTCTTGAAAAAAAGACAGAAAATAGACCATAAATCGACCGCGCAAATATCTACTCATTGTTCCTCTCCGGTGTGACGCCGGTCTGCAAACGGCCCGTTTTTCGTATGTGCCGTTTTACCTGTGTTACCTGGATGCAAGGATGGAGCCCCAAGAGGCGTATGTGTAACCCCTTGCCCAAAAGGTTGCTCAAAGTGGAAAAATACTTTGAATTTTCAGATGGCCATAACTCGCCTGTAATCCTCCAGTGCAGACTGCAATTTTGTGAACACACTCACAAGACCTTCTAGTTTACGTGTGCGAAATTACAAAAAATTCGCTTGTTAGTTCAAGGACCTGTCAAGAAAAAATTGATGGTTCACGTGAAAATAGAAATAAATACGTGAACACGTGGCGAGACCCATTTTTGAAAAGACGCATCGACCCTTACAAGGGAGGTCTTTTTGAAGTCCGTCTTCAATTTTTTGCATACAGATTCTTTAGAAAATTTCGAATTGAATGAACTCGGTCCCTACCTGCGCAAGCTTCTAGTTATCGAGATATGGACCTTCAAAGTTTTGTTAGGATTTTCAGGAAAGTTGAAGCTGAAAAAAATTGAAAGCAACACAAAAATTGCATTTTTATACTCAATTTTGTTGAGAAATCACAAAAATTGAGAAGATTGTGGGGGGATGATGACGCGTTGAAAACCACGACGCACTCTTTGTTCCTTATCGTTGTTCCCATCTCTCATCGAGATTCTCATTTCTCGTTTTTCAAGGGTTCCATTTTTTTTTCAACCTTGAGGAGCTATGAAGCCAACGCCTACGTTCGGTATTGATTCTGAACTTGAATTTTCGTCAACGCTCGTCCCGCAAAATTGTCCGCAGATGGAATTGCTCTTGTCAGAATTTCAAAAAAAAAACTTGGAGAGAAATTTTTGATAAAGCTCAAATTTGATTTTTCCAAAACGAAAAAATCCATTCGATTTTCAATCCTTATCGACGATGCCATCTGAAAACCCGTCGCTTGACATGAGCTCCAGAAGCCGCACCACGTCAAGGGTCCCAAATTCATTGGCCTTGGGAGTTGATTTGCTGAATGCTTGCACAAGCCAACATCCAATTAATTGTCCGCGGATGGTTTTTGCGGGTTTCACAAAAAATTCTAGAGCATTGAGATTTTTTACCATCATCCAACACGAAAAAAGAAATGGATCGTCTGAAAATCCATAAAAGGATCTAAAGTGATCCTGTTCGTCGAGACAATCAAACGAACACATTTTAAATATTCAGATTATTTATATGTGAAACCAATAACATTTTTTAAAGGGAGTTGGATACCATACCCAACAGGACCTTGATTGAAGGCTTACAAGATCAAGCCTTGAGGTTAGGGATCCCGAATTTTCAGATATTTGATAATTCTGGAATAGAGAAAGCTCTGGAATAATTGGAAATAGGTTTCAAGCCGATCTTAAGAGCTTCAAAAGCTTGATATCTGAAAACTGAATTTCTCAATTTTTTCTCGGTACACATTTTCAGCCAAATCGTTTGGTTCTCATTTCCGCTTAAAAATTTTTTGAACTTCTCTTTTCTCGTATCAATTTCGACGTAACAAGTCTTTTGTTTCATGATTGATATGGGTCACACGCGGATTGAAAAGAAATGAGAGACACATAAAAAAATTTGAAAACGAAAATGGCAGATTTTGGACAATTTCTCGGCTATAAATTGGGCTTTTTGAATTTTTTATGGAAATTTTTTGAATAAGTGAATATTTGGGCAGTTGAGAAATCCATTTAAAATTTAAAAAAAAACTAAAAATGCCCGCAGGTGGCTTTCAAGTTTTTTCCATTACCAAAAAGTCGTCAGTATAAAAACTTCCAAACAAATATTGAATAATTTGGGTAATTTTTTAATTCACGCAAAAATTGTCCGCAGATGGATTTTGCCAAAAGCAATTGATCCCTTCTAACCAAGAAATTGTCCGCAGATGGATTTCGCCAAATTCGATTGATTTATTCTAACCCAAAAAATGTCCGAAGATGGATTTCGCAAAATGCAACTGATCCCTTCTAATCAAGAAATTGTACGTAGATAGATTTTGACAAATTCAATTGATCCCTTCTAACCAAGAAATTGTCCGCAGATGGATTTCGCCAAACGCAATTGATCCCTTCTAACCCAAAAATTGTCCGCAGACGGATTTCGCCAAAAGCAACTGATCCCTTCTAACCCAAAAATTGTCCGCAGACGGATTTCGCCAAAAGCAACTGATCCCTTCCAACCAAGAAATTGTCCGCAGATGGATTTCGCCAAACGCAATTGATTCATCGTAGCTTAAAAAAACTGTCCGCAGCTGTAATAAACCAACGTCGATCAATGTCATCCCATCCTTGTATTGCCTAACAGAAGCCGGCTGTAATAATATATCCCCAAAAAAAAAGAAAGGAAGATGAAACAAAAAACTAGAATCATCGTCGATTCGCCAAACAAAGTGAACTATGATGCGTGTGAAAGTGACCAGCGGTCACTTTAAGAAAAAAACCAAATAAATCGCGAACCGATAAACAGCCAATAGTAAACGTTTTTGTAATGGACCATTTTTGGCGGTGGCGTGTGGCGTCTCGCCGATCACCACACTATTTCCATGGATGGCGACGCGAAACAGGCCGCCCAGGTCTGCGCGCAACACCTCCCCATTAATCAGGGCCGTTATAAAAGCGACGCCAACTGTCCCATTCAATCATTATGATTTCATCGATTCTCCTCATCGTGCTCATCATCGCCGTGTGCGCGATTCTCGTCGAAGCTCAATGGGGATGTAAGTTGCCATCGTGCTGCCGACACTCATCGAGGTTTCGCGCATTTCAGACGGACCGTACGGACCCGGTTTTGGTGGCTACGGGCCGGGTTTCGGCTACGGCGGCTTTCGTAGACGATTCTGGGGCGGACCATTCGGCGGCTACGGACCATATGGCGGCTATGGGCCATACGGTGGATACTACGGACGCAAATAGAATAAGTGATGTGGAATTTTGTAAATATTTATATGATAAAATGAAAAGTGCACATTGTGCAATTTGGTGTTTGATTGTTTGAACCGGGGCTTATCGTTCAGTTTTTTTTTCGGCTGATTGATAGCCATCGGATTGCAATTTTTTTGAAGCCACACAATTTGGTGGAAGAAACCGGTCTCAATTCGGTTTTGCCCAAAAATGGGTTCATAATGTTTACCCTCGAAATTCCCATTCAATTTCGGTTACTGTATGTTGGTTCAAGTTCAAGTTTTCTTTTCAAAGATTGATTTTTCGAAACCGAAATCCGCCTTTACCTTGTCCATTTTATCAAGGGACCATCTTTATTTAATGCTTATTTTGCTCCTATTCAATTTTCACTATTTTTGATGGGACCATTTTAATTTGATCGCTAAATTTTGAAATTTGTTCTAATTTGAGAATCTAGGATCTCTAGGGGCCATTTTAAATGTCAGGCTTCCTTATTTAGATAGTAGGATTGTGTTGCTGGAAACACTGGGACCATTATAATTAGCAAGGTCCTTTCCACCGATAATTGGTCTGTAGCCAATAAAATGTAGCCAGTAAAATGGGAACCAAATGACTTTTTGATTGTCATTGCTGCTGCCGACAATTCACGGCAAAATAAAAAAAAACCGGCGGCCAACTCAAAGTCCAAAACAAATCGTGCGATCATCCACAAAGAAAAATCATTGAATCCCGCCTACAAGCTACATTTTTTTGCAAAAAAAATTTCATTAAAAATCCGTCATTCAACTGCGTAGGCACGCGTAGGCGAAAAAAAAATTCAATCGCCATCCTCGAACTTTTCTGATCGCATTGTCAACTTTTTATCAATGCCGAAAGGTCAAGCGCTGTTCGCGCGGTTTCATATATGCCGTTTACGCCTCTGATTATAATGGTCGGTGTGGCGTAGTGGTTCCGTTTTTCGCGCGCGCGACGACAACCATCGAAGGTTCGAGTTCACCTCGGAAAAAACAACAACAACGATGAGGCAAGATTCGATTCGAATAACTTGCGATCCGGGTCAGCAAATTTTGCATACGACGGACGACCTTTGCGAATCCGCACGGGCGCCCTTTTGCGAGAAAACCTGTGTCTCGTCGCGAAACCGTAATCTCGTCGATTCGCATCCAGAATTGTCGCTTTCATCTCGCGCAAAGCCACCGCTCTAGTCAATTTCTCTTGCATGCATTCATCGTCTCTCGCAGAAGCATTGTGCGCGCGGGCGCGTAAGCTTTCTGTCAAAATTCACGTACATTGTGCGCCTAGTCATGTTGTGATTCAGATGGCGTTTCTCACACGACCACCCCTCAACCTCCCCATCTCATTTCTTATCATTCACGTCGGCCTTCGCACGTTTCCTCTGAAATTGTCCGCGGCAAAAAAAAACAAATGTTTAATCGAATGAAAGAAAAACCCACTGACATCAGATTTCCCTTTCATTGTTTTTTTGGAAATTCCGAAGCTCTCTTAAACGACACCAATGTCGTTTGGGTCCTTATATTCCGATGAGGGTCTCACAACGATTCCTTCCACAAAATCAAACCCCCACCCCCTTCTATCATAGTTTTTTTTTGGTTGGGTCTCGTCGCGAATCACTAGCCGTCTTCGGATTAGACGCTGAGCCGATTGTATTGACTTCATGGTCTATTTCACCCATTCAATATATTATTTGAATAATTGAAGTCAGGTTAAAAAATTTTTCGTGAAATTCTCTCCCCCCTTAGTCAAATGACTGTATCAAATCACATGATGATTTCATTCTTCTGTTATTCGAGACTAAGTAATATCAACAAGTTGTACTTTGAACAAACGAATTCGCTGATCGCCTAGTTCATTATTTCAGCCGCTCGTCTTCTAGAATCGTCCGCGCCTCTCTCTGGTCTCAATCTCGTTGTCTTTCCTCGCCTCAATCCTCCTCCTCCTCGTATTCAAATCATTTCTTGACCTACCTGGTGCGACTACTAGAAAGTCAATCCCCGGAATTTGTCCGCAGCACGCAATTTATATGGGCCAATATATTGTGTGACGAACGAGAAAAAAATTGTCGCCAACACGATTTGTATTAAAACGCTCGCAAAATTCCTTTTCTTTCATTTCTTTTTTTTGGTCAAACTCCAAAATTGTTGGCCGAAACCGCCGAAGCGGGGTGCCGAAACGAAAACTCGTTCCATCGGCGATTCTTGTTCCTCGTGCCTCGTATCACGTAATCACAATGAAGAAGCAGGTGCGCGGTATGGCGCGCCTCGCTCACCAATTGGCCCCAATTATATTCCAATCAAACATTTGCGTGTTTCCCATTCGTGATTTCCATTCACTTGTTGTTTTTTTCCAGCACGATGCGAGTGTGTGTTGTCGGCGCGGGCGCCTCCGGCCTTCCCGCCATCAAATCATGCGTCGAAGAAGGCCTCGAGGTGGTGTGCTTCGAGAAGACGTCGCAAGTCGGCGGCCTCTGGAATTACAGACCCGGACAGAAGAATGTAAGAATCTCGCCATCATCATCATCATGGTCTTGATTTGGCTTCCAGATCGGCGCCACCGTCATGGAATCCACCGTCGTCAACACGTCCAAAGAAATGATGGCGTATTCCGATTTTCCGCCACCCGAGCACTACGCCAACTTTATGCATCACACCAAGGTCAATGAGTATATTCAGAATTACGCGAAACGCTTCAATCTACTCGACAAGATTCGATTCAATACCACCGTCAAGCGGGTAGGTCGAACGACGATTCGCGTCCATCAGCGGAATCCGAACGTTCAGATCTCTCGACGCGACGGCAAATACATTGTCGAGTTGGAGAGCGGCGACGTCGAGCAGTTCGACAAGCTGATGCTCTGCACTGGCCATCACGCGCAGCCGAGCTATCCGAATCTCAGCACCATTGGCACATTCAAGGGCAAGGTGATGCACGCTTACAATTACACCAACACCAAAGGGTTCGAAGGCAAGAATGTGTTCCTGTTGGGCATCGGCAATTCGGCGCTCGACATCGCCGTGGATTTGGCGAAAATCGCGAAATCGGTAACCGGTGAATTGTCGGCAGCACGTCGATTATACTAGCGTGTTCAGGTGACGATCTCGACGCGTCGCGGCACCTGGATTTTCAATCGCGTCAGCAACGGCGGAATGCCGTATGATGTTCAGCTCTTCTCGAGATACTATGACAATCTGCTCAAAGCGGTCCCCTGGACGCTAGCCAACGATTTCATGGAGCATCGCCTTCAGCAACGAATGGACCACGATCTGTACGGATTGCGTCCGAACCATCGATTCTTTCAGCAGCATCCGACCGTCAACGACACGCTGGCGAACCTGATTTGCGCTGGCTACATCACGATTACGGTAAATGGCATTCATACAAAAAAATCTTGTTAATCATCACTGTCTCATAGGAGGACGTTGAGACGTTCACTGAGAGCGGCGTCATCGTCAAAAACGGCAAAGAGTTCGCATGCGACGTTTTCGTCAATTGCACCGGCTACACGTTCGGGTTCCCGTTTGTCGACAAGGACATCATTGACATCAAGGTCGATCATCCCATCTGCGGACATTTTGTGTACATGTGGAATTTTGTAGAATCAAGAAGTGCCGCTGTACAAGTTCGTCTTTCCACCGGAGAACGACACGCTGGCGGTGATCGGACTGATTCAGCCGATCGGCAGCATCGCGCCGATCTCCGAGATTCAGAGCCGCTGGGCGGCTCGCGTGTTCTCCGGCAAACTCGACCTTCCAACGACGGAGCTTATGATCGCCGACATCGCCAAGAAGAAGGCCGAGATGAAGCGAAGATATTTTGAGAGTATCAAGCACACAATTCAGGTGGCGTCTCATTCGATATACCGACGACTTAGAGTAGCACGTTCCAGGTGGACTACATGACATATATGGACGAGATCGCCGAGATCATCGGCTGCCTTCCGCCAATGGCGAAGTATTTCATCTCGTATCCGCGATTCTGGATGAAGCTCTTCATGGGTCCCAACGTTCCGTACGTCTATCGGCTCGTCGGGCCGAACGCGTGGGACGGCGCCGAGCAGGCGATCTGGACGGTCACCGATCGCGTCAAAAAGCCGCTCAAAAATCGACAATGCCGAATTCGGCGACACAAGAAGCGCGGCACCACCGACGAGTATTTTCGGTACGCCTCGCAAAAATGGATTGCGACGACGCTGTCGGTGTTGTTCGTCGCCGGCTTTCTGACGTACTGCTGGGCGAGCGCCTCGATACCGCCGGCCGTCTATTTCGCCTCGTTCGTCTTGTTCTTCGTTTTGTATGGTTCGACGCTTCTCTGGTTTGATCTACAATACGACATGACCACTATTTTCTAAGTCAAGTCATCAGCTTGTTGTTCATTCTCATATCCATTTTTCGAGCTTTTCCTAACCGTCATAGAACCCCCCCCCCCTTTTTGAATGTATTTAGATGACGATTGAATTTTTGTTTTCTTGCCTGTTTCAACGGAAAACGCCAATGGAAAATTAAATTGTAGACCATCCTGTGTGATTTTTTTTCTTAATCTCATGCTGCGGACAACTTCACCTTAACGCAACTGATGCAAATTTTCACAAATTGTCAATTTTTGACAAAAATTTTACATTGCGAATTGAAATTGAATAAACTTATTTTTAATCTTGCAATTTTTGGTCCGACCAAATTTTTCTGATTTATCGAAGTCGCCGCCACTTCTGAAGGCCAACGTCATCATCGTTTGAGCTTCTTCGGGACGGCTGAAATCGATGTGCTCTTGTCAAGACAGCCGGTTTGAATTTTTTGAAAAATTTCATTCGTCTGGAAATTGCTAGTTTCACTTTTTAGATTTGCGGAAAAGCGGCATTTTTTAATTTTCGAATTTTCCGCTAAAATCTTGCGTCGAAGATTTCCAAAATCAATTTTTCAGTTGCAAAAATCAAATGTGTGCAATTTCGCATGCGTGTGAAAATACATTCTTCGAATTTTTCATTAATTTAATATCGGAAATAATACTAAATAAAAATTGTCCTAGCCGAAAATTTCCGGAAATTCGAAAAAAAAAAACAATTTTGTTAGCACAATCATCTATAACCCAGAATATCAAGGGATTTCTCCAGCATGCGCCTTTAAACATCCACAGTAATCGGAATTGAAAAAATTTTGCAATCATTTTTCGAAAAATCGAAAACCAAATTTCCTAACGTTTCTTTCAAATCAACGACGAGAATTGATGAAAACCAGTTTTCAGCATTTATATTTTTTTTTCTCGCTCCTCCTTCCAGGCCTCACATCTGAATTCAATGAATTCAGAATTTCGGCGACTCGCCCGAATGACTCACTCGTATTGTACATAACCAGTGAATGGTGTCAGCATTCTTGTTTTGTTGTCGGTTGTGGTATTAAATGTTCAAGTGAATCTCTCTCACCCTCTCTCACTGTACCCCCGAATCAGAGAGCATTCGATTGCAGGAGGGCGCAGAAGCGTGTAGAGAAAAAAAAAGATTGCACAACATTCGATCCGATTTATAATGTGTATTTCGCTAGTTCAAACCACCGCATAAATTATCGCATATATAGTAATGCATTTAGTTTGTCACGGCCGGCTTTTCCCTCAACTCAACCACCATTTTGATCCCATTTGAATTTTGCCCTTCTCTTTAAACTAGTGCTACCGTAACCTTTTATGATATAAGCTTTAAATTAACCAATTGGCTTCCCTCTCTACACTCCGAAACTGCGATTAAATATATTTCACTTGTTGGTATCTTTAAAATATTTTTTTTTCGAACCTTCCACACACTGTAACTAGTGTTACCGTATCCTCCCCATACACTTATTTTCTATTCTTCTCGCTTATCGTAAAGCAAGTGAATTAATTAGTAAATGGAAAATTTCCAAAAGAAAATTTGTAGAAATTAATTTTGGGAAAGAAGCATTGAAGAGAAATGAACAGTTTTGATTTCAAGCATCTTCAACACCCTCAATTATTCAATGATAATTACTCCTGACTAATTGGGAAATCGACCCCCCCCCCCCTAGGCAGAAAACCGGGCTCTGCTCCAAATATGGGAGGAGTGTGAAGTTCAAGTAGGTAGCACCGCGTCAGTCAATTACCATTCAACCCTGACAATATACGCACACACACACTTTCACTGAGCAAATTCCGGTTCTTGATTTCTCGACACAACTAATCCCCCCCTCCAAATACCAATTTTTTGTATATACGATATAACTCGATCCGTCGATTCCCTCCCTACCCGCTAACCTATTATGTCGACGGCAGCAGATTTGCCGAATCGTCGCCATCAACAACAGCGATTCGTCACCGTTGAACAACGCCGTCAGCAACATCAACTGATTGCCGCTTCTCGATTCGCCGATTACGCTCCGAAGCGAACGATGCACATCTCGCCAAAAACCTATTCGGCTATCGTGTTCTGCACGAGGATCTTCATATTGGTTTGTAGCTTTCTTTTTTTCTCGATGGGTCCCAGTAAGGACCACTCAAATCAATTGGTCCATCCAAAAAAAGAAAGTCGAGAATTTATGTCTAAAAACTCGCAGTTTTAAAATAATTGGAGATCGAGACGTCCACATTTTCCCGCCAAAACATTATTGAACAAAATTTCAGAAAATATCGCGATTTTTTGGGCCCTTCATTCACAAATTATGACTCTGAATATATAGGATTTTTGGCGATTTTTTATATTATCGACGTCGCGGCGAAAATCTGCAAAAAACCGATGTAGATTTACGGGGGGAGGGGGTTTAAAGGCGCACACCGTACACCGAGACCATGTCTTAAATTTTTTGGCATTTAGCCAAGAAAATAGACAAAAATCATTTCCCGTAAGGGTACTGTAACAAAAAAGGCGCATTCCCGTATTTTTTGCGTCGGGTCCCATCGCGAACGATATTTTTTTTTTAAATTTCGATTCCCTTTCTTCTTTCCGATTCATTTAATCGCTTCCAGATTCTCGCCATCGTCTCAATGATTCTGATTCTCACCGCTCCCGGCGCGTGCTTCTCACGCTACCTAAACGGTCAGGCAATTAGTCGAGAGGTAATTCAAGATCACGAACACGAAATGATGATTGCCGTTGCAGATCTGCCCCGGCCAGAACAGCATATTCCCAATGAACGCCGATCGCTGGTCGAACGCGCTACACTTTCAGGGTCGCGGTCAAAAGTCGGTCAAAAGTCGATTCAACGACCATAAGCTCATCTCATTTCCAGCGTCTACGGCCAAGTGGCATTGATTTGCGTCAGTCTCGCGTTCTCGCTCATCACCGTCGGCGTCAGCTGCATCGCGTTGGCCACCGGCAACATTCTCACCTATCCGGTAGGCCCATGCTTCATGGTTGTCCGAATCAGTCGATGTTCAGCAAATTTTCGCCTCCGGCCTTTCGATGATCGCATTCCTCGTGTGCGGCGGCGTCGAGACGTGGTACGCCACCGGCTTCGATCACATGGAATTCTTCATTCAGGTAGCATTGTCGATTCGTTTTTCAACTCTCAAGATTCTCGACTCTCTAGGCCGTCGGCAACGGCGTCTTCTCGGGCTGCGCCGGCCTTCCCGGCTGCCAAATCCAATTCGTCGTCAAAGGCTGGGCGGTGGCGGCCGCGTTCTATTTTCTCGGCGCGCTTCTCTTTATTGTCGACATGGCGTTGACCTTCTTCGCGCGCGAAAGGTGAGCTATCGAAGCAGGAGCTTGACCGAAAGATCCCCTCCCCCCTTTAAGCAAAACCAAAAAACTCGCTTGGGACCATTTTCCCCCAACTTCTAACGCTTTCCAATCTTTCAGGGACACCACCGAATCCTATGCGGTCACCCAACACTACTAACCACCATTCATCCTCAATTCATCTCCACCCAACATTTTTCAGTGAGCAGCCCACACCGCCCGTCGTGTTCATGAGCAATCGCAATCTACCAACATCCTAACAAGCTCAATTCCTATCTATGCAACAATCCCAATTCTTTCTCGCCAACGTGTACCAAACATTTATTATATGATATGATATATTATTAAGTGCTTTCTCGCTGTCTAGCAGCCAAACCAATCCACCACATGATCATAATGCGCCAATATCAAGTGACCGCATTCATCTTCGACATGTTTCCGCAAACATTTTGTGTAACGCCGCACTTTGCCGCATTTCCTCTGAAATTTTCCCATATTTAGCTATATGTATATAAGATTGCTTGAATAATAATAATAATAATAATAATAATAATAATGTTCTTAAAAAAAAATAAAAACACTTGAAAAACTGTTCTATTACCTTTCCGGGCATTGTCTCGCCCTTTGTGTACATATTGCACACCTTCAAGTACTTCGGATTGATGCCTTGAATACAATCATACGTTCGAATCGACGCCTCAATCGTTTCCGTGGTACACACTTGTCCAAAATGCTCATCGGCGAATCGAATCTACAATTTCTCAACAAATAAATACACCTTTTTGAGCGAAAATTACTCACCACTGGTAGGGATTTGCAAGCTTGCGATCGCGTTTGAAACATACATCTCTTATAGTTCACGTAGGAATCGCAGAGCTCCATGAGCTCGATTTTCGAGAATCGAAAGATGGGGAACACCACCTGCTGAATTTTTTATAATTATTTTAAAAAAAAAGAAAATTTCCTACTTTCGTTTCAACTCGATTCTCTTTTATTCCTGTCCAGAGCTTCAACATCGGAGCAACACACCGAAGAGCCTGAAACAAGACGTAGCTCATCAGGCTTAAAATCAAAGCTTACATCAATTTCCACCTCTTCATTGCACTTTGCTCGAACATCGATAAGGGAATTCTCGCCGTCTGCGATGCTCTTAAAATCTTCTCCACTTCCTTCCACTCCAGAACCTTCCGCGCTTCCTTCTTCGACCACATCATCGTCAATATTCAAAAGTTTGCCTAAATAGCACATCAAGCTCAACATTGAAGCTTTCCCCTACATTCCATTCCCTTCTGCATTTCTTCAAGAAGCTTCACCGTATCGTCGGAGCACTCTTCCTGAAGCTTCTCCGAAATGCACTCCCTGAATTAAGCATGACCTTCGCAGCGATTCGGCGTTGAGCTATTAATAAACGCAACACATTCCTGCAATAGAGCTTGAATTTTTCGATTCAAGATCCTCGCCCCTACCGGATTCTCCAACAGCGACGTTTGCAAACACGTGAAATCCATTTCAAACGTATCGGTATTTCGTAGGCGGCAAGCCGCGTTCAATTGAGTATCGACGAACGTCTTGATCGGTGGAAATCGACAATTGCCGACGCAGAAGCTGGCGACACAATCATTGAGAACGTCGAATTTCGCACACATCGCATCCAATTCCATCGCCTTCACGCCAAACAAGGGAAAACGAACGAATGAGGCATGCGGAGCAGATTGGAGAAGCCGGCCAAAGTCTCTGAAAATCGAAATTTGATATAATTGTTAAAGACAAACGATGGGAACAATTTTAGTTCGAAATTCCTTAAATCCATCATTGGCTTTGCCGCAAACAACATAAAAATCGCTACGAGACCACATTTAAGCCTCCGGAAGCCAATTTTAATATCAATATTATAAAAAAACGTATGAGGCTATCCATTAAAAAAATCCTACGCCATAATGCTTGTATAGCAATCTGTCATATTCTTAGCTCCATGGTGTCGATGTTTCGCAGGCGGTCTGGTCGGTACGAACGCGGTGGTCGTAGTGGTTGCAGCCTCAATTGTTAGCATTTCTTCCGTCGCGGTTTCAGCTTCTCCAGAAGCTTCTTCCTCGATAGTTGAATTTTTTGTCACATTTTCGACACTTGTCGTGATTTCCATTGTCGTTGTTTCAGTTGAAGCCAATCGCGAGTCTTCCATAGAGCATCCATAAGCTACGATTGCAGATTGCACGTTTTCATAAGCTTCAGGCCCGCATGACTTCGTCACCGCTGCATTCGCGCATTGATCGAAAGCCTCAAACTTCTCGCAGAGCACTAAAATAAAATCAATTAAATATTTGAAAATATTAATGATAAAAATATTACAGGTTGCGCCAAATTGAGGAGTTCCCTGAATAATATCGGTACAGTTCGAATTCTGAAGTGAAGACGAAATGCACTTTTGATTATCTGAAACAAGGATAATTTTTCAAAAATTAATAATTTTTATCAATCGAACCATCAAATTTGGAATCGGTGCACACGTACGAAAAGTGCGCGTTCACAAAACTGCCAATCGGATCGCTAGAGAAGCATCTAAATGTAAAAAGTGAAACATTAAAGTCCTATTAAAAGAAAATACCGTTCCAGTTGACAAGTTTCCTTAATAGTGTTGAATTTCTCGCAAAGAGCGGTTATAGTCTCTTTAGAATAATATAAAATCTGCAAAAATTTTTTTTTAATTGAAAAACCAGCGGACACATTTGAAGGCGCATGCCTCGTTTGACAATGGATATCACGCAGCGATCAGCGTAAATCACCACAAATTCAAATTTTCTTTGCCTTTTCTCCTAATTAGCCAACTAATTAACGCTTTCTCACCGGCATCAAGATATTATTCGCATTTTTCTCAATAACTCGTATTTCCTCCCATTTCGCCAAAAGAGGCATCATGCAAATCCCAGCGTTTGAAGCGCATTGAGCATCAGCGGCTAAAAAGTAAAATTTAATTTTTATTAGGCGATTTTTTGTTGAGCCCACGTGAAGGTTTCAGAGTGAATAAATTATTAAACTTCGACAAAAAATCGGCGAAAATTTTTCTTCTGCTTTTCGAGGAATATTTCCAAAGAAAATTTTTTTTTAATTCGGAAAATAGTCATTTTCTGTGGTCTGAATGCAAGAATAACAGATTTGTGGCAAAAAAAATCAAAAATTGCTCTGACCCGAATTTTGATGGATTTTAAGCCAAAAAAGTAATGAAAAAAACTCAAACCTCGAAATATCAAACTGTCGGCAAAAATCGCAAGTAATAATAATAATTGACAAGGCGACATAATTACACAATGTGATTAGGAGAAGCCCCGGTTAACTAGTTGGCTAGGCTTAATCTCAAAACTCACTTTTTCCCGAATCGGGGTCTCATCATCAGTTACTTGTTTTCGGCGCCGCAAAACACTTATCGCGCATTCAAATGACCGCAAATTCATTGGGACAAGAAAAACAAGAATTCTTGACTTTCTCTAATGATCATCAATTTATCATTCCATTAAAAGTGAATCGGCAATATTATGCACAAGTTTATGTGAGCTTTTAGAACAGAAAACTGGATGCAATATAACCAAAATTAAATAAATTTAAATTTCATCAATTGTGAGCTCCGGAAAATCGCCGACAACAACATCAACCGGCCGCACAAATCCTCCATATTTGTCATCGCACGTAAAATATCTGCAAAAATTCGTCTCATATGGAATGCGCCTTTAAATCAATATCCCCTGGGCCGATGTAGGCTCCTTTGGGATTACTACACTTTTTTGACATTTTTTAAATGCGATTTTTAATTTTTTAAGCATCATGAGGAAATCAATTTTATTTTTGCTCGCTTTTAATTCAAGCTTCGACCACAACGATTTTAGAGCAAAAACGGTTGGATTTAGCATAAGAATCGGATTTTTGTAGCGACTTTTGAAAACAGAACAAATTTTTGCCCGTTAGCACCATTTATGGCTAATTTTTAAAGGAACATAGTCTGAATTTTCAGAAAAATTAAAATTTGGCGGTTCAAAAAAACCAAAATCTTGAAAAATGTAAAATTTCAATATTCTTCGGGGAATTACCGTACTCTAAAAAACTTTAGCCGTCAGTTTTGCGAAGAACGCCTTCAATCGATATCGCACATCCATTCATTTCCTCTCCCCAAGCCTCTTTTTCAATAGCAGACCGACAAGAGACGGAGGAGAGGAGGGGAAGAGGAAGGGGGGCCGCTGGCCTCCTTCCTCCTCTCGTGGATGCCGAGGCGAATTGTTCCTCTCCTCCTCCTCCTCCGCTCGCACAAACACTCACACATACACCAATTGAGCCACTATTCCCCTTTCCGTTTTTCTCCTTCTTCTTCTTCTTCGTCGTCTTCTTATTTTTTTTTCTTCTTCGTTATTTTATTTTTGTTTCTTACTTCCAACGATCTTCGTTTCAGATGACCAATTCAAAACCCTATGATGATTCAACGCATAGCGACGATTTGAAAAAGGTGCGATTAATTAACCCAAATGATATTTCCACAGAGCAGAGATGAGAAATTCAAGACCGGATTTTTATATTTTCAAAAAGAAAACCAAATTTTACATTATTGTCCTAGAATGGCCGAGGTGGGAACTCAAAAAAAAAAAGTTGCCGAAAAGATCGGCCGCGAAATCGACAAGCCTGCTTCATAGAACGATACTAACCAATTATTTTTTGCAGAGAACTCATGCAATGTCCTATCGGGAGAATGAAATCATCACGAAAATCCTCATTGATCACTACGACGACTACTATCAAGGAACGACATTCAAGCAGCAAAAAGACACCAATAGCCTAGTAGGGGTCGATTCATTTTCGGCGCGAAATTCAATTATTCAAAAAAAATTCAGGATCGAAAACAAGTGCTGACAATGATGCTAAAAGAGCTCACCGCTAGCGGGTTTCAGCCAAAACCGCTGAAATCCATCGAAAATCGGATAAAAGATAATTTGAAAATCGCTCGGCGTCTAATGCGCGAATATGTAACACGCGATTTTCCATGAATTTTAGTTGATTCGATACATTTTTAAGGCGAAAACGAAAAAGAATACTGATAATCCGCACCTTCTCTACGATATGGGAATGAATGCGCCGCGGCACATTCAAAATCTCATCGCGTTGCTTCGCGAAAAATCGAAAATTTCGGGATCCATCGAGGACGGCGACGGAATGGTTCGGAAATTATTAATTCGAGAAAGAAACTAATATTAAGAAAAATCAAAATTCTAGAGCGACACCGTTGATATGGATTCCGCCTCCATGATTCGAAACTTATTCTCATTTGACGAGTCTGTGAAGACGGAGCCGATGGACATGTTCATGGGAACATCGTCCTCAACCCCGCCAATAGTGGACCAGCCAAAAATGTAGGATTGATCGACAATATTTCGCTAGAAAACATTTTTTTTTTCAGCTATTCCGCTCATCCAGACGTCATTGAAGGAGACATGCGGCGCTTGGAAATTCAAATGCGCAACGAGGAAACCCGCGCGAGACTATTTCGAATGGAAGAAGAGCTTTTGAATCAGCGGAAGCGAATTCAAGACCTAGAAGAGCAGTACTACCACAAAATTCTGGCCAACACCTCATGTGTGATCATGCCGTTCCGACTGCCAACCAACGATTCTTGCTGCAAATGTCATTGCTCAAAACAATAACCGCACCTTTCACCGGCCACCGATCCATCATTCTTTCCAACGGGTTCATCGTATTTGACTCCAACCCAAATACCTTCCTTAATTATTATGAATATGTTCTATTAGAAAAATAAATGCAATAGGTATACCTTGAATTTCGTTGGTCCGATGAACGCGACCTCTCCGCGTCGGGCCATTTGCGATTTGATTCGAATCTCGCACCGATCGCCCACCTTGATGCCCTTCGCGGCTTCTTCATTCCTCTTCAGCGCTTCCGCTCCGGCGTTGCTCGTCTTCGTCTCCTCTTGCATTTTTTTCTTCCAAGCTCGAACGCTATCTGAATTCGTCGACGTCTTCACGTGGTCCTTTGTTTTTTTTTTGGTACCTGTTCTCTGATTATAGGCGTCGTCGCTGATTTCGTACTTCTCCACCATACTCTCATCCTTCAAATCTTCATTGCGACCGGTGATGTCAATCGCGTGAATTCGCATTCCTCAAAAAAAATTGGTTCAAACCCATTTTTCAAAAATCAATTTTTAAAAAGTTACCATCGCGAACTCCCAAATCCTTGAGCGACTTTCCATCATCCGAAAGATCCGCCTTCTTCACGCCATCCGAATCATACAACTCCATTTTCATTGATGACGCTTCAGTGCCGACGACAAGCTCCAATTTCCTCTGAAAAACAAGAGATCCATTTTGGACTCGGGCCCACAGAAATATGGGTCCAAAAGCTTCACAGAAGAGATCTATATCAATATTGGGACCCTTTTTGCGCTGGGGGGACCTGATCTCCCAATGAAGGAAAAAATAAAAACTCACTTTCAGCTCTTTTAGCAGCAATTGCGCGGGAAATTTCTTCTCGAGCGGCATTTCGGTGGCGTTGGTGGTGATTTCGAGCTCATACACTTCGCTCATTTTCTGCAATAAATTCGGATGAGCCCAACGGAACACACACGCACACACCGACCCATATTGTGGGCAATGTGAAATGTATGGGACGATGTGAGCCAGTGGGTGGTCATGCATTATAAATAGGCGACGAATGGTTTCCGTGGTTGCCATGTGTTTCGCAATAATTGAGCGCAAGAGCGCCATAAAAGGACACACAATGTTCAAAAATTTTACTAAAACTCCAAATTTTCTAATTGATTTTTCAGAATTTTTGTTCGAGAATGACGCTTTTGAAAGAAAACACACATAACAGCAATGTTGAAGAACGTAAATGGTGACATTTTAAATAAGGACTGGTTTCTCATTTGGTGGCCGCGGATTTGAATTTGCAAATTCACGGTCACGTTGTTTAATTATTTCAAAATTTTGAAGCGCAATCGTTTTGTTCTGGAAATTTATTGAAATCGCGCTTTTTATTTTTGAAATTGCTTAAAGCAAATTAAATATTAATGAAGAAAAAGTAAAGAAAGAAAAATGACAAAATTTCAGTAGAGAAAGATAATTGTTTTTTTTAAATTAAAAATTTGTAAGGCATCTTCATAAAATAATAATAATCTCGTGAAAACGTACCCGATATTTCAACTTTTTGATTGAAAAGAAAACGAAAAAAATTGAAGAACAAATTATTTGAAAAAAGAATTCCAAAAATTCGCTTCGAAATGCATGACATTCTCTTTTACATAATTATTTGGTCTTCATAAATATATAAGTTATGTAGAAATTCATTCAAAAAACGAACAAATTTAAAAATTTTATAAAAAATTGCGAAAAATACAGAAATTGACAATAATAGAAATACAGTAAACTTTACCAATCGAGAATTGCATTGCGGTATACAATGCGCCTTTAATAAATTTACAGTAAGCTTAATTCTATTCACCTGCATTTTCTCGACACATTTTTTACATTATTTTTATTTAATAGCATCCGAAAATTTTTAGAACACTTATTTAATAGTAGTATCGGAATATTTTTTAAAATTCACGCAAAATTCCACCATCACCAGTCTCAGGTAAATGAAAATCAATCGGATTCGAAGAAAAATTAAATATAAACTAACCTGTTTCGATTGAAAAATAATTCAAATTCGATTAAGAAAACGCTTAAATTCGATTTGAAATCTTGGTTTCGATTCAAAAATCTTCGAAATCGATTGATTTATTTCTCATTCTCAATTTTGAAATCGTATTCGATTAAAATTTTAGACTAATTCGAAACAGATTAATTTATATTCGATTTCGATTGAAAAACGAAATTATTTTCGAATCCGATTGATTTTCATTTACCTGAGACTTTTCTAAAATTTTCGTATCCGATTTGAAATTGCACCCAATTGGTGAATGCTCGACTCCGATTTACCCAATAACCAATTCATTTGCAAATCGCCTAAAAAAACCTAAGGTGTATACTTTGCATTTGTTCGTCGGGTCTCGACGCGACCAGTATCACACATCAGAATCGGATTTTCCGTGTTTTTTTTAATTATTTAAGCGGATCGAATTCTTGTTCTTTTTACCCAATTAATGGAAATTTTCGAAAATTCGATTCCTTTTTTTAGGGCTTGAACTAAAATCCTAATTCTTCTCTTTTTTTTTGAAACAACCTTTCTATCAATTATTATCTGATTCTGGCACCTCCGCAAAGGTTAATACGTTCGTTGAGGTCTTAGAATCAGCCTCTCGACAACATCGGAACCAAACTCGAAATCCTGTTTCGGTCGACATGAAGACAAAAGCAAACAAAATTGCAAAATATTTCATTCGCTCTTCCGACGACCGAATTGGTCTCGTGTTCTAATGATCTAGATGAGATTGGTTGAATAGATACCACAACAAAAAAAATAGCATGTCAGTGTCAAACGAGATTTATAAATTGTGTTTATTTTGATCGTTGAGGAAGAACTGAAATTTGCAAATGCGATTGGCGAATCACTTTGAAGAAAAACATCTTCGCCACGCTACCGTACTCAAACCATCGCGATAGGACCCATAGCTCCGCCTATCGCAGCTGTTAGAAATAAATACTCGAAAAATTCTTCCAGAAATCACATAACCGCACGCGAACCGCGACGCGTTCAATGACATCGATTTTTTTTCTCGAAAAGCACAAACCGAAGTGATCTAGCATAAACATTGCGGCTCTACCAGTACGACACTCCATTCACACATCGCCCTCAGTTTAGCGTGGCGGACTAAATCGTGGGCGATTAATTTTATGACAGAAATTCATTCCATTTGCTTTTTCAATTTTATCCGACAGCTCAAGCTTATTCGGTAGGTCCCCTGAATTCCACTTTTATTTCCTGCTTCTGATCATTAATCCGCCGGCATCGAACTACATCTATCTAGTCCACACCGATAAACATCTCCAAACGATTTCAATAATTATTCGTGAATTTTGAGGAATTCGTCTCGAATTTTCGCTCTTAGGACCCTTTCTTCATTTTATTTCAAACATTTGCATCAAAAGGTCCACAAATGTTGCCTGTCAAGTGTCGTCCATTATGCGCCTTTAAAAGTTCCAAGATCCATTGACAGGGTTCTAAAGTGACATGGATGATCTTCAAAAAGATCACGATCGAATTGGACGCGAGTATCTCAGCTTTGATCTGCCGCGGTGATGAGGCGGGACGGGGCCGGGTGGGCATCAACGTGCCACCTTACGATTCAATAATTCGTGGCCGAATGCTGCATCAGCCATTCCTTACATTTCTATTAATTGGCATTGCTCATGCTTCGACGAATGTTGTCATCACCTATCCTGAGAACCTTTTGGAAAAAGCCACCGAGCCCAAAGATGGTATTCGAGTTTTTCGTTTTGCGCCTTTAAATCTCCAATAATAGACCACTGCCATTGGTTTTTGTTTGGAATTTAGCCAATTTTCAAAAAAATTAATTTTAAGCTGAAAATTAAGGGTCTTGCGTTTCATTCATTCGCACGGACCTCGAAATAATTTTATGGGATTTTCAGTCTCGCACGACAAGCATTCGCATTTGCTTCTGGAAGAGATTGAATTTGACAACTTGACGACGACAACCCCATCCCTTCTAGACGAGATTATTCTGATCGATGAGGCAAATTATAAAGAGGAAGTCTCGGTGAATCTGTAATTCCGATTCATCACTACCCAATTAGTCAATTGCGATTCAGGACGTCGTGCGCCATAGAATCATGGAATCAGGTGCACACCGACGAGATCCCAAACGACGATCTTCATCGTCATTGGGTTCTGAAGAAAGCTGGAAGGCAGAATTACCTGTACGCGACGTCACCCAGCTTGTTGGCCGCTTTCGCTTTCGAGAAGCATATTGCGGTGACGCTGACAGCAGAGACTTATTACGGGTACCTACAAATATGGGGGGGGTTCAATTTTTTTTTGTTGCAATTTTTAGAAAGACCATTTACTGCCGCTATTATGACTGTCGTCGTCGTGAGATTCCGAATCAATTCAAGACGTTCGTCTTCCCCGAAGCCACCGTATACTGTGGAAGGAGAGTTGGAGCTCGTTACATCTCAGTGACGGAGACGCTCGAGGAGAAGCCTGAGTACAGCGTTCCAATTGTGAATCGGGTGAATCCAGGTAGCCTCATTCTCATTCCTACATGGTTGCTCATTCGATTCATCGCCTTCTAGTGCCCAAGCATTACTTCACCACCTGCATGGCTACCCTATACGGCGATGAGCCCAAATTTCTTCAAGTCGCCGATTTCATCGAATACTACAAGATTCAAGTGAGCCGCTTATTGATCGCGATTTTTGAGCTTTTCCTTTACTCTAGGGTGCCACCTTTTCTCATGTGTACTTGAGAAATGTTAGCGATTACGATCGGTTGATTCTCGATGATTACGTGCGAACCGGCGACATCGAATTGATCAAAATGCATGACCATTTTTGGAGGGACGATTTCATGTGGCATCATGTGCAGATCACCGATTGCCATCAAAGGAATATCAATTTCGCCAAATGGACTGCATTTATCGATATCGACGAACGGATTGAAATGAAGAGTCCCCAACTTCCATATATAGTGGATCTTTTGGATACGGTAACCGATCCGAATATAGCCAACCTTCATTTCCGGATCCAATGGGTCCAGAAGCTCTATGACACTCCAGCAAGGTACATCAATGATTCTCAGGTAGTCATTTGGTTCCACCCCGCCATTTTTTTTTAATTGTAATGAGTATAGCTAATCGATGAGATGATATTCCGGAAATACACGAACACATCGAGAGTCGGCGGCTACTGGAAGCAGCCGAAATGCATTGTACGACCTGAAATGATCGGATCGATGTCGATTCACGCGCCGCACGTCGCCTATCGCGGAATCAAGCGGACATTGGTGAACGAGACCGTCGGAATTGTCAGGTATCGCCCCAGAATATGGCGAGACAAAGCGCAGGTTCCATATTAGGCACTATCGTAACGTCAAGCAGCGGGTATTCAAAGGCGCGTTGAAGCGAATGCTCGATGAGGGACCATTCACCGAAACTCACATCGAACCCAATTTGGAGAAATTGCTCACCGAAAAGGTTGACGATTGGGGGGAGGCCAATTAAATCAAATTATCGAATTTTTCAGATATTGGAACGTGTCAAATGGGTTTATGAGATTGTCGACGTGACGTGCGAGCAGAAGCAAATGATCTACCAAAAGCATGCCGGCCTCAATGCAACGTGTTGGTTGGAGGAGATGGCGAAGAATGAGAGCATGGCTCACAATTTCATTTCATAATACTGGTGGCAATTTATAGGCTATTGATTTTAGTTTGATTTTAGGCAATGAATCGTTTTTTTTGGCAGAAATGAGTAAATCGAAGCATTTTAAATCGATGTTTGATCAGAAAAAAAAATCGAAGGCGATGCGAAGTTTGAACTTGGTCATTGAGGCGATCGCTATCCCGTTTTTTTTTTCGCCGACGCATCATACAATTTTTTATTGGACACGGCGAATTTTTTTTTGGAGAGGGCGTTTGTTCATTCGAACTCTTCATTTTCCTGCAAATCGACAGCATTATCTGATTCTTGCAAAACGGATTGAATAGAGCGTTTTTCTATTAATTATGAAATTTTTTAATGGAAATCGTGAACAGAAAAATAGCGCAGAATAAGTAGGGACCTTCAAAATCAATTTTGGCTCATTTGAATTCCATGTGCACGCACGTCGAATATTATGGACCTATTCATGCAATGAAAAAAATAAAAAAAAAATCAATTTTGGCTCATTTGAATTCCCTATGCACGCACGTCGAAAATTACAAAAAATTGACGCGATATATCGTAATTCTCCGCTATTTATTTTTAAAGGCGCACACGAGAAATTGCGCGGGTCACGTCGCGAAGTCAGTACTGTAATTTTTTATTTTTCATTTTGTGTGCTAGTTTTCCATATTTTTCAAAAACTTCGAAGAGAAAATGACTAACGGATTTAAGAACAAGTAAAAACAAACAATTATTGGTATAATTATTCCTAATTCGACAATATATGTATTGTTGAAAAATGACAAATGTATCCAGGTGTCGTAGGGTCCTGCGTTTTGTACGCAATGCTAAGAGACAGTTACCGTAAATAGGTTTTAAATATAAGATTTCTAAAGAAAATAAGAAAATTCAGCAAAACCAATTGAAAGAAAATTTAAAAAAAACTCCGTAAATCGCAGCGAGGATTACGGTAACTGTCTCTTAGCATTGCGTACAAAACGCAGGATCCCACGACACCTCGATACATTTGTCATTTCTCAACAATATGTCTATTTTTCGTCATTTAGATGCCAATTATTATGAAAAATTGTGATATTTGTGTTGATTTGATGCAGACTTCGCTCGATGCCGCTTCCAATCAACCTTTAGTGTTGATTAAACAATATACTTTTACAGATTTTTAAAAGAAAACGTTTTAAACGCTCAAAAAAATAAAAAAATTCGAAAAAAACGGCCATTAAAAAAAACAGTACTGACTTCGCGACGAGACCGGCGCAACTTTTCGTGTGTGCCTTTGATCACTATTTTTCATAATAATTTTTGTAATTTTTTTTGCGTGCATAAGGAATTCAGATGAAACAAATTGATTTTTTTTAATTTTATAAAAAAAAAGTTGAGACGATATATCGTCATTCTCTTTTTTTAAAGGCGCACGCGAAAATTTGCGCCGGGTCACGACGCGAAGTCGGTACTTTAATCTTTATTGACTGTTTTTTTTCAAATTTTTTATTTTTTCAAACGTGTTTTCTTGGAAATATGTAAAATTATTTTGTTTAATCAATGCTAATGGTTTATCAGAAGGGTCATCAAGCAAAGTCGGCGTCAAATTAACACAAATATCACTATTTTTCATAATAATTGTTATCAAAATGACGAAAAATAGACATATATTGTCGAATTAGGAATAATTATACCAATAATTGGTCTTTTTTCCTCTTTCCTCAATCAGTTACTCATTTTACTCTTCCATTGCAAGAATAGGTCCATTAAAGGCGCATAATACGAAAAATGAATTGCCGTAGTTATTCAATGTCGCTGGACGCGTTGCGGTTCGCGTGCGGCTTTAATTTCGAAATTCGTCGTGTCTGAACTACAAGGTCTTGCAGCGAAAAATTCTTGTAGTCGCTTTGTTTAGGATCCAAAAAATGGAGCAAATTTGCGGACCATTGAATTTTTGACGGTTCAGTAAATCAAAATTTGTTTTTTTTTTAGTTTTCAACAAAAATCGTCTTACCAAACGCGGCGTTCGATTCCGAGCAGTATTTTTCGTTGATTTTGACCGCCTCATCGGCGATGGTGTTGAGCGTTGCGATCGCCGATTCAATGAATTTCCTCAGCGCCACCTTCGCGTCATCGATCGACTTCTTCATGGCTTCCTCGAGCGTTTCAGCCATCGATTTCATATTTTCGTCTTTCGCCGCCTTTTTTCTTTTGTTCTCAAGTTCCGCTTGATTTTTGCGAAGAAGCGTCATCTTGTTGTCGATTTCTTTGCATTCGACCTGAAATGAAAAAGGTCATGAGTCGATTGCGCCAAAATTGACGCCAAAAACGCCAACCCAAAATTTTTTTTTCGATAGTTTATAGTATTTCGCTAGTACGAAAATAGTTATAATAATTTTCTTGAAAATAAAACGGCGAAATTCCATGGGTGGTCCTTTTTTTCGAAATTTACTAAATTTTAAGATTTCTGTTTTAAACACATGAAAAATCGACAATTAGTGGAAATTTTGAATTTTTTTCTTGTTGAAAGTCGCCTGTTTGAATTGCCGCCACCGCAAGTTTCAGGTTGTGGCGTGTCCTGGAAAATGTCCGCAGGTGGGATGTTTAAAACAAAATTTCTCTTGGGTAAGATTGAATTAATTTTAAAGTGTTATTTTTGAATGAAATCGTATTAAATGATCTTGATATGGTTCGCGCCGAGACCCGAAGCGCAAATATCGGGTATGCGCCGTTGCAAGCTAAAAAATACCAGGAAAGAACGGCTAGCTATGAGCCACTTGGGCCATCGTCTTAAAAATTAATTTTAGAGGGTCTCGGACCCCCCGATCATCCCCAGAGGCTCAAATGGAATATCAGGGTTCAATTTCAAAATATAAATCGGCGGATGACCGGAATTGGTTCAGATTACTGACTACTGATTCAGATTCAGATTACCCGTTCGTAATATTTTCAAAAAAATTTTTTTGAAATCGCTTTTTTTTCTCAAAATAGACCTCTTTGAAGCTGAAAATCTTCGAAATCACACTGCTATGAACGTTTCTGTTGTAATCTTTGCCGATGTTGGCCAACTTGTCGAACGTGTCGCCGGCTTTGCCGAACGCGCTTCTCTCCGAGTTGCGCATTCCGTCGGCGAATGCTCGCGCGCCTCTCGCCGCTTTACAATAAGCGTTCTTCTTCTCGTCCAACGCCAAATCTTTGACCGATTTTGTGAAAATGTCGAGCAGTTTCGCGGTGGCCTCGAAATAAGTGAGCGCCTCATCGGCCAACGACATCAGCTCCTCGTCGGTGCCGTCTCGCGTCCTACAACGAATGAATCGCCGAAGAAAAAATAAATTATCAACTTGATCCATTTGTTCTTTCGCTCTTTTGACATGTTGAAATTGGTTAATGATTTTCAGAAATGATTCGAAAATGGCGATGAACGCTTGTTTTAGGGCTCCACGCGACTCGGTCGATTTTCTTCCAAATTTGGATGGCCAAAGGTTGGTGCAAAATATGTGCATAATTAAATCACAATTGAATGAAATTCACCGTTTTCTCCAGAAGACAATTCCTGGAGGAAATAGTACGATCTAGTATCTCCCTAATATGGCCGTGGCCGACTCCAGGTGGAGAAGAAATTAATTTGGAAATTAACACACTGGCCCAGAATTCCAATAGAATGCCGGCCTTCTACTGTTTTTAATGCCGAAAATTTTGAAACCATCATTGGACAGCGTAGATTGCGATCAATTTTTTTGAAGATCAGTCTTTTGTTCGCTAGAGATTAATATTGCAGATCGCGATTGTGATATCGATTTTCAAAGAATCATTTCGTGGAACGTTACAGTTCAATACAGATCGATGTGATCTGTTCGGAAAATGAATATACATAGTTAAAAAATGGAAATGAGCTATTTAATGCGAAATAACCAGTAATTCCACATCGACCGTAAATGCACAAACATGCAATAAGTGTGGGACCCCTATTATAGGTATACATAAAGCGATGAGACACCATCCAATCTCAAAAATTTCGAAAAATTTATGCAGAAATGGGTATGATGCAGCGGTTTGAGAAAACTTTTCAAAAATTCCAAGCTGGTCGCTTCGAAGCCGAGAATTCAAATTGGAGCGGTTAGGATGCCGGGAATCGGATCAGTCGGCCGGACCGAAACGGCAGGCCTGTAAAATTCCCCAAGATGCTCTTTTTTACTCAGGAAAATGAAAATCCATCGGGTTCGAGGAAAAATGAAATATAAATTAGCCTGAATCGACGTGCGATTTGAAAACTTGGTTTCGATTCAAAAATCTTCAAAATCAATTTATTTATTTAAGCGCAATTGTGTCCCGGAAAATGTCCGCAGATGACTGTGATAATCCTCTTGATCTTCAAAAAGTTGAAATTATATTCGATTGCGTATTCAAATATATGTATACATATACATGTATAATCTTGTTATCGCGAAATCAATAAATTTTCACATGCGCCTTTGATATACTGTAACTTTCAATGAATTCGATAATATATAATTTGAATAGTAAACAAAGCCCCTTTCCATAAATTCGTCTGACAATTTTTTTTATATAAAAAATGAAATACGTTGAATTCACAATATTTAAATATAATGTCGTTAAATATAGTGCACTGTGTGCAAACACGCAGCCGACTTGCAGGAAATTTGCCGTTCAAATTTTGCCTTTAAATTTATTACGAAAAAAACCCAAATTTCACTCAAAAACATTTTTCGGTCGATGATATTTAAACGCATATTTATTAATAATTCCGCGCTCGACCAAATCCGTCCAGCAATCGGCATCCTGTCCATGGAACCAGTAGACATACTGCTTCTGATCGCACGTCACCGGCTTGATATCATAAATATACCGAAGTCGCGTGAAAAACTGCAAACCACTGGTTGATTTGAAGAATTTTACTTAAAAAAACCTCTTTTGGAAGTTTCCTATCATAATTTGGCGCTGTGATGTTAATTTTCATTAACGGGATCGCTCCATATTTCCTGAAATTCGCATAGTTCCAAGCTTCATCGATTCTAACCTTATCACAATATTTCTGTCCATCGCCACCAAATTCTCATCGCTATTTGGTTGAAATATCGTGAATCCTTCCGAAAACTTCGGGCTCTCCGTAGGGGCTTCCAAGTTTGTCAAATTCTTCTGGCGGCTCTCAATTTGCGAAAACATCTGAACATTTTTAATACAAGGTGTTTAAGCTTCAAGAATTACCGTGGAATTGAACTCCTCTAAAATTGGACTTTTATCTTTGACAGTCTGGTATCCGATCTGAATCCTACCCGGCGCTGAAGGCCATAGGCGTTCCAGATAATCGGAAACGGTTCCGAATTCCGAATTCGCGATTTCCATGAAGTTTTTCAATTTCAAAAACGCAGTGAAATGCGTAAAATTTTTGTTGCGTAGGACACAATCCTGCAAGAATCTATTTTTTTTGAAAATCAAAAATGATCTACCTGTCTATAGACATGCTTCCAACTCTCCACAGTCCCCTCAATGTTGGCTTGAAGCTTGATGATATTAGCTTCTCCAGTTCTCATGTAATCATCAATAGCGACTCGATCGTAATCAGTTATATTCAATACATAAATATGGAAGAATGAGAATCCCTAAACGATCTTAATGTTAACAAAGAAATATGCACATTGAGCATACTTGTTCTTTATGCCGCTCCAACAATTCAACAATGTCCGCAAATCTTCGCCGATTTTGGTTCAGAAAAACGCAACCGGTGAGATAATGCTTTAAACCTGGTAATTATCATGCAATTAAGAGCTGAAGATTTGAAATATTCGCAATTATACCTGGCGTAACACGATTAACTATTGGGACCACATTATTCTGATCGAAAGGTGTGTAACTACGCGAAACGGTCACATATTCAGCGCCGATTCGCCTCGCGCATTTCACCGTCGAATTTTCGCCGACTCTACTCGAAAAATCCGGTGAAATTTCCGTTCGATGACAGTCAAAATAGTGACAAGTCACATTTTTTCTGAAATTTGTTTAAAAAATTCAATTTGTTAAAAAAAAACATTTTCGACATACCCTCTCCATGATTCGTTTATTAATTGGATTTCAATATAACTGTTGAAGGCAAAAGCCGAAAACACAGAAGGTGCCGACACCAGATAAGCGTCCTATAAATTTTTTTGAGCTTGACTTTCCAAAATATTTAAATAATTTTCAAGCGAAAAAAAGAAAAAAGAAAAGTGAAAAAGTAGGTTAGTTATCAATGGAGCGCACTTGCATCATCTTCCTGTTTTCTATGCCGTCAGACCTCAAGAATCCGGTCTTCCCTCGAGGCTACCGTAATACATCAGGTACAAAATGCGATTAGATCTTTAAAAGTGCTATCTTTGATTTTTTAACGAGTTTTCTAGTCTCGGAAAGTGAATTTCAAAAATTGCAACGAAAAAAACTCATCTTTGGTTGGAATTTTTCGCATTGAATAGAAAATGTGAAAATAACTTTTATTCCAATGCACGAATGGAAAAAAGCAAATTTAAAGTAATTTTTCACATTTTTTGTGAAAATTCCACTTCGTGTTGGAAAAAAATGGCAAAAAGATGTGAAAAAAGTAGGCTAGTTTTCTCGACAATTCATTAAACTCACATTTATGGCTTCTTCTTCTTCATTGCGAAGCGGCTCTTCAACAGCTTCTGTGTACACTTTATTCCATTCCTCAATAAAGCATTTTCTGCTAAAAAGAAAGATTTAATAATGAAGCTTTAAAAAAAAAACATACTAGCCAATTTCCAAAAGGTCCGGGTATTCATCAGAAGCTGGCCGGACAATATCATTATAAGGAATCGGTTGAAGCGTCGTTGATTCGTCTAAATTCGAAACTCAAACGACCCCTCTGGTTACTACCTAATATAAGGGAAACCTGAGTCAGCGGCGAATAATGGAGAGATCGATAAAAAGTAAGCAAACGACACCAACATCAATAGGAATCTCGTGTTCCGACAATTCAAGTGAAAATCCGCAACGCCGTCCACTAGGCGATAGCATCTCGTCCCCGATTTCGGTGTGAGACAGAAACAAGACAATTGCATAATTTATGAAATTTCTATTTCAAAAAAAAAAGATACTACATGGTAAAGCTGAATGGCACAACGTTGAAGGATTGGAAAAAAATTGAACACGGGGAACATCTATTATGAAGCCGGCTTGAACTGCTTAAAATCGAATAATTGCACTTTTTGCTGATCGACGAGCTCCCGCCAACACGGCGCTTCTAATCCATGAAGCCAAAGAACATACTGCTTCTCACCACATGAAGCTTCCTTGATATTATAGACATGATTCACGCGATCCAAAATCTCTCGGGTAAGCTTCTCTTCAATCCACGGTGCGATGTGAGTCTCCATAAATGGGCCGTGACTGTTCATTCGATCCACATTCCGTCTACCCAAGGATCCCGGGCTCACATTGCGATAGTGCCTTCAATTTTTTGAAATATTCAGCGAATCAATTTTTTTTTCTTCTTCTAAACACACCTAACAATTCCCACATTCGATTCCACATAGGTATTCCGAATTCCTTGATACATCACCTGAGGGTTGTGAATATCCATAACTCCAACCTAAAAAGAATTATGATAGGCCCAAAAAGGGAGAGTAAACCTTCTCAGGCCTAATAATGCATTTCGGTTGCATTTCAATGGTCCCTATCTGCGATGTGTTCGTGAACTTCCTAAAGAGCATCTCATTCGTCAGCTGCGCATCATCGACATATCTCGCCGGCGAGAATTCCGTCTTCTGAACCCATTGAACCCGGAACACCAAATTTGCAATGTTCGGATCTGTGATCGTGCTGAAATTGAAATCAAGGAAAAATTTTTTTGGCAATTTTTCTTGTCCTACTCCAAATATTCGCCAACAGTCTTGATTTCGCCCTTCATCTCAATCCTCTCATCGACATCGATCACCGCTGTCCATTTGGCGAAATGCTTGTTTCGATGATGGCAGTCCTTTAAAATGGGTCTCGTCGCGAAAGACCATGAGAGGATCTTACATTAATTTGGACATGATGCCACATGAAATCCTCTCTCCAAAAATGATCGTGCATTTTAATTATTTCAACCTCCCCGGTTCTCACATAATCATCGAGAAGCATCCGATCATAATCGCTAACATTTCTCAAATAAATTTGAAAGAACGTGGCGCCCTGAAGTCGGCATAATTAGCATAATTAACCGCAAAAACGGCTCACTTGAAGCTTGTAATATTCAATAAAATCGGCGATTTGCAAGAATTTCGGCTCGCTTCCGTATAAGGTTGCCATGCAGACAGTGAAAAAGTGTTTGACGTCTAGGTAAGCAAAAATTAGAAAAATTTTAAAGAAAAAATATTAAAAAAATTACTAATTCTCGGCACAATTGGCACCGAGTATTCGGCCTTCTTCTCAAGTGTCTCACTAATCGAAATGTATTCAGCGCCAGGTCTTCTAGCGCAGAATACCGTGGCCTCTGGGAAGACGTAGCTCTCGAATTGATTGGGAATCTCGCGTCGACGGCAATCGTAATACCGGCAATACACTTTTTTTCTGAAAACCGCAATTCGATGCCACAATTCGCGTGCACCCGGATTACCCGTAAAATGTCTCGGCGGTCAGCGTAACCACTATATGATCCTTGTAAGCGAATGCGGCCAAAACGCCAGGAGCTGTATTGTAAAGATACTTGTACTAAATTAGGAAAATTAGGGCATCTGCGGACATTTTTAATTTCTCACCTGAAACCCAATTTTTCTCGACATCCAATCTTTATGCAACTCCTCATTTGGTATTGAGTTTGTCGTCACATTATTCCATTCCTCAATCGGACAACTTCTCTTGCTGGTTTTTTGAAAATTCTTTCTCAATTGCAAAAATACAAGCGTCATACCTATTAATTGCAAACTCGGGCTCATCCTTGAGCGAAATTCTGATAATAGTCTCATTCACAATTTCCGGCTCCTTCTCGCTTTTATAAATAAACTTAATCTGCTTTGTAAATTCGTCTTCAAGGTTTATCGAAGTCTCATTGGAAGCTCGAGCAGCTTCCGTAGTTGTCGTCGTTGCTACAGTGGTCGTAGTGGTCTCATTAGGTGTTATAAGCAATGTTACTGTAGGTCCTGGCACTGTGAGTAATTATATATAATAATCTTTGAGACACTAATAATACCTTGAATTGCAGGATAGTAAAGAAATATTGATATGAGCACTATTGTAGAAAGAAGAATGATAATTTTTAAAATATTAGGCACCGTGTACATGTCTGCTGGTAAACCAAAATAGGTGATTCGGCCTCAACCGTGTTTCATCAGAGATCGCCGATCTTGGCCCCGCACGGGTTGAGATACGCCGCATCTCGCGCGCCAAAAATTTTGATGTCGTCAAACGATATGGTCTTTTGCGATCGTTTTCTGGAATCAAACGCAACATCAAACGGTCGATTTGGGGGAACTGTGAACATTGGCTTCAATCAAACGCCTTTTTTTGCATTGAAATCGCAGCTTGGAATCGAGCAAAACCGGAAAACGTAGAAATACGGTTGAAAATAGGAGAAATGCTGAAAAATGATAATACAGCTTAGTGGAATTCGCCGTGAAAGAACTCGTCTGTAATAGAACTTGTTTTTAATGGAATTTTCTTTAATACAACTCGTCGGAATAGAATTGGGCCGTAATAGAACTCGGTTCTCAATAGAGCGCAATTGCATCATTGCAATACATTTTTCAAGAAGAGAACTTTTAGAAATTGATGGCTACTGCATGCGATTTAAAAAAAATGTGTTGAGGCATTGAGCGGTTTGGAAATTATTCGAATAAAGGAAATTAAGTTGTTTCATGCAAGTCGATGAAATATCATAGCCTGCCTGTTTTGCCTGAAAACCAAGAAATTTTCGTATTTCAACCGATGCTTTTGCCGAGCAATAGAAGAAATTAAAATGTGACCTTTGATCGAAAGCAAATACATTATTATAGTAAATTTATTTTGAGTAAAAATTGAAGAAAGATATATTTTGGAAAGTTAAGGCATTAAGATTAAAAAAATACATTCAAGTTTTGGCGTAAAAAGCATTTGAAAAGTGCCAGAAGGCGCCGGATTCAAAACTGCTCGGTAGAGCTTCGCATCTTTTGAAATGTCTTGAGTAGTTCTCATTTTTTCCCCTGAAATTACCATTTTGGCATTTACGTGTTTTCTTTTTCATTAAATTTATAATTTACCTTAAAATTCGGATTATTCTGATGCTCCTCTGAATCCATTTTAGTGTGATTTTCTTTTTTTCGTAGCTTCAAAATCAGATCAGATTTTGTCTAGGCCATTGCGTTTATTGATAACATTACAGTGGAGTTCGATAACGGCGAGTTCTAGCCCGGGGTACCACCGAAAAAAATGTGACTGAAATGTTGTTTACATTTACGCTAAACTGCGGGTGAATGCGTAAAACTGGAGTGTCGTTTACAACATTTTAATTTTTCCACTTTTCCAAAGAGAAAAACCTCATGAATTTAATCGAATTTCCTGCGTGACTGTTATTATCTAGAAGATTTCATTATTTACCTACTTTCTATTAAAAATACATGTCAATCGTAATGTGTTCAACTTCATAGACTTAACTCAAGTTGCCGATGTTTCAGCTAACAATATGCGTATTTCTCACAGTTTTCGCCAGCGTCAATGCTTTCGATAAAGGTCTCGGTACAAATTGCTCGCTGGAGCATTTCAAAAGCGCCAAGTTTAATCCAATATTTCCAAAAATTCTTTATCGCCTGCCAAAAAGGAATAATGGAGCGATGTACAACCTAGTAAGAAATCTAAAGAAAGTCTACTTTGACGATATTGATGAAAAGCCAATTCACACAAAAGTAGACATTTTAAAAATCTTTTTTGAAATGATTAATCGATTTTAGTCACTTATAATCTATTCGAACGAGATTGCGAAAGCAAGTTTGATAGGCGCCCTTCAAAGAATCGCCCAATTCGGCGAGCTCCGAAACACACTTCGAGCTATCATCGTCACCTCTGCCTCATTATTCATCATTATATGCTATATAGTGGTGAATCGTCATCTAATATTTCATGAAAACGCCAAAGTAATCTTAAAGATATTGAAAAATAACTTGAAACTCTTGTTTAGATCCATCGATTCTACTACGCCGAGTACATTTACATACCATGTTTGGTTATATCTTTTGCAATTCTGATTCTAATCCATGCTATGATGTGTGTGGCCCTTCAAAATTTTCGAATCACTATTCAACTACTCGGCGAAACCGCGCAAATCGTGATTCATCGTTTAAAAAAAAATGATACATATATTTTTTTTCAAAAATTTCAATTTCAGGATTTTTGAACACTCTAAACACATTCCTCTCGGAATTGGAGTGTGTTGCTCCGATATATGGCGCCGAGAATGGATTGGTAGCCTAATCAACAACAAAAAAATTGTTGTCGAATTTTATTTCCAGCGGCACACACGAGCCGACTTCGAGCCCGTTGTCCATCGAACCGAAATCCCATGGAAAATGTTCAAAAAACAGGTACATTGTCAGTTGAAATCATTCGCCATCAATATTTTCAGCTCACCTTCTTGGAAATCTACTTCCATTTAAGCGTGACAGTTCCGGTTTGCGTTCAGCTCCCAATTCTGCTCGTCACCATCGCTTGTTTCGTCTTCACCGGCATCAAGACGGAACGCAAGTCTTCAAATTCTTGTCAAAAAAAAAACCCCACGGACATTTCAGATGCCTTTGTCATTCGAGTCATCGGCATGTTGCGTATGATAATCATGAAATTGATGCGAATTTTTCTGGCTACCGTATTCCCGCTAATGTTTTTCCATATGTAAGCGCTTTTGACAATCGCTGCGAGAATCACAACGATTTTCAGCGTCTCTATACTATTCTACAAGTATACGTCGACTTTTGCGGTGTCGCTGGGACCACAATCAAAACATGTATACGACTTCAATTCACAATTCACGATTGAATTTGAAAAGTAGGAAAATTCGTTTTCTCCATTAAATTTTGTCCGGTTTAGTGCATCTTCTGTCATTGTCATGAACAAATCCACCTTCTACAATCACTCATTCTACAAATTTATCAATTTTCACGGTTGGAAAATGGTCCTTAAAATTATTTTTAAAAGTGATTTCAAATTTTAGACGTTTCGAAAAAAATTCGAATGCTTAGTCAAGGCGGGTTCGTCTTTTTTTTTCCAGTGATCTCCAGAAAATCCAATTTTTTCAGAAATTTGAAACTATTGGATATTATTGAAAAGGTGCATCTGCCCAATTTCCACCATAATTAGTTGCGTAATTATAGAAAATTAGGAGGGTTTATAGTGCGAGTGACACTGTCAAATTCGTCGAATTTATGAGAATAATCGATCCCACATCTCATATGATTTTTCTCAATGGAGCTGCAAGTAAAAAAAAATTGTATCGAAAAAGGCCTCTTTAATTTTTTTCCCCCAGTTGCTCTCATATTTCTCTCATTATTCAATATTCTCCTCATCGGAATGGCCTACCCTCGCCTGAATCTCTACTATGATGAGTACATCTATGCGGATCCGCCCGAATTGATATTCATGTCGCAAAAAAGTGGGCCAAATTTTGAGTTTTTTGCTGAAAATTGAGAACGAAATTTTCAGTTTTGGAGCGAAAACGAAGATATATGAAAAAAGACAAGGAGTTAATAATGAAATCGAGGGGAATTAAATATAATTAATAAAGAAAATGTGCAATGGAGCGCGTTTGCTTTAAGGGATCTTGAAAAAAAGAATAGCCTAGTATCGAGTTGGTTTTTTTGCGAAGGAAAGGCGGCAACTAAAATCGGTCGTTGCGAGACTCGGTGCGAAAACTACATGCGCCTTTAAATACCACATTCAAAAAAAAAATTATCTCAAATTTGAAAATCCCTCAAATTGTCAGTCCAATTTTCAATTATTCTAATTATCATACGTTCGATTTTGGGAGGCTAGTTTTTTTTTAATTAGAGCGTATTTGCTAAACGAGCCCTTAATACAGTTCAATGGAGCGCATTTGCTATCTAGATAATTGGCCACAAAAGCGTGAAAATTGAAAATCACGTAGCCGTTGGAAAATCGAAAATGTTGGGCATTTTTAATAAAATTGCCTATTTAAAAAAGAATGAGAAATTATCTTCAAATTTGCGCGCTTCTTCTCATTGTGTCGACGATCGAAGCGTGGAGCAACTGCAGTGTGGAATCGATTCGAAATTTGCGCGTCAAGCCGATATTCCCGAAAATTCTCAGACACGTCTCGCATCGACGACAGGGTTTCGTATTCGACATCGTGCAATGGATCGTCGACGCCTATTTCGGCAACACGATCCACAAGGAGTTTGATCCAAAGGTTGGTGGCGATTCGATGAGAATCAGAATCGATCTTCAATTGACACCTAGGTGCTTCTCGAGTATTCGACGGCACTCGGCGACTCGAAACTCTGGGAATCGCTTCAGATGATCGCGCAGTTCGACGTCGCTCGAAACGGCCTTCGCTATGTGCTCATTCTAATGATGTCATATTTTATTTTACTATGCTATATTATCGTTAATCGTCTGTTCATTTTCAGCGAGAATCGCACGGTAAATTTTGTGATGGCGCTTCGCGAGACCCGATTGTTTAAAGGCGCACATTGCAGTTTCACCGATTCCACCACATCGAGTACATTTACGTGCCGATTCTGCTCATCACCACACCGTTGTCGTTCATCGCGTTTTTCTCCATGTGCGATTCGCTTCAGAATTATCGCATCAACGTCAAAGAGATGACGGTGCTCACGAATATTGTTATCGATCGTAAGTAAAACGAAATTTTGATGTCCGAAATCTTTTTGCAGGATATTTTCACGTCGTCTACGTTTACTTCGAACAACTTGATTGCATTGTGAGCGTCTATGGACTTGACAAGGAGTTTTCGAGAGCTCAGAGAAATTTTGATTCGCTGATTCGCCGAACCACACTGCCGTGGAAGTTGTTCAAGAATCAACTGGCTTATTTGGAAACGTTTTATCACATCTGCGTCTCAATTCCGTATTGCATTCAGCTGAATCTTTCGCTCATCACAATCGCGACCTTCTGCTTAACAGCTCTCAAAACCGAACGTCAGCTTCTTCTTGACGCTTCAACGCGATTCCCTCCAATTTCAGATACCCTAGTAATTCGAATAATTGGAATGGTTAATATGCTGATGAAGAAGCTTCCGAAGGTCTTTCTGCTATCATTTTTCCCGCAAATGTCGTTCCATGGGTGGGTCGTTTCGTTTTCGTTGCGAGAGACCACCGCTAATGATTTTCAGGGTGGTCATGCTCTTCATCAAGTACACTTATACATTCTCCAGCTCAACTATAATGGCGTCAAAGGATAATTTTTACAAAGTCGACACTTTTCTGAATATTGAATTTCAAAAGTCGATTCGCAAGAATTGCATTGATGGAAAATGAACTCCAATCGATTTCAGCACTTCCTATCAGCTCGAGCTCAGCACTATGGATATTGCGAATAAGTCATTCTACAATTTTATCAAATATGGCGGTTGGTTGAAAATTGTTCGAAATAATTGAAAACGCAAAATTTCTAGACGTTCTTGATATTGTGAGAAAACTGAAGGGCAATGAAACGACGTAAATGGGTTGTGCCAAAAAAAATTGCCGAGGCTCGAAATTCCAGCGATCAAGATAAGCAGATTATGCGACTATTGGAGGAGAGGGTCCGAGGAGTTTATGGACTTAAGAGGGTGCAAAAAGTTATTCAAGCGTGCAAATCGATTGATCCGACGACGGAGCTCAAGTTTATTGCTGGATATCATGGTGAGTTCACTGGTTTTCTTGGTCTCACTCCGAAAATCACGCGTGCGCCTTTAAATAAAGTCACCCACACACGCAAAAGCAAAAAAAAGCCGTTTTCTCGCAAAAATTTATCGAATGTTTAAATTCTCACTTCCCGCCGCTGTGAGACCAATTTTAAAGGCACAGGCTTCCGCATCACCCAATGGCTCAATTGGCAGGAATTCTTGTAATATTGCTATTGATCAACATGATAATTCTCTCATTGGCCTACCCTCGCCTGAATCTCTACTATGATGAGTACATCTATGCGGATCCGCCGGAATTGGTATTCATGTCGCAAAAAAGTGGGCCAAATATTGATTTTTGTTGCTGAAAATTGAGAGCGAAATTTTCAGTTTTGGAGCGAAAACGAAGATATATGAAAAAAGACAAGGAGTTGTTGATAAAACGGGCCGAAACTCAACGAATGATTCAATGAAAACTGGATTTAGAAATAAAACGATTTTTCTCTCATTTTTTGGTGGAAAAATTCCAAAAGAAAGCCAAAATTTGGTGACAAACACCCAGAAAAAATTAGGGTGTTCGAAAAGAGAGAGTACTCTCTCGCTGTTAGAGACGCAGACAGTTAGACACCTGCTGACAGCGCAATATTGTGCAATATTTGGTAATAAGGAAAACTCGGAATATAAACGCGAAAAAGTGGAATCTGCTGTATTATATTAGTAATTTCCATATTCAGCTATTATTCTGTCTTTCAATCAATTTTGGCAAGAAGAAGAAGCGCCAGAAGCCATGTCGTTTGAAGAGGATCTTCCTGAAAAGTTGGTGACGAATGATTTCCGATCACATTTCAATTATAGGTATCGCGGCCAGCGCAGATGGTTGGGAAAAGAGCATCATAGCCGAAAAGCCATGCTTTACAATCAGGTCAAGGATCATCAGCTTCTTGAGAAGACCATTAAGAATCAGGAGAACATGGATCAGGTAGAATTTTATTCAATTTGCTTCAAATATACCGATTTTTTCCAGAAAATCGTTGAGAATGCTGCGAAGAAATGCAATGATGACCTCGAACTCAACGTGATGTACTCGATGAACAAATAAGGACGATGGGAAGGCGCTAAGGATTGCGGCGAGCTGCTCAAATGTGCGCCGATTGATCAGCCGGCCGAGGTTGTTGAGAAGAATTTTTTGAGACGTGAGCACTTTTGATTTTTGGGCGACAGCCTTTTTACTATCCCAAGTTTCGAATTCAAGACCAGATTTTTAGAATATGGCACAGTGTTTAATTCGACTTCCACTTTTGCGCTTCACGAGAAGAAGAATGAGGATGAAGCTGGATTTGAGATTCGAACTGCGTCGACGTCGTCGGGACGAGGACAGCATGTAAGCTTTTAAACGAAGTGGGGGATGTACCTTTAAATTCGGCATTTCAGTATTCCAATTTTTCTGAGAAAAATCGAGAGCTGAGCAAAAAGGGCGGCCAGAAAGAAGAAGAGCTGGCTACTGAGCCCGTCATTCAGTACAACATTTACAAGGCTCAGCGGAGCAAAGATGTTGTAGGTGACGCACTATTCCAATTCAGATGTAAGTTTTATCTTGCAAGAAGCCTAGAGATTTAAGTTTGTTGCAGATAAAACTCAAAAAGAAAATCGGAATCGAAGAAAGATCATTGAGGAATGGGATTTTGACGAGGATTATGATGATTATGACGATCAGGATTATGAGGATGTGAATGTCGAAGAGGGTCCAACTCCAAGCTCGACGTTGAATTTCGATGATTTGATTGTGGAGAAGGTGAAGCAGATGAGTTTGAAAGAGGCGAATAGGAAGAAGCATGAGAAGACGGAGCCAATTGAAAAGAAGGCGAAATTTGGCGACGAAATGAGTTTGAAGCCATTAATGGAGCGAGACAACGGCTACACATTTCATGAATCGTGCATTTGCTTCAGTAAAATTGACGGATTCGAATTCAACAATGAGATCGAGAAGTTGAGAAGTCAGAGATTCGAGTTGAAGCGACTGAATGCGAGAAGTGTGCTAGTCGATTTGTCGAGCTATTGCCGCGATTCGATGCTGGCCGTCACTCTCAATCATCTCAGCGATAATCGCGTGTTCGTGTTGGTCAATTCGAACGTGATGAGCCATCCGTCGATCGGCCATCTGAACACCGATGTTCGGACGCAAACGACGCTCGCCAACGCGCTCATTGTGATTGCGCGAAATGTCGAGATCAATCGCGAAATTATTCGGTATCACCCTTTAAAAAAAATATATTTCTCTGAAATTGATCCTCGTTTTCAGATTAATTCGAGAGCAATCAATTTATCAACATGGCTGCGCCAATTTCAAAGATCTTCGATCCGAGAAAATGTGGAATAATGTTGTGAATATGTAAGTTTCTTCATTAAGCGCCTGTTTTTTTTTCAAATTCAAAATAAAAAATATATTGACTCGGTGCCAAAAGTGTCAGGTAGCTCGTAAATCGACATCGATTTTATGAGAGAAAAGGCCTGAATAATGAAAATTTTTTATTAATTTGTTGCAAAAGAAATGCTAGTTTTTTTACATTAACTAAAAAATTATGAAGATTATGTTAAATGCTCATTTTGCGTTGAAAAATATGCTTAATTTTTGTTTAAAATTCAAATTGTATAAATAAGAGCGTGAAGAAATTTTTAAAAAAATTTTTGAAAAATCGATGTGAAGGAACCCGCCAGTTTTTCATTATAAATTTTATTATTTTTTAAATCAATTTTAAAAATTTTTGATTAATTCACACTGTTTGGCTGTCGTTGAATTCACCTCAAACTTTCAATCGAAGTCTGGAACCCTTTGTAATCGATTTATGGGACCATAATATTCTGGAGGTCTCACTTTATGAAGGGATAGGCATTTTAAAGAAAGAGACAAGCTGATATTTAACATTTGATATTAAAGTAAAGTTTTGTTGGAATAAAGTATGATTCCAAAAAAAGCAAAAGACTGAATTTCTTTTTGCAATCGACCTATTCTTGATTTCTGATTCAAAAAGGGAAATTTCGGCATTTTTTGGCATCAAAAAGCCAATATTAAATGATTTGTCTCAATTCCACAGGCGTTTGCCATTCTCGAATCGCCACGAATCATGGGCGAACTGCGATCAGCTAATGGCGAACGGCTTCAAACAACGCTGGCGAGACGTTCGCGACATTTTGCGCGATTTCGACGAGTGCGATTCCGATGACGACGGCGATTTCGACGCGGTTCTTCTCGAGAATTGCCAATTTTGTTGCGAGAAGAGGCAAATTTTTCGAATGGAAAACGGCGACGCGAAATGCCGACAATGCTTGAATCGTCAATTCTGTAGGGAGTTTCGCGAGAAACGATTGCCGATTCAATTAAAAGTTGGTCGATTTTTTTTTTCTCTAATCCTCTCTATCTCTCATTTTTCTCAGGTCAAAGGCCTCAAAACCGTCGATATTCTCCCGTCGATTGTTCCAATGCCAATCGTCATTGAATATTACAAAGTGGGTAGATCAAAAAACGGGCAGGCGCCGTGTGGATCGCCAATGCGAATGCGGGTATTGCTGGTGCTCGAAGTGTCTCGAGACGCCGCACTCGCCGATGACGTGCGAGCAATTCAAAAAATGGAATCGAAAATGGATCGAGAATTGTGAGTTGTTCAACGGAGCGCGTTTGCCCTTCTCAATTGCTGTGATCTACACAGATAGTCTCGCCACTTCACAGGGACAAGGCGATGAGGCGATCGTCGAGATCCGATGCAAATGTCTCGCGCCGTCATTCCGCGTTCGACTGCCTTGCGAGCAAGTCGAGTGCCCAAAATGCCACGTCATTTTTGATCCGGCAACGATGGAGAAGAAAAAAGTCTATATTGAGGTGAAATCGCCAAGAATGCGAAAATTGCTATTCTCGAGAAAACTGCCCTGGAATAAAGATCCGAAATTGTATTCGCCGGGATCGTTTTATGTTGGCGAGTTGCCAAAACTGGAAACATTCAAGATCAAATCGATAGCCCATCTGCCACAGGCAATTGTTGAGGTATTTGAAGCCCGGCGACGGTGTCCGCAGAATTGATTAATGTAGGTGTGCAAAGACGCTCGAACGGCAAGATTGGATGAAAAAGCGAACAAGAAGGTGCGAAAATTGGCGCACAATTTCGGCGCGATCGAAAATGACATCGTTCGAGCGATGCAGAGTGTGCCGTATTTGGTGGAGTTTGTGAACGCTTGGATGTTCATGAGCGGCAATCACGACAAGGTGCTGGAGAAGAAGCTGCGCAAGCTCGGCGAGCTTCGAGAAGCTCTCTGGAACGAGCTCGAAGCGAATAGGTGACCAAGAAACTCCCAATCAATGTTTTTATATTGGAAATTTTTAGTGACAATGTTCGCAGTACGCAAAACCAATTAAAAAGTGACATCGAGAAATTAATAACGATGATATCATAGATTGTATGAATGAAAATTGAATTTCCTGATTTTACCTTAATTTGGTGGTGGCTTAGGTGTTTTTGCATAACAGCGAGCTGGAGGTAGGCGGTTTTTGACGTGTAGACGCCGTCATCGCGGATTGTCACATTCCTCAACACTAGAAATTCGCGATTCTTCCTATTCGTAATCGCAGCATTCTTCACCTTCTTCTTGGTCTACAAAAAAAGAGGAAGAAGCTTGAGAAGGTAGTGAAGCTCGATGTAGTACCTTTGGATTGAGCCAGAAGCCGCACTTCTTGTTCTTCTTGTTCTTGGCGGTGCATATGCGGAATGTCTGCCTTCCGGCGTTCACTTGTCTCGTGTACAATGGGAATTTTCCGAGCCAGATTTCGACGGTATCGCCTTCCTTTACGAATTGAATTGGCTTCCAAGTATGGCCGAATTCAATGACAACGAATATGACAGCGATCACAAGCGATAGTACACCCATTTTGAATCCAAAAGCGAATCTTACGATTTTTGTTCGATTAGCGGGGATTACAAATGGACCTGGAAATAGTAGAGAGGGGGAGATTAATGTCGGACTTGACACCTTCAATCATCAACCACATGGTTATTCTAGGGTGGGGGCGTAATCATGAAATTTCTCACAACGAGTCCCATTTTGGTATGCAAGAATTGTTCAAGATTTCCGTGTAAAAGATGCTGGAATTTTTTTTTTTGATTAGCCGAAAACTTGTCCCCCGTATCTGCAGTTCATCTCGGGGGATACTCAAAACCAAAAAGAAATGGATTCGGCTTCCCCATCCGATAGGTAATTCTGCGGTTAAAATTTTAAAATTGTCGCGTTCGATTGATCATTTTACGTGTTTGCCAAAGGTTCGGATTGGTTTTGATTTACCGGATGTCAACGAATGGAAAACTCTGAATCTTGTGTTCCGGCCAGCTTTTGACACGACACCAAATCTTGTCTCTGCCTGTGCGGTGTTCAACTTTTTCTTTAATTTCAGCAAAGCCTTTTTGTAGGAAAAAAGTTAACACTTGTTTAAAAAAATACTTTTTTCTTTTTAATCGCTTTTTAGCCTTATTATTTACACGCATGTAGAGGAGAATTAAACCGATATTCTGGAGTCCTTTTCTGGTAGATATCATCGTAATCATCAAAACAAAAACGTTGAGTTGTTCACATTTAAAAAATTCAGCAAAATATTGTAATCTGTCTCGCTTGATTGCAAAAATTTTAAAAATGTTTCGCTTGAAATGATGCAAGTGCGCTCCAGCGCACTTTGTCGAAATTCATTTTTTTTTCTTTTTTTTTCATGTTCCCTCGTTTTAAATGCTTAATTCCGCGTTTACCTTTTCAATTTTTAATGTATTATTCTAATTTAGCTCGTTTTGGTATTTGAGGACTAAAAAAACGCCGATTCAACAAACTGGAATTCGAGGAAGCGCGATCAAATATTTTGAAATTTCGCCTCGCACACGATCACTGTATATTTATGTAAATAGCGAACGTGATTGCGAAACCGGTTCCAAAATATCCATCAGACCCCCACCTCCCCCCCATCCGCCTCCACTTTTAAAATTTGTGCTGCTGGCATCTTTTCAAGTGCGCTTTCTGAGTCATTCGCGTCGCCCGTGTGTCTCGCCGCGAGCCGAGCGAGTTGCATCAAAAAATTGACCGCGACCATCAAATTGATACGTCAAAATAAACTTTGTGTGTGCGCGCGCGCGTCTTTTTTCGGCAATCATCATCATCATATCAAAAAAAAAATGAAGACAATTTCGATCTTGCGAGTTGAGCAAACTAACTGAGGCGGCTTTGCCGGATGTTCATTGAGTCCAGGGACGAACTGACTCGAAAATGCCCAGAAAAAAAAACGGTTTTCTTTCTTGATTGAATTTGGGGGCGACAAAATAATACAATAAAAACCATGCAAAGCATTATCATCATCACAACACATGCAAACCTATAAACATGACGGACCACTTGTATGTACACATCTCAGAGCAAAAAAATAGAAATAATTATAATAATTAAATAGATTAGCGCTAAACGGTGGACTATAGGGATTGTTGTTCGAAACGTGAAAAACTGGATTGGATTTTACCGGGGGTCTAGGGGAATGAGCTTGGGGGGTCAAGAAAGAATTCAAATAAGGGGATTATTAGGCAACGCCGGCCGACAATGTCGCGGCGGATCCAGTTGATCGTCGTCGGATCATCAATTCTGGATCTTGATTGATGTTGTGAAACTCGTCTTCGTCATCGGCGACGTTCTCCTTCTCGTCGGTTCGATGCCAAGCAGCGGTTCTACAAATTGCACCCTACACCATCCGCAATTCGCCAATTTCGCCCAACCTGTACACCTTGGTATGCACCAAATGTCCCATCTTCTCATACGAGTAGGCTTCCTCGAACAATTGACGATACCAATACTCCTCAGTGGTCTCCGGCGTCTTCTCCGGGAATCGTTCGGCGCGATTCGCGAACACATCCTCGGGTATCAAACGATTGCAATACTCGAGAAGAATATCACCAAGATCGGTTTGACCTTCAAAACTTCAACATTTAATTATATTTCTCGTAATATGAGTACCTAAGGCTTCCGCGAATCCTTCCTTGCTTCTCCAGAGCACTTCAGTTGGTAGCCAGCCTTCAAACGCGCTTCTCAACAAATGCTTCTCAAGCTTCATCGGCATAAGCTTATAAGTAGGCGGAAGTCTACTGACAAGATCAATAAATCTCTTGTCAAGGAACGGCACGCGAATTTCGAGTCCATGGCATGAGGTGGAACGATCGCAGCGGAGCACATCGTACTGATGGAGATGGCTCATGCGACGTAGGATCTCCTTATGAAGGTGAAGGGCGTTCGGCGCCTTCTGCATGTAAGCATAGCTTCCAAATAGCTCATCAGCGCCCTCTCCTAAAATCAATCGTGAAATTTCCAAAAAAAAAGTTTGCTATCTATTTTAGATTTTTTTTGCGACTTGCGAAAGCGCCGCAATGTCTAGCGTATTTGCGTTTGCGATCTCGACGACTAAAGAATGTAGTAGCCGCACTAACCTGACAGTAGCACTTTGACGTCGGAGCTTTTCGAAATGTGCTGACACAAGAGATAGTGCGCGATGCCGCAGCGGATGATGAGCGGGTCGAACGTCTCCAGCGCGTACACGACCTCTGCAAAGAACAAATTAGACAAGTGCGACGCTTTTTCGAAGGCTTGCCCATACCGGGAATGATGTCGATGCATTGTTGCGGGGTGATGACGAGAATCTCATGCGGAATTTTGAGGTACTCGGCAACGCGGCGAGCATTCTCCAAATCCGGCGAGTCTTCGAAGCCGACCGAGAACGCGATAGGCTTCTACAAATAGAATAGTTACGTGACTTTTCCTAAAAAAAAAGAAACTCTTAAACCTCTTTAAGGAATTTGGTGGCAATCGAGGCGATTAGCGATGAATCGAGTCCTCCGGAAAGCATGAAACCGAAATTGCGATTTCCCATTAATCGCTTCTCCACCGATTTGACGAGAATATCGCGAACCAATGTCTACAAAGGGATTTTCGTAAATGTCAACATTTCAAAAAAAAGGTTACTCTTGCACTATCGACCGGCAAAAATCTGTCGGCGACACTCGGCACCAAATAATATTTTTGCGCTACAATGGCTCTGAAATGAAATGCAATTTGATTTTGTGATGCTCGTCGTATGGCGACGTACTTTCCGCGCGTCTCAAATGGAATTGTCGCGCAGCATCCCGGCGGGAAATATTCGACCCGCTCACAAATCTCCTCGATACATTTGACTTCCGAACCGATGACTAACGAACCTGCAACGAGCGCATGCTTTTGTTTGTCTTGATGACGAAAGCAAAAAGGTAAATATGATATGCAATTTAATAAACAAACGCATGAAAACACAACAAAATGATAAACAAAGAAGTAGCAGCGCGAATGATTTCTTACCGTTGGCGTTGTGGCCGTAGAAGAGCGGCCGAACGCCGATGGGATCGCGGCCGATGTAGAGGTTCTTGTCGTCGGCCATGATGAACGCGAAGACGCCGTCAAGCGACGCGCACGTTTCCTTGAGATCTTGACCTGAACACGTTTCGGATTGTTTTGAGAACAAGTTCGGTGTTTGCTCGAATCAAGTGTTTTCGCATGAGCAGGTCCAATGAGAGAAAGAGAAGATGAGCATCGAACGGCACTCAAAAAAAAAACGAAAAAACAAATACCGTGTTTGAGGAACGACGTAATGATGGCAGCGCAGTCACTTCCTCCATTCTTCAGGGTATAAGGGCAGTCGACCTGGAAGAAAATAAAAAAATGAGCACATTTCGAAAAAAAATTGAGAATTTGATCGAAGGCGCATCAAATTTAAGCCAAAATTTTCTTACACCGCTAGATTACTGTAGCAGAAATTTCAGCTGTGCGTATTTTAAAATTTTTAATTTTTCACTACATTATAGCAAAATGCCTTCTTTTTGAGATAGAATTATTTTTTCCATGCCAAACTTTACCTTAAGCTCTTTATGATTGTAAATCTCGCCATTGCAGACGACCGACAATCCGGCTCCAACGATTGGCTGAGCACTTGGCGTGTCTCCGGGCTGAAATGAATTACAAACTTGTCCCTCCATATCTTTTATTGCGTGCTTCGGACAACTTCAGGTTGTAAAATAATGGATAAAATTTGTGTAACGAAAATAAAAAAAAAGAAACGACGGGGCGAATAGCGCACACAAAAAAGAGTACGGCGACATACCATGACGATGGCGAGACGATGGAAGCCGAGATGGACGTCGGGTTGGACTTCCTCGAGGATGGTGAGATCAGGCCCGCGGCCGACGATCTTCATGAATGCGTCTTGATAGTGTGGCGCCGGCTCTTCGCCGACAATTGCCCAAATTCCGCACATCCTGTAAAAATGAAAAACCGAACAGTTATTCGATAGCACCAAAAATGGAATAAAAGATTCGAATGCAAGACGGAAGGCGTATGCGCGGATGGAGCAAACCCGATTTAAATGCAAAAATGAGTGTGCGATACGGTTGAGCGTATGGCTTATAAGAGTGCCAGCGATGGGGTGGGGGGAGGAAGACGAGCCAAGGACATGAGCACACTCTTGCTCGAGATCGCCCTACGGCCGGCCTTGATTAGGACCAGTTGGCGGCGACGGCGGCGGCGGCCCGAGAGTGAGAGAAGCGCGACGCGTCGCCAGGAAGCCGCGAGCAAGCAGGAAAGAGCGCAAGAGGCGCGCGAGCGCTCGAAAAACGCAAAAAAAAAACACAAGACCATGAAAAGACAACACAAGCGGCGTGCGACGACACACGTAGTCGTCCGTGCTGGAGCCGATCGCAGCGCGGGTCATCGTCGGCGGCTGCCGTTGCGTGTTGCGCGCACGCCTCGTCTGTTCGCCCATCGCGCCACGCCCCCACGACCCCCAATGTTTTGCTCATCGCCGGCAAACCCGCCCCGGCAACAACCCGCCCCTCCCGCATCAGTTTTACGTAAAAGCAACTATTCAAGTCAGCCAATAAAAAAAAACATCAATTATTGTTGTTGTTGTTGCTATTAAACTTATTATTATTGTTTGTCAGTAGGCCGATTTGCTCGACATGCACAAAGATACAGGTTGGCAAGTTTTTTTTTTGCTGCTCTTTTGGTCTTGCTACTCGCGCCCGCCTCGAAGCGATTAGCGAATGAGCGAGTTGAGTTAAGTGGTGCAATTTTGTTTAATTAGCATTTTTGTGATTCGTTCACGTGTGGCCCATCCCACTTTCTCTCCGTCCGTTAAGCGACGTGAGACGCCCGGAAAACCGGTGTCGACGAGAGAGCAACGCTTGCGAAAACTGTCGAGTATGATGTGGTAGACGCTCATTTCAACATCAGCACCGGATCGGATGGCGAATTATTTGAGAGGGGTCGAGACGAGAAGCTCGAGCTTCATCTGTCAGGGCAAACTAGTGTTTGTCGCTTGCTCTTTTTTTTTGGTTGGAAATGTTTCTAAAAGAAAATCGGCGGGGGATAATCTGAAAATCTCGCCATCCGCGATTATCGCGAGAATCATTTCGCCGCTGGCTTGTAAGATTTTACGAGTTGCGACAGCTGCGGACATTTCTTGAGCGACCTGCTCAAATGTCCGCAGCATCGAAGCGCGTTTCGATATGCAAATAATTTGGATTCATTTCGGCGCGTTTTGAACGTCATATCGATTCCCATTCACACACAAAAGCTTATGCTCATCGCGCGTTCGTCGAGTTCAGGCGTGATGTATCCGTAGCGCGTCGCCCGAATTGCCGGCGATTAATCAATCCCGATTTTATGGTCTTTTTTTGTGCGAATAATGGGTTCACTGATACGTTTTCTCATTATCATCATCATCATCTTTTTCTTTATCTCCTTCTCGTTTCGATGGCTCACATAGATTGGGGGGGGGGACGCGAGTTGTGTAGGTGATGCTCGGCCCATATTTGCACTTTCTCATCATCATCATCATCATCATCATTGAGCACGTAATAAAGCCGGCAGCATTCCGGTGGCAGACTCGCTGGCGCTCGCGCAATGACGACGCATCATGAAGGCCGCTGAGGCATTTCCGTAAAAGTCGCAATTTGCCCCGCGCCCGCGCGCGCGGCTCGCCGCGGAGCTCTCGAAACAAAAGAAGCGTGCGCCGCTCAGGTGATCATCAGCAGGAAAAACATGTAGGAAGGAAGCGATGGAATCGCACAAGTCAAAAAAAGAAAAAGAACTATGGGTCTCGACACCCCGATTATATTACTATTAATATTAAAATAGGTCCTACAGCGAATTTCCCGGAAATTTTGTGTTCTTTTTACAAAAGAATTAAAGCAGAAATTTTGTTGGTCTTGAAGCGCACGCGCCTTTAAATTGAATTAGCATCATAAAAATTTATTAATTTCCTTTAATATTTCAAAAGGAAAAATTCGTTGCTGCATGATTTTTTCTCAAAAACACCAAACTGGCCTCGCTCTTTCAGCATATATTCTGACCATCCTATATATCGCACCGAGCAGTATTAATCATTTAATCTAACCACTAAAACTTCCCTGTTTATTTACCGAATCTGGTGTCATCGTATCATCATTACAACGCTAGTGGCCCTTTAAGTAGAGCAAAAAATGTCAATATTGTTCAACACAACAAGTTGGGGGGAAAATCGCCGAATCACGCTTGATGATGATGAGCTGACCGGTATAGATATTGGCGACGGTCGACGCTCGCCATCACACCGTCGTCGCTTCCAATTATGGTCGTGTTCACTGCGAACTCGGCGGCGAAATGCAGCGATGTCAAATCGCCAGGTAACTCAATTCGGACCCCCCATTAGCCAATTCATTTTTCAAGCAATTGTTTTATTTATTAATTTGCGCATTGAGAAAAAAAAAATATATAATCCACACGCAAATCTGGTCCATCCAGCCAGCTGTCAGCCTCGTTTTTTGATTGCTTATCGTTTCCGGAGAAGAGCGAGAAAAGTTGTGTGTGTGTGTGTGCAGCATGCACACAACGCCCCATTGCGCAACCAACCAATGGAACACCGCATTTAAACATTTTTTCGAAAAATTTTGTTTTCGCTTTTTGCCAATTTCCATCTGCCGACAAATTTTTTGGGATATTTCAACGCGATCGCCGCACGATTCGCGCGTAAGCCTACCATCAACAGTGATTGCTTCGAAACTGTTCGACCTTGCCACAATCGCCCGCCCCCAACCAAATAGAATAAGTTGAAACAATGTTTAATTTAAAATTGAAAACCAGTGTCATTAGAAGTTCGGGAAGGGTGGGGGGGGGGGTTCATCGAACCTCCGCGTGGGCAACGCTCTCACGTCGTGAAGCGCAAAGGGTGGCGTCTCGCTGCCGCACGCGTTATTGCGAGACCCTAAGCCGTCAAATCCGGTACTAACTACTGAGACATAGGCCACCCGCCTCGGTAAGTTGGCAAACAGCAGCACACTACTATAAAATATTAAAATGTCGAAACTGAACATTCATTTTTTTTTGCCATCGTCGAAACGCGATCCAAAAAATTTGCAGACCAATTACTCCGATCGATGTCGTCAGTTCATCCGATCAGCGATGGCATACCATCGCCGCATAATCGGCCGACGACGTATCGATGGTTTCCGTCGTGGCGATTCATGACGTCCATCATGTTATGCTTCTGCTTCGGATGGTTCGTTTCGACACCGCCCACACATTTCTCACACAAACCATCGTTTCAGTGTGCATCTGATGAACAGCAATATGGGCATGGCGATCGTTTGTATGGTGCGAAGCGCCGATGACAACACGACGATTGTCGATGACGATTCGGCTCCGTTGCTAGATTGGACGTCCGACGAGCAGGGTTACATTTTTTCGGCGTTCAACGCCGGCTTATTGGTGATGCTTCTCACCGGCGGAATGGCCGACAAATTCAACGCCAAATACATGATATTGGTGAGTGTGGCGATCGCCACGCTCGCCAATCTCGTCCTGCCGCTTCTCGCCACCGTCAACGTCTACTGGGTGATCTTCAGTCGATTCATGGTCGGCTTCGCCGACGCGCTCCTTCAGCCCGCCATGAACTCGCTGATCACTCGCTGGTTTCCAACGTTCGAGAGGAGCTACGCGTTGGGTTTGGCAACTGGCGGCCGCCAACTAGGTAGGCATCAATTCAACACCCCACGCCCGCCTCATTCTGACAACTCCTAGGCACTCTGATCATCATTCCCGCCGCTGGAGCGTTATGCTCGCAAAACGAGATCTTCGGCGGATGGCCGTCAATCTTCTATCTATCCGGCTTCTTCGGCATCGTCTTCATTCTCTCCTACGTGTTCCTCGGCGCCGACAAACCGTCGAAGCAGTCGTGCATCTCCGACGCCGAGCTCAAATTCATCACACTCGCGAATCAAGGCGAAGACGTCGGCAAGAAGCGCACCGAGCGAAAAGTGCCGTGGCTGAGAATCCTCTCATCCGGCGCCGTGTGGGCATCGGTCATCTCGTTGGTCTGCCACGAGTTCCCGCTGATGACATTGATCATGTTCCTTCCGTCCTATCTCCACGACGTCCATCACTATCGTTCAACCGAGAACGGAATCCTGTCGGCGCTTCCGACCGTCTCTCTCTGGTTCGCCAAGATCGGATCGAGCTATTTGAACACGTGGCTTCAGAAGAACACCAACTGGAAGAAGGACACGATTTGCAAGGTGCTCAACTCGATCGGCTCGTTGGGTTTGGGCATCTTCCTGCTAGCCGCCACATTCCTTGACGAATCGCATGCCTGGATGGCTGTGATGTTCCTCTGCTTGAGCATGGCCTCGGCGGGTCTACACACGCCCGGATGTCAGTTGGCTCTCGTCTCGGTGGCTCCGGCGTATTCGGGAGCCGTCACCGGCTTCACCTTCTTCTTCGTTGCCGTCTCCGGCATCATCCACCCAATCATCACCAAGATGATCGTTAGAGTAAGAAGCGAAACGCGTCCGATTCTCAGCATCGCGATTTTCAGAATCGTACCGCTTTCGAATGGAACATCGTGTTCTACATCTCGACAATCATCGCCATCTTCCCAATCATCATTTTCAATGTCTGGGGTTCGACAGAGGTAATTTAAAAAAATTATAATAATTACCGCCAACTTATTCTAGGTGCAATGGTGGGCGAAGAGCAAAACGTCGATCGCCCAGAATCATCCGGACAAGGCGTCGCGCAAATCGTCGAAATCGTCCGCCACCGAGTCGACCGTCGACGGTCTCGATCTTGCCTGAATCGCGTTCATCATTCTTCCAGCCAAAAAATTATTTCAGTCTCAACGTTTGTTGCAGGTGTCTGAACATTGTTGATCTCATAATTTTCCGGTCCGGTTTCTTTTTTCCCCCGCTTCTCAATTATGTTTTTTCGCCGACCGCCTTCACTTTGATTATTTTTTTTTCATTTTTTTTTTCATTTTGCGTTCAATTCGTTTCTAGTTGTTATTTTATTTATAACCTGATTGCGGGTTGTTGCTTGCTGAAAATAATAATAATAATAAAGTATTGAGTTCGATGCGGCTCTTCACACTGAACGAGAATTGAGTACTCTTTGAATGGTTCCGGAAGTTCCTCATATTCAGAGGTGAGAGAATAAAATTGAAGGTGTCAAGTCCGAGATTAATCTCCCCTACTATTTCCGGGTCCATTTGTAATCCCCCCCGGTGCCCGCCCCCCTAATCGAAACAAAAATACGCGATGGGGTCACAATTGTATTCAAAATGCGATCCGCTGTCCTGTCGCTTACCATCGCTGTCATATTCGTTGCCGTTGAATATGGCCACACTTCATCGCCAATGCAATACCTGGCTATGGTAAGTCGGCGAGCTTCTTCAATTCTACCAATCGTTTGAAGGAAGGCGATACCGTCGAAATCTGGCTCGGAAAATTCCCAGTGTACACGAGACAAGTGAACGCCGGAAGGCAGACATTCCGCATATGCACCGCCAAGAACAAGAAGAACAAGAAGTGCGGCTTCTGGCTCAACCCAAAGGTACTCCATCGAGCTTCACTACCTTCTCAAGCTTCTTCCTCTTTTTTATAGACCAAGAAGAAGGTGAAGAATGCTGCGATTACGAAGATGAAGAATGGCGAATTTCTAGTGTTGAAGAATGTGACAATCCGCGATGACGGCGTCTACACGTCAAAAACCGCCTACCTCCAGCTCGCTGTTATGCAAAAACCCAAGCCGCCGCCGATAAACTAAACATTAATTTTTTATGTTTATTTAGTAAATCAGAATGATTCAATTTTTCTCATTGTCATCTTTTAATTGGCATGCTGCGGACATTTTTACTAAAATTTCGAGATGAAAAACATTTTAATGGGAACGCATAATTAACTAATCAAAAAATATTAAATCATAATTACATTTTTATAAATCAATTACAACCCGAATGCTCCTTATTCATTTCCCGAAGGCTGATCCGTTTGGCATGTTCGAGAAGCATCTCATCAAAGCTCGACGCATCTTCCGAAGCTTCATCTCCTTCTAAATATGGAGTATCCTCAGGTTCCTCATCCTCCGAGAATTCCACTTCCTCGTCGACTCCCCGGAAATTCAAGTATTTTTTCCGATTCCGAGATGGGGTGATGTCTAAAATTGGTGATAATTTAATAATTCTAGGGAGGTGAATCATACAGTTCAGCAGGATCAAAGCTTTTCCATTCTTGCTCTTCGGCACCTTGTAGACGTTGTACTGTACGACAGGCTCGGTAGCCAGCTCCTCTTCTTTCTGCTGATGTCCGCCCTTTTTGCTGAGCTCTCGATTTTTCTCAGAAAAATTAGAATACTGAAATGCCAAATTTAAAGGTACATCCAAACTCCTATTGAAAGCTTACATGCTGTCCCCGTCCCGACGACGTCGACGCAGTTCGAATCTCAAATCCATCTTCATCCTCATTCTCCTTCTTGTGAACCGCAAAGGTGGAATTCGAATAGTTCATTGACCCATATTCTAAAAACCAGAAAATTTGGGATAGCAAAAAGGCGGTCGCCCAAAAATCAAAATTGCTCACGTCTCAAAAAATTCTTCTCAACAACCTCGGCCGGCTGATCAATCGGCGCACATTTGAGCAGCTCGCCGCAATCCTTAGCGCCTTCCCATCGTCCTTTTTTGTTCATCGAGTACATCACGTTGAGTTCGAGGTCATCATTGCATTTCTTCGCAGCATCCTCAACAATTTTCTGAAAAAAATCGGTATATTTGAAGCAAATTGAATAAAATTCTACCTGATCCATGTTCTCCTGATTCTTAATGGTCTTCTCAAGAAGCTGATGATCCTTGACCTGATTGTAAATCTTTTTCCTTCTACTCTGATAATGTTTTCCATAGTTTTTTTCCGGGATTGCAAGGCCTGTTAAAAAGATACCCATAAAAAAGTATGGAAAGAAAGAAAAAACTCACTTTTCTGGCCAAGGCTCCTCGAAAGACATGATTTCTTCAGAAATTCCTTCGTCAGAAGATTCAGAAGTACCGGGAATAGTTGAAGGAAAGAAAGCCGTTAAAAAAGGCTATATTTGCCGTCTCTCGGTTCCTCTATTTATACAACGCGCTCTATTGCAATGCCGTTTGCAATATTTCGCAATCTTTATCACCTCATCGATATGAATCAGTGGGGAATTCGCCTCGATTCTGAACAATTTATAATTAATTACAACTCAATAATTATATACACATAGTTTATCCAAAGGAATCGTCACATTGCTCATTCTCATTCGTTTCTAGTTTGCTACGACGCATGCAACGTTTCGTAATCTTCCAATATTTGCTTTTTGATAAAAAAAAGCAATTCTGACGTTTTTCAGGCCGCAGGAAAATTGTTATGTATAATATAAATAGCAATTATATCTAATTAGGCAATTAAAAAACAACGCAACAAAAAGTTGAAAAATGAAAAAAATGTTCATTCATACGCACGCAAGATTGCACACATTGATTATTTGCAATAAATTCTCTATTAATTTTCATTACTTCAACATTTTCTTCATGAGGAATTAAAAAGCATGGAAATCGAAGTCGATTTTCATTAAATTAACTAGTTCTTTTTTTAATTCATGTTTAATTCATTCTTTTTCTTTAATAATCTGACGATTTTTCTGGGATTTTAGAAATAAGTGTTGGGCAATTAACACAAAATTGTCAATTATTTATCGCAAAAAAAAGCAATTAATTACAACCCGAATGCTCCTTATTCATTTCCCGAAGGCTGATCCGTTTGGCATGTTCGAGAAGCATCTCATCAAAGCTCGACGCATCTTTCGAAGCTTCATCTCCTTCTAAATATGGAGTATCCTCAGGTTCCTCATCCTCCGAGAATTCCACTTCCTCGTCATACTTCTCATCGACTTCCCACAAACCTAAATTTTTCTGCCCGTGCCGTCTTGCGCTAGTCTTGTCTAAAATTTGCTGTTAATTGTAAATCCTGAGGTCGCCCTTACTAATCATTAGCATCACAGCTTTCCCGTTCTTGCTCTTCGGCAACTTGTAGACGTTGTACTGTACGACAGGCTCAGGAGTAGGCTCCATAATTTGACGTGGGTATCCGCCCTATTTAATATTAAAAAATTCTACCTGATCCATGTACTCCTGATACTTGATGGTCTTCTGAAGAAGCTGATGATCCTTGATTTGCTTGTAAATTTTTTTCTTTCGACTCTGATAATGTTTTCCAAAGTTTTTTCCGGGATTGCAAGGCCTGTTGAAAAAATACACATAAAAAAGTATGGAAAGAAAGAATAAACTCACTTTTCTGGCCAAGGCTCCTCGAAAGACATGATTTCTTCAGAAATTCCTTCGTCAGAAGATTCAGAAGTACCGGGAATAGTTGAAAGAAAGAAAGCCGTTAAAAAAGGGTATATTTGCCGTCTCTCGGTTCCTCTATTTATACAACGCGCTCTATTCGTTGCTACACCTCATGCAACATTTCGCAATCTTCAAATTTTGTCTTATGATAAAAATCGATGCTTGCTGGCGTTTTGCAGGTCACCTACAATTTAAAAGATTATAACGAATTATGCAATTAAAAAAATGCAAAAAAAAATATTGAAAAAAAATCGATTTGCCGCAAAAAAATTTGAAAAAAAAATGACGCGTTCAAGCCGCTCGTAAAAGTGTGCATACACCCTCACGCAAAGTTGCACACATTTGATTTAAAATTTTTCTCATCTAACGAAATTTATTATTACATAATTACAACTCAATTATTATATACACATTTAGCTCGTCCTATGCAATCGTCACATTGCCCATCATCATCTTCATTCGTTTCGCGTTCAATTCGAAATCCGTCGACAACTGCATGTAGCCGTCGAACGTGCGCACTTGCGGATTCATAAATCTCATCGTCTCCTGCATCGGCAGCTTAATAGCCTTCTGAAGGGCGCGATTGAGTCTCGGCGCGATGAACGTCTTCGCCAGCGGCGACAATTTCGAGATCGACGTCTCATCGACACCGCGAATCGACGAGCGATGCAATCGCACATTGAATCTGAACGCAGAATATTTTTGCCATGGGCGATGTGTCTAGAGAAAAAAAAATAAATCGCACCGATTCAGACTCAGATTCGCCTCGAGTATCCCATCATTCGGCACGAATCCAATAACAGCTTGTCCATTAATCGAGAAGACGAGAATCTGCGATTTGACGCGCTCGTCATAATTCTCCAGATATGTCAAAACCCTATCTGAATTCCATTTATAGGCAATTATGATAGACCACTCAGACTTGTTGTTTCGATGGTGGCGCCGTCTGGAGTGAATCGCACATATGGCAATCCATGCGGTAGGATCACAAACGAAGTGGTCGCGTTGGGGAATGACTAAAACGAGACGTGGCGCCGTTTAGAGAATCATCCGAACTCGCCAAACCTTCCCGATTTGAGGTATCAGCCTTCCAACGCATATATTCGACGGATTCCATACCGTCGGGCAGCTCGTTCCGACGAATCCCTTCAGTTCGGCCGGCAGCGATTCATTCTCGATCTGCAATTTTGAGGTTTCTGAGGCTCGTCGCCTCCCTATCAACTTTCATCGATAGCCGATTATCTTGATACGCGTGATAGAGTAGCGAATTGAGAAGATGGTCCGATATGTAGATGTGAAGCATTCGGTCTTCGCTGCTTGTCAGATTCTCCATAGCTCTATTGAAACATCGGGGATCAATGATCAAAGATCAAATCGTACCTGGGATAGAATGGCGTTTGAGCGGATTGATCGTACTCAATGATGCCTGAAATTATTCATACATTTTTCTAGAAATTAATCCGATTCTGTAATTTTTTGGGTAAAATAATACATTAGGTTGTTTTTTCTGGAAATTTCAGCTAAGGAAACAGTCAAGAGGAAGGCTTTTTGGCTCTTGAAAGCAGTTTTAATAATTTTTGGAAAAGTGGTCCGTTAGTCCTGGCGAATGGAAAATTCAAAAAACGCATTTCTTTTCCAATTATGAAAATTCCTTTCCTACCTTGATGATTAGTTTCAATAAAATCAAAAGTGACGTAGGGATGAGCCATTAATCGATTATCAAGAAACATTCCATTGGATAATTGCGCCATGAATCTGAACTAAGCAATCATTAAATCAATTCACTTCGAGTCACTCCCCACGATTGCATGAGATCGCCATTTTTGGTGGCGACTCTCGGCAGCTGATCCATCAGATCCATTCGGATCACCTTATCGAACATTTGGCCGACGTGTTTCTCGATGGCGGTTTGCAGTTTGGCGCACAGAATCTCCGGAATCCTCTGACGAACCGAATCGTTGATCATGCCCTAAAAATCACATTTCTGTCCCGTTCAAAAAAAAAGGCGTACCTCGAATGTTTTGAGAAAAATGCCCATCGGACCGACGGGATTCAGAATCACATGGCTGCGCGCGACAATCGCCGAGCAGTTGCGAACAATCGCCGACATTGATCCGGTTTGAGTGGCGAGCAGCTCGGCGGTCAACGCGATCGTCATGCCGACGATTGAGCCGTCGAGTGAGCCCTCGAATTGAAGCGGTGGCGCGCTGGCGAAAAAATGCGATGAGAGTCTGCAAATTGAATACTGCGTTTTTTGGAAGGCCTCGGGTCAAAATGAATTACGATAGGTCTAGATTTTCGAGCCCAAGGACGATGTAGCGTGTCGGGAGGAAGTTGAGCACCGAGAGCTGCGGCGGATGATAGTTCTTGATGCGCAAATTCGACAACCTCGCCACACCGATCATTCCGATTTGATTGAATGGCACGTCTGTGGAGTAATCCTGGAACAACAAATTAATGATGGAGATCTTTTTTTAAAGGCGCATATGAGCAAATTGCTGAAATCATTCCACCCAATTTGTCCATGGTTTGAGCAATTTTTGGAGAATCCCCAAAGAAGAAAATAAAAATAAATTGATTGATTTTCAAAATTTCACCTTCAAATTGGCAACATAATCATTGAACAACTGAACGCCGACGGTTTTGATATGATTGGCGCCCTTTTTGGTGAGCCGAATTTTGACGCCCGCGTTTCCTGAAGACATTGAAGCGACAATAACAGACAGCAAAAAAAAAATGAGACGAACCTGGATATCGAAACCATTGCTTATGAGCATTGATCGGCCGATAAGCGTCGACGCATTCCAGAAAGACGGCGGCGAGAGCGAAAGCGAACAAAACGCGCATCGGTCGACGTCGCCGGCGATGTGGGTCACGATGACACAGTGCGTTTCGGCTAATAATGCGTTCGTTCGACGTGCGACGATTCTCAGCCGCCCTTATCAAACGCTCATCCTCGTTTTGCGTGCGCGCGCGCGCGCGCGAGAATCGCGCCACGGAAAAAAAATTGGTTGCGATATTGATATATGTGAATGGCAGGTTTTTGCAGCGCGTTCTGGTTCGTTGGAAATGGCAACCGAAAAAAAATAATAATAGAAATGCAAATCATCCAGGAAACGAACATGTTTTGTTGTTCTTGTCTGCATTCACCGACACGCATTAATGCACACGGCGGTCGTTTATGGAATTGCCGCTTCCTGGCCGTCCTCCGAAGCATTTGCCATAGTTTCAATGGTTGAATATATTTATGATGACACCTTAAATTTGTGAAATGAATTTCGAGTATAATACGACACAACAAACGATGTAGTTTCGAGATATATGAAGATTTCACAAAGAGAAACGTCAAATCGCTATATAGATGGCAGAAAAAAACTCACAAAATCTCGGCCGCGGCCAGGTTTTTCGATTTTTTGTAAAAATTTTTAGATTAGAGTTCCTATTTCTTCTAATGTGATTAATAGTTCTTCCAATGATTTAATTAAAAGAAACTTGTAGTAATTAGTGTAGGCTTCGAAAACCCTTTTTTTCTACCAGCAAGTCGTTTCTGCCGATATTTTGGAACTTTGCGAAATCCGTATAATTGCGAGATACAAATTATTTAAATATCAATTTTCTAATTTATTTAGAATTCAAATATAATTGATAAAAAGCCATTAATCACCTAACAAGATAAAAAATATTTGGCTTCAACGAAAAGAATAGTTTGCGCCTTCTCCGTCGGGAGTACACACCGGCACTCCGTTGTCGGCCACCACAATTCGGCCACGTCATTTTTACTTAGACGAAAGGCGCTCTTCTACATTCTTTCGCGCTAAAATCGAATGAGTCACCACGAGACCCATGCGCCTTTAATTACCGTATTATTTTGGAACAATTTCAATTCGAATTCAATTGATTAAAGGCGCATTAAAAATGAGGAGCGTCTCGTCGAATTTTCTTGCATTTTGTTTCTGCGAGGAAATTTCGAGAAAATTTTGATTTTTTTACAAATTGCTTTTATTTTCAGGCACAGCTAGCCTAGAAATATTTTTGAAAATTCGATATTCTCAGATGGCCCCCCTTTCATTGTTGATTCTCATTTTTATGAACTAATTTTGAAGTGCCTGAAAGTTTGAATAAGGTCTTTAAAGGGGCATGCAGTGAACGGAGATGGGTCTCAAGACGACACACTGATAGTCGCTTTTCAAGCAATTTTTGCAATATTGCGTTAGGCGATTGAAAAAAAAATCGAGTATAATTAATTTTCATCACTTTCGAGGGGGCGGAGCTTTGAAATTTGAACAAGTCGATTTGACTGCGTATCGAGGATATGTTAAATTACAGTATACTTCAAAGGCGCATGCGAAGGTGATTAAAGAAGAAAAAAATTTTAATTGGTCTGAAAATTTCAGTGAAATGTTTCGCTTCCTCTTTGGACCCTCTCGATTGTTCATACTATTTCAAACATCACAAAAATGAATTGTAGATCAATTATTCGCGCCAAAGGACATGAAGAAGCCTACTGTGTAGAAGGATCATTTTTTTTTCAGATTTAAAGGATAGTTTAGTTTTCAATAATTAACAGTTCCTTTTGATGTCAATGTGCAGACACACTCACGCAAAATTGCACACAATTGAAATTTGGAATATTTCCCGTGTTGGCGGATTACGGTAGCGCGCCCGCGTTCGCAGAAGCTTCAAAAATCGATAAAAGCGCGCTAGCCAATTTTAATAGCAAGAAAAAATTTGAAAAAAGCCGCTCCTTCGCGAAAATTTATGTGTTGAGAACACACAAACAATATAAATATATCGAGGCGGTTGCCCAATTTTATTTTTTTTTTGGGGGGCAAGGCGTCGTTTCGTTTTTATGGTATGTGTATTATTCGGACGCGGATTTTCGGTAGTGATGGTGAGAAGACAAAAAGGCAGCGCTCAAAAAAGAATATTGAGCGTTACAATTTTTTTTATGACGACACCTCATCAATCTATGATCGAATTATGGAATAGGTGACGCGTCAGCTTCTCCCCCCCCTTTTCCATTTTTATTGAAACCATGCTGCCAGACGGTGCTCTTCTTTTCCTATTATCGATTCCATCGATTGCCGGATTCGTCGGTGAGAGTCTTTGGCCGAAAACCTCGCTGGAACTCTGCGATCATCCCGAAAACATTCCTCTAACCATAGGTGACTTCCTCGTTTTCCCCCTCCCTCCCCCCCTTCCTCAACCCAACAATTTTCAGAAATGAGTTGCTTCTACGTATTCAACAATTTGCATCCGGTGAAGTTGGAGATTGTCAACTTCGATCCGATACTCGTCATTTATCGAGATATTCTGACGGCGACGCAAGTCGACGGATTCCTTGAGGTGTTTCGGAATCGCACGCTGGAACGCGCGGTGAGATTTTCAATTTTCGATTTGTCTCTTTTGGTTTCTGGTTTTTTGCTTTGCTAAAAAGTAACATTTGAAAAATTTTTAACTAGCAAAACGCGTTTCACACCGGTGAAGCCTCGAACCCTGGACAAAAATTTGCGTACGTGCGCACTTGCCACTTCGCCACAACCACCTCCGTCGACTCAGGTAAAACGGCGAATACCAAAGTTAATTCAAATTTTATTCAAAGTGCCATTTGAGCGTGGCACACAATTAGTTTAAAATGTGACTTAATTATGCATTAATTTGGTACTTAGCGTTTAACTACAACCTTTGGTACAAACTTTGACATTCATAGACGATAAGCAGACAAATAAATATTTTTAAAAAAACGGATAGAAATTTTTAAACAATTTTTTCGTTTAAAATTTAGGCCTAAAAAGAAATGTCAGCGAAAAATATTCAATTATAATGAATATACGTAGTAGATGATAGAAATAATTTTCTTTGATTTTTCAAAAAAAACCACTGAAAAATCTTGAAAACAAGAGCAAAATGAAATAAAGTGTTGAAAACGAAATTCGAAAATCGTGAGGCGTGGCCACACTCTGCAAAGCGGCGCAGTGTTTTGCAATTCTGCGGCACACCTTTCCAAAAAAATTGAGCGTCTAATTTGATTCTTATTTGACTTAAATTTAGTACTCAGCGTTCGTTTAGTCAAATTTAAGTAAACTTTGATACTCGCCGTTTTATCTGTGTAGGCATGCCGTTGGCTCGAGTATTAAATTTCCCATATAGCCATTTCTTCTTTTGCAAAAAACTCAAAACAATGAATTTTTTTTTGATTTCTTCCTGATAATGAAGCTGCAACGGATCGTCCAAAATTTGCAGGAAACCATTGGTCCGAAGAGCGACGCGCGTCAGGCGAACAACACCTTCTTCTTCTTCAACGACTCGCCAATAACGCAATCGATCAGCGAGACACTCGCGACAAGCATTCCCTACATCAATTTCGAGACGTCCGAAGAGATCTCGGCAATGCCCAAAATTGCGCATGATAGCGTACATCATCGAGAAATTTTTCAGGCGCTCTCGTATCTGCCCGGCGGTCACTACGTCGAACACTACGACTACATCGATTACAATGAGAACTACACCGATTGGTTCTTTGAGAACTATGGCAATCGATTCGCCACCGTCATTATGGTGTTCAAGACGGCCGATGAGGGCGGTTGCACCGCGTTTCCCGTCATGAACAAATCGATTCGCGCGAATCCCGGCGACGCGTTCATGTGGTTCAATATGATGGCCGACGAGCAAATGGTGGGGCTCGAAATTTCAGCCAATTTTCGTTTTCTGAATCCCCGCAAATTGTGCGCGCGCTTTTAATGGTACATCATCGCCGATGGCGTATCCCGGAAATTGTCCGCAGATCGTTTGTTCGCTTCTATTCAATAAACGCCTAAAATTATTCGAAATGCTTCAATAATTTTTTTTTTCTTTGTGACGCTCGGTGTCGACACACAAACACCAAACTTGACGCGCACTTGCACAGTTTTTTTAAATTAATTATAATTAGAATATACATAAATTGAATCATGGAAATTAGGTGAAAAAAAAATGATTTGCAAATTTTGTGGCATTCTGAACAGGACCATGAAAAACTATGATGGTCCGACCCATTCTGATGATTGTGATTGCAGGACGCCGCCTCGCTACACTCGGGCTGTCCCGTCTACAAAGGCGAGAAGATCGTGGCGACGGTGTGGACTCGAGCCGCCGATCAGCCATTGCTGATGAATGCCGTCGATCCGGGACCAATCGATATTTTCCGATTGCTTTTCAATTAATGATTTTCTTGAACTCAAAGAAAAAAATTTTTAATATATTTATTCAAGCATAAAATGATTCTGACGGAATGTCTTTGAAGTGGTGTCTGAAAGAAAATTTTTTTTCAAGCAAAAATTGCGCTCCAAACCTAAAAACGCAATTTCGATTCTCTCTATTGTACACGGTGATCCTCACGCGATCCATGGATATCCTTTGTGAATCCACTAGAGTGATGCTGGGATTTATTAGGAATTTCGTGACGAAGCTCCAGAAGAATGTCAAATCATTTTGAGATTCTGGCCGTCTGACGACAACGCTCAACTGAAAAAAAGAATTCCGGGCAATTGTCGGCAGATGATGGCGTCCAACCTGGCAGACGTCGAGAAGCTCGGAGATTTCGGCGCCGTCGAAGTTGAACAGCAAATCCTGATAGGGCACTGATTCGTCGAGGTACAGCGCTTCTAAAATAATGGGACCCTTTCAAGAAAGCCTTGAAGCCGAACTCACCGATGTGGGAAGCTTTTAAGACCACTGAGGTCAGGGTTGCCAGGTCCAGACGATCGGAATCCGAATAGCCGATGGATAATTGATGGCTGAAGAAACGGATGCGTTCATCATTCCTTTCGATGAAAGGATCAAGCTTAACCACCTCACAATCGGCGTATCGAAGCTGGAAACTGAAATTGGTGGGGTCCCTGAAAGCCTCTCACTCACCTTCATGCCAACTTCAAGGCTCACATCGGTGTTGTTGCGAGTGGCGTGAACAATGAAGCACTGTCGCGAGCCGCGTCGCGGTCGCCAAAATAAAACGCGTCGTCGATGGACGTCGACGACGTCGAATCTGCCGCGAATCACCATCGCTGAGCAGCGATTCACCAATGTCGAGATGAGGCGCCACAACGGAAAACGACAAAACAATTAATTGAAAGCATCTGCGGACATTTTGCGGGGCTCGAAATTTTTCAATTCGAGAGGGTTGTCAGAATTTGCTAGAAGGCATCTGCGGACATTTTGCGGGTCTCGAAATTGTTCGATTCGTGAGTGTTGTCAGAATCTGCGGACATTTCGCGGGATGCGGCCGCAAGTCTTGCCAATCAAATTCACCATGACCTTTGACCTTTGACAACTCACCTCATCAGCGGTATCACGTTCGTACCATGTCACATACTTCGTCAAACACCTCTGCTGATTGGGCGGCTCGGCGAGCTGCAATTGGCGACTCAAATCGTTGATAGAGAGATTAGATTTCTCGTCGCACCTCATCGATTCTCAAATACTCGATCGATACCAGAATGCTTACTAATAGAATGTAGAACATTTCCGACGAAATGCGCTTTTGAGACACACACAAATTCTAATCGCGATCACGCATCTTTCGAAAATCGAGTATATAATCATTTCGGCCTATTCAGACTAGTTAATCCCCCCCCCCTTCATTGAATTAGAATAGAATAATGCAGAATGAGTGCGAGTATTGAAGAAAAAAAAACGAAATGGATAATATATGCATTCTTTGCTCAGATATCAATTTGCAGTGCTGCCGACAATTCGCGGGATTTCTTGGCCATCGAAATTCGAGTCTTTTTTTTCCATGATTAAAAATTCACGCTAATAAATTTTTCTGCCAAATTTCATAGTATTTTCGAATTACTGTAGCTACAGTAATCCATTTTAAGAAGCTCATGAATTCGTGTCGGGAATCCCTCCAAAGGATTACTGTAGGTTCAATGATCCCAAACTTTAATCTACTCTTTTTCTTGATGAAACTTGGAATTTCGTGTTGAGACCCAGCTACAGTAATCCGTAACATGCGATTTTTAAAGATTTTTGAAGGCAACTTGTCTAAGAAGCCTCTCTGAAGGATTACTGTAGCTACAGTAACACGCGATTTAAAAAAAAAATCCATCGAGAACCCTCTTTAAAGGCGCATTGTAAATTTCGTTGGCTACAGTACTCCCAACCCCCTTATAGTTACTATTCAATTTGGAGAAGGTCTCTATTTCGCGTCAAGAGCCTCTCTGATGGGTTACGGTAACTTCCGCCCCACTTGTAGGTCCCCCACCCAATCGAATCCACATAATTCGTCGAGGATAATCAATTTTGAACGGTGCGTCACATTTATAAATTTTTTTTGGCGACTGCCAACGGCAATTCTGCGATTATACGGATCAACGGAACACGTCGTCGGCGTCTCCTCGCATCACACGCTCTCTCGCCCCGCCCTCTCGCCTAATAGTTTTCCTCATCGCGTCCGATTCATCGCGCAACTACATCAACCCGCAATCATTATTATATTTTTTTACAACAACCGCGAAAAAAGGATCCAATAACTAGACAAGGCATAAATCACTAATCCACCCACAACACTATATGCATTTTTTTTCTCGTATCTACCGGTTCTTACTTACGGCGGAGCGCACTTGCTGTTGACCTTTGACCTTGAGAAACCTGGAAACTTGTTTCGTATCTGAAAAAAAAAAACATGCATACAATTTGAAGAACAATGCATTGCTGATATGGTGGGTTTCATTGTCAGCGTCCCACCGCTTGATAATTGCAACCCTTTTGTTTTTCTTGTGACTTGCCACCACCCACCTTGATTGTGTGTATATTTTAAAATTGTTCTCGACCCCCAGCCTTCACCAATTTTGCATTTTTAAAATTTTCTCAAAAACTCGTTTTATAGAGTCGTAAAAATTTTGAAAATTCCCAAACAACACACTTTTCGGCGAACAAATGATGACTCTATTTTTTTTTTCAATCGTCATCAAGAAAAACTCCAAATTTTTTGTACTTTCGTATGTAGTCGTAAGTAGTAGAAAAGTTCAAAAAATCATATTACAACAATTCTGGATGATAAACAGGACCCTTCTACCGTAATCCAATGATATTTAGCTACCGTAATCGCTGGTCAATTTAAAGGGGATCGACTAGGTTTTTTTTCTCGACATGAAGATTTTCATGAAAATCGATGTTGGGTCTCGCCACGAAAACCTCGTAAATCTCGTCAACGACGATTAAAAAAAAACGAACGCCACTATCAATTCGCTCTCGTCTTCAACAACGCCTTTCATGGCGAATGGAATTTTTATTTATTTATTTTTCGAGACGCGCTCTATAACGGCTACTCCCTTGTATTTTTCAGCAATAATCCGATTTTGTCGTTATTTTCTTCTTCTTCTTCACAAAATAACATCCCCCCCCCTTCCTCTCCTCCCGTTCGGGTAACTACTAACCATTATCATTTTCGATATTGACAAATCGCTTGGATCAAGTTTGAAATTGATAAAATGTCAACAAAAATAGCGGCTGCAAAAATTGCAAAAGGAAGCCCTCCCAAAAAAAAATTGAAGAAACCAGTCCAGGCGATGCCAAGGGGTGGCTCGAGTAAAATTAGAAGTTTTTGTTTGACGAGTCGCACTTCGTTTTTTTCCCCTCGTTCAAATAGTTATCATCTATTTAAAATGCGCACTCGACCTATCAAAATTATTCATTTTTTTTTGAGGCCACAATGATCACACGCGTTGGCGACGTCGAATCGCCGAGAAGGGGCAGTCCGAGCGAGGTGTTCTCGTCCGACATCAATGATATTCATCGAGCGCGCAAACACCAGAAACCATCCAGGTAGTTTTTTCAGCCCTCTCAAAATGTTTCATTTAAAGCGGTTGGTGCGGTTACTGTAGGCATTTAAAGGCGCATACATAATTTTTTTTCAAGACTTGAATGAATCGGTGAAAACCGCACAAAACATTTTTCTTTTTGGTGTCTTGACTACAGTATCCCTGACCTTGCATGGTAGATCAAAAACAAATCAGGGGCTTTCAAAATAAATAATAATAAGAACGCGGTTGATTTTGATTGGTTTCCCCCTACCAGTACGACACTCCAATTACGCATCGCCCTCAATTTAGCGCTTTGACTTGATTGAATGTTTCCCCTTGTTCGTCTCGCTTTGAGAAAAGGCATATCCATCAAATTATTGTGATGGTAGATCAAAAAGAGCGATCCAACGACACTTTCAAAAAAATCGCGACCATTTGTTTGTGTGTTTGTTTGCCGCCAATTTTTGGTTTCAAAATCTCAAATCTCCCTCCACAAACATTTGTTTGAACGCACATATTTCGGTGTGTTTGCCTTCTGGGAGTGCGGTCTTCCCCCTGTCATTAGCAAAAATGATTTGATTGTCCATTCATGCCAACCGATTCGATCATCATCGATTCCGACAACGATCGTCGGAATCCGAGCACGTTGCGTCGCTCGCTTCACGCGTTCATCCGCTCGCGAAGGTACATTCTCGAAAATGTAGTGAACAAGGGGGGGGGGTTGCTATAAATTAAGGCGATTACAACATCCCTCAATCCCGTATATACAACATTCATTCATTTCGAATTCTAATATTATGGGTCTTAGCGAGAAGTACACCGCTAGCGTCCTCACAATCAATTTCTAAATGCCTCAATTTTAAGATGCACCAAATTGATGGCGATCTTGTTCGGCGTTCTCGCGCTCATTTTTCTCCTCTCCACCGTCGCGTTGGCAATCGTCGTTGGAATTAAGTACAACCAGGACGACGATAATATCAAAGAGGTATGTCGAATCGCGACCGCCCACGTCTGATGGTCTTGTAATGAACTTGACGCGCAAATAATAGAGAAAAAAGACAAACCAACTAGTTGGAATTCCTTTTAATAAATAACAAAAGGTCGAAATAATGCAGGAGGCGAGTTTGCCGGACGATCGAGTTGACATTGAAACGGTAATATTGGAAAGAAAAAACATTGTCGTGATGGGGACTACTAACACACATAGTTAGCATAGTTGAAGGTGGCGCACCAAATAATTTAATAAAAAACAAGTTTTTCTGTCGTTGGGTGTTGATTTTGTGAATGATTTTTTTCTCGTTAGATTTGTCGTCATAAATATGCCATAGATGAATGGAAATAAAGAATTGACGCGAGCAAGTGCGCAAGTTCCATTGAGAATTTAACAAATTTCGAATTTTTCTTGCTAATTTCCATTGAAAATCGTCAATTCTTTATTTTTCCATCGTTCTAGACAATGAAATATACTAGAAATTTGCGATTTCAGATTCCGATTCAACGCGATGACACCGGAAAATTGCAGTTTGACTGGCCGCAACCATCGGGCAGCCTGTTCGCGCATTACAAAAAAGCGGCGGTCGCGTCGGATCACGGATTGTGTTCAGAAATCGGCCGCGACATTCTCATCGAAGGCGGAAACGCGGTCGACGCGATGATCGCGACGCTTATCTGCATCGGCACCGTCAATCCGCAATCGTCGGGCATCGGCGGCGGATTCGTCATGACGCTCTATAACGCGTAAGTGGAATTGTTGTTTGGTTTTTTTTCATTGAAAGGAGTCTCGACATTTTCAGATCGACGGGAATGTGCGAAACGATCGACGCTCGAGAAACGGCGCCGTCAGCGGCCACCGAGGACATGTTTGTTCAGAATCCCAGTGATTCTGTCTACGGTATTCGAGAACTCTTAAGAAACTCAAAGCAATGACGCTATTCGTGTTTTCAGGCTATCGCTCGATCGCGACACCATCCGAACTCCACGGCTTCTGGACCGTTTTCAACAAATACGGATCGGGCAAGGTCACGTGGAAGCGGCTGTTCGAGCCGTCGATCAATCTCGCCCTTCACGGATTCCCGGTGTCTTCGAATCTCGCCATGGTGTTGGCCGACAAGGAGAAGCTGATTCGCGATGAGCCGACAATGAGGGAGATCTTCGTCAACCCGAAAACGAATCGCGTCTACGAGGAGGGCGATATTCTCAAGAGGCAACGACTCGCCAACACCTACAGCCTTCTCGCCAACGCCACAGATCCCGTCGAGTTGTTCTACAAAGGCGGAATGGCGCAGACGATCGCCGGAGAGATCACCGACAACGGCGGGCTCGTCAATGAGACGGACCTTGCCAGCTACGAGACGCTGATTGACGATCAGCCGCTGGTCAGCTCGCACCTTCCCGGCGATCTTGAAATGTGCGGACCACCGCCGCCGTCGTCGTTCGTCATCACCCAGAATATTATTCAAGTGATGGCACGTAAGTACATTAGTGTGAATTTCATTAATGCGCTTTTAAACAACAAAAAAAGGAACATAGAAACGACATGACGTTCGTGTTCTTCAGAATTCTATAAGAATGGCGACGTCGATTTGGACGATCCGCTCGTTTATCATCGGCTCATCGAGATCGAGAAATTCGCGTATGCGCAACGCACCAAACTGGGCGATATCAAATTTGTCGAATCGGCGAAATCGTTGGTCGACGAGATGATGACAGAGTAAGTCGGTTCGCTCGAAAATTGCACATTTGAGCCGATTTGTAGGGAATACACGAAGAAAATCGCGAGCATGATTAAGGAGACGGCTCAGCCGCTTGAATATTACGGAGGCGATAAGCAGACGATGGTGAGTCAATGGGGGGTAGTGTGTTTCTGAAAAAGAAAAGAACGAAAGCGGCTCTCTATGTCGTTAGACGCGGTGCGGTTCGCGTGCGTATGGTTACGTGTATTTTTTTTTATTTCCGAAGAATTTGACTGGGGGATGGGCTGTCATTTATTTATAGGGTCTCGTATGGAACAACGCTTAGCTGTAGCAATCTTCGTTTAGTTTAACCATTATTGTCAATGATTAACGAATGTGCCAAACGTGAATTAATCGGGTCCCGTTAAATTCACTTCATTTTTCTATACGAGACCCAAGGCGGCAATTCAAATGCTACAGTAATCGCGTCCCCAAATTCGTTCGTCATTGACTTTATAGAGATTTTTTTCATTGAAAAAAGTTTCACAAGACGAGAAATGGACTCATTTTGTTTTGAAAAGGGCAAGTTTTAAATTTTTTTTTTTGCATTTACTCACGCAAACCGCAACGAAAACCCCAGAAACAAATTATTCGGGAAAATTCTAAAAATTTTGCAGAATGAGACTGAAAAAATGGATGAGGTAAAGCATGTCGTAATGTGTTTGCTTGTTTTTTTTTTTGAATATTCTATTTCTTTATTTTTTTTTTACTGAAAAACCGACATTTTCAGTCATTTTTTATTTGTATTGCGTCAAAACACCTCGAGAATCTTGAAATGTACCATTTAGGCACCGGACCATGGAACTTCGCACGTGTCCATCATCGATGCTCAAGGGAATGCGGTGTCTGCGACGTCTACTGTAAATCAAATGTAAACTCGACCAACTTCCGACGTTTCCATCATTCAACTCATTCAGATTGGGATCAATGAGAGCTTCGCCAACGTTGGGAATCGTTTGGAACGATCAGATGGATGACTTTAGCACGCCTGGCCAGAAGAACTCGTTCGGCTACGCGCCGTCGCCGACCAACTTCATTGCGCCTGGAAAACGGCCGATGAGCTCGATGAGCCCGACGATCATCTATAGCAAAAATGAGAATCGTGTCGAGATGGTGTCGGGCGGCTCGGGAGGCTCCTACATCATCTCGTCGACAGCGCAAACCGTCATCCGAACAATGCTCTTCAATCAGACGGTGAAGGCGGCGGTGGACGCGCCAAGATTCCACAATCAATACCTGCCGGAAGCGACCGAGACGGAAGAAGCGATGCCGGAAGCGTTGCGGCAGATTCTCATCGCCCAATATAAGCAGAATTTCACAATTGTGCCACGCCAAAAGTCGGTGGTGCAAGCGCTAATTGCACGAGATGGTGAGATAGTCGCGTGTGGCTGAATTAAAAAATCCGCTCAACTAATTTTTTTGAAGGCTTCGTCGAAGGCAATAGCGACTACCGACGGAAAACCTCAACGTACCCTGCTGGTTATTGATCTCTCAAATGTAATTGTTCTACTTATCTGTATTTGTGTCTACTGTAGCTTTACTCGCGACGACTTTGAATAGTTCTCACGACGTTCATTCCATTTCTTTAAAGAAGAAAAAAACAAATTACTGTTTTACAATTGTCCGCCTCCATTATTATTATTATTAATAACAATGTGTATTTAATAATAAAATTGTCTAGAATGTAGGAGCCTCGGCGATTTTTTTCTCGCGCTTCTCGCCGGGAAATTCGAGTTGAATGTTGACGGTGCCGAGATCGTAGGCCTTCTTTGCCTTCTCGCCTTGATTGACGAACGTGGTTGGCACGTTGTAGTTGAAGCGGCGGAAAGCGGTCTGAAGAAAAAGTTGTGTTCTCAATTGTTTTTTTTTTTCGATCGGACGCGAAAGGTCGTTTGCTATCAATCGACGCTACTTCGAGAAACATCAATAGCAGCACGAAGTGATAAGAAAATTGACAAACATCGAACCTTTTCAAGCTTTTTCGGATCGTCGTCGCAATGATGGTAGAATGAGACAACCGGCTCCAAATCGGTTTCATTCAGCGGGAATCCGTTGGTGTTGCCTTCGACGTGGAACATTCCTTGTGGTCCAGTGAACTTCTCATCGAGCATTTGGGCGACATCTGAAAGCAAATAAGATTTTAGGCCAAGAAAAAATGCTTTAATTTTTTTAAAGCTTAAATTTTGCGAAATTCCTGTCTTAAATTGATTTATAAATATTAAATAATTATTGTCTATGAATTAAAATCAAAAAATGGAATAGAAGACAAAAAAAATTATCGAAATAGCGCAAAACAAAAGTAATGCCGAGAAAAAATAAATTGGGGTACCGTATGCATATCAAAGGCGCACTATTCACTTTTTGTCAGGGTCTCGAGCAGAAATTTTCATTTTATTTTATATTTTTGCAAAAATTGTCAATTTTTTCGCTTTTTCAAAATAAAAAAAAAGAAAATTCAACCAACCATCTCCCTTCTTTCCGGGCTTCACGCGGAACAATCGAACACGCACATTTTCAGCCGGCTGCTTGCCGCAAAGCAGTGTGCCCTTAACACCGACGGCCTTCTTGCTAATAACGGCCGCATAAGCAGCGGCGATGAGCAGCAACGAGACAATCACGAAAACGCGCATCGCTGAAAGCGTCTGTGTTGAAATACGAAAGCAATCAAAACCGAATGGTTGAAAAATAAAAGAGATAAGAATGGGGGGGGGGAGGTTTGGGCTAAGAGAGAGAGAGAGAGAGAGATAAAAAGGATTGAGTGATAAGACGCGATTGTTATTGAACAAGTGAACTCGAGCGGCTGCCTCGATCAATTTAACAACAAATGTCGGAATCGACTATATGTTTTATTGGAAAATAAATATTGGGGGGGCGAATCGTTAAAAAATTCCGTATTTTGAAAATTTTGACGTGGCCGATTCGAGCTAACAGGGTCCCAAAATTACATTTTTTTGCTAAACTAAAAGTCCATATGCTGGAAAACATATACGAAATTAAAAAAAAACCAAAATTTGACGTCAATTCTTCGCGAAGAAAATTGATGGCGAAAAAAATAATGTGTATGTGTATTGTCGTCAAATACAATGCATAGTCCGCAATGCTTTCAACTTTTGAAATTCCTGGTTTTTAATTTGTACTCAACTCTGAGAATTCGAAAACTTGGCAATCAAAATTCTCAATTTAGACCTTGAAAAATAGTCGTCAAATAAAATGCATTAGGTGTAAACACGCGACATGCTCATTAATGAAAATTCGTTGTTGAATTACTATTACCTATTCACAAACAAAATGAGAAAACATTAAATGTCAAAACTAAGCTGAAAATGACATTGCGGACTCGTGCATTATATTTGACGACAATACATTGTTGGTTGACATTACGATCAATTTTCGAGAGCCCCAAAGTTTAGAACAAAAATCGAATTCTGGTATTGTCGGCATCCGGGGACTACTGGGTAGATTTACGCGCATGCGCCTTTAAAAGGGTCTCGCCACGCGTGAACGCTTATTTTGGCATTCCTCCAATTTCCAACGCCCTTAGATTAGAAAATAAACAAACCGGAGCCATAAAATGCGAAATGACCTGTTAGTCCGTGCGAGACCAAAAGAAAAAACATCCCCGTAAATCTACAACATTCGCCGGACGCCGACTACACCTTATCAGACAATTGTTCTTCCCATTCGGAGAAAAAAATTTGAAAATTATATTTGAATCGACAATTCCAAGGAAGACCCATACTATGATATAGTGAGAGTTTTATGGCCTCGATCGCCGACTTTCGACTCAGTTTCCTGGCTCCCATTCGCTCATATATTAATGATAAGACAGGCGAGCAAAGCTTGAGAAAAATACAACAAGAATGCCTCCTTCTTCTTCTTCTCATGACCCTTAGAAACGAGGAGAAGATGAGATATGGCTCCTTCAAGGTGGTCCATTCGCTTTAGCATCCACTAGAAGAATTACCAAAGAACCAAAAGAAGAGCCCCCCATATGGGTTCCGCCAGACGAACAAAAAAGAACAACCCCGAGCAATATTACAGCAATGCTTGACTGAAATCGTCGAACCATCCAAGTGCAACACACAACAAGAAAATGATAGCGGAAAATTGGCTAAATGCCAAAAACGCAATATATGTAGTGGTCTTGACAAGTGTAGGTTTACGGGCCTATGCGCTAGGTTAAAGGCGCACAGCGCCCGTCGAGACCTCGTTTTAAATATTTTTGGCATTTAGCCAATTTTGCCAAAACGACGACAATAACCCACCGTCAACCGCTTATATGGGAGGACGGTAAAAAATAAAATCGAAAGCATTAAGATGGGAAGATTCCGTCGTTGAGCATCAGATTCCCGAGTCCAGCTCTGCAATTAATTTATTTTCAGATTGCTTAACAATTTTCTAAATTTTCAAATCGCTAAAGTTCTTGATTTCTCGATGTTTTTTGTTTACTAAATACGAGTTTGCGTCAGTTTGAATTTGATTTTCAGTCAAAATTGCATCGGCTTTTGCTGAATTTGCAAAAATTCAACTGAAACTGCTAAAATTCAAATTTTAGAATTAAAGTACATCATTTGAATGGATTATGAGGAGCCGAAAACACGCTTAAATTTGTACGAAAGGGTTGTGAGCAAATTACCACCCTGGTGTACGGTAGGCAGTGCGGTGTATGCACACACATACGAGTCGACGCGCATTCACACAGTTTTTGTCATTGTTTTGAATATTGGAAGCTGGTTTTAAGCTTTTTTTATTGCGCACTAATTTTAAAAAAAAAGTTTGCTCTTCGTTGCCAATGCCCATATATGTACCATACAGTGTTGGCCATAATTCTATCCAAAATCACATTTTCATTCGTAGCTTTTTGGCCGATCAATCTGAAATTTTTTTGAGAACGCTTTGCCCAGCAATTCGCCAATCCAATTTTCTTAATTTCAAAAAAAAAGCAAGAAATTTAAATATTAAAAATTTTTTAAAAATTTCAAAATTGTGGCAACACTCAATTTTGAGCATTTTAAAGATCATGCCGATATCCAAAAAAAGTATTTTTCCGCAAAAAAAAAAAATTAAAAACTCGACAAAAAATTACAAAAATAAAAATAATGATGCTCTGTGGTAAGTGTGCTCCGCGTCGAGAGTGAAAATTTCAGATCAATCTGAGAAAAGTTGTGGTTGAAAATTTGGGCAGCACTGTATACTACGCGAATTGCTATATATTATGTATTATAAAACAAATATAGTATTTTCATGGACCAATGATTTCGAGGAACCTTTCTTTTGAATTTTTGAATTAGCCATCATGGGTCTCGAAACCTTTTGAGCTTCTTCTTTTAAAAAGAAAAATCGTACCTTGTCGTCCTAGCAACATCCAAATTAATTTTCTGAAATTTTAATTTGAAATATAGAAAACAAAATTGATAGAGTACTATAATTATCACACTGACAGCCCTCTTGCTTTGAATCAGTTCATCCATGCTAGATTCGGTTCAAGGAAGCACTGGCAATGGTCGGAGAAGGCTTCAATCCACTGGTGATCCTGGGCGTGACGAAACCACGATCCGGCTTCTTCTCGACACATCCGACATGGAAAATTGAATTGAATTATCGTTTTTAGAATGTTTCAAAATTTGATTTTTGAATGATTGAATGTTGAAACCGACAAAAAATTTCAGAGATTCTTCAGACCACACAACCACCAACGGACTTCCTCCTTTACAGTCGTCGGGCCCTTCGGACCACCGATGCGGAGCGTTTCTCGACGTCGGGTGGCCGGACCGATCATCGCGCTCGTGCGGGCTTAACACCGACAAAAACGAATTTTTGTCGTTGGTGAAAAAAAAAGAGCGAATCCCAATTTTTACACCAAGTTTATCGTTGGCAGTTGTCCTCATCTCTATTTTTTTTGGCGGAACAATTCCGAAGCATTTAAAGCATTTTCAGAAAAATCACATTTCAAAAAAAAAACAACAAAACTCACCGTTTTAAATAAATTAAAAGTGAAGAAATGAGGAGAAAAGTGATGATATGCGTTGGAATTCGATTTTCACAAAAAAAAAACGGCACGTGATTTAATTTTTTTGCGAAAATATTGGATTTAAATAAGGCTTCCATTTGGGTGGCCGCGGCCGTGAATTATTCGGCCATGCCATATTTTTTTAAATTTTCGAAACGCTTTTTTTTTTAAATATATTTTCCCCGATTTTCTTTAGGAAATATATTGAATTTATGACAAAAATTTGAATTTTTAGAAGGAAAGAAAAATTTTTACAAAAATTTTGTTGAGGAGAATTGGATTTGAAGGTTTTAAACGTTCATCGCTCAATCAAAATTGGAATTTTTTATGAAATTCATTATAAAATTATGTTATTCGATATTATGGCTTTAACAACTCGCAAAAACCGCTTTTGATGGGTTTTTCCATGCGAGACCCAAACTCAAAAATTCAAAAAATTCATTTGTTCATGAAAATTCTATTTTTTATCATTCTTGCAGAAATTTACTGTAAATTTATTTTTGAATAAAGATGCATCAATTTTTTTGAAGTTTGGCCGACTTGAAAGTCATCTTAAAGGTGCATAATGCTTTTCAAATGGGTCTCGAAGCAAGAATGACAGTAACTGATATTATTAATATTTTTTTTTGATTATTACGATGGGCAATAATACATGAACCCTTGTGCAGTAGTATGGTACCCAAATTTACACTGTTTAAAGGGGGGGGATAATTTTTGAAAGTGTAAAAATATGATGGAAACTAAATATCGGAAATAAAAAAAAAATAATAATAAAAAGAAAATTATACTTATAATTTATTTCGAATTAAATCAGAAATTGTTTGTGTGCGGTTCACAGCGACGCAAAATTGCACTAAATTTCAGCGATACATTCAATAATTCATTTTTTCGACTAAAATAAGCGGTCCCTGTAAAATTGCCTTCATTCTTGGGCGGCTTTATGTTCAAGCATCGGTTGAAATTAAATTTCGCTGCAAGACCCCCCCCGGGCCAAACTTTTTGAGAAAATTACTATGTCATCTGCGTCTCTCGCTCTCAACCACTATTTCGCTGTCAGCAATTATTCGAATTGCTTAGGATTTTGTAAATTTCGAAAATAATCGTGTCGAGACCCGAATTAACCTATTCGAATTATGGGTATCTTTTGAGAAGCGAAATTTGGGTCTCAACGCGAATATATGTAGTTTATACCTGCACAGATCAAAGGCGCAAGTCAAAACTAATATAATGGTCTCAAAGCGAGTACGAATTGCTAAGCGGAAATTCAATCCCTTATTTGTTCAATTATTTGTCGTCAATTTTTTTGTCGCGCTTGTTTCTTTTCAAAAAAGAAAAGAAATGCGAAGATTTATTCCTCGTTTTTACATTGCCGCATAACGAGCCCGTAAAAATGTCCGCAGCACATCTGGCATAAGTGTTGTTTTTATTCCAACACGCCGCCACATTTTCCTCTTCCGATTTTGCCGCGAAAATTGTCCGCAGCACGAAATCGATAAGTCATTGGAGGAAGCAATTTGTCTCTTTTCTTTTTTTTTTTGCAAAAACTTCGTCGAAACGAAGGCGACTTACAACATCACCTCTCTCCCTTTAAAAAGCATGCTTCTTCAACGAGCTGTGAACTTCTCATCATTATTTCTCTCCATCATCGTCCAAACATCATCGATGGGGCTCGTCGAGCATCGTCCATCCATCAGTGCGCGAAAGCGAAATGAGATCGAGAAGCTGTCGCACCGATGACAATCTCGGAGAATTCCTGTTTTCCCAACGAGACCCAAAAATGCGAAAACAAATGGAATGCGCCTTTAAATTAAAAAGAAGAAACGACGAAGAAGCATAAAAATGAGGGCGAACCTCAACAAGTTGTTCTTGTCCAATTTAGCACCGCCCGGCTCTCGTCATGATTGAGAAGAGCATTCCAATTTTTTTGTTTGTTTGTTGTGTCCTTCTTTCCCTTCAATGTTTTACCGCTGCTCGGCTCACACCTCGACGCTCTCCTATGTTTTTTTTTCGTCATCTCATTTGGCTGCCCTCTTTTTTCTTTTTTTTTTTACTTTTCATATGCTAATGAATACCCAAAACCAATCTTTTCTTCGCCTTCTCTTATTTTTCTCCTCATTCTTGGATGGCGGATATTCGCCTCACCGATTTCCCCATTATTTGCTTATTCCCCTATTCTGAAGGCAACAAGCTTGGAATTCATCTAATCATTTTCCATCTGCGGACATTTGCGCGTCCCATTTCTTATACGCCGTCTATGCAGCCGTAGGTGTCGCCACCAGTGGCTAAGTGGATACCATCTTCCGCTGGCGCGCGACAGACCGAGATTTCGAGTCCCCCCCCCCGTTGCCAAGCAATTTGCGAAATTTTATTATTATTATTAAAAAAGGCCATTTTTAGTGTGCCAAAAGGAGGTGGGCAAATTGAATTGAATTCGATTTATTCGCCGGCGCATCCATTCATCGTTTTTTTTTTCTTTTTGTGTTGTTACATTCGATATAAAAACTGCCCATATATATGTATGCGTTTGCGTTGTCCTAAATCAAATTTTGAGTCTGTCAATTGAACAAAATAAAATAATATGAGCGGAAAAGGGCTCGTCTACTTTTTTTCCGGCCGCGCCGTCGGCCAAACTTGTCTGAGTTTTGTACTCAATTTTTTTTGTTGAGTGAAGTTGTCAGAAAAACACTTTTTTTTTGTCTTCACCAAATGCCATTTTTGGTGGGTTCGTTTTGATTGGCAACTCCCATGACGGACTCCTCAATTTTATGATCGAAACGACAAAAAAAACGAATAGTTGCATTCGATTTTACGACAAGTTGCGGACTTTTTCTTGCCGAAATTTTTTTTCTCATCATCATTCGAAATTCTGCTTTGATTGAGGATTTGAGAAAAATTGGAGGATTTTGGAGGAATATCGAAAAGTCCGCAATTTGTCGTCAATTCTAGCGCATTAAGCGTAGAAATAGCGGATTATTTTGAGCAATTTCGCATACTTCCATATACGTGATTTCTTTTTTTCGCAATTTGTCGTCAATTCTAGTGTTTTATAAAAAAAAATATAGATTGCGCCTTATTTTACGCCATTTCGCGCACCTACCTTGACAAATCCCTATTTGTCCGTAATTTGTCGTCAATTACAGTGTTTTATGAGTTTCAATATATATTGCACTAGGTTTTACGCAATTTTGCATACTTTTTCATACAAGATCTTATTTGTCCGCAATATGTCGTCAACTATAGTGTTTTATAGTTAAAAATATAGATTGCACTCTTTTTTACGCCATTCTGCGGACATTCTTGACAAATCCTTATTTGTCCGAAATTTGTCGTCAATTGTAGTGTTCTATGAGTTGAAATACATATTGTACTTTGTTTTACGCAATTTTACATACTTCTTTATACATGATCTTATTTGTCCGCAATTTGTCGTCAATTCTAGCGCATTAAGCGATTGGGTAGAGATAGCGGATTATTTTGAGCAATTTTGCATACTTCCATATACGTGATTTCTTTTTTCCGCAATTTGTCGTCAATTCTAGTGTTTTATGATTTAAAATATAGATTGCGCTCGATTTTACGCGATTTTGCACACATTCATTTTGCGCCACATCTCACGCCAAATTGCGACATTTTGAATATTTCCGCGGCCGCCCGTGATCTCTCTTTTTTTCCCCCCGTCGATCGTCGACCAAATGTGAGGCATTAACGCGTCGCTCATTTCGCGGCTCTCAGATTTCCGGAATCACCCGTTGTAAAATAAAATGAAATAAAAAAAGAAGAAGCGTCAGAAGACGACGACGACGACGACGTCGACGAGAAGGAAAAAAAAACTCGACGACAGAATGACAATGAGCAAACATTGAGAGAAAAAAAAGAGGGGGGTCTGCTCATTATTGAAGTCATTTCCGTTCGAAAATTGCCACATTTGGATACGGTAGCCCCACATGCTCCTTTAAATCCATCGTCTCCAATTATCCTCGTTTTTGATGGTCCGTGAAGAGAGGGGCGAAAAAAAAATGAAAGTACATTGGAATTCTCAAGAGCACTTTGAACATCGTCGTCATCAAGTTTGCTACGTTCAGCCGCTTTCATCAAATTGGACCCGCTTGGAAAATTGCAATTTGCAATCGACCACCCGGCTTAGTTTCATGATGGTCCGACAGATGGGTGTCCTCAACTATAGCAACTCTCTCAAAATCTCATAAACCATTGATTTATCGCCGACTAGCCGCCTCAACAAAAATGCGGTGTGCAGCAAACGCGCTCCATCGCCATTCACAATCGCCACAGGACCCGAAATGTTCGAGAAAACTTCGCTTCTATTTTTTTTCCGTCTCATTTTTGCCGCTTCGCTCGCATTTCTCGGTTTTCCCACCGGTGTTCTGCAGTTAACCCAACCACCGATGAGTTAAGCTCCTTAGATGGCCAATTTTTTTTTTGCTTGTCCCCCGCCTGTTGTAGTGTCTGTGTGTGTGTCTCGCCGCACATTTCTAATCTTTTATTTTTCCACCAACGTTTTTGCTGGCCAAAAAATTTTTGTTGTTATATAGATTTTTTTTTGTTTTGCAACAACGTTAAGACCGCTGAAGCCGGCGACGCGGTCGCGCGACGCGTGTGCCACGTGGCACCTCCCCCCTCCAGGAAAATTTGCACAATTTCGGGTCCCGCACCGAATTTTTTTGAAATTTTCTGGCATCGAAAAGAATTTTGTTCGAAATTGCCTAAATAATTTTGAGACTCGAAAAGAACTCCATCGAAAAAAAAATTTTACAAAATTCGGGTCTCGTACAGAATTTCCTCGAAATGCAAGAATTTTTCAGGTCTCAAAAGAAAGATTTCAATAAATTTGAGGTTTTTGGGTCTCACACCGAAAAATCACAAAAAACCGAAAATTTCTGGTCTCGATGGGGATTTCCTTGAAACTTTTGAAAATTTCGAGTCTCGAAAAGAACCATTTCAAAAATATTCCAATTTTTTTGGGTCTCGTAGCGAAAAATCACAAAAATTCGAAAATTTCTGGTCATGGAAGGAACTTTCTTTAAAATTTTTGAAATTTGCGGGTCTCGTACCGAATCGGCTCAAAATGTGGAAATTTTGGGTCTCGAAAAGAACCATTTCAAAAATGTTTGAAAATTTTGGGTCTCGTAGCGAAAAATCACAAAAATTCGAAAATTTCTGGTCTTGGAAGGAACTTTCTTTAAAATTTTTGAAATTTTCGGGTCTCGTACCGAATCGGCTCAAAATGTGGAAATTTTGGGTCTCGAAACGAAAAATCACAAAAATTCGAACATTTCTGGTCTCGAACCGAAAAATCACAAAAATTCGAAAATTTCGGGTCTCGAAGAGAATTCGTTGGAAATATTTTGAAATTTTCGGGTCTCACACCGAAAAAAAAAATCACGGCAATTTCGAGCCGCCAGAAAAAGAACCCCCCCCCCGTTGATTCGACGATTCGGAAATTCTCGCCATCGACGACGCGTATTGTTTTCACGAGCTGTTCCCCCCTCAGAATCGCTCCCATCATTACATAATTGACTTAATTTCAAGACGTGCGGAGCGCTCCTCCAAACAGTGGGCGGAGCTTATGGGGGGGGGGGCAAAAGCTTGCTTGCGTCCCACCCTTTCAACATTTCTTTTTTTTCTTCATGAGACTTATCGGAATGGCGCGATTTTTTGTTTGATTAAACAAGTCACATGCACGTGTTTCGCAAAAAAAAATTTTTTTCATTTTCTCGCTTCTTCTGACGTACCCAATATGTCTTGACTCTTCGAAGAAGCTCACACTCAATTTCGCGCTGCTTCCCGATCATATCAATTCCATCTGCCGACAATCTTCGGGGTCACAACCTATCATATCTGCCGACAATTTCCGGGAAAACGGCAAAATGTTGCAAAAGAGAGAGAGAGAATCGCAACTTCCACTTAATTCCTCTTCTGCAAAAGGACGCTCCACTCAAATATGCGCGCTTGTCGAATTTTTTTCCGTGTTTCTTTTTTTTTTTTGTTGTTGATGACAAATTTTTTGCAGCTTCCCGCCCGCCCACTCCCGCCCCCCATCAACAAAAAAAAATTATTAAAATGCGGCGATGAGGACGCTGATCATCGTGCTGCTCGTTCTGCTGCTCATCGATGAGTCGTCTCAGGTGAGCTCGCCTCTCCCCCCTTCGCCCCCACGGATTTCCAATTTCGTCTAGGCGAAAGGCAAACGTCGAAAATGCCCGGAGAACTCGTGGTCCGAAGGCAAAATCATGAGCACAATTATGAGCAACTATTCGAAAATGTTGCCCGACGCCGAGGACAGCGTTCAGGTCAACATCGAGATTCACGTGCAGGTGAGAGGCGTCGGCTAGATGGTCCGAGCGCGCCGATCCGATTTGCAGGATATGGGAAGCCTCAACGAGATCACATCGGACTTTGAGATCGACATTCTGTTCACTCAGCTCTGGCACGATTCGGCGCTGTCGTTCGCCCATCTGCCGGCGTGTAAAAGGTGAGAGTGTGGGCTCGTCGAGTCGACGCCTTGAGGGGGCAGCATGTCGCGACGAGGGCAATGACCCAAACCCTTATGCATTATTCAATAAGGCGATGTCGCGATGTAATTGACACGCCTACACGTCGCCCAACTTTTTTTCCGTCCTTCCTCGACGGATCACGAAGCTACCGTAATCGAATAGGTCTTGAAGCGAACATGAATTATACCGGAAAAAATTTTTTTTTTCGACGCGATCTTGGGTTTTGCGTCGAGTGCAGACAACTCAATTAAGCGCGCGCGCGCGCGAGCGCTTTGAAATTCAATCAGACTTGCTATTTTTGTCTGGAATGAAACCAACAAAAAAAATGAGAATTTTTGGTTGATTGATCATTCTGTCGACGATTTCCATGGAAATTTGCTTTAGAGCGATGAGCCGACACTTTTTGTGTATGCATGGTTGAAATCCACTGAGTGCTGCGGACATTTCACGGGATCGGACGAAAATTGTCTGAAACTCATTTCTAATCTGCGGACAACTCCCGGTTTTAGTTTTTTCTGGGTGAAGCCCACCCGTAGGATTAAAGTGCGCCGCGTGCTGCGGACATTTCACGGGGTTCCGCCAAAAATCTCCAAAAGCCGCATCTAATCTGCGGACAACTCCCGGCTTTAGTTTTCTTTGGGTAAAACACACTCTAGGTTTGAAGTGCACCGCGTGCTGCGGACATTTCACGGGGTTCCGCCAAAAATCTCCAAAAGTCATTTCTAATCTGCGGACAACTCCCGGCGTTAGATTTTTCTGGGTAAAAACCCCCCTAGTGCGCCGCGTGCTGCGGACATTTCACGGGATTCGGCCGACTCTCACCAATCCCAACAATCCGCCGAAAGCGTTGTGATTCCAGAAACATCACAATGGAAGCGCGCCTACTCCATCAAATCTGGTCGCCCAACACGTGTCTCATCAATTCGAAGAAGACGTCGGTGCACGCGTCGCCGACGGAAAACGTGATGATAATTCTCTACGAGGTGAATAATTCATTAGCAACAGAGCGCATTTGCCTAATTACTCGTCGCCACCGACCATTCTAATCTCGCAACGATTCTCAGAACGGGACCGTCTGGATCAATCATCGGCTGTCGGTGAAATCGCCGTGCAATCTCGACCTCCGCCAATTCCCGTTCGACATTCAGACGTGCATTCTGATCTTCGAGTCGTACAGCCACAATTCCGAAGAGGTGATGCCAAAAATCAAAAAAGTCCAAAGGTCAATCTATTATTCAGGTCGAGCTCCATTGGATGGAGGAGGCTGTGACACTGATGAAGCCGATTCAATTGCCCGACTTTGACATGGTCCATTTCACAACGAAAAAAGAGATACTGCTGTATCCGAACGGCTATTGGGACCAACTTCAGGTTTTCCACAATTTTTTGTTTGCCCAATTAGAATGGTCCCAATTAGGTCACGTTCACGTTCAAACGACGATACGGCTTCTACATCATTCAGGCGTATGTGCCGACGTATCTCACCATCATCGTCTCATGGGTCTCGTTTTGTATGGAGCCGAAAGCGTTGCCGGCGCGCACCACCGTCGGCATCTCGTCGCTTCTGGCGCTCACGTTCCAATTCGGCAATATCCTCAAAAATCTGCCAAGGGTCTCGTATGTCAAAGGCAAGATGGTTTCGCCGAAAATTGACTTTTTTTTTCTGGTAGATCAAAATGCGCTCCATTGAACTTATTGTTTTTTTTTGGCACAAATCTGAAATTGAAGTTGATTTTAGGAAAAATGCCAATCGTTTCACAAATTACAGCAATTGCGCTCTGTGGTAGATCAACGCGCGGCAAGTGCGCTCCATTGAACTTTTTGTTTTTGCCAGAACTCTGAAATTGAAAATTGAAGTTGATTTTAGGAAAAATGCCAATTTGCGCTCTGTTGTAGATCAAAACGTGGCAAGTGTGCTCCATTGAGTTTTTTTTTTCAGAAATTAAAATTCCACCTTATTTTTGAAATTTTCGGAATTCATAAAAAAATGTTTTGACAGAAATTTTGAAAAATGCAGCAAGTGCGCCCCATTTAACTTTTTTTAGAGTCTGCAATTAGAAATCATCAAAAAAAAAAATAATTTGTCTAAATTTTTTGAAAATATTTCGAAAAAGCAGCAAGTGCGCTCCATTGAACAAATTTTTCTAGAATTCTGGATTAAAAAAAAATGATATCCAAACTCATTCTTTGAAAATTCCGAAAGCTTCGATGATGGAAAATTCGAGAAAAAAGGGCACGAGGCAAGTGCGCTCCATTGAACTATTTTTATTTTTTCAAAAAATTAAAATTTTCGGTTTTGAGAAATTTTGAAAGATCATAAAGCATCAAGTGCGCTCCATCGCACTCATCTCATTGGTTTGTTGCAGCCATGGACGTGTGGATGCTCGGCTGCATCTCGTTCGTGTTCGGCACAATGGTCGAGCTCGCGTTCGTCTGCTACATCTCGCGCTGTCAGAACAGCGTTCGAAAGTCGTAACGGGACCCCACGGGCCCGCCCCTTCCCCCCTATTAGAAGTACCATCAAGTATTTCAGCGCCGAGAGGCGTCGCGAGCGAATGCGCAACTCGCAGGTGTGGGCGAACGGCTCGTGCCGCAATCGCTCGAACGGCTACGTCAACGGCGGTGGCTCGCTGATCTCGGCCAACAACAACAATCGTCAGGACACGCCGTTCGTCGGACGCGGCGGCTCGCTGACACGCGCCAACGGACCACCATCGCCGCTCAACCTTCAAATGACCACCTTCGATTCGGAGGTGCCGCTGACGTTCGAGCAGGTGAGCCATTTGACATTCCATTCTTTTTTTTTCTTGTCACCTTCTCTCTCTCTTCTATCGCTTTTTAGCTTCCGCTTTCCACCGATTCCGATAGACCGTTAATAAGCGAGGTAAGGATTAGCGGCGTGTCTCATCATTTCCCACTGAGTTTATTTTTTTGTTTCATTTTTTCCTTCTGATGGACGTCGTCTGACACCACGTCTTGTGATTTCCAGTTGCGCTCGTCGTCGCCGATTCCGCAATCCGGATGCCTCGCGCGATTCCATCCGGAAGCCGTCGACAAATTCTCGATCGTCGCGTTCCCATTGGCGTTCACAATGTTCAATGTGAGAGCCGTTTGTTTGTTTTTTTTTCTCAAATATTGAAAGAGCAAAAATTATTTGAGTCTTTAAAATCCCCCAAAATTTTTTTTCGACAATTTTTATTTTTTCATCTTATTTTCTGAGAGTTCGAATTGTACGATCCAATCCATCGACTTGAAAAAAAAATTTTTCAAACCCTTGGAAATGATTTTGGGAGGCTGGAAGACTCTCTAGCCGGTCTGGAATTACGGTTCTAACGATTCCGAATAGAGTCAAGGTCATCAAGGAACGAATATCTCTGGTAACTCAAAACCAATCGGATCCGGAATCAACCTGATCCGATTGGATATTTGTTGGATCTGATTCGAATTGAAAGATTAAAACAAAACGGATTCGGATCCGGAATCAACCCGATCCGATTGGCAATTTGTGGGATCCGATTGGTTCGATTAATATCCAATCGGATCCGACAATTTTCCAATTGGTTAAGGTGGATTCCGGAGCCAAATTTTGCCGGATCCAGTTGGTTTTGAGTTACCAGAGTTCACAGGCCTCGAGGTTCGATGCCGCGCAAAAAAGTTTGGCAAGAATTGCATTATTGCCTTTTATTTTTTTACTAAATTCTCAACAAAATTGTATTGTCAATTTGAAAAAATTAATATTGTGTTTTTTTTTTCGATGCACACCTAATTTTGCCAGTCCTTTTCCATCAGATTATCAATAAAAATCTGAGTTTATTTTTTTGAAGGATTTCAAAACTCACAAAAAATTTTTCTTTTCCCAATTATGATTTGGAATCGCATAATTCTCAATTTCTGATCGAAAAATTTCAATTACTATTAAAAAAAAACGCGATTTGATATTATTTATTCACGGACCGCGACGCATACGCAACGCGGCCGATTCTTAGCGCGCGATTGCGGCTCAGCCCAACTCGGTTTGGCTTTAAGACAATAAGCCTAAACCTGGCATATATATATATATTGTCGGTGACTGGCGACTACTGTATGCGCCTTGAAAAGGTCTCTCGCCACGATTAATTTTTTTTGATGAGTTTCGCATTTTCTTGGAATTTCTAACGTCGTTCAAAAATTATCGAATCGACCTATAAAATTTGAAGTGACCAGTGAGTCCACGCGAGACCATGAGAAAGGAGCATCCCCGTAAATCTACAACAGTTATATTTTTTTTTGTGTCTTGTCGATATTTCCCATTTTTTTTCAGCTCATCTACTGGTGGTTCTATCTATCGCAGACATTCGAGCAGAATTTCCAATAATTCCATTTTCGAAGCACAGGGTTCCCGGCAAAAAAAAAACAAAAAAAACTACGAATCTCACAATTTTTTTGCTGTTTGGAAAATTCACTATAATAATAATTTCGTTTTTTTCTGAAATTTTGGTTTTGTACATTGCTCAAAATAAAATCTTCTTCTTCCTCTTCGTTTTCGACGAAATTCGATAGCATCGAATAAAAAAATTTGCAATTTCTTGGACTTTGACCCCTTGGCCACTGGGAGAGGCGATGTTGGGAAACCGGAACGATGTCCGCAGATGGTTAATAAGCGTTCATTTCGTTTACTACCGTACACAAATTGTACCGATTCGATAATTTAAATAAATGGAAATCATGGGGGCTTTCTTATTACTGGTCCATGGTGTATGGTGGATGGGACAATGGTGTATTGCATCAAATGACATACTACATAATAATTGGAATGATTCGGGGTGAGACTACTTATTTGGTGATGAGATTCTTGGCGCGTTTGTTCGCCGACTCGACGCGCACCTCGTTCGATTGCGCCTTGTCGTGAATGCGATCGAGTTGGCGATTCTGGTTCGACACCTCGGTGCTCATGTCGATCGCCATGTTGCGCAAATTGCCGACCATCGTCGACACCTGCTGGATGTTCTCGTCCATCTCCTCCTCGCGCGCGTCGTTTGTGATTCTGAAAAAGAATTGTGGGTCTCGAGAAGAACGATTTCAAAAAAAATTGGAAATTTTTGGGCCTCGTATCGAAAAATCCCAAAAATTCGGCGATTTCTGGTCTCGAAAAGAACGATTTAAAAAAAAAATTGAAAATTTTGGGTCTCGTACCGAAAAATCCCAAAAATTCGGCGATTTCGGGTCTCAAAAAGAAAATTTTCAAAAAACTTTGAAAATTTTGGGTCTCTTACCGAAAAATCACAAAAATTCGGTGATTTCTGGTCTCGAAAAGAAAATTTTCAAAAAAATTTGAAAATTTTGGGTCTCTTACCGAAAAATCACAAAAATTCGGCGATTTCTGGTCTCGAAAAGAAAATTTTCAAAAAAATTTGAAAATTTTGGGTCTCTTACCGAAAAATCACAAAAATTCGGCGATTTCTGGTCTCGAAAAGAAAATTTTCAAAAAAATTTGAAAATTTTGGGTCTCTTACCGAAAAATCACAAAAATTCGGCGATTTCTGGTCTCGAAAAGAAAATTTTCAAAAAAATTTGAAAATTTTGGGTCTCTTACCGAAAAATCACAAAAATTCGGTGATTTCTGGTCTCGAAAAGAAAATTTTCAAAAAAAATTGGAAATTTTTGGGCCTCGTATCGAAAAATCCCAAAAATTCGGCGATTTCTGGTCTCGAAAAGAACGATTTAAAAAAAAAATTGAAAATTTTGGGTCTCGTACCGAAAAATCCCAAAAATTCGGCGATTTCGGGTCTCAAAAAGAAAATTTTCAAAAAATTTTGAAATTTTTGGGTCTCGTACCGAATTATCTCGAAATGTGAAAATTTCGGGTCTTGACAGGAACGATTTCAAAAAAATACGAAATATTTGAGTCTCGCACCGAAAAATTCCAAAAAATCCGAAAATTTCAAGCCGAATTGCCTCAAAAAATGTGAAAAATGCGATGGCTTACTTGGTGATGTAGCCGCCTTGTGGTCCCATCGTCGGATCGCCAACGGTGATCCGCGGCTGATCCGAAATCACGCCGCCGTCGTCGTCTTTCTTCCACGCCTTCGCGTACTCCGAGTTCTTCTCAAAATCGTCGGTCCTAAACGATGCAGCAATAAAAGGTAGATCAAAAATTTCGATGAGCACTTATTCCAAGGAAGCACACAGAGTCCGCAGCATTTTTCCATTCCCTTCAAGTGATCCTCGGCCTCCTTCATGTCCTGATTGATGGTGTCCAACGCGCCCTCGCAACGCTCCAATTGCTCTGCAAATCGGGGAGCCTCGGGGAAAAGCCTTGAAGCTTGACGAACCTCCTTGATCATCGAGCATCACCAACGTCTTGATTCCAGCTTCTTTGCTCTCCTCGCACAACGCCAACATGCGACGCGTCGATTCAAGAGACTGAAAATGATTGGATAAGGTGTCTGGATTGCGATCAAAAATTTTGAGTGTGGCCATCTGCGGACAATTTCCGCGCTCCCCCGAACCTCGATCGTCTTCTCGTCGATGCCGACATTCAGGCCTTTGAGCTCGTCGCTCATGTCGGCGGGCAGCACCAGCCCGTTGATGTGCACGGTGTTCTGGTCGGCGGCGTACGGACGGCCGTGCCGGCGGCTTCCCGTCGACGCCGCCGCCCCACGGCGTTCCGACATTATTCGCCGATTTTCGGATTTTCAAAAAAATAGAGAGAGAGAGAGAGAGAGAGAGTCTGGAAATTTCGAGAGCAACTATATAAAATGGTAGATCAAATATGGCCGGCGAGTGGCCGGCGCGAAAATTCGATTTCCACCAAAACGACGAATGACATTCGATACTCGCGTGAAGTGAAAATCAAGCGAAGAAGGAGGGGGATGGAAAAAAAATACATATATGGAAATTTGTCGTATGGACCACACGAGAAGGCGTCAATTCTCAAGGGTCCAAGGTATAAATTGGCGAGTGTGTTGAACCCGCGAAAATTGGAAGAAAAATGACGGAGAGAGGAAGTTGAGAAGCGGCGAGGAACATGAGGGGAAGCAAAAAAAAAAGAAATACATTGTTGACATGCATTTTCGAGCACATGGCACATTCAATTTCGGTTATGGATCCGACGCTGGTTGTTATTTCGAATGAATGAATGGACCCAACAAAAACTTGTATTGTCTAGGTAGGCTTGAAGAAAAAAGGCGTAGTGGGCCCGTCGCTCAATTGGTTTTGTTTTTCTGCAAATCGTGCTGCGGACATTTTCGGCTTGTCCGCAGTTTGAAAGAATTGCGAGAAAAAATAGCCTAGTTGAAGTTTTTGGCTAAATTTGTCCGCAGCAAGATTTTCTAAAAAAAAATATTTCAAAATTTGTCCGCAGCAAGATTTTCTAAAAAAAATATTTCAAAATTTGTCCGCAGCAAGATTTTCTAAAAAAATATTTCAAAATTTGTCCGCAGCAAGATTTTCTAAAAAAAATATTTCAAAATTTGTCCACAGCAAGATTTTCTAAAAAAAATATTTCAAAATTTGTCCGCAGCAGGTTTTCTTTGATAAAAATTGCAATATTTATCTGTAGAAGTATTTTTAGTTTTTTTAAAATTTTTTTTTTATTTTTTAATTTAAAAAACCAAAAATTTGTCCGCAGCTAGAGTTTCTGATAAAAAGAATTTCAAAATTTGTCCGCAGCAGGTTTTTCTGATAAATTTAAATTTTGTCAAATTTTGTCAATAGCCGTATTTTCGATGTCAGAATTTGTCCGCAGCTGGATTGTCACAAAAAGTGACGAGTTGAAAACGAATCGCTCAAATAGCCTATTTGTTTTGTTGAAAATCAACGAGCCAGAAACAAAACCGAAATAAATTGACGTGGGTCTCGAATGGAATGGAGTGGAGTGGCGCAAAAACGCAAAATCGAGGATATGCATTTCAAATGCATTCACTTTGCGTGCCTCGCCGACCAGCAGCTCCCATCTGGCGATGGAAATTAGTCGGGACCCATTTTTTTTGGGGGGGGGGGCATCTCAAAATAATGAAATTGGCTGAAAACTCGAATTTTTTCGAAATTTCGACCTGAAAAACTCAAATTGGGCCCACAAAATGGGTGCCAACAACACAAAAAGTCAATGTCAATGAAATGAGGCAGAAGCAAGCAAAAAAAATTGGAGGAGAAGCATCGTCGTCCAATATGCCCTCTTCATGTCCCATAATATTTCGGACCAAATTTGGACTAAACGTGAATCGAGCCAAGATATATGAGCGAAGAAAAATTAGCGAACGACACGCGAAATTTCAATTTGTTGTTGTTTTTTTTTTTTGCTCTACCCGCCGCCAAAAAAAATTTTCTTTTGGCGGCGCCAATTTTTTTGAGCTTTTTGAAAATTTCGAAAAAAATTTTTTTGTGAAAAAATTTGGCACAAATTTCACCCTTTTTTTCTGAAAATTTTCAAAAAATTGAAATATTTGCAATTTTTTTTTGAAATTAAAAAAAAATAATGCAAACATTGAAAATTTGGAGATTTTGGGATTCAAAAAAAATTTGTTCGGCGATTTTTAGAAATTTCAAAAAAAAAATGGATTCCCTGGATTTTTTTTTCATAATTTTTTAAATAAAAATTTTATTCAGATTTTTTTGGATTTTTTGGAACATTTTTTTATTTTCATAAAGAATTTTCGCGATTTTTGAGATGTTGCATTTTCCCAATTTTTTTTCTAAAATTTTCAAATAAAAAAATTTTTTCTAAAATTTTCAAGTAAAATTTTTTTCCCTAAAATTTTCAAATAATTTTTTTTTTAATTTTCCCAACTGAATTTTTTTTTCTAAAATTTTCAAATAAATTATTTATTTTTTTTTTCTAAAATTAAAAAAAAATTTTTTTAATTTTTCAAATTAAATTTGTTTTTAATATTTTTGCAAAAACTTGAATTTTTATCAAGATTTTTATTTTTTTTAAGAATTTTCAATTTTTTTGAATTTTTTTCCGGAAATTTCGCAATCTGTTGAATTCGTTCAGGGATTTTCAGACAAATTTCAGATTTTGCTTAAAAATTCTCGAAAATTTCGTTTTTTCAGAGAAAAATCCAAATTTTTTGATTTGTTGGAAACATTTCGGCAAAAATTTTAATTTTTCATAATTATTGAGGAAAAATTTAAATTTTTTCTAAAAACCAATAAAAATTTTAATTTTTTTTTTCAGAAAAAAATTTGATTTTTTTTTTGAGAAGCACTAAAAAATTTTTTTTAGAAAAAAATATTAAACAAAATTTTTTTTCTGCTAGTTTTCACAAATCAAAATCAATTTTTTTTTTGATGTCAAAAATTTTTTTGAGCCAAAAAAAAATCAAATTTTTCCCAAAATTCGGGTCCCCTAGGGTGATTCCCCTAAATCTACACCGACACGCAAAAAAATATTGAATTAAAATTGGAAAAAAAACGGCGAAAATTGGAGAGGCAAACAAAAAAAAACTCGTTAAAAATTGGTGTCGAAACACGCGAAAAAATGCATTTGTTTCCAGGCCAACACGAAAATCGAGCGAAATTGAATTTTTGAAGCGAACAAACTCGAAGAACGAATGCCCCTATTACACCTGCTTCTTCGGGTACGGTAGCGATCGAGCCGGACGATGAAGCTGGACCGATTGGGTGGATTTTGGTAGATCAAATCACTCCTGGCAACTCAAACCCAGCCGAATCGGTCCCAAAAAGTTAACAATCGGATTTCGGCTAAAACGGTAAACTTTGGTAGATCAAATCACTTCTGGCAACCCAAAACCAACCGAATTGGTCGGAAAAATGAGATTTTGGTAGTTCAAATTATTTTGGAAACCGAATTGGCCAGAAAAATTACTAATTAGGTATTGGAAATTAGCCAGCAATGAAGCTGGATGAGACGCGAAACCGATTGGGTGGATTTTTGTAGATCAAATCATTCCTGGTAATTCAAAATCAGCCGAATTGAAGCGAAAAATAACCAGAAAAAAATATTTTAGGCGCTCAATCGCGAGTAGATCAAAAAGTCTCTTCTATATTAATTCGTCGGGTCTTGAAGCGATTGCAAACAAATAAGAAATGGGCAACAGGAAACACTCGATGCGCTCGTTTCAGGCCGACACCCTCGTCGGCCTGAAAGTGACAAGTTCGAGGAAGTCGAAGAAGAACGAAAGGTCCATAAAATATACTTGTATGGAAGGGGGGGGGTTTCAGTGGTCCCCACCACCATTTTTTTTTGAATTTTTATTTCCTCAATGGATCAATGCTCCAAGGCCCCCTCTTCAATTTGGGGGGGACCCTTCCCAAAAATGGAAAGAACTCACATCATCGGTGACGGCGTTCATTTTGAGATTGATCGCCTCAAGCGACTCCGGCACATCGTCGGCCATGATTTTTTTCCTGCAAAAATGAGAATAATAATAATAATATCCATAAATGGAAATTCGATACTAGAAATAGGCAACAATAGCGAAAAAAAAGAAGCGGGGTCGGCGAGAAATCCTGGCAAAAAAAAAATGTCAGGCGTTTTGCGACGAAAAAAAAAAGAACCAACGACGACGACGATGAAGAAGAAGAAGAAGAAGAAGACGTGGGGAGGGAAAAGCTTAGAATGTGTGCAAGACTAGAGATATACATCTATATATGTATATGTGTAGAGCGGCGCGAGCGACGCGCGCGCGAACCCCCCCCCCCGCTATGAGATAGTGAGGGCATTGGCGGAGAGGAGGTGGTGGGGGGCTCTTTGAGAGAATGACGAAAGGTTTCGCGGATTAGTGGACGTCGATACTTTTTATTTTTTTGGCGACGCCAGGGTACGGTATTTGTCGGCGCGGGACCCGAACCCAAAAAAAAATGAGTCATCAATTCGAATTGGAAAAAAGACACGTCACATTCAAAGGCGCATGACGAATTAAGCTAATCGCGTTCCCCGACAAAACAAAAAATTCGATTCGGATTATTTGGCGATGAGAAAAAGAAGAAAATTGTGAAGACATAAAAATTCGGAAAAAATTTGGACGCGCGCGCGCGTTCCACGAAAAAAATCGATAAATAAAAATTTTCTTTTCCAAAAATTTGTTTTCCAAAGAAAAATATTCAAATAAATAAATGTGGAATTATAAAAGTTTATGAGATACTATTTCTATTTATATATTTATATATTATATAGTGGGCCGGGGGTCTTAAGACGTGTCGCCTCGCCGACGAATAAAAAAAACCACCAGCGGTGGTCATCAATTATTCGGCCGAAGACAGAAAAAAAAAGAACATAATCGAACGAGGCCTCTTCAAAAACAACGAAAATAATTTAAAGGCGATGCGCCTTTAAATCGGGTCTCGTTGGGATGCCTAAATTATTATGCTATTTGTGCGAAATGAAATTGAAAATTAGAAAAAATCAATTATCAGAAAAATACTATTTTAATGTTTCGTGTTGAGACCCATCCCAAATTTTTAGAGCATTTTAAAGGCGCATTGACCAAAAAAAAACCAACAACAATGTTTCGTGTCGATTTACACCAGGTCTCAAATTTCCAAAGCAAAAAAAATAATCGCGTCGAGAGACCCGCGTTAAAGGTGCATCGACGTCACACACATACTCAAAACTAGGCATCAGGAAGAAAATTGAGAGAGAATTTCTTCACGCTTCGATGAGAAAAAAACGGCCGGCATACTGTAACAATAGTTGCGAAATTCAAAATTCGATTGGATTATTGGGACCATTAAAATCGAGGTCTAGAATTATGCAAAATAATAATAATGATGTCGTCGGATATGCATACTTCCGTTTTTCGGGTTCAGCGAGAGAGAGAGAGAAACACGAATATGAGGAGAAGCTGAAAACAATTTTTTTGCGCACCTCGCAGCTGCGCAAATATCACCGATTTATGAAATTTATTGGCTAGTTTTTTTTTGTTTCAAAAAATTTGCATAAAAATTTAAAAAAAATTGGAAATTTTTGTTTTTGAATTGCCGCCAAAATTGCAATTTAACAAAAGTTGTGAGAAAAGCCACCCATTCAATTTCTGACACGCGCTTCTTTATTATCGAATGTGTGCTGCGGACAACTTGGCGGGCCGCGCGAAACAACAAAAATCGATGGCTCTTCCCGTCAGGACCCATTACTGTAGATTCATAACGCGATGCTTTCGCTTTTCACTCTGGGGAACACTTTGCATGAAAAGAGAGAGGCGGAAAAAAAAGAAAAACGAAGTGACACACGAGATTGGCGTTTTTGAGCCGAACTGGCGTGTCTCGCAATGATATCATCGAACATTTCATCCATATATGGGCGGTGGCAATAGAGATGAGAGAGAGCGCAGAGAAAAAAAGAAAGATCACTATAGAGATTCTTTGTGGAAAATTTCCAATCGATTTGAGATTGACGTCTTTTTGCAGTCCGTCTTATAATTTTTTGCATATATCAATTATTTAGACAATTTCCAATCGAATGGACTAGGTCTCTACCTGATCAAACTTCTAGTTGTCGAGATATGGACATTCAAAGTTTTAAGCCACTCCCCTTTGCATACAAATATGGGGAAACTCGATATGAAGTTGTGGGGTGTCTTATATCGCGCTTATAATCGCCGTCGCCGAGCCGTTGTAGCTCAGTGGTGTGTTATTTATGCTGTCAAGAGGGGGGTTGCGATTTCGGTCCCGCTACCTGCAAATCCAATTTTGCGTATTTTTTCAATTGGCGATATAGGAATTATGACACTGCCATATTGCATTTTCGAATCGATTTGAGATTTTGAATAATTAATAAATTAGCGTATGTGCCTTTAAAATATCGACCCCCTGTCTCCTCATTAATATGAATGCACTTTTAGTTGGAACTTTCAGCCAAATCGGGCTAGGCCAAAAAATGAAGAAGAAGAGAAGTGTATGGGGAGGGGGACCCCCCTTTTGAACACACCACAACAACACAAGCAAAGCAACAGACAACTGAAAAAAAAGTGAATGCGAGAGCGTTGTTTGGGGGGGGGGGGGAATGCATAGTTGAAAAGGGTGTGTGTGTGTGCAGCGGCACACAATTGGTTTGGGTCCGTCCTCCGAAAAAAGAAAAGAGGCAAAAAGCGGTGCTCTCTCGACGAAGGTCCGGAAATAATAGACACAGGTCCAACGCGCGCTGAATTGGCAACAAAACTTCCACTCGAAATTTCTTTTGTGATGCTCTTGTTTTCGAAGGAAACGTGCTGCGGACATTCTTGGAACTAAGGGAGCGACATTTTCCAGCTTGAATTATATATATATCAACGCGTTGCGCTTTCATAACCTCAAAAAGCCATTGAAACAACTCATTTCCATTTTTTCGGGTCTCGCCAAGAATAATTAACTATGACGAGAGCTACATAATTAGAAGCGGAAATGTTGATGGCCCACTTTTTGAAATGTCCTGTCATTTCGACGACGTTTGAAATTTATTTTTTTTTTGGAGAAAGAGACGAAAATATGTAATTTCTAACACACATCAAGATTTCACAGAGTTTGGCGAAACGTGGGTTCCGAACCCACAGGCATATCCCATAGCATTGGTTAAAAAAAAAACGAAAGCATAATGGAAATCTGTGGAACGGAAGCATAATGTAATTCTTATGGGACGAATATGGATGGAATAATCATATAATATTACAGAATATATGTATAATTGGCGTAAGACATTTTCCACCAAAATCAATGAAATAAAATTATGTTATCATATAGCCAATGAAAATTTGGAAGATTGATTAAATTGTACACATCTGACGAAATTTAGCTACAATTTTGTCATATCAACATATTTTGCCGGTTTGTCCAAAAAACTACTCAAAATTTGCTTCAAACTGGTACGCATAGAAGAGGTGTGCCGCAGCATTGCAAAACAGTGCGCCGCTTTGCACAGTGCGGGCACGCCCCTATTTTCGAAATTCGTTTTTTTTGTCGTTTCGCTTTTTCTCAGTGGGTCTTCAAGATTTTTTTCGTGATTTTTTTTTCAAAAATTGAAGAAAAATTTTGTCTACCATCTACTCCGTATACGAACCACACTATTCCGCAAAAATGCTTCCATATAATTAGCATAGAAGATTCCTATAATATCCACAGCCGTTCCATTATTCTTCCATTGTGTCTATGCCGTCGTTCATCTGTGAAGCAACCACTATTTCCACTCTATTATTTTTTTTTCAAAATTCCCCACCCAGATGAATTTTCTTGAAAACGAGCTTTTGACAGTCATTTCATTTTAGGGTCTACATAGAATGTGTGTGCAAAATTCGACAAAATTCCCCTGGTGGACAGTAAAAACAAGATTGGTCTCGTAGCGAAGGTAACAAATTAATGAAATATTCAAATTCAAATTCATATTTCAAATAGTATACTATTTCTTTCAAAATTTCCCCACTCAGAAAATCTCGACTGAAAATTCCGATATGAATTTCTTGAAAACGGGCTTTGGCAGTCATTTCATAAAAAATTCATTTTCAGTCATTTCGTAAAAAATAAACACAATTCCCCTGGCGGAAAGTAAAAACAAGAGTGGTCTCGTCGCGAAGGTAAAAAATTTATGAAATATTCAAAAAACTTGATTAAATTCCAATGGTTCCGACGACAATCTCGTCGCCGCCACTCTTGACGATGTTCGACGATTTGCTGATGCGCTCGCCGCCGACAAATTCCGGAATTCCGACGGCGTAGACATTTCTGAACAAGAAAGAAATAATCAGGATGACCAAGAATGGTTTCGATTACCGGTTGACGGTCAACTGACAGATGGTCTCGACCTGCGCGAACTGTTTGACGCTGGGATGGGCGAACGGTCCGAACGGGCGGAAGTCGTCGAACGTCGGCGTCGTTTCGCCGGTGACGCCGCCGCCGAGCACGTGCCAATACCACAGCAGTGTGTTGCGATCCAGCGACTTCCAATTGCCGGTGATTTGCGACCAATCGTATTGGTTCGTGTAGATGCCGACGGTGAGGCCGTACTTTTTGGCGCCCGACACGAAGCTGCTGATGAAGTTGACGTGCGATGAGACGCTTCCCGGCCAGTTGGCCGGCGACGTCACCTGAAGCCACATCGAGCGCACCACTATCGAGTTCTTCGTGAGGCCTTGATAGACGGCGTCGAGCTGCTGGGCGCCGGTGAGCTTCGACGCCGGCTGCGGTGTCACGTAGACCTCGATGCCGAGGCCAGCTGAAACACGAAGCGAATTGTGTGATGTCGGGAACGGACATTGGCCTACCTGAATAGGCGTTTCTGATCGTCGTCACACTGTTGGCGTCGAACGAGCCCTTGCCGGCCGGATTGAAGCCGCGCACGAACACGGTGGCGTAGCGCGCCGATTTGAGGCACTGCAATTGCGGCAAACTCGCCGGCACCGCGAAATCGACGGCGTACGCGTACGCGACGTCCTCGAGCGGCGCCGCCAACGCCGCGTCCACGTGAATCGCGTCGGCGTCGTCGTTCGGCGACAACACGACGACGCGATTGTTGGCGACGTCCTGCGGTCGAGCCGCGCACGAGAGCGCCAGCCAACTGATGACGGCGACGCGCAACATTTTCAAGAGCCGGAGAGAGGGTATCTGAAAATTGTCGAGTTTGCACACGGCATTTTATAGGCGCGCTGATAAGAGAGCAGCGAAATGACGAGAATTACGTGCCGTTGATAAGAAATAAGTTTTTGAACTCAATATCAATTATGTGGCGGCTGACAGCGAGTCAATAAGAAAATGTGGAAGAGATTTTATGGCCTTGCATTTGACGGCCATCATCAGAAACGTTTTTAACAGGAATTATGAGTGTTTAAATTGCGTGGCCGTGACCGAGTTTTCAGGAAATATTATGATAATGGACCAGGCTTTTCCCAACGAAAAATAGAGAATTTGATATTCGAGATTTGCAAAAAAAGTTTGGTTTTGCCAACAAAAAACTGTGGCCGAGATTTTTTTGGAAATTAATAGATTATTTAGTTATTTGGGCCGTGGCCTAACATTTTTTCTCGGCCATGACTACAAAATAATTTTTTTAAATGTTCACTTTTTAAAATGAAGTATTTGATTTTCGAAACTTTTTTGGTTTTGCAAAAATTTAATTATTTCGTTAACGAATTAGAAAAAAGTGTGCGGCCGTGGCCTAGCATTTTTCCCGGCCACGGTCACAACCAAAAAGGGATTTTTTTGAATTTGCAACCTCATCGCTTCTTCAAACCCAAATGAAAGAGCAATGTAGTTAGTCATCAATTTCCCACGCCATTTCTCTCTTATCAATCAATGACTCACCTTGGCGCCGCAATCATATAAGCTGGCGAGAATCATAAATGTCACAATCATGCGATTCCTTGTTGTCTTCGCCGTCGCCGGCGTTCTCGCCAATTCCGATGAGTCGACGACGCCGACGTTCGACGTGCCCCAACTCGACGACGCGCCAAAACTCGGCGAGTTCGAGAAGCACTCGGTAATCATTAGGCGCCCAATTAACCCCAATTATTGAATTAGATCACCCATGCTTATGCGATTGACATCGCCGATGCGATGAGCATCAGCCAGATGAATTGCCTCAAATTCGAGGGCTATCGCACGATTTTCGTTCGCGCATTTTTCAACAATTCGTTCGATCCAAATTGCGTCCAAAACATCCTGAATGCGCATAAAGGTGAGCTTTTGATCAACTTCGAAAAATCTAGCTTGAATTTGTCCGCAGCTGGTCTGGGAATTGAGATCTACATTCGTCCCAACGTCACCGCGGGAATCAAAGCATTCGAGCAGGTGGACTCGGTGGTCGGCGAGCTCAAAAAGCATAGCATCGACATTCGATCGATTTGGATTCAGGTAATCGGCCGATTCGATTTTTCAAGCGTTGCTTCTCGTTCCAGGTGACTTCACCAATCGAATGGTCTCAAAGCGAATTGCATCGGCTAATGTTCATCGCGAATATGATCGAGCGAATCAGGGTAATCATGGGTCAAAAAGGCGGCATCCCAAAACAAAAAATGAAATTTTGATTTTGGTTGCGTTTTCAGCACCATGGCCTCAACGTCGGCGTCTACACGAGCAATTACGATTGGAGGCTGATCACCGGCGATTGGATGAAAGCCGGCGATGAGGTGATGCTCTGGTATTGGCACGTGATCGCCACAGGTGTCGACGGCGAGACGACGCCGACGTTCGACGACTTCCGTCCGTTCGGCGGCTGGCAGAAGCCGGCCGTCAAGCAATTCGGACAATTTGAGAAGGTCTGCAATGTCGCGGCCAATCGGTACACCCACACCAACCAAATAAGGAAATCATTTGAAAAGCGAGTTTTCAGAAATGTCTATCCAAGCAAACCCATCAAAATGGAGGTTTTGTCGAAATCGCCGAGTCTCGGCAAAATCAGAGTCGGCTCGATTGGACTTTTATAAGCCGATTATGAACAAACCCAAACATTTCCAATTGATCGCATTTTTTTTCATGTATAAATCTAACATATGCCGTTTTTTTCAATTTTTCTTTTTTCAACCGACCCGCAACGTTGTCCGCAGATAAATTTGATTAAATTTGATCAAGGCCCGGAGTGCTGTCCGCAGATGGCCGCTGTTAATCAGACTATAAGACGTTTTAGATTCACTTTTGGAATTTTATTATAGAAAAAAAGACAAGATAAAAAACGCCATAAAATTTTGAAAAAAATGTCGAGCTTTTTGAATTTTTATTCCCAATAAAGATTTTTTTTGCCATTCTATTTTTATCGCGATTTTTGGTCATAAAAATGACTTTGGAATTGCCTAGCAACCGGCGGCTCATTGTTAAAAACAAGACCCCATTGACAATTCGTACGTTTTTCGTCGTCGCTTTGAGACCACAAAATTTGTGAGACGGCTTCTCGCTTCTTTTACCCCCATTAAATTTCACTTCACCTGCTGGTGCTGAAAATAATTTCAGCCACGGTTTTCTGGCCGCTGAAATTCGATGTCATATGATTGGTATTCAAAAGCTCTGGCCAGTATTTCTACTAGGCACCTCAATATGTAATTTTTTTTTTTGGAAAATCCAATTTCAAAAAAAAAATAATGCAATTTTCAGATATTCTTGAGCTTTATTATTATCACGATGGCTATTCGCCGACGTTTTCGCGCTCCGGCGAATTTTCGGCGAAATTCATCGACGTTGAATATCCGTATCGTTTCGAAATAATGCCCGATTCGACGGCCAAATGCGATAACTCTACAAAATTGTTGATAATTGTGCTGACGATGGCGCCAAATTGGGAAATTCGACGAGCGATTCGCGAGACGTGGGCATCGCGATCGGTAGACGGCATCGCTCCGTTAATCTCCGTTATCCGCTCGTTTTTTTTTCGCAGGTATTGAACGCGATCAAGGTGAATTTTATACTATCGATGTCGAAAAATTCAACGAGAATTGAGGAGGAAGCCAGACAGCATGATGATTTGATTGTCACTAATCTACCGGAAACCTATGATAATCTAGTGTTGAAGGTTTGTGACGTACTCGTCGGGTCAAGGTCCTTTTTTTCTGCAAAAAATCGAAACATTTTTTGCATGGGGTACTGTAATTTTTGCAAGTCCGTAGCGCACCGACACGCCAATGTACACTGTTATATTCGAATTTTGCTTTTTACGCGTTTCGCACGTTTTTTCCAGAAAATTGGCTTATTTCTCCGCTTTTTCAATTTTTATTCATCGAAAATAATAATTCGAACCATTTTCAATAGATTCGCACGCAAAATTGCATGAGAAAAATACCGGTTTGCTAATATTAATGCAAAATGTTCGCACCCAATGATGGCGATTTTCGTTCTCATCAAAAACCTTTTAATTCAAATTCCAAATTGCCTACTAATAAGATTATTTCGGAAAGAATTCCAACTTTAACCCGAATCGGTGTGTTTTCCCAACGAAATTCGGCCTTGAATTGTAACCTTAAAAACTTTTTTTTACTTCCAGGTGCATTCGCTTCTCACTTACAAACAACACTATTGCGATGACGTCGACTACGTGCTGAAAATCGACGAAGACGTCGTAATCAATCCCGAAAAGGTGCTAGAAGCCGCGAGAAATCCAGCAAAAGCGAAAATCGATGCAATAAGTGGGTATTTGTGGAAGAAGTCGGTGCCGAAACGAGATAAATCTCACAAATGGTACGCGGAATTGAACGAAACGATATGCCCATCATTTTCTAGGTACATTCCAAGAACCTTCTGGCCCGCCAAATATTTTCCTGACTATTGCGATGGTCCAATGTATCTAGTTGGCAAGAAAGTGGTCCCAAAGTTGCTTCAAGCTTCCCAAAATCATAAAAAATGGAGTTTAGAGGTTGAATTTGTCGACCAAAATCAAATAATTTGTGATTTTCAGGACGTTTTCTGGACAGGAATTCTAACTAGTGATCAGAAGATTCCATTGTTCAATTGGGCTAGACAAATTCTTCGGGATAAGGGGGTAAATTTTTTATAAAATTCAGCCAATTCTCAAGAATTCCCTTCAGGACCTGTATTCCAACAAACTTCACTGCCGCGCTAGTCAGCCATATCTCGGATGTCATGGTTTAAAGGGTCCCGAGCAAATCAGAACGGGCTATCAGAAATTGATACAACTAAAGTGCACATGAATTGTTTTATTAAATTTATTATTATTATTATTATTATTATTAGTGCTTGAGGAACATCGATCTGGCTGGGCACGAGCAATAAGCGGCGTCGGCTCCCGGTCGTCCCGGGTTTCCAGGCGATCCCGGGTGTCCATCGGACCCCCTGTTTCCTGGAGCTCCCGGTCTTCCGGCTGGTCCGGCCGGACCATCGAATCCGCGTTGGCCTGGGCGTCCTGGCTGTCCGGCTGGTCCCTGTTTTCCCGGATTTCCCGGCCGTCCGGCGGCTCCCGGCCGTCCGCGTCCCTTTCGTCCGTCGCGTCCCGGATGTCCCGGTTGTCCCGGATTGCCCGGCCGTCCCGCTTGTCCCGGATTGCCGAGTTGTCCCGGCGCTCCCGGTCGACCGGCGTTTCCGCACTTGCCCGGCTGTCCCGGCTGTCCGGGAGCTCCCGGCCGTCCGGCAGGTCCCGGAATTCCCACAGGACCCGGTGGTCCCGCCGGGCATTGAATGCAGCCGGAGTCGTGTCGCGGGCACGGTTCGGCGCGCAGCGTCTCGTAGTTGTCGCGTCCTCGTGGTCCTGGAAGTCCTGGGGTTCCGCGAGCGCCCGGACGTCCTGGAGGTCCTGGAGGGCCCGGTGGGCACGTCGGCTTCGTCGGCTCGCACTGACACCACGCCGGAAGGCCGGCGAACGTCTGACGCTTCTGACGGAACACGCTGTTGAACGGATTGACGCGCGGCTTCGACGGCGGCGTCACGGTGACCTGGATGTCGAGCATCTCGATCCAAGCGGCGTCGGTCTCAACGCGAAAATCTTTCACGCCATCGAGGACCTGTAAGAAGGAGAAGCTTTGAAGAGCGAATTGAGAGTCGTGCTCACCTCCTCATGAACCTCATTGATGGTGTTGTAGAGCGATGGAATCACGACGAGGCACGTAATGACGGCAAGCGTCGACGCCGCCGACGCGACACCAACCAACAGCTTCTCCTCAAACATTGTTGAATGCGAGTAATTAGTTGTCAGTCGCTTATATAGTCATTGTCGCCCGAAGGGAGAGAGGGGGGGGGCGGTGGGCGCCGCCTCTGACGTTGCGTTGCTGGTCGTGTCCGTGACCCCGATTTCGGCGCCCACCCGATATTTGCAAAATTTCCTGAAAACAGTTCAATTGACCTACTAGGTTTCGCGTACTTCTTTTTTTTTATTTCGGCCTCCCTCCGAAAATTGATAAGATTTTAATGAGGCCATCGCGAGGCGAAACTTTCACTTTGGTTGGAAAAATAACCGCGCGAAACTCTGCTTTTTTTTTCTTACTTTGGGAATCGAAACGATTCGGGAAACTAATTGATCAGATCGGTTTCGAAAAAATTGGGTCTCGTGTGGAAAGTGATTAAATTGAAGGGTGAATTGTATTACGCATTGCATATTCGCCTTTTCCACTTGAGCGCAAGGTGTGATTCATGTCGCAATGCTAGCCTTTTATACTGGTGCGCGAAATGTCATTGGTTCGAGTCCGCCCTCATACTTTTACGTTTTTCTTTAAATTTATTGATATCTTTTTGAAATTGCAAATTTAATTGACTGAATAAATCGTGTCAAGACCCAATATATCATCAAAATCACTTTTTTTCTAAATAACGTTCTATCATTACACAACGACGCGGCGCGAAATAAGAATGGCAATAAACTTTAATTAGTCGCCGTCGTTTTCTCGCTACTGGAATTCGATTGGGAAAAGACCGAACGACACGATTCGAGAGCCTCGGCGAAATTCGGGCGCCGGCGGCTGTCAGTGTGACCGGCATGAGACATCTCTTCGTGGCGCCTAAACTGATTTATCATCAACTGACCAAACACGGAAGAAGACAAAATCGCGATTGGCGTAGCGCGGTGGGGGAGAGAGAGGAATGTAGGGGATTTTATTCAGAGCAACACGCTTCACACAAAATTTTCCCAACGGTGTCAATATTCATTGAAATCATCTGCGGACATTTTTCGGCGAAAAATATTGTTGGCGGCAACTCGAAAAAATGGAGACCTTCTGAAACAACTCCCCCTTGATTGGTCGATATTCTGAAATTTTGCAAATCGAGAATTTTCAGTTTCAGCGATCCAGATTGTAATTTTTTCGGATCTTCCAGGATTGAGCAAATGCATTGCTGAACAAATAGTTTCGATGCTGGAAGAATGAGAAATCGTTTTCGGCAAAACCGTCATTAGGCGGCCCCCCCAACATAGGCGACTAATTGTTACCCCCGTCGATGGCATTTTCGAAACCGTCTCACTCGTCTATCTAGCAGTCGAAAAAAAAACAAAACAAAACAATAATAGAAGACCGATCGACGAGGAACAGGAAAGAAGGAAACCCCACCCACCCTCAAAAGGGGGGGGGGTACCATGATGGAATTAGATTGACCTTGGCCGCTATAAATATGCCAAAGTTTTGGGAATTGAAACCAAAACTGCCTTCGTCGTCGCCTTTCCGGATGATCGAAGAGAAGCTGTTGGTTGGTGTCGCGTCGGCGGCGTCGACGCTTGCTGTCATAGCGTGCCTCGTCGTGATTCCATCGCTTTACAACACCATCAATGAGGTTCATGAGGAGGTGAGCACGAATCTCAATTCGCTATTTGAAGCTTCTCCTTCTTATTTCAGGTCCTCGATGGGGTTCAAGTGTTTCGCGTTGAGACCGATGCCGCGTGGACGGAGATGATGGACATTCAGATCACCGTGACGCCGCCGTCGAAGCCGCGCGTCAATCCGTTCAACAGTGTGTTCCGTCAGAAGCGTCAGACGTTCGCCGGCCTTCCGGCGTGGTGTCAGTGCGAGCCGACGAAGCCGACGTGCCCACCGGGCCCTCCAGGACCTCCAGGACGGCCGGGACAGCCTGGAACGCCGGGACGGCCTGGGCCGCGAGGTCGCGACAACCACGAGACAATTCGCTCGGAGCCTTGCCGCCAGCCGAACTTCGGCTGCGTCAAATGCCCACGCGGACCACCGGGACCATCGGGACAGCCGGGACCGATTGGACGTCCGGGACCCGACGGACGACCAGGACAGCCGGGCCGACGCGGAAACGACGGACGGCCGGGACCACGAGGACCACCCGGCAATCCGGGAAGTCCGGGACGCGTCGGCGGACCCGGACAGCCGGGACATCCCGGCAAAGACGGACGCAAAGGACGTGGAGCGCCGGGACCCGCCGGCAGGCCGGGAAAGCCCGGCAAGCCGGGAGCCGCCGGACGGCCTGGACGACGCGGCGAGCTCGGACGCGACGGCAACGCGGGAGCCGCCGGACGGCCGGGATCACCGGGCCACAAGGGCGCCGACGGACGGCCGGGCGCCAACGGCAATCCGGGACGTCCGGCACCCGACGCCGCCTATTGCGCGTGCCCTCCGCGCTCGGCGATGTTCGTCAAACGCGTCAGTCGTTCATAAATGTTCGTTGTGCAAAAATAAACTCATCATATCATCATTGAAAACTAGCTGGTTGAACATTTCTCGAGAACCCAATAATATTTTGGCGCGACAAGGTCGAGTGTCAGAAGCGAGAAAAAAAATTTTTTTCATTCTGTTGAAATCGTCGCATTATTCCAAATGTTTACCGGTTTTGGAAATCGTTTTTTCTTTCGGCATTTTCAGACGTTTATAATTTGATTAGCCTTAAACGCATGGTTAGGAGTAGAAGCCAACGGCCGGCAAACGACCTTGGCCGTCGGTGGACCGTTCCAATTAGGCGCTAATCATGCAATTAGAATGGGATCCGCAATTTTGAAGGCAATTATCAAATTTCGCACTTTGATTTTTTACTAGCCGCAACGCGACCGCAACGCGGCTCAAGACATTTTCTCAAACTTCAATATTGTCGGCAAAAATAACTACTAAATTGATGAAGAGGTCTTGACGCGATGTGATGCGCCTTTAATTTTTAACGCGGAGCTCTTAATGTTTCGTTTAGAAATCTTTCATAGAATTTTTTTTTGGAAAAATAATTTCCGCAGATTTTGAATTACCGCCAAATCGCTATTCTTCCAAATATGATCAATTTCGAAAAAAATCTATCAGAATCAATCGCGACAAGACCCAACTCATGCGCCTTTAATCAATTATTGTTCTTGACTTTTCTTGATATTCAAATATTAAAAAATAAATGCGAAGAAGTGAAAATTTTAAACAAAATTGGAAGATTGCGAATTTCGAAAATATTTCTTTTGGATACTGTAATTAAAGGCGCACGCTGTTTTTGTGCGGAATCTCGCAGTGGCCGATTATGGTAGCCATTATATATTTAGAAACTGACTATTTATTTTTATTTATGAACTTTGATCTTGATTTGTTAACGTTGAGGTTTAAATTCGAAAAAAAATGTGTGCAAACACCGTGACGCAAATATCGCAGAATTTTTTTCTGTTTGTTTTCTTTTCGCAAACTGTTTTGACTTGGAATTTCATCAAAATAAAGCCAAGATTTTTGCCATTTAAAGGGTCAAAGAAATTTTGAAAAAAATAATTTTCACAATTATTACAATCGCAAAAAAAACAAGCACCCATAATGCTGTAAAAAAAGAATTTTAAAAATATGAAGAAAAAACCGGTAGGTGGAAGAATTAGCCCATAAATTCCTACCCAAAATATATATTTTTATATATAAAAATTGGAAGAGGGGGGGGATTTTTAAAGGCGCATGCTGAAAAATTGTGATTTTTTGCTTTCAGCAAATTTTTATTTGACACTAAGGCCAAATCCAATGTCTCTTTTTTTTCGAATATCTGGCATGCGCCTTTAAACACCGATATGAAAATGGCCTTTGAGTTCATTAAGAAAATTTATTTTTTTTTGTTCGCGTCGAGACCCGCCACATAATTTTATGATTTGTGACATTTGGCCAATTTTTCTATTTTTTTTATCGCACAAATCACAACGCTAATTCCTAGAAATTATAATTTCTCGCCGTCTCTCCGTTTGCAACACTCTCTCGCCGGTCAAACTAAAGATCATGTCACAAATCATTAAAGGGTGGGGATTGAAACCGAATTGATTGTTGTTATTTAAACACGACGCTCATTTCGTTTTCTCCACTTTACAATGCTTTTTGCCGTTTTCCTTTTAACTATTATAACTATATCCTTTATTCATTTGAAATTAAAGCAAAGAAAGTTGCCGAAAGGTGCCTATTAATCATGGATTTTCCTTAAACACATGACTATTTAAGGCCCTCAACCTCTTCCGCTTATTGGAAACCTTCACCAAATTGGCTACTATGCGAAAACGCATGGTGGTCTCGTCGAAGGCTTCAAGGAATTCCGTCGACGGTACGGCGATGTGTTCACTGTCTGGCTTGGTCCGTTTCCGACGGTCCACATTTGCGATTATGCTTTGGCTCAGGAGACGCACCTCAAACAGGCGAACAGCTATGCTCATCGATTTGTCAAAGGCATTCTGGATTATATTCGAGGTTCGAATTTGAGATGACAAATTATGTTAAAAGTCAGTTTTTATGCTTAAAATCTGTCTTTCCAGACGTTTTTTAGCAATTAAAATGCTTTGAAAATCGTGAAAAGTGTGAAATTGAAAAAAAATTCAAAGTTTGATTTTTTGAAAACCATTGGAAACGCGCCTTATCAATAGAGCGCATTTGCGGCATTAGAGTTGTAAACACGATTTTTGCCAATTTTCGCCCAATTCCTCTTCATTTTTCACCATTTTTTTTTCTAGAAGGCCGCGGAATTGTTGCTTCCAATGGCGACTTCTGGCAAGAGCATCGCCGATTCGCCCTGCACACCCTTCGCAACTTCGGCCTAGGTCGAAACATCATGGAAGGTCGAATTCTCGAAGAGATTGACTATCGCTGTCAGGAATTCGACGATGGGTCTCAAGACGGCGTCATTCAATTCAAAGCTTCCACATTCTTCGACCTTCTTATCGGCAGCATTATCAATCAGCTGTTGATATCAGAAAGGTTCAAAAAGGTATTTTTTGGTTCAAAATTTTTTTTGCCAATTTGAATTCTAGAATGACGCAACGTTCGAAAAAATCAAAACCAGTCTCGAAGCGGCTTTGGAGAATCTCACAATTCTTGAAGGATTCACGCCCGTCTGGATACTCAAGTCGCGTCTTTTCAAATTTCGCCATGAGTACATGTTCGGACCATTCGACGCGATTCATAATATTATCAAGAATAATATCGCGAATCGGTTTTTTTTCGTAGAATTCTGAATGTGATTTCTTTTTTTGTTCTAGTGTTGCTGAGATCGTGCGTGGTGATCATGTGCTATCAGAGGATGGAAACGATTTCCTGGACGCTTACCTGTACAAGATTCAGTGCGACAAAGAGAGTGGAATCGCAAATTCAACATTCAAGTACCTTCAGAATCCCTTTTGAATCCTTATTTAGAGTCTTATATCCTTGATACCTTGGCAGTGGACATGTTCGATTTATGGCAAGCTGGCCAGGAGACCACCTCGACAACCTTGTCGTGGGGATTCCTATGCCTTCTCAGGCATCCAGAGGTAAAATTTTTCCGAATAAACTCATAAAATAGACAAGTTTCAGGTTGTAGAGAAGCTTCGAAAAGAATTGAATCGAATCACAATGGATGGTTCGAGGAATCTGTCGCTTTCCGACAAGCCGAATACTCCATACTTGAACGCAACAATTAATGTAAGAACAATTGGAATCTCAATATGTTGGGCAAATATTATTTTTTTAAGGAAGTCCAACGTGTCGCGTCGATTTTGAATATAAACTTATTCCGTGAGCTTCAGGAGGTATTGCGTTGACAAAAATACCACCATACTTGGCTAATTTGAAATCTAGGACACTTATATTGACGGCCAGTTGGTTGGAGCTGGAGCCGCTGTCACCGTTGAGTTGAGCCTTCTTCACACCGACGAGAAGGTCTTCGAAAACCCTGGAGAAGTAAGCTTTTTGATCAATCAGCTCATGATTTTGTTGTTCCAGTTCAATCCCGATCGATTCATAACGAATGAGGGTCTTGAGAAGAAGCTGATTCCCTTCGGTATCGGAAAACGTGCGTGCCTCGGAGAATCTTTGGCAAGAGCCGAACTATATTTGGTATTGTTTCAAAAGAAAACAATTTTTGCAAAATTCAGAATGTTAAGGTTCTTGGAAACCTAATCCTTCGATACAACATCGAACCGGTTGGCGAATTGCCACCATTGAGATCATTGACACCATTTGGCGGAATGAAACGCCCACCGCCATACGAATTGCGCCTCAAACCAATTAAATAATTGTTATGTTTTGTCGGCGTTAAACGACTGAACAATATTTTTAAAAATATTTGCTATTTGCCAGATGTGCCTTGAGGCAAAGAGACGTGCGCGTGTTTGCGTACTCTGCATTTTAACGTACGCGCACGCGCTAATTTCCGATTTCGTAGAGACATACTTATTTTACGGTTGAATTTCCACACCGTTAGGTCGTTTCACGCAGATAATATGTATATAAATAAATAAATATATATATATATTTATTATACAGAATGTTTGTTTTAAAAAAATAAACTCACTGATTGGCAAAATTTTGAAATTATACGATATGTCTGCATTCTGCAACGCAGCAAAAAAAAAAGGAATTACAGCATTCGACTCATTCGAATACGCTGAAATTTGTCTATAAATTATTTATATACATTAGTAAATAAAAAAAGAATATTAATTATTGACCATCAGAAATTTCAATTTTCTCCATTTCAATTTTGAATACCCGTTCGAAGGGGGTAGATAACAAAATAAATTTCACACTGTACCGCGGACTGTTGATAAAGTGTGTTTTGTAGTGTGCGTGCCTTACCTTTATTATCAATAAATTTGAACATTGCGAAAGGTCATGAAGACATGCTCAAAAAACGGAAATATGCAATTATAATAACGATCTTCAGCCTGCAATTAAAATTGGAATTCATGTTTGTGAAAACTGTTCAAGTTTACTTTATTTAAATATATGGAAAAATGACTTTGCAGATTTTTTTGGCTAATTTAGAAAAAAAAAACGAAATTAAATTTGAGGTCTGCATTCACCAAAGAAACAACAATGCACAGAAACCCAACAACTGACGCGCAAAACATTTTTTCTTTTTTAATTCCAGCATTTGATTTTTCCCATTTTTACCCTAATTTCTTACAAGTATAGTCACAAATTCTGTCATAAAAATTAAATAATTAATTTTTGCAAGTAAACGCATACATTTTATGCTGTCAAATGGTTCTGATTAAATGTTCGGTGTTTGATTTCGCCCTTTGTAGTTTTTGTGACATGAGACCCTATTTAAAAAATCATGATAAGCCATTCTGACATTGCTTATCAAAATATGGTTATTTTATTGATCTTAATTACTATTATCACAGCTGCCTTCATCCATCAGAAGATTCGGCAGAGGAAGCTTCCCAAAGGTGAGGTCTCAACCAGTTCATATTAAAATTTGCTCGTCCATCTAGGTCCGTCGCCTCTTCCCATCATTGGCAATATCCACCAGCTCGTCTATTACTCCATAAAGAATGGAGGTGTCGTCGAAGCGTTCCGAGAATTCGAGAAGCAATATGGCAAGGTGTTCACCACTTGGATCGGACCACTTCCAACAGTCAACATTGCCGATTTTGCTCTGGCTCAAGAGACTCATGTCAAGAATGGAAATGCCTATGCAGATCGATTTTCGCAAGGAATCACCGCATACCTTCGAGGTATGAAATTTTTGATCGCTGATTCATTCTTTTATTTTTTTTTCCAGAGGGTCGTGGAATTATTGGGTCGAGTGGAGTGTTTTGGCAGGAGCATCGTCGATTCGCCCTTCACACCCTTCGCAATTTCGGTTTAGGTCGAAACATCATGGAGGAGAGGATCCTCGAAGAGCTCGACGTTCGATGTGGCGAATTTGAAAAACACAGCAACAATGGGCTCATTGAGACCGACGCCTCAATATTCTTCGATCTCGTCGTCGGAAGCATTATCAATAAGATTCTGGTCTCGCAGAGATTCGAGAAGGTCGAACTTTTGGGTTTCGCGATTTTGACAAGAAAATTTTGTAGGACGATCAGAATTTTGCCAAACTGAAACGCAATCTGGAAATCTCGTTGGAGACGGCAACGCCGTTCGAAATGTTCGCGCCCACATGGCTGCTGAAAACGTGGATGTTCAAATGGCGTCACGCCAAAACTTTTAAGCCGATTGACGACATTCACGATTTTGTTAAAGACTGCATCGGGAAGCGACTCAAAGAAATTGAAAACGGGACCTATGAGGTGACGGAGGAAGCGAATGATTTCCTAGGCGCTTTCCTCTACAAAATCGAGTGCGATAAAAATAATAATGTGGAGAAGTCGAACTTTACGTGAGTTCGATGTTTCCTCATAAGTGAAATTCGATTATTGATTTCAAGTTTGGAAACCCTAGCCATTGACATGTTGGATTTATGGCTGGCTGGTCAGGAGACAACATCGACCACCTTGACATGGGGATTCTTATGCCTTCTGAAGAATCCCGAGGTTCGAACCTTCAAAATTCATTTCTTCGATTGTTCGATGTCAGGTAGTTGAGAAGATCCGAGCTGAGTTGAACAAGACAACGTCAAATGGATCGCGAAATCTGTCGCTTTCCGATAAGCCCAATACACCATATTTGGTGGCCACCATCAATGAGATTCAGCGAATCACCTCAATTTTGAACATCAATCTTCTACGCGTTGTCAATGAGGTTTTTTTTCTGAAATTTTAGCAATTCTTTTAACAATCTATCCCAAAAAATTAAAGAGGATTACTGTAGGCGCCAGAGCTCTCTAAAATTGTGTGCTCCGCCCTATAATTACATGGATTTTCATATGAAAATGATTTATTTAAGGACACGTTCATTGAAGATCAGCCGATCGCCGCCGGCACTGCTGTGTCCGTTCAATTGAGTCTTCTTCACACCGATGAGCGTCTATTCAAGAATCATAAGGAAGTCTGACGAAATATCGAAAGATTGTCAGAAAATTGGCCCGTTTTCAGTTCAATCCCGATCGATTCATTGAGAATGAGGGACTTGAGAAGAAGCTTATCCCATTCGGCATCGGAAAACGCGTGTGCCTTGGCGAGGCCTTGGCAAGAGCCGAACTATATTTGGTAATGCTTCCTGGGTAACTCAAATGTTGAAAAGAAAACGTGTTCAGATCATCGGCAATCTCATCCTTCGTTATAATCTCGAGAAAATCGGCCAACCACCACCGCTAGTCACCATTAATCCAGTCGGAATTCTGAAGAGACCACCGTCGTACCGCATGCGACTCATTCCAATTCGTTGAGAATTTGCCTGTTTGTTTTTCGACATAAATAATTGACTAATTTGTAGTCGGCGTGACCCAAATTGATAAGAGAAGAAAAAAATAGCTGATCATTTGATTTCTTATCGAATAACAAATTTTGGACAGAAATCATTGGACAGGAGTCATTCGCATAACGTATGCCGGCGGTCGTTTGACCATTCCAAATGGGCTTGTGGTTTCTAAACGAGGCAACTCTCCAATATTTTCGATATTGTAGCGAAGAATGAGATTCCCAATAATCTGAAGATGGCAATTCTCAGAAACTCGTCGATTCCGAAAATTCGATACCAAATATAGTTCGGCTCTTGCCAATGACTCTCCAAGGCAGACGCGTTTTCCGATTCCGAACGGAATCAACATCTTCTCAAGCGTCTCATCTTCAATGAATCTCGACGGATTGAACTGAAACCATCAAAAGTTGGCTGGAAAATGTGGCTCCATTTTCATACTTCCTTCGGATTTTTGAAAATTGTCTCGTCCTGATGAATCACGCTCATTTGGGTGCAGAATACTGTCCCTTTACTGATCGGCTGTCCGTCGATATCCGAATCCTGAAGATTCGATATCCATCAGAAAACGGCTGATCGATTCATACCTCTTGCATTACCCTGAGAAGATTCAAGTTCAAGATGGAAGCGATTCGCTGAATCTCATTGATGGTGGCGACCAAATATGGTGTATTGGGCTTATCGGAAAGCGACAGATTTCGCGATCCATTTGACGTTGTCTTGTTCAACTCAGCTCGGATCTTCTCAACTACCTGACATCGAACAATCTAAGAAATGAATTTTGAAGATTCGAACCTCGGGATGCTTCAGAAGGCATAAGAATCCCCATGTCAAGGTGGTCGATGTTGTCTCCTGACCAGCAATCCACAAATCGTAAACGTCGATCGCCAGAGTGTCAAGGCTATGAGAATCTGAATAAGGATTCAAAAGGGATTCTGAAGGTACTTGAATGTTGAATTTGCGATTCCACTCTCTTTGTCGCACTGAATCTTGTACAGGTAGGCGTCCAGAAAGTCGTCTCCATCCTCTGATATCACATGATCGCCACACTCGATTTCCTTTACTCTAAAATAAGGGACCATTGAAATCAGAAGCCACACTATACTCTACCGCTTTGAGATGTTCTTTCTCGCTATCGCATACACCGTATCAAAGGGTGTGAAGACGTGCTGAGTGCGCGAATTGAAAGGCCACGACTTCAGAAGCCACACCGGCGCGAAAAATTCTAGAAGCGACAGGTTCTTCAGCGTCATCTCAATACTATTCTTCAGCTCCTCAAACTCCTCATCATTCTGCAATCAAGCGTCGTGCCGATGCCGATAAGCTGTCTTCTAATACCTTTTCGAATCGTTCAGATATCAAAAGCTGATTGATAATGCTTCCAATGAGGAGGTCGAAGAACGTCGACGCTTTGAACTCGACGCCTTCAAACTCCGAGCATCGATAATCGAGCTCGTCGAGAATTTTGCATTCCATGAGATTTCGGCCGACGCCAAAATTGCGAAGGGTGTGTAGGGCGAATCGGCGATGCTCTTGCCAGAAGTCGCCATTGGAAGCAATAATTCCGCGGCCTTCTAGAAAAAGAAAATGGTGAAAAATGAAGAGGAATTGGGCGAAAATTGGCCAAAATCGTGTTTACAACTCTAATGCCGCAAATGCGCTCTATTGATAAAGCGCGTTTCCATTGGATTTCAAAAAAAATCTCGTTGAAATTTAAGAAAATTTCTCAAATTTTATTATTTTTAATTCATTTTTTAGAGAGAGGTGACAAATTTGAAAAGCTTAAAATTTAGGCCCGACCTTCTGGATCATTAGAGGATCTTCAAAATGGAATATTGGCATAGCTTAAGTACCTCTCAAGTATTGAATAACACCCGTGGAAAACCGATGTCCAAAAGTATTCGCCTGTTTCACGTGGGTCTCATAAGCAACTTGATAGCTGGCGATATTGACGGTTGGAAGGGGACCAATCCAAACCGTGAACACCTTGCCATATTCGGACTGAAGCGCCTGATACGCTTCAACAATTCCGCCAAGCTTCCAAGAATAGTAGGCGATCTGATGAAGATTGCCAATGATTGGAAGAGGCGGCGGACCTGCAAAATTGCAATATTGATAATGGTTCGTTGGGATTACCTTTCGGAACGCGCTTCTGTTTTTGATGGACCAATGCGAAAAACGCAATGAGGAGAAGAATTAAAATCAGTAGCATGATGATTTGATTGTGAATAACACAATTTTATCAATTTAAAGGCAAATTTGCTTATCAAATTTTTATGTTTTTTGCCCCCCCCCCTCTTTATTCAATTAAAAATAATGGGTTGAGTTCTCACGAGGAATTTCCCTAAAAAATCTGAAACAGTCAGAATTCGCGATTCGACTCAAGCGCCTCACCTTCTATGAATCACGTAGGGACCATCAAAATTTTTTTTAGAATAACACGAAGTTGATAAAAAGCTTATTTAAACTCATTTGACTGAAGAAATATAGAAATTCGCAATTTTTCGAAATGAGTTTACGGACCATTGTGCCACCAATTATGGCACGAATATTATTTTTAAAACAATATTGGATTATAACGCAAAAAATTCAACTAATAGAAGGAGGTACGCAGAGAAATCGCCATCATCGAATTCGCTAATGGATGCAATAAAAAATTGCCAAAAAATGCAGTGGGTACTGTAATGAAAGAATGAAGAATGCGGCGAGACCCATGAGACAATTGGTCGGCATGCGTCTTTCCTGGTCAAGTTACGGTATTATTTTTTATTTCAATTATTTCATTTTTTGTTTTTTTAATTTAATTTTATATTAAAATGATAGCGTAACCTCAGAAAAAGAAGCACGGCAATAAATTGTCTCAAAATAGTCAGTTATATCAAATCCCCGTAAATCTACAACAGTCGCCGAAAACCGATTTCCAAATCCGATCTAGAAAATTGTGCGGAATACAAGATGGACGCGGCCGAGGAATATGAAAAGACGCCTAGGCCACCTCGAAGCGTGCCAAGTTTTGGCAGCGTGGTCGCCAGTTTTTGGATAAATTTGTTGGTCTATTATAACTTGTTCCTTATATGCCCAAGAATTGAACTTTGTTAGTCTCAATAGAAACTGCTGGACCACATAAACACGACACGATGCCCGGCCCTTATAGAGCCGTAATCTGCGTGGCGAATATCGATGATCAATTTTCTGACATTTGACTGAAGGACTATTATCGTTAGAACTAGACCAATATCGTCTAGAATTTCTCCGAATCCGCCCTCATATCAAGGAGATTCAGCGAATCGACTAAATCTGGAAAAGAAGCAAACTAGAAGGCTGATGGTTTTTCGCTAGGCGATGTCGCACGCGGAAACAATAACATTCAGGATTTCGTGATTGATGGGTAGCCGATTCACAGCGGAACTATGTTGGCTATTCATTAAGACGATTCTTCTTATGAAGATTGAATTAGACCAATTTTGATGGTCCCTATGCGATTCATTGAAAATGAGGGGCACTATTCTTGGAAGCTTGGCGGAATTGTTGAAGGCGCTTCAGTCCGAATATGGCAAGGTGTTCACGGTTTGGATTGGTCCCCTTCCAACCGTCAACATCGCCAGCTATCAAGTTGCTTATGAGACCCACGTGAAACAGGCGAACACTTTTGGACATCGATTTTCCACGGGTGTTATTCAATACTTGAGAGGTGCTTAAGCTATGCCAATATTCCATTTTGAAGATCCTCTAATGATCCAGAAGGTCGGGCCTAAATTTTAAGCTTTTCAAATTTGTCACCTCTCTCTAAAAAATGAATTAAAAATAATAAAATTTGAGAAATTTTCTTAAATTTCAACGAGATTTTTTTTTTGAAAAACATTGGAAACGATAGAGCGCATTTGCCGCATTTTTTTGAAATCGTGATTTTTGCCGAAATTCCTCTTCATATGAGGCCAGAATAAATTTTGGAATCGTCAGAAAAACGTAAATTTTTGGAAAAATAGTTGAGAAATAGGACAATCCGTTATATAAAAAATTAAAAATATTTTTTCGCTTTTGTTTTTGAAAATGTCACAGAAAAACAAAATCAGAATTTGAATATTTTTATGAAATTTTATAACTCTTTCAAATCGCCTCAAATCCTTCTGGTTTTGTGGTTCTTAATACAGCTTTTCCAGAAGTGGCCGTGGCCGACTTGTAAATGGCCGTGGCCGACCCGGAAGAGTGAATAATCAATTGTTTGCTTTTCGCGCCGCCCTTAAATTACATTAAATATTATTATTATGAAAACTGAAAATAAAATGAAAAAGAAACATTTTCTAAAAATCTGACACCAAAATCTCGATTCGACAAGATTTTCTGAGAATTCGTCGACCTGTCCCAGCCAGGTCCTAGGGAAAAGCCCAATAATGAGGTCAGCTCAAAATCAAAAAAAAAAGAGACCAAAGAAACCTTTTGGTTTACATCATCACGTCATGCGATTTTTCATCGTCCTTGACTTCACAAATTTGGCGAACCATTCATTCATTCATCTCGTCGCACCGAAATCGCACGCTGTCTCGCCGACGCCGCACCAATTCATCAAAGACCGATTCAACGCCTCTTCGGCCAATGATAGCCCACCGTCGGGGTATAAAAACCTCGAAAATTTCCATTCGAATCATCGCCATCATGTTCTCCGCCAAACTATTCTTTTTGCTCGTCCTCCTCATCGCCTGCTTCGTCGCCGTCGACGCCCAATGGGGCTACGGATGTAAGGAGCCTAAACGCCATCAACGCCAATTCATCGAAATCATTTCAGACCACCCATACGGCTTCGGCTATCGTCCATGGCGTCGCCCGTTCTACGGCGGTTACGGCGGATGGCATCATCCATACGGATACGGATGGGGAAAATAGACGACTGAATATCATTGATGGGAATCGCTGTATATAAATTTTCGATTTTTACTTTCAACAATCGCATGTGCCAAATGAACATTTTCAAGAGATTTTTATTGTTTCTTTTTTCGCTCCATCTAGAGATCGGTCACTTCCACAGTAAGTCGCGAGAGACGCAGAGAGACGCTGGCCTGGATTCATGTGGCTTGAAATGCTTCATTTCAATTCGCTTCGAGATCCCTGGATTATAGAAGAGCGCAGAGTGACGGGAGCCCACATCATGAATCCAACCGATGAAGTCCAAAGTGACGTCGTCGACCATGTGCTTTGCATCTCTGTTTGTTTTTTGGTTAAAACGAATGATCACGAAACCCCCCCCCTATCCGTTTCGTTTCTTTTCGTTTCCATCGCCGTCTAATCAACAACGTCACGCCCCCCCCCCACGACGGCGTCGACTATTCTGGAAGTCTCGATGACGTGACAAACCGATCAAAAATTATCGTCGAATTGAAGAAAAAAGAAATGAACCATTAGTGTGGGGAATTTTTGAAATCGAGGCGAGAGGAGGCTCATCCCAATCATATCATATGATATAAGCCTTCCGATTAGAAGGATCCCTAAATTGCGATGCGCCTTTAAAATCGAATTCGGCACCTGATGACTAACAATAGTTCGAAATGGATTCATTGCGTCAGCCAGTGTAGGCCAACAAAAAAATACAAAAAAAAATAATCATAATTTATTTTCCCCATCCATATGGTCCATAGAGTCCGTAGGGGTAGAATGGCCGATGGAAGAATGGTCGTCGCCATCCCCAAGGTCGGTCTGAAACAAAATGGTCCATCATTTGAATGGTCCTCTCGACTCTCACATCCATAATAGCCCCATTGGGCCTCGACGGTGGCGAAACCAACGGCGATGATGAGAAGAATAAGAAGAAGCTTGAACATGTCGACGACGTCGGAAACTCGTCGCCTAGTCGACGTTTTTATACTCATCCTCTTGTTTGTTGTCGACGCTTCGCGAAGAATCTACGACGAAGCGCGAATCTAATGGAGAAATTCGCCAAAATTGGTCACGATTTCTTCATTTTTCGCCGACGCACGCCTACTACTATAAAAGGTCATAAGGTCCAAAAATTGCAAATAATGGTCTCGCTCAATCGAATCGTCCTTCTCATTGTGGTCCTTCTGACGTTCTGCCTCGCCACCACCGAAGCGTGGGGATGTAAGCCGAAATTTTCGATATACCCAAATAAGGCATTCAGGGTATCGCCGTCCACGCCTTTGGGGTCTTCGCCGATTCCGACGTCCCTGGGGCTATGGCTTCCGAAGACCATTCGGATACCATCCGCTCTTCAACCCATTCTTTCCACCGCCCATGTTCGGACCATTCGGATTCTATGGATGATGAATATCAAATTTGTATTATATTTGTAAATAGGACCTAATAAATATATTTATTGCCTTCCCAATTTCCAAGGCCAATTTTTTTCCATCACAAATCACATCGATCGTGTATTGATACCAAACTTCTCACGTCATCTCCCATCGATTGTACACTTTAAAGGCCACATTCGATTTTGTTTTTTGCCGATTCGCATTATTACAATGTGATCTGCGGACGCGTTTCGAGGCCACTGCAATTCGGGCAATAAGCTTCTTGTGAGATCTCATTAAGAGGCGGGTCTTAAAGGTCTTCGTCACGATTTCGGATTTCTAGAAGATTCTCTCCGATAAACAATGAAAACAGGAAAATTTTGAAAAAATGAGCTTTCCAAAAAGAAGCCATAAATGGTTGGCGATCAAAAGTCTAAAATTGGTTCAGAGAATGCCTTTAGTGACGAGATCAAACTTTGTATATCTAAGAAACCGGTACTCAAAAATCATTTTTTTTGTCCTCATGATAACCAGGAAGAAGTTGTCCCCCTATAAAAAGGGATTCAGAATCCGAAGGGTAGTCAGAATGATTTCGATCAGACGCCTCTTCGTCCTCATTCTCATGGCTGCTTGCTTCGTCGTCTCATCAGAAGCCTGGGGATACGGCTATGGATGTAAGAGACCCCTGATTTCAATGGTCCCTATTTTATTGCAGATCATCCCATTGGATTCGGCTATCATCCGCCATTCTTCCATCCACCAATGTTCCACCCATTTGGCGGATACTACGGAAAGAAATAACCAACCTAATTACCTTATTAATTAACATCTAATCATTTTATAAATATTCTATAATACCATTAAACATGGGTGCAGAGGTTTCTAAAAAAAGCTATTAAAAAAACAAAATCAATTTTAAAGGCGCATCGTGACGAGACTTTTCTGGGTGGGCCTAAAATAGAAGATTCCATCAATGTGTGGTGAATCCCCGAAAACTGTCCGCTGATGGTTTTTGGTTTGTCCAACCGTCTCTAGAGGATTCCCAACAAATCGGCCATTTGATATTTTGATCTACAAGCCCAAATCGATAGTGCGAAATCAAAAATCATCGGCGCAGTTTCATTCGCCCAATTTTGCCCCCCCCCCCCATAAAAGGCGAATCGAATCGCGTGACTAATCCAATTCGCATTCATCATGATATCGTTCAACTTCCTTCTCTGCCTTCTATTATCAATATGCCTAATTCAGGCATATCCCTATGGCTATGGCTACGGGTGTAAGTGGTCCTTTAAATTGGGTCTCGCGTCGAACCCGATAATCATTTCAGATCATCCGATCGACTATGACTATCATCCTCATCCGTTTCATCATCATTTCCATCCGCCAATTCCGCCACCGCCACCAATGTTCCACCATCCGCCATTCTATGGTGGCTGGTGAATATTTTGATTGTATGTATTTTCGTTTTCCGCGTGTTCAAAATAAACCGGTTTTTCTTGGGATTTGTGATTTCACATGGTTGCACGTGACCACAATTTATTCACAAATTCAAATTTGGCACTTTGATCTACACACTGCGAGCAAATATGCTCTATCGTCAAAAAGCCGAATTCGATTGGATGATCTTCAATAGAATAGGGACCATCGAAATTAGGGGTCTCTTACATCCATAGCCGTAGCCCCAGGCTTCTGAGGAGCCGACGAAGCAAGCAGCGATGACGATGAGAACGAGAAGGCGTCTGATCGAAATCATTATCGGATTCTGAATCTTTTATACCCTTTCAAATAATTTTTTCAGAGTTAGCCGAACTTGTTCGATTTCTGAAGAACCATATTTGGTGGCCAAACAAAAATTGAACCTTCCTTGTTCAAGCTTGACAGTTGAAACCCGGAAAAAATCAAATTCGCCAAATTCGCCTTCGAGAAACTCTGATCGTTTCGTATAAATTGAATTCTGAAGAATCGTCAGGCAATTATGATTTCGATCAGACGCCTTCTCGTTCTCATTCTCATCGCTGCTTGCTTCGTCGTCTCATCAGAAGCCTGGGGATACGGCTATGGATGTAAGAGACCCCTGATTTGAATGGTCCCTATTCTATTGCAGATCATCCAATCGGATTCTATCATCCTCCGCCATTCTTCCATCCACCAATGTTCCACCCATTTGGCGGATTCTACGGAAAGAAATAACCAACCTAATCATCGAATTTTTTCATTAATTGGACTTTCATTAGAGTTTTTCATATCGGATTTCCGAATAAATGAGCTTTGTTGAGAATAATTTAATTTCAGTTGATGTGTGATTAAAATTGAACTCGAAAAACGTTGAAAGGGAGCCTTTGATTGCGCTTCTTAATTTTTTGTCTGTTAACACACTGACGCAATTTCACACACATTTCATTTCACCCTCAATAAGTGCCACCTTTGACATGCAGTAGTTTTTCCACTAAAAATAGGTGTAATTCGAAAATTGCAAAAAATTCAAACCCAATTTTCACTTGACACCAACCCGCGAGTTGTCCGCAGATGAAATTGTTTATTTCAAGATTTGCAGGAAAATTCGATTGTTATTAAATTTTAATAAATTGTTAATTCTAGGGGATATTACATACTTTAAATAGATATTAGAACCCCCATATAGACCATTTTAAGGTTCTAGAGACCCGCGAGTTGTCCGCAGATGAAATTTCGTTTCAATCTCAATGTTGTACTTCTTGTGCTACTTCCTGCGTTTGATCAAATTGGTCCTAACAAATTTTTTCCATTTGATGAAAAGTGTCATTTTATTGGAATTCAACTATTTATTGAATTTTATTAATTAATTATGTACAATTAGCGAGGGTAATTATGTCTACTTTCCATAGAATCCACCATAGAATGGGCGGTGGAATGGGCGGTAGAATGGGCGGAAGAATGGACGGTATCCGAATCCATACGGATGATCTGCAATAGGGACCATTGAAATAGAATAGGGACCATTGAAATCAGGGGTCTCTTACATCCATAGCCGTATCCCCAGGCTTCTGATGAGCCGACGAAGCAAGCAGCGATGACGATGAGAAGGAGTAGGCACCTGATCGAAATCATTATCGGATTCTGACGACCCTTTGGATTCTGAATCCCATTTTATAGACGTTCGAGTCGTTCGACGAATTCGCAACGTGACCTATTTCGGCGAACATTTTGGTCTCGCCGAATTTGGTCTGGAATCGTCTGCGTTTGAAAGCAGCAGAAATCAAAGTGCACTAATGTCGATGGGGCGCGTTTGCTGAGTATTAAAATGGGTAGATCATAATTTTCGATTTTGCGCTTAAAAAAAACGAACAGCTGTTATTTGGCGTGACCTTGATGAATCAATGTGCACGCGAAACCGGTCGCGATTCTCCAGAGAAGTCAGAAATCAGAAGGTGTCTTTCAAATGACGAATTCAGCGAGATCAAAATAGAAACTCGCCCTCTAAAAAATTGCATCAATGATCATTCGTTCGCCAAACGCTCAGACATCTATAAAATGAGATTCAGAATCCGGAGGGTCGTCAGAATCCGATAATGATTTCGATCAGGTGCCTTCTCGTTCTCATCGTCATCGCTGCTTGCTTCGTCGGCTCATCAGAAGCCTGGGGATACGGCTATGGATGTAAGAGACCCCTGATTTCAATGGTCCCTATTCTATTTCAATGGTCCCTATTGCAGATCATCCGTATGGATTCGGATACCGTCCATTCTTCCGCCCATTCTACCGCCCATTCCACCGCCCATTCTATGGTGGATTCTATGGAAAGTAGACATAATTACCCTCGCTAATTGTACATAATTAATTAATAAAATTCAATAAATAGTTGAATTCCAATAAAATGACACTTTTCGTCAAATGGAAAAAATTTGTTAGGACCAATTTGATCAAACGCAGGAAGTAGCACAAGAAGTACAACATTGAGATTGAAACGAAATTTCATCTGCGGACAACTCGCGGGTCTCTAGAACCTTAAAATGGTCTATATGGGGGTTCTAATATCTATTTAAAGTATGTAATATCCCCTAGAATTAACAATTTATTAAAATTTAATAACAATCGAATTTTCCTGCAAATCTTGAAATAAACAATTTCATCTGCGGACAACTCGCGGGTTGGTGTCAAGTGTAAATTGGGTTTGAATTTTTTGCAATTTTCTTTGTGGATTTTTCTCAAATTTATCAAAAAAAATGTGGAGAATTCCTTGTACATTTTTGTACATTTTTGATCTGCGGACAACTCGCAGGAACCGAATAATAGTTTTATAGGATTATGGGGTTCAAAATTATTCTTTGTCAAAAAAAAAAACGATTGGAAAAATCGAAAGTTTCGAAGTAAATCATTTCATCTGCGGACACCTCGCGGGCGGTGTGAACTTGAACACGGAATTTTCGGAATTTCCGTTATTCCATCTAACTGTGAGGCAAGCAATTCACCTCAAACATTTTCAACTGCGCCGACAACATTGCGGGTTTCTCATTTATCAATAATACGAGAAATATCGAAGGTATCGATCGCGGCAGTACGAGTGTCGCATGTTGACGAAGAATAGATTGAGGTGCATGTCGGTGCGATCTTTGCTCGCCGCGATCACCACATATTTGCCGTCGGATTTGAGTTTGAGAAGCGACTCGCGAAAGCCGTTCTCCTCGGCGAATTTCGGAAGCGAGAACGCGAAATTGACCTGCAAAATTGGCGGCTTATTTGTCTCATATGCGGACAACTCGCGGGGCGTCGAATTTTCGCGTTTCAACCGCAAAAAATAAAGGGGTTTGCCATCTGCGGACATCTCACGGGTTTTAATGATGGGGGATCAAAAAGGGTATGTCTTGTTCTTCAGAAATCTTGCTGCGGACAAATTTTGGGTATAAAATTGATCGGAAAAATTCCTTTTGGTATGCCCATCTGCGGACAAATTCCTGGGTTTTTTTTTGCTCGTTTAGCTCACCTGACATATAACTGGCATAATGTGCTCATAGCCATTGAGAAATTGTTGAAACAACAAATACGACGAGGTATTCGATGGTCCGACCACCAAATAATCGATGATCGGCTTGATGTTCTTCAGGCGATTCGCCAAACCGCCCGATTCGGTGTACGAAAATCGAAGGTATTGAACGTTGCAATTCTCGAGATATCTCTGCAATCATGCGGAGGGGGCGGCGAATCTCTAGGGACCATCGAGGCCCGGGGGGAAGGGGCCGCAGCGTACCTCAAGATTCAGCGATTTGATCGACTCGTCGCCGTCAAACTCGACGATCACATAATTGCATAATGTCGATTTGCGGCTCTCGAGCATATTTCTCACATTGTATATCGTCAACTCGTGTCTCGTGCTGAACTTGATAATGCTCATTTGCGCGTTCGTCGAACACCAATTCACGTTGTGCGGGATTTTGCGCCACATCTGCAAAAACGAGGTCTTCAGTGAAAAAAAGAGCAACGAGCAAATCTAGATTTGGCTTCTGGAAGCCGACAAAACATGAAAAATAACAATGGGGTTTCGAACCAGTGGTCTCTCGCGCGCCAGCCCCAAAACGTAACCCCTGCGCCATAGCCCCACCTGCGCACTTTGCCGGGAAGTGCGTATATGAAATCGGCGAAGCCCAACAATAAATAAAACTTACATTTTCAAATTTATCGCTAGCCGTTGAATCGTAAAAATCTCTAATACATATATCTACTTTACAAAGATACCTGCAAATATGCAAAACACTTCAAATGGATAAGATTGCGCTTGCGAAACTCACTCGTATAAGCCATCATCTACCGCGTCGCTGGAAATGCTCTGAAAATAGAAAATAATGAAAAGTGAGTGAAAGTGCAAAATCGTGCCACAAACAGCATAAATAATTAGTGTCGCCTCCATTTTGTACATTTATTTTCCATTCAAAGAGAGACGAGCTTCATGCGCCTTTAATCAGTTGCCACACGTCAACCTTTTAAAGACATCAACGTGTCAGGAGTCCTTTCAAACTGACACGCATTTTTCTTGAGTTTTCTTTCTTCAAAAATGTTTTATTTCGAGTGTCGTGGCGAGACCACATTTAAAGGCACATGACTATTCGATTTTCTTTTCCGACATTTTTTTCCCCAAATTTCTGATGGCGATGTCTGCGTCTCATTGCGTCGCACACTCTCTCGGCGTGTTTGCGCTCTCTCGATAGCGCACGCTATTTCGCAAATCTGGTTTGGATTCCGTGTGGAGTACACAACGCGCCTCAAGACCATTTTTGGCGTTTAGCCCAATTTTTCGACGAGTGCGCCTTTAAGAAATTACGGTATCTTAAAAAAAATTTTTTTCTGAGGAACTCCTCAAATTCGCCTGAAAATAAAATGTTCTGAAAAAAAAAAAGTATAAAATTAAATTCTTAAAGGCGCATAACAAAAAATCAATTTCATGAAAAAAAAATGTGTATTTTTGCGTCAACAAACGCGCTCTATCGAAATGTCTCGTTGTCTGGCACCCTCTCACTTTTTTTCTCTGCGTCTCTCAAATTCCAATTTTCTTTTTTTGACCAACGCTAATAGGCCAATTTTTCACGTCTAAAACAATGAGTGGCGTTTAAAGGCGCACACGGTCTTGTGGCGAAAAATGAAAATTGCCACCATCACCACCACCACCATCACCCAAACTCACACACTCGTAGGCGTAAATGAGTCGCTCGACGAGACGCCACACTAGAAAAACGACAAAAGCGACGCATAGTAGACAATGAAGATGGCGCATAACTTGTAGAAAGTCGCGCTACTAGTCGACGACGGTCGCATTTTGATTGGCGGCCGACAATGCCTTTTTTGGCGACTCGACGACATTATTTGGATTTCGACTATATCGCTGGAATTCATCTGCGCGATCAGATAGGACGACTCGTTTCGTTGGGAGACCCCCATGGTGTTTGGTGGTGACGATTTCGAGATATGCCTTTTCTCCCCCACTGTCATACTGTAGCAATTGTTCTGGTACTTGATTTGACGGGGGGGGGGGGGGCACGTGAAAAGCCCAGCGGGACCATTGCGATCAAATTTTGTCGATAATTTGGCCAATCTTGTCAAAACGAGGCCAATTTTGGTGGGGCGGACCTCTAGGCCACGCCCACTGTTTTTTTTTTTGGGAAAGTTGAGAAAGAAGTTGGTTGATTTTTTTTTAAATTGAAATTTCAAGTTTCGAGGTGGCTCGCTTTTTAGCAATATTGTGCTGCGGACATTTACCCTGGATTTTCGAATGGGACCCCAAAAAAAATCGGTACCAGCGAATTGATCTAGTGTGCAAAAATTTGGAGAAAATGAACAGGTCCCCAGTTGGAGCGTTTTTATTAGGGTCCGTTGAAGTCCTAACGAAAATGAGTTAGGGGTTCTTTTGAGCGTTTTGTTTATCAGCCCCCCCCCCAAAAAAAAAAGAAAAATAAGAAGGCTCAACCAATTCCATTTCGATTCCCTTCTATTATGCTCACCGACGAGCTCTAATTGGCGGCGAGCAGGTTTGGCAAATGACCAGCTCGGCTCGCATCAACAAATTCGATTTTCTTGCGACCAATTTCATCACATATATGCCGATTTCTATATATATATATCGCAAAAAATGTATAAATTAAATAAAAATTTTTTTTGCGAGGGCAATTTCAGAATTTTTATTTTTCGATTTTTTTTATTTCCATTTTTTTCAATTTCCTAAATTTGGGCAACAGCATTATCATTCATGGCTCAGAAAATCTACAAAAAATCTTTGATGTCGATTTACGCGATGCGCTTTTCGAAATGGTCTCGCCACGCGTGAAAACTTTTTTTTTGAATTTAGCGAAAATTTTCGAGTTTTTCTTGACGACAATATCATTTTCAAAAAGTTTCTTTTCATTTTTAATTCAGAGATATATCTCGGCATGCGCCTTTAAACTATCCCGTAAATCGACACTAATAGTTTTGCGTCAAGATTTTGCCAATTTTCAGCCGGAAAAAAATTTATATGCCCAGCTTTTTCGCTAAAAAAAAAACCCAATTTGAAATTTCTAGGCAAAAAAAAAACACACACACAAAAATTTGTTGTCGCCACGAGACCCAGTCGATGATTCCCTTTGTGCGCCTTTAAACAAAACTTGACCGTTATGAAAGAGCCAAATTAGGGAGGAAACAATTTTTTGGCCATTTATGGTCTCAAGGCGACGATACGCGCGTTGTGTACTCCACACGGACAATGCGGCGTAAATCGATACTCATGCTGCGAGACCCAACTCTACAGTAGACCGCGGCTTTCAGGCTTTGATATAAAATGTGTGCAAACACCGCGACGCAAAAATTCACCGCATTTGTTTTTTTTTTAATTTGTGATCAAATTTCATTTTTTTCCCACAATTTTTTTGGATCATCTTCACTCGGTCAACTGAATAATTTAAAGAATATTTCGCGCTTCTTTTTTTTTTCGAAGCTCGATTTTCCGGAAAAAACATGTTCTCGTGTTTTTCTAGCAATATTAAAATCGCATTTTTATTTCTGAAAAATTTATTTTATAAAATCATTTTTTTTGCCTCAATTCCCCAAGATTAGATCGAAAATTTGAATTGCCGCCTCCTCAAACACAAATTATTTATTCGATTTTCCACGAAAATCAAATTCGTTCGAATTAAAATTAATAATCAAGTGTGTGCAATTTGGCGTGCGCGTGAATGCACAAGACCTTGTTATTCTCTGGGTTGCAGCAATAAATGAAAATGGCTCGTCATTTTTACCACAAGAAAACCTCATTAGTATTCGTGTTTTTTGAAACCTAACAAGCAACAATTTCTTGGTAAACATCTGCGGACGTTTTTCCGGGCTTCGCCACAATCGCCCCCGTCTAGTGTTAAGGGCGATGGCGGCAATTCAAACGCGCGTTTTCACGTGAAAATCGAATTCGGGCCGCCCGTCTCAATTCAATTATATACCCAATTTTCTCATTTGCAGGCCATTTTTGTGATTTTTTGTCTAAAATTTTAGAATGTCGCACGTCGTCGACGAGAATCAAGCATTCATCGATGAATGGACGATCAGCTCACGTCTTCTATTCTACACCGTCGTCATCATCAGCGTGATGGCGTTGCCGATGCTCGTCGCAAGTTTGATCTACGTGATGCTCCGCCGAAAATCGCAATTCGTTTCCTATTTGTGCTCGATTCTCTCGGCCAACATGGTCCTTCTTGGCACACTTTTTGCAAGTGTCATCATTGAAAAAATGAATATCATTGATGGTAATGGCGTTAGAAATTTGGGGAAAAAAAATTGACAATGCTGCAGACTGGCTTCCGGGTTCGATTTCCTGCAAAGCCACCGCATTTCTCGTCAACACATCGTCATGCTTCATTCATTGGACTTGGGTGGTTATGTATGCGCAGGTGGGGCCTTATAAGGTCTATTCTTTCAATTTCAAACACTTTCCAGAGATTCCTTTTTGTGTTCTACCCATTACGGGCGAGAAGGTCCCGCTGGAAATCCTATTACATACTAACAGGGTGGGTAAGGTTTTATATACGCACTTCGTCAACGGGGAGATGTGTGGCGCTTGGCGTTTTGCCTACATTTTTCGCTAGGGCGCGAAAGGTCACGTATTCGAGCCCTAGCACCAAAAAAATACTTTTGCAATCTTATTTTATGATTTCTAGAGTACTCATCTCTTCAGCTTTACTTCAATTATGGACATTATTATTTATAACAAGCCGCCACGTGGATGTAAGCTTCCATGATGTCGAGAGAATATATTGCGGTGACGACCCGTCATATTCATCGTAATTTTCCGTGCAAAAAAAAAGAAGAAAATTGCTGCAAACTTGCAGAAGATCGAAAATCATTATAATTTTCGTCGAATGCGTCATCGCGTTCTTCATTCCGCTGACGCTCACTATTCTTGCTGACATCTCGGTGCTGATGTTCAAGAACTCGTGTCATGAGCAATTCACGCTCGTCGCCAATGAGGAGATCGGCGACGGCACACGGAAGCAGAGCAACATGAAAATTGTCTCGAGTAATACTATCAGGGTAGGTTGTTTGTCGGTTGGTTTTGGGGAGAGGGGGAGCGGCGCGTGCAACACACATTTACGCTCGTTGACTGCGCCGCTCTCGTCGCCGCCATAGCTCAGTCGGTTAGAGCGTGGGTCTAATAAGCCCAAGGTCGCAGGTTCGACCCCTGCTGGCGGCAAAACTTTTTCGTTTTTCCAGAGCTCCGAACGTCGAAGAAGCATGGCCATCCGGCGTTGCCTGGCATCAGCGACAATAAACCTACTCCTAAATCTGCCGAATTATAGCTTACAGTTGTTCGACGAGTTTTATCCGTTAAGGAATAATCCATCAACGGACGTTCGACGGAAGTTTTTAAAGGTTTTTTTTTCAGTTTTCTAATTAACTGAAAATTAAATGATTTTCAGATCGACGCATTCGTGTATATTCTCTATTTATTGCAATTCCTAATTTCTCCATTATATATTTTCATTCTCACGCGAAACGTGAAACGAAGGCCATCGTAAAAAAGTCACTGGGCAGCCTTCCGATGGAGCGGCTTCCGAGAGAAGGCATCGAATCCGATCATGATTCTTACAGAATGAAGAAACGTTGAATTGTATCATTTTTATAATAGTATTATTTTGTGTACTCGATGAGCAATTGGGTCACCCTGGAAACCAAGAACCTTCCAATGATCTCATCGCCTTCGATTTCAGAATTATTTATTTCTAGTTAACTCCCGAGATCCCCCATCAAATTCAAATTTTGAATGAAGATATTCCAAAAAATAGAATCGTCACATTTAAATTTAAAAAAAATACACAATTCATTAGAAAAAGGTCGTTCATTTCTGAATCAATGACAGACAGATTTGATAAATAAATCACGGGTTGTACTCGATCGGCAAATTCTTTCTGCGGACCATTCCGTCGCCCTGGAACCATTCGCGACGGAATTGTTTCGCGGCGCCGTCGGGGGTGTTGGTCCACTCGACAGTGATACGGTCATTGTTGGTGTCCTGCAAACAGACTACTGTAGATGGTCGAGCAGCAGCCAGTGTACCTCTTGTCCGTAGGCGAACGCGTCGCAGGAGACGGCGAGAAGGACGGCTTCCTTCGGGTCGAGCACTCCACATGGCGGGTCGACTCCGAGTCTCTTCATGTTCGTCGTCTTGATGCCGTAGCCAATGCGGCGAGCCGACGAGTTGATCACCTTGATGTGGTAGGTGTGCTTGTCGTCGTACGGAGCATTGAACACGATCTTGGCGTTTGGCTGAGTCTGGATGTCTCCTGGTGGAACCGATTGAGCCATTCTTTATGATCCGATCTGATGAGTCCTCACTCATTTCAATTCTCTTTTATACTTCTCTTATCTTATCATTGATCTGATCAATCGCAACATTTCAAGATTCCATCTAGAAATGAGCAGCTTCACGTCGTTTTTCAAATGACCACAATTCCAAATTCGTCAAAAACAAACCGCTGCTGATAATGATTTAAACTGTGAGGAACCACGGGGTTTCGCTCAAGCTGCTCACCCAAAACAGATTTTTAAAATGAAATTTATTTGATCTACAAATAAAACGCTGCTAGTAAAAATACTGGAAGTTGAAGAATCGCGTTCGACGCGTCATTATAGTCCATTTCCTCCGTTGTCGGATTCGCCGGAACCTTTTCCGTCGTCGGATTCACCGCCGCTGTGGAACCATCAGCATTTGCCGGAAGCTTCTCCGTTATCGGATTCACCGGAAGCTTCTCCGTTGCCGGATTCGTCGCCTCCGTAAAGCTATTAGCGTTTGCCGGTAGCTTCATCGTTGTCAGATTCTCCGTCTCAATAGTGCCATTGGAGTTCGTCGGAAGCTCATTCTCCGCCGAATTCATCGTCTCGTTCGTGGAGGCGAGTTGCTCTTCGAGCTTCTCCACTGATTCCGTCGGACTCGCAACATCTTCCTTCCCTTCTACGGAATTTTTCATCGAGATCGCCGATTCCACCGCTGCCGTCGCCGGCTCAGTGGGTGGTGGTGTTGGCGCCATTGTAGTCGGCGGTTCAGTTGGTGGTGGTGTTGGTGCAATTGTTGTCGGCGGTTCAGTTGGTGGTGGTGTTGGCGCCATTGTAGTCGGCGGTTCAGTTGGTGGTGGTGTTGGTGCAATTGTTGTCGGCGGTTCAGTTGGTGGTGGTGTTGGTGCAATTGTTGTCGGCGGTTCAGTTGGTGGTGGTGTTGGTGCAATTGTTGTCGGCGGTTCAGTTGGTGGTGGTGTTGGTGCAATTGTTGTCGGCGGTTCAGTTGGTGTTGGTGTTGGTGCAATTGTTGTCGCCGAGAAATCAGCTGAAAATTGCTCATCATCGAATCAAGAAAATCAAATTCAATCCTACGTTTCTCAATGTCGCATTTTCTGAGACACACCTTTACAAGCGTCTCGTATGATTGATTGGTCAATTGCGGATTATTGAACGAATGGATTGCTGAAAAATCGGAGCGTGTGATTCAGACGAGCATTCCGAAACCCAACCTGTAGCACCTCGGAACCTTATCGTATTCATCACAACGTCGGAAAATCGAACTTCTTTTAATTTCAGATTATCGAGGAGGATTAGTTCGAACACTTCGGTGAATTTCAGCGCGCTCAAATCGAGCACCTCGATCTCCGAATGGGCAACGATGATTGTCACCGCACTAGCCGCCAGGAACTTCTTCGTGAACAGCTCAACGTCTTCAACAGGCCAGCCGGTCATGTAGATTTTGACGCGATAAAAATGCAGACAATTGATAATCTCGGGATCCGGTTTGTAGTAGGTCGATAGCTCCGGGCTAGCCGTCGTAAATTGACACCAGCTCGAATTGACTCGACCCATCGTTTCGCGGTGTTCGCTCACGATGACGTCACGCTTTTTCGCGTTTCTGCAATTATTTCCGCAATATTTATTGAATTTCGCTAGAGTCTCATCGTCCAATGACGGATTGTCGTAGAGTAAAAGCTCTGCAGAAAAAAATATGTGAATTAGTATTATTCCTCTAGTGTTACTATATCTGCGTACTGCTGTGAATGCGCTCTCAGGAATACTGATCTCCTTCAATGTCGGATTGTGCGAGACAACCAAATACACCAGATTCATCTCCTTCAGCGACGACAAATCGATCTTCACCGCCGTCGTGTCTTCGATATACAAATTAACATTATATAAATATTCGATTTTCGACAATATCCGATTGATGTCTTCCTCGTTCCATCGTGTCATATAGATCGTGATGTCTGCGAGATTCGTGCATGCCTCAACATCCGCGTCGTAGATGCTCAGAGCAGCCTTGGTGCTCAATGTCGATCGACAGTATTCTCCTGCAGAAGCGAAATTCGAGGAATCGCTCAACGGATGAGAATCACTCACTCTTATTGATGGCCTTGTTTTGCAATTGCAAGTGGGACGAGCCGATGATGGGTGAGCATCCGAGAAGCAGCAATAGAGCTAATAATTTCTCGACCATTTTGGTTTCGAATTGACAACGATTTCTTGCCGCCTGATACGCGTTGTCGGCTATCACGTTTTCGGACGAATTTTCTAAATTGCAGCGTGAATTGGGCCGGCTGTAGTCCACACGGACAAGCTTTCAGGATAATGTAGTCCATACGGACAAGCCATCAGGATACTGTGGTTCGTACGGACAAGCCATCAGAATTCTGTAGTCCACACGGATAAGCTTTTAGGATTCTGTAGTCCATATGAACGAGTCTTTAGAATTATGTAGTCTATACGGACAAGACTTCAGGATGCTGTAGTCCATACGAACAAGTCTTTGGGATGATGTATTCCACACGGACAAGCCTTCAGGATACTGTAGTGGACATGGACAAGAAGAAGATTGGACAATTCTAGCAGATTCATTTAATGGGTCAAATTCAGAAAAAACTTCGACACAGCTTTATTTGTGTTAGCGTATGGCGAGCAACGGACCAATTCTTTATGCGGCGCGGACCATTCAAGTCTGTCTCGCATTGTTTTATGCAATTCTGGTCGTTCGACAAACAGCTCTTCGCAGTTGAGGCAAATTCGAAAAATCGAGGTTTGAATCGAATTTATTTGAAATCGAGAAAAATGATGATCAACAGAAGTGGTGGGATTTGAAGAATTGAAACAAGACGTGAGTGCATCGCGATCCTGTTCATCTCGGACTCCTCCTCGCTGGTATTCGTCGGCTTCCTCGTGGTCGTTGTCGTCGATGGCGTCGACGTGCACACAACACTCGCCCGTGTCGTTACCGTCGTCGATTGTTCCGTCTGATGAACGAAACCATACTCTTTAAATATTTCACATTTCGAATAGCAAATCCGTTGAAACGCCTGGTACGTTTCCGTTGACAACTTATTGTTGTTCGAGGAGAAAATCTCTAAAATTGTGATGATTGAGATGAGCGCGTCGAGAAGATGCGGCAAACTTATCGACGCCGCGTACTTCGGCGTTCTCATCAGCTCTTCGGAAAAGTAAACGTTGACCAATTGTTCATTTTCCACAATGTGGATTTCAAAGTTTTCGGCGATACGCAGCTGGGTCATGTCGATCGATTCAAGCTTGGGACGATGGATGATCATCGTCACCATGGTAACCGCTCGCAAGTTCGATAAAAAATTATGGATCTCGTCGGTATTCCAATTCGAAAAATAGATTCTGACGTCGTAGAGATACTGGCATTTGATCAAGTCCGGATCCGGATCAAAGTAGGTAGCCGTATAAGAGGTGCCCGACTTGTATTGACACCAAAATCCGACGAATCGATTCATAACATCAGTATAAGTGAAATATGTGTTCTGATGCGGTTTACCATTTTCGGGTAGAGAGGAATCATCAATTTTCAATAATGGATTGTCGTAAATTTCGATAACTGCAAAACAAGAAAAAAAAATGAATCGGGCCGGGTGTTGGCTCCTCGATGGATTCTCACCATTCCCTTTTCCGTTCTTCAATGCTTTTGGGGGAATGGAAATCTCCTCCAGCCACTTATTGTGCGCGATCACCAAATGGACATTGGTCATTTTTTGGAGCCATGAGAAATCGAGCTTTTTCACTCTCACATTTTCGATATACAACTCGACATCATACATATATTGGAAATTTTCAATCCGGGATAGGATAACCTCTGGAGCGAAGGCGTGCATGAAAATGCGCACTTGTGCAATTGATGTGCAATTTGGAAATCTGTCTGAAAACGCCACTTCCATTACAGGATCGCGAGCGAATGCCGTGAACGAGCAATACTCATCTGCAAGTATGTTTTCATCGCCGTTGCCGACAGATAACTCACTAGAATCTATCATTCGCATGAAGACGTTACGGAAATTCGGCGGATCAGGTACGAAAAACATTGATTCTTCACAGTCAGCACAACTCAAAAGTATCAGAAGTGCACATAGTTTCTTCAACATCGCTGCATTGAAAACTGATGTCGAAAAACGCGGCGGCTGAAACGCGGCGGATTTCACGTTTTTTTTTGTTTGATAAAATCTTCAACACTTTTTTAAAAAATTCTGCTTTAAATATTTCACAAGGGAGGTCATTTTGCTGTCCGTCTTAAAATTTTTTTATTTTTTGCATACAGATTCTTTAGAAAATTTCCAATCGAATGAACTAGGTCCCTACCTGCGCAAACTTCTAGTTATCGAGATATGGACCTTCAAAGTTTTAGCCCCTCCCCACGTGAATTTTGCATACAAATGTGCGGAAATTCGAAATGAAATAACGTGATGTCTTATCTCGCGCTTATATCCTGCTTCGGCAAGCAGTTGTGGTTCAGTGGTGTGTAGGTTATGTTGTCATGAATGGAGTTGCGGATTCGGTCCCGCTATCTGTAAACTTTTTTGCGTATTTTTTTATTGGTGATACAGTAATTATGGCAGTGCAATTTTGCGTTTTTCCATTCAAATTTGCCATTTTCATCATATTGAAAGGTCATGTATAAGAAAAAATAGTTTCAAAAAAATTTTTAAAAATTGAAAAATTTTTTATAAGTTATGTGGTTGTTGGTCATGAAATGCTTGGAGCAGTGGATGTCACAATAGAAGGCTTCAATAAAAGATTTTCACTAGCTGTCTAACTGTACTGGGGCAATTTTTGAATCTTTTTTTTGGGAGACATATTTGACCGTATTATGTCATGACAAAGGATTTGATGAGAAGGCTTCCCCATGAAGTTGTGTTCCAGAGTTCTCGAAACAACATGTTGAAGACCGAAACAATTCCTGCCGGTTGCACCGGTTTCGTACAACTTTGGACGTCGAAGTTTTTGCGAGCAGGAAATGCAGTCTTCTATTGTGACAACCACTGATCCAAGCACTTCATGACCAACAACCACATAACTTATAAAAAATTTTTCAATTTTTTAAAATTTTTTTGAAACTATTTTTTCTTATACATTACCTTTCAATATGATGAAAATGGCAAATTTGAATGGAAAAACGCAAAATTGCACTGCCATAATTACTGTATCACCAATAAAAAAATACGCAAAAAAGTTAACAGATAGCGGGACCGAATCCGCAACTCCATTCATGACAACATAACCTACACACCACTGAACCACAACTGCTTGCCGAGGCAGGATATAAGCGCGAGATAAGACATCACGTTATTTCATTTCGAATTTCCGCACATTTGTATGCAAAATTCACGTGGGGAGGGGCTAAAACTTTGAAGGTCCATATCTTGATAACTAGAAGTTTGCGCAGGTAGGGACCTAGTTCATTCGATTGGAAATTTTCTAAAGAATCTGTATGCAAAAAATAAAAAAATTTTAAGACGGACAGCAAAATGACCTCCCTTGTCAGATCTCATTCAGACTCGAAAATTGCAAAGAAATGAGATGGGCCGCGGCCGTGGCCGCCTATTATTCGGCCATGTCACATTTCACGTCCGCCGTTATTTCGATGGACACTCATTATTGATTTGCTCAATTTCTTGAAATGAAAACTCAAACTGTGTCAGTGATCGATTGTTGGCGTCTTTGTCGCGCAGACGAATTTTTTAAAAATCGCCAGGTTCTGACTCTTTTTTCAAGTTTTTTGAATTTTTCTCAAATTTTAACAAAAAAGTGCAGCGACCACGTTTTTCGCAAGGCTTTTTTCTATCGAAAAAGCTTTACTATAATTCAATCGGATTAGAATTCAGAGGTCCGCAGTTTTTTAAAGATTAAACTGTAGAAATATTCAAATTTATTTTCTCTGTTTTTCACTCTCTTTTGTTAATATCATTTCTTATTATATTATATGATTTGATTCATACAATTATATTTGTTAACACTTGGAAAAACATTTCATAGTTGTTTAAGCAAATTGGTAGGAATTAAATGTTGAGGTTGAGAAAAAATTGAAATAAATGGTAGCGCTTGAAAATGTGTGCAAACACCGTGACGAAAATGACACCACATACCACACCAATTTTTTGCGCTTTTTTGTTGCAGCAAATTCGAGTTTTTTAAACTATTTAATCATCAAAAGAAGTGGTGGGGGAAGTTTTATATAATATATAATTAAAGCTTCAAATTCAAGGTCCCCCTCGTTCTTCTTTCAAAAATCAAAAAAAAATTATTACTTCCCAAATATCGTATATATTATTGCTGAATTCATTTTTAAATGCGCATTCGAAAAATAATTTTGAAGTGGTTTTTAAAATTTAAAATTTTTTGATTTTATATTCCGACAAAAAAAAGGCATTCATTTGATCTACGACATTTAATTTTCGATGGCGCTCTCGTTCAGCTTCTTCGTCGGAATTTCCTTATACAGCGGATACTCGACACATGGATCAATAATGTTCGTCTTATTCGCTATAGGATCCTTATCTGGAAAACCATTGGGAAGCTCAACGCCAAAAGTGGTTCAAATTGCTCACATGGCTCAATTTCGCAATCCGAATAGCATAACGTCTTCATCGTCGTGTACGTAAACCAACTCAACTGCGGATTATTGAACGAATGAATCGCTGAAATCGGAAGCGTGTGATATCGAAGAGCAAAACCGAACCAACTTGTCGCCCCGCGAAGCAATGGCGATTTCAACAATTCGTCGGAGAATCGAACCTCTTTGAGGAATGGGTTGTCCAATAGATATAAATTAAATTCTTGGGCATATGTGACTAATCCCAAATCGAAAATTTCGAGATTGGATTGCATGACGACCAGCGTCACCCCTCTGAAGGCGCGCAACGCCACCGTGTATAATTCAGCCTCTCGTTTCGTCCAGCTGGACGTGACATAGATTTTGACGTAAAGTAAATTGATGCAAGGCAATAATTTCATTTCCGGCCTGAAGAACGTCGTCCTCTCGAATCGTTGCGTATCGAAGTAGCACATTGGAGTATTGAATTTTTGCTGGTAATAGTCCGAGTATTTCACCTCCATAATTTCGCGTCTCGCCGACGGACATTTGAGTTTGCAATATTTTTTGAGCATCGCCAAATTCGAGTCGTTCAACGCCGGATTGACGTGGATCTCGAGCAGCGGATAGAATCGCGGACGCCACGGCGACGACTCCTCGAGTTGTTGACCCAGCTGATCGGCGTTCATGAGAACACGCTCGGGAATATCGATGGTTTCCAAATAGGGATTGTAGGCAATTATCAAACGCACGTTGATCAATTCTTTGAGCATCGGAAAACTGATCACCTCGGCGTCCGTGTTTTCGATGAACAAATCGACATTATACAAATACTCGATTTTCGACAATATCCGATTGACTTCGCTCTCATTCCAGCCGACCATGAACAGCTGAAAATTGGCGATTGAGCCGCACTCGACAGGAAATCGATCGGATGTGCTCATCGCGTAGACGCCCGTCTCGACGACGGGAAATGTGCAATAATCTCCTGGAACATTTTCAAGTCATTCATTGAAATCGCGCCACACTCACTTCCGGTAATATTCGCTATGACCGGTTCGAGGCGGTTGTCGGAATAGATTGAGGACCATTTCAAAAGTATCAGAAGTGCACATAGTTTCTTCAACATCGCTGCATTGAAAACTGATGTCGAAAAACGCGGCGGCTGAAACGCGGCGGATTTCACGTTTTTTTTTTGTTTGATAAAATCTTCAACACTTTTTTTTTTTAAATTCTGCTTTAAATATTTCAGATCTCATTCAGACTCGAAAATTGCAAAGAAATATGATGGGCCACGGCCGCGGCCGCCTATTATTCGGCCATGTCACATTTCACGTCCGCCGTTATTTCGATGGACACTCATTATTGATTTGCTCAATTTTTTGCATTTTTATGTCAATTTCTTTGAAAAAAAACAATGAGTACGCTTTAAAAATAATTTTAAAAATTAAAAATTTTAGCTGAAAACAGCCATTTAGCACTTTTGTGTTAAATATCAAAGCGCCTGAAATTCGCAACAAAAACATTTTTTCATATTACGACCATTGTTTGTTTTACGGAATTTGATCCAGGCGAGACCCATTTTTCGTGATTGCTATGGACATCAAAACACTTCCCGCCAGAGCGGGGATCGAACCCACGACCTCCGCGCTCATGCGTCCAAAACGGTCCCCACTGCGCTATTGCGCCTAGAATTTTGCTTTATATTAAGGGCTAAATGTTGAAACTAAACCTGGGGCACCCAATTTGGGAAAAAATTTCAAGTTAGAGCGGCCCATCGTTAATTCTTTTATATTTTCTTGAAAATATCAGTAAAGAGTTAAATGAGATAGTGAATAATCTCGAAGTGTTTTAATTCTTTTATATGACCTATTTCCTATAGGTGGCATGACCTGATGACCTATTTCCTTTTTTTTGGCAACTTTATGAGTAAACATGTATTTAACTAAATTTTTGAATTCTAAAGTAACTTTCAGGCCATAAAACGTCTGAAATTGTAATATATATTTATCATAGTCAACCAAATAAATTAAATTAACTTTTTTCAGATTACTTGATGTTCCATCAACATGTTCCATGGACTTCTGTCGTAGGTTTTTAATCAACTTTTACTTTCTTTTTAATGAAATCGTTTTATTTCATGTTTGTTTCATTGTTGAACATATCAGTTCGTCCACTTATTCGGGTGTCTTTGTTCACTGTACCAGATGTTTAATACTGATAATTCTCGTTGCTTGTCTAAACTGAATTTTACCTTGAATTCATAGTATTTTTATTACGGTTGGTATTTTTACCCAACCATTAGTAATCAAATGATCATTTTATCAAAAATAAACAAATATCAATCAAAAGTGTAATGTTGTAACTGCAGCTCTGCTTGGTGGTCGTCTTCGAAAATACTTCATCCTCCACATATTGACACAAAACTGTCATGCCGGTCCTGTTTCGTTCTGCTTCGTACTAATCTGAAACATAATATTTCCACTTCTATAATGGGTTCGGTGTCAAATAAGCTACCAGTAGGCGAGTCATGTTCAAATTTGGTGTTAATATGCGTATAGATGATATACGTAAATGTGTTTCGTCGAGCTAAATCATTTTGAACGGAACTTGCTTGGTAAAACCCAAATTTGAGGCATGTGCCGTGTCCGAATCTGTTTTCTGGCCACCTGATGAACCGATTAGCTTCAAATTTAGAACTAGAGTGGAATTGGATCTCTGACGATTATGGGTCATGATCATGGAGATGGGTCACAGTTGACACTCAGCGTATTGTAAAACGCCGAGCCTCAAATGTGATCATAATCATGAGGATGGGTCACAGTTGACACTTAGCGTATTGTAAATACGCCGAACTTCAAATGTGATCCAAAGATGGGTCACAATTCACGCTCAGCGTACGTTCAGTCACAGTTGGTACATGTTTGACATTCGGCGTTTTACCTGTGTCTTTGAAAGTCGGCTGTAACATGATAACAAGTGCCGCACAGCGCAGCACTTGCCTGTTGCAGCTTAATCACAGATGCCGTCGAGTTGCGAAGATTTTCAATCGATAACGTGAACCGATGCCAAATAAGCCGCGGCATTTCAAATTCAACGATGTCGCTGAAACAAATTGCACTTTTATTACTATTGGGCTCGATTTCGAATTCGCTCAAACTAGACCATCGATATAAAACAATCGATAATGGTTTTTTTTTTGATAATTGTTTAATGTGATAGTGATATTCGCTCGCAAATTTGCAGTTCAGTATTGTTCGCTTCAAGGCGAACACTCGCAGGAATACGCCGCATTAACCAACCCAAAAGCAATGTATTTCGGCTGTGTCAATTTCTACAAGGTCATCGTTTTCATGGTCCATTGGTCCGATGATGATGTGCGCTTGTGGACGAGACGAATGAAACATTTGCGCGATGTGAAGCTTTACATTGAGAATACGACGGCGACGGAGGTCAATTTCTACAATCTTCGAAAAATGAGCAACGTGCATTTTTATATTAAAAATAATATGCAACTAAAGCGCATCGTTTTTTTCGATGATGCAATTTTTGACAAAAATGGACGTGCTAAAAATAATTTTGGTGATTTTTGAATCGTGAGAACGCTCATCGAAAAGTGTGTCTCAGAATTGGAAGTCTACTCGAATCCGCTATTAACCGATGAGGATGGGAGTCTGAAGCGAGCGTGCAAACATTGCCTATTTTATCGCATCTATCGCTATTCGTTTAAAATCATCGACGATGCTTACGATCAAATCAATGGAAAATGGTGCTCGTTTATGTCATTTCGCGGCATTTCGAGCTCATTTTATCAGCCGTTTTCCGATATTTATCAATGCTCGAATTTGGCGGCTATCAATCTTTTTATGGTCGACACGGAGGTAGATTGCCCTTTAAAATTTCACTAAATTTTATATTTTAATTCATAGTTGTTAAATTCTTCGGCGATTTTTGAAATTAAAAGCATTCTATTAAAAAAAAAACTTTTTACGCTAAACAATAGGCAGCGTAAATGTGGAGTGTCGTACACGAAATTCTCAGCTATACTAAATTCAATTATCATTTTAATTTAATTCGAAATGAACTAAAAATGTAGATAATCGTCGTAAAGGAGAAATTCCGAGAAAATTTAAAAAGAAATTGTCCAAAAAATGGCAAATTATTCGAAATTACAATTTAATTCATATGTATTTTTAGGCCAATTTTTAAAAATCCCATTTTTCAATGAATTTCACATTTTCAAAAAGAAGTTGAGTTTCAAATTGCTATTTTCGAAGTTTCATTCGATATTTGAAAAACTCAATCATTTCAATAGAATGTCGCCCTGCTCAAATTCAAATTTGAATTTCCCGCCATCGAACAATTTCAATGGTCCACAAATACTCATTGTTTGGGCCAATGTTCAATGACTCATACTTTTTGACTTGACTCATGATTTTTGACTCATAAAAATTGTATCATGATTTTTTATTCTTTGACTCATGGTTTTTGACTAGTGATTTTTGACTATTTTTTTTTTGACTAACAATTTTTGACTAATGATTTTCTGAGAATATACATATTATCGAAGTCAAACGGCTTGACGAAATGTAAGCAAATATCGGCTATGTGCCAATGCGTCTCGAGGCAGCGAGATTGCGTACATTGCATTATAGCGTACGCGCATTTAATATTCAGTTAACAAAAAATTTAAATCTACACTGAATTCGTGAAGTTGAAGGCCCCGCCTTCTTCAGTCGTTTGTCGCCGACAATATATGTAAATTATTGCAGATTTCAATATATATATACTGCAATAAAACTAGTTGTTCGGCTGATAGAGAAAATTTGGAAATTTGCAGCAGGCAGTATTGATTTCTTTTCCTTGATTCACCCAATCGAGCAATCAATGAATAGTAAACTAAACGTATTTGAAAGAACATAATTTTTGTGCGAGTCCAGTGTTGCTTGGCAATGTTGCTTGTTTTCAAATTCTTAAAACCGACCAAATGAACTTAAATGATTTGAAGTAATCAAATACGTTTAAAAAAAATAAATTTATTCAAAAAAAACCGAAATTAATTAATTAGCGTGGAGAAAAGACAATAAAACTGGAAAAAATATACCAAAAGATACAGAAGTAGAGAATCGAATGTTGAATCTATCAAATAGTGCTGCCAACGCACGGAACCTAAAAAATTATTTATTAAAAAACTGTGAGAAGTGGAGTAAACATCGAAATTTGCGGAAAAATTAAAATCCTAAAAATTAATGAGAAATAATTGAAATTTACGCAATTTCAAGCCTTAATTGCCGTGAATTTATAATAAATAGACTTAAAATTGAACTAGAAACATTTCAATTAATTTCGAAGCAACTAACTGCAAAAAGTGGCAAAAAAATTTAAAAAAAAAAAAAGAAGAAATAAAAAATGACAGTTAAAGACGCAGCGTTACGGTAACATTTTCTCAAATGTGCACAATCTAAAAATTTAATTAGATAAAAATTAGTTAATCTTTTCGCTTTTCTATGTTTTTCCTTTTTTTTAATCTATGTAGAATATTTTAACTACAGTCTTTGAAAATGAATTTATAAGTTTTTATAAATAAAACACGTTGCAGTTCATTATGTAAGTAGTTGTGGAAAAAATACACGTGGTTGGTACGGTAAGCTCGGTGTGCATTTTATACCGTTGTGTTTACAGATCGTTTTCGTTTTCATGTTTTTATTGCTATCAATCCTAAATTCTCCGTTCATTCACTATTTTTCGTGCCGTAATTCTTAGTTACATGCTGAAACTACATGTCAGATGAAATTTGTTCCGTTTAACTTTATGACACTAATAAATCACTTTCAGTCGCCTTCTCGGAAAACTTCACATTTGGTTTTGTTATGTCTCTTCAATCTAAAACGGATTATTTGAAAAAGCACGAAGCTTTAGGCTTGCTCTTGTCCGACGACGAAAACGTGATTCGGTGAGTAATTAAGTTGAAAAAATTGAATTTTATAGATATTGGCGCATGCAAAAATTCAAAAATAGCTAACGCGTTTGGTCATTCAAATTTGTACAATTCGTCCTTCTTCGACAATATTTGTATTTTATAGATATTCGATATCGATGAACGAAATCAAATCGAAAATTGATGGAACATGGATTGGTTCAAAATATTTCATTATAAAGAAGGACGCCTTGTGTGGCCTAAGTGCGATGAACGATGGCTTCAAATGGTCAAGAAGGGAAAAAGGTTCATAATATTTTTGCAATTTAAATTATTTATTTTATTCTTCTAGGAAAAAAGAAAATTGCTCCCATTTATATTTATTGGAACCAAGAATACGAAAAATACCAAGTAATTAAATGCGAATACGTGGAAAACCCCGATCTGAAAAAAATGGTATTTGTTATTTTGTGTATTTTTTAAATTATTAGTTTTAGATAATTCATAAGATTGGCGGCGAAATTTTTTTAATCCAATACATTAAAAAATCTCCGAACATAATTCTTATTGAGGAGCCTTCGAGGCTTTCAAGTAAAATTTTGCCTACAACATTAAATAAATTTTTTTTTCAGATCAAGAAGCTCGGATAATTCGAGAAACGCTGAAGGGGCGTACGGTTGACTGCACAAAAAAAACAACTTTTGGATCAAGGTTTTAAATTTAATAAGAAACAGGTAAATATGGCACATATTTAAAATAGAACTATTTTACTTTAGATTCGGAATCAAGTTCGGTATGTGCGCGATGCAGTAATCGGGAAACGAGGCCCAAAACGAGTGGCAACCCCATATCAACTGTCAAGTATTTCTCATAAAATTCCAGATTGCAAGTTTTCGATTGAAAATTGTATGTTTCATTCACTTACACTTACTTACTTTTGGGTTTCATTAAATTCTGAAAATATTTTAAGGTGATGGAGATATATCGGAATGTTTGTCAATAATAATCCGTGAAAACTGTAACATTTATTTGAATTCCTTGCCAACTGAAGACGAACTAGTTCAACATCGCGAAAAGATTGGACAATTATGTGACGATGGACCGCTTAGTTCGATTCAAAAATACTTGGGTATGATAGCCATTGTTGTATAGAATTAGATATTATTTTGAATTTTGATAGACGATTGGAACAGGAAGGAAAAAGATGCATACATGTTTGAAGGAGTTATATTCATTGATACAACATTCACACTATCGGATCTTTTTATAACTATCATTGGGACTGCCTCAAAACAATTCCGGTATAATCAAAAATGAATTTGAAAAAATAGTTATCTTTAGAACTCGAAGTTCCGATAAACCCCGATTTCTTGTTTTGGGAGTTCTTTTCCATTCTAGAAAACATTCCGCAAGTCATTCGTTCCATGCGCAGCATTTAGAATCGATTTTGTCTCAGCTTGAGCCAAAAAAGTTAAGAAAAACTCCTGCAATTATTTGTGACGGTGAATCTTCATTCTCCGTATATCGCCAGGTTCTTTAATTAACTCATATATCTATTTCAAGAGAGAACTATAGACTATTTCCGCATTCGACCACGCACAAACTCTTCGTTGTGAACTACACAGATCAAAAAATTTGGCAGATAGTGTGAAATCTAAGGATTCGAGTTATAGTCGCAGAATAGTCCGAATGGTTTTTGGACAAGTTTAAACATTTACATTCACTTTTTCAATTAAAATTACGAGCCTACAGATGGGACCGAACTACTTGAAGACTGGACTTCTTGGAGCTTTGAACATACAAGACTATCACCGTCGTCTCGAATTGTTTGAGAAGACTTGTGATGATGATGGCGCAAAAGCTTGGTATTTTCAATATTTTAAATTTAAATATTAGGCAACGATGAAATACGATTAAAGAAATGCTGGCGTTTCGAGGAAAAACATTAAAATAGCATATTAAAAAAAAAAAAATAAATCGTAATAAATGAAAGAAAAACGAATTTTTTAAATTTTCTTTTTTTTTCTCCTTTTTCAGGGTACGTCGAAATTTCGATAACCTTTTCGATTGCAATTCCTTGCGGAGCCGATTGATTGCTGGTGTTATTCAACCCTTTTTATCGTCGAATTCAATTGAATGTTTCAACTCAATTTTGGCTGAGCTGATAAAATCGCCGTTACGTGCTGATGATGCTTGTTTGAAAATTATGGAGTTCTTGAAGGGTAAATTGCAGTAGTCGTGAGTATTTCATTATATTTTCAGACGAAAGCGATCGCTATCATCGATCTGTGATAGATTACGACGAAGTCGTACGATTTGAGCATCAAGAATTGTTTTCAAATCTCCGGGAATTCGAAAAAACCCAATTTCTAATTAAATTAGGGTTTCGTGAAAGACCAATCATAAAACTACCTCTTATTTTAGCCCAAGGTATGTGCTCACCAATCTCTGAGGAAATTCTTATTTTCAATTTCACAGACAATCCTGATTCGCATGTTGTATGGTTACACCAGCAGGTTCAGAAATTCAAAATAATAATGTATGAGGAAGGTTTTATAGTGAAGTCAAATGAGTATGTTTTTACTGGAAATTTTGCTGGAGAACTTCCGAAACTTTATTTCAGCAGTATTGTCGATGTGAAATCTTCGGACAATCGCATAGGATGCTCCGATATGAACTGCAAGAGACGATTCCCAAAAATATGCCAGCATTTGTAAAAAAAAAAATTATCTTTCTAACCTTCCAAAAAATTTTAGATGGGCTGCGGTTTGTTCTTTAACGGAAAAAGAAAAAGAGGTAGAAATCGAAAAGATTGCCGATGAAGCACGCAAAGTTAGTTTGAGAAAAAGGGTAACATTGAGTAGGCCAGTATTATGTGGAAGAAAAGCTCCAATGCGGAAGAGAACAAACAAGAGTAAAAATAATGGGCGAAGACTTTTGCAAGATTTATCGCTGTAAGTTGTTTTCAAATATTCGAAGTACGAACACTTTCTTTCAGCATGACAATGTACAATGATAGTGAAGACAGTGTACTTCAAAACAATGAATCCAGTGTAAATTTGTCTTCTTTCACCCCAACATTGGCACACAAAAGGTAATTGACCGTAGTAACCAAAAGTTGGACCAATATTTGAATTTTTAGATATCGAGATTTTGAATCTGATTCTGGATCAGTTTCCAATATTTTGGAAACATCAACACAGATTTGGACAACTCCAAATGAAAATAAAAGGTAATTGACCGTAGTAACCAAAAGTTGGGCCAATATTTGAATTTTTAGATATCGAGATTTTGAATCTGATTCTGGATCAGTTTCCAATATTTTGGAAACATCAACACAGATTTGGACAACTCCAAATGAAAATAAAAGGTAATTGACCGTAGTAACCAAAAGTTGGACCAATATTTGAATTTTTAGATATCGAGATTTTGAATCCGATTCTGGATCAGTTTCCAATATTTTGGAAACATCAACACAGATTTGGACAACTCCAAATGAAAATAAAAGGTAATTGACCGTAGTAACCAAAAGTTGGACCAATATTTGAATTTTTAGATATCGAGATTTTGAATCCGATTCTGGATCAGTTTCCAATATTTTGGAAACATCAACACAGATTTGGACAACTCCAAATGAAAATAAAAGGTAATTGACCGTAGTAACCAAAAGTTGGACCAATATTAGTATTCTTTTAGAAGTCTCTCAAACTTCGAATCGAGCTTAACGATGTCTGGAGAAAAAAGAAAAATAAAAAAACTACGGAAATATTCGCCCATTTTCTGATGTCCACCATTTCATTATATAATTTTGTTTTTTGTTAATAAAAAAATCCTTTTTGGTTTGAGTTAATGTACAAAAATTTAAATAATATTGCAATTCTCATCAGACCAGAATAATTTTAATTTATTTAAATTATTTAAAAAATTCTCAGAAAATCATTAGTCAAAAATTGTTAGTCAAAAAAAAAATAGTCAAAAATCACTAGTCAAAAACCATGAGTCAAAGAATAAAAAATCATGATACAATTTTTATGAGTCAAAAATCATGAGTCAAGTCAAAAAGTATGAGTCATTGAACATTGGCCCATTGTTTGCGTTTGAGCAACTCAAATTTTCGAGTGTTTTAATGATTTTTTTTTAATTTTATGTCACTCGAATTTAAAGAATAAATTTCAAATTTGCCAATATCTTCATAACTCCCAAATGTTCCCGCACATCCTGGGGACCATTGAAATTGGTTTAGAGACCATCTTTCTCTCTCTCTCTCTTTTCTTTTAGAAATGGACTGTCGAGAAGATTGCAAATATCACGACGAAAATTGTATCGGCTTTCGACGTCAAACTCATCATTGCCTATTCGAAAATTGAGCTGCTTGACTTGAGCTCGATGACGTTTGCCCATAAATTCGAATTATACATCATGGATAATCCGAATTTGCGCGATATCCGATTATCCGAGGCGATTCGGACAACGCGTGATCTCGGCAATCGTTTCAGTTCGTCGGACGCCCATTGATCGCTATATCGATATCAATTGCAGCTGTATTTTCGATCAATAATCCAAAAATGAGCAAGAAGACGTACGAGATGCTCGTTCGGATTTGCCATCCGAAGCGATGTTCGATTGAAACGCGTTGAGAAATTTGAGTGCCAAATGCTCAATCATAATGCGATCATTTTTAGCGGATTTTCAACATTGACCAACGACGCCGTGGGAGGACGATTCTTCGCATTCCAATCGATCAAATAAATTCCATTCACTCGTTTTCAGCTTTCTATGGTCCTGAGAAGTTATTCTTCTGGAGAGACATATGGGTTCATCGTATTCTAAATGAGCTTTATTAAAATCGGTTGATTCAAACGGGAATTTCAGATTATTGAAAAATCTATCTCAAATCAAGATTAATCTGAAAATGAAACAAATATTGGTGAAGACGTGAAACTGCTCATTTCTAGATGGAATCTTGAAATGTTGCGATTGATCAGATCAATGATAAGATAAGAGAAGTATAAAAGAGAATTGAAATGAGTGAGGATTCATCAGATCGGATCATAAAGAAAGAATGGCTCAATCGGTTCCACCAGGAGACATCCAGACTCAGCCAAACGCCAAGATCGTGTTCAATGCTCCGTACGACGACAAGCACACCTACCACATCAAGGTGATCAACTCGTCGGCTCGCCGCATTGGCTACGCCATCAAGACGACGAACATGAAGAGACTCGGAGTCGACCCGCCATGTGGAGTGCTCGACCCGAAGGAAGCCGTCCTTCTCGCCGTCTCCTGCGACGCGTTCGCCTACGGACAAGAGGTACACTGGCTGCTGCTCGACCATCTACAGTAGTCTGTTTGCAGGACACCAACAATGACCGTATCACTGTCGAGTGGACCAACACCCCCGACGGCGCCGCGAAACAATTCCGTCGCGAATGGTTCCAGGGCGACGGAATGGTCCGCAGAAAGAATTTGCCGATCGAGTACAACCCGTGATTTATTTATCAAATCTGTCTGTCATTGATTCAGAAATGAACGACCTTTTTCTAATGAATTGTATTTTTTTTTAAATTTAAATGTGACGACCCTTATTTTCTGGAATATTACATTTCAATTTGAAATTAATACTGAAATCGAAGTCTATGAGATCATTGAGACTCTCTCGGAAGCCGCTCCATCGGAAGGCTGCCCAGTCTTGAGACTCTCGGTTCCCGTACGTGCGACTACCCGTAAACTACCGAGACTACTGTAAGGTACTTTTGCGTTCTTCTGGACCACCAGATTAAAATGGGGTCCTAATACTTGATGATAGCGGAAATTTCAGAAGAACACATTATCATTTCTTGCTTCCATTCTGAAGAATTATCCAACTGGAAATTGAAAAAAAAAAAACAATTTTTTAATAAGAAAGGCTCAATTATCGATACGTGATACATGAAGAAATTTTTTTCTCTTGGACGATGAGGATAACGACGATAAATAGTTCGAATACGACTATCAAGAGAGTCCAAACAACGACATCGTCTGATAAATTTTAAAAAATCCTTGTTGTACTCTCGCCTTAAAAAAAACTAATCGTGATCAAGAAAATACTCGGTTATGAATTAAATTGTTTTTAGCATATTAAAATGCAAAAATTTGGTTTTTTTACAAATCTAAAGTTCACGAAGTGGTTAACCAAAGTAACCGGTTAATTCCCGGAACACAGTTATTACAATCAATTTTCGAAACCAGTTTACTATATAACTAGTTAACCATTGTTTGCAATAAACTGGTTAACCGACTGTCGATGAAACCACCAAGTGATTCAGCTTTTTGACCAGTTGCCCGAGTTAAAAATTAACTAGTTTTACACTATAATGGGCAGCTGATAAACTTGACTCGACGGCTCTTGATTCAAAAGTCTTGAACCAATCCTAAACTTCGAGATGCTCCCAGGAACCATCGAATTCAAAAATGGTAACTATTGAACCCAATTCCGGTTTATGGGTCCCTCAACATGATAAGGCTCCCCCAGACCTCCATGCTTGACAATAGGCAACAGAATGACAAAAATATCTCCGCAACAGAATGACAAAATATTCCATCGAGAGCGAGAGAGGAGAGGCCACATGACCCCCATCAATCATGTGGCATCCTCTGGCGCGTCACAGAATCCACATTTGACTGTTGGTACTTATTGTGGCGGAACGATGATTTTTCAAAAACTTCCATCTAAATAGCGAAATTCGTCCAAAAACGTGATGGCGGCGACGCGTATTTGGCGGCTAGGAATCGTGGACATTTCTAAACCAAAATGGTCGAGAAATTATTAGCTCTATTGCTGCTTCTCGGATGCTCACCCATCATCGGCTCGTCCCACTTGCAATTGCAAAACAAGGCCATCAATAATAGTGAGTGATTCTCATCCGTTGAGCGATTCCTCGAATTTCGCTTCTGCAGGAGAATACTGTCGATCGACATTGAGCACCAAGGCTGCTCTGAGCACCTACGACGCGGATGTTGAGGCATGCACGAATCTCGCAGACATCACGATCTATATGACACAATGGAACGAGGAAGACATCAATCGGATATTGTCGAAAATCGAATATTTATATAATGTTAATTTGTATATCGAAGACACGACGGCGGTGAAGATCGATTTGTCGTCGCTGAAGGAGATGAATCTGGTGTATTTGGTTGTCTCGCACAATCCGACATTGAAGGAGATCAGTATTCCCGAGAGCGCATTCACAGAAATACTCAATTATAGTAACACTACAGGACTAATACTAATTCACATATTTTTTTCCTGCAGAGCTTTTACTCTACGACAATCCGGCATTGGACGATGAGACTCTAGCGAAATTCAATAAATATTGCGGAAATAATTGCGGAAACGCGAAACAGCGTGACGTCATCGTGAGCGAACACCGCGAAACGATGGGTCGAGTCAATTCGAGTTGGTGTGAATTTACGACGGCTAGCCCGGAGCTATCGACCTACTACAAACCGGATCCCGAGATTATCAATTGTCTGCATTTCTATCGCGTCAAAATCTACATGACCGGCTGGCCTGTTGAAGACGTTGAACTGTTCACGAAGAAATTCCTGGCGGCTAGTGTGGTGACAATCATCGTTGCGCATTCGGAGATCGAGGTGCTCGATTTGAGCGCGCTGAAATTCACCGAAGTGTTCGAACTAATCCTCCTCGATAATCTGAAATTAAAAGAAGTTCGATTTTCCGACGTTGTGATGAATACGAGAAAGTTCCTCGATGCTACAGGTTGGGTTTCGGAATGCTCGTCTGAATCACACGCTCCGATTTTTCAGCAATCCATTCGTTCAATAATCCGCAATTGACCAATCAATCATACGAGACGCTTGTAAAGGTGTGTCACAGAAAATGCGACATTGAGAAACGTAGGATTGAATTTGATTTTCTTGATTCGATGATGAGCAATTTTCAGCTGATTTTTCGGCGACAACAATTGCACCAACACCACCACCAACTGAACCGCCGACAACAATTGCACCAACACCACCACCAACTGAACCGCCGACAACAATTGCACCAACACCACCACCAACTCCAGCAACTTCACACCACCAACTGAACCGCCGACAACAATTGCACCAACACCACCACCAACTGAACCGCCGACAACAATTGCACCAACACCACCATCAACTGAACCGCCGACAACAATTGCACCAACACCAACACCAACTGAGCCGCCGAGGGCAGCGTGGAATACGTGGCCCTATACTCATTATAAGAATGAGTGGCCCTATCCTCATAATAAGAATGAGTATCCCTTTAATCTACCAACACCGAGTGAAAGTGAGTATTTCGACGTGTCACCCAAACCTGAAAACTCTACCGGGAAAATCATCTTCTATGACTTTAACCAGCCGGATCCTCCGACAACGGAGAAGCTTCCGGCGATGTCTAATGGCTCCACAGAGGCGGCGATTCCGACAACGGAGGAAGTGGACTATGACTATGATGCCGCTTCGAACGCGATTCTTCAACTTCCAGTATTTTTACTAGCAGCGTTTTATTTGTAGATCAAATAAATTTCATTTTAAAAATCTGTTTTGGGCGAGCAACATGAGGGAAATCCCGTAGTGCCCCACAGTATAATCATTATCAGCAGCGGTTTGTTTTTGACGAATTTGGAATTGTGGTCATTTGAAAAACGACGTGAAACTGCTCATTTCTAGATGGAATCTTGCGATTGATCAGATCAATGATAAGATAAGAGAAGTATAAAAAAGAATTGAAATGGGTTAGGATTCATCAGATCGGATCAGAAAGAATGGCTCAATCGGTTCCACCAGGAGACATCCAGACTCAGCCAAACGCCAAGATCGTGTTCAATGCTCCGTACGACGACAAGCACACCTACCACATCAAGGTGATCAACTCGTCGGCTCGCCGCATTGGCTACGGCATCAAGACGACGAACATGAAGAGACTCGGAGTCGACCCGCCATGTGGAGTGCTCGACCCGAAGGAAGCCGTCCTTCTCGCCGTCTCCTGCGACGCGTTCGCCTACGGACAAGAGGTACACTGGCTGCTGCTCGACCATCTACAGTAGTCTGTTTGCAGGACACCAACAATGACCGTATCACTGTCGAGTGGACCAACACCCCCGACGGCGCCGCGAAACAATTCCGTCGCGAATGGTTCCAGGGCGACGGAATGGTCCGCAGAAAGAATTTGCCGATCGAGTACAACCCGTGATTTATTTATCAAATCTGTCTGTCATTGATTCAGAAATGAACGACCTTTTTCTAATGAATTGTGTATTTTTTTTAAATTTAAATGTGACGACCCTTATTTTTTGCCATCGGTGTCGATGAGTTTGTTGGAAGCTATTTGCTTCCAATGATGATACCGATTTTGATTTCCTGTAACAAAACCCGCGCACAGCTCTTCGATTCCATCGTTCTCCCAGCGCTAACATACGGGTCATTCGGGACTTGGTCACCAAAGCTCTTTGCCGAAGGAGTCCGAGTCATGCTGCACTTATGCAAGATCTTCAGAGAGAGGACATCCGCATCATGTCCAAAGTTCGGGACTCTCCAAACAAAAAGGAGGAAGATGACCTGGGCTGAACACGTTGCCAGAAGAGAACTACCCTTCTAACGGAGTGGCGGCCTCCCATGAGATCGTCGGACTCGCTTCGGAAGTAGATCACTTCAAAAAACAGATGGCGGAGCCGATATCACCCAGTGGTCCACCCAAGCCTAGGACGGAAAAGCTTGGAATTCTGTGGTTCGCGCCTCAACATTCGAAGGACGAACCGACTAAGTGTTAGAGCCACGACCAGAGATATTGCAACGTGACCGATGACCTTATCAAGATATAGGGGCGCTATATAAGGATCGGCCTCACGCATTTTTGGTTGTCTTCATTGCCGGTATTTAGTCGCTAGTAAAGCCATTACACTTGAGCTGTCCCGCAACACAACACTAAGTGACTAAGTAAGTAAGTGAAAGTTTTGGGCTTTTATAAGGAGCAGGGTTGGTAAATTGAAGCCTGCCGGCCGGCCCGGCTGTCGACTTTTTTTTTGAATTCCCGCTTCGGCCGTGCGGCCGTAAACAACGGAGTGACGTTGTTTCGGTCTTTTCTCACAACTTATTTTTTTATTGTCGAACGGTATGGTTTTCACACGTCGGCCGAAGCGCGGACCCAAAATTTCACAACCCTGACAAGGAGCATTAGTATCCTGCGAGGTTTGACACATCGGTTGAGACGATAGCGAATAAATAATGAAGGCAAAATGACGTACCTTGAAGGGATCATCGGAATTGATTAAATGTTTGACCTTTCAGACAAGTCGAGTTCGGGGGTCGCATTAAGCTTCTGGGAAATCATCATTAACTGAATATTATATGTCGTCAATTTAAATTGCACGTCATTGTTAAACGCGACATATAACTCAGCCAAAGTTCTAAAATATTATGAAAGCTTTTTTGATAATACTTCGTGAGTCCACAATATTTTCGAATTTTTTTCAAGCAATTTTTTAGAAAATTTAATCAAAATTTTCCGTCTAAAGAAGTCCTATAAGAAATAAATAATAATAGAATAGAATTCGTGAGAAGTTCTCGAAATACAATATTACATATATTACAAATTTTTTTTCCTGAGAACAACGCAATAATTCCGAAAAAATCAACAAAAAACGATAAAGAGAACAAAAAATCGTTTTCCAATAATGTGCAAAAAGCGCCATACAGGATAATCTTGGCGCGTTTTCTAGCACACGAGCGGCACCCGCCGCCCTCGAACAAATTTTTTCATTGCCATTCCCCCCACAAGGGTCCCGCTAAATTATACCGAGCACGCTCTAACCGACTGAGCTATGGCGGCGACGAGAAAAGCGCTGTCAACGAGCGTACATTTCTCTTCATTCTTTTGATTTTTTTCGATCTTCAATTTGTGTTTTAGATAGAATCAAATTGCAAAAATGACCGCGCAATTTTTGTGCCTTTAAAAATGAATATTTATACTGAACGAATATTTGAATGGCTCTTCATACATATTTGTGAGTATTTTCGAAACTAAAATAAGAGGTGTATACTTTTTAGCTTAAACCGTTTCGGTTGTAATTCGCGGTCACACGAACTTGAACTTTCGGTTTTGGTGAAGCATATGGCGCTAAACCTTAGACATAACTTCGCTGGCAAACAATCGTATGCTAAAAAACGATTTATGTACGTATTAATCATCTTTTTACAAATTTTTTCATTGTCATTCCCCCCACACGGGTCCCGCTAAATTATACCGAGTTATTAGGCCCACGCTCTAACCGACTGAGCTATGGCGGCGACGAGGACGGCGCAGTCAACGAGCGTATATTTCTCCTCATTCTTTCGATTTTTTTTCGATCTTCAATTTTTATTTTAGATAGAATCAAATTGCAAAAATGACCGCGCAATTTTTGTACCTATAAAAATGATTATTTGTATTGAATAAATATTTGAATGGTATTTTGGGCATAAAATTTTTTTTCGACATGATATTTCAACCCTAAATTACAGTATCATTCTGCAAACACCACGACGCCGTATTTCACAATTACATTTCGAATTTTGAAATAATGTTGAGAAATGACAAATGTATCTATTGGTGAAAAATGACGAATGTGAAAAACTGCAGCGATATCCTATGTATTGTGTGCGTACACCGAGTCGCACAGTTCAATAAGAGCTACAGTAATCCAAACTAAAATTTCTTTCTTTCTTTCTTTTATTTTTTTTTCGTTTTTTTGGCGAATTTATGGTTTTATGTATATTTTTTTGTTGAAAAGGTGTAATAGTAATATTTTTGTACATTATTCAAAGAAAATTGTTTTATATAAAAAAACTATCTATTTTTCGAAAAAAAAAAAAAAAAAAACATTTTAAATATCATTTTCGGCAATTTTTGCCTAGAGCTTGTCAACTTTTTAACGTTATTGTAACTTGTTCGTTTCTTTTTTTCTTATGCGTTTATGCATTCATTATTTATTTATTTCAGGTGAAGAACCGCGTTATTGACCGAATGGAAATCATCGAAAGAGCAGCAAGTCGATTATTTCACAATTAGATAAGTTTTTTATTATGTTTTGACCTTTTGATTAGAAGAAAATGTAAGCTAAATTTAATAACCATCTAGAATTATTATTTTTTATGACTGGAAAAGAAAATAAGTGTACTTAAATTGAAAAAGATGCGTATTAAATTGCAGGTGCGGCGGTCATTATCGTCGGCAATTCACTTTCGATGAGGAACATTAAAGCATGGTTTGTAGTTTAAAAATAATAAAAATATGAGCACGGAGCTGGGACACTAAGGAATATCCTCCACTCGATGGGTTTCTGCTACAAACAGAAGAATTATCTTCCGATTGTAGCGGAAAGACAAGTATTTTTTAAAATGAGAAGTAAATAACTTGAGCATTGTAGGACTTGATCCAGTGGAGAAGAAATTCCGAAAGGAAATTTCTAGTTATCATTCCGAAGGTGCTCTGCTGGCTTACATGGACGAGACGTGGGTATTCAATGGCATGGTCCGAAGTCGTGGCTGGCAGTATAAGGACACCAAGGCGTACAAGGTGGCCTGAATGAAAGACCTATCAAGCCCACTTCCCGGACCACCCGTCGGCAAGGACAAAGGAAAGAGGGCAATTGTTATGGCCATGGTGGCGGAACAGGGAATTGTCAAAGGGTCGGACTTCGTGTCGGTCACTGGCCAGAAACCCGAAGACGAATTTGTGGACTACCACAAAAATATGAACTCTTCAGAGTATGAAAAGTACATGAAAAAACACATTCCGACCCTTGCAGCGATGGTTAGGAACGAAGCACGGGAGGCTGTTCTGATCGTTGACAATGCTCCCTACCACTGTCGTCCAGTGAAAAAGTTAGAAATATTTTTATTTTTTACATGACAAAAAAAATTTCAATTTTGAAGCTTCCCACATTGTCCAGTTCGGCGGAAGAAATGAAATGTTTTCTGAAAAGCTGGAACCAGGACTTTGCTGGAAGGAAAACCAAAAAAGATCTCCACAAGCTCTGTCAAGATGTATTTGTTCGCAGCGGTGGAAGAAAACGCTTAGTAAGATATTCTCTGGATGAATGAGCCTACAATGAGCATAGAGTACGGATTCTTCGGCTGCCGCCCTATCATTGCTTTCTGAATCCAATCGAACTGGTGTGGGCGCAGTTGAAGGATCATTTGCGCAAGGAAGGAAAAGTGAACGATAAGCTAACTGATGTATGGTTTATATTTAAAAAATGTAAATAAATAATTGAAGGTATCAAATCGCGTACATCAATGGCTTCGTTCCTTTCCAAGTGAAGAAGCAACGCGTCTTTTCGAGCATATCCGAAAACTTGAAGAAGAGCTCAAGGATTTTCAGCAATACGACGCAGTTTTTGAAGACAATCGAGCAGATGACGAAAGCGAAGTCGTAACGAGCGTCTTTCGCTTTTCCGACGATGAGCAATATTGATAATCTGAACATTATTGAATTATTTTTGTTATTTTTAAACTACAAACCATGCTTTAGTGTTCCTCTTCGAAAGTGAATTGCCGACGATAATGACCGCCGCACCTGCAATTTAATCCGCATCTTTTTCAATTTAAGTACACTTATTTTCTTTTCCAGTCATAAAAAATAATAATTCTAGATGGTTATTAAATTTAGCTTACATTTTTTCTAATCAAAAGGTCAAAACATAATAAAAAACTTATCTAATTGTGAAATAATCGACTTGCTGCTCTTTCGATGATTTCCATTCGGTCAATAACGCGGTTCTTCACCTGAAATAAATAAATAATGAATGCATAAACGCATAAGAAAAAAAGAAACGAACAAGTTACAATAACGTTAAAAAGTTGACAAGCTCTAGGCAAAAATTGCCGAAAATGATATTTAAAATGTTTTTTTTTTCGAAATATAGATAGTTTTTTTTTTAATATAAAACAATTTTCTTTGAATAATGTACAAAAATATTACTATTACACCTTTTCAACAAAAAAATATACATAAAACCATAAATTCGCCAAGAAAACGCAAAAAAAAAACGAAAAAAAATTAAATAAATAAATAAATTTTAGTTTGGATTACTGTAGCTCTTATTGAACTGTGCGACTCGGTGTACGCACACAATACATAGGATAACGCTGCAGTTTTTCACATTCGTCATTTTTCAACAATAGGTGTCAAGGGATCCTGCGTTTCGTACGCAATGAGCGGAAGAAAATCCAATCGGGTTCAACAATTTTACAATCTTATCCGTAGAAAGACCAATCGGTTGAGGTTGATTCCGAAACCCATTTTTTCGGGTCCGATTGGTGTTGAGTTAGTATTCTAGATTTGATATGTGAATCGGTTCAAAAAATTCGCTCGTTCAACAAACCTCAGATCGTAGCTTCATTAAAAAGGTTGATTTGTTGAATTCTGAGCATCAAATGTGAAATGTGGCATCTCTTGTAATCTAAATGAGACCAAAATATTCGAATATTATTCGCGCACTCGGCTTGTCAGTAGGCGACTGATAATTAGGATGCTCATATCTGGAGCCATTTGGTCCAGTGAATTCTATCGCTCCCAATAGCCAGAAGCGATGGAATTCACGGTTAACTTTAGATACTAATTGTGACGTGATGGTGATATTTCAAAAATGTCTCTCCAAATAGCAAAATTCGTTTAAAAACGTGACGGTGGCGACGCGTATTTGGCGGCGAGGAATCGTGGACATTTCTAAACCAAAATGGTCGAGAAATTATTAGCTCTATTGCTGGTTCTCGGATGCTCACCCATCATCGGCTCGTCCCACTTGCAATTGCAAAACAAGGCCATCAATAATAGTGAGTGATTCTCATCCGTTGAGCGATTCCTCGAATTTCGCTTCTGCAGGAGAGTACTGTCGATCGACATTAAACACCAAGGCTGCTCTGAGCATCTACGATGCAGATGTTGAGGCATGCACGAATCTCGCAGACATCACGATCTATATGACACAATGGAACGAGGAAGACATCAATCGGATATTGTCGAAAATCGAATATTTATATAATGTCAGTTTGTATATCGAAGACACGACGGCGGTGAAGATCGATTTGTCGTCGCTGAAGGAGATGAATCTGGTGTATTTGGTTGTCTCGCACAATCCGACATTGAAGGAGATCAGTATTCCCGAGAGCGCATTCACAGAAATACTCAATTATAGTAACACTACAGGACTAATACTAATTCACATATTTTTTTCCTGCAGAGCTTTTACTCTACGACAATCCGTCATTGGACGATGAGACTCTAAAGAAATTCAATGAATATTGCGGAAATAATTGCGGAAACGCGAAACAGCGTGACGTCATCGTGAATCCCTACCCCGAAACGCAGGGTCGAGTCAATTCGAGTTGGTGTGAATTTACGACGGCTAGCCTGGAGCTATCGACCTACTACAAACCGGATCCCGAGATTATCAATTGTCTGCATTTCTATCGCGTCAAAATCTACATGACCGGCTGGCCTGTTGAAGACGTTGAACTGTTCACGAAGAAGTTCCTGGCGGCTAGTCTGGTGACAATCATCGTTGCCCATTCGGAGATCGAGGTGCTCGATTTGAGCGCGCTGAAATTCACCGAAGTGTTCGAACTAATCCTCCTCGATAATCTGAAATTAAAAGAAGTTCGATTTTCCGACGTTGTGATGAATACGAGAAAGTTCCTCGATGCTACAGGTTGGGTTTCGGAATGCTCGTCTGAATCACACGCTCCGATTTTTCAGCAATCCATTCGTTCAATAATCCGCAATTGACCAATCAATCATACGAGACGCTTGTAAAGGTGTGTCACAGAAAATGCGACATTGAGAAACGTAGGATTGAATTTGATTTTCTTGATTCGATGATAGGCGATTTTCAGCTGATTTCTCAGCGACAACAATGGCGCCAACAACAACACCAACTGAACCGCCAATGGCAACGACGGAATCGATGAATGACACCATAGTCGAGGTGGATGTTGCGAGTCCGACGGAACCAGCGGTGACGCCCGACGAGCCATTCGCCTTAACAAACGAGACGATGAATTCGGCGGAGAATGAGCTTCCGACGAACGATACTGATACTATTGTGACGGAGAATCCAACAACCGTGAAACTACCGGCAAACACTGATGGCTTTAAGGAGGCGACAAATCCGGCAACAGAAAAGGTTTCGGTGAATCCGACGACGGAAAAGGTTCCGGCGAATCCGACAACGGAGGAAATGGACTATAATGACGCGTCGAACGCGATTCTTCAACTTCCAGTATTCTTACTAGCAGCTCTTTATTTGTAGATCAAATAAATTTCATTTTAAAAATCTGTTTTGGGTGAGCAGCTTGAGGGAAACCCCGTGGTTCCTCACAGTATAAATCATTATCAGCAGCGGTTTGTTTTTGACGAATTTGGAATTGTGGTCATTTGAAAAACGACGTGAAGCTGCTCATTTCTAGATGGAATCTTGAAATGTTGCGATTGATCAGATCAATGATAAGATAAGAGAAGTATAAAAGAGAATTGAAATGAGTGAGGACTCATCAGATCGGATCATAAAGAATGGCTCAATCGGTTCCACCAGGAGACATCCAGACTCAGCCAAACGCCAAGATCGTGTTCAATGCTCCGTACGACGACAAGCACACCTACCACATCAAGGTGATCAACTCGTCGGCTCGCCGCATTGGCTACGGCATCAAGACGACGAACATGAAGAGACTCGGAGTCGACCCGCCATGTGGAGTGCTCGACCCGAAGGAAGCCGTCCTTCTCGCCGTCTCCTGCGACGCGTTCGCCTACGGACAAGAGGTACACTGGCTGCTGCTCGACCATCTACAGTAGTCTGTTTGCAGGACACCAACAATGACCGTATCACTGTCGAGTGGACCAACACCCCCGACGGCGCCGCGAAACAATTCCGTCGCGAATGGTTCCAGGGCGACGGAATGGTCCGCAGAAAGAATTTGCCGATCGAGTACAACCCGTGATTTATTTATCAAATCTGTCTGTCATTGATTCAGAAATGAACGACTTTTTTCTAATCAATTGTGCTTTTTTTTAAATTTAAATGTGACGACCCTTATTTTTTGCCATCGGTGTCGATGAGTTTGTTGGAAGCTTTTTTGCTTCCAATGATGATACAACCGATTTGATTTCCTGTAACAAAACCCGCGCACAGCTATTCGATTCCATCGTTCTCCCAGCGCTAACATACGGGTCATACGGGACTTGGTCACCAAAGCTCTTTGCCGAAGGAGTCTGAGTCATGCTGCGCTTATGCAAGATCTCCAGCGAGAGGACATCCGCATCATTTTCAAAGTTCGGTACTCCCCAAACAAAAAGGAGGACCTGAACACGTAGCCAGAAGAGAACTACTCTTCTAACGGAGTGGCGGCCTCCCATGAGACGATCGGACGCGCTTCGGAAGGAGATCACCAAAATAACAGATGACGGAGCACAATCACATCGTGGCTCCGTCAAGCCTGAAAAGATTGAAAATCTGTGGTGGAAAAACTGCGGAAAGCCTCAACAGGCGAAAGACGAAGTGACTAAGTGATCCACCTGGTTTTGAACAAAAAAGTTTATTGAGAACTCTACAAAAAATAAATGGCAATTAATAAAGATGCGACAAAAATCGACGGCGAGGCGGAATAATCAATTTCAACCTTGTACTCCGTGTCACCATCGTGATTGTCGACAGCTATCGTCGTCTCGGGATTCGGCTTGTTGGTTTCCTGTGTGACCGACGGCAGTGGCGGCGGCGGCGGCTCCTCCGTGTTTGATCCAAGGATCAGTGGCCTATGCGTCGTCGGCTTTTTTGTCGTTCTCGGCTTCGTGATGGGAATAATCGCTGAACAAGTGTGATAGCAATCAAGAATCGAAAAGGTTGTCAACCATCTTCAATAGCGCAATCCATCGAGCAGAACAATTTGAGCAGCTCGGTGCTTTTCAGGCTCAATTGCGGATTGTCGAACGATTCAACAACTGGAATCAGATGATGGTTAGAATTGAGCGTGACAAAAACCAACAAGTGTAGTTTCGGAATTTCGGCGTGTTTCGAACAATGTCGGAAAAGTAGATGTTCTGGAGCTTCTTGTTGTTAATCAAAACAATTTGAACCTTCATTGAGAAGGCCATCGAGGTGAAGTCAAGCGTCTCGACATCCGAATTCGCAATGATCAATGAGACATAATGAGCCGCTTCGATGTTCGATGTGAATTTGACGATGTCGTCCACCGACCAGTCCACCATTATTACTTTAACGCCTTCCAATCTTGTGCAGCCCATAATGTCGGCTTTCGGCTTGTAGTGGCACGTCTTCACTCCGCCTAGGCCATCTTCGAATATCATATTAACGTCAGCCGAGGAACTGAACAGGCAAAAATCGTCGCGAACGTCGGCAATGGTGCTCGGATGGTCTTGGAGCACAATTTTCGTCTCTCTTGGCCCATTCAATCGACACGGCTCGGTGCAGAGTTGCGTGAGAATCGCAATCGTCCGATCGCTCATCAACGGATTTCCGAACGTAAAAACCGCTGAATATTGCATTTTTTTCAAATCTCATTTCAATTGACGCATTCTTACATCGCTTCGCATCCGATTTTCGGAATTTATCGGACACCACAATATCTTTCAGCTTCGGATTATCCATGACGCTCAACACAACATAATCCGCTCGTTTCAGTGATGACAAATTGATGGTTTCGGCGGTAGTCGCGTGAATGTATAATAGGACATCGTATAGATATTCGAAGGCCGAGAGCAACGAATTAATGTCGTCTTGCGACCAATTCACTGTGTAGATTGTCATCGACGACAGACTCGTGCAGTTCCACACAAACTCATCGCGATTGACGAGCACTACCTTGTATTGAGTGGTGGCGCTTTTCACACGACAATAGGTTCCTGCAAATCGATTGGAGGCGCTTCGTGACGGAAAAGGCAATTCCAGAACTCACTTCCATCGATTTCTTTATAGTTTAATGAATAATTTCCAGCGTTTGCAATATCGACAACAGCCAGAAGTATCAGAAGTACACATGGTTTCTTCTTCATCTTCTCTTGAAACTGAGCGGTTTGTCTCGTCGCTCACGCATTCCTTTCAATTCTTTGATTTTATCAACTGTTTGCAATTTTATGATAATGAGAAAAGGCTTGTCCGTATGGACTACAGACGGCCCAATTCACGCTGCAATTTAGAAAATTCGTCCGAAAACGTGATAGCCGACAACGCGTATCAGGCGGCAAGAAATCGTTGTCAATTCGGAACCGAAATGGGTGAGAAACTATTTGCTCTATTGCCAATCGTTGATAGAAATATGTCCGGTTGTCAGATGCGACGATTCCGCCTGCCTGGGAGGATTTTCACATGCAAATTGTCAGAGTATTTTGAGTCAAGCAGCGCTAAAATTGAGATATGCTATTCCACATTTTATAATCAAAGAATTGAAATGTGAATGCGTGAGATGAATCGAATTGCGCGCTCAGTTTCAACAGAAGATGAAGAAGAAACTATGTGTACTTCTGATACTTCTGGCTGTTGTCGATATTGCAAACGCTGGAAATTATTCATTAAACTATGAAGAAATCGATGGAAGTGAGTGCTGGGATTGCCTTTTCCGTCGCGAAGCGCCTCCAATCGATTTGCAGGAACGTATTGTCACGTTAAAAGCCCCACCACCCAATCCTTGGTAGTGCTTGTCAATCGCGATGAGTTTGTGTGGAACTGCACGAGTCTGTCGTCGATGACAATTTTTGCGGTGAATTGGTCGCAAGACGACATTAATTCATTGTTCTCGGAATTTGAATATCTATACAAGGTCCAATTGTCGATTCACGCGACTACCGCCGAAATCATCGATTTTTCATCATTGAAACAAGTGGACGATTTTTTATTGAGCGTCATGGATAATCCGAAGCTGAAAGATATTGTGGTACCCGATGAATTGCTAAGCTTTAAGGGAGCTCGAGGTAAGAATGCGCCAATTGGAATGAGATGTGAATAAAATGCACTATTTAGATATTGTTATGTTTGGAAATCCGCTGATGAGCGATGGGACTATTGCGATTTTCAAGAAACTCTGCACCGGGCTGTGTCGATTGCATGGGGCGAAAGAGACGAAAATGGTGTTGGAACATCAACAAAGACCCGGCACCGGCCTTCGCGACGAATTTTGCCTGTTCAGTTCCTCGGCTGACGTTAATATGATATTCGAAGATGGCCTAGGCGGAGTGAAGACATGCCATTACAAGCCGACCCCCGACATTATGGGCTGCACAAGATTGGAAGGCGTTAAAGTAATAATGGTGGACTGGTCGGTGGACGACATCGTCAAATTCACGTCGAACCTTGAAGCGGCGCATTATGTTTCATTGATCATTGCGAATTCGGACGTCGATACGCTCGACTTCACCTCGATGGCCTTCTCGTCGATGGTTCATATTGTTTTGGTTAACAACAAGAAGCTCCAGAACATCTACTTTTCCGACATTGTTCGAAACACGCCGAAATTCCGAAACTACACTTGTTGGTTTTTGTTACGCTCAATTCTAACCATCATCTGATTCCAGCTGTTGAATCTTTCGACAATCCGCAATTGAGCCTGAAAAGCACCGAGCTGCTCAAATTGTTCTGCTCGATGGGTTGCGGTATTGAAGATGGTTGACAACCTTTTCGATTTTTGATTGCTATCACACTTCTTCAGCGATTATTCCAAGCGAGGAGCCGAAAACGACAAAAAAGCCGACGACGTATGTGCCACTGATCCTTGGATCAAACACGGAGGAGCCGCCGCCGCCGTCGCTTCCGCCGCCTCCACCACCACCACCACCATCCGTCCCACAGGAAACCAACAAGCCGAATCCCGAGACGCCCGTCGAGTCGCCGCTGACAACCAATAAACCAGTTGGCGGACCGGCGACGATGGCTGTCGAATCGCCGAAGAACAATCACTATGTTGAAGTTGAGTACACGATTGAATTTGATTATTCCGCCTCGCCGTCGATTTTTGTCGCATTTTTATTAATTACCATTTATTTTTTGTAGAGTTCTCAATAAACTCCGTTTTTTTTTTCAAATTCCGCTTAAATTTTTGAACCACAAAAAAATGTTGGACCTCGCTGTCGGCTTCACAATAATGTCGGCGGCGTTTGCCGGTAGCTCCACCGTTGCCGGATTCGTCTTCTTCGTAAAGCCGATGAAGCTAACAGTGTTTGTAGTTTCATCGTTGTCAGATTCCCCCGTCACAATAGTGCCATTCATTCTCCGCCGAATTCATCGTCTCGTTTGTTGAGGCGAATGGCTCGTCAGGCTTCTCAAATGATGTCGTGTGCCATCAAGTTGTCTTCCAGAACTTCGAAATGTCTGAAAACTCCAACAGAATGCTATCGAGCAATTAAAAACTTTTAATGAATATCTGAAATCGGATCGAAGGCCATCGAGGTGAAGTCGAGCGTCTCGACGTCCGAATTCGCAATGATCAATGAGACATAAAGCGCCGCTTGGATGTTCGACGTGAATTTGACGATGTCGTCCACCGACCAGTCTGTCAAATCCTGGACGACTTGACCTGAAAAGGGGAAAATAAATGGAAAAGATAGAGGTGAAAATGGAAAAAAGAGAGGAAAAATAAATTCGAAAAGGTGGCCGTAAATCTACACTGTGCGATGGGGCGCGGTTGCAACCCTAATGAATAGACGCAGACGGTGAGAGTATATAGGGCGTGATGGGTGATTTTCCCACGGGTTCCCGCCGCGACGCCAGGAAGTAGGATTTTGGGAGTAAACAAATGGATTGATTTTGGCCTAAATTAATCAGTTATTCGCTCTGTTTTGACCGCGAGCGGTCGGTTATTTTTTGCTGTTCTCTTCTACATGTTTTGTTGAAGCCTCTTACCATGCTCGGGGAGCATGTCGGTGGCCCGAGGGGCAAGGACCGAGGGAGGCAGATGAGTCTTGACCGGCCGAGGGCCGCGTCAAGATGAATCTTGAAGGTTCGAGCAGTCTGGGACTGTTCAAGCCTAGGGTTTGCAAATTGAGCAGTCTAGGACTTTGGGAGAAATGTTATTACTGAATGGGGGAAAGATTATTACTGAAAGGATAAAAAGTTCTTTTAACTTCTGTAAGCATAAAAAATTATTTTCATTAAACTAACGGAGACTACTAAAAATATCAAATCATACAAACCATTTGGCCCACTACGGATATTCGTTTAATGTTACAGTCGATTCCTTCGGTTTATCCGCTTAGCTGGGCCTAAGCTTCTCTTTAATATCGATAAGCGGTGAAATGCCAAAAAAAAACAATTTTTATGCTTACAGAAGTTAAAAGAACTTTTTCCTTTCAGTAATAATCTTTCCCCCATTTAGTAATAACTATAACGCGCACCACGACCCTATGTGTGTTGCTTGCAACTATGTACAGGTAGAGCAATAGGGGAACGACCCGAAAGATGGTGAACTATTCCTGAGCAGGATGAAGCCAGAGGAAACTCTGGTGGAAGTCCGCATCGGTTCTGACGTGCAAATCGATCGATAGACTAGGGTATAGGGGAGAAAGACTTTCCCCCATTCATTAGTCAAAAATTGTTAGTCAAAAATAATGAGTCAAAGAATAAAAAATCATGATACAATTTTTATGAGTCAAAAATCATGAGTCAAGTCAAAAAGTATGAGTCAATGAACATTGGCCCCAATTCAATTCTTTGATTTTATCAACTGTTTGCAATTTTATGATAATGAGAAAAAGCTTGTCCGTATGGACTACAGACGGCCCAATTCACGCTGCAATTTAGAAAATTCGTCCGAAAACGTGATAGCCGACAACGCGTATCAGGCGGCAAGAAATCGTTGTCAATTTGGAACCGAAATGGTCGAGAAACTATTTCGTCGATGGAAGGATGTCCGGTTGTCAGATGCGACGATTCCGCCCGCCGGGGAGTATTGGCAAATGCAAATCGCCAGAGCAGCGCTAAAATCAAGAATTGCTATTGCACATTTTATATGAATCAATGGGGGCATCTTATATCGAGACTACGATGGGATGATCCATTTTCCAACGGATGCTATTGACATTGTTCTAGATTGCTCTTATGAATCAAGAAGCCCGACGAGAAGCTATCGGCAAATCCTGATGGCTTTAAGGAGGCGACGAATCCGGCAACGGAAAAGCGTCCGGTGAATCCCGAAGATGCTGCCAGCAAACGCCGCCGACAACAATAAATCATGGGTTCTTCTGATGAACTCCCGCCAGCATCTTTATTAAAAATTGTCATACCAAAAAATTGGGCTCCGTGAGTATTTATGGACCATTTCCTTTTGGAGCGGAGGTGCACGGTAATTGAAACTTCAATTTTTACTTACTTCACACTGTGCTCATTTTCTATATATTTTCGATTGGAATATTATTCTATTTGAATACAAATAAATACCATTGAAATCTCTGTTTTCTATATACAGGATTGGAATAGAAGATATCAATAATTGATGGAAGCAAAAAATAAAATTGGTTTTCAATTTTAGCAAGATTCAAAAAAAATTTTTTTTTGTATTTTATTGTTCTCATTAAAAAAAATGGATGGATAGTCGGAGATTAAATGGTTGCCAAGATGTCTTCAAAACAGAGGATTAAGTGGAATTCTCCGTGTGGACTACAGAGACTTCAAACTATCGGCTTTTTATTAGCAAAAATTGAATAACAAACTAAAAATAAATAAATAAATAACAGTTGATAAAAATCAAAGAATTGAAATGTGAATGCGTGAGATGAATTGAATTGCGCGCTCAGTTTCAAGAGAAGATGAAGAAGAAACTATGTGTACTTCTGATACTTCTGGCTGTTGTCGATATTGCAAACGCTGGAAATTATTCATTAAACTATGAAGAAATCGAAGGAAGTGAGTGTTGGGATTGCCTTTTCCGTCGTGAAGCGCCTCCAATCGATTTGCAGGAACCTATTGTCGTGTGAAAAGCGCCACCACTCAATCCAAGGTAGTGCTCGTCAATCGCGATGAGTTTGTGTGGAACTGCACGAGTCTGTCGTCGATGACAATTTATGTGGTGAATTGGTCGCAAGACGACATTAATTCATTGTTCTCGGAATTTGAATATCTATACGATGTCCTATTGTACATTCACGCGACTACCGCCGAAATCATCGATTTTTCATCATTGAAACAAGCGGATAGTATTTTATTGAGCGTCATGGATAATCCGAAGCTGAAAGATATTGTGGTACCCGATGAATTGCTAAGCTCTAAGGGATATCGAGGTAAGAATGCGCCAATTGGAATGAGATGTGAATGAAATGCACTATTTAGAAATTGTTATGTTTGGAAATCCGCTGATGAACGATGGGACCATTGCAATTATCACGAAACTCTGCACCGGGCTGTGTCGATTGAATGGGGCGAAAGAGACGAAAATGGTGTTGGAACATCAACAAAGACCCGGCACCGGCCTTCGCGACGAGTTTTGCAAGTTCACTTCCACGGCCGATGTTAATAAGATATTCGATGATGGCCTAGGCGGACTGAGGACATGCCATTACAAGCCGACGCCCGACCTTATGGGCTGCACAAGATTGGGAGGCATTAAAGTAATAATAATGGACTGGTCGGTGGACGACATCGTCAAATTCACGTCGAACCTTGAAGCGGCGCATTATGTTTCATTGATCATTGCGAATTCGGACGTCGATACGCTCGACTTCACCTCGATGGCCTTCTCGTCGATGGTTCAAATTGTTTTGATTAACAACAAGAAGCTCCAGAACATCTACTTTTCCGACATTGTTCGAAACACGCCGAAATTCCGAAACTACACTTGTTGGTTTTTGTTACGCTCAATTCTAACCATCATCTGATTCCAGCTGTTGAATCGTTCGACAATCCGCAATTGAGCCTGAAAAGCATCGAGCTGCTCAAATTGTTCTGCTCGGTGGGTTGCGGTATTGAAGATGGTTGGCAACCTTTTCGATTTTTGATTGCTATCACACTTCTTCAGCGATTATTCCAAGCGAGGAGCCGAAAACGACAAAAAAGCCGACGACGCATAGGCCACTGATTCTTGGATCAAACACGGAGGAGCCGCCGCCGCCGACGCTTCCGCCGCCTCCACCACCACCACCACCATCCGTCCCACAGGAAACCAACAAGCCGAATCCCGAGACGCCCGTCGAGTCGCCGCTGACAACCAATAAACCAGTTGGCGGACCGGCGACGATGGCTGTCGAATCGCCGAAGAACAATCACTATGTTGAAGTTGAGTACACGATTGAATTTGATTATTCCGCCTCGCCGTCGATTTTTGTCGCATTTTTATTAATTACCATTTATTTTTTGTAGAGTTCTCAATAAACTCCGTTTTTTTTTCAAATTCCGCTTAAATTTTTGAACCACAAAAAAATGTTGGACCTCGCTGTCGGCTTCACAATAATGTCGGCGGCGTTTGCCGGTAGCTCCTCCGTTGCCGGATTCGTCTTCTCCGTAAAGCCGATGAAGCTAACAGTGTTTGTAGTTTCATCGTTGTCAGATTCCCCCGTCACAATAGTGTCATTCATTCTCCGCCGAATTCATCGTCTCGTTTGTTGAGGCGAATGGCTCGTCAGACTTTTCCAATGATGTCGTGTGCTATCAAGTTGTCTTTCAGAACTTCGAAATGTCTGAAAATCAAATAGAATGCTATCGAGCAATTAAAAAACTTTTAATGAATATCTGAAATTGGATGGATCGTGTGATCCATAATGTGAGCAATCTAGAACAATGTCAATAGCATCCGTTGGAAAATGGATCATCCCATCGTAGTCTCGATATAAGATGCCTCCATTGATTCGTATAAAATGTGGAATAGCATATCTCAATTTTAGCGCTGCTTGACTCAAAATACTCTGGCGATTTGCATTTGACAATACTCTCCGGCGGGCGGAATCGTCGCATCTGACAACCGGACATATTTCTATCAACGATTGGCAATAGAGCAAATAGTTTCTCGACCATTTCGGTTCCGAATTGACAACGATTTCTTGCCGCCTGATACGCGTTGTCGGCTATCACGTTTTCGGACGAATTTTCTAAATTGCAGCGTGAATTGGGCCGTCTGTAGTCCATACGGACAAGCCTTTTCTCATTATCATAAAATTGCAAACAGTTGATAAAATCAAAGAATTGAAAGGAATGCGTGAGCGACGAGACGAATCGCTCAGTTTCAACAGAAGATGAAGAAGAAACTATGTGTACTTCTGATACTTCTGGCTGTTGTCGATATTGCAAACGCTGGAAATTATTCATTAAACTATGAAGAAATCGAAGGAAGTGAGTGTTGGGATTGCCTTTTCCGTCGTGAAGCGCCTCCAATCGATTTGCAGGAACCTATTGTCGTGTGAAAAGCGCCACCACTCAATCCAAGGTAGTGCTCGTCAATCGCGATGAGTTTGTGTGGAACTGCACGAGTCTGTCGTCGATGACAATCTACACGGTGAATTGGTCGCAAGACGACATTAATTCATTGTTCTCGGAATTTGAATATCTATACGATGTCCTATTATACATTCACGCGACTACCGCCGAAACCATCAATTTGTCATCACTGAAACGAGCGGATTATGTTGTGTTGAGCGTCATGGATAATCCGAAGCTGAAAGATATTGTGGTGTCCGATAAATTCCGAAAATCGGATGCGAAGCGATGTAAGAATGCGTCAATTGAAATGAGATTTGAAAAAAAATGCAATATTCAGCGGTTTTTACATTCGGAAATCCGTTGATGAGCGATCGGACGATTGCGATTCTCACGCAACTCTGCACCGAGCCGTGTCGATTGAATGGGCCGAGAGAGACGAAAATTGTGCTCCAAGACCATCCGAGCACCATTGCCGACGTTCGCGACGATTTTTGCCTGTTCAGTTCCTCGGCTGACGTTAATATGATATTCGAAGATGGCCTAGGCGGAGTGAAGACGTGCCACTACAAGCCGAAAGCCGACATTATGGGCTGCACAAGATTGGAAGGCGTTAAAGTAATAATGGTGGACTGGTCGGTGGACGACATCGTCAAATTCACATCGAACATCGAAGCGGCTCATTATGTCTCATTGATCATTGCGAATTCGGATGTCGATACGCTCGACTTCACCTCGATGGCCTTCTCAATGAAGGTTCAAATTGTTTTGATTAACAACAAGAAGCTCCAGAACATCTACTTTTCCGACATTGTTCGAAACACGCCGAAATTCCGAAACTACACATGTTGGTTTTTGTTACGCTCAATTCTAACCATCATCTGATTCCAGCTGTTGAATCGTTCGACAATCCGCAATTGAGCCTGAAAAGCATCGAGCTGCTCAAATTGTTCTGCTCGATGGGTTGCGGTATTGAAGATGGTTGGCAACCTTTTCGATTTTTGATTGCTATCACACTTCTTCAGCGATTATTCCAAGCGCGGAGCCGAAAACGACAAAAAGGCCGACGACGTATGTGCCACTGATCCTTGGATCAAACACGGAGGAGCCGCCGCCGCCGTCGCTTCCGCCGCCTCCACCACCACCACCACCATCCGTCCCACAGGAAACCAACAAGCCGAATCCCGAGACGCCCGTCGAGTCGCCGCTGACAACCAATAAACCAGTTGGCGGACCGGCGACGATGGCTGTCGAATCGCCGAAGAACGATCACTATGGTGACACAGAGTTCAAGGTTGAATTTGATTATTCCGCCTCGCCGTCGATTCTTGTCGCATTTTTATTAATTGCCATTTATTTTTTGTAGAGTTCTCAATAAACTCCGTTTTTTTTTCAAATTCCGCTTAAATTTTTGAACCACAAAACAATGTTGGACCTCGCGCAAAACGACGTGAAAGCCCACGCGGAACCGAGAGTCGTCCAGCCGCGTCAGTTTCAATTCATGTTGCTGAAAGAACTATTCGCGTTTGTGATACTATTGTATCTAATCGATGTCACTTTTTGCCAAGAAGGAGCCTGGAACTTGAGTTTGACTCACGAGGAGCTTAATGGAAGTGAGTGTTCCGCAATTCTTTGACTGGATTCTACGAACGGTTTGTAGGAACGTATTGTCGTCCGAAAAGCGACAAATCCGAGCACCACGTGGCTTTCATCAACCGAAAGGATTTTGTCTGGGATTGCAAGAACATTGCACATACCGTTTTTTTCATGGTTCAATGGTCCGAAAGTGAAATCAATTCATTGGTGTCAAAAATCGAATATCTGTACGCTTCTATACTGTTCATTGAAAACACGATGGCGGAGAGGATCGATTTCTCATCGCTTAAGCATATTGATAATGTTACTCTTGAAATCAAGCACAACCCGAAATTGAAGACGATTCTATTCCGGAAGGACGCGCTTACATTCAGCGATTCTAGTAATACGTCTGACGAGTTGACCAATTTGACATTGCTCCTTCAGTCATTTATTTATTCGGCTCGCCGCAATTCACCGATGAGAGCATGCCGGTCATCAAGAATCACTGCATCGAATATTGCGCTAGAGCGCGCACCACCGAAATGCCAATCAAGCGTGAGAAAGACCGATCGACGGGTTTGGAATGGTGCTCGTTTGATTCGAGAGGCGCCAAGGCCACCTATTACAAGCCGAACCCACTATTGACGACGTGCCCGGGAATGTTCTATATGAAAATCTACATGATTGGCTGGCCGGTTGCCGAAATCCAGAAGGTGCTCAGCAGCATCCACTCGCTCTACTATGTTGCCATTTTGATTGCGCATACCGATATTGAGACGGTCGATCTCACCTCGATGGCCTATGTGAATATCTTTCATCTTTATCTATTGGACAATCCGAAGCTCAAGGATGTTTATTTCTCCGATGTTGTTCGAAACACGAAGAAGCTTCGCGACAGCGTTAGTCAGTATTTATCGCGCGGTTTCCCATTGATCAACGCATCGCCAAAATTCCAGCTGTGATCTCATTCAATAATCCAAAAATGAGCTTGAAAAGCGCTGAATATCTCAAACTATTCTGCAATTATGCGTGTTTAATTGAAAATGGTTCGATTGGATAATTGAGCCAATTCAATTTGGATTAGTTTTCAGCTAATTTGAAGCCTACACCACCAACGACGACGGCGAAGATTGCCACTCAGCTGCCGTTGATCGTCGGCACCGAACCGATGCCGGTGAAGGAGATGATGATATCCCATAGGCCGTGGATCATCGGTCAAGAAGATCAACCAATTCCAGTTACAGAAGCACACGAGGAATCAGTGGAGACGACGACGGAGTCGATTGATGAGGATTCGCATGCCACCTCATCCTCGATTCTTCTTATTCCAGCAGTTTTGCTGGCCATTCTTCTTGGAGATTTTTAATGAAAATTGTTTGACATGAAATTTTTCCATCAAGTGTTGCTAGGGACCATTTTGGAAATTTTGTGGGAAATTTGCGATTTTGATTGTGAACCCATGCCAGAATCATTGAAAACTAGATGTCATGAGACCCTTTTGAAGCCCCATGGGTTCTTGATTTTTACTGTTTTTCCGCTGCTCAACTCCGGCAATGATCGTCCTTGAGACATCGGCCAGTCAGAGGCGATTTTCAACATTCTCGATTTTTGTTATGCCTACAAGCTCAAATATGGTTAGCGTGGCCATTTTACAAATATTGATAACAATCAAGAACACGTGAAAGCCAATGAAAGGCAAATTGAAAATTCAGTTTCAACCCGATATGCTTCAGAAAGTAATTGCGTTTGTGATACTATTGTATCTAATCGATGTCACTTCTTGCCAAGAGGGAATCTGGAACTTGAGTTTGACTCACATGGAGTATAATGGAAGTGAGTGTTCCGCAATTCTTTGACTGGATTCTGCGGACGGTTTGTAGGAACGTATTGTCGTCCGAAGAGCGACAAAATGGATTATCGCGTCGCGATGGTCACTCGCGAGAATTTTAAATGGGATTGCAAGAATATCGCATATACGATTTTCTATATGATCCACTGGTCCGAAAGTGAAATCAATTCGCTGTTGTCAAAAGTCGAATATCTATATTATGTCAAGATTTATATTGAAAGTACGATGGCGGTGAAAATCGATTTCTCATCGCTTCGAGAAATTGATGGAGTGCTACTTGAAATTAAATACGGCTCGAAATTGAGGACGATCGATTTTCGGAGAGATGGTCTCACAGTCAAAAAATCTGGTAATAATTGGAATGGCGGTGGTGATGGAAGATGGGCCGAATTTGAATGCCTTCAGAATTGTATGCATTCGCACTGCCATTATTGAACGATGAGAATTTGGCGTTGTTGAAACGTTATTGCGGCGACGGGGATTGCGAGCACGCGAGAGAGACGAAAATAAATATGTGGCGTCGAAAGGATAAAAAAAACGGGCTCGAGTGGTGCTGGTTCCATTCGCCCGGCGTCCACAAAGCCACCTTCTACAAACCGCATCCATATTTGACGTCGTGCAAGCGAATCTTCAATGCGAAAATTTATATGGTCGGCTGGCCGGTTGCCGAAATCGAGAAGGTACTTAAAAACATCGAAGCCGGCTCATTTTTGGTCGTCTTCATTGCTCGCACCGACGTTGAGGTCCTCGATGTCACCTCGACCGTTTATGTCGATGCCTATCATTTCTATATGTTGGACAATCCGAAGCTCAAAGACGTTTATTTCTCGGATGTTATTCGGAACACGGAGAAGTTCCGTTCAGGATTTAGTTTGGTCCGCACGTTTGTGGCCGTTTTTATCAGTGCCGAATTTCAGCTGTGCTATCATTCAATAATCCAAAAATGAGCTACAAGAGCAATGAATATCTCAAACTATTCTGCGATTATGCGTGTTTAATGGAAGATGGTTTGATTGGATAATTGAGCCAATTCAATTTGGATTGGTTTTCAGTCAATTTGAAGCCTACGCCACCAACGACGACGCCGAAGATTCCAACGCAGCAGCCGTTGATCGTCGCCACCGAACCGATGCCCTCAAAGGAGATGATGATACCCAATTTGCAGTGGATGATCGGCCAAGAAGATCAATCAATTCCAGTTACAGAAGTACATGAGGAATCAGTGGAGACGACGACGGAGTCGATTGATGAGCATTCGCATGCCACCTCATCCTCGATTCTTCTAATTCCAGCAATTTTGCTGGTCATTCTTCTTGGAGATTTTTAATAAAAATTGTTTGTATTCTAGGGACCATTTTGTGGGATTTTCTGAATAATTCGAAGCACCATTTCTTTTTTTTTTTTGAATCATGCGATTTTGCGCATGATTGTCAACACGTGAATAATTTAGACGCATCCAGCGGACATTGTTCCGGGTTCGGCAAAACCAAAAAAAAACAAAATTGCTCATTTTTGTTTCGTTTGAAATGTTGGCGAAAAAAGAATGTCTGAAAACATTTTTTTCGACATTAAAGTGAGCGCAAAAAAAATGACGATTCGGTCAATTTCGAGACAAAACATTGAGGATATTGGCTCGAAATTGCGGCCAACAAAAGGGCAATTTCGATGGGGGAAAAAATTGAATGTAATTTCCGGGACTCTCTCTTTCTCTCTCTCTTTTTCTCTCTCTCTCTCTCTCAACGTGTCTCATCAGCTGGTGCTCATGTGCGTCTGCGCGTCTGCGTCTCTCCAACCACCAGCAAGACACTCTCGTCGTCTCGCCGCTCTCTCACTCTCTCGCCATTCAGCCCGATTTTTTCATTGTTGTTGTTGTTTGTCGCCGCGTTTTCGCTGTCGTCGTTCAGTGGGGGCCCGTTTGCCTCAGTGGGACCTCACAACAACAATTATATACTTATATATCTATGCACTTTAATATTGCACTTCTCATTTCCGGCGAAAAGAGCAATTTTTGGCGATTTTCTCTTTTTTTTTTCATTTCGCGCTTCTCAAAAATTCTTTTTTGAATTTTTTTTAAAGGCGCAACACCACCAAAACAAGATTATTTTATTTAATGTTTGCCTTTTTATATTAGTGCAATGAAAAAAAAATTTCATGAAAACAAAAATCTAGTCGCCCAGCGATTTTTTCGCTGTTCTGCCGAGCTTTTCCATCAAAAATCTATTCCAATTTTTTCTTATTCCAATTTTTCACGTGCTCGCCTCGTTTTCAGGGTAATTGGACCCGCCGATTATGTCGGTGTATGTAACGATTATTTTGTACTCGGTCACCAACTCCGTGTTTTTTCCCGTCTTCCAATCGCTCGTCTTTTTCAAGGTTGGCGTTATTTTTTTCTCTCTCTCCTTTCGGGTTACTGTAGACAACCGCGCCGCGCAAAATTTCACCATTGGGTTACTGTAGTGAGAAGGTCCGCAAACACGCAAGCGAAAATGTCTACTAGTCACTTTTTTGGGGGGAAAGCACAGTATATTTAACAATCCGGTTTTTGGATTACTGTAGGTCTGCAAATCGCTCCATTTTAGCGACTACAGTAACCCACCCCCTTTCGCGCGCTACTGTAGCGCTAAAGTCCGCAATCACGCGAGCCCTCCCCAATTGCAGTCATGCGTGGCGTTGTCGAACTCGTCGGACGCCGCGATATGCCATGACAACGAGACGTTCGCCAAAAACGACACCATCCACAGTCTCGCCAACTTCGTGCTGCTCATCTCGTGAGTCGCGCGCGTGCGACGCCCCTCCCGACACCAATCGGGTGTTTGCAGAAGTTCGGGCCTTTGCGTGACGGCGTTCTTCACCTCGCGCTTCATCGGACGTCTCAGCGATCGAAAATCGCGAAAATTGGCGATGCTGGTGCCGTTCGTCGGCCTCATCCTCTCCGATCTCACCATCATCGTGCAGGTGCTGCTCGTCGAGGTTGATGCCCAATCATCGCGTCTCGCCAATGTTTGAGTTTGATTCCAGCTTCCACCGTATTTGTTCATCATGTCGGAGATCATCTACGGCCTGTTCGGCGGCTACATGTCGATCACGTCAAGCGCGTTCGCCATCATTTCGGCGAAACACAAAGATAGCACGAAGCGGGCGAAGGCGATCGCGTGGCTCGAAGGGACCATCTCGTTTGGGTGTGAGTTGTTGTTGTTGTTTTTTTTGTGAAATGGATTACTGTAGATTTTCTTTGTGAGACCCAATATTGTTTTCATATTTTTGACCTCCCAAAAGGTCCCAAAGCTATAATTGTAGGGTCACATCGTGTCAAGACCCCCCCCCTACCCTGAGAATTTCGGATTTCAGCGATGATCGGCTTCTTGATCAGCTCCCAACTCAATCTGCTCGATTATTTCGGCATGTCGGTGTTCTTCCTCTGCTCGCACATCACCGCATTCATCTCGGCGTTGTGTATGGAAGACGTCGACGTGACGCGCGATTCGAAAAGCGAATCGATCTGGGTAGGCCTCGTTTTGTGTGGGCGACATTGCCGTTTTTGCAGAAATCGACGAAATTGTTCGCCGACAAACCGGACGACGCGTCGAAATCGCTGAAAATCCTCTACTTCTCGTTCGCCAGCTCCTATTTCGCGTTCATCGGCAGCACACGCGTGCTATTCTTCTATCTCAAACACAAATTCTATTGGGACACGGAGAAGTATGGGTATTTGAAGGCGATGAATCAGGCGATGACCACCGTGCTCGCGTGCCTCCTGTTTCCCTATTTGAAGAATCGCGGCGTGTCGGATGTCGATTTGGCGATATTGGGTCTCGCGACGCGAAGCGTCGGACGATTTTGGTACGCGATCGCGTGGAACGATTTCGCCGTGTTTTCCGGTACGACCGGACCGCACTTTTTTTGATCTCTCAATTTTTGCAGTCGTCGTTTTCGAGATGTTCTCGAAGTTTCCGGCAACCTCATTACGCAGTCTGATATCGACGCACGTCGCTGAAAATGAACGAGGTTCGACTCGGCCCCCGACTACCGTAATCCCACTAAGGGACTCCGCCCATTTTAAGATTTTAGGATTTGATTGGAGGCGATTCTCCAAATTTTCAATAGGGAATTGAGCCACGCCCTTTCTACCGTATTATTGCTCTTTTTAGATGTACAATATCTCGCTTTAAATTTTGAGACTTTCAACAATTAGAAACCAATTAAAGGGCAATTTGTCATGAGGTACCGTAATCCTGCGAAGCCCCGCCCCTTTACAAAAAATAGGTAGGATTTTGATAAGAGATTTCCATGAAAAATTGCACTCGATGCCCCGCCCCTTTTAAGAGTACTTTAGGCGTTTAATTTTTGAAAAATAAAAGAAGCCAAAATTAGAAAAAAAATCAATAATAAGCCCCGCCCCCCGTTTTTTTCGAATCGCTGAAATTCGAATTTCAGGTGCGGCGTTCTCGCTGGTCGCCGTCATCGAAGCGGCGTGCAATTTGTCGTCGTCGATCGTGTTCCATTCGGCGTTTCCGCTATCGCTCTCATTTTTTCCGGAGCTCTCGTTCGTCGTCATGCCGATCATCATCCTGCCGGCGATCTTTCTGATGAGGTGCCCGCATTGAGTGAATCTAATCGCAAAACAGAAACATTGCAGCTATCATAAGAAGACGTTGGAGATGTCGTCGTTTGGCGCGGCGGCGACGTCGATCGAAATCGAGAAGCTCACCGCATAATTGACCCACGAGCATAATTATTTAATTACCTTGATATCAATCCCACACCCTCCACAGAGGCATAATTACGCGGTAATCATTATGACACAAAAATTGCATCCTCATTCCGTTTCGATTATATAATGAGATTTTATTTAATAAAATCATATTTATGGAGCTCATGCTCCTTTAAATCATTCTTTGATTTTGTCCGAAGATGGATGTTCACAAAAATTGAACTCATTGGTTCGCACAATTATTGAAAAGTCGGACCATTCTTATCCTTCATATTGTCCGCAGATGAAATTGCTCGAATAGAGATATTTTCATTAAATTAAAGTTTTAAGAAATTTGCCAACTTCAAGAATTTTTTCTATTCATTTTTCCTAGAAAGCGTTAAAATTTGGATCCTTGATAATGTCCGCAGATGAATATTTTCAAAAATAATTGAATCACTCGAAATCGCATTTGAAAAATATGCGCTTATTTAATTATTTCTGCGATAATAAAAATATTGGTTTAAAAAATATATGTGAAAATATGGGTTCGTCTGGACATATTTAGGTATGAAAGAAGCATCTAATATGAGAATTTTGAGTCCGGAAATTTAACAAATTAACTTTAATTCAGGTCTCGCCACGATGTAACTTCGTTGTAGCGAAAAGCCTTTAGAAATATTGGGATACCTCCAGACTATTATTAATTTTAGCTTTTGGAAGTGAAAAATCTCGTCTTAAGAACTGAAAATGAAATCCAGGCGAGACCAGTATTAAAGGCGCTTCGATTTATGGTTTCAATAGTTTTTCCTTTTCTGCAACAGTATATATCTTTTTTTGACAATTTTAACACCAATTCTTTTTTCCCTTATTTTAATCTTTAAAAAAAATCACAAAACTGAAACCCGCATAATTGTCGACAGATGATATTTTAGAAGAATCGTCTCTTCAATTATATTTATTTAAAATAATTAATTGGCGTGCACCTAATTATTGACGCATTTCAATTTTAGAATGGAAAAATCGAAAAATGAGATTGAAAAGAATGGTGAAATTCGGTGTTACAAAACATGTGATTTTCAGCGAAATTTTCAGCATCGAGTTCCGATGACGTGGAAGCTCAAAACTCGGGTGAAATTGACAAAAAAAGCAAAAAATGTGTGAGTTTTTAATGGAGAATTCCAAATTTGGCTATCGAATTTTGACAGAATTTGCAACATCGACGCGATACGCCGTTATGGTCGAAAAATCGAAATTTGAAGAAGATTTTGGCGGAATTTCGCAAAAAATCGGAACAATTTCGGAATAATGAACAAATCGATGAGAATTGATTCACTTGTTTCTTGCAATAAATTATTATGGTCCGTTTGATATCGCAATTCGGCATTAATTTTCAGCTAATGCGCGTCAATTGATTTGCAAGTCCGCAACGTTGTTTACTCGGTGTACCGCACCAACTACGCAGCATTTTCAAATCGCCCGCATTTTAAAAATAGTTTTCAATTTTTTGCAATTTTCAGCAGATTTTCGAGCGCGAGTAATGAGATCTAATAAAAATCTATTAGTAAGTGGATAATTTTCAAAAAAAATCATGTGAATATGTTACAGATAACTTCGAAAAACCCGCATTTGCGGCGCTTCGCCTCGGGCAATGCTGGTGGTGGTGGTGGCGCGAGGTTAATTGGATTGGCGCTTGGTGCAGGCGCCGCCGGAATCGCTGGCGTTGCTGGTTATGCGGCATATGATCCGAAATTCAGGCATAAGGTTTCTAGTTTCTTTTTTCAAATCAAAAAAAAATATTTTTTTTTTCCAGATTGAAAATAGCATCCCGGTTTCAAAGGAGCTTCTCACTTATACAATCGGTCCTGAAGAACCTCCAGCTCCAAAATTGATCGATCTGCGTCCGTTGCAATATTCAAACGATCCGAAAATCGCGCCAAAACCATTCGAGCCGAAAAAAATTACAAATGCTGTTGAAAAAGCGCCGCCAGAGCCGATTGCGACGATCCCGACGCCACCGAAAAAAGCAACAATTCCTAAAAAGGAGCTGATTGGCCTGAAAGATCCCGAGCCAACGCCTATCATGGAGGTTAAGAAGTCGACGAAGAACCCATATGTTGGAAAGGAGGGGTCCTTTGACAAAAATGAAGGTTTTTTCCGGTTTTATTTTTAGGGGAATTTCATTTTTTATGTTCAGCTCTCACTGAAAGCCTGAAAAAGCTTCTCGTGGACGCTGAGAAGGCCACAAAAGCGGCGACCACTGCCAAATTGGATACGATTCGAGCAATCGAGCATCATATTCAGACAATTCGGGTAGAATCGATTGATGGTTTGATGGAAATTGCGGGTTTTTAGGAAGCTATTGAAGGCGGCAAAGATGGCGATTGGGATGCGGTGACGATGGCGCATCTAAAAGCTCAAACTTGCGAGAAGAAGGATAAGGAAGCTGAGATGTTTGCGAGGAATCGCGTCGCCGATCTTGTCAAGGTTGGAAAATTCCGCTGCCAATATGTATTTTTTTTAATGGTGTGATTCTAGGAGGCGAATTTTGGGAAGCAGGGTGAAACCACACAGATGAACCCACTCCTTCCCGTGAGTCAGGCAACGGCGGTGAAATTGTCGAACGAGCTTGACGAGATGGCGACGAATGTGAAGAAGGTCGACACGGAGCGCATTTTTACGAACGACTATGGCAAGTTGGTGGAAGAGAGCCGAAAGAAATTTGTGCAGGAGGTGAAAGCCGTCCATCCAGAGTAAGAGGACAATTTTTAATTTGAGAAATTTTTTTCTGCCGTTTTAGAATTCAATATGAAGAAGGCAAAAAAATAAAGAAGAATGATTTGAAGACGATGCTGTCGCATGCGCATTTGCGTGTTGATCAGCTGTCGATGAAGCTGATCGATATGAAGCTGAAGGAGGAGAAGCGCGTCAAAGATGCGATTGAGGCGAAGAAGAAGGAGCTGCTTGAGAGTTTGAGAATTGACGCGTTGAAAAAGGGAGATGTTAAGAAGGAGATTGTTAAGATCCCGGAGGTCCATTCTAGATTCTTAAAATTCATTAAATCCTCCCATGCCTTTTCCGTGAAGAATTTGAAATTTTTAAATCATTGCGGAAAATTTTTGATTCGTGAAATTTTAGACAGGAAAAATCAACAGGATATAAGGAATTGACGGTTTGTGTTTCAGAATGTAGGATTTGAAATTTTTTATTTGCTCAAAAATTTGGACTTTGACTTGATTTTGACATATGTTTGAGTTTTAATGGCTTCAGATCGACCAGAAACGATTCGACGAGGAGCTCGCGAAGAAGACGAAAGAGATTCAGGAGAAATTCGATCGAAAATTGGAAGACGTCGTCAAAACCCAGAAGAAATTGTATGATATTGAGCACGCGAATGACGTGAATTCGGCGGTTGCCAGAGAAAGAGACGTAATTATTCTCGCGTCACTAATTAATCAATAATTAACAAAGCCAATTAAAGGCGCAAGCGATTTGCATTGGAAAAGCGTTGTCGCAGCTTGAAGGAATTGAGAAGGCGTTGAAGGGACACCTACAGATGGATATCGAGAATCGAAGATCGAAACAGATGTGGTTGGCCACTCAGAATCTCGTCGACACTGTCAAATTTGGCAATCGGGGAAGTTGTTGTATGGAAGGCCGAAGAGCGCCATTGGATGGCCAGATGAAGGTAAAAATTATCATTTTTTTCCTATAAAAATATATGAAAATTATTTTTTTTGGCATTTTTTCATTTAGATTTCTTTAATTTGGATTCACATTGATATATTTGAAACGAAGACACATTTTCAGACAGAAACGCAGTGTTTGAAAAGATTTTTTTATTTTTAGAATCATTTTAGATTATATTTGAATTAAAGCCAAATAAAAATTTATTTTTGTGAAGTTTTCTTCTACTATTTAAACAATTCAACCAAAATTATTGAAAACTACGCGAAACACATTTTCTGAATTTTCAGACGTTGATGAAATGCGCTGGAAACGATGAGATGCTGAAGTTGGTCAACGATTCGATGCGACGTGTCAGCAAAATCAAAGGAGAATACACTTGTGCCGATTTGAACACGCGATTTCAGAAGGTCTACAAGATTGGACGACGATTGGCGTTTGTCTCGGAGAACACGGCCAACGGCATTTTCGGGCATTTGAGCAGCTGCTTGAAATCGGCGCTGACGTTGCCGATGCCGATTAAAAAAGGAGATGACAAGTAAGAGTTGGGAATTTTCGGATTTTCTTTTTTCAATGAAAATCGTTGAATTTTTGCCATTCCCCGGCGAAAAGTTTATGAGTTTTGAAAATTTTTTGCAGAATTTCGCCCGCACTCGAGAACAATGTGACGCTTCTAGACCGTGCTGCCCATTTATGGTCCGAAGGTAAACGATTGGATGCGATTCGCGTTTTGCAATTGACGACTGGCGCGACTAGACGGTAAGATAGCTGCCCGGCCATGTGAAATTTGTCAATTTTGAACTGCGGACAATTTTGCTGCCCTATGAGAATGTTGAATTTTTGGGAAATGAGCGAATTTCGTCGGAAAATGAACAAAAATTATTATTTTGATTGTTAGACCAATTGAAAAGAATGATTTTTTTTTGTCAAATTTTCCAAAATAATTTATTTATTTCACCTTTAAATGTATGAAATCTCAATTTTTAGTTGAAAATTTTCAGAATTGCTCGCGATTTCATTGAAGACGCTCGTCGACATGAAGAGACGCTTTTCCTTGCCCGCCTCCTTCTTGCCCATTCGGCTCTCACTTCGATCCGATCCACCTATTAGGTGCCTGGATCCGATCCATTCTTGTGGCCCAATAATGTTAATTTCAAAAGAAATTCGGTTCTTTTTTTTGTTTCTTCATTCGCTTTTTTTTTGTTTGTTTCGAAAATTCCCCTTATTCATCGAATATCCGTAAATCAAATATCGGAAAGGAAATGGAGTATAAACGCATTATCAACAACAAAAAATAACAACAGAGGTAATTAGTGGTAATTAATTAATGTATTAGGCGGTTGTCGCCACTGGTACTTCCTCGATGGGCTTTTCAGTGTTTTTTTCTTCTTCTTCTTCATTGAGTTGTTTCTCCTCAGTGGCCTAAAGGATTTGAAACATTGTGGTCCCAGCTTAAAAAATATTCTAGCATTTTTAGAGCTCCTTTTAGAGAATTCAGTACTTTTTAACTTCGAAATGTTTGAAAATTCACTATATTTGGGTTTCTAGATGCCCAAAGGGAGCATTTTGTTTTGTGGTCCAAATTTCAAAAATTGTTTTGCCTATTAATTTTAAAGAAAATTCTAGGCTAAAAATTGCCAGATTTGCTTTTCTAGACCATAAATTTCCACAATAATTAACGCCAACTACCTTTTTCGCCATCGCTGCCGCCATGGTGACAAACGATTTTTGCGGCGGCTCCTCGACTTCGGGATCCGCGGCGAAATCATGATTCGACAAATCGGCAAGCCATTTGAGCATTCTAAATCATCAAAAATTGAGCATTGCTTGAGTGGTTCAATCGAATACCCTTGAGTTCGAAGCTCAGTCTCGAGCATCTCTTTGGTGATGAGCTCGAACTTGGTCCGCTCGACCTCCGCCTCAATCACCTCTCCCCAATGCGATAACGGCTCGTGCGTTTTCTCATGCTTCTTATCATAGCTATCAAAATGTGTTCGTTCGAGTAGTAAACCAAGTCCTGGGGCCATTGGGACGTCCATCTGAAAATATTTTTTTTTAATCGTCTTGGGACCAACTTGATCTTTTTGTGCCAAGCTCTGGTCTGATTACCCTCTGTCCTTCGAATGTCTTCTGAATTGCCGATTTCAGCTGAAGCTCTCTGACAACAGTGATCACCATTCCGATCATTTTTCGAATTTGATGAAGAACGAAACTTTGTCCTTTTACGGTTATCGAAATGAACTCGACCTCCTCATTTCTGCAATCAAGAAAAAAAACCCCCAGTTTGACACCAAAAAGAGACCAGCTCACCGAAATTCGTCTTTGAATAAAAACGGTTCGCCACATTTGAACGAGACGATATATCGATTGCAGCTCATATCATCGAATGCTCTGAAATCGGGTCATTTTGGCAATTTTGCACAAAAAAACCCGCAAATTTGCACGAATTTTATGGAGCCGATAAAAAATTGACAGCGACCAGCACCGAGAAGCACCAGATAAGGCAAAAAAAAACCGAAAGTGCAAGGTCGCACGGCTCAAAAAAATGACATTTTAGGCCGATCTATGAATGTTGTTTGAAAAAATTTTTTTCTCACCTTTTTGCCGTATAATTGAAAAAATTGTGTGTTCCCAAATAGATCGACAAAATATCATTAATCTCGTCGATTGTCTCCTTTTTGATGCGAAATGACGCGTTTGTGAGCTGGAAAAATGAAATACAAGCGTTTATAGCAAGAAAAAAAAATAGAATTCACCTCATCGGGTTTGGCGAACACAAACGTTGGCGTTGTGTAGCTGTAGGTCCGATAGTCGCAGAGCTTCTGCGGGTGGAACCAGGTGGTGGCGCGGCGGATTCCTGCAAACAAAAAATCAGAGCTGGTCTCGAAGCGATTCATCTAAAATTCATATTCCAATATGCTTTCAATTTGAGTTGCGCCTTTAATTTTCACATTTTGTTTGGACCTCTACCATATTAATTTTTCTTTTTGAATTTTATCAATATCACTTTTCTTATTTGAAAAATTCAATTTTTTAAAATCCCTCACCAAATACGCGAATATCCGGCGGAAGAAGCTTGTTGAGCGTGGCGGCGCCGTCGACTTGATAGAAGTCGTCATTTTTGGGCAATTGCATTCCGCACATTTGGCGCGCCGCCGACACGGCTCGATCCGTTCTTGCGGCTCGTTGAAAGAAAAACCCGAACGGCTTCTCTTTTTGCTCGCTTGTGATCCATCCAGCTTGAAACATCGCGTCGAGAAGCTTCGATTCAATCGTTGGCAGATCTTTTTGAAGCTGAATCCCACCATGATTTCCATTTTTTTGGTATTTTTTCCTTCTCAAACCTGCATTCCATAGTATTGTTTTCCTTGATAGCCCAAAAGCATTGCATATTTTCCCATTTTCACGCGTTTTTTCTTTTCCATTACATCTTTGGCTTTTTCGACGTCCGGTTTCTGTACATGATTCAGCTTGTCCGCCTCTTTTTCGATTGTTTTCGTCATGATTCTTGAAATTTTCGTGATTAGATTCTTCAACATTCAAACATTTAGGTGGGGGCTGCAATTTGGGGAATTTTCATTGGAAAAAACAATCGCACGAAATTAACTTAAAAAAAAAGATAATTTCACAGTGCGCCGAAAACGCGCCAAGGTTGAGAGGCACTGACGCATCTCGCTTTCGCTCGCGCTTTTTTCAATTCAAAAAATTTTTTTGCAATGTTTTCCTATTTTTTGCTATTGTTTTTCGCAATTCTCACAAATATTGCCTGCAATTCGCAGGTACATCGACCAAAGAACGAAATTTGATAAAAATACGATTTAAACGTCGATAACAATCGGCACGACAACAATAAAACATCGATTGGCTCATAATTGGCCGCCAAAATTTTTTCCCAATTTTTCAATTTCAGGTATGCCGGAGAATCGCGTGAAATATATTTTGGTGACTGGCGGTGTGATTTCCGGTGTCGGCAAAGGCATCATCTCATCGAGCTTGGGAGTGCTATTGAAGAATAATGGCTACAAGGTATCGCGGAAGGTTTTCAGCGTGCAAAATGTGCGCTTTTCAGGTTTCCGCCATTAAAATCGATCCTTATTTGAACGAGGACGCTGGAACCTTCTCGCCGTACGAGCACGGCGAGGTCTTCGTGCTTGACGACGGTGGCGAAGTCGACCTCGATTTGGGAAACTATGAACGGTTTCTCGACATTCGCCTAACTCGCGATAACAATATCACAACCGGAAAAATGTTCAAGCATGTGATGGAGCGCGAGAGACGCGGCGATTATTGCGGAAAAACGGTTCAAATGATTCCGCATTTGACCGACGCCATTAATGATTGGGTGGAGAGAGTCGCCCAAATTCCAGTGGACGGAACACAGGATAAACCTGAAGTCTGCATTATTGAGGTCCTCAAGAGTTGATTTTTTTTAAATTTTTTGGGGTGAATTCTGTTGTGGAAAAAAGTTTTTTTTTTCGCAGCAACATTAAGCATTTTTCTGGATCGCTTTTTCCCCACTTTTTCAAAAAAGTTTTTTTTCTTCTATGAAATCGAAAACATTTTTTTTAGCTTGGTGGCACTATTGGTGATATTGAAGGAATGGCGTACTTGTCAGCATTCGAACGATTCCAACGTCCAACATTGAAGAACCATCTGATGAATGTGCACGTCTCCTTGATTCTTCATCCAAACGCCACCGGCGAGCCAAAAACGAAGCCGATGCAGAACTCTGTCCGCCATCTAAGAGCCGCCGGCCTTGTGCCGGACCTTCTGATTTGCCGATCGACTGAAGCGTTGGAGCCGCACCTACGCGAGAAGATAGCCAGATTCGGCATGATGGATTTGGAGCAGGTCGTCGGAGTTCACGATGTCTCCAATATATACAAGGTTCCTTTGTTGCTTGAGCAACAAGGTGTTCTACAGGTACCCAAATATAGGGACCATGCCAAAAATTCTCGGATTTAGGCGATTGTTAATCGCCTGCAATTGCATCCGATTAACGATGAGGTCAAGAAGAACTTGAAGTTCAATATGACACATTGGACGAATTTATCAGAATTGTGAGTTTCGGCATTTTAATGCGGGGCCTAATTGTAGATACTCGGATTCCTAATTTCCAGACCCCCAATTAAACACGTTTTATGTACATTTGAAAAGGGATAGAACTTGACAACCAAAGTTGAGAAATTTTGATTAAAGAATGAAACAATTTCAATTGAGCGCTCAGGAAACACCAATTTTAAGAAATCTGTTTTCCCTTCCGACTGAAAATTGAAAAAAAAGAGCCCTGTTCATTTAAAAGGGATTCAATAGCAAACAGTAGAGCGATTTTTAAAAAAATTACGAAAAGCTTAATTGAGAAATCAAGGATCAATAATAACACTAACCAAAAATCATTTCCCATTTGAGACCCGATCCCATTCAAAAAAGGACGTATAGAACCGGAAAATCATGTAAAATTCTGTAAATCGGCCTAAAATGTGATTTTTTAAACGAGACTCGACTCGAAATTCAAAGGTGAACATCGATTTTCAGGTGCGACACGTTCACTGAAGAAGTCGTCATCGCATTGGTCGGCAAATACGTGAAAATAGCCGACGCCTACGCGTCAGTGAACAAAGCGCTATCGCACGCGGCGGTACACGCGAAGCGAAAACTCAAAATAGTGGTATTGATTGAAATTGTGAAGCGATTATTTTCTAATATGATCATATTTCGATTAGTATGTCGATTCGGAGCAATTGGAAGATAAGCCGGGAAATGAGGAGCTCAAAGAGGCGGCGTGGAAACTTGTCAAAGAAGCTGAGTAAGGGATTCGTTGTGAAAACTAATGAATTGGGGGGAATTTCAGCGGAGTTATTGTGCCTGGTGGATTTGATAAGCGCGGTGTTGAAGGGATGATCAGATGCGCTGAATACTGCAGAAATCATAATGTTCCATATCTTGGGGTTGATTGGAAATTCAACACGTTTGACCCATTAATGGTGTGATTTAGGTGTGCCTTGGAATGCAAGTTGCTGCGATTGAATTCGCGCGCAACGTTTTGGGTATCAAAGACGCGAATTCGACGGAATTTGCGCAGAATTTGAGCGACGATCAGCAGATTGTCATCGATATGCCCGAGCACAATGTTGAGGAGAAGGGTCTTGGCGGAACAATGCGGCTTGGAAGGCGATCGACGGTGTTCCTTACCGATGATTGCATTCTTCGTGGGTTTCTAGTTTTCTTTTTTGAAAAATTGGGCCCATTTTGTAATTTTAGTGCCATGGAAATAGGAAAAAGCTCAAAATTTGGGTGTTGCGAAATAAAAATATGGGTTTTAAGCGTCGAATTTTTAAATGTGTTGATTTGGATCAAATTTGGAGAACCAACGAAATTTTTGTCGGTTTTTTTCAGCAAAAATATGAAAATGCGTCTCGAATTAATTTTTATAGTGAAAAAAATATAATAATAATTCCAAAATTTTTGTTTTGAGACCGAAAAAAAAACAGATAGGAAAAACTGAGATTGCTCTTGAAAAGAAAAAACTCGACAAAAAATTGCTTTAGACAAATTGTACAATTCGCACGTCGTCGAGGAGCGTCATCGTCATCGCTATGAAGTGAATCCGCGAGTTGTGCCAAGCATGGCGCGTCGCGGATTTCTGTTCGTCGGAATGGGTGTCGACGAGCAAAACACAGCGATATGGGATGTGAAGAAGCGCACCGAGAGCAGCACGCAGCTCGTCGAGCTCGCCGACAAAGATCAGGATCTATTGAACAAAATCGACGAACTTTGCAAACGCGGCGGCGATGGTGTGACGAGGCCCGCTGTGAGAATGGAGATGTTCGAAATAAAAGGTAGTTGCGGGTGAAATTCAGAATGCGATAATTTAATAGTGCCAAATAAAATAGATAGGGTCTCATATGGAATATTTATAGGCAATTTTTGAGAAAAAAAAATCAAAATTTTCAACTAGAGGTAAAGGCATTTCGAACGAAATGCGTCTTAATGCAATAGATAACATAAACCAGTTTAATCAGAGAAATTGCCGGGAACATTAGCAATGATGAAATTGAAGATTTGTCTTGTTTACTTTGTTTTTCTTTTTTTTTTGAAAAGAATATGTGTCCTACCGCGATTATATCAATGATTTCAGATCATCCGTACTTTGTTGGAGCGCAATTCCATCCCGAATATTTGTCGCATCCATTACAGCCGAGCCCATTGTTCTATGGGCTTTTGCTAGCCGCCAGCGGACAGTTGAAGGTTTGACTGAAATGCGAATATTGATTTTTCTCGCGGAAACGAATCAGAGAAAAAATAGGCTAACTGGTGTGGGAATCATTGGCACGATTGCTTATATTAGAATTGGCAATAGGGCGTATTTGGTGCAGCGGCGGAGAGGCGCCGTTTGAATTTGTCATCACGATTTTTATATAATTTCTTATTAAATTATTGAATAGTGTGTTTTTGCGTTCTGCTAGTCGCCTTCAAAATCAAAGCATCTAAAAAGAATTGTTTCCAATTTTTTATTCAGACATTATTTTATGGATTCCGTTAGAGAAAAAGAAAGTAAAAATTCGATTCAGAAAAACTTTGAAATGATTAATAAGACCATTGATTCTGGGTTTTATTTTATGTAATTAAATAATATTCATGTTTAGACATTAGAAAATTACAATGTTTCTAGGGAAGTTGTCTCGAGTGAGTTGAAAAACAGACAATATGATGTTTTCGAAATCTTTCTTGGTTCTAGTACGGTAATCATTATTATATGTAGATGTGTTTTTATGAAGAAATGGATTGGAAAAGTGTGGTTCGAAAAACATGCATTGATTTCAGAATTACATGAATGAATGCAAGGTTCCGACGCCAACGCTATCCGCTGTCAACGAAGATCACGAGTTCAAGGAGAACGGCAGAAGCGATGTGATCGGAGCGATGCTGGAGAAGATGAAGCTCGGCTCGGACAACGAGCCACCGAAGCGAATTGTCTCGTTTCACTAGTTGTTTTTGTTTTGAAATAATTAATTTTGTTGAGTTTGCTACATTTTTGAATAGAATATGTCACTTGAATCATCTCGAACACGTCCACGAAACCCGTTATTTTTTTTTTTCAATTTCTCGGTGTAATGAAGTTGATAACTGTTGAAATTATTTGTTTATTTCGGTTTGATTTTTTAGTGTTTTGAGACATCATCTTCAAATATTTCTGGTTTCATTTTGGCCTTTTTTTTGTTGAGAATATAATCAATGGTTTTTTTGAATAGGAAATCGACTGTTATTATCATGGCGGCGTATAGACTTGGTGATCTCCTCGAAAAGATGAATAGCCATGACAAGGTGAACTATTTTTTTGCGGAATGAAAATCCCGATGTTTTGGCTTGATTTTTGGTGTCTTTGAAAAGAATATTTGAGACTGAGATTTTCTTGCGAAAAAATGACTTTCAAGAAAATAAGCTTTTTATTATGTTATTTTTCTTGAAATTAAGCTAGAATTTTTTTATTTCATCTTTTGGATTTAAATTATCGCTCAAAAAAATTTGATGTTTTGTTTGAAGCTCGATATTGATTTTTTAAAGATTTATTTTATTAATTTAAGAGTTGGTTAATTTTTCGAGATTTTTTTATCGCAATCAAAGTGATTTTTTAAAAATTATTTCCATATTATTAATTGATAAAGAGAAATTCACTTAAAATTGGCCTAATTATTATCCTCAAACATGCGATTTTCAAAGAATTAAAAAAAAACCACCATTGCAGGACTTTCGGTTCATGGCAATTAATGATTTGATTCGCGAGCTGAATGAGAACTCGATTCGTTTGGAAGACGATTCGTCGTATAAAATTGTGAAAGCCGCTGTGAAATTGCTCGACGACAAAATCGGCGAAGTGCAGAATTTGGCGATCAAAGGAATCGCGGCGATGGTGCCGAAAATTCGGCCGCTCGATGTAAGGCTTGACGAAAATCGTTGAGAAAGAATTATTTTTGTGGTTAAAATGCAAAAAAATATTCATTTTAATGTCAAATGTTTCCTAAAAAAACGATATTTTTATAAGATCGCGTTGCCTACTGTATTTCAAGGAGCATACATCGGACATTTTTCAGGTGAACTATATTGTGGAGAATGTCGCCAGTTTTCTGCTGACTCAGCCGAATGAGCAGACGCGCGATGTTCACACATTGGCAATCAAGGCGGTGATTCAGAATTTGCCGTCGGTCAATCCGTCGAGCCAATACCTCTCAGTGGTGCGCTCGCTTATTCAGAAGTTCATCGATCCGCTGAGCAAAGAACGAGCCGATCACAAGATTGACGACAACGCGCGAATTGATGCGATTGATCTGATTGGAGAGATTTTGTTGCGTTTCGGCGATGCGGTTCGTTTTTTTTTGGATTTTTTGAATTTTATGCGCCAATGCGCCTTTAAAAAATGTGATTTTTCGAAGAAAAGAAACATTAAAAGATTCAGCAAAGAAAAAAATTATTAATGATTTCGGTTTTTTTGGATTTTTCGCATTTTGTGCGCCATTGCGCCTTTAAAAATTGTGATTTTTTGAAAGAAAACACATTAAAAGATTCAGAAAAAATTATTAATGATTTCGGTTTTTTTGGTTTTCGTTGACTGATGGATTTTTCGGCATATTTTTGCTTTTATTTGGGTTCTGTTAGAGATTTTAAAGGCGCATACTTGTTAATTCTATGGGAAATGAGCTTTTTTGCGACATTCTTAGCACAGTATAGCTTTTGTTGAAAACACCTCCATTATTCCAGTTTCCTGAAATGCACAATGAAATTCACGCGATTCTCGACAAACAGCTCGGCATGTCGCGACAATCGATCCGAAAACGCGCCATCGTCGCGATCGGCTATTTGACGTCGGTGGCGTCGCCGTCGCTGTATGACAACGTTGTCGGCGGACTGTTGGCGAAACTCGAGACGGCGAAATCGGCCGAATACGCGCGCACCTATATTGTCGCGCTCACCAACGTCGCCAAAGCGAGTGGCGCCAAATTCTCGGCGCATTTGCCAAAGGTTTCTCATCGTGTCATTTGTTTTTGAGCCCATGAATCGTCGATTTATTTTCAGGTTGTTCCTCATCTGATTCGATTCTTGAAAGAGTCGGATGATGACGATTTGAAGGAGGCTGCGTTGCAGGGACTTGAGGTCTTCTTGTACAGATGCCCGGCTGAGGTCGTTGCGTTCCAATCAGATATTCAAGAGGTGAGATTTGGGGAAGTCATGAAGATGAAAATTAAATTTTTCGATGAAATGTGAAGAAATTGAGAATCAAATGAGAATGTACTGTTGCAATTGGATTATTTTATTGAAACAAACAATTTTTAATGAATTTTTGAAGTTTTGATGAACAAATTTGACCGCCTAAATTGGAATCGCTCACACGTGAGGAGCAAATAGAAAAAAAAATTTAACATAAATCTTTGTCGAGAACTTCAATGAAAAACGCGCGAATTTTAGGTTCTTGGTACGAATATTACGTATGATCCGAACTATGAGTATGGCGAGGATGAGGACGATGAGAATATGGAAGAAGAGGGTTGGTTTTTGTAGAATTTGAGCTCCAAAATTGTTCTGTAAAATCTGTCTAATGCCATTTATATTCTTTTGAAATTCTCAGACGATGAGGATGAAATGAGCGATGATGACGATATTACGTGGAAAGTTCGACGTGCTAGCGCGAAAGCGATTGAAGCGATGGTTTGATCATTTGTTTCGAAATTTTATGCGACGGTCTTCTTCTTGTTATTTTTTTTTAGATTAGTTCTCGCCGAGAATCGCTTTTGGATTATGTATCGACACTTGGACCGCTTTTGATTTCGAGATTCAAGGAGAGAGAAGAGACGGTTCGAAACGAGGTTGGTCATTTTTGTAGATTTACGGTGAATCACCGTGGTCTCGCCACGAATGAATTCTCACTTTGAATTCAATACAATCAGCTAGATTATTGTGGAATGTATACCGAATTGTCGGCGTCGTGCGACTGAGGAAAATTGGCTAAATGCCAAAAAATAGAATGACAGTGTTTTTGGGGCAAAACTAAAAGCGTGGACCCTTCTCAAAATTTTTTTTTTAGCCATTTTGCCAATTTTTCGCACACAATAATTGATTGAAAGTCGTTCAATAAAATTCGATTTTTGGTTTTCCTAAAATGCTCTATTCGCAGATTATTTCCGCCTACATCGCGCTTCTTTCCCAATTGACGATAGTGATACCGAATGTGCACGCGGCTCTCGTGAGCACCGACGACGGCGAAATGATGCAGGCCGACGATGTGGTGATGATCGGCAACGCGCAATTCTCGACGATGTACCTCTCACCGGAGCAGATCATTGTGCTCAAGGCTCTCGTCGAACAGAAGGATAAGCTTTTGAAGGCGATCGTCAAGATCATGCGAAAGAATGCGAAGAGCGGATCGAAATGTTTGGAGTTGTTGGCGGCGCTAGTCAAGTAGGCTTCTTCTTCAAGGGGGACTTCTTATATATTTTTTATTGTGACGAATTTTAGGCTTTATCCGGGCGCACTTTCGGAGTTTCTTGCCGATTTGATGCCGGGCATTTACAAGATCATCAGCGACAAGACGACGACAGCGCAGGGCAAGATGAACGTGCTCGACATCACGCTGAAAGCGCTCAACTCGCACTCGTATCTCGATTTTAAGCCGCATCTTGGTGCCGTCACGTCGATATTGGTGTTCGCCATCGACGATCAGTTTTATAAGGTTTCGTTTCCGTTAAAATTGTGAATTTTCGTGAGTAATAGAGATTTCTAAAGGGGGGAGTTCACATAAAAATTTTCAATTATTAAATTTCATGTAGCTTCCGGGTTTTGAATGTTTGGAAATTTCATTAGTCGTGAATGCGCCTTTAAATTTTCAATTATGACCGAGGATTTGTGATTTGAATTTCTCGAGTACTTTTCGACCCAAGTTTGAATATAGTTAAATCAGATTCTCCCCAAAACCTATATTTTCAAGAATGCGCCTTTAAAATGCACGTCGGAACCCAAAAAACCATAACTTTGACGAAATAATTTAAAATTTTGAGAACGTTTTAAAAAAAAAAGAGATTTTTACAAAAAGTGGGGAAATTGCAGGTTTCTGCCGAGGGTCTTACGGTGACGGCGACATTCGCCGAGATTTTGCACAAATGCGATGATCACGAGCAGATTGGCAAACTTTTCACGGTGGTCAGCGGAAAGTTTATGTCGAACGACACGGATCAGGTGATTAAAAGTTCATTATTTTCATTCAAAAAAAAAGGCTCATTGATTTTGGGTGTCTTTTATTTTTAGGATGTTCGTGAGAAATCGATAATTGCGATGAGTCGAATTGCGGCGTTGTTCCGCGATCAATTCGCCGCCCAGATTCCGGCGATTCTCGACAAGCTGACAGAGCGAATTGGACGAGAGATGACGTGCCTTGTGGCGACGAAGTGCGCGTCGGAGATGATCGCGTCGAAAATTCAATTTCCGATCAATTTGCTTCAAACCATTCTGGAGCACATTTCCGAGTTTTTGAAGAAGATGTCGAGATCGTTGAGAGTAAGTGGCCACTGTGATAATTAGCGTTAATTGGCTATCGTGGGTGTAGAGTAATTTTTTGGTTTTCAGCTCACTTCGCTCACATTTGTCCAGAAGCTTTTGCTCAACATGGAAACGAATCAGATTCCTGAATTGGAAATGTCGAAGGTTATCGAGGAGCTTCCGAATTTGATCAACGAGAATGATCTTCAAATCACGAATCGCGCATTGGCGTGCCTCAGCGGTAAGACGAGAGTGGATTGAATTGGATCATATTTTTCTCTTTCTTTTTTTTGGTGAAAATGCGAATTTCTGCAATAAAAACAGAGTTTCAGTATCGATTTTGGACCTGCCCAATTTGTCGGAGCCATTTTTGCCGAAAATCATCGACAGCGTTGTGAGGCTCGTCCAATCGCCGCTCCTACAGGCATGTTTGTGTGACGTTTCGTCAATTACGACGAGCTTTTTGTAGGGCAACTCGCTGTCGGCTCTCACCGACCTGTTCGCCAGCATCGTGAAGTCGAGAATCGCCAAGAAGCCGTCGTTTGAGGTGAGCGCATTTGATCCGGCAAACATTTTCGCATCTCATCTCTTCCAGAGGCTTCTCGACGCTGTTTCGGCGCCGGTTTATGACGTCAAGAATCTCTCGCGACAATCGCATTCGGCGATTTCGAGTTGTGTTTCGATTATAGCTGAAACTACGCAGGATTTGTCGAAGGTGACTTCACTTACTTAGTCTCTTTGTCGGTTCGCCCTTCGCCTGTTGAGGCGCGAACCACAGCTTTCCAAGCTTTTCGGTCCTTGGCTTGGGTGGACCACGGGGTGATAACGGCTCCTTCAGCTGTTCTTGTATTGATCTCCTTCCGAAGCGAGTCCGACCATCTCATGGGAGGCCTTCCTCTTGGCCGGGTCCAATTCCACGGCCGCCACTCCGTTAGAATGAGTAGTTCTCTTCTGGCTACGTTGTGATAACGTGAGGCCAACCAATCATCGCTCAAGCGCAGCGTGACTAATTTGGACTCGTTCTGACGTGGATATGCGAGATTTGGAAATTTTAAAGCTTCTTTTTTTTGGAGAAAATTTTGAGAAACAAACGAGAAGGTCGAAATTTTGAACGATTTCAGAGTCGATCATTGGCGTCGAAACTTGCCCAGGAGCTCACCGATCCGAAATCGGCGGATTCGATTCGTCTTTTCGCGTTGTGCGCTCTTGGTGAGCTCGGAAGACGTCAGCCGGAGGTGTTCGATGATGGAAAAATCCAGTAAGTGACGCTTCAATGTGTGCGTGTCTCTAAAAAAAATTCTTTTACAGGCCTGAACAATTGGCGGTCGAGGCGTTCAATTCGACGTCGGAAGATTTGAAGAGCGCGGCGGCGTTGGCGCTCGGCGCGCTCGCCGTCGGCAATCTCCAAAAATATTTGCCGTTCATTCTCGATCAGATTCGAGTGCAATCGCGAAAACAATACCTGCTGCTTCATGCGCTCAAAGAAGTGATTGTCTGGGAATCGGCCGAGGCGAACACCACTCAGCTGTTCCATTCGGCGCTTCCCGACATTTGGGAGATGCTTATAAAGAATGCCGGTGTTCAGGAGGATGGAACGAGGCAAGTTGGAAGGGGTTAACAATTTGAATTCTGATTAGGGAATCGCAAAAAATATCGCGAACACCATTGTTTAAATTGAAATTTGAATTGCCGCCTTGAAAATGTTTGCGATGGGCCACAATTATTCAAGATGCTCGATTTTTTGCTCTTATAACATTTGATTGAGTTCAAATTTGAATTGCCGCCTTGGGTCTTGAAAAGAAAAACACGTAGAAGCGATTTTTGTTCTATTAAACAATTAATTGTAATCTATGTGAAAAAGCGTAATTTTGGCGAATTGACAATAGGATATGATAAACGGCATAATAGAATGTATTTGCTTTAATTCTAGTTATATGAGGAATCATCGTTTTTCAGAAGCGTCGTTGCTGAATGTCTTGGTCGCCTCTGCTCATTTGACGCGGAAATCCTTTTGCCGAAATTGAAGGTGAATTTTTTATTGGTTTTTTTTTAATAAAAAAAATCAATGCATTTGTTATTTTTTTGCGAAAATTTCGTAGAAATGATGAATTTTGGTATTTCATTTTGTTTCAATTTTCAGGAGCACGTTTCGTCTCAGGACCCGATCATTCGCTCTGCGGTTGTGTCGGCGATCAAATATATGATAAACGACGACAAACATGGCGGCTATTCGGCACTTCAGAAGCACATTGGCGATTTTTTGGCGACGATTCGCGATTCGGATGCCGGCGTTCGACGTGTCGCGCTCGTCGTGTTGAACTCGACGGTCCATAACAAGCCGAGTTTGGTAAGAATTGCGAAAATTTGAAAAAAAAATGAGTGGGGGATTTTGTTATTTTTCTGTGCAGATTCGCGAACTTTTGCCGGATTTGATACCGGCGATCTACGAGGAGACGAAATTCCGGCCGGAAATGATCAGAGAGGTCCAAATGGGACCATTCAAGCATCAAGTCGATGATGGTCTCGATCTTCGCAAATGCGCCTATGAATGGTAATTTAACGAATTTAAAAGAGAAACTCAATTTTTTTCCAGTATGTACACCCTTCTTGAGACGTGCGTCGACAAAATCGACGTCAGCGAGTTTCTGTCGTTTGTCGAAGTCGGCCTCAAGGATCCGAGTCATGAAGTGCGATTGTTGAACTTCCTCACACTTCAGAAGTTGTCGACGATCGCGCCCGGACAACTCTTGCAGAGACTTGATAAAATATGCGAGCCGTTGAAGGTTGGTTGATTGGTTTTATGGAAAATAGTGAGAAAATTGCGTTTTTAGTCAAATTTAGAGCAAATTAAATGATTTTCGGGGATTTTTTCTTGGTTATACGATAGATGGAAATATTTTTTGGCAAATTCTTGAATTTACATCTAAAATGTTCAATTTGTATAAGGAAGTACGATTAACGTAAATTTGTCTTCCTTTTTCTCAAAAAAGGACAAAAAAAGGGCGATTTTTGTTTCGCTTGTCGAATTAGATCAAATTAAGCAATCGAACACACACGTGACGACCACACCCTATTAGGAAATGCCGAAAATGCAACAAAAAACTATTTTTCTCTTCAATTAATCGCCGAATAATGCTTGAAATCCGCCGAAATTGGGCTAATTTGGCGTGATTTTTGTGCGAGACAGTGGCGATTTTTTTTTGAGAATCGAAGAATTTCTGAGCAAAAACCAAAAAAACGATGATTGTGTGGAAGTTTGCAAATTTGCAGTCGTTGCTCGGCAGCCGCACGAATAGTGGAGCGATTAAACAGGAGATTGAGAAGCTCGAGGAGCTCAAAAAGGCGGTGATTCGTGTCATTTTCTTGTTGAAGGTAATTTTGGCCTAATTACGGGTTGTAGCCAATTAGCATATTTGGATAATTTCAGTCGCGCCTGCCCGACGTTGACAAGAATCAGCAGTTCTTCGATCTTTACAATACGGTCACGCAAAACAATGACTTGAAGGTGAGCTTGAATTTGTTGGCTCAAAATTCGAAAAATATATGGTTTGATTTCTACAGTAATCCTACCGTAATCATGGTGAATTAAAAAAAAACAGTTTGAATTTTTGTAATATACAGTAATCCTACCGTAACCCTGTAGCTCTTTTCCTAAACTTTTGAGAGTTTTTTTTTCCTATTGGCACTTTCTGAAATCGTTGAAAATGAACTTTTGGAACCTACAGTAATCCTACAGTAACCCTGAGCTTCGAGATATTTTTAAGAGCTTTCGAAGTTGTTTTTTTTTTTGAAATTTTTAGCGTAACCCAAAAGCAAATGTCTTACAGTAATCCAACGGTAACCCGAATTTTAAAAATTGCAGTTAATCTCGGAATGTGTGATTCGTGAATCGCAACGCGCCGTCGTCTACGACGTTCCAATGGAAACCGCCTAAATATGGGAAATTATTGGTTTTTTATAGCCGAATCTTCATTTTCTGTGTCGAAATGTGTACATGAAATGCATATTTATTATATTTTGTCGGTTTTTTTCCCTTTCCGTTTCCTCTTCCCCTCCCCTTCCCTCCTCCTCCCCCCCTTGTCATTATCTAGTTTTATATACAGGGTGTCATTTAAGTTCCCGCACAAAAGTTTGACGCCATGTAGAGCTTCGCTAACGCACTTTTCGTACACCAATACAATTTATTTTTATTGAACAAGGTATATTTTACTTACTTTCCAAGTTTCACCTCATTCGGATGTGCTTCCGAGAAACGGCGAAGGCTAACATCCATCGCGCTTCCATTATCGAACTTCATAAGCAAAATGTGAGCCCGAGAGACATCATTCAACGGGTCGGTGTGCCTTGTAGAACGGTTTATGACACCATCAAACGATTCAAGGAGCTAAATACGACCAGTGACCGTCCCAGACAAGGAAGACTCGTCTCAGTAACCACTCCTCAGAAGATCAACGCCGTCAAATCGAGGATCAGCCGAAACCCCCACAGGAGCATGAGAAAGATAGCGTCAGACATGGGAATGAGCATCTTCGCTTTGGAACAAATCGTCAAAACGAAGCTTGTACTGACCCCATATCGTGTCCAAAAAGCGGCAATTCTATCGGCCGTCAACAAGCAGAGACGCTTCGAAAAAGCAAAACGACTTCTTGCTCGCACGCGGTCTGGACAAGATCTCGTCACTGTCTTCTCCGACGAGAAGCTATTCACTGTGGAGACGGCATTCTACTCACAAAACCATTGAGTACTTGCCCAGACATCCCAGCAAGCTTCTGAGAAAGGAAAAACAATTAATCGAGCCTCACATCCTGCCAGTGTGATGGTTTTCGGTGCCATCTGCTCAACCGGGATGTGCCCCCAGGATTTCGTGGATCAGGGAGTGAAAATGAACAAAGAAGTCTACGTTCGGGACATTTTGGAGAAGCATGTGATGCCCTGGAGCCAAACGCATTTCGGTGGGCAGATATGGGTCTTTCAGCGGGACGGAGCACCCGCCCACACTGCCAAAACTACTCAGGAGTGGTGCCAGACCCATTTTCCCGACTTCATCAAGTCATCCGAATGGCCTGATTGCTCCACAGATCTGAAACCGCTTGACTTTTCCGTGATAGGGTCTTGCAGGAGAAGGTCAACGCAAAACCCCACTCAAGTGTAGAGGCTCTGAAGAGGACATTACTGGCGGAGTGGGACAATCTTTCCATCGAATACCTGCGTACCACAGTCGCATCCTACCCGAAGCGTCTCCGTGAAGTCATAGCTGCGAAAGGAGGCCGAATCGAAAAGAGTTAATAGATAATTATTTGTTGTACTATAGATAAATAATATTTTGAGTCTCGTTTGATTTGGACTTTTAGTTTCAGAAATATACGTCTTCAAAGTTGTGCGGGAACTTAAATGACACCCTGTACATACAATTATTTATTATAATTATAATTGTTTACACACATACCGACTTCGGAATAGAGGGTGGGGGCCGATTCGCGATGGGACCCGAGATTTGATTTGGGGGATTGGAATCGGATCATGATTGAATCGACTGATAGGCGACAGTTGTGCGAATGATGATGGGACGGCGATTTGTTTTATTACACACACCTACATATCTTTGTTTCGTTTCCCCTTCCCCTCCCCGTGCCGCCTCGCGTGTTCCCCGTCCGATGTTTGCCACCCTCATCCGGAAACAACGGCGATTTCGTTTCATTTCTTTCTTTTTTTTGGTTTTCGACGTTCCAGTCTTTAATTTCTTTAGTAAATCGTATTTTTTTCTACGTGCCGTTGAAATCCAGAAGTATGTTCGATCTTCCACCCAAGCTTTTTGAGTAATAGAAAATGTTCGATCTTCCACCCCAAGCTTCTTGAGTAATAGAAAATGTTCGATCTTCCACCCAAGCTTTTTGAGTAATAGAAAATGTTCGATCTTCCACCAAAGCTTTTTGAGTAATAGAAAATGTTCGATCTTCCACCGAAGCTTCTCGAGTAATAGAAATGTTCGATCTTCCACTCCCAAGCTTCTTGAGTAATAGAAAATGTTCGATCTTCCACCCAAGCTTTTTGAGTAATAGAAAATGTTCGATCTTCCACCCCAAGCTTCTTGAGTAATAGAAAATGTTCGATCTTCCACCGAAGCTTCTTGAGTAATAGAAAATGTTCGATCTTCCACCCAAGCTTTTTGAGTAATAGAAATGTTCGATCTTCCACTCCCAAGCTTCTTGAGTAATAGAAATGTTCGATCTTCCACCCAAGCTTTTTGAGTAATAGAAAATGTTCGATCTTCCACCCCAAGCTTCTTGAGTAATAGAAAATGTTCGATCTTCCACCGAAGCTTCTTGAGTAATAGAAAATGTTCGATCTTCCACCCAAGCTTTTTGAGTAATAGAAAATGTTCGATCTTCCACCCAAGCTTTTTGAGTAATAGAAAATGTTCGATCTTCCACTCCCAAGCTTTTTGAGTAATAGAAAATGTTCGATCTTCCACCGAAGCTTCTTGAGTAATAGAAATGTTCGATCTTCCACTCCCAAGCTTCTTGAGTAATAGAAATGTTCGATCTTCCACTCCCAAGCTTCTTGAGTAATAGAAATGTTCGATCTTCCACCCAAGCTTTTTGAGTAATAGAAAATGTTCGATCTTCCACCCCAAGCTTCTTGAGTAATAGAAAATGTTCGATCTTCCACCGAAGCTTCTTGAGTAATAGAAAATGTTCGATCTTCCACCCAAGCTTTTTGAGTAATAGAAAATGTTCGATCTTCCACCCAAGCTTTTTGAGTAATAGAAAATGTTCGATCTTCCACTCCCAAGCTTCTTGAGTAATAGAAATGTTCGATCTTCCACCCAAGCTTTTTGAGTAATAGAAAATGTTCGATCTTCCACCGAAGCTTCTTGAGTAATAGAAAATGTTCGATCTTCCACCCAAGCTTTTTGAGTAATAGAAAATGTTCGATCTTCCACCCAAGCTTTTTGAGTAATAGAAAATGTTCGATCTTCCACTCCCAAGCTTCTTGAGTAATAGAAATGTTCGATCTTCCACCCAAGCTTTTTGAGTAATAGAAAATGTTCGATCTTCCACCGAAGCTTCTTGAGTAATCGTCATGCGAATTCAACAAACTTTCCATCTCTCTTGTTTTTTTGTGTGTGTTCCCCAAATTCCTTACACACAATGCCCGATTTTACGCTTATCATCCTGCCGAGTAAAACCAATCCGGATTTCATATTAAACTTTGCGATCTTTGCATTATTCCGTGTGGTTTCACCATTTTCTTCGACGTTTATCTGAAACGTTTCAGCGATGTACTGTAGATGGATGTGACGTTGAGCGGTTTGAATGAAAAAATGGTCACGCAATAAATTGTCCGAAGCGATTTTTTTTTTCAATATTCTTCAATTTTTCTGGATTATTACATTTGATATCCTAGTCCGCAAACATCTTCGCATTTTTTAGAAAAAAAATTGAGTACTGTAGGTCAGAAAGTCTGCAAACACTTAATGTTTAAAAAAATTTAAAAATAGTTTTAATACTCCTCAAACGGGGTACTGTAGATTTTAAAAGTCCGCAAGAAGTTGGAAAAAATAATTTCGTTAGAAATATTTTATAAAATTTTCAGATAAAGAAATTTAAAACTAAAAAATTCCAAAAACATTTAAAAGTGCCCAGTTGGCTTAAAATAACACAAAAGGTGAGTACTGTAGGGGTAAAAAGTCCGCAAACACTTAAAAAAACTTATTTTCTAAAAAAAATCGCATAAGAATGTAAAAACGAAGTACTGTAAGGGCGAAAAGTCCGCAAACACTAAAAATTTCAAAAAATTGTGTACTGTAGGTGCAAAAAGTGCGCAAACACTAAAAATTTCAAAAAATTGTGTACTGTAGGTGCAAAAAGTCCGCAAACACTTTAAAAAACTTATTTTCTAAAAAAATCGCATAAAAATGTAAAAGCGAATTACTGTAGGTGCACAAAGTCCGCAAACACTAAAAATTTCCAAAAAATTGTGTACTGTAGGTGCAAACACGCGAAATTTTATGATATTGACATTCGTAAAAATTGTTTATCAACAAAAATCGATCGTTATCAAAAAAAAATTTTTTAAAGCCATATTTGGAGTCGCCATTGTCTCTCTCTTTTTCCCCCGCTGCCACTGACTATTATTAATCATTTCGCCGCCCAAAAACCAGTCGATATTGAACTGGTTTCAACGAGAAGCTTTTCCATGCGTTATTGTTTTCCAGTGCTTCAGTGTCGCCAAATTCCATCACGAATATCGCCAATGGTGAAAAATTTCGACATTTCATTTTTTTTTTGTTCGAAACCAACCACAACCAGTTATTCCTCAGGTGTTCTTCGCTAATTTCGAACAAGGTCAACTCATTCTTCTCGATTTGCTTTACTCGTTTGTTTGACTCATCCGCATTCTTACCATATTTGGTCGACGGCTCCGCCTCCCACAAATCTTCAGCGCGCGCTGCAACAACGCCAATTTATCAATATTTCAAGGCGGTTTCACTGATAATACTTGATAATTTCCCGAATGAGACCAATAAAAATATTTCATATATATCCATTTTTTTCGGGTTCTGGAAGGACATTTCTTCCGTCCAGCCTTATATTCCACTCATTCCGTCTTCATGTTGTGGTTTAGGCCGATGTCGTTGAGCAATGGCGGTTGGTCGTCGTTGTCGATGATTTCCGATGTTCTACCCGAAGAGGAGTTTGAGCGAGACGGTAGGTGGAATCGAACCAGCGACAGTCGATTTGGTTGCGCGCGCGCGATTTGCCACTTCTCCACATTGCATAAAATGAGTGTCGGGGAAAGTGTGGTGAAGAACTTGCGGTGGCCCAAAAATTTTATCGAAACGCTTCAATGAAGAGAAAAAGCCGAACAATGCGCCTCTGTCCCCATTTATGGGCATAATCGTTTTCCTGCTTCCATTCATTGTTGTGGGGTGCCCGCGACTTCGCCAGCCATAAATTCGCAATGACCTTGCCAATGCATACCATATAAGGCTCATTCATTGGTGTTAAGCATGTATCATCAACGCGGTTTGCACAAAACGTGTAAGTTTTTGTTTTTCGTTGTGTTGATGAAAATCGGCCACCGCGGGTTTCTTATATGCCGATAATGGGGCGACCCGCAGATGTGATCTATGGCTTTGTGGATTAGCGCGCGATTGATTGCGTGCGTTTTGTCGCTGGTTCGATCCCCGCACCATGCGTTTTGCAACAAATGATTCTACATATTTGTAGATGAGCTCGTTTTATCGGAGAATGAGCGCCTCAGAAATCGCGTCGAAGAGCTGGAGAAGGTGGTGCTCATGCAAAGGAATGAAATTGTAAGAGGATACCCAATTTTCCACTCAGCATTTCCCGATTTAGATGCTTCTCCAAGCGTCGACGGCCGATATTCTGCGACGAGTCCAACATTTGGAATCGAACAACTCGCCAATTGCCCATCAATACGCTTCACGTAAGAGTCATCGTACGCCACTACAGTAATCCGACGGAATTACAGTACCCCGTTCGCGAATGTCAAGCTCGAGATCGAGCTACAGTGTGCCGAAGTCGGCGTCGCCGCTGCCGCCGTCACGAAGCCTCTACACATCAATGAACGGTGTGAACAATAATGGCAAAGGGGGACCCGAAATTGTCAAAATGGTCCGTTGGCGTTCAAAAATGATTCCTCTACGTCATTTTCGTTTTCCAGAGATCCCCGTCTCGTCGAAATGGTCCCGACATGATCAACGTGTCGTTGGGCAAAAGCGCACGCGGCTCGCCGATGCGCAAATGGGTCTCGACGCACGAGATCAAAGACATCGACGCCGTCAGACGGATTTCGATGTCGTCGGAAGCGTCGACGTCGACATCGACGACGACGACGACGTCGCCGCCGATCATCAAAACGATTCCACGAGCCGATTTGTGAGTGTTGAGATCGATTTATTTTGTTGTTCGCATGGTGCATGGCGCATGGTGTATGGTGTGTGCGCTTTTTTCAGACATCGCCAATCGACACCATCGTTTTTTTCCCTGTGTTCCGTCAAACCGCACTCGGTCGCCTACAGTATACGGTAAAGCTCCGCCCCGTTTGATCTACCGCAATTTTTGTGATTCGCATGCTTTTCAATAAATGAATTTTCACCAAATCTTCTCGATTCTCTCGACTAACTCGTTCTACACGCAAAAAATTGTGATTGTGTGCAATTTGGCGTCAATTCCGGTGTCTACGGATTTTGTTTTTCAATTCGCGACTCGAAAAGCACCGCTGCGTCAATTTCGATGCATTGTCCGCATTATGTCGTCAATTTCGGTGTCCTCTGTGCATTTTCACGTCAATTTCAATGTTGGCATTTTTTTGGGGTTTCCGGATTTTCAGCCGCCGCGCTCCCGTACATCCCACCAATGGCACTCTGCCAATAGCCATCGGCAACAAAACCGTGACGATTCCGATTCCCGTCGACTACGGTACCGACAATTCATTTAAAGGCGCACACACTAATTTCAGAGGACTGGGATCCGAACAACGAGGAGCAAGAAGCGCCCGACGTGAAGCTCGAACTCAAATCGGTCTACAGTATGACATGCGCCTTTAAACTCGCAAAAACAATCACTAAACGTGTTTCAGCGTATCGCGGCAAAGATGTTCGCCGAAACGTCGACGTGCTGCCGACCGGCGAGCTGCTCTTCTTCACCGCCAACCTCGTCGTGCTCTGGGACAACGTCAGCGGGCGTCAGCGCTTCTATCAGGGTCACACGTGCGACGTGAGATGCGTCGCGCTTCATCCGAACAAGGTGTTCGTCGCCAGCGGCCAATCGTCGTGTCACGGCGTCGACAGAACGCCGCGATTCGAGCAGCACACGCGACCGGTCGAGAGTTACGAGGAGCTCGTCAGACAGTTGGAGCGCGAGCACACCGAGGCGCACGTGCGCATCTGGGACAGCGTCAAACTCGCGACAATCGCGATTATCGGCGGCTTCGACGCGAATTTCGAGCGCGGCATTTGCCACGTGGCGTTCTCCGCACACGACGCCGGCGTTCATTTGGCGTGCGTCGAGGAGAGCGTCCGACATACGCTCACCGTATGGAATTGGGCGAAAATTCGAAAAATTGCCGAAGTCAAGGTGCGAATTTTGTCGTGGACAACAAATTAAAAAAAAAATAATTGCTCGGGTACTGTAGTTCCTGCATGTCCGCAATGTGTCGGCACGCGAAATTGCGTACCCGCGTTCTGTTTTTTTTTCCTTCCAAATTCATTTTCCCCATTTTTCAGGCGGCCAACGACGTGATTTTTGAATGCTCATGGCATCCGACAATCAGCAATTTAATAGTCTTATACGGAAAAGGTCATTTCTCATTTTTCCAATTGGATTTGACGAATGGGGTGCTGCTAAAAACGCCGGCGGTTTTCGAGGTAAACGCTCGATTTTTTTTCGCTAGATTTTTTCAAAAAAACGAAAATTCAGGGACGCGATAAGCCGAAAACCGTGCTCAGCATGTGCTACACACCGTCGGGCCACGTTGTCACCGGCGATTCGAACGGCACCATCACCATTTGGGACGCGGCGAGTTGTAAATCGTTGAAGCAGGCGCACTCGGTGCACCCCGGCGGCATTTACGCGTTGTGTTGTGCCAACGGCGGACGATTGTGGAGCGGCGGCAAAGATCGAATGATCAGCGAGTGGCAAATCGACGATCTTGTCAGATCACGAAGGCCAATCGAGGTGCGAATTCATGATTTTCAAAAAAAGAAAAAAAAGTTTTCTCTCGAATTTTCCAGCTTCCCGACGATCACGGCTTCGCAAGAATCCTTCTGCCGACGTCAAACTCCGAGCTTCTCATAGGCACATCGACGAACTCACTGATTTCGGCGAACTTCGCCAATGGCTTCAATATGACGTCGCTCATTGAAGGCGATTCTGAAGAAGTGAGCTCGATGGTCGCGCTTGGAGCCGACCACATCATCATTGCATCGTTGGGCGGCAGTATTCGACGGTGGAATTTAAAGGAGCATAAGGTGGAATGGTCCAAAAAGTACCTGGTAGGAAATTGGGCGGGCGTTTTTTTAAGTAAAAAATTGCACAAAAAAAATTTCAGTCTGGAATTGAATGTGTCGACGTGGATTCTTCAAATACCCATCTTCTCATCGGATTCTCGTTGGGAAAATGGTCAATAATCAATATGACAGCTCAGGTTTCTTTTTCTCCCATCGAATTTCCGAAACATCCTAAAATCGCGATTTTGAGGAGACGATTGAAGACCGAAAAGAGGGTCAAACGCCGATAATTTGCGTGAAATTTGCGCCGCTCGGCGGCACATTTGTCGTCAGCAGCGGCGAGCCGGCGGTCATCATCTATCGAATCGACGCAAGTCGAAACATTCTGAATTTGGCGAAAATTTCGCGATTGAGCTCGCCGATTTCGAGTGTCGATTGGTCGACGGACGGCCAATTTTTGAGGGCCAATGGAGCGAATTTGCATTTTTGTGAGTGCTTTTTTCTGCAAAAATTAAATGAAAACTGACTCTTTCGAGATAAACTTGAAAAATGTTTTGGAAATTTTCAGAAAAATTCATTTTCAAAAGCAAATTTTTCAATTTTTTTCTCCGTAAGCTGGATTTGAAAAGAAGAACTTTCGAAGAAAATCTACATAATCGACCTAAAATTTGAAAAATCGCAAAATTCGGTTAATTAAAACAAGAATTTTAATTTTTTCTATTAAAAATTCCAGCAATGTATGTTTTTGGAAAAATTCCAGTCAAAAAATAATTGATTTGAGAAAATGGGGCAGTTTTTTCGAATAAAATCGCATAAATTGGTTGTATTTTGGGAATTCTTTATGAAAATTCCCAGTCAATACTTTTTTGTTTTTTTTTTTCCTACAAAATCTTGAGAATACTTTTCTTCTTTTTTTCCAATTTTTCTTTAAAAAGAATCTCAACCCGTAATCTCTACGTTTCACGCAATTTATAAAACCAATTCGTGTTATGCGAAAATTAATCTCATACGTCCAATTGCGCTAAGCGTTGTCCCCCCGAAGAGAAAACAATAATGGAATATTTTGCAGGGTCTCGCAACGGCGAGGTCGTCGAAATGGCGACATCTCGCGATATCAAGTGGTTCACTTCAAAATGCCCAATTTCGTTCGAAGCCGCCTTAATTGCGCATTCGAGCGGCGGCGAAATTTGCTGCTCGGCGAGATCGCGCGACGACAAACTGCTCGCGTTGGGCTTCAAAGACGGCACCGTTCGAATCTACCGTAATCCGGTGACGAGCTTGACGGTAGGCCAATGATGGCGAATATGGAATGGTGATTCGAGTTCAGGCGGGATTCGTGCAGCTCGCCGGACACGGCAAACCGATTCGCAACGCGACATTCGTCAATGAGACGACACTGATGACGAGCAGCGTCGCGGAATCATCAATATTTGAATGGTCCCTTTCGTAATACATGCATTGCCCAACAAATTTCTGGAATGCGCCTATTTCCTGTATAAAATTGCGCAATTTTGGTGGCGGATGCTTCGCAACAATACGCCACAATGGTGTGTTTACCACCCATATATTGAGCATAATGGGTGACACCTAATAGGAAACAAACGGGGCAATGTTTGCACTTTGGTGGTGGGTGGATGGTGTTGGAAAGTTGAGGTCAATTTGAGAATGCACGTCGTGACTTCTTAACTCCGAAAATGGTGTCAACACTTTGACGAGCAATTACACAGACGAAATGAGATTGTTTTACAATTTGCACTTGAGAATTTTCGTGCTGAAGCTGGAGCTTCATTGTTATTGTTTTTCGCAAGCTAACACTGTGAAATTTTAGCAACTCCTTATTTGAATTGAAACGAGAATTTTTCAGATTCGGGGGCAATGAATTTTTGAAAAAATATCAATAATTCTGTCTTGAAATTGTGTTTTTTTAGATGTTGACGAATAAAAATGTAAAATAACCTTAAAATGATATACAATGTTCCCATTTTCAGAAAAAAAACGACTATAAAACTAAAAAAAAAAACTAGCTTTTACCGTTTTTTTTTTAATGTCAGGTTTTCCCCAAAATTAGGTTTGTTTTTTTTTTTATTGAGCACCGGCAAAACGGATACGAAAAATTCGTTGTTAGGAGAAAAAAAAATAGTTTTGTGATATTATTAAAGAAATAGAAAATTGATATTAATTTGTGGTTGAATTTATTTGGGTCGACTCAAAAACAATTCTTTAAATTTCACATTTTTCAAAAAAAGAAATTAGATTTCTGAAGATTTTGCACCATCGGCATAATATGAATATGGGATTCTTTTAAAATTCAAAGTTCAAGCTGCTTCTGATGATTCACGACTCGCTAGTGTGGCCTAGAAGAACTTTGTTTGAAAAACTAGGCCCACAGCCATTTTGATGAGTGGAACTGAATGAATAAAAAAAACACAAATTCTAATTTTGAAGAATTTGACTTGCTTTTTTTTGATATTTTAAAATGTCTAATTTACTTTGACTTTGAAAATAAAAAAATCGTGAGCCTCAGATTTTAGTTGGAAATCCGAAAATTGGACAAAAATTTTCCCCCCTTCATCCCCCCAATTTGAATAATGGAATCTCTTACACATTTGGCACCGATGAGCGACCTTGTTCGCACCTACGATGATACTTCCAGCCGCTACATTCGCAATATGTCACGTTTGTGCATTAACACATTTTTGTGTGTTCCCAAAAGCAGTCTAACACCTCAACAATCTGAAAGTGTACTTGGTTATTATAGTAGTAGTTGATCTCAATGGTCCCTTCGAGCAAACCCCCATATATATATGCTCCATTTAATAAGAATATTCGGATCGATATGAATGAATGAATGCATTATATATACGGTGACTTGGTCGCGCGCGCGAGAGGCTCCCACCAGCTAAGCAAACAAAACGGTGTACCTGAGGGCCGGGTCGGGCCGGCCCGGCTCAACGACGACGGATTTTGATGATCGAATAATCTCGTCACCCATCGATTATTACTTAACAGTTTTCCGGTGCGGCCGTTGCGCAATCAGCCTCAAGTGGATGCTAAAAATGTGCACTTGAGCAACTTTTTCTTGTGCGGCATTTCGCTTTATCGCGATTTCGCCGCCGCCGCCGCCGCGTTCGATCCTGAAAAAGAAACAGTGATTTCGTTTATTTTGGGGAAAAAAATTGAAAATTCGAAAACGACAATTTTTGAAAGTGCGCGTCGAATGGCGCGCCGGTCTGCAAACACCGCGACGATGAAATGCGGACGATGAAAATATCGTTTCGAAATTACTTTTTGTTTTTTGGATTTTTTGTTTGTCCTCCCCCCAATTTTCCCTTGTTCGCACATTGTATAATGATACTTCCAGCCGTTGTGGACATTCTCAACACGTCACTTAAGTGGAATTCGCACATTGATGTAGTTTCCCGAGAGCAACAACACCACCGAGCAATAATATATCTATGTATATTTAGAGGATTGCCATTTAAAGTGCACTTCGATTGCGATATTCGTGACGGTTATCACGATTTTATTTCATGAATATTGAAATTTGGATTTATTACAAAAAAAATTGGTGGAGAAATTGCGCGAAAGGTCGAGCAAAAAAAATGCAAATTGCCGAGCAGATTTTCAACGCCAGATGCGATCTGCTCGCGGGAAACATTTGAGAATGTGCTAATTGGGGTTTCGCCAAAAATATTGAGAAAAATGAGTTTTGAAAAATGATATCGAGAAAACGCATGCGATTCGCAATGATTGATGGCGGCGAATGAGTGCAAATACACCTGCCCAATTTTAGGGGGGGGGGAGGCCCATTCGATTTTTAAATGGGCTTCCAAAATTTTCTCAGATTAGCGAGGGGGTCCCTTTCTCGCTTTCGCTTCCCCCGACATTCCCAAAATCGTAATCAAAAGAATTCGTAAAGTGTTGAAGGGGTGGGTGGATTCAGCGCGCCGCCAAAAATGTTTTATGTGCGTCCCATAAAATCTGATGACGCATTCAAATGCTTCGGCATACTGTAGCAGAGAGGCATCATCACCATCAAACCTTTTATGGGTGCTAATCGTCGGCTGGCTGCTCGCAGGACCCCCCCCCCCTCCTCCCGCTTTTGAATGCGCGAAAAACAACAATGCGATATATCATCAAAAATGTTTTAATGGCCCGGTTACGGTATTTACGGCCCACACTACAATAGAGGCGGCAAAAGCTTTGCGAGGAATTGATGGTCCCCCCCCCTAAATAAAAGGGCTTCATATTTTTCGATGAGAAAATCGGCGGCAACCAATTTTAATTAATTTCGCGAGATTCTCGAGAGGCGACGAGACGGATACGGAATTGAAGATTTCAGAGAGGCGAGACGAATTTTGATTCTAGCAAATCGTGATACATCATTCGGAAGGTTTTTCAAAACGGGATTTTCGAATTTCGACATCAAAATTTACGCGTAACTCATTTTTAATACCATTTTTGCAAGTTCAGCCCAATGATGACCTTGTCAGCAATTTGCCATAAATGTCGCTAATCCGTTATACGGCGGGGGGGGGGCGGCGAACGGACCAAGTTTTCTGGGAGCTCAAGAGGCTGCCGGAATGATTGCGTCAAGTAGGATCGAGAACAAAAAAAATATCATTGCTTTGTGCGAACTCGCGCCGACCACATTTGGTTCGTTACAAGACCCGATATGGGAGAAGAAGGTGAAGAACGGGGAGAAGCTCAAAATGAAACGAGACAACGAATGAGGGGGCTATTGGGTGGACCGGGGGGGGGATTCCGGCGAATACATAAATATATATCTATCTGAATTTGCCTTCCTTTGCTTGCGTTTCGTTCGGTTCTTTATTATTTGCTAAAAGCAAAACTTTGGCATATATTTAGCCGAGATTCGGCGCCCCCCACCCCCACCCCTTTCTGCCGGATGGTGGTGGTGTTGAATCCGATTGGTGTGATGCCGATGTCATTTCAAAAATCGCTTCGGGACCTTTGGTGCCATCGGCGAAGCTCTCCCCCACCGCACATCGGCTTGCAGCCAATCAACGACGCCGGCCACGCCCACTTTTTGTCCGAACGAAAATGAGTGCGCGCGCGCCGCCAAAAAGCCGCCCCGATTTTGTTTGCTCATCGTTGGAGGGGGACGGCGATGATGAAGAGAGAGAGAGAGAGAGAGGAAGAGATGGTGAGCCTCCGTAGATCCTCTTTTGACATATACCTTGACGAACGACACGTGTCGAGAAATAGCGCGTCGTCGAATAGAGACTTGGACACATTTTCAGAATCGGCGATGGTTCGATGGAGGGGAGGGATGGAAGCCGGCCAGGTGAGGAAGAGAATGAGAGAGGCGATGGTGACAGTACGACGAACTGTGCCGGTACCGTATTGTACGTTTATTGGCGGCTTGGGGGCTGGCCCTCTCTCTCTCTCTCTCTCCCATCGACTCCCGAAAGCCGGGCCAGCTTTTTCTCCACACATTCGTTGCCAGACCATTTCAGTGTGTCTAACAATTTTTCAAAATAATTTTTGCATTTTTTCCTTCATCACCAAATCCCCCCATTGAAATCCGTCTCCCGCCCTCCCTCAATCAATCTCGTTTCTCGATTTGTCGGGGGGGGTTTCTGATGTTCTATTAATAGAAGCGAACCGGTTGGTGTTGCAACAAATTTGGAATCTTGCTGGATCAGCGATTCCCTGATCCTTGGATCATAATGATGGTGCTGTGTGGGATTCCGGAAATTATTAATTACATGTTTTTTTTTGGTAAAATCAGCACATTCAAAACCCCGAGGATCCTTGATCCGATCCATGGACCAAGAATAATAAAAAAGGATTAGATCCTCTAGAACACCTCAATTTTCGAGATAAAAAAAAATTGGATAGAGATTTCGGATGAAAAAAAATGCTAAATCGATTTATTGAGTTTTTGTTTTTCGCTAATTTCTATGGAAAATCTAGAAATGCTGATTTCGCTCAATAGGATCCTAATGATCTCAGAGAATCCGATTCGGCCAACTCAATCCTCTTCAAGAGAGGTTCTAAAAAAATTTTAGACGAGAGACTCCCGTTTCTAGATCGAAATGATGCCTTCCATTCGCTTCTCAATGATTCATTCACGTTCACATCATTCTCGATTGTTGACATTTGCGCGAGAAAAGAACCCCCCAAAAAATGGATTTCTCGAAAAATCAAAAATTGCGCCGGCCCGGAAGATGTCCGCAGATGTTGTTTGGAAAAAAAACGAAGAAACGCGGCTCACGCCGAATTTTTTTTGGAATTCACTGGAAAAAACCAGTTTCAGAGAATGTGCGAATCAATGATGCGCGTAGATTCTTGCCAATCAAGCTCGACAAAATTTCTTCTTCCCCTTTTGTTCGGATGACCTTGCGAATCGAGCCAATACTACCCAGATATAGGCATATTCAAAGTAGTAATATAATATATATATTTTATATATGTACCTCAAGGGGGGGGGTGCGCGCGGAGAGTGGGAGGGCGCCGATGAGTCACGGGCAACACAGACGGTCCACAAGGTGTGTTGGTATGGAATCGAATCTCGCACTCCGATTTATCAGCACTATCTCGCATCGCTCGCCTCTGAAGCCCGAAGGAGAACCAAAAAAAAAGACGAGCGAGCGCGCGCGCGCCCTAAGAGACATCGTATGCACATGAAGAGGGCGCGAGACAAAGAGTTGGGTTACACACACACACACATACAGCCAAGACGTATAAGGCATTCGACTATTTTTTTTTTGGTTGTGCGTGCGCCTCGTCGTCCACACCACCCTCTTTTTGGTACTGTTAATGATAAGACGAGCATCGCAAAACTATTGATTATTATATATTATTATCATCGTCAAACCGCCTAACCTAATATAGTAGAATGGCTCGAGTCAAAAAGGTATGTCTATGATGGTGGGGGGGGGGGGGCTATGGCGAGAGCTCTCAGCTTTCTTGCTTCTTGTAACTTGATAGTCTCGCGGTGGGCATTTCCTCCCAAAAATTCGGCCCCCTTCTGAATATCAGCGTCTACACTGGAATAATGTTTGTTTGTTTGTTTATTTATTTGTTTATTCATTTGTTGTGTTGTCGCTGATTTGGCGGATTGTCGCGATCGATATTCCTTCCTCTTCTTCTCAATTTTTTTTGGCAATGATATGAATATTCAAAACGTGGGAACCCAACGCTAACCGTCTCGTCCTACCCCCCCCCCTCCCATTTTTATGATTTCGCGGGCCGAATGCTATTAAGCAATCCCTAAAAATTCAATGCAATGTTTTTTTTTCCGCGAGCACCATTTATTGCGTTTTCTAGTGATCGCCTCGGGCGTCGGGGGGGTCCGTCCATTCCGTCCGCCGAAATTGGAAAATTTTTGATGTGAAGTGCACACACTTGAGTAATTGAACTGGGTCAATTGTTGAGACGGATCTCTTTACAGTTCCAACCGTTATACACGCTCATTCTTCTAGGAGGTCGCCGATTCCGCGCCATCCACCACCAACAACAACCACACCGATTCCGAAGGTGAGGAGGAAGACACCGAGGAAGAGGAGGAGGAAGAGGAAGACGACGACGAAGTGGTGACCGACGACGATAGTGTTGAAATGCTGCCGACTGTGGCGACGACGTCGAGTAGCGGCGGCGGCGGCGGCGGCTCGACGAGCACCGACGCTATTTATCAGACCGCAATGCAGGTGGGGGCTGACAAATTTGAATTTCGTCTTATTTTCAATTTTTCGACAAATGAATCATCATTGATTGCTCATTGAGTTACTCAGTCGTTCGCCACCATCACCACCCCACCCCACCCCCTCTCTCTCTCTCTCCCTCATCGTCTTTTGGCCAACGCCAAAAATTTGATGATAACAATTTTTGGGGCGAGCGTTGTAGGACAAGGTTTTTATCATACGCCTAACTCGTTGCGTTCGACTACCTCGGCCCTTAAAAGGCGTTGTTGCTCTCGCGCATATCACAACCACCATTTTTATCGCACCACGACCCCCCACCTCCCTCCACCCATAGACGCAGTCTCTCTGAGGTCAAATTTCGGCTTATTATGATAATAATAATAATTATTATTATTTTTGGAAGTGCTGGCCTCAATTTAGTATAGTTCCTTAAGGGTTTCGCAATGGTAGGGTGGGATATGCGCCTTTAAAATGTTGCGACGGGTCTCGATGATAAGACATATTAGGTGACGTCAATTATTAAAATGGAATGAAGCTTGCGAGAAAAAAAAACGAAATTGAACGACCCAAATGACGGAAAAAAAAATAGAAAAATGGTGAGCCAGAATGGCACGCATTTGCATGTAGTGTATGTGTCGGAATGGCGGCGACGACGACGACGACGACGACGGCCAAAAAAGAAGCCAAATATTTATTCAATTTCTATTTATTTATCCAAACCAAACCGAGAGGGATGGAGGTCCCCAAAGCCCGCCCACCATCTCGGAAGGCCCATCATCAATTGTGGACAGGGTGGTGGGGAACCGGAGATGGAATTTTTCGATGGTCCCGCTGATTCTCCCCCCGACGGGAGCTTCTTCATCATCGAGGCCGAGCGAGTTGGATGGTGGGGCGTGACCAGCGGATTACGGTAGGCCTCGGTGATGATGATGATGGTGGTGGTGGTGTGGGCGGAGTTTTGCGCGACTCGCCTGCTTGGGTTGCGAGAGACACTCTACTATGCTCGGGTTGTTGAGCGCACCACCTCCCCTTCCCTTCCCCTCCCCCCTCCTCTTTTCGTCGCACCTCGTAGAACAAAATTCTTTTTTCCCCCACGTCCCACCATTGCTCGTTTTACCTTTTACATGCAAAATGTATATCTCAATTTGGGGGATGTTTACTTTTTTTTTGGGTGGCTTGTTGGTGTTATTCGCCCTTTCAGCCTCCTCCTCCTCCTCCAACACCAATAAAAAATTTATGTCAATATTTGCAGGGAATGAGCGCCCCGGAATACGCGGCCGTTCTACCGGCCTACTCGAACTCTTCGCTGAACTACCAAACGTATCAGTATCCGTCGGCGAACGGCGGATTGAACACGCTAACGTATCCCGCTTATAATCAGTATGGCACGAGCGCGCAAATCAACTCGACGTACGGCGGCTTTATGCCGGGCGGCATTTCGCCGCTGAGCTCGGCGTTCTCGAGTGCCGCCGGCGCGGCGTCGGCTGGATCGGCGGCAACATCGACGGCGTCGCGAATCGCCGCCGCCGCCGTCGCCGGCCGATCGGCCAACTCATCCGGCAGCTCGTCGGCAATCGCGTCGGGCGCCGCCTCATCATCGCCAACGGCGATCAGCTATTCAACCGGCGGCACCGGAAGCGCCGGACAAGAATTGACAGCATCCGAATATGTAAGTGTTCTCGCATTTCAACAATTCCCCATTTTCTTCTCCAGGAGAACGTTCGCGAGAAAATCCGCCGCAACGGAACGTACGGTCACGCGAAACCGCCCTACTCGTACATCTCGCTGATCACAATGGCGATTCAGAAGTCGGACGCGCGAATGCTAACCTTGTCGGAAATCTACAATTGGATAATGGAATTGTTCCCCTACTATCGTCAGAATCAACAACGCTGGCAGAATTCCATTCGGCACTCGCTCTCGTTCAATGATTGTTTTGTTAAGGTGCCAAGGTAAGTGGGTGGCTTCTCATTCATTCAGTTTTTTTTTGTGGCGTGGCCCGCCACACGAACGCAATGATCCGTGAAGGTGTTCTTCGGCGATCGGCTTGCCAATTAGTCATGACGTCCGAACGAGGTTCGGAAGCGGCTATTTGTCAAGTTCGAAGGGGGGGGGAGGGCAATCAATCATGACACAAATCCAATTACCCGCTGTTTACTTTTTTATCTATCGGTTTTTGCAGAACGCCGGACAAGCCGGGCAAGGGATCGTTCTGGACGCTTCACGCGTTGTGCGGCAACATGTTCGAGAACGGCTGCTATTTGCGTCGGCAGAAGCGCTTCAAGGTCAAAGAGCGCGAGCCGAGCCGCAAGAAGCGCAACAATCAGGCGCAGGCGCAAGCGCAAGCGCAAGCTCAAGCGATGAAGGCCGAGAAGGAGGAGAGCGACGAGGCGAACTACGGCGACGACAAGATGAAGGAGGTGAAGACGGAGTTGGCGGCGACGCCCGCCGACGCTCAACCGACGTCGGTGATCTCGTCGGTCGGCTCGCTGAACACAAGCCAATCATCGTTGAGCATGAACCAGTACCAGTACAACAGTCTGTACAACACCGCCGATTTTTCGGCAACATCCGCCCTCCCCGCACTCCAATCGTTCACCATCAATCAGCTCATGGATCCGAAGAATTTCGACTACAATTTGTACAATTCGGGCATGTACCAGACGGCGACGCCCGCCAATGATTATAGCGGCTATCCGCATACGCTGTATAGGTGAGCCCCGTAATAATTCGTCGGTCATTCACAAGCAAATTTCAGCTCGAACAATCCGAACTCGGCGGCGAACCTTTAAAAGAAGAATCAGAAAAATCCCATCAATGATCTCGCAATGTGCAATCCACTGTGTAAATATGAATTGAAGCGATCCCCCCCCCAAAATTGTTGTTTCTTATCATTTTTTTTTTCTTCTTGTTTTGACTGGTCCCAACACAAAAAATGCCTTATCATCATTGAAAATCACCTAGCCCCTACCGGTTGTGACGAATCATCTTTTTCATTTTCAAATTGTTGTGTTGAGCCATTATATGGCTCATTTCAAGAATCAAAAAAAAATAAAAAAATAAAACCCCAATATGGAATTCTGACCTCTTTGCATGAGATCCCCACATAATCGCAATTTTGTTTTTCTTCTCGCTCGTTCCTCGGCATCATAATAATCATCATCATCATCAGAATATATTTATGGGCATTTAATCATCCCGTTTCTTCATTTTTTTTTCTTGTTTTTTTTTGTCTCTCGTTGTTTCCCCCCTCCACGCCAGATTTTCTAGAATATTTGGAAATAAACCATTGAAATTGAGGTTGTGTTTGAAATGGAGAAAAAATTTTTTTTTCTTTTTGAGAATGGTTTTCACCTTTCTTTGTTTACTTTATCTACTTGACACTTCCCCCCCCCAGCCCGGCATTATTCTGGCCAACCGGTTGCTCGCCGGGGCCGACAACTTGAAATTGTCAAGTGGTATTGTTTGCCGCGTGACGGGACCATGGACCATCCAACAAGTTGCTCCATTTTTTTCTCTCTTCTTTTTTTTTTTGATTGACCCCAAAAGTGTTTTTGTTTGTTTTACATTCACTTTTTATGGTAGTGAGAGTGAATACTTAATGGATTAGGCCAAGTGCACGTTGGTTGCGCGCTGCGCTCCGCTCACGGTTACCGTAATCCATTATTCGATTTAATGGATGTTATTGAGTTACTATTGGGAGGCCCTCATCGTAATACGCATTCGTATTTTTTTTACAACAAATTGCGGACTTTTCACTTAAATTGGGAAAACGCCATACCTTACGACAAATTGCGGACTTGCAGTCGATTTTTGACGTGTGGGGTTTGGCGGCGCGATAGTGAAAAAATTGCGGCACGTTATTTGACGCCAAATTGCGGACTTTTCGCTTAAAGGGATGCTCAAGCAAACTATCAATCTGCTAGACCTTACGACAAATTGCGGACTTGTTCCAGAACGCCAAAATGTGGATTTTTTCGTGTTCAAGAAATCAATCATTTCGCTAGGCGTCACATCTTACGACAAATTGCGTACTCTGTCAAATCGCCTGAATCACAATGTTGCCGACAATTCCGATTCGCCCATACCGTTCATTGAACTGTATTCTCGTTGGGCCCTCACTCGCGCGCGATGACGTAATCTCAACAAGCGACCGCAAGCGCAAACATTCGAGCCGCTCCTTCCTTATTAGCGAATTGGATTCCCGCCACGTTCGAAATTCCAGCTGGTAGATCAAAACCGCAATTCAATCTCGCCTTGGCCCCATTTTTTATCTTATCACATTTTGGTGGGACCTTTTTTTTATCAATGAATTGTGCACAAAAAGACGCCGACCGACCGACCGTCCAGTTTTTATTGTTTTTATAATAATAATAATAATAATTGGAATTGATAATTCTGGCGTTGGAGCGCACTTGCTCAATAGCATCGAAACATCGAATAGTCGGTGACGAGATCGTGCACGCCAAAATCGAACGTGGTCTTCGGCAAATGGCCGTCGGATTTCGCCTCGCTCGGAATCGACCAGCTCATTGGAACACCGCAATGACGATAACCGATTGTCATGTTCTGAAAATGAAAAAGCAAGTGTCGAGCTCGAGCGACGAGCATACCATCCCGTGGTAGCAATGGTTTCTGAGGCGAATCTGCAAGTTCGGCTCGAAGAGCCAACTCGACGCGGTTGCGCTTGTCGAAAAATTGCCGTCGGCGTTGGTTCGCATCGTTCGGAGGCGCTTATTGGGAACTGAAAACAATCGACGGAATCAATCGAGGCAACCGGAAGCAGGTTACAGAAGATGTTGACCTCCACCAATTTGACAATGAGATGCGAATAGGGTTTGCCTTTGCATAGAAATTGGCCGCGAATGTCGACGGCGACGTCGCTGGCGGCGGCGGCGACGACGAGAATCAACAAATATTTGAGCATCATTGATTTCTTGGGAATGACCGTCTCAGCGTCACGTCAAAATTCAATCAATTTCAATTAATCTGATGATCAAAATTGATTAGAGCTTATCGATTCTAATCATCGCCACTTGGAAATCTTTTGAGGTGAGACCCCCCCTCTGAGACCCTCAAATTCGATCAATTCACTTGTAAAGCATTTTATAGCAATTCCAGAAGATGTAGGTTGAGTCGACCGTCTGCTCGCCGATGCTATAAACGCGTTTGGCGACGTGCGTGTCGAACTGCATGAAGTACCACGGAATGTCGTAATCGGTGAGACGATTGCACTTCGTTGCCGCTTCGGCTTCCGTCTGGAACAGTGTCGAATCGTGATCGTGACCGATTGCAATCCGACCATGTCGCGATAGCAATGATGCTCGAGTCGGAGAGTCACCGACGGATTGATGATCCATTCCGACGCGAACGCGGCCATCTCGAACTCGCCGTTTTGATTCGTCGCACCGAACGCGAGATCCACGTTCACCACTGCAATCTTCCAATCATGCTTGTGCGTTTTGCATGGATGGCTCCAACTCACGATAGACATTCTTCTCGACGAGACTGACGGTGGCATTCTGAAGGGGTTCGCCTTTGCAAATGAAGCGTCCTTTGATTCGGACGACGACGTACGAGCCGAATGTTGGGTTGATGAGGGCGATGGCGGCGGCGGCGGCGACGAGCACAAGTTTCTGGAGCATTTTGTCAAGAAATGAGCCGCTGATGGGCAATTTCACGTATTTTTCGATTTTGATCTTTATGTGGCAATAGAGCGCGTTTGCTTGCTTTGAGAAATCAATGAAATGGAACTTTATTTTTTTGGAAAACTCGAGCTTCGTGTAGCACCCAATAAAATTGTAGTCGAACACGCCGATTCGACGGCATCGATCCGCCGCTTCATCCTTTGTCTAAAAAAACCATATTTTGGTTCCTCCACACGAGTCAACGGACCATTCCGGTATAGCAGCGGTGCATGAATCGAACGGCGACAATCGGATCGAAAAGCTGAAGGCAAGACAATTTTGAATATCGCTCGCTTCATACCAATGTTGATGTGGTCCCGGACAGCTCAAAGTGCCGTCTCATTGGTCCGAGTGTGGGCCATCACCGTATCGGGTACTGTAAAACGATAGGCGCTTTCAATTTCGCTTTCAATAGTCACATATGAAGTTGTAGCTGATCAGTTCGACGAGATGGTCCTTGATCGGCTCGCCGCCGCACAGAAATTGGCCGGCGACGTGCGACGCCGTCGATTCGCCGCCGACGAATCGACAGCTCGTCATGGCGGCGAGAAGCGCCAACGCGATTCCGCGTCGACTTCCCATTTCTTCTTTTTTTTTGGAATGATTCGAATTGTCGAGGAGCACGCGATGTGTGCAATGGAGCGCGATTGCTCAACAGAAGAAACAATTTATTATTAACAAGTCGTTTAAAATATGCAATTCCAAATATGGACATCCGATTTCATTTCTCGTGTTCCGAGATCGTAGATCTTGCTGAACGAATTCGGCGGATTCTGGAATTCTCGTAGGAAGTAGATGTAGAACTCCTTGTGACAATAGCTTAGAATATTTTGCTGCAAGACGCAATTTCAAATACAAAAATTGGTCCTTCCAAATCTACCGTATCGCCATAGCATTGATGCGCCACGTGGAAGTACGGTGATGGTCCGACGAACCAATCATCGATGGTGCCGGAAATGTCAAAGTAGCCGTCGCCGTCGGTCTCGCCGCGTTTGACAACCGTGTCGGCGACTGACGAATCGAAATCAGTATTCATTGATGCGAGAAATGATTATGGTCCCACTTACACAGAATGTTCTTCTCGACCAATTCGATCGGGAAGAAGATCATCGGCTTTCCCTCGCACAATAGGCGGCCTCGGATTCGCACCGACACCGCCGTGTCGAGCCCGTATATAGCGTGAACGAGGAGCGCGAGAATCGCGACGCTGATGATTGCCATTCGAATTTTTTTTTTTCGTTTTCGAATAATGAATTGTGAGAGGCTCACGCGTGTATACTTATCACGTGCTCTACATATATGGGGTTGGCTTGTCCGCGCGGAGTACACAGAACCAACTGTTCGAACATCCCGAACTCAATGGGTAGATCATACGCAATTTTAGCATTTCCTTTGGAACACACTCTTTCTCATGGTCTCGCGACGAAGACCCTGTAAAGGCGTTGATGTCGATTTACGGCGAGTATGATCTACATTCAAAATTGTTGATTTTATGATACAAGGGCGCATACAGCAGAGAATCTGGCAAAATAGGTGTCGATTTACGCGGCCGCTTCGAGACCCGCAAATTGGTGTTCGGTGTCATTCATCAAGCTTCTTGAATCGTTGCCCGCCCATTTTCCCACGATGAAGAACACAAATTTGCACAAGCGCGTCGGGACCCGCACCAACAAATATTTGTTGACCAACAACAACAACGGCATCGTCGCGCAAAACGAAAATAAACATATACGGGCATGAGAGGGGCGGGAGAAAAAAAAAATGAAAACGAAGAATTGCTTTTTGTGATCTACCCGAATTTTATCTGACCAAAAAAAACTTTCTCCCACTTTTTTTTCCACCGCTGATATTGTGGCTTCCTCGTATTGTCGAGGTCGCTTTCGAGTCACTCGGCGTCTCTTCAACAATGCAAACACACACACACAGTGTCGCTCGATCATTTTTGGATTACGGTAGGGTTTTTGGGGGGAGAAGCGCGCAGCCAAATCCACGACAAACAAATGCGGTGAGTGAGAGAGAGAGTGGATCGCGTCGAGAGACGCCGCTCTCTCACACCCTCGCGCTCTCTCGCTTCCCCCTTGATCTACAGTACTCGGCGCTCAGCACCATTGCGACTTTTGTGCGAAACAAATTTCGTTTCGAGGGACCTTCCTTCGCGCAAAAAATCAATTGAAGAGAATGGGTGTCCGCCAAAGTGAATCGAAATTCGATGGAAATGCGCCAATAATGTCGGCCAAGTTTTTATTTTTTTTTTTGGCTTGATGCCGGCTGGCTGGCTTTTGTTAAATAAATATTTAGATGTTAAATATTTGGGCTGTATAAATTTGCTTGGGACGCGTGCCAGCTGTTTTTGTTTTTTTTGAACTCCCCCCCCCCCAATTTGGCAACACGCCAAGGAGTGTTCCAAAAAAATTTTCTCAAAAATTCCTCTCGAATTAAAGGCGCATCAAAATTTTCATTTCTTTTCAACATAGAATTTTTTGTTTTTGAGAAGAATCGACACGTCTCTGGATCATGCCGGGGCCCGGCATGACCTACCTGCCTTCAAAAGAGATTAATCGTCGAGAGAGCCGCTGACAGTAACCTGACCATATTGGGTTACCTTTGATGTCTTGCAAAGATTTCGATGAGGTTGTGCAAACACGACGAGTCGACTTTTTTTTTCCACCCAACCCGCCTTCGAGCCCCAACGCCGCCTGTCATCCGATCGACTCGCACATTGAACCGTAACCCCCCCATCGATTCGCGCTGCCCCCCTCCAAACGCGGCGTGCCATATTGTATTTCGGCTCTCTCTCGCGAGCACTGTTTGCTGAGCCGCCAACCAGTCAAACTTGACATACCGTCGTCGGTGCACAACACGAAAATTGTTGCTCGCCGCCACATCGACGAAATGCGAATTCGTCATCGTTCTCGATTTTTCGCGTTTCACCTTTTTTCTTTTCTTCTAGCGTGGGCGGGACCTTGACAGCAACAAAACGAAACGATCGAGGGATTGAAGTGTTGAGAGGTTTTTGGGAAATGATTCACCAAGTTTCATGGATCTCCTGAAATCAACGAATGTTGGAAATAAAGCCTTGAGCCATTTATTTGAAGCTCTCTGGGGACCATTGAAATCGCAATGAGGTATACACACAAAACAACAAAAATCGAAACGTCTTGGTCAGGATTCGAACATTTAAGGGTTTCCTAGGCATTATTAGAAGTTTTTGAATCTCTGTGGACCATTGAAATACCGAAGAAAAATCAGCAAAAATCGGGAAGGCTTGGCGAGGAATCGAACCCTTGAGGGTTTCCTGGAAAATCATTGCACGATTTCGATGATTTCATGGGTCAGTGGAAATCATCTAGTTTTGTGATGTTTACGCAAATCAATTTTAAAGCATTGTTAGAAATGTTTAAATTTCTGGGGACCATTGAAATACCGAAGAAAAAAATCAGCAAAAATCGGGACGGCTTGGCCAGGAATCGAACCCTTGAGGGTTTCCTGGAAAATCATTGCACGATTTCGAAGATTTCATGGGTCAATGGAAATCATCTAGTTTTGTGAAGTTTACGCAAATCAATTTTAAAGCATTGTTAGAAATGTTTAAATTTCTGGGGACCATTGAAATACCGAAGAAAAAAATCAGCAAAAATCAGGACGGCTTGGCGAGGATTCGAACCCTTGAGGGTCTCCTGAGAATTGAGACAAAATGCAATAATCGAGTTCTCTTTACTCAAAACATACCAACCCATCGGGACCACTTCACCATGGGAAGGGTCCCGCCAAAACTTTCATTTTATAACGGGGTAATAAAGTGCAGAGACAAGTGGGTGTCATCACATTCGTCAAGTATACTCATAAATGTTTGCAAACAATGCGGGAGACGCAACAAGTTTTATCAAGTAATAAAAAATAATAATGGAGCATATGGACCAAAATGGGACACACCATTTTCAGCAATTATTGGCAATTTCGAGATCGCCAAAATTGAACACTCTTCTCGGCAAATGTCCGCGATTCACATAGTAGTCGGGAATCACCACTTGAAGGGTGTCGCATCGTCCCGGACAATCATGCCTCACGTACAAATAGGGCGCCGATTCGATGATCTGTAATCGATGGCAATTTAAGATGACGCGTCAGAGGGGGGGGGGGCCGATTCGTACGAACGATTCGCCGCCGGTCGCCGAGACGTCCACATATCCCTGGGTGTCGGTGAGCGCCTCGACCGTCTGCACATCGGGAAACAGAAAATTGTGCTCGTAGACGTGCACGAGATGACTGTACAACGGTTTGCCGTAGCAGAGTAGACGGCCGCGTATTCGAACCGAGTGCGTGCTTCGCGCCAATGGCACCATGGCGGCGACAGCGAGAACGAGAAGGAGAAGCTGAAATGCGAATTTGCGTCAAGAGAGATTCGCCTCCCAAAACGGTTACCTTCATTTTTTTTGTGATGACGCGAACTGAGCTCGTCATGAGCAAACCGGATCACGTCAGGTTTATATTAATTTCAAAAAATTAAAAAAAAAAAGCAGATCAACAAAATTTGTTTTATGAATTATTGCACGGTGGATCGTGAGGACTTCCATTCTGACTTGCGATATCCGACGATGAGGTGAGCTCATCGTCACGGACCTTGATAAATCGACACTTGTTGTGTTGATTGACATATCTGAAAAAATGAGCGCAAATTTTCAATGAGGATGCTTGATGGGGGGTCACCTGATGTCGAAATGAAGGCCGTCGGACTCGCTCGTTTCAATCGGCAACCACCAGAGGCCCCAGCCGAACACGTGCTCGAAATTCGCCTTCTTGCCCATATTGTAATCGGCGAGATTGTCGAAACGCAACACGGCGGGCTTCGTCTGCTCGACGGTCGTCTCATTGAGCGAGATGAGCTGCCAATGGAATAGGATGAGCTCGCCGAGCGGATAATAGCTTCAAAACGTCGATGATTTGGCGGCATTTTCGACGACGACTCACCCGAAAACGCCGCCAAGAAGGCCGGTGAAGAGGTACAACATCAAATGGTCGACCTCTTGCGAGTAGTTCTGATTCAGCACGAATCGAATGACGCCCTCGATCGATGTCAGCAGGTACCAATAGACGAATGCGGTGGTGTAGACGACATAGAGGAGGAAGTACTTGTAATTCGCCTGCAAGATGATTTGAATTGGCGAAAAAAAATTGGGAAATTAAAAATTTGTTGCTTTAAAGAGATTGCTTTTTGGGGAAAAACGCTTAAAAATGCAATTTTTAGCATTTTTCAAAATTTTTTTTTTGAAAAAAGGATTGAAAAATTGGTTAAAAGCGCATAAGGAGCCAATTGAGCTGGGTCACACCGCGGCTTATTTTTTAATGATTTTCAAATTTTTTTTCGGTATGTCATTAAAATTCGCTTTTACATAATATACGGTATAATTAAAGGCGCAAGTCGTATTTTTTTCATACTTTTTTATAATTGCATTTCTTGAATTTTCAAATATTTGAATATCGAATTCAATTTAGAAATACCGAAAATTCAAATTTAAAGGCGCACGCCATTTTCTCGTGAATTTGGTCTCCTTGGACCGAACCCCGACTTACATGAGTGACGCACATGTTGATCCACGGACAATGATGATCAAATTTGACGCAGCATTGACCGCACGAGCCGCAATGACGCGCTCGGTCCGGCTTCAGATGGCCGCACTCGTAGCAATATTTGAGGCGTCCGACGTGATCGCACTCGGCCATTTTCACGTCGCACACCTCGCACATCTCGATGATGATTTGCGATTGTTCGCGTATCTGCTCGGGCGACGATGATTCGACGACGAATTTGCCGGCGGCGTCGCACGGCGTCGCCGCGCGCAACTTCTCGTCCAACGCCTTCGGCGGACGATATTGCGGTGGAACGCGCGCGATCGGCGTGAACAGCGTTTTGGCGAGACTCCACAACGACATGACGAATAGGAAGGTGGCGATGATCAGATAGATGGTGACCTAAACAGAGAACACACTCTTTTTTTTTTTTGTAAATTCTAGAAAATTTCAGAATGTTTTGGCAGAATATTTCTCTGCGTCCCTCATTTCGACACACTCTCTCTCGTCGTTTTTCTACTATGACTAAATCCAAAATGCTGAATTCATAAAAATTGTGAAAATGTCAAATAACTAGTGCTACAGTAATCAAATTCAATTTTTTTGGAAAAAAAATTCTCTGCATCTCCCTTTTTCACCTAGTCTCTCCTTCCCTGATTTTAATGGTCCCTTCTTGACAAAAATCGGAAGTTCGACTAAATCGAGTATGCTGAATTCATAAAAATTTGTAAAATTTTGATTAACTAGTGCTACAGTAGTAAAATTCGATTTTTTTGGTTAAAAATCTCTACGTCTCCATTTTTCACCTAGTCTCTCGCTCCCTGATTTTAATGGTCCGCTTTTAACAAAAATTGGAAGTTCGACTAAATCGAGTATGGCGAATCGAATGGAACCCGAAAAAACAGCAAAAAAAAACGAGCCTGTATAGAGCTTTTCAAATAGTAACCGCACGTGATGGTTAAAAATACGTAGAATCTGAAACATTATTGATTTTTGAGCGGCGCGATTTCCAGAAAATCGATTGTACGAGATGAACAATCCGACGACTTGTGTGATCAGAAGAATATTGAGCAGAAACGTGAGAATTCGTCCGATGAACGGATGAATCGCGCGGTATTCGCGAACCGCCGTGTAAATTTTTGAGTACCACGACATTCTGGCCCGTGTTTTTCCTGGTTGCTGTTGATTTTTTATTCAATTTTCTGCAAAAACATAATAATTTTCTTTTGAAACGAACCTCTTTTCTTCAACATACCTGATTTTGTTGAATCATTAATTAAGAAATGGTGTAATAGTGTCACGCAATTAAATAATTAAATTCCCAATCATTTTTTGGACTTTCTTTTTTTTTCAAAATTTTTCTATAAAAACTTTAGAATAAGAAAAAAAAGAATTTGGATTACGGTAATTGAAACTGGGTCTCGTGACGATAAATTTTGTGGCAAGATAAAAAAACCAAAAAAAGTTGAATTTCGTTGAAAAAGAAAAAATTGATTTTTTTGGAGCGTTACGGTAGCGAAGTCCGCATTCAATATTACGCAAAAATACAGACAATAGTTTTTCTAGTCCGTTTCTGAACAAAATGGCCAATAATTATTAACTAAATATTTTTTAACTAAATTCACTAAATATGATTATTAACAAAATATAATTATTAACTAAATAAATACTTTTTAACTAAATTCTTATTTTTCAACTAAATAAAATATTTTAAACTAAATATAATTTTTAACTAAATAAATCCAATTTTTAACTAAATATAATTATTTTTAACTAAATAAACCTACAGTAAAATGGTACGAAACAATTAATTTTCTTCATAACTTTTCTTCTTAAATTTTGAGACGGACAACAAAAAAGACATCCCTTGTCAACTAAGTTTATTTAGTTAAAAATAATTAAATTTAGTTAAAAATTGGATTTAATTAGTTAAAAAACATATTTAGTTAAAAAATATTTTATTTAGTTGAAAAATAAGAATTTAGTTAAAAAGTATTTATTTAGTTAATAATTATATTTAGTTAATAATCATATTTAGTGAATTTAGTTAAAAAATATTTAGTTAATAATTATTGGCCAACAAAATCGGCTGCCAGAAAATCGTCTACGTTTTTTTGCAATGATTATAATTGAAAATTTCTTTTTTTGTTAAGATACCGTAATTAAAGGCGCAAACAATTTTTGCGCCGAGTCTCGCAGCAATCAATTCAAGTATTTTTTCAGAAGCTAATAATATCTATTTCGATTTTCCGCCAAATGGAATTTTTCTGTTCACAACCTGCCAGCCTTCTTTCTCGGATCTCGGTGAGAAGAAATTTTTTCTCGATTCTTTTTTCATTTTTTTGCTGCACGCTTCTATAAATGTGTTTTGATGCGGCAAATTTTAAAGAGCATTTTTTGGCTGAAAAAAATCAACCCATTCAATTCCAGAAGTTGTTTCCACTTTTTTGGACCCTTCTAATTTTTCCCTGCACAATTAATTTTGATTAAAATGGTCCGCCCCCCGCTCATTAGGTTGTCAGGAACTGCAAGTTTCAAATTGAGTCCATATATGCAATTTTTTTGTCTGGCAGAAAGAAATTCTCACGCTTGATATTTTGCAGAGCCCACGTCGAAGATGAACGCGAGTGATAAAACAATGTGCATAAAAGGCGAGAGCGCCTCCCGAATCGATCTATTCAATTCACGGCGAGCGCATCAAACAGCTCAGGAAAAAAGAACCATGGCGGTTGAAATGATTGTCGAGCCCCAATGGGTCGTGAAGAACTTTGGAGTAAGAATTGTTGCCGTCAGGCCTTCATGTATATCATCGACATTTCAGAATGTTCGTATTCTTGACGCCACGTGGACATTCAAGCCGAAGCCGAGCGTCGCCGAGTACGAGGCGAAATACAAGGGCAAATTTGGTGTGGCGATGAACGAGCTGAAGAACGCCGAGTACTTCGCCGAGCACATCAACGGCGCCGCGCACTTCAATTTCGACATCGCCTATTATCCGACGGACAATGAGCGATTCGCGTTGTACGATCCGGAGAACTTCTCCAACTATGTGAAGCGTCTCGGCTGCTACAATGGCGATCACATAATTATTTATGCGCGCGGCAAGGATGGCGGCGTCGCGAACGCGGCGCGTGCCTATTGGACGTTTCGAGTGGGTTGCGCGAGTCGGGCGCCGACGCTGACCAACACTTGATTTCAGTATTATGGCTACACGACGGTCAGCATTATGAATGGCGGTCTCGAGCACTTCAAATTGATGCAGGGCGTCGTGCAGAGCGGCGAGAATATGGTCTCGTTTGGCAATTTTGAGGTGAAAACGACGGACGCGAGCATTTTGGCGAAGCTCGCCGACATTCCGTTTGACAATCTTGCCAGCGTCAAATATCTCGACGCGAGAACCAAGGAGGAGTGGAGCGGCAAGGTGCCGATTGGCTATCCGGAATCGACGGCCACTGGCGTGCGCTGCAAAGACGCGATTCATTTTCCGTTGAGCGAGGTCATCGGACCCAAGGGATTCAAGAAGAAGACGGAATGCGACGCTGGTAAGACGATGAAGACGTTGAGCGAGCCACCAACGCTTAATTTTTCAGCGTTTGCCGCCAAGGGCATCAAGACGGGCGACACGGTGTTCACCAGCTGCGGCATTGGCATCAGCGCGGCCGCGCTTTGGGTGGCGGCGGCGAGAAGCGGCATTTGCGCCAAACTTTATAATGGTGGTGTTCATGAGTTGGCGCTCAAGGCGCCGCAACATCTTAACACCAAGTAGATGAAGCTGAGAGTTGCACTACTCACACACACACACACATCACTGAACAGAAATATAAGTTTGGCATAAATTTTTTTTTGATTTTTTGATTTTTTTTGATTGTTTTTTTGTGTGGCCTGGTTATCATGATGACGTCACTGGAATATTATCAATTTTTGAGTTGAGATATTGCACAGATTTTGATTGAAAAAAGGATTCTGAAAAAGGAAAATTGAGACGATTTGCCGGAAAATTGGAATACTCAATTTTAGGCTTCATTTGAGAGAAAATTGTAAGAAAAATGGTGAAATCCAACGGCAGAGGGAGGGTTTTTTGAATGATAAATGGGTTTGAAAAATCGGCAATAGTTCAATAAATCGTTATCAGAGTCAAAAACGTTTTTGCGTTTTTCAATCATTCGACAATGATAAATTTGGTGATAATAGAAGTGTATTTTTATTCAAGTGCAGATTACTTGCCACTATCTTCGTGCGTCACTTTTAAAATTAAAAAAAATACTATATTAAATGCGATTTTTTTGAATTCTCCATAATGGAAGTTTTTTATAATGCAATCGATTATCAAATAATCTGCTTAAATGTAAGTTTTTTGGATTAAAAATTTTTAAAAACTGCAAATAAAGTTTTTTTTGACGTGTTACTGTAGACAGTTTTGATGTACACTGTGACATAAAATTGCACGGAAAATTTTTATTTCCATTTTTGCTCGATTTTTTTCGCGTTTTTCTCAAAATTTCGATATTCTAGAGCTTTTTTATTAAAATGAATTTTAATGTTTTGAAAATCGATTTATATCTTGAATTTCAATAATAAAATGGTGTTTTAGATGCCTAAATTGAGAAAATCAAGACCAGCGCCATCGACGAATTCGACGCCAACGCAAATTTCGGCTTTCAATTTTAATTCGGTGAGCGAAATTTTAAATAAAAAAAATCGAACGTTGAATTGAAGAATGTGAAGAGTGAAATTTAAGAATTTTTACTTGTTTTGAATTGATTTTGAAGGGAAACAGCTATCAAAAATAGCTAGTGATATTTTATTTCAGATAGCCAGTACTAGTATTTCGAATTCTCTAGTTGAAAATGCTCCAGCTCAAGAATCAAGTGAATTATTAGAAGTAGTAATATCACTAATTTCTAGGTAAAATTAACAGTTTTGGGTGATTTAGGAGAAATTCGGCACAAATTTGCCACGTGTAACAGATTTCGAATCAGATGATGATCAAGAAGCGACATTGGTGCCAAAATTGGAGGTTTGAATTTTAAAGCGGGACATTCTAAAAACATTTTTTCAAATATTTTTTTAGGTTGTGATCTCCGAGGAGCCAAAACCGCCGCCAATTGGCGCATCCCAATCGGTGATATTGGAAGAAATTGCAAATCCTATGGTATTTTTTGGAAATTTTATTCGAAATGTGCAAATTTCCCAAAAATGGTGTGAATTATTCAAGAAAATTTGTTTTTCAATTGATTTTAATTGAAAAAAAAAAGTGGAATTCAAAATATTAGGAGGTTCATCGGCGAAATTTCGAAAAATATTAAACGCTTGTTGATTTTTCGCTTCAAAAATCTCAAAATTTGATTTTTGCGAGCACTTTAAACGCTCGAATGAATTTTGATGTCGATTTTGCGGTTTGCAGATGGCCTCAGGCAGCTTGAGATTTGCGCCAATTCAAAATTCCGTCGAGTGCGCCGTCGAAGGTGAGTTTCTTTTTTGCCATATTTTTTTCTTCGAGATAAAAAATTTAGTTTGGCCGAAAATTACACGGTTTTCGACATAATTTGCGGGTTCAGCTTTTCGCCGTCGCGCCCCCAAATTTGAATATCGATTGAAAAATCATTTTTCTTCAATGATTTTCTTCATTTTTTGTTGAAATTGCGAGCAAAATTTGAAGATTTGCATTAAAAAACCTAAATTTGAGAGATTTGATACCGGGGTTTTTTTTTGGAAATTTTTCTTTAAGCCGAAAAAAAACAAAAATAAATTTCTTTTGATCCAAAAAATGGGAATTTGGCAATTTTCGTAATGGAATTTGAATGCGTCGCTTATTTTTTTTATTCTTCTTCTTGTGCCCGAAATCTCATTGAACAAATTGATTGCAGGACGGCGAATAGAAGTAGCGAGAAGGCGCACATCGAGCTCGTCGTTCTCCTCCTCAATAATGGCCGAAAAACGTGAAAGGTGCGTCGATTTTTCGTTTTTTTTTTCATCTCAAAATTCCTAAAATAGCTCGAAATTTGGTGGAATTCTACGAGATTTCACTTTTTTTTATTTTTGCTCGAATTTTGAAAGGTTTTAGACGACTAATCTTCGATTTTGAAGCAAAATCTATAATATGCTCAATTTTTGGTTTTTTTTGTTGAAAAATAATGGGAAATTTAATTTTTTTTTGCTGAGAAATTTTCGATTTTTGTCCAAAATGACACTTTTGGGTCCCTTTTATGGGACGTTTTTTATTGTTGATGAAATTGTGAGCTTGTTCTCTGCGTTTTAAATTTTTTACAAAAAAAAGTGACAAAATGTCGCGATTAATGTGAGAAATTTGCATTTTTTTTTCTTGTCTTTGCGATTTTCTTCCAATTTTTGGTCTTGAATAGGAGATTTTCATGAAAAAACTGGCGAAGAAAAATGTTGGCTTGAATTAAATCGAAAATAATCTCCAAAAAAATGTTCGAAAATCTGCCTAATTTCACAAGAATTTGGCAAAAATTTAGAAAATATTTTTTTTCAGCCATTTTTTTTCTGAAATTGCCGAATTTTTGGATGAATTGGTCCGGTTTTTTTTGGGAAAAATTCGCAATTTTTTGCGACGCGTGAAAAATTGTCAATTTTCGCGAGTTGTCTAGACGACCGAAAAAAAAAGTTTTTTTTCTGTGCGCCGCTCTCAATACACATTTTATAATTATATGCCATAAAAGGAGAGAGAAAATTGAATTTATTTTCCATTACATTCATCATTCTCCTCTTCTACGTCTTCTTCATCTTCGTCGTCGTCGTCGTCTTCTTCTTTTTTTAGTTTTCATTTTTTTTCCGCCCGATTTTTCTTTGGAACCTCATTTTACGAAAATTGGAGATTTTTATTATTTTTTTTTTCTGAAAATTCGATCTGAAAATTGAGAAATTCATGGTTTTATCGGTTTTTTTTTCGAATTGAAATCGCGAATTTTGCGGAAATGAGGATTTTCGTTATCTTTTAGTTGAATTCCTCCGATTTTTTTGTTCAAAATAACTTTTTTTTGGATTTTTTACATGACAATTATCAAATTGTTGCAGAAAATATCAAACTATAAAAATTTCTGATTTCAAGAAATCAAATCTCGCGGAAAATGCGGAAAATTTTGCAAATTTAAAGTTTTCGAAGAATTTTTTTTGGTTTTTTGGATTTTTTTAAGAAAAAGGATTGCAGAATTCTTGTGGCATTATTTTGAGTTAAAAAAAAAATTAATTTGCTGTTTTCTAGAAAAAATCAAAAAAAAAATTCAAACTTGAAATGTTTTTTGTTGAAATTTTTCGACTAAAATTGTCGAAATCGCGTCTCAAAATTCGAAATTTTGAATTTTTAGTGGATTTTTTTGAATTTTTATTGTTTTGATACAGAAATTGTTCAAAAAGTGCAAGCAGAAAAATTTTGAAGGTTTTTTTTTTCGAAAAAAATTTCGACAAAATGTTTTTTTGCTTCACAAATTTTGCGTTGCCCGCGAAATGCACTCAAATATTTATAATGTGAATTCTATTTCTTTCGGCGGTTTTTTTTGTGGCTTTGCAAAAAACGCGGCCCCGATGGTCCCCTGAAGATGTCAATTATTCATTTTGTGTCACTCAATATCGACGGCGAAATTGGGAAAAAAAAAAGCGGGCGCGCGTTGAATGAAAAGAGAGCCACGAATATTTATTTATTTGGCTCGATGAGCTCCGAAAAAAAAATTAGCCTATTTTTTTTGCTTTGGGAATTTTGTCGCCTAGTTGTCCGTGTGGAGTACACGCGGAATCTCTTCGCGTCGAGACCGAAGAGGAAAAATGAAATTTCTCTTTTTTTTTGTCAAAAAAAATTGGAAAATTGAGAGTTTTGCTGGAATTTTTCAAAAAGCAAAAATTTTGTGGAAATTTCTTTGCAAATTCTTTTTTTGGTTGAATGATTCAAAAAAATGAAAATTTTCCAAAATTTTACCACAAAAATTCAATTTTTTAAAAAAATTTTTAGTAAAATTTTGCCAAACTTGTTTACTTTTTCGTTTTTTTTCCCGCCAATATGTCACAATTTTCGATTATTTTTCCCATATTTGGAGGCAGACTAATGAAAATTTGAGATATTCCGTAGTTGAAGCGAAAATAACTCGATTCTTGCCCGAAATGATTGTAGTTTTTGAGATTTGATATCATTGTATTCATTTTTGTCTGAAGTTTTTTGAGATTTTCCGAATTTAGAGCTGAAAATGTTCATTTTTATGTGGAAATATGTGAAATTTGAATTATTTGAGCAACAAAAATTCCATTTTTGACCAGAAGACATAGCGCCAAAAATATGGCATTTTTGTTCGAAACTTTCAAATTTTTTGAGATATTTCATATTTTTGAGCTGGTTTTTGTCGAAAACGAGATATTTTTGAGATTTTTTATCCCGTTATAGCAAATTGTAATTAATCTCATTAATTATATATAGATTTATGCGATTATCTACGTTTTCGTCGTTGTCGAATCGGCCTAGACTATTTTTGTTTGAAAAAAAAAATGGAGCTTTGCCCAAATTTGGTGTAAAGGTCCGAAAATTTGAGAAAGTTGCTATTAAAAAAAATTTTCTTTGATGTTTCGAATGGAATTGGAGCGTTTTTACAAAGTTTAAGCAAGAAAAAAAATTTTTTTTTCGACAAATGAGCTTTTTGCGTGAGATTGGACCCGAGAAATCAAACTTTTTCGCCAAATCTGGAATTCAATCGGGCGCCTACTCGTTTTTCGCGCTTAATCGAATCAAAGTTGTGATTTTGAATGGCAAACAGGTGAATTTTGGCGTTCGAACGCCAAGTTTCGCGAAAAATTTGACAAAAATGCCCGATTTTTTTTCGCGTTTTGGACTCTTTATTGAAAAAAAAAACAAATTTTGAATCGCCGTTTCCCTTTTAAGCTCATTAACGTGGGACCAACTTTTGACGTCGAGACGTTTGCATGCAGCACGCGAAATTTGCGCATTGACTCATATAGAAATTTTGATTTCACTCTTCGATGGTCCGCAATTTGCAAATGTTGAGAGAGCTAAAAAGAAAGCCCCCGCGCGCGGCGATCAACGTCAATCAACGTCGTCTTTCCTTATATATATATATATGTGTGTGTGTATTTTTTTTCTTCTATTCGTCGCTCGCCCTTTTAATTTTGACATATTAAATTACGTGGTCCCTAGTAGTAGTAGTAGCATCACATCGTGTTTGCCTTCTTCGTCAATTTCTTTCTTTTTTTTTTGGTTTTCGCTTTTGCCGCTTTGGGACCTTCAACCCGCGAATTTGTCGGCAACAAATTTTGATGCGAGTTTCGAGTTTCGCCAACGAGACCCGCAATTGTGCTCCATTGCGAATTTGGGTAGATCACTGCATTGAATGCGTGAGAAAAAAATGTTCTAGTTTTTTTTGAGCTGGACATTTGTTGCCTCTCTTGAATGCAATGCAAATGCGCTCCATTGCAAACGTGGTAGATCATTAGAAAATGACCAGAAATGTATGCAATCTTGAACTAGTCATTTCCAATGCAAATGCGCTCCACTGAGAAACGGGTGGATCATTAGAAGGACAATTGTGAAAATCGTGAAAATGTTGCCTCTCTTGAATGCGATGCAAATGCGCTCCATTGCAAACGTGGTAGATCATTAGAAAATGACCAGAAATTTATGCAATCTTGAACTAGTCATTTCCAATGCAAATGCGCTCCACTGAGAAACGGGTGGATCATTAGAAGGACAATTGTGAAAATCGTGAAAATGTTGCCTCTCTTGAATGCAATGCAAATGCGCTCCATTGCAAACGTGGTAGATCATTAGAAAATGACCAGAAATGTATGCAATCTTGAACTAGTCATTTCCAATGCAAATGCGTTCTATGGACAATTGAGTAGATCATAAATAAATCTCCATGGGAATGCATTTCTTTTGTTTTTTTTTTCGCCCCATTTTGTCTCTGCCTGACATTGACAAGAGCGCAAATATGATTAGGGCCATAAAAGGCGTTGTTTGTCGCTTCCTACCGTAACCCGTCGGCTCGCATTGTCATCGTTTAATGGGCTGAACCGAATGAGAGACTGGCAATAATTTTTTTTTTCGTTTTTTTTTGAAGCGAAGATGAATGTAATTGAACTTTTATGCACACGTATTTTTTCTTTCGTCCAAATTGTTTTTTTTTCCCCGGCTCAAATACCCTTCCCCTCCTCTTCCTCCCACTCTTCCTCCTTCTTCTTCAACAGACACTATTCGCCTCCTACTACCCTTATTAGTCGCTTCCTTGTTGGTTGGTTGGTTGATTGATTGGGTTCCCGCGAAAATTTTTGGAATTTTTATTTATTTTTATATTTTAATTTTGCCCCCACGAAAAATGAGGGGGTTTTTAGATCGAATTGACAATTTTTTTTGAAATTATTCGATCTCGATTCAGATTTTGAGAAGAAAATTAAAAAAAAGTTGTTTTTTTACTCTTCTACATTGGATTTTTGCGTTTTTTTTTGTGGAATCTGCTCTGAAAAATGCCAATTACGGTATTCTCAAGATTTACTCAAGCAAAAAAAATTGAAGAGGGTGATTGCGTACAATGCATTTTAGCGTACGCGCATTAAATATTCAGTCAACGATAAATTCAAATCAACATGAAAGTTTAGGCAAAAATTCTGAATGTAGTGAAAATTAAAACATTTCTTATAATTTTTCTATTTTTTTCAAAATTTATTTTCTCTGAATTGATCCTTTTATTTCATTTTCACCAAAACAAAAAACTAAAATTCATGACGGTCTCGCTTTTCAACGTTTTCCAGGCGAGACCCAAACTTAAATTTTGAAAATTCAAATAAGCCGATGATTTTTTATCCTTTTCAATGGCTTTTTAGGCACTACATTTTTGCGAATTTCCCTTTTCTTCTTCTTCATCTCTTTGAGATTCCTTATTTTTTGGCGAAATCTGCTTTTCCGCGGGTAGATTTACGAGCGCGTGCGTTTTTTGAAATGGTCACGAACCACAGCTTTCCAAGCTTTTCGGTCTTTGGCTTTGGTGGACCACGGGGTGATAACGGCTCCTTCAGCTGTTCTTGTAGTGATCTCTTTCCGAAGCGAGTCCGACCATCTCATGGGAGTCCTTCCTCTTGGCCGGGCCATTTCGCAAAGACGCACCGCGTAAATCGACATCAGTCGCCGAAAATGGACGAATTGAGAATACCCATGAGTTGCCACTTTCCGATGATACCTTGAATGATTTTACAACGTCTCAAATTCTTGTAGACGCGCCAGACACCGCCTAATTGCACGAAGCCTTCTTTGAAATTTTAATTGGGTCCCCAGGTTTCGAAATAAGGGCGACAAACAAACAAGTAAACATGATGAGATCGGAAAATGGAAATGAGGATTCTCGGAGCGAATTACATATATATATATATATATGCGATTTTATGTATATCGCAATTGAGTGGAGGCTCGGGAAAAGAACGAAAATGCGAGTTTAAGCGCGGCGACGGACGGCATCGGTGTACTTTTTAAACATAAATAAACAATTAGTCGCGCATGGGAAAATCGGCAATTTCGATTGAAATCTTCTTCAAATATTCGACGACGACGACGATTTTTCAAGATTTTTTTCTTCGTCGCGAGAGCCCAACGAAATTTTTGCGGTGCCAAATTGTTTTTTTCTTGTGGATGATCCAACAACAGAAAAATTGAAATTTTTTCATGCGCGAAATGATTTGTTTCAGAAAATTTCCTAGAAAAAGGTTTTTTTGAAAAGTTTCCAGAAAATCAAAAAAAATTGTTTTTATTTTATTTTTTCTGCCTGAAATTCACTATAATGAGGCGAGGGCTTGAAAAAAAGAGATTCCTCTTTAATAGTTGAAAAATTTTGCATTTTTATGGGATTATTTAGATTTTTCAAAAAAGAAACTCGCCTGTGTTTTTTTTTGCTGTTTTTCATCCAAATTTTGACTAGAAAAAAATTTTTGATATGAAGAAATTGAAAGGTTTTAGACATTTTTTGCTTCCAAATTAATTTTCAGCTTTTTCTAGAATGACTGAAAATTTGCCAGCGACTTTTTGCTGTTTTCGGGCGTTGTTTTGAACATTTCTGTTGATTTTTGCCTTCCCAAAAAAGGCAAATAAACAACAATAATGTTTGACGAACAAATAACGCGAATATTTTGATTCGTTTCGTCATTTTCGACATCAAAAAAAACATTTTTTTCTCGAATGAAACAGGCCCGCCTTTCATATAAAACGAGCTCCTAGCAAGTATTCCTCATTCAATTTTAGGGACCATTGAGTCCTGCGGCTGGTCACCCTAAAGGGACCACTCAATCGCCTCCAAAGGGGGGCTCATTGCAATTTTTTTTCGCTTTTTTTTGCGAAATGTACTTCTTGATGAAGACTTGAGACTTGTCAGATTCAAGGGACCATTAGGTATGACTTGGGACCTTTATAATATGCCCATTGCCCCTAGGGACCATTTAAAGGCAAAATTGTAGGAATCGTTGATTTCTAGAAATTTTTCATGAGATGAAATTAGAAAAAAAATGGAGAACCATGAGGATCAAAGTCCACGGCACTCGTGAGGACCATTGAATGATTTGAAGAGGTCCGAAATATAAACAGAACAGCAAGAAAACGAAGAAAATATTGAAATTTTATTTTTTTTCCTCTCCCTCTTCGTTCACTTTCGTTTTTGCGAATGAATGAAGAAAACGACAAAAGTCTCGAATTACACTTTTTTTTTTCTTTTTTTTTTTGTCGTATTGCAAAATTGTGTGCTCGGCGAGCAGCGGCAGCAGAAGTAGAAGGGGGGGCGCCGACAAAGCTTCTCCTCAAAACCTCCTTTTCATTTATAATTTGTTTGTTTTATGCGCATATATGGTCATATATATATTCAATTATCCATATTCTCATCATCATCATCAAAAAATACAAATTTTTTTCCTTATTCATTCCTCGGGGGAGAGCTTTCCCTCAATTTTTGTTTCTTTTCACGCGCGCGCGCACACCCCCGCAGAAAATCGAATCAGAATCGCGAATATTTTCGATTTTACTTCTTTTTTATATTGTTGTGAGCCGCAAAAGGAAAAAAAAAACGAGGAAGGGCAATTTCGGCAACCTTCGCGTTTTTTTTTTGTGGCGAAAAATTTCAATTGCCGTTTTTTTCTCTCAAATTTGCCACCGGAAATAAAATGTAGGTGGTGGTCCCCGTTTATTTTGGTCCTTATCAGAGGCTCACCATTTTTTTCCTTCGCCACAAAAAAACGAAAATTCAATCTTTATTCCACCTACTCTCTTTTTTTTTTTGAAAATTTGGTTCCTTTAGAATTTCGGGAAGAAAAAAATCGACCCCGTCCTCAAAATTTGTCGGACCTTCAATATTCTCCGAATATATATATATAGAATTTATCGTGGATTTCCAGAAACCGCTTGAATTATGACGACGACGACGATGGTGGATGTTTGAACGTCGACGACGTCGTCGCGAAAAATCCGAAGCCGCTTATTCCGAAATTGCTCATCACATCGACGCCATCGACGGTTTTCGATTCGGGTAGGTGGATTTGATTTCGATTACGGTGGCACAAGTTTGAGATGTGCAATTGTTTTGTTTTTTTTTTCATGAAACATCAACTAAAAAAGCTCCTACCGTAATCCAGGTCTCGCCTGATTTCTTGTGGCCTTTTGGATTACGGTAGCATTAGTTTCATATGCGTACAAGTTGTCTAGAAGCAACCAATTGAAAGAGTTCTTCTGAGAATTTTCCAAACAAAAATGAATGCGTCTTTAAATCGGGGGTCTCATTGCATTTTTTTGGATGGCTGGAACCCTCATGCGCCTTTAAATTGGGTCGTCTTGAAGAGAATGGTTTTTGAAGGCGCACTACCGTGCCGATTTGAGTGGTTTTTGATGCGAACGAAATTCGTTTTTTTTTTGTGTGCTCTGTTGGCATGGTTTCGTAGTTGAAAAGGCGCGGAGAAGCGAAATTGCTCGCTCATTCTCATATTTAAAAGGAAAAAACCGGCATTTCGCTCGATTTTTACGCATTTTCCGTTATTTTTTTTTCTCGGTGGTGTGAAAATAGGCCAATTGTTTTGTTTTTGTTTCGCTTGACTCTCGACACGATTGTTGTTGGATATTAATTTTCCAGGCGGCTTCAAACAGAACTGCGAGACAAGCTTGTCCACGATGAGCGGCCTCACGTTTCAGCTGCAGTCGGGCATTCACAAGAAGACGATCACCGCCGACTCGATCGAGATCTCGTTGCGAGACCTGCGCAATGAGGCGTTCGAGTTTCTCAAAGAAATTGTGAGTCGCTAATTTTTCGTTTTCGCTTTCTATTTATTTGATGTCCTCGCGACAGTAATCCCCATTTTTCTTTTAATCGATTACGGTAGCTCAGTGGTTTTTTTTTCGCTGGGGTTTTCCAATTATAATGCAATTTGCTCGAAAATCGACTTTGAACACTTTCTACAGTAATCCGCGTGCTTTTAGGGATTACGGTAGATGCGAATTGCGAGAAAAAAAAAGTAACCCTAGGGATACGGTAGATGCGAATTGCGAGAAAAAATACAGTAACCCTAGGGATACGGTAGTTTTTTTAGTTTAGTTTTTAGTTTTTAGTCTTGACTGAGCATTTTGAGATATCGATTTTCAGTTACAGTAAAACATGTGAAAATTTCGAGAAGTTTTTAGCATTATTGGTTTTTCTTGCGCATTCTCGAAATTTGAGATACGGTAAATCATAGGAAAATAGGTGTTGTCTGCTACAGTAACCCTAGGGATACGGTAGATTTTTTTTGTGTCCCGTTTGTCGGCGAAAAACCGATTTTTAGCAGTGGTTTTTTTTTGCAGAATCCTGACAAGGGCTGTGAGGCGCTTCGCGACCACATCATACTGTATCGACACGATCTTCGATCGATCAACATTCTGCAGTTGATCACGACGAGCGCTGACATTGCCGATGGCGCACTCGTCGAGGTGGTGCTCAGCTGTGAGTTTTTGATTTTGCTCTTTTTTTTCCATTTCACTTGCTCGTTTTTGATGGTCCGCAAAATTTAGTGCGGAATTTGAAAGTTGAATGCCGGAGGGGTTTTTTTTTTTAGTTTTTTCCAAAAGCCAATTTTTCTGAGAAAAATTTCGAAATCTTCAAAATTGTGTAGATTTATGGGAAAAAATTGAATTTTTGAGACAAATCGGCAAATTTTAATTGAAAATTTCAAAAAAATGTCTAATATTGTGCAATTTTTCGAAAATTTTGAGTTTCTCAAAGAAATCTGTCAATTTTTTGGGAAAAAATCGAAAATTCCAAAAAATCATCAAATTTTAATTGAACAATTCAAACAATTTGTCAATTTTGAAAAAATCCATTTAAAAATTTTTTTTTGCAATATTTTTTATTTTAAAACTTATTATTTAAAATTTCTGGCAATTTTTTTTTGGGATATTTTCAGTTTCTATTGGATTTTTGGTGCAGAAATTTGAAAAATTATCAAATTTTCATGATATGTCGAAAGAAAATTGAGATTTTTTTAAAGAAAAATTTTAAATAAAAAAATGTGAGATTTGTTTGCAAATTTTTTCGACGGATCCCCTTTGATGACGCAAACCGTCTATTTTTGGAGCGAAATGCTCCAAATTTACACACATTTTTTGTGCGTGGTGTCTCGACTCCGCAATTTCTCGTGCTCATGCGACCTCGTCCAGCTCTCGCTCGATTCTCTTCACGTCGCCTTTCATTTTTTGGTTGCCTATTTGAAATTATGAGGGTCTTGAGAGTTGGGGACCATTTAATTGAGAGAGAGAACCAAAAAAAAAAGCAAATGAGGGGGTTTAAGAAAATTTGAACAATTTTTTTTAACTGCAGAAATTTTGCATTAAAATTGAGAGTTTTAGATGAAATTTTGTGATTTTTGGGATTTTCCCACAAAAAAATTGACGATTTTTTTTGTTGTTTGGAAATTTCATGACTTTTAAGAAATTTTGCTTGTTTTGATTTTTCCAGAAGCATTTTTCTAGCAAAAATTGCCGAAATTTTTGGGTTTTTCATGTGGAATTTTCAGATTTTCAAACTTTTTTTGTTTTCCAGAAAAATTGGCATTTTTTTTAATATTTCGATTCAACAAAAAAAAATTGTGTGCGTTTTCCCCCGAAATTTCCGGCGATATACCGGAAATTTGAGAATTTCTCGTTTTATTTCGTCGAATTGGCTTGATTTGGCCCAGCCGAGAGTCGATGGTCCCCTAATTGGAGGCGCACTTGATAAGCTAATTTTTTTTTTGTTGCTCATTTCTCTTTCATTAGTTTTTTGTCATTGCTCGCTCAATTCCCATTTTTGGATATGATGAGGCAAATCCTAATCCCCCCCCTCCGTTTCCATCTGTCGGATTAAACTAGTCGATCCGACGGATCAATGAGAGGGACCCCACATGCCGGGGGGGGCTTGGGGTAGCTGGTGGATGCTCACATTTTGAAAATTACCAAAATTTGGGTGAATTTTTTTTTTGATTTTAATCGGGGTTTTTTGGTGAAAAATTGAGCGTGACAAAAAAGGGCAAATTTGAGAGTTTGGATTTTAAAGCGTTGAGGGATTTTTTTTTTTTGAGAAAAAGCCGACAAAAATGACTGGAATTTTTTTTAAATCGAAATTGGCCGGTCGAGATGAGTTGTTGAGGGATTTCGACTTGAACTGTCTGCTTGAAGAACTGCTTGAAGAGACCCCTGCGATGGAGGGGGACCATCGAAATCAGCGGCGATTTTTAGTAATGAATTGCTAATATGGAATCATCAAAAATTCGCAAAAAGGCAATTCTCTCGGGATCTTGAATCGCAAGAGATTCGATGGGAATTTATTATGGGACCATTGAAGCTCGAAGGCCGCTGGCAAGAGTCACTGAAAATTTTGTTTGGCATTTGGGACGCGCACCGAGAAGATGGCAAAACGATCCCGGCCGCCGTCCAATCGAAGGTCTAGAAGAGACGGACGCTTAGAAAAGAATTGTCGAGATATCGAACGCGTTCTTGTTTTTGGTGGCCATTGAAATCCAAAATGATCGCCGCGAGGGACCATTGAAAATCGATGAGCATCATTGCCAACAGGGGGCCACGTCAGGATTTCGAAAAATGCAAATTAGGCATGGATTGAAGTTGGTGGAGGGGAGGAGCTCAATGGTCCGTTAATTGACGTGCGTTTTATTATTATTATTATTATTCTCAGGATATCGCGCGCCGAAGGTATTAGTCTAATCCCCCCCCCTCTTCGCTCCTATCGACAAGCCGAGCTGAGTTTTCATCATCCTCATAATCATCATCGTTGGCATTGTGAGCCCCGAGGCTTCATCTTGTCCGTTAGGCCACGCCCACCGGGTTGGGACCTCATTATCAATCAGCTTGTCGTCGTTGCACTTTTTCTCGAAATTTTATTTGTTCAAAAAAAATGTTTATTCACGTTTTAAATTGGCCTCGAACACGTCATCGTCTCATCTCTACTCTTTTTCTTTTTTTCTCGCATTCTTTCGTGTTTTTTTCCTTTCTGTGCTCTGGAATTATTTATTAAGATATGGCGAGAACCACACGTACTTCACAAGTTTCCTACCTCCCCCCTTTTTTCGTGTTTTTTGGCTTGAAATAGAATGACCTTTGGACTTTTGAGACACTTTATGCATATGAAATCTTGATTTTTTGAGCTTTTCCGTATTAGTTTTGAAGAGAGCCGGATATTCGATTTTTGGTGTTGTTGCTTCCCTTCATTCTTGCGGCACAATTAATTCCATTTTAGAAAAAAAAACAACCAACATTTCTGTAGATCAAATGATGCCAAAAAGTTGTGATTTTGCCAACCCGCAACATTGTCGGCAGCACCGAAAAATAGACAAATTAATTGGGCGCCTAATGTCGCCCGCTCGCTCCTCATCCCTTCTTCATTTCTCTCGTCCTCTTTTTTTTTCTTCCGTCTCCGATCGGTTGTCCTATTGCGAGAAGCGTCGTCGTCGGCGAATAATAAATCCAATTAGCATAATCATCTGAAGTTCGAGAGTCTCGACGCTGCCGTCGCTCTTCTTCTTCTTCTTCTTCTTCGCCTAGTTCTTTTTTTTCTCTCTTTTTTTTTGGTAATAAGCCGAGGTGAATTGATTCGGGGAGGGGGGAGCAGCGAGAGGATGAGGAGGAGATAAGCGGGGAGATATTTGCGCGCGCTTCATCATCGCCATCAGCTTCAACCGGCATCAGCATCATCGTCAGGCAGAAGGAGAAGCTCGGCACTTTCTCTCGTCCTATAATCTCATCTTCGACACGCACGTTTTTTTCCTTTTTTTTTTTGCTGTTGTTGCTCCTCCCTCTACATCTCTTCAAAAGAAAGTTTGTTCCCCTCCTCTCTCTCTCTCTCTCTCAACACGGTTTTTTGTTGTTTTGGTGGCTCTCGCGTTTTCGATATTGTCCGCAGATGGTTTTGAAAAAAAAACAATAACACACAATAACGAATCACAAACTACAGTACTCATTTTAAAGGCGCGCGCCAAAAGTTTGTTTTTGCTTGAGAATTTTATTGAATTGATGCGACCCTGTGATTTTGGGCAAAAGCTTGATTGGCTTGAAGCGCTATATTTGAAAATGTCCGCAGATGGAATTCTCTTTGAGCACTTGGGTTTTTTTTCTGAAAGAAATTCACCGCGTTGTTTAGATTGTTGGAGTTTGGAGCAATTTTTCTATGGGAATGCAAAAAAAAAACCGATTCTCAATGATAAATCTGGAAAATGTGCATTTCTTTGGGTCTGTGCAATAACAAAATGCTGAAATTCTTGATTCGTGACTTCATTTATTCAATCAGCGCCAACAACCTTGAATCTTGAACCGAAAACCGAATTTTGCGTCTCTCTTGAATTTCTTGAATTTGCAATTGAATATTACATTCGTTTTTCATTTTTTTTTGGTATCTGCTTTCTTTCTTTCTTTTTTTTTGAAGTGATTTGACCATAAAACGTGCGAAAACCAATGGCGGACTCGGCGCGCGCGGCGCGCGCGAAACAAATGAAGAAGCAGGAGCGCGCGAAGAGCTGCGCGACACCGTCGACGGACCGCAAATCGCCGAGGCTCGAGATGAAGGCGTTGACGATCTCGACGTCGTCGACGACGACGACGGCGACGAGCCGCCTATTTCAGCAGGCGTCGTTCGCCGTCGTCGATGACGGCAAAGAGAAGCTGTTGGGTCAGCAGCAGCAGCAGCGCAAAAAGAGCACCGCTCCCGATATCGGACGGCGAACGCTTATCGTGATTGGTGGTTGGTTTTGTTTTTCCTACAGTAGGGCTACTACTACTACTGTAGCACACTGTAGTTTTGGGACCCACGATCACTAGGGTGAGTAGTTTTTGGGATGGCGAGAGCGAATCGACGAGCGAAAATTGTGGGGGATGGCCAATTTCGAAAATGGTGTTGAAATTGAAAAGCTTGGTTGGGACCTATCATTAGAGTGGCGTCGAAAAGCGCAAAAAGCAGAAAACGAAATGAAATCGAGGGACCTTGACGGCGAATCGAGAAAAAAGTTGAAGCGACGAAGCCTATAATTTGTCGTCGGATTTCTCTATTTCTACTTTCAGCGTGCCCCCAAAACGAGCGAATCGTCGTCCATCCGCACACGCTGTTCGTTCACTCGTACAAAGTGCCGACGTTTTGCGATTTTTGCGGCGAACTGCTGTTCGGGCTCGTCAAACAGGGACTCAAGTGTTTCGGTGAGTTGAGCGCGGAAAATGTCGCCTGAAAATTGGATGAGGGAGCATCAGTGTTTCTTTTCTTTTTTACGTGATAATTGCGTCACGGTGTTTGCACACACAGTGCGCATTCAAATGTTTTCGGCGCCAAGACAAAAAAAAAATAATATTTTTTTTGCTCATTCGAAAATTGAGCAATTGTGGACCATTGCACACATTTCCATTTTTTTTGCGAGGTGTGGCGGTAATTCAAATTTGAAGCGAATCAAACTCACCGGAAATCGGCATGCGCCTTTAATTACCATATCCCAAATGAAAGATTTTTTGTGCTATTTTAAAGGCGCGGCTTATATTTGCGAAAGGAATCCAACCAATAAGAAAAAAGAAACTCGAAATTGCTTGGTCGAATCAAGGAAAAAAAAATTTTGTTTCGATTCTAGGCTGTGGTCTCAACTATCACAAACGGTGCGCGTCGAAAATTCCGAACAACTGCAATGGCTCGAAGCAGCGTCGGCCGTCGGCGATACCGTTGTCGCCGTCCAACTCGAACATTCTGAATTTGAACGATCGTCGCAATTCGCGTCGCGACTCGTGCCTCGAGGCGCTCGACGCGGCGCGGCCGTCGTCGATGCTCGCCGGCGTCGTCGCGCCGGCGCCCAACATTCTGGTGACGTCCGATGATTGCGGCGATCCGATCGGCGGAAATGTGAGTCGGGGGAAAAAAATTGAAAAAAAAATCGCACAATTCACTGAAAACTGGGCATTTTTTTTAGAGATTTTCGAAAAAAAAAAAAAAAAAAAAAACAATTTTTTTCTCGTTTCTAGAAAATTCGGGAATTTTTGAGAATTTTCAAGAATTTTTTCTGAAATTTTTGGATTTTTTTTTGGCTTAAAATGGGCAATTATTTGAGCTCGAAATTTTCAGATTTTTTTTGCTAAAAAATTTTTTTATTGAATTTTTTTGCTAGAAAACTTTTTTTTATTGAAATTTCCTTGAGACATATACGAACTTTGAGAATTTTCAAGAATTTTTTCTGAAATTTTTGGATTTTTTGTGCCAAAAATGAGTTTTCCGAGATTTTTGAGCTCAAAAAGTCGAAGAATTTTTGGCAATTTTTAAAAATGTTCTAAAATCACAATTTTTCCATTAAAATGTCGAAAAAAGTGAAATTTTGAGAATTTTAAAACTTTTTTTTTTGAAATTTTTGGTTAAAAATAAGTGAAATGGGATTTTTTTTTGAAATTTTGAAATGAGGCAAATTTTTTGAATTTTTTTGATGAGAAATTGTTGCAAAAATGTACAGTTTTTGATTTTAAGCATTTTCCTGATGGAAATTGTCATTTTTGTTGAGGCGACAAAAAAAATAAATTTTCGTTGACGCGAAATTTGTCATTCTAAAATAATATCAAAACGAAAAAAAAAATGTTGACGAAAATTTTTCGCAAAAAATTCAATAAAAAATTTTTTCTTGACAATTTCATTATGCAAAATTGGTTTTTTTTATTCCCCCCCCGATTATTAAATACCATAAATTGTGGGAATTTTTGAAGGAGAGCAAAAAAGAATATTTTTTTTTCAATACGCGATTTATGGTGCCGAATTTTGCGAAAATCTCTTCTTTCCAAAAAAAAATCAATTTTTTTAAGTGATTTGTCGCATTTTCAGTTCCTCCAAATGCCGCGCAAGGATCGCAGCTGCTCATGGAGCGGTCGTCCGTTGTGGATGGAGATCGCCGAGGCGACGCGTGTCAAAGTTTGATTCCGATTCTCGAACATCACCAAACTCGCCACAATCGATTTCAGGTGCCGCACACGTTCCAAGTGCACAGCTACAAACGGCCGACGGTGTGCCAGCATTGCAAGAAGCTCCTCAAAGGCCTCATTCGGCAGGGCATTCAATGTCGAGGTTTGGTTATTGCCGTCAAAATTTGTGGACCACTCTCTCTCTCTCTCTCTATGTCGTTGGCGAATGATTGATATCAATTTTTTGATACGGCAGCATTTTCCCAAAATTGGATGTAGAGTACTGAGATGGAGGGTTACAATAGCACTAGTTCCAATATAGCAGAGATCCTGGGTCACGATTACGGTAGCACTTTTCAAAATCGTAGAGTACTGAGGTAGAGGGTTACGGTAGCATTAGTTCTGATTTGTGACCATATTTATGTAGAAGAAAGTTGAGAAAAAGTAATTTGGGTTAGGATTACGGTAGCATATTTCAAAATTGTAGAGTACTGAGGTAGAGGGTTATGGTAGCATTAGTTCAGATTTGTGACCATATTTATGTAGAAGAAAGTTGAGAAAAAATAATTTGGGTTAGGATTACGGTAGCATATTTCAAAATTGTAGAGTACTGATGTAGAGGGTTACGGTAGCATTAGTTCAGATTTGTGACCATATTTATGTTGAAGAAAGTTGAGAAAAAATAATTTGGATTAGGATTACGGTAGCACAAGTTCAGATGTATAGCCCAGACATAGAAGAAAGTTGGAATACTTTATTTGGATGGGGGGATTACGGTAGCACTAGTTCAAATTTGTGGCATTTCGTAAGGATAATAATTTTTGGGTTCGGATTACGGTAGCACCAGTTCAACTTTGTGACCTTGCACGCAAAAAAATAAATTTAACGTCATCTAGGCGAATCCATTTTTTTTGTTTTCGGATTACGGTAGCACTAGTTCAGATGTTCGATCCTATATAGAAAAGCGTTGCAAAAAAAGGAAAACCAAGAAACAATGTTGGTTACGGTAGCATAATTGAAGCAATTGCAGATTGCAAATACAATTGCCATAAAAAGTGCAGCGAGCACGTTGCGAAGGATTGTCCCGGCTCGAACAGCCAAACGAATCAATTCTTTTTGGGAGCCGCCGATGATGGTACGTTGTAAGCGCGTGATCTGATCCCCTACCCGATTTCCCGACCCCCCTCCCCCAATATGATACGATTTCTTTTTATTTTTTTTTGATTGAATTGCCTGTGACAGGTTCGAGTATGTCGGGAAGTATGGATAATTTGCTCATGTGCAGTGTGCCGTTTGATTCGGACCAATCGACATCGGGTACTTGGTGTTTTCTGTGCATGTCGTTGAGTTGCTCCCCTGACCGAGTCCAGAATCCTCTCGATTCGTTTCATTTCTTGTTTTTGCTTTTTTTGTCCAACATCTTGAAATATTTGGAAGATTTTTGGCCAATTTTTAATGCTACAATGTAATTTGAAGAATTGAAAAAAATTTTTGTATGGACCTTTTTGTTCAAATCAGGACGCACATATGCACAGATTTCTCTATGGGCATAGGCATGGAATCATTTTTGATGGCGCGAAAAAGTTCGCTGGGTACACGTGCACGCAAAAATGCACACATTCAAATTGGCAGTGCCGAAAATCAATTTTTTTTCGAATTGAAAACGCCAAAAAATTGCCTTTCTTGACTAAAATTTGTGAAAAAAAATTCCAATTTTTCGGTCTCCCTCCGCGCGTATGCCCATATTTGTCGCACATCCCACCACACGCCACCCACCATATTAATTTTGTGTCGATTTTGTGTTTAGTGTGTGTGAGTGTGTACGTTTTTTTCCGGCTTCTTGTCATCACCTTTAACAAACCACACGTATATTTAGAATCATGGGTTCGTCGCTTCGAGACCCTCGTGTGTGTGTGTGTGTGTTGAAGACGGTTACGGTAGATTTTTAAAGGGCGGTCATCACGCCGATTGGGTTTTGAAGCGAATCGAACACCTTCATCTTCTATTTTTTGTTTAATTTTTGGCATTTCGATTTTTAGGAGCGTCGGAAGATCGTGAGGATGAGCTGTCGGTTCGGCACAAGAAGGCTCAGAATACGCCGAGTGCTCCATTACAGGCTCGTAGTTTTTTTTTTCATTTTCGATGTCTTAAAGGCGCATTTGAAGACGGTGATGTCGATTTTTGAATTGCTCAGTTTTTGTTTTCGCTATAGATTAAAGGCGCATAGCTTTATGAGGCGCAAAGGTCTTGAAGCGAATAGGTGATGTTCTAAAGAGTTTTTGCATTTGTTTTTCGATATAGTTTAAAGGTGCATAATGTGTAGTTGTTTAGTGGTTTTGATAGGAAAATTCTGTTTGAAATTTAAAGGCGCATAGGGGTTCGTGATTCGAATTAGAGCTTGCCATGTTTTTTTTTTTTTGAGGGCGGATTTTGTGAAGAAAATCGATTTTCCTATGATCGTTGAATGTTTCTAGGGAAGCGAGGGAAGCGTCAACTCGATGCCGGGCTTCAACGGCGGTCTGACGTCGCCGGACGACGAGGTGATATCGCCGGAAACGCAAAACATTCCGCTGATGCGAGTGGTGATGTCGAAGAAGCAGACGAAGCGGAAAAGCAACAAAATATTGAAAGAGGGCTGGATTGTGCACTACACCGATCAGCAGAATATGGTATGGAACTCATTTTTGCTCAATATCGCTTGTTTCTTTTTTGTTGCAGCGAAAAAAGCATTATTGGCGTCTCGACACGAAAAGCATCATAATGTATCAAGATGAGAACTCGACGCGATATTACAAGGTATTAGTCGTTGTGATTTGAATGAGCCATGCTTTAATGGTCCGATTCAAGGAGATTCCGCTCAATGAGATTCTCGGCATCGCGACGACGGCGAGCAATGAGAAGGCCGAGCATCAGACGCATTTGTTCGAAATTCGCACACAAGCTTGCATCTATTATATCGGTTAGTCTGGGAGGGGTTCTTTTTTTTTTGATTGCTCGAATTCAACACATCTCGTTGACGTTTTGGCCTTGAGAAATCGAGGTGTGTGTGTGTGTCAATATTTGGGTGGGAGGTGTTGGCGAATTGGTGAAGCGTGATTGCGTCAATCGACGGTGTCTCTGTTGATGAGCACATTTGTTGCTTTATTCGATTTGATCTACCTCGTATTTTTGCCAGAACGCCCACACACCCAATTCGATTGGGAGTTTTCCGCTTTTTCATATTTCTTTTTATTTGATCTACCTCATGGTTTTTTCGCTCTGGTTTTGATCTACTGGGAATAATGGTTCGTTTGATATTGTTGGAGTTGCAAACGCGCTCCACTGTAATGTCACACTTTGCAATATATTTTTTTTTTTAATTCTTTCATCGCTTTTTTGGTTTTGCAAACGCGCTCTATTGTGAATTTCCATTTTTTTTCCCGAGCAATTTGCGAGATTGTCATTTTTCCTCGTTCTGTAGCAAGTGCGCTCTGTAGCGAATTCCAAGGATTCAAAAAACGCGCTCCATTGCGAATTGATATTTTTTAGAGGCAAAAAGAAAAAAAACACACACACGCCAAAAAGGGAAATCATGTTGGAGATTTTTTTTGCGGCTGGTCGCCGCCGATGCCGCAATTATGCCTACCTGCCAATATATATATATATACATATATGCATTTTCGATTTCGTCGCCTGCCGCTGTCGTCGTCGTCGTCGGTCTATTATTCTTCATCTCCATCTTATTCTTCTTTCGCCATTGTTTTTTCGGCCACTCACCAAGGACAATTTTTTTTCGGTGTTCATTTTCTACTAGTTCTCTTTCGTTTTTTTTTTGGTCGCCTCTCCTTCGAGTTCAAGTCGCAACTCGGTCAATTTTTGAGTGTTGCACCGCAAATATTTGCGCAAGACTTCTTGCACCGAATTAGTTTTTCGTTTTTTGATAAGAGTTATTTGCGTGCGATTCCATGAAACTCTTTTTTTTTTGGCCGCCAACCCCTTTAACGTTGATTTTTGAATTTTTTGGATTACTGTAGATTCACGCGAAATTGCGGACCTGCCACCAACTCGTTTAACACTGATTTTTTTTGGATTACTGTAGATTTACAGAGTTTCCACCCTACCCTTTATGAGTAAATTTGGAATTTTTTTGGATTACTGTAGATTTACGCAAAATTGCGGACCTCCAACCAAATCGTTTAACACTGATTTTTTTTTCTAAATTTTTTCTGTATTACTCTAGACTTACGGACTTTCCACCCAATTGTTTAAAGGTGATTTTTTCTTTTTTGGATTTTTGTGGATTTACGCGAAACCTACCCTTTATGGTTAAATTTTTAATTTTTGGATTACTGTAGATTTACGCAAAATTGCGGACCTCCAACCAAATCGTTTAACACTGATTTTTTTTCTAAATTTTTTCTGTATTACTCTAGACTTACGGACTTTCCACCCAATTGTTTAAAGGTGATTTTTTTCTTTTTTTGTATTTTTGTGGATTTACGCGAAACCTACCCTTTATGGTTAAATTTTTAATTTTTGGATTACTGTAGATTTACGCAAAATTGCGGACTTAGGTCCTTTAATAATTTTTTATTTGATAAATTAAAATTATCCCATTTTTTGCCGACTTTCAGATTTGTGGATTACTGTAGGCGGGATTGACGCGACGCGAAATTGCGGACACATCAAGATTAGAGAAAATTTATTTTTTTTTTCTTTAGCTGGATTACGGTAGTGAAAATTTTCCGCAAAATTGAGTCGTTAATTTTGTGGAAAAAAAATTTTGCGGCATTGTGTGTGTATGATTTTTGTTTTTTTTTTTTCTTCACGAAATTACCAGCTACTTACTGGTTTGGTATTCAGAAAATTGAGAATTACCCTCATATTTGGTCAAACAAGTGAGTCATCATGGGTAAAAAAAAAAATCCCCGACAGCCTTTTGTTGTTTCCAGCAAAAAAAATGTATATTTTTGACTTTAATTCCATTTTTTTTTTGGTTTGGTCGCTCGATTTTTCCAAAACCGAAATTGTGAAGGTGAAATTTGGCAGTTTTTGATATGATATGATACACACGCATACCATAAATGGCCTATTATCGTCATATTGTTCTTCTCGTTTCGACCCCCCCCCCCACCCCCTCCTCTCCTGCGGTGTCGATTAATCGGACTTTCTCCTTTTATGGTCTTCATTGTCTCAATTGAAGCTTCCGTCTTTGATTTTTATTTGGGCTTAAAATGATTCGATTCCCCCTTCCCCACCAATTTTTTTGGGGGAGCATTTTGGAGGTAATTAGAGGAAAAACTGATAATTAGTCGCTTAATTACCCTCAATGTTGATGTTGGTTGATTTTGCGCAAAATTTGCGGAAAAATTGTTCTCGCGTTAATTAGCGTATAATTAGAATGAAAAATTGAAAATAGCCAAATTATTGGTGGAATTTTTCAAAAAAATTGTGATTTTTTATTACCCCTTAATTGATGGGAATTTTTGAAATACCAATTTAGTCGATTGATAACAAGTGATCTTTGAAGAGGGTTTCTTTTTTTTTGAAAATTTTGCGAAACCAGTTTTTGTACGAAAAATCTTTTTTTTTTGTTGAGTAAACATTGCAACAAACAAAATTTTTGATTTTTTCTTCTCTCCTTTTTTTCTGTTGTTTCTTTTTTTTTTTATTAGTCATATGTTATTCTTCTATTTGATTTCTTGCAATTTTGGCAAAAAATTGTGATTTTTTAAAATTTAATTTTGAAATTTTTAGCTGAAAATTTTTTTTGCGATTTTTTCAGTTTGAAATTTGAATTCTTGAAGAGAATTGCCAAAATTTGATTTATTTTTTCATTTGCTTTGCAATTTCTTTTAGTTTGCGAAATTTTGAGAGGAAAATTCCAGTTTTACTGTTTTTTTTTCAGCAAAATTTTCCGAAATTTGAGGCATTTTCGGATTGAAAATCGCGCAAAAATTGAATTTTTTTTGGAAATTTCCGAAATTTTTCTCGAAATTTTTGATTTTCCCGCTGCATTTTTGAAGAAAAAAATCGAAAAATTGACAATTTGGCGCGATATTTGAAATGTTTAAAATTAAAAAACAATTTTTGGCTCGATTTTGAAAATTTGAGTCCAACATTTTGAGATGGTGAAAATTTTATTGCAAAATTTGAAACAAATTGCGCCAATTTTTTGAAGCTTCATTGAAAATTCGCCAATTTTGTTGGCCGTCAACTTTTCGACCTTGTTTGACATATATTGTACTCATAATCGGCTTTTCGCTTTCAATTTTTTTGGAACGCTTACTACTAGTTTTCCGGCATTCTTTTGTCCGTCCTTGAACTGTCCGAATGACGACTTTGCCAATTCATAGAGATTGAGGCGTCGATTGTCGCTGTGGGGCCGGGAAAAGCTGGAAAAAACCTGAGCCTGAAAATTCTGAAGGCGCGAGATTTTAAGCATCAAATTTTTTTGCGCAAAATGCCGCTGAAATCCGACCTTGACGCGATTTGATTGGTCAGAGAATTTGAAAAAAAAAGAAAAGAAAAAATGTTTCCTTTTCATTCTTTCTGTTTTTTTTCCTCTTTGATTGGTCATTCATTGTCTGTGTGTGCGTGTCCCTTTAATCTTATCAATTCTCATCGAAATCGACTGGTCACTATATTTTTTTTTCTTCGCGAGTGTAAAAATCGGCGGTGACCTCCATTCTCGACATTCACCTCCAATTTTTTGGGTTTTGATTTCTGAAAATGGTTGAAATTTGGCTTTTTTTTGGGAAATTTTGAATCCAGCCCCCCTCCCCACATTCCGCTTAAATGGTCCCTGGAACAGATCGATTTTTCTTTCTGAAAATACTTGAAATTTGAATTTTTTCGGAAATTTTGAATCCCACCACCCTTTCCGTTTAGATGGTCCCTAGAAAAGATAGTTTATTTCTGAAAATTCTTAAAATTTACTTTTTTTCTGAAATTTAGAATTCCCCCCCTCCAACCATTCCGCTTTGATGGTCCCTAGCGCAAATAAGTTTTTTTCTGAAAATTCTAGACATTTGATATTTTGCGAAATTTTTTATTTGTTTTCTTTTTTGCCTTTAATGGTCCCAAGAAAAAAATAATTTTTTTTGCTCGCCAAAATGAAAGGACGGGAAAAGTTTTAGATGGTCCCTAGAACAAATCAATTTTTTTTCTGAAAATACTTGAATTTGATTTTTTTTTACAATTTTTAAATGTAAAATTTTGAGTATTTCGCTTTAAATGGTCCCAAAAAAATCTCGCTGATATGAAAAAGCTGGAAATTCGTTTTTTTTTCTCCGCCCGCTAAGATGGTCCCTAGAAATATTCATTATTAGTTTTTTTTTCCGGAAAATTTGTGAATTTCGGAATGCATTTTCTCGATATTACTCACTCTTCGAGGGTCCCTAGCGAAATTTTTGTTTGGCTAAAAAATGCTGAAATTTTTCAGCTTGAACAAGTTTCGAAAATGTTTGATTTCAAAAAAATTTGTGCCAAAAAATTTTCTTTTTTTTTTTTTCAAAATCTCCATTTTTCGATTCGATGGTCCTTTTTTTGAAAGTCGATTTTTTTTCTTGTGACGATTCCACAGAAAAAAGCCTAGATTGGGAATTTCGGTGTGAAAACGCTGAAAATTCGAATTTCTCGACTACTAATGCTTCCTTCTCGCCTCAATGTAATTATTACAAAAAAACAACAACAACAACAACAATGCGAGAGATTTTTTTTTTCTCTCTCTCTCTCTCTCTCTCTCGCATGATTTTCGCCCTCACATGGCAAAAAACCGGTCAAATTGAGGTTAATGCAAATGGAGACTCGAATTATCACTAATTAATCAACTGATTTGAAGGCGCATTTTTTATTTATTTTCTGATTTTCCTGTAGTTTTTATCGAGATTTTGTGAAAAATGTTGGAAATTTGTGAGATTTTTGCCGCCCCAATTTTATTGTAACAAATTTTGGTGGCCACTTTGTGGCCACAACCCGCCCATATATATAATTATAATGAAGAAAATTAATCAAGTCAGGGGGTTGAAAAGAGGTTTCAACGAGAAAAAAAAGAGAATTGCATTTTGACCATAATTTTTGTTTTTTTTGAAAATTTGGTGGCCACAAAGTGGCCATGCGCAAAACTTTGAAAAATTCTTTCATTTTTTAATTCAAAAATGTTTTTACTCAGACAAACCAAATCAAATTATTTGAGAAATTCTAAAGTTTATTGATACTTTGTAAAACGTATCGAGAATAGAAAAAATTTAAAAATAATTTTTAAAGTCTTATAAGGTTTTCCAAAATTTATTGAGCAAATTCGGAATTATGCGAGACCATTTCGACGCATTCCCGTAAATCTACCCGCGTACCGCAGTCGCCGGACGCCGACTATATATGTATATATATTTTTTTTTAATGATTTGATATTTTATTGAATTTCGAATGTCATTCAAACAAAAAAAAATCAAAAAGCGACCGATTTGATCGAATCTGACACTCCTGACGAGTTTGGTCCGCGGCGAGACCATAGTCGGACGCCGATTTTGGCGAATTTTTTGGCGACGTTTCCTGAGAAATTGAAATTGTTTCAAATTGATATATCGCGCGAGAAGGTCATTTTTGCGACGTCATCAGATTGATTATGTGACGCCGTCGGGGCGGCGGACGGCGGGGAGAAGGCGACTTCCGATTCGTGACGATACTGAAGTTTTTTTATCAATTCGTCGTCCGCTCTCTTGCAAATTTTTGCAAAGCGAAAAGAAACAGAAATTTCGCTTCGAAACCCTGGCTAGAAAGCGTTTTTGCAAAAATTGTTTGCTAGGCGATTACGGTAGGATTTGAATTGCCGCCTGGAGGGGGGGGGGTCCCGTATGGAAGCGAGTTTCAATCCGTCAAAAACGCATTAGTTTGATAATTTTGGCAAAAATTTCAAGAAATGTGTAGATTGATGGGACCCAATTGATAGGCACTCAAAAAGGGACCCTCTGGCGACTAGAATTGAGAATTGATAGAGAAGCTCGACAAAAATTGCCACAAAAAAAATCCAAAACCCATATTTGGCGAAAGATCGGCTTTTTTTGTTGGAGGGGTAATAAAGAATATTGTAGAATCGTGTCGTAAAAACGGGGGTGGTGGGGGGGGAACCACTCTTGGGAGACGGTAGATTCGACGAAAGACCGATGAAACCCGCAACGATGTCGGCAGCATTGCGACGCATGAGATCAAAATACGAGAAAAGCAAAACAAGAAAAAAATGGCGGCCGGGAATTGGCACGTAGCTCGTGCTGTATCTCATTCTCGAGTTTAAACCGCCTCCTAATTAGGGATTATTGCCCCCCCCCCCCATCACAATTATGACTAATTAGCGTTTGTGTTATGACGTGGATTGAAGAATGGAAAACAACAACAACAAGTAATAGTAGATGAATGGAAACAATTGGGCTGAATGACATGTAAGCGTATGAATAATATGAATGCCAGCCTCTCCCGAAATAATCAGCTTATTCTTGATTGTTACCTGGTCCTTCTCGCCGACAGCCCCATCCCCCCCTCCCACCCTCTCCTTCGTCATTCTCGTGTATTTCGATTTGAAACCAGTTTCGACGCCTCCTCGATTACGTTTACTGTTTTTCATTGCAAAAGTCAAGTTTGGCTTGACTCCAATGCGGCCGTTGGTTTCCAACTCTTTTTTTTCCAAACTCCCAAATTCCTTGATCCATCGTTGGCGGTTCGTCTCGTCTTCTTTCTTTCTTTCTTTCTTTTTTTTTGTTGCGATTTTAAAGGCGCATCACACGGCGTTTTGTAGTTTGATCGATCCCCCCCACCCCCCATATTTCGGTGTGCCCACAATTTAACACGATTTTAAAGGCGCATCACGTTTTGATTTCAGCGTTTCGTGGTTTGATCTACCCCATATTTCGGTGTGACAAAAGTTAACACGATTTTAAAGGCGCATCACGTTTTGATTGTGGTGTGATCTACTATGTTCAAATTCACAACGCTACTAGATGTTTTCAGTCTTTTGATCTACTCGGTCTTGTTTTTTTGTTGTGCGACTCTTCATCAATAATTTAAAGGCGCATCAGTCGTTATAGCACTTGTCAGATATTTGATCTACCGTATATTTGTTGCGAGTCCTATTTTGCACTTTTTATTGTTTGATCTACCATTCCTCTATTTTTACGAACATGTCGCAATTTTTAAAGATACAAAAAAAAACTTGATCTACCTCGTTTTCGCTTTGGGACCCTCATAGTAGTTTGCTCTCGCCTGGCGAATATTAAAGGCGCATCTTATTTTTTTTGGTGATAGTTGCGAGACCCTTTCTTAAAGGCACATACTTCAATATTTAGGCGTTCGATTTTCTTCGTAGAACCCGTGATCATTTTTAAAGATCAACGAAATCTCTACGGTACCTTTTGTTTGAGACCCGAGCGCCCGCATTTGAATTTGTCGAACAGCGTCATGCGCCTTTAAACCGCCATCATCTGAATTTAATGTCGCATTTAAAGGCGCATATTAGGAAAATTGATTATGTTAACCTAAGATTTGATTTTTTGTTTTGTTTCGCGAGAGATCTTTGGACGATTTTCCAGCGCATAAAAGTGAGGCCAAACACCCACACGCATGGGCATTCGGAATCGGAATAGCGTCTTCCTCTCTTCCTCTCTCTCTTCCCCTCTCTCTCTCTCTCTCTCTCTCTCTCTCTCGCGAACACCGCCGTCTCGTTTTTGTTTCGCCACCTTGTTGATATCGCGCGCCACCGGATTGAGACCATCAATGAAAATTGATCTCAGCGGCGACGATGACCGACAAGAACGCCACGCCCCCTCTCCATTTTCTTTTTTATTTTATTTTTGCACTCTGCTTCGACTGATTTTGGCCGATGCACGTAGTCACAATTCATCCATTCATTGGTATTTTCGTTTTGTCTCCACTATATGCGTATAGTTAATAGGTAGTGGAATAATAGTAGTAGGAATAGTAGTAGTACTTGTCTTACCATTACTATTATATTATGTGATGACGATGATGATTGCGTCGATGTGTGGGTGTGTGGGTGTGTAATCGAGCGATTTGTTCTCAGAATCTTTGAAGGGTGCGATTTTTGGGATTACGGTAGCTTTTTTTTGTTGTGGATTACTGTATCTTAAAAATTGTGCTCTGAAGCATCTATTTTTTTGTAAAAAAATTGTGGGCAAATTTCTCTGGAATTTCTCTCGAATTTGCTATTGACAATAATCCTACTAATTTCCCTTTGGGATTGCTGTACCTCGGTGGGGGGGGGCTCTTTTTGATCTACACTTGATGTGACTCTGCGTCTCTATCTCTCTCTCTTTTTCACACTCTATCAATTTTCTGGGTCCTAGACTAGAAAATGACAAATTCTAGCAAAAACAACCCATCATTTGGTTCCGTTTTCTCGACGTCATCAGGTTTTCGTCATCGCCTGACCGAAACCGTATTGTTTTCGAGAAATTGTCACGAAATTTTTTGGCTCGTTTCTTTTTCTCTGCGTCTCTCTCTCTCTCTATAACTCTCACTCTCGCGTTCACCGATTGTCGAAAGTGTTCAGAACATGATCTTGAACATTCTCCGACTGCCGATCGACACACCGTCGACGTCAACGTCGACGACGACGACAGTCGCTGCCGAATATCCGGTTGTTCATTTCTCGACGAGGCGTCGCGTCAAACTGAAAACAATCGACGAGCCGTCGACGTCGACGTCGGATGACGACGATGACGACGACGTCGTCTCGACGGATTCGGGCTATTACGCCGGCTCGACGGCGACGACGTCGTCGTCGGAATCGGCAGCGGCGGCGTCGTTGAGTCGCGACGGTTCGATGGCGAGCTCGACGATGACGATGGATCGAGACGCGCGCGGCGGCTCGATGAGCTCGGAGGCGGCGCGAAGCAGCACCGGCAGCTTCGAGTCGATCAGCTCGACGGCGTCGAAAATTCTCAGCTCGGCGGCCAACTGTTTGATGTTGATGACGAAACGCAACGGATGGAGTTATGGTAGTTGATTTTGAAAAAAAATAGATGGTTGAATTCGAGCTAACAGTAATCCGAAAATTTTGATCTCCCCAACGATTACGGTGGAAAAATGATGGAATTGTTGATTTCAGCCGGTTCGCCGTCGGACGAGAAGGGCTCGCTGGACGCGCAATCATGGACGACGGCAATTCAGGCGGCGCTGATGCCGGTGACGCCGCAGAGTAGCGTCGGCGCGAAACGGGTCACCGATAAGCTGAAAGTGCCAACCGAAGGTGCGAGCCAGTGTGTGTGTTTCGATTGCATTTCTTTTTGGTTTTTTGTTTGCAGGTGAAAAAGGCCACCTCGGCGCCAACATTCAGACGGAGCACGAGTTCTCGCAACTCTATCAGATATTCGCCGAAGAGGTGCTCGGCAGCGGCCAATTCGGCACCGTCTACGGCGGCATTCATCGAAAGTCGGGCCAACACGTGGCGGTGAAATTGATCGACAAACTCAAATTTCCGCCGAACAAAGAGGACCTGTTGCGCACCGAGGTCCACATTCTTCAGGTATTATCGGGCGGTTGTTTTTTTTTTTTTTTTTTTTTTTGGTGGCCACTTTGGGGCCACACCCGTACTATGCATGACGGAGAAGAAGAAGAAGAAGAAAAAAAGCGCAATGTCAACAATTTTGGCGACAAAATTGCCCCCTGGCATAACATTCATTCTACTAGATCGAAACGTTTCGTTGATTCGATGTAGTGGCCACCAAGTGGCCCTCCCCCCCTCGTCAATTCTGATTGGATGAAAAATTCCATTTGAATGATTTTGCCGCCTAAATTGCCACGTGGCATAAATCCCACCACCCCCAAAAAATGAGAATTTTGGTCAAAGAATTTAGCGAATCCGATTCTGTGGCCACAAAGTGGCCATACACGATTCATTGAGAAAAACAAAAGAAATGATCAATTCTGGTTGGATGAAAAATTCAATTTGAAGGATTTTCCCGCCACAAATTGCCACGTTGCATAAAACCCCCCCCCCCCCAAAAAAAATGAAAATTTTGGTCAAAGAATTTAGCGAATTTGATTTTGTGGCCACAAAGTGGCCATACACGATTCATTGAGAAAATAGAATTCAATTTGAACGATTTTCGCGCCAAATCTGAAATTTTGTGTGTGTGTGTGCGTGCGTGCTTTTTTTCTTATCAGATGAAAAAACATTCGAGGGTCCCGTAAAAATTGACAACTTTTTGAACATTTTTTGAAAAAAAGTGTACAATTTTCCAGTTTTTTGCTAATTTTTGTCAACGCTTTTTTTTAGAAGCGATAAAATTTTGAAAATTGGCGGGCGATTCAAAAAAAAAATCGCAATTTTTCTTTCATGGCCACTTTGTGGCCACACGCACTCAGATCAAATAAATGAGTTTCTGTTCTGTTTCCAGCATGTCCACCATCCGGGCGTTGTGCATTTCCTCCAAATGCTCGAGACCACCGATCGGATATTCGTTGTGATGGAGAAGCTCAAAGGCGACATGCTCGAAATGATATTGTCGAGCGAGAAGGGCCGATTGTCGGAGCGAACGACGCAATTTCTGGTGGCGCAAATTCTCGAAGCGCTTCGCTATTTGCACAATTTGAACATTGTGCACTGCGATCTGAAGCCGGAGAACATTTTGTTGACGTCGAACAGCGATTTTCCGCAGGTCAGAATTTTTTGTTCCAAAAAAAAGTTTTTTTTTTCAAATTGAATAATTTTCGAATTTTTTTGTAGATTTTTCTGCAATTCCCTATAAAATTTGTGTGTTTTTTAACTGAAAAAAAATGTTTTTGAAGCTGATTCTTGAAATTCTTGAAATTTTCTAATAGCCTTGCCTAATTGTGGACCATCGCACGTTTTTTTTTCGAGGCGGCAATTCAAACTCGGATAATCTAATGCTCAGAAGCACTAACCATGTGGCATTTCAAAATGATTCGAAAAAGAGAAAAATAGGGAACACTGGGGGGTTCTCACAGCGATTTTGGTCCCGTCAGAGATTCAAAAAAAAATTTTGTAATTCTGCACCGCTCGAAAAATGGGGTTTTGACCACTGCGAGGCAACTTTTGAAGGTAGTAGCATAAAAATTGGTGTTGCTAGGTAATTTTTCATGCTGAACACGATTTCCACACTGGTTGGTATCAAAATGGCGAAATTCTGCAAGGCAGTGTAGAAAGAAAGAGAGAGAGAGAGAGGGAAAGAGAGAGAGAGAGAGAGATGACACGAGATTGTTAGAGACGCAGAGAAAAAGAAGAAAAAAAATGAAAATTTTGCTATTTTTGCAATTTTTTGTTGTTGCAGGTGAAATTATGTGATTTTGGATTCGCGCGAATCATTGGCGAGAAGAGCTTCCGTCGAAGTGTCGTCGGAACGCCCGCCTATTTGGCGCCCGAGGTTGGTTGCGCTGAAATTTGCGATTACTAGTTTTTTTTTAATTTTATTTTTATTGTTATTTTTTGCTTCCTTTAAAAAAATTATGTATGATTTAGGTGCTTTGCAACAAGGGCTTCAATCGATCGCTCGACATGTGGAGCGTCGGCGTGATCGTGTATGTCTCGTTGTCCGGGACGTTTCCGTTCAACGAGGACGAGGACATCAACGATCAGATTCAGAACGCCGAATTCATGTATCCGCAGCAGCCGTGGAAAGAGATTAGCGAATCCGGTGAGCAATGGAAATGCGCGATTTGAGAGAAGCCGAGACGTTTTTTTTTTTTTTAATTCTCGCTACGTGGGTAGATTTACGCGCATGATGAGTATTTTTTTCGCAATTTCTTGGAAATTCTAACGATATTCGACTAAAAAATTATCGAAGCGACCCATAGAAATTTGAAATAACCAGTTAGTCCGTGCGAGACCAAGAGAAAGACGCATCCTCGTAAATCTACCCCCCGCTGAATATCAGCGTTTCTCTTTCTTTTTTTTTTGTTCTTGGCCACCCAATTTTGTTTTTGATCTCAGCGTTTTTCGCAAAAAAAAAAATGACGGACCTCGCATTTTATTTTTTGCAGCTATCGAATTCATCAATGGACTGCTTCAAGTGAAAATGAGCAAACGGTATACGGTGGCGAAAGCGCAAGCTCATTTATGGATGCAGGTAGGAAAATGGCGATTTTTGAGTTTTTTTATTGAATTTTTGGTATTGTTGGAATCTAACGACTTGATGAAATTTAAAAAAAATTATTGGCAATGTGCCAATGCGTCTCGAGGCAGCGAGACCTGGGATTATACACTTGGGATTATTTTTTGTCGATTAATTCGAAAATGCGAATACCTTCAGAAATGGTTTCAATTAGAAAAATATTTGCATTTATTTTTTTTCTTCCTGTTACATTCAGAAAATTCAACAAAAAATAGAAATTTAAAAAATTGTTTTCACTTTTTTTTTTCCAATGACGAAATTGTTTAAATTGGTATTTTTGCTGTTAGGTAATTAAATAATTAAATGTTTAATTACCCAATTTTGAGGTAAATTGATTTTCCCTGATGATGATCGAATGATGGAAACAATAAAATATTGTGCAAGACTCAAACATTAAAAAGGGTCCTATCAAGAAGATCTATTCTACCTAACAATAATCGCACTCAAAACAAGTCGCTCCACAACTCACAAAACTGTTATTTTTTGGTTGAAATTCGTTTTTGAGTTATTCGGCAAAATTTGGGTGGGTGTATAAGTATGTGGGGGCACTATAGTGTACGCGCATTTAATACTCAGTCAACGAAAAATTTCAATCGACACTGATTTCGCGACATAGTCGTTTGATGCCGAAAATATTTCGAGATTTGAAATTGTTTTTTAAGCATTACCTTTCCGAATTCCGCAATCTGATGGTATTTCTTTTTTTTTTGTGATTTGCAGAGCTACACCCTCTGGTCGGATTTGCGTCTTCTTGAGAAGACCGTCGGCGAGCGATTCCTGACGCACGAAAGCGATGACTCGCGTTGGAAGGAGTACGAAAAAGAGCATAATCTGACACCGATTTACGTCTAGAAAAAATATTGGCCCATATTTGGTATATTTGCACCCTTCTCCCCCCCCCACCGTATGTATCATTCTTATTCTCATTCCTTCCTGTTTTTTTTTCTTATTGGTTACATATCACTTTACGCCCCACCGCCCCCTTTTTGACCATTCTTTTTTGGTAGATAGGCTATTATTATTTTATTTTTATATTTTGCTAGAATTTGAAAGAAACTGAAAATATTTGAATTTGCGACACAATGAATTGGTTTTATAGATTATTCGGAATTTGAAAAGAATTTTTGCGTCAGCCAACTGGCATGCGCCTTTAAACAGTTTGCGGTTTTCGATGTTTTTTTGTTAGAAATGCAATTTTCTGTTTCAAAAATGTTATAAAAAAAACTTTCGGAAATTTTCCGAGATTTTATTAAAATGTTCCTCATTGATTCGAGAGCCAATCGATGCGAGACCCAACTGGCATGCGCCTTTAAACAGCTTGCGGTTTTCGATGTTTTTTTTTTGTTAGAAAGTTGCGCGCCCAAATTTTCGAAAATGCAATTTTCTGTTTCAAAAATGTTATAAAAAGACTTTCGGAAATTTTCCGAGATTTTTTTAAAATGTTCCTCATTGATTCGAGAGCCAATCGTTGCGAGACCCAACTGGCATGCGCCTTTAAATCATTTCATTTTTTATGTCTGAAAATCGACGATATTTTCGCAAATTTTCAGAAAAAATCGAACAATTTTTGTGGCAAATTTTCGAAAATTCCATTTTCGGTTTCAAAAAAATTATAAATATTGTCAAATTAAAAAAAAATTTCTCTCAACTTTTAAAATAAAAAAACATTTTCTACGAAATTTGCTTGAAATTTTCAATTTTGTCATTAAAAAAAATAATTTCATTAACAAAAAAAAACGAATTGATAACAACTAAGCGCTGAGAACGAAAGAAAAAAAAAACAAATCCTAATCTGAAAATCGTCTAAAAGGTCTCATCGCGATAGCCGAACGTCTGCTTTTCGACGAGCTTCCTGAATATTCCGTCCGGAATTCGCACCAATTCCTCATAGCTTCCTTTTTCGGCAACACTTCCTTTATCGATGACAACGATTTGATCGGCGTGTTTGATTGTCGACAATCTGGAATTCGAATTATTTCAGTTTGTCGGGAAAAAAAAACTCATACAAATTCTGATTTTGCTGAAAATAGTTCTAAAAATTGAGCTAATTTGATCTGAGAAAATTTTCTAATCAAAAATATCAGAAAATTCATTCAATTTCGAATTTTTTTAAGGAAAAAAAATTAAAAATGGGGCTAATTTGAGCAAAAATTTCAAATTGCCGTAGAAAAATTTGAAAAACCAGGCTTTTTTCGAGCAAAAAATCAATTTCATTAAAAATTCATAAAAATTCTAATTTATGAAGAGTTATCAGAACATTAGGTTTTTTTAAATCAAAAAAATCAAAATTTTAATATTAAAACCTTCTGAAAATTCATATAAATTGAGATTTTGTCGAAAAAAAAAATGAAAATCAGGTTTTTATGGGCAAAAAAAGAAAAATCTTCAAAATTGATAAAATTTTTCTGAAAAAAAAAACGCAAAAATTCAAATTTCAATTTAAAATAACGACAAAAAATTGATAAAAATTAACATTTTTTGGGGAGAAACTGGCCATTCAAAATTTTTTTTTCTAAAAATTGGGAACTACTGAACAGATTTAGTGGTCATGGACTTCAAAAATTCAAGTATAGAAAAATCGATGGGAAATTCATCAAAGCTAGTGATAAAAAATCAGAAAAATACATTTTTTGCGAAAAAAAACCTCAAATTTGGGGCATTTTTGCTATATTTTCAGAAAAATTCAAAAAAAAAACCAACTCACCGATGAGCAATAATTACCACCGTCTGATTGCTCTTCTCGAGCAATTTGTTGAGCGCAATTCGCACCAAATATTCTGAAGAGGCGTCGAGAGCCGACGTCGCTTCGTCAAATATCAGAATGCTGGGATTCTGGAAACAAATTCGAATTTTCAAAAAAAAATTTCGAAAAATTTCCAGCATTTCTTTTTTTTTAATAAAATTTAGCATTTTTCCTCAAAATTATTCAATTGCTCTTCAATTTTAACACGAAATTTGTGGAATTTTCAGCAAAATTTCATAAAAATTTCAAATTCTCCAATTTTTGGCCGCAAAAATCCCAACTTTTTCTCAAAAATTCCAATTTTTCGTATTTTTCCTCCAAATTTCGAGCATTTCGCGCTCAAAATTTTTTAATTTTAAAACAAAAAAAAAATATAGAAAGAGAAACTCACATTAACAAGGGCTCGCGCAATCGCAATCCGCTGCTTCTGACCACCGCTCAACGTCGATCCCATCTCGCCGACCATTGTCTCATATTTCTCGGGAAACGCTTCGATGAACTCGCTGGCGTTCGATTGTTCGGCCGCCGAAATCACCTAAAATCGAGAAAATTATTCAATTTCGAGAAAAAAAATTGAAAATACCTCAGCTTCACTGATTTTTTCCGGACTCTCGGCACCGTAGACGATGTTTTCGCGAATCGTCGTCGAAAATAAGACGGGCTCCTGGAAATCGCGTCTTCAAAATCATGGGAAAACGCGCTCCATTGCAATTCTCTTATCATTTCCACTTGAAAACGTGAAATTTTTAATCAAACATTTTCCAAAAAATCGTTCATTCAGCTCAAAAATGTGGAATTTTTTTTTAGAAATATCATTTTCTCGATTTTTATCAAATAGCCGCAAATGCGCTCTATTGCACTTTCAATTTTTTACATTCAAACGCGAAATAAAAAATTGCTCGTAATTATAAAAAAAAATGACATTCGCGGTTGTTCAAAAACAAATTGAGCAAACGCGCTCTAAAGTCTAAAAATTTTTTTAAAATTTGAGCGCCAAATTTGAAATTTCAATACGAATTCGATTTTTAGCCTAACAAATATGCAATTTTGCCCCCAGCCAAACCTGTCCGACAGTTCCGATGTGCCTTCTCCAGTAGGACGGATCAATTTCCTTCAAGTCGATTCCATCAACCGTGATTTTGCCGCGAATCGGATCGTAGAGCCTTTAAACAATGTGTGTGAGCAATTCTTCACGAGAATACATCTCGAAAATGCGGGACCGCTCTCGGATTCGTTCAAATCTCAAACGTCTGCCGACATTTTTCGGGGTTTTTCGTTTTCTTCCATCATTTTTTTTTGAAATTCGGCAACGACGCTTCAAATTTACAGTGTCGATCATTTTTTGCATACGAAATTATTTGAAAATCGAATTTTTCCAAATTTAACCAGCTTCTTTTTTCTTCAAAAACAAGCATTTGAATTTTTTGAAAAATTTCTTTCTAATGGGGGGTTTTCTTTTGAAACCTTAATAGGAGGCTCGCAATCGTCGATTTTCCCGATCCCGATGGTCCGACAATCGCCGTAATTTTGCCAGCGGGCACGTCGAACGAGATATCATGAAATACCGGATCGCGTTTCGCGTATTGAAACGCGACATTCTCGAATCTGCAAAAAATAAGAAGAAAGTTGAGGATTTCGACAACCTCGAACAAGACTTTTTCCAATTCTGTTTGCAAAAATTTTCTAATGGGTCCCTTACTTCAAAAGAAACTATTATCGGGGTCCCATGTTTCCGATCGTTTTGATTTTGGCCATCAGTGGGTTTTCAAAAAAATAATAAAAAATTTTTAATATTGAATGTGATTGCATTTTCTCAACAAAAAAATGCAATTTTATTCTAGGCCAATTTTTTTTTGAAAAAAAAAACCAAAAAAAAACTTCTCAATCAAAAAAATTGCTTTCTCTTCTCGGAAAATCAAACATCCTAAATTTTTTCCACAAAAAAAAACTCAGCTACCTGATTTCGTCGAGCACGTTCGCCTTCCGAATTCCGCCTTCCAACGGTATCGCCGGTTGGCGATTGCGAAGCTCGAAGAGCCGCGAGCTCGCGCCGAGACCCTTCATCAATTCCATGTAGAATCCCGAGATGTTCGATAAACTCGCCGCGCTCAGCACCGCGTACAGGCAGAACGACGATAATTCGCCTGGAAGCAACAACAAAAAATATGTTTTTTTTCAGGACCATTATGACCAGTTTGCAGATTTGCCCCGGGAAAAAAACCCCAAAAAATTTTGGATTTTCACCATATTTGGAAATTTCTGCATAGGGACCATAAATTGACAAATACCATATGTTAGAAGACCCTGACTGATCAAATTGCTGCCATAAAAGAGCATTGTTGAAAGTGCGACGTAGCCGGTGAATTGGAACTGAAATTGTTCAATTATTGCGTCAAAATTCGCCCATTTTTGGGTGGATTTCAATTCTCATCTCAAAAATTCCAATTTTCTTTCGATTTCGGACAATTTCTTGCTTGAAATATCCAATGTTTCGAGAGATTTTCTCGCCAAAAATTGCTAGAAATCACCAATTTCAGGTGTTCCATCAGAAATTCAATTTTTTTTCTCCAATTCAACTCACCGATCCGAACATGCATCCTTTCGCGATTCCCTCTTTTTTCGAAATATTCCAAATTTCGTTGATTTTCGCCGAGTACGCCTCCAACTCTTTTTTTTCAGCCACCAACATTCGAACGGTTCGAACGCTCGAAAGACGCTCGGTCGCAACCTGCAATTCGCTTTTTGATCTACTCAAATCCATCTCCCGCAAATTGAGGCGAATTCAACGATTTTTAAATTTGTATTTTTCAAGTTTTCAATCGTTTTAGTAACTTCTAGAGTTTAAAGGCGCATGGAGATCAAGTCAAGAAAAAAGAAATTAATCGAGACCCAATTTTGAAGGCACTAATGACATAATCGAATTTCTCATTTTCAAAGGATTGGAAAATTTCAAAATTTTCTCCATACCAAAAATTCAGTCAAAATTCAAGTTTGAAGGCTCATATTGCTTTTTTTGATCTACCTGATTCGCGCCGGCAACTCCTTCTTGCATCATCAGCGTGTATTTTCGCTGCAGTTTTCCGAAGACCGCCACCGAGCCGACGATGATCGGAATCACGATGACCATCACTTTGCACATCGCCAAACTCGTGTAAACCTAGAAAACTTTTTTTTAAAATTTTTTTTGAGAGCGGAAAATTTGTTTAAATTGTTTGAATTAGCCTATCCCAAAAAAATATACAATTTTTTTGGCGAAATTTGAAAACACCCTCCAAAAATTTTTTTTTGAAATTTCTATGTTAAGTGAGATTGTTTAAAGGCGCATAGCACGAAAAATTGAAACGGGTCTTGAGGCGATTGTCGTTTTTTCATGGAAAATTCCAAGGAAAAATCCATTTTTCTGCAAAATTTCGGGGCAAAAAAAAAAAAAAAACGAATGATTACCATGAGGCCGCCGGAGCCGAGACAAGTGATCAATGCTCGCGCGCCGTCGCTCAAATTCATCGACACCGAATAGCCGACGATGAGGGTGTCTGTCGAGAGACGCGACACGATTTCGCCGACCTGGAATTGCCAAAATTTTGACACAATTCGAAAAAAAAATGAGCAATTTGCCGCAAATTTTCGCATTTTATCAACAGAAATATGATGGAATTGGATGATTTTTTTTTTGTAAAATTCTCTGGTAACTCAAAACCAATCGGATTCGACAAAATTCGGCTCTAGAACTAACCTTATCCGATTGGTAATTCTACGGATAAGATTACAAATTGTCGAATTCGATTCGTTTTTTTTTTTGGGTATTTTCGAATACGATTGGTAATTTGCCGGATTCGATTGGTAATTCTACGGATAAGATTGGTTATTTGTCGAATTGAAATATTAAAACAAAACGGATTCGAATAATTACCAATCGGATTCGAAGAAAATCTAATCGGATACGAAAATACCCAAAAAAACGAATCGGATTCGACAATTTTCCAATCTTATTCGTAGAATTTCCAATCGGATAAGGTTAATTCCAGAGCCGAATTTTGTCGAATCCGATTGGTTTTGAGTTACCAGAGTTTCAACTCAAAATAATTAATTATTCCATTTTTTTTCCAATAATTTCTTGAAAATTTTGCAAAATGGTTTTGCACCCCGAAATCTTCTCTGCATTTTTACGGACTCAAATTTCGACTAAAAATGTGAGCATTTTTCTACCGTACTGCGGAAAAAAAATAAAAATCATAGTTTTTTAAAGACGACCGAAAATTTGATATTTTCTCAGAAAAAAATTGTCGATTAGCCATTTTTTGCTGAAAAAAAAAATTGAAAAAAGGAAATTTTTCTTCGAAAATTTTATTCAATTCGTTAGAAATGGTCAAATAATTTCAAATTTTTCCGCAATTTGCCTCAAACAATTAGGCAATTTCAACATTTTTCAATTTCTCAAAAAAAACTCATTCAAACCTTGTTTTTATCGAAAAACGCCATGTCTTGCCGAAGGACCGAATTGAACACCGATTTTCGCAAATCATTGATGACGAGCTGACCGGCGGTGTGCATACAATAGATTCGGGCGGCGATCGCGGCGGCGCCGAGCAGAAGCGCGCCGACCAGCGCCGCCGGATTGTTTTTGAAGAAGCGCGCGAGTTGAAGCGATCGATCGTTCGGATCCTGCCGCTTCGTCTCATCCCATTCGTCGATGAGTTTGCCCAACACGCGCGGCGTCAATAGGAAAATCGTGCTGCTCACACCCAAAAATGAGAGGCCGACTGCAAAAATCAATTCGCGCAAATCAATTGCCAAATATCGACAATTTACGAATTATTCGACCCTTATATGGTGCGGCTAGCGATAGAATACTCTTCAGATCCTTCCATGATGCATTCTTCAGCTTTTGCGATTCTCGTTTCGTTTCCACAACGCTGACCTTCAAATATTATTGGTTGTGACTTCAAAATTTCCGATTTTGAGGCGGAAAATTGCAATTTTTCAATCAAAATTCATCAATTTTGTTGAAATTCTCAATTTTACACGATTTTTGAATTCGAATCACCAATTTTTTTTGCATTAAAATACAAAATTTTTCAATAAAAATCTGCGATTTTAATCAATTCCCGAATTCTTTAAGCAAAAATGGACTGGTTCATTGGGAAACGTGAAAATTTTGAACTTGAGATAAGACAAAAACCGGTTTTGTCCAACAAAAATCTTTGGTTGGTCAACATTTTGACAATTTTTCGAAATTTCTCAACTATTTTGCATTTTCAAACAAAATTGAGCCTTTTTTCGCGGAAAAATCAATTTTTGCACTCAAAATGACTCATTTCGAACATTGATCGATAAAAAAAGAGATAGAAGATAACAATTTTTAGAAAAAATCTTATTTTAAATTAAAATTTCGCGTTTTTTTCCGGAAATTAACATTTCATTACAATTTTTTTCGCACTTTTCAACCGAAAAAACTCACATTTCTGAATGCGTTTTTACTGTAAAGGAGCGTTGTTCGTAGAAGTCCTTTAGTTGCTGTTTTTACCCTCGGAACATGGCAAAATAATCTGAAAATAAGCATTTTCTTTGATTAAAGCATCGCATTTCAACAAAAACCTGCTTGATGATGATGGTATTGATGAGCATCTCGCGCAACAAATTTTGCTCAAATGTGTTAAAAGTGACATGTTTCTGTGTTCTAAATGTCAGTGTTTGATAAGAAATGCGGTTTGAGACGAACATATGATGGCGATGAGAGATTAGAAAGTGGTTCGGGGTCAGAGCGATCAAAAATTGATCGCGAAATGCGAAAAGAAGAGAAGTCTCCAATTTCCGAAAGCATAATTTCTCGAACATTTCTCAAAAAACTTTATGCTAAATTACTAATATACTATTTTAAATATTCTATTTTTTATATTATGAGAGAAAAACAAGCAAAAAAATTCGAAATGTGCGAAAAATTCCAAAAAGCTAGGTATAAAATTGCATAATAAAAAAATAAATCGCAAAACACGTCAAGTCCGGGAGATTGACGCGTTTCGAGTGCCTGACGCATTTCGCGATTTTTATTTTAATTTGTCAGGTTTTCCGAGTTTTTTTTAGTCCGCGTCCGCAAATGCGCAAATGGACGATATTCGCCGTCAACCACGAGACTCGGTGAGCAGCGAGACTTCAAGCATTCACGATCTTCAAAACATCGAAGCCAACGATCTCTCAAGCACAATAAACGACGAAATCGCCACCCAATCGGCTCCGCCGTCACCCGAAGCCGCCACGAAAACGCCAACGAGCGGAGTTGGCAATGAGTTGTAGGGCGTTTCTAGGCAGTTTTCAGCAAAAAAAATATGCGTTTAGAGACCAGGAAACGCCGAAAAGGCAGGTTTCGGTGCTTCGACGACGCCTCAGAATCAATCAATCGGATGAAAACGAGAAAAGCGAGCTGGAAAATGAGGTTTGATTCCATAATGTTCGCCGGAATTTCAACGTTGTCCCTTTAAGCAGAGGACGCGAAAAACATCGAGAATCTCATATGCCGATAGATTAACAGTTATTTGCGATAATAACTGCTACACGCCGGAATGCTCACCGCCACGTAAGCGAATTTTTTTTTGAATTTTGACTATTATAGTCAATTTTTTTGTTGAAAAATCGATCTATGCGCCTTTAATTAACATATTTTTTAAAATTGTATTAAAATTTCATCTTTCCACTTCATTTTTTTTTGCTATTCTCTGGTAATTCATTTCGAATCGAATACGACACATTTGAAACCGAATACGACAAATTTCGGCTCCGAACGTGACCTAATTAGGTTCGAAATTTCTCGTATTAGGTTGTGAAATTATCGTATTCGATTATCTTTGGAATACGTTTCGAATGCAGCCGTATTCGTTTTGAATGCAGCCGAATTCGTTTTGAATGCAGCGGTATTCGTTTTGAATGTAGTCGTATATTTTTCAAATGTAATCGTATTCGGTTTTGAATTGAATTCGATTTGAATCAATTATGGAAGAAAAAGAAAATCGATTAGACAAACAAAATTATTTATTGCAATAAACACAATAACAACCAACAGCAGGAATGAAACAAAAAATATGTATAGCAGGATGTGCGATTTTTTCAATTTATTTCTTCGGAAATACTATTTCGATTATTTGTTTTCGCCATTTTTTGACGAAAAATTTATAACTTGCTTCAATTTCGACATTTCCTTTTCTGGTAAATGAAAATCGATCGAGTTCGAAAATAATTTTCTTTTCAATCGAAATCGATAATACATTAATCTGTTTCGAATTATTTCAAAATTAAATCGAATACGATTTCAAAATTGAGAATGAAGAATGAACCAATCGATTTCGAAGATTTTTGAATCGAAACAAGTTTTCAAAGCGAATCTAAACAATTTCTCAATCGAATTTCATTTCTTTTTCTATCGAATCAGATTAATTTATATTTTGTTTTTTTGATTTTCATTTAACTACGGAAATTCCAAGCCAACGCAAACCTGATAAACTGATATACAGAAAATTAACTATGGCGCGAGTTCGAGAGCTCCTCCTCAATTCGCAGCCTCCTTGCGCGATTACTAAAAATTTTCCGGTAAAAAAAAACTATAAAAATGAAATATTGACTAACCATAAGTATTCGATATAATTTTCCGTGATTACTGTAACGGCAATTCGCATCATCTTCTCTTCGGTGTCCGGGATTGATATACAATGTAAAAGTAATTCTGTAAAAATTAAATTATTGAAATATTATAGAATTATAGAAAACTGACCAATAAACGTATTGATTATGTGCGCTTCAATTGCAATATTACCTTTTTGAGGATTTCGGCGTGGCGTATACTTGCATCGAATGTTTTGAGGAATCACCTGTAACTATGAAAATAGTAAAAACATCGAAAATTATTTTTTACCTCGTTCATCCAAATCATAACTGCCTCGTGCACTATTGTTCGCAGATGACGCTTACAGGGACGCATCGACTGAATGATAAGTGAGAAGTTAACCAAATCTTTAAAAAAAAGTTATTTACTGTAACGAATTTCTTTTTACCATTTCCTTCAATGGCCGGCACAAGGGTGTCGTCATAAGAAGCAAGCTTCAGCGGGTCGAACATTGCAAATACCTTGTCCTAAAAATAGTAGGCAATTTATCTGTTTGATGCAATTAAATCACCAAATTCCCGCTATACGACGTCCTATTCGCTGGTTCTCATCATCTTCATCTTCATCATTATCACTTTCATATTCTTGATCTTGAACACTTGTCATGTCCACTTCCATTTCTTTAACAGTAAAATATCATTTTGACAAAATCGATAATTACCATGCTCAACATCATCCTTGAATTTTTTCGAAGATTTCCGCAAATCGCTCAATACGTCTCTCGTGTTGATCCGCTTCATCTAAAATTGCGCACAATATTAAGAAATACGATGCGAATACGATTTTAAACGATTAAATAAAATTTAAAGAAAAATTATCGGATGTTCCCGAAAAAAAAGCGGCTCAGGTAATTATTTTATGTCGCCATATGGCGGTTCGCGTGCGATCTCGTTTATTGTTTTTCGAAATTCTTTTTGGGTTATTTTCCAACCGATGACAATGATTTCTGAAAATGATGTTGCTAAATATATGATAGAGAAACAGGTGCCAACTTCTGTTGCAATTGATATCATCGAATTTGTTGAAACTATTAAAAATATATTTACATTGAATCATACTGTGGAAAATTGATAAATATAAACGTGCGCGCACGCGAACCGCACGCGCCCGAACGCGAAAAAATCTTGTAAATAGCTGCATTTCGGTGTCTCGCGGCAACAAGGAGTAAGCAACACTACTGGGCATTCATTAGTATTAAATATACTCAGCTCGTCAGCTCGGATATCATACGATATCGTTAACTTTTCGAAACCGACAAAATATTTTTTAAATAGAAAATTTAGAATAAATATGTCGCCGAATCCGGTTAATTAATTTGCGTTCGATTGTAATTCGTATTCGTTTCGGTTTTACTGCCAATTCGTATTCGATTCGAAATTTTGCGTATACGTTTGTAATACGCGTTCAATTCGTATTCGATTCGAATCGAGTTACCAGTGTTTTTTCGAACGTATACGATTGTAATTCTATCGTATTCGGTTCGGTTTTACTGTCAATCGTATACGATTCGAAATTTTCCGTATACGTTTGTAATACGCGTTCAATTCGTATTCGATTCGAAATGAATTACCAGAGGTGAAGGCGCACAACGAAAAAAAATAAGGTTTTGAAAAATTTCAACAAAAAAATGTGTCCTCGAATAATTTGATCATTTTCATTTTTGCAGAAACCCCATCGCCGAATCGCGTCGTCGACGACGCCGTCGATTTTCAGCCGAAAACATTTTTGCCGTACCTATTCGAAGAGCTGACTCGCGGCTATTCGCTTCATAACGATCACGCGCGATTTTCGGAGAAGCGTCGAAAAGTCGGGAAATCGCTTTGATTATTGAGATTTTGACAATTTCAGATCTACGCGTTCCTCCGAATCCCGCTTGAACTCGAACGCTTCTTGTCGTATGGCCTTCTGCAATGCATCGACGCATTCTTCTATTTGTTCACATTTTTACCGCTTCGATTTTTGGTGAGAATCTTAAGAATTGAACCAAAATCAATTTTTTGTCAACATTTTCAGATGTCCCTATGCGGTTTTGTGCTTCGAATCAAACGATGGACGTCGGCGGAAACGTGCGATGTAATTAAAGTCATTATTATTTTAAGCGCTTCGATGCTGATTCGGGAAATTGGTAATTTGGTTTTTCAAAACAAAAAAAGTTCGCTAACATTGAAATTTCAGACTCGTCCATTTTATACCATCAAGTGAAAAGTCAGAGTGTCATCAAATTGTACATTTTCTACAATATGCTTGAAGTCGCTGATCGGCTTTTCAGCAGTTTGGGACAGGTGATACCAATTTTTGATTGGGGGCAGAGCTGCACGGAACTTAAATTTTCTAAAAACGGAATACGGAAGGCGGAACCAAAAAAAAACACAAAAGTTAATCTAACTCGAATATCTTGAAATTAACTGTGCAGAATGTGAGATTTTCCAAGTGCTCATTCAACAGGGACCTTCTTTTTGTCGAACAAATTTCACCGGCTGTGGTTTTTAACCATATTAGATTCGCTAGACGTGCTAGGTATATCAAGCGGATCAAGAAAATCACGGAAAATGGAAGACGGAATTCTGTGCAGCTCTGATTGGGGGGTGTGGACCCCTCGAAAAATAATTTGCCTTTTTTTCCAGGATATACTTGATGCCCTTTTTTGGACGGCCAATTCGGAGCGATTGACGATTCGCAACTCGTTTCGCATGCTTGTCCATCTAATTGTCGCCATATTCTACGCGACATTGCACACATTTCTCGTCATTTTGCAGGTTTTTCGTTTTTCTTTTTGTTAAAATTGAATTTGTTACGCAAATCGTCAAAAAAAATTGAAGATTTCCAGCCTAATTTTGTTGGTTTTATAGTAATTTTTGGATATTTTAACCAAAAAATGACTAAAATTTACCTTTTTTGACAAAATGGCTATGATTTACTTTTTTTCAGTTTCTGGCTGAAAAATATTGAATTTAGTTTTTTTTTTCTTAAATTTTATTGAAAAAATGATTAAAATTAACAGTTTTGATCAATTTTTTATGGAATTTAGCTTTTTCTGATAATTTTTGGCCACAAATTAGTTAAAATTGGGTTTTTCTGTAAATTTTTACGAAAAACGTTTTTCAAGTGAAGATTTTTTGCAATTTTTGACCGAAAATGTTAAAATTTACATTTCTGACCAAAAAAAATTGGTAAAATTTAGATTTTAATTGTTTTCTTCAAAAAAAAAAAATTAAAATTGTGAGATTTTTGTCAAATTTTACCGCAAAATTTGTAAATTTTGAACAAAAATGAAGAATTTGGGGGCAATTTTTAAGGAAAAAAAATGCGATTTTTGTTTTCGCCAGTATTCACCAGAAATTTCTTAAAATTGAGATTTTTTTTTTGAATTTTTACCCAAAAAAATTGAATTGTCAAAGTCTCACGACTGCTGAAAATTGGCTAAATGCCAAAAAAAAAACAATGACAGTTGTCTTGGCGCAAAATTAAAGCTGTAGATTTACGGGCATATGTATAAGAACATGTTAAAGGCGCATCGAGACCTCTGCTCATTTTTTTTCCTGGAATTTAGCCAATTTTCCGCAATCGCGCGACGTCGACAATAGAAATTTGATTGTTTCATTTGGTTTTCAGGCGACCACGCTGAACGTGGCGTTCAATTCGCATAATCAAGCCCTTCTGGCGATCATGATGTCGAATAATTTCGTCGAGCTCAAAGGTTCGGTGTTCAAAAAGTTCGCCAAAGCGAATTTGTTCCAAATGGCGTGCAGGTTGGCGAAAAAAATCAATCAAAGCTAACATTTTTGAAGCACTATGTCGATTTTCAGCGATGTTCGCGAGCGATTCCATATATTCGCGCTCCTTTTTGTGGTGATGATACGAAATATGGTGGCTGTCAATTGGAATGTCGAATCGCTCGGCGAAATGATACCCGATATGGTGAGATTTTTGATTTTCATTAGAATGAAATTGGGAAAATTTGGGATTTTTTCGAAATTTTTTAGCGAAAAAATGAACGATTTTTGAATATTTTGTGGAATTTTTCAAAAATGAGCAAAAATCCAAAAAAATTGAGCTGAAAATTTTCGATTTTACCAGCTTTGTAATAGAAAAAATTTGAGATTTTTGAAAAATGAGAAAATCCCCAAATAAATTGAGGGTTTTCGAGATTTTTGTGGATTTGTTCAGAAATGAAAAAGAAAACCAAAAATTGAGATGACAATTTTCGAAAAAAATTTGAGATTTTTGAATTTTTTATCGAAAATCCAACAAATATAGCTGAAAATTACGATTTTTCGACATTTTTTAAAATGAAATGTTAAGAATTTTTGAGATATGAGAAAAATTGTGCTGAAAATAACCGATTTTTTGTGATTTTTTTTTCTGAAATCATGTTTTTTTTTTGGAAAATTTGAATATTGAGTATTTTCAAATGAGATTTTTCCTTTAAAAATTCCAGTTTTGGAAAAACTGATGGTTTTTTTTTTTGCTCAGATCATGGTTATTGGCGCTGAATTGCTTGTCGATTGGCTTAAACACGCGTTCATCACGAAATTCAATGAAATCAACGCGGAAGTCTATAAAGGTTGGTGAGAATTTTGAAAAATTCGCAAAAAATTTGAATTTTTATAAATAAAAACTCGAAAAAATACCCTTTTTTCAATAAAATATAAAAAATTCTCATTTTAGACAACAAAAGCGCTTTAAAAATAAAGGTTTATTTTAATTTTAACCTTTTTTTGGACGAGAAAATCGTAAAAAATTTTCCAAAAAATTGAGCTTTTCCCACTAAAAAATTTGATTTTTGCGGAAATTCACATGAATTCAATTAAAAGAATAAAAATTCTGATTGAAATTCGAAAAAAAAATTGCCGAAATGCGTATTTTTTGAGAATTGCAGATTTTACGATCACAATCGCGTTCGACGTGATCCGCAGCCGCGAGCAGACGGCGGTCAGCGATTATTCGGATCAGGTCTCGCGACGAATGGGATTCATTCCGATACCGCTGTCGATAATGATGATACGCGTGCTGTCGCAGACGTTTTCCATCGAGAATCGCCTGTCGCTCTTCATTTGTTGTGAGTTTTGAGCTCCGAAAATGTGATTTGCTCAAAAATTGCGCGATTCGCTTGCAGTTATCGGCTGGCTCATTGTGTTTTTGGTGAAAATCTTCAACGGAATCGTCATGGTCGGAATGGCGTGCCAACACGTGAAGAAATTCCGTGAATATCAGGTGCCGTCTTATTTTTTTTTTGCTGTCATCAATTTCAAATTTTTTTTTTGATTCGCTTCAGACGCGCTCCGAATATGAGTTGATTCGAAAACGAATGTTGGAGAAGAAGAGCAAATCGGCGCCGAATTCGCCGAGAATGTCGCTCATCGATTTTTCGGGTAAGCAAAAAATATTTGAAATTTTTCTAATGGTCCCTTCCTTCACATTGAGGGAGAAAATCGCCAAAAATTATTATTTTTTTCCCCAATTTTTAGACGTTTTGCACCAACCGGCTGCTGGAAAAGGCTTTACCGTATCAGATGTGCTCCAATGGGATGAATATCAGCCGTCGCCGCTGGTGGAGCCGCGTCGAAGCTCCGAGAGGGAGACGAGCGGCACGCTTCTGAAGGCTGATGATCGAGCGCCGCGGCGAGCTCTAAGCATGGCCAATATTTTAAGGTTCGTTTTTTTGTCGCCCACGTTTTGACCAATCATTTGTGTTGATTTGCAGTAAAGAGCAGAAGGCGTTGAGTGTTGAGGAGAGCGCGACGCCGGCGGCTTCTGAGGAGCCGACGACGCCGCAAACATCGGCTGAGCAAAGGTGAGAATTTGAAGGGGGAAAAATTGCACAAAAATTTTCAGTTTTCTGTTTTTTGGGGGAAAAAAATTGAGGAACGAAAGAATTATTTAGAAAATCGAAAAACTCCCATTTTTTTTGCAAAAATGTTCGCTTCAATAATTTTTTTTTTACGATTTTAACACCAAAAAATATTGCAGCGGTCAATTGTCGCCAAAAAAGAAAATTGCGCCAACACCGGTGGCGAATGGCGGCGAGTTGGCGGACACCATGGCGTACACAATGCCCGAGCAAGGCATTCAACGAATCGAATAATCATGTTGCTTTGTTTTTTTTTACCCTTCTTTCCGTATGTAATATGTGTATTTTGTTGGCTTTCAAACGGTATTTTCTTCTTGTGGGTTCTTCTTTGGCAATTTTTTTTCCGTTTTTCTTTCATGTTTGTTCGATTTTCCCTGTGATATATTAAAAACTAGGCATCCGCTAGCTGTTTTTACTGAAAATAAAAATATTTATTGATTAGAAACGTGAAAAATTGGAAGAAATTGAAAATGTTGGCCTAAAACATAACTGAATGAAATTACGCTAAACAATGGGCGCTGCGTAAAGTGTGGAGTGTCGTTGAATATTTTGAATTTTTCACTCAAATTTGCAATTTTTTTGTTTCTTTTTTAAAATCGCTTTTTTACTCGATTCCAGCATCCAAGAGAAAATAGCATTTGAAGTTTTCACAGCGATTAATTTCGATTTCAACAATTGTTAACTATGCCTTCACGATTTTATCGCAAAAATTTCGCTTTTTGACCATTTCCGGCAGCGAAAAAGAAAGGAGATGGAATCTTTCGACAAAAAAATTGGGTCGATTTCAATCAATCGCCTTAAAAGGCTGAAAAACGGAGAATGAAAGCGATTCGTCGACGATGTCGCGATTGCTCGTCGAGAACTATGTCGTCGTCGGCATCACACTGTCATCGCTGGCCGTCAGTCTTCAGATCTGTCTCATTCCATTCTTCTGGTCGCAGTTGGACGCGTTTCGCGACGAGTTCGATCGCGAGATGGCGGACGCGTCGCGTGTGTTTGCCGCGACGCGCGAGCTCCTCGCCGGCGACTCGATGAAAGCGACGCGTCGCGGTCGCGACGCGGCTCGTCCGCTCGTCGACAACGCCACCGATTTGAAGCTCGGCGACGAGGTGCGCCGCATCATTCGCAAATTTATGGACGGCGTCGATGACGCCGACTATGATGAGTCGGAGGTGATGAAGTCGGACGTTGCGGTTCACAAGATTCCAAGTGAATGAAGAAAAAAATTGGAATTGCACATTTTCTAATTTTCAGTATGTCCCATTGAAGAGAACAAGTGTCCCCGGGGACCATCGGGTCCCAAAGGCGAGCCGGGTGCCGATGGATTGCGCGGATCCGACGGAATCGACGGTGCCGTCGGCGTCGACGCCTCCGACGAGATTCTCCCGCAATTCGCTAGCTTCTGCGTCACATGCCCGCCGGGCGCCGAGGGCAAACCGGGCGACAACGGCGCCACCGGCAAGCCGGGACCTCCCGGCGCACCGGGAGTTCCGGGAATGTCGGGAAGAGACGGCCAGCCGGGACCGCCAGGCGTCTACGGACCACCGGGCAAGCCGGGGCGTGCGGGCAGTCGCGGCGTCGACGGCCGACCGGGACAAGACGGCGCCAACGGGATAGCGACGCCGGGCGCGAAAGGCGTCGCCGGCGAACCGGGCCCGCCGGGTCACGCCGGCGACGACGGCACCAACAATGACGTTGAGGGCGCCGAAGGCATCGCCGGGCCGCCTGGTCGGCCAGGACCACCGGGCAAGCCGGGGCTGCCCGGCAAACGCGGCGCGCCGGGCCACGCCGCCGATTGCCAATGTCGACATCTCGTCAAGAAGGCCGTCGAGATTGCCGAGAACACCGCCTACGTGGCGTTGGTGAACAGCCAGACCGTTCGCAGATCGCCGATGAGAAACGCGCCGATCGCGGTGGCGCCGAGTCGTCGCGGCGTCGTCGCGATGGAATCGCATCTCGACACGGTAAGACGATGATCATCATGAGCTCAATGCGAACGCGCCTTGAAATTCTAGGCCGCCCGACTCAGCGGACCATCGAGAAAGCGAAAAATTCGGCGAATCGTGAAAGTGAAACGAGTGGGTCGCGGGCGTCGCGAGCTCACGCGAGTCATGCCACCCGATGAGCGAGCCTACTCGATCGAACGCGAGATTCTCATGGAGCACTCGAAAGTAAAAAAATTCTGTTTGGATTTATTTATCGCTTTTTTTTCTGGCCAGCTTTGGTGAATTTCAGAAAACGCCGACACCGAATTTATTGGAGCAAATCGCGGAGAGGTTGGGCGTGCTGAACGCCTAGCTGACGACGACTACGAGTTGCCCGTCGACGCCACGTGGCTTTTTTTCGTCTCGCGACCTAAATCGACAATAAAATGCTCTTTTCTTTCCATTTTTTTTTAGTTGTCTCACATAGGATTGCTTGCCGAAACGGCTTGATGATGATGATGGCGATGATCGGATCGGTGGCCGGATAGATGGCGAAATAGCAGCCGATGGTGTTGGCGATGCGGCCGACGTGAATCTCGAAGATTGGAAACGCGATCGCGACGCAATAGGGGATGTACATCGTCACCATTGGAAGGAATGTCTGGAAATTTTCCGAATTGCTCTCGAGAGGAAAAAATTTCTTTTTTTTTTGATGAATTGCCACAATTGAAAACTATGCGGCACTTTTGCCGAACTACTATGCCCCAATTTTTCCAAGCCTGTGGGTTTTTAGGCTTATCCCGCAAATCGACTCTTGGGTAATTGTGGACCATCGCACAATCGATTTGGGTACCGCATTTTGGGATATCGATATCAGAAAATTGGAATCCAGGCTCGCACTATTGTAGAGAAAATGTTGGGTCTCGCAAAATTGTCCGTGTGGAGTACACAAATGCAAACTTTGCCAATTACAGATAGCCGAAAAAAAAGTTCAAAAACCTCGGCCACGGCCGTATGCTCTACCCCAGCTTTAAAAAAAAATAAAATCGCTGCAAGAATCATGCAGCTTGATTTTTTCAATCCAAGCTTCCATTAGGCTTTCAATTTTGGTTAAAGGCGCATATGAGAGAAAAAGAAAAAATTGTGGATTCAAAAAATCGTGGACGTGGCCGAGATTTCAAAAAAAAATTTTTGCTGCAATCTGAACAGCGATTTTTAGGCGTTCGCTTTTGTAAAAATCTGTCAAAAAACGGGAAAATTTTTGAAAAAAAAATGATGGAAAACCTCAAAATTTATCCGAAAATTCCAAAAATTAAAATGTATTTTTCCGAAAAATCTGAATAAAATTTCAAATGTTTATTTTAAAAATTGTGAAAAAAATCCAAAAAAAAAAATGCGTTTCTTTTTTGAATTTCTGAAAATTGCGCGGCAATTTTTTTTGTCCCAGCAATTTCCAGATTCCGACTACCTGCAACGCCAACGCCCAAAACAATTGGCGATTCATTTCTTTGGTTTTGGCGCTCATATGACTCGACACCGCGTGCATTTTCGTGTAGGTCTTCGCGGCGCACACGGCGATCGTCGCGAAGCACACGATCTCGCTTCCGAAGCCGCCGATTCCGCCGGCGATGCAACCCCATTGCCAGACGCGTTGATGGCGCTCGTCGCGCACATAATAGACGACGATGATGTAGGAGAGCTCGTCGACGGTCTCGTTGTAGGCGTCGCGAAGCGAATCGCTTGACAGTATGTATATATAGGGAATTGCGATTTTGCTGCCCCGCGCCTACCGGTAGTAGTCGTTCTTCCACGGCTCCGGCGTGAAGCCGTACCAGGCGCCACCGCCGAACGCGGCGAACGCCAGAAACGACGGGATCAGCGTGAGATAGACGCGCCAGCCGTCGAACAATCGCAACTGTTTCGGATGGCACACCGCCAGATAGCGATAGAAGAAGTTGACGGCGAATATCGCCAGACAGAACGTGAACGAGCCGCAATAAATCACTAGGAATTCGGATTTTTGAAAAAAGAAACTTTTGATCTACCGCCTATCGGCACACCGATCGCCCGATTGAATTTGATGAAATCGAAGCTGTCGATGAAGAAGAGCGTGCCGGCCAACTCCATATGCATGACCGGCTGGGTGAGCAAATGGACGAGCGCGTAGATCATCGAGTACACGTTGAACATGATCATCATGACGCGATAGCGGCCGAAATTCGCGCACGATTTCGCGTAGATCAAATAGAGGCACAACGAGTTGGTCAATTGCGCTCCAACGAACGCGATGTAGTGGATGAGTTGCAGAAGCGACAGCATTTTTGAAAAGCGAGAAAAAAATTTCTTTTTTAATATTCCATGAATTGTAGTCGGCTGGCGATGGGTGGCGGGTATTTGCGAAAAATATGACGCATGTTTGGCGGTGGTCGAAAAAAAAAATCATTTTTTGTGCAGTCGCTTATTTTGTAGGCGAAAATAATAACAAATACGACCAAACAAGATCCAATCCAATATTCGTCTGGGCATTTCAGCTTTTCACAATTGTTATAGAAAACACGGCCCACCTTTTGAATTGCCGCCGTCGCTATTTACACTAAATAAAAAGCAGTGTGTAAACGCGGAGTGTCGTCAGAAGAATTACCCAAAGTAAGTAGCAACTTGTGAAATACAAATATACTATATGTCATATCAAAAATCAAAAAATTCTAAATTTGAAGTCAAGAAATTTTTGTTAAATATATATTTCTCAATTAAAATTTTGTATTACTATCGCACATTTTCGAATTCGAATTTCAACAATGGGAATCAGTAATGAATTCTGTTAATCAAGCTTCAGCACGGAAGACGTGTCTATAATGAAATGTCCCTTGTTACGATTTGAAAAAAAAAAGGGTCACCAGGCCCTATAGGGATTAGGGCTGGATCGGACCACCGTTTGGACATCTCTGAGCTCCTAATACTCCCGGGGTTGTCAAAATGGCACCCACACCTTTGTTGACTTCAAACCGCTGAAATTTCATTGTAAACATCTGCGGACACTTTGCGGGATGCGCCACAATCGCCAGTTAGCTGCAATTCAAACACGAGGGTTTTTTTCGACAAACCTTGATTAAAAACCGTCCATTTGTAAAGTTGGTGCATACACACGCGCGCCAAATTGCACACATTCGATTATTTTGAAAAATTCAATTTTTTCGGGATTTTCATCGAAACTCGACAATTTGTGGAAACGCTATGCACTTTAAATAGCTCGAAATTGAAATTCAATTTAAAGGCGCATGACACTACATTACAGTTTGCTTCAGAGCTTGCCAATCAAATGAATAAGTCATGGTTCTTCAAGCGATTAGTTCGTGTTCTATTTGAATCGAGATCAAAGAACATTTTATTTTCGGCGATAAAATGAGAAAACAATTTTGCTTTGCTCATGAGAAACCGGCGGAAGCGATTGGCGGCGGTCTAGTCGTTTTGGGTTCTGCAAAAAGCAAAAATCATTGGGGCCGGACTTGAACCCGCAAGGGTAAATTTAGAAAATAGATTTTACCCACTGCGCCAAAGCGACACGCACAGATCTCGAGGAAGTAGTGGATATATAAATCGCGCAAGCAGTCACTTACTCAACACCGCCTCACGGAACGGCTTCAGAACAAATATGGCAATCAGGGGTTCCATGGCGGGATATATCGAAAGATAGCACCCAATACTATTAGCAAGTTGGCCGATTTCGATCTCAAATAGCGGAAATGTGAGGCCAACGGCAATTGGAATATACATGGTGACGGTTGGAAGAATCGTCTGAAATTGAATGCGCATTTTTTTTTGTTTTTCAATTCCCAATTTACCTGAAGTGTCAACATCAGAAAAAGTTGGCGATTCATCGTTTTGGTTCTCGCGCTCATCGCAAACGCGATCGAGCTCAATTTCGCGTAGGTTTTCGACGCGCACACAATGATGACGGCGAAGCAGACAATCTCGACGGCGATTCCGCACAAGCCGCCGATGATGCTCGGCCAGAACCAAATACGGTGATTCTGAGTGTCGCGTGTCTTGAAATATTAAAAATATGCCAATGATTTGTGGGGCAGTATTAAAGCAATTTTTAATAAAAATTTAAAATTTTTTTTTCCAGACTTGTCGTTTCAGCCGGCTTTGCCGGAGTCTTTTTCGTCACTTCAACCATCTTAATCAATTTTTGACGGATTTCTATATCGAAAATATTAATTTTGCCAAAAAATGAGCACATTTTCATTATAAAATCATTTTAAATAGTGATTTCTTCACTGGAATCCTATAATTATCTATTTCTGATTTTTTGTATTCCATTTTGTATTAAAGAATTGCAAAAAATCCTTTTTTGCCGATTTTAAGCATTAAAAAATCGATTTCGACGCGATTTTAATGCAAACCGGCGCCGACCGCGACGCATACGCAACGCGTCCGCCGAAGCGCGCGAATTTGAATACTCCACTTAAAGCCTGCATTTTTTCAATGCAGCGATGCAAAAAATGCAATGGGTACTGTAATTAAATAATCTGCGAGACCCATGAGTCAATTTGTTGTCCGTTTTTTCAAAAAAAAATTTTTTTTATTTCACAAATTCAAATTTTCAATTATTTTTTCGCTCATTTTATCAAAATTGTGTGAATTTCCTTTTTTGTGTTAATTCTGCGAAATTATCGAAAATTACAGAAAGAAAGACGCAGGGGGGTCTCGCAACGTTTCTTACCGTACCCATTGGATTATTTTTTTGCGTCGCCGGGGGGGACCCACAAAATAAATCGGCGCCAAATAGACATGCTTCTCAATATCGTGATTATAGACGTTTTTGAGCACCTCTCTGAAATCGTCGATTACGGTATATATCGATGGGTGGGGGGTTACGGTAGCCACCAACCGATAGTAGTCGTTCTTCCATGGCAATGGTGTGAAGCCGTACCAAGCGGCGCCGCCATACACCACGTAGCTCGCGAGAGCCGGAATCATCGGCCAATATACTTTGGGACCATCGAAAATGGTGAGCATTGGCGGATGGCAGACGGCCAGATACCGGTAGATGAAATGAGTGGTGAAGATGGCGAGACAGAACGTGTAGGAGCCGCAATACATCACTGGAAATTGAGAGAGAGGCTAGAGAAAGAGACGAATCGGATTTGATCTACCGCAACAGCAAATCCCGATATTGTTGTCGAATTTGACGAAATCGAAGCTATCGGGAAAGAAGAGAATGCCGGCGCCTTGAATATGCATTACCGGCTGGGTGAGCAAATGCACGTAGGAATAGAACATCGAGCACACGTTGAGCATGATCATCATGACGCGATAGCGGCCGAAATTCGCGCACGCGTTGGCGTAGATCAAATAGAGGCACAACGAGTTGGTCAATTGCGCTCCAACGAAACCGGCGTATTGGACGAGTTGCAAAATCGTTGGCATTCTTTTTTCGAGATCGAAATGACGGCTCAAAATTATTAAATGCTCCGTGAGCAATTGAACGACATTAATTACTACATGGTTCAAGTATATGAACTTCGTTTTTTTTTTTGAAATTTGAAGCTCCATGAAGTGAAATTTCATTCTAAACATCTGCGGACGTTTTCCGGGATGTTTGTCGCTGGTGGCAATTCAAAAAACGGGACCAGCTTTACAATAAAAAACCAGCTCCATCCCAAATAGCAATCCTGCTGCGGACATCATTCCAGCTAGCATTCCTCAAATCTTTATTCTCTCTTCCGCCAACACATAACAATTAAATTCAATTGATAAAAGGCACATAATCCATATATAGTGAAATCTGATAAATGAGCACCAATAATTATTGCGTAAATTTTATCTTTTTTTTTTTCATAATCACGCTCGAAAATTTTTTTGTTGTTCTAAGCCCATCCGCCGGTCAATTTGTGGAACAACTCCTCGTTCAATTTCGGCGCTTGCTCTTTACTTCGCATTGATAGGTAAATATAGCCGCCGATGAACTCATGAACCACTTTGCAGTCAGCCGATAGCGGCTTGAACTCGATGTCCTCATCCTCGAATTGAATCTACAAAATTTGCGCTCTTCGTCATTCTCACTATCGGATGATACTCTAGCTCAAAATCCCAATTTCAAGCTAGCGTAATTCGCTACAGAGTATTATTATATGCACCTTTAAATGTCGAATCTCCCAATTGACGTGCCACTTCTTCATATTGGCGAATCGCCACGTTTTGATCGTCTCGCCATTGTCCATGTTCAATTTGACGAGTCGATTGATGGCAACACCTGAAATTGGCGAATTTCACAACAAAATGAATGTCAAAAAAATTTTTTTTCATATTAATCTTCGAAAAAAAAATTTCCCCAAAAAAATGTTTTCATTTCGAATATATTTTGCGTTCCTCAAAAAAGTGGGCGTGGCCAATTTCCAGAAGAAATTCCAACTTTTTTTTTGGTGTTAAAATCGCAATTTCATGTCGAATTTGATTTTTTAAAAATCGCCAATTTCGGACAAAATCTAAATTTCTCATAATTTTCAATGGAATAAAAAAACAATAAAGAAATAAGAGTCAATCATTTTGTCGACACTCGTTTCATTCTCACCGATCAGATCCGATTTTCGTCCATTCCTGAATCGAACGACAAAATAGTGAACGCCGTGTTCGGGCAACGCCTGCCAAGCGCGAATATACTGCAATTTCGCTTCCGTCGAGCTCAATTGTCGCACGTTGCTATGCGCCTCGGAAATGCGTTGTTGAAGCTGCAACACACAAAAAAAAATTCGACTTGAACATGGGTTTTCTCGAATTACCGCCTGTTTGCTGCGCGCTCGTCGTACATATCTCGACGAGACATACTCGTCGACGTTGAAGTCGTTCGGCAGCTTCACCGCGTTCGATTTTCGCGACGCCGTGCCATTCTCATTGCCACTTCCTTCAAAAAAATCACAATTTTTTCCTTTCATAAAACTTTTTTTTGGAAGCAAATTTGCAAAAAACCCAATTTTTTCAGGTGTCACTTTTTGAAATATCGCAATTTTTTGCTATTTTTTCTCAAAAAAACAAAATCCAAATTTCGTGCTCACCATTCTGCATTCTCAGCAAATTCTTGATACTCTCAACCTCTTGCTGATACGAGGCGTCGGCCATCGATTTTCCGCGCGACGCCAATCGACAAGCGGCCATCCATCGCGCATATTGATGCTCCGAATCGCATTTCAGCACAAAATCCGTCATCCCTTCGGCGGTCGGCACCAATAGCTTTATATGGTATTTTTGTTGCGACACCGACACATCGGGGCTAACTTCGCAGCCTGCAAAAAAAAACAATTTTCCGGCCATTTTCGGACAAAAATTTCACTTTTTCGGCAAATTCGACTAAAATCACACAAATCGTTCCATTTTTCCCCTCAATTTCCTTTAAAATCGTTCATTGAACGAAAAACGTGAATTTAAATCATTTAAAATCTAAAAATTTTGCAAAAAATCCAATTTCTAGGCATTCTTCGCACCAAAAAATGCGAGTATTCTGAACAATTTTTTATTCCATTTCAATTTGCATTTTAATATCAACTATTTCAGTTTTTGTGTCAAAAAACTCTGGAAAATTCAATTTTCGTCCAAAAATCAAGGTGTTCTCAAAAAATTAGCTTCTGGATCAATAACAGCTCAAAATTTCCGCTTCAAAGCCAAAATATGTCAGAAGATCAATCGTGTTCCTCAAAAATTTTCAGCTAGATAAAAAAAATGCTCAAAAATTCAAATTCTGCCTGCTTGAAACTAACAATCAAGTTCTCAAGATTTCAGTGAAAAAAAAAACAAAATCTCAAAAATCGCAATTTTGCAAATTTTCCGAAATTCTCACCTTTCAACGAGAAATGCCCCAATGGTTGCGAGTTGACGTCCGACGACGATTGATGATACGACAAGTACAAATCGCGGAACGAGAAGAACGCGCGTTTGAATCCCTTGAACGCCGCCAACTTTTTCGGCTTCATATATTTGAGATAGTCGGCCAATTCGGGCACCTGCGTCAAATCCTGATGGCGTCGTCCGAGCGCCGCCGCGTCCAAATTCTGCTCGAGCTCATCCAATAGAATGTCGACGTCGTCTTTCGCCGCGTCTTCCGGTTCCGGCGAGTCGCGTTGAAGTGTCGCCTGAAGTTGAAGCGCGGCGAATAGCGACGCCTCCTCTTCGGTGTGATCGAGCTCGTCGAGCAGAATACTCCATTTCGCCTGCTCATACAATTGATTGATGCGAACCGGATCGTATTTCGGGCTCAAATCGAAAAACGACATGTATTTGAAGCGAAGCAGCACGATGTCGCCCTCGAACACGCCCTGCTCCATCAGCGAGCGGCTCGAGTCGAGCCAACCGCGATTCAGCGCCGCCTTCTCGACGAAATTCGCCGGACGAAACACGGGCGTGTCGCGGCCGGGATTGAGGCGCGGCGAATGGATGAGCGCCGCGTCGAATTGCTCGTTCTCGAGACCCTCGCTGAAGCTGATGCTCGGCATGATCGGCGTTCGACGCATCGTATCATTGTACTGCAACAAAACGAATCAAATGTTGACAACAACAAAAAAAAGACAAAAATTCAAAAATCATTTTTTTAAATCTGATTTTTAAAAAACGAATTTAATTTTTTTTTCGATTTCTTATAAATTTTCCAAAAAATTATACTATTATCCTGTTTTTCTATTTGAAATTCTCGTTTTTTTTTTCGACAATGTTCAAAAATTGTGGGGCAAATTCAAAAAAAACTGTCCTCCAACCTTGTGAATTTGAAAAAAAAAACGAGAATTTCAAATAGAAAAACAGGATAATTGGATAAAATTTTGGAAAATTTATAAGAAATCGAAAAAAAAATTAAATTCGCTTTTAAAAAATCAGATTTTAAAATGATTTTTGAATTTCTTCACAAGGCCTGAGAATTAGAAAATTTTTGGCAATGCGCCTTTAATGTACACTGTAGTCTGTTCGATACACAGTCAAATCGAAAATTATTGCGCAAATTGAAATTTTGATGCTTCGCCCACACAAAAATCCCATTTGTCTTCAAGAATAGCGAAAAATCATACTCAGGTGGTTAAATTTCTTCAAAAATAAAGATAGAAACCGAAAAAATCCAATTTTTTAATCAAATTTTTCGTGATTCTATAATTTTTTAGAATTTATTGTAGAGGGTCAAACGATTTGACAAAAATTTTTGAAAAATGATTGGCTGCGTCTCGCGGCAGCTAGGCTGCGTACATTGGCATTATAGTGTACGCGCATTTGATACTCAGTCAACGAAAAATTTAAATCGACACTGATTTCGCGAATTTGAAGGCCCCGCCTCTTTTCAATCACTTGACTCCAACAATATTTTAACTGAAAAAAATAAGCGAAAATTGTCTTACCGCTCCCGGACTGGGACTCGCGCCTCTCGGCAGCGTTCCGTGCCGCGGCAGTGTGCCCATCTCGTGCGCGTTGAATATGTGGCCGCTCGTCGACAACGCCGGCGACATTTGGCGTCGTCGCGCGTCGAGATTCGATTGCGACGCGAATATCGGCGTCGCTTTTCGGAGTGTCATCGGACCGATCGACTCCTCGCCGGGTCGAATCGCCGGCGGACCGCTGAGATTCTCGGCGTCGACGGTGCCGCGTTTGAGCACGTCCGGCGGAATGAAGCGCTTCAGCGACAACTCCTCCGAATGTCGAATGCCGATGTCGCGACACAATTTCGCCGTCGCTTTCACGATGTTCACCGAGAAGTCGAGGCGAGCGTCGATCATTTGCATATCGGGCAGTTGCACTCTGAAATTCAGAAAAAATTCTTAAAACATCGGAAAATTTTGAAGAAAAAATGATCAAAATTGTATATTCATCGCAATAAAATAGAATTTTACAGAAAAATGTGGATTTCCAAGCTTTTCCTTTAAAAAATCGGAAATTTTGAAGAAAAAAGATCAAAATTGTATATTCTTCGCAAAAAAATTGAAAATTTCATAGAAAAATGGGGATTTCCAAGCTTTTTCTTTAAAAAATCAGAAATTTTGAAGAAAAAAAGATCAAAATCGAATTTTCTTCGCAACAAATTGAAAATTTTACAGAAAAATGTGGGTTTCCAAGTTTTTCCTTTAAAAAATCGGAGATTTTTATGATATTCCTACAAAAATCTTATTTTTATGGCAAAATCAAGATTTTCAAGCTTTTTTTCAAGAAAAATCGTCATTTCAAAAAAGGAGATCGAAAATTTTCAGGAAATAAGGACCAATATCTTATTGTTAAGCTTTTTCCTTTAAAAAACTGAAATAAATTCACCATTTTTGATGTTAAAATCATGATTTTCAAACTTTTTCTATAAAAAATTGGAATTTTCAAATTTTCCGGCGAGAAACATCGAAAATTTTCAAACAAAAATTAGAATTTTCGTTTTCAAAAAAATAATCTCAATAATTCCCAATAAAAATTGTCTAGAATTCATTTCATGTGAATTTTTTTATAAAAAAAAACTCAAGTCGATTTTTAGCCATCAATATTGCAAAAAAAAAACTAATTTCAGCACAAATCTCAGATTTTTTCGTCAAATTCTAAGTAGACTATTTTTTTTAGATAATTTCTTCAAAAAAAATGTTTCACCTTGCATCTTTATGCATCGGCGTGAACTCGAGTTGAGTTTCGGCGGTGATTCCGTTTTGATCGAGCGTTGATCGCGTGTGTTGCAGCCAGCGGCGTTTTTCCGGCCACCACAACGCGTGGTCCGACCAATCGCGAGCGACATCTGCAAAATGATGGACCTCATTCGACTTTTATGGCCATTTTCCTCATCATCAAACATTCTCATGGGTCCAATATCGCCGAGTACGCAAACTATCATAGAACTCGCTAACAAATTGGCGAAAGAAGACTTTTTTTTGGCAAAAATTTACAATTTTCGTCACTTTCTATTAAAAATCGAGGGGGGAAATGCTTGAATCATTACAATAATCATGTCACGTCCAAACTCGGAAATTTAAGCGCCGATTAAAGGCGCATACCAAAAAATGAAATTTCGCCATATTTTTTTTTGTGAAAAAATTCGCAATTTCTCGCGGAAACCAAAAAAAAATCAATTTTGCTCCAAAAAACCGCGTCAGCATTTTTTTTAATTAAAAAAATACATCTCTCGGCTCAATTCTCTCGCCAAGCCAATCACAGCTCAAAAATCTCGTGCGAGCCTCGGCCGTCAAATGTGCCATCATCTAGTGTGTAACAAATATCGTGGGTGTCTTACCAACTTCATTGACAAGCTGAAGCATCAATCCGCCAATATGAAGATCGCCGCGTACATAAATATTTCTGAAATCAATGAATTCATTTCAAATATTTCGATGAAAATTTCTAAAAATATCACCTTTGAATGTTCATATCGGTGACCAGAATCGACAATTGCCATGATCCATCGATGATGGAGGTCCCTTCAACCAAATGGGCCATTTCGACCTGAAAATTCGACGGGAAAAAAGCTTTGCAAATAATGACGATATATAAATTGGCAAGTGGAATGCGACTATATAAAGGAACGCAGTAGTCGGACACGACGCGGGTGGAACATTATCAACATTTTGCACGCTTTCTGACTCGAGGGGCCCCCACTAAAAACGGCGAGAGCGTCCCGCGGGCGAGAGAGCGCCGACGACGAGAGGCGCGACGAGAGAGCGCGCGAATCGCGGAAATCGCAGACGAGTCGGAGCGGTTTTCTTTACAACGAATATGTTTGTGTGTACGGGAAGGGAGGGGGGCTCTTCTGGTCGGTTTCGGTCCGTCTTATTATTATTAGTACTAGTAGACGTCGTATAATACGCAGGTAGCTCGACGGGAACGAGATTGGAAGATTTTTTGGCGAAAAATCGCACTTTTTGCGAAAAAATCGCAATTTTGATAGGGAAATTTTAAAGTTTTCTCATTTTTCAGAAATTGCCGAATTTTCCATCTCAAATATAACTAAATTTCAAATTTTACTTGATTTCAGACATTCGAAATGCATTTTGCTTGGAAAATTAAAAAATCAAAAAAATTTTGAAGCAAATCTGATTTAATGGTACTTATCGATGAGAAATGAGCGATAATGTCGAAAATTTTTCAAAATTTTGGGGTTTTTTGAAGAAGAAATGACTTTTTTTGGAAATTCATATTGTTTATTTAAAGTGACGTAAGAAAACGAGCAAAAATTACACGAAAAATGCAATTTTTTGCCTTTGCAAACAATTTTGAATTTTTATGGGCGATTTTTCAATGTTGCAAAAATCGACCAATTTTGCTTTTTCAATTTTGAAAAATTTTAAAAATTACCTTGTTTTCGGGTGTTGCTAAAATTATTCCAACGAAATTGGAAGAAATAGTCCATGTATAGCCTAAAAATTTTAAAAAATTGATAAAATATTGAAAATTTTCAAATATTTGAGAAAGAAATGAATTACGATAAAACGAGGGCCCGGTGTAAACGGCGGAGTGTCGTTACCTAAATTTAAAAAAAATCATTTTACGTGAAAATTTGGCCTAAAACGTGGAACTCATTTTTCGAACTTTTATTATCATCATCGAAATTCCGACAAAATGAAGGTAAATTACTACAACTATGAGTAAAACTGCGAGTTATTCAGACGGTTGTTTTTGTTCTCGCGTTATTCGCCGAATTCGCCAGCAGCCTTCACTCGGTGAAAGCGAAAGGTCGATTTTTGTGCAAAGGCAAACCGCTCGTTGATAAAGAAGTCCTTATTATTGACCGAAAGACCATTTATACAAGTAATTTTTGGGGAAAAACGCAATCAAAAAATTGAAATTTGAAGTTCCTGATGACATACTCGCCGAAAGTCGCACCGATTCGGAAGGCTACGTCGAAATCGCCGGTGTCGGCGGCAAATTTTTGGTAATTAGACGCTTTAGCTAATTAGCCATCATTAATTGGCGTCAAGTTTTTCGAAAACGAGCCGTTCCTACAATTTGAGCATCACTGCCGAGATACTTGTGAAATCGTGAGGATCTACTTTCCGGATTTCTATATAAATGAAGGGCATTTGCCGAAAAAAGTGTCAATTCGCTTCCGAATTACTCTAATTTTGATCGTCGTTAATTAGGTGTTGGATTTTGGCGATCTCGAGGTGACTCAGACGCAAAGTGTCAAACGAGGCTCGCAATTTTTGTTCGATTTACTTCGTGGCTGTTGATTCGTTTCGAATTTGCATAAAATCGTTGATTTCGAGATAATTATTGCCAAATTTTTGCACGATTTTTGTTTTGATTCAATTTCCTCATGGCCGGCGACGACGCTTTCCGATTCAATTACACTCCCATTTCTGTTGGCTTACGCGTTTTCCTTCACAATTTTCTTCGTTTACGATGAGCAGCGGCGGCGAATGGCTATCGATTGAGGATTTGATGGAGAAGATTAGCAATAAATCGGCAACACAGCGAAAGGTTCGTCGATTTCTTTCATTTTCTTGAAAATTTGGGCGCAATTGAAATTTTCTCATATTCTCGACGATTCCTCCTACTATATATCACCAATGCTTCTTTTTAAATGTTTAAAAAAATTATTTTTCGTTCATTGATCCAAAAAAATCGCGAAAATTATCGGAAAAACTAAAGATAAATCGATAAAATTGATGAAAATTGGAAAGCAAACAAAAATAATTACAGTAACCTTTTTGAAGGCGCATGCATGAATCTATATAAAAATTTCACGCCTAAAAGTTTTGCTTATCAAAATTGAATAAACTTAATGAAAAATGAACGAATTGAAAATTCGAAAACACCAAAATTCTTTAAAAAAATTTGAAAACTTATATAATAAAATTTGGAAAAAATAATCCCTCTTCTCTGAAATCCGAAACACGAAAAATGTTTAAAATTAATCATATTGGTTTGGTAGCAAAAAGAAGTAGCTATATTGCTCGCAAAATTCCGAGAAAATTCGAGAAAATCATTTTTTTAATGAATCAATTAGAAACAATTACAGTAGCATGCGATTAAAGGCGCATAGATAAATTCGAAAAACAAATTCAGACCTAAAAATAAAAATTGGAATAACTCGATGAAAAATGATTCAATCGAGAATTCCGAAACACCAAAAATCTTAGAAAATCGCGTTGAATTTTTACACAAAAATTGAGAAAATTCGGGGAGATCAGAAAATTTGGAAATTTTTCGTCGACCCTCATCGAGGTGAAAACGAAAAATGTCAAAATTCAACAAAATGGTCTGAAAATTGGTGTAGACATAGAATAAGGGATTGTTAGAATGCTAGCAAAGTTTCATGTGAATTGGGGAAAAGTAAAAATAGATATGAATTTTTTTGCAAAAGGGGAGACCGGAATAGAAACCGTGAGGGTGAGCGCAAAAGGAGCGCCACTGCGCATTACTCCTTTCGTTGACAGCCAATTGCGAGTGCAAATGGCAGTGGTAAGTTGAATTCCCTTCGCCATTGGCGAAGTTGCTCATGAAAAAGCAGAATGTCAGAAATTTGGAAATTCGACCCCGACGGGTGAAAATGAAAAATTTTGAAAAATCACAATTTCTCCTCACAAATTTTCTCGACAATTTTCTAAGAATTTTGCGCTCATTCGCATCGCAATTCAACAATTTGAAATCAAGTTACGCGAATTTCATTTTGGCTCAAATTTTCAATGTTCGTGAAAAGCGGCTTCGGACAAATTCTTGAAATTCCCAAATCGCCTTATTTTCATTTTTCGCAAAAAATGCCCTTTTGCGTTCCATCCAACCAATAATGCAGTTTACGTTGTGAATTGAATAGCAAAAGCTTCTCCTCGGCTTCATCTCTTCTAAGCGAGCGAAGGGGGGTGAGAGAGTGTGCGGAAATGAGAGCGCGCCGAGAAATCGATTGCATTTCAAGGGTGTTTTTTTTTTGTTTCGTCTTCTCGTGTGTGTGTGCTCTTCGAAATTCGTGCTCCATGCTCTGAATCGCACTAAAATCAACCAAATTTCGACAATTCTCTATCGCAATTCACATTTTTTCACTCCATTTTTGCAATTTTCAATCCGAAATTTTCGTTTTCAGATGTCGCAGGCCAATCATTTGTCGTATTCGGCGCGTATGCGCGGTAGATCAAAACAGCCGGTCTACACGTCCGACAAACGCGCGAAATTCACACAACGCGAGAGCAAAAAGTGAGTTTTGATTCGAATTTTGAAATGGTGAATGCGGGTGCAAACACGCGCACGCAAAATTGCACACATTTCATTATTTCTAATTATGAGATTCTCATTTTTTTTCTGGCCCTTAAAAATTAATTTAAAAGCTTATTTGGGAAAGAATATGTTTTTTTATTACAATAAAAGAAAAAAAAGGAAAAAATTATTATATTTTTTGTCAGAATTTTTTAAAAATTTGATTTTATTTATTTTTTTTAATCAAAATTGTGCAATTTTTGATTTTTACTCAAAAATTGGATTTTTTGGATTCAGATGTATTCGCTTTAATTAAATTTTTTTTTTCAGTTAAAAGCTAATTTCGAAAAAAATATTTTTAATTTACAATTAAGCGAAAAAGGCAAAAAGATTATTTTCTTTTTTTGGACAAAAATTTTTTTTAAATTAATTCAAATGAAATCGATTTTTTTTCAATTTATTTTTCACACATCTAAAAAATTAAAAGCAAATTTAGAAAAAAATTTTATTTAAAAAAAAGCAAAAAATGAATATTTTTTGCCAAAATTTTTCGATTTTTTTTTGAAGCAAAATTTATTTTGATCTATTTTTTTTTTAATTAAAAAAAAAGGAAAAAAAAACGGAAAAATGGTCATTCAGAAAAAAAAATATTTTTTTATATTACAACAAAAAAACGGAAAACTGATTATTTCTGTCACAATTTTTCTACTTTTTTAAAATTTTATTCAGATGGATTCGATTTGTCACCGTTCTCGGCTACATTTTCGCCGTCTCGCTTCCGGCCGTCTCATTGAGCATCTATTACATATACGTATGGGATCCGGGATATATTGCAAAGGTGCTCTATGGCTTTCCTCATTTTTTTTCGAATCAAACAGAAATTTTTCGAAAAATTCTTCTCGGAATTCTTTTTTTGGCACACAAACTTCGATTTACGTTTGGTGTGGTCTCGCCACGACTAAAACAAATGAGTGTGTTTCTCATAGAATTCCGTCGAGAACAAAAAACTGCAAATTTTGCCGCTTTTGGAGTGTGAGAATTGTTGAAAATCGCGAATTTTTCCGCGATGAAATAATATTTTAGAATTTTTTGAGCAAAAATTGACAATTTCAACACAAAAAATGTCAGTTTTTTTTCAGAAATTTTGAGAAATGTTTTTGGAAAAGAAATGCGAATTTTTCTTCGTCGAAATCGTCGCGAAAAAATTTTTTTCGATTTTTTTTCTAAAATTTTTTTTGAAACCAAAAGATTTTTGACAAAATCTTCTATTTTTCTTTAATTTTTTTGGATTCGCCATTAAAAAAAAAATTTTTTAATTTCCAGAATCTCAAAAATTTGAAATTTTTTAATTAGTTGAAAAAATTCAATTTTGGTCCGTCAAAATCAACGAAAAAAATTTTTTTGTTGTTAATTCTCAATTGTCGATTTACGAGCAATGTTGAGGGTTTCTCAAAAAACCGACGAAATAGTCGATTCGCGGCGAGACCATATCCAGTGGCAGTGTGTAGTCCGCACGGACACGATCGCCGAGCGCACAATTTCAAAACGATTGCAGTTTCCGCCGGAGAACCTCAACCGAACGCCGCCAATTCAAAAAGTGCCGATCATTTCGAAGCGCAGCGATTCGGCGGAAACGCCGCCGCCGCCGCCGATCGATCGCCATCTCGATTTGTCGAAAATCCTCAGCGACGGTCTCAATTCGATGGAATCCAAAGAATCAATTCCCATTCAATCGTAAATTTTGTTTTCTCTTCTCAAATTTGTATAAAGGGTGTCTCCAAAAAAAAAAAATTTATTTTTTGCGAATCAACCCGCCACAAAATATTTTTTTGCCCTCTGGAACTGACGCCATTAGACGAACTCGATTCGACTGCCGACGCTCGTCGAATCGCTGTCGATCGGATTGATGAGTTGGCTCGATTGAAGCGGCTTCGCCTCGACGACCACCTCCATTTTCTTTTTGCGCATCTCGCCGCCGCCGCAACCGCAAAATCGAACTGCAACAAGTTGACGATTTAATGCTGCCGACATTTGACGGGGACTCACGTAGGCACTCATTCATCTCTTTTCGAAGAAGCGGCTGGCATATCGCGTAAATTGGCAATCGGAGGCATGAGGCGACGATCGTCAGAATCGAGATCACGTCGACCGAAAGAACGTAGAACGATTGGTATCTGGAAAATGTGAAAGCTTCTCGCCGCACACTAGAAACAACGACACCTTTCCGCGAACAAACTCGCGCTATCAATATACTCCCAAATTGTGATTATAACCGACAGGACGTTCGAGAACAGATATGTGCAAATGATAATGACGAGCGAGCGGGTCGCCGCGCGAATTCGCGCCTTCTTCATTTTCACCACCTGTTTGTCGCTCTGCTCGATGTATTTGCTCTTTTTCACGTGCTCTTGCAGTCTGAAATTTTTGCGACCCTCCGTTTCAATCGGGGTTTGCTCTCTACCGGTAAAGGAGGAGACAGTTGACGAGGAGGAGAATGAAGAATGGCGCGAGAATGGTGAAAATGTTTCTGCAACAACCATTTTTATTGGTGTCTTCACAATGCGGATTCGAGCCCGCGAGGGTAAAAGTGGAAAGCGTAGCGCCTTCGCATTTCGCCACAGATGTCACGGTTCATTATACGCGAGAGTGCGCATAAGAAATGCGCGTCACAAATTCATTAAAAAGGTACCGTAATGATTACTGTAATATTTTTTTCGGAAACAAACCTAAAATAAAATCTCCAATAAATATTGAAATTCGGATTTCGCAGGACTAATTGCGATGGCTCAACTCTCCAATAATTGAGCTCGCCAGCGCAATCCTCATCAGTGTTAATCGTAACTTCTTTCAGAATCGTTCCTTTGCTCACCACACCGCACATGACCGCCAAAAAGGCGAGAAACTAAAATACAATTCGATTCTCACGCCCAATTCCGCATTTCTCTAATCTACCGGACGATGACGCTGTAGATGGGGCACCAGAAAATTGTTGACGGTGATGCAGTAGCGTTCAATCGAGACGAAGCAGATCAGAAAAGTGGATGAGGTGATACCGATATGAGATACTGCGAGCATAGGGACCATGTATTTCACCCTAAACACCTCATTTCTTTATTTGTCCCAATTTGGGACTGGGCCGACCACGACAGCTGTGCAACATCGGGTCGACCCTTGGACGGTCGAAGCAAGCCTCGAGTCCATCCAGGGTTCCAAAAATCAAATAACCTAATCAGCAGTCTTTCGACCGCATATCGTAGGTTAATACGATAAGAACTGTTACTAAATAATGATCTTAGCTATTAAGCCGAGAAGCGATAAGGAGAAACAAAAACACCTGTGGATATGTTAATAACGCTGCGGACAATTATCCGGGACACGTGAATGTCTATCCTTACCATATGGACTTGAGCAAAACGCTGGCGGTGAAGTTGGTGAGCACGCGAACCGAAAGCACGGCGATGTAGGCGAAGGCGATGAACACGTCAAACATTGAAAGAAGTAGAAGGTAGAGATTCGGCGATTTTCTGATGACCGTTTTAAATAAGTATGCAAAATTGGAAAAAAAATACCGATGTTGACGATTTAAGCTGAACACGACGAAAATGAACGAGTTGAATAGAATTGACATTGTCGAAACGGTGACGCCGACAACGACACACAGCCAGAAGCGCTCGACGAGCTTGAAATCGTCGGGCGCTGAGCACAACGGGTGTTTCGTCGTTGTCAAACTCATCGCGTCGGTGGTGTTGAGCGGCACGAGGCCGCTATTTTCCGTCATATCCGCATAAGAATGCCGATCTGAATTTTTTTTTGAGGGCATTGTGAATCGAAAAAAATTCGACATATTAGGAAGGTGTGGATTAGGATTAAAAATTCTTGAATAAAAAAAAAGTTTTTCAGGACTTTGGATTAATAAAAATTTTGGTTAAATCTACAGGCTGGTCGCAATTTTTTCATCAGAAACGCTAGTCATCAATTATTTATTAGTAAGTAAAAATTGCAATTGAATGAAATCATTCTGCGATGATGAGAAATCGAAATTTATTGCTCATTAAATTGTCAAAATCGAATGAGCCGTGCATTTGATTGATATTGAAATGCTTCTACGTAAAATTTTCTAAAAATGGGAATAATTGCTAGAAATTGAGAGAGAGTGCAGATATTGGGTTACTGTATTGGTGGTGCTGCGGGATTCTTATACGCACTCTCACCCCATGGCACCCATGTTGGATAATGGAGTAGTGGCTCAAAGCGAGGTTTTGACTTTTGCCCTTGCGGGTTCGAGTCCTGCTTGTGGTGTCAACATTTTTGCGAGCACTTTGAAGCGAAGAAAACGTATAGAAGCATAATAGTACGATGAAAGGAAACGAATGGAGTGGTTTTGGATGAGAAATGACTACAGTAATCCATCAAACAAGGACATTCCATAAATAGTCGTCACATTAATTAATCAAGAGAGGCTGTGAAAAAAAACGAATGGAAGAAATTTAATGCGCAAAATTTTTCGGTTTCCCGCGCGCAGATTAATTTGTGCTCATCCGCGACACAAAAAAAAAATGAAATGGATTGCACTTGGAGGCCAACGAAAAGTCGGGAATCTTCATCGCAATTGGAGATTCACATTTTTTTTTACAAATGCTAAAGCGTGGACCCACAAAAAATACTTGAATATTCAGGTTTCGAAACGATTTTTTTTGTGTTGGTTTGCGTCGCTTTTTTCTGCGTGTGTCTATGTGGGTTTGGCTGACTGAAGAAAATGTGGACTTTTTGGATTTCCGGTTGCGGGCAAAAAATACGGGTCTGATTGGGGGTGCAAAGTTTTACCCGGAATGTTGCGTCACTTGCAACAAGTTCAAACTAGTCGTAAAACTAATTTTCCTGCAGGCGGACTTGAACCCGCAATGGTAAAATTGCAAACTTGTAGCATTTAGCCACTCCTCCACACAGGCAAAACGCGACGGATGAAGTCCGGGCGAAGTCCGGATATTTGAACGTCACGGCTAAAAAACGGGCCAAGTACGGACCAAAAATTTCTTTGAAAAACGCCGCGGTAAAAAAACGGACAAAGTCCGGAGATTTATAGGCCACGTTTTTAAAACGTGTTAATTACGGATCTTGATTTTCAGGATAAAACGCCACGGCTAAAAAACGGGCCAAGTACGGACCAAAAATTTCTTTGAAAGGCATCACGGACAAAAAACGGACAAAGTCCGGAGATTTATTGGCCACGTTTTTAAAACGTGTTAATTACGGATCTTGATTTTCAGGATAAAACGCCACGGCTAAAAAACGGATTAAGTACGGACGAAATATTTCTTTGAAAGGCATCACGGACAAAAAACGGACCAATTACGTGACAATTTTTTTCGAGTGAAAATGTCACCGACAAACAAAGGACTATTTACTGATCGACACTTCCTGGCTGAAACGTTACGACACAAAAGTTAATTAATATTTAATATAACGGCTTCACTGGAAGCTGTGGCGACCGATGGCTGATAATTAAATTTTCTTGTTGCAGGTTGCCCGATACCGATGCGGTAACCATAGCACGGCTCGAGACTTCCTTTCCTAAGATCGATGTGTCTAAGTTCGCTGCTGTCGATTCACCGTTATGCGTTCTAACTGTTCCGCTCCATATTTATATTCGTTGTTTTGTAATGTAGAGATAATGTGGAAATGGGAGAGTGGGCGAGACGATGAGGCGGTGGGCGAGAGAGAGAGTGCGAAATGAAGAGACGCACGCCATCATGCCATCGGGCAATGTCCAGCAAAAAGAGGGCCGCGGCCGAAGTTCACCTTTATTTAAATGCAAGTCCCCAATCGTAAACACCGATTTAGTCAATTACTTATGCTTTTAGTCGTATTATTTCAGTTTATTAAGTTGTTTCCCCAAGCCCACCATCCACCATATTTAGTATCATCAAGTTTGTTATTAGTTTGTATATTCAATTTCGAATAATCTACACGATTTGTTTATATTTTTGCATTTATGTAATTAAAAAGTATTTTGCCGGTTTCGATGGCTCATAACGAAATGAATGAATCGGTGAGTTTTTGTTTCTAGATACTTTTGCCTCTCACTGGCTGAAGTTAAACGATCTGAATTGAATATATAACGAACGTAACGAAAAAACATGCACTGTCGATCGTCTTACAATTGACAGTGTCGTTAAATATTAATAATTCAGAAATTTTTGCAGTTTCCGATAATGACAAAGGCCGAAGAAAGGCTGAAGCGACAGCATTTGAAAAGGAGTCATTCTAAGGAAATGGATAGCGGTGTTGAAAAGTTTCTACACGACAGCCAAAAAGAAAATCGGGTATCGATTTTATATATATATTTGTCATAATATATAGAAATCAAATCAGTCAAAAAATATCGAATTTGATTAAAAAAGTATAATTTTAATTAAAAAATTATTTAGTTAAAAATCATCGAATTTGGTTTAAAAAGAATATCGAATTTAGTTTTTAAAAAAATTAAATTCCGTTGAAAAGCATAAATTTAGTTAAAAAATTTGATTTAGTTAAAAATAATATTTAGTTAAATTAGTTTAAAAGAAATATTTTGTTAAAAAACATCGGCTTAATTTAATTTTTTATGACAAAGTTTTGCCTCATTTATGTAATAACGACAAATTTTATTACTTCGTTTTACTTAGGGAAATCTATCATCCGGCGGACACTGGAATTGCCACGAAATGATAAAGAAGACTTGCTTCGATGATCAAGGGACATTGTTATCACGGAATGAATGCAAAGTGCTTTTGTTTAGACTTAAATTCCTAATAGTACTTTTCAGGCAAATTTGCAACGTACAATGAAAAACAAGAATTCGGTGGATTTTTATGAGGTCTTGAAATGCTTGCAGTGCAAGGACCATTCAAATAACTTCGAAGTATTAGCTGCGACTGTGGCCACCTTGGCTTTTCAAATGGAGCGCGGGCAACGAGAGTCCCATACCAGCAAAGTTTTAGTGGTTAGTTAAAAGTTGTTTTTTTGTAATGGACATATACATAGTCGACATCCGACAACTTCTGCATATATATATATATATATATATATATATATACCGTAAAACCTGTATTAGACGGCATGCCGCTCTATATTTCGAAGGACTCTTAGGGGTTCCGCTCTATTTTTCAATTACTAAATTACGAATCTTGCAAAAAATCTGGTAACTAATGTGCTTGAATTCGATTGATAAAGTGATCGAACTCGATTTGAAAAAATGTATTCGATGGAAAAATCTTCGAAACCAATTGATTTATTTCTCATTTTCAATTTTAAAATCGTATTCGATTGAAATTTTCATGTATTTGATTACGATTAAAAATGAAATTCTTTCGAAACCGATTGATTTTCATTTACCAGAGAATGCCGTTCTATTGAAAGGTGCCGTTCAATTAGAGGGTGCCGCTCTATTAGAGAGGCCGTTCAATTAGAGGATGCCTTTCAAATACAGGTTTTACGGTATATATATATATAAATAATTGTAGACAGATATCAACAGTTTCGATATTGTAAAAGGTAAAGAAGTCGACGAAGATATCGATATGCCAGCTGGGTATAAATTGCGCATTGGCGATTTACTAACTCCATCAAACTGTTCAAAATGGATGGCACAGTCGCCTGAAAAAGGCCTTGAAAAGGCGGTACTGCACATACTGAATGAGGTAATGCATAATCTGTACAACTGCATGAACACATTTACTTTCAGTTATGCGAAAAAGATAATTTTTTTGTAATTTATTCGGCCGCTTCGTCAACGAAACGAACGAAATATCCCAAAATACCGGACAAGTTCTTCGAAATTCTTGGAAGTAAGTAGATTTGAAGTAACATTGACCGGCTAAAAACATGCGCCTAGTCCATATTGGCCAATGAGAAATTGAATGGTAAAAACTATGCTTTTTTTCAGAAATATTACACCGAGGCTTCGATATAAAAAGTGAAGGGTGGGAAGAAACCGTCGTCGTTTCTCATATACGAGAAATGACAAGAAACTTCATGTAAGTGAGCAACGCGAATGTTATATATATGCTATATACTGTGTTTCAGCGATGATAAACGACGCGGAAAAACCGCCAAAATCGAAGAGTTAATGGAAATGTTCCAATCCAGGTAGAACACGCGTGTGCAAATGGAATGTGCAAATATTTTTTTTGTTTTTAGAATTATTTTTGTTCTAGTAATTCGATTCGAATCGAATACAACAAATTTCGGATACAAACTTGATCGAAAATTAAGTTTGAAATTTGTGGTACTCGATTACTCTTTGGAAAAACCCGAATGTACTCGTATTTGGTGCGAAACTCGGTGTATTCATTTCGAATTTTAATGTATTTGATTGTGAAACAAAAAATTGACTCTTTCGTATCGAATACGAATTAATCATTTTACAATCGAATACGATTAAATTCAAAACGAATATAGCGATTGCGATTCGTAAATAATTTTTTTTTTCGATTTTTCTTAAATAAAACTTTTATAATAATGCTGTCTATATGATTTCAATTTTAATTTTGATTATTATACGAACGGAAGAAAAAAAAGCATGTGAAAAACGCCACCGGGCGAATCACGGTCCGTTCCCGGATACGCTAAGACGTCCGTGTCCGGTACGTCAGCGACACGCTGGAACGGTCAATAACGGACCGTGATTCGCCCGGATTTCATCCGTCGCGTTTTGCCTGTGCATACAACCACAATCTTGGAATGGAAGAATGGCGTATAAGAATCCCGCGCTCTCTCATCGCCATTTCACTGCAAAGAGCCATAACCCACAGCCTACAGTACACCTATCGTAATCAATGA